GTCGATTATTTTGCCTTTTAAAGGATATTTAAAAGTTTTAAAACGTAAAAGAATATAAGCGTTTGATAATTGATAATTATAAGGTGTGTATAGTCGCGATTATAAGTATTAAAAATATTAGAGATACTATTAGTATATTTGGATTAAAATTATAAAATTAGTTAACCCAGCTATTTTACGGTAACTAAAGGCACGGGCCACCCTTATATTTGGGTATTTTTAGTATAATATTTAAGTTTGAGTTTAAGGCGATAGTAGGGCGTGATTTAGGTTTGGCTAAATGGGATTATCGCCCGGCCCAGCCCGTTATTTATAAGGGTTAAATATAATAAGTTAGTAACGACTATTATTTTTTTAGCTGCTTTAAATATTATAATTAATATAAATTTTTATAGATTTTCTGGATTTTTTTTATTTAATTTTATTTATTACCGCTTTTGCTTTTATTTAGGATATATAAAGAAAAAGCTGCAAAAATTAACGCTATATTCCGATTATAAGAAAAGCAAAACCGTTCGATTAATTTTGCTATTTATATTATTATTCGATATACGCGCTTTTATATAAAAACCTATATTATCCTCGAAAATTCTATTTTTTTAATTCCTTCCTAAATTTATTAATTTTTATAATTTAACCCGGTTTTTTAAATCCCCTACGAAAACCTTATACGCTAAACGCGCCGCTTTCCGTAATATTTTATAAATAATAATTACCTTAAAATAATAGATAAAACGCAAAAAATTAATATGGCTAGCCTTAACCGATATTTTTAAAGCTTTTTATAAACTCGGCTATAATTCGATATTAAAAGCTTTTATTTAAAAGGTTTTAAAAAACTAATATTATTAAAAGGTCTAATATATAAAATATTATAATATTATAGTTATAAATAGACGGTTAGCGATAAAAAAAGCGGCCCGTAACGCTAAAATTAAAGCTAATTAATAATAAAAAAAAATAATATAAAAAAGCGGGGGAAAAAATAATAAAAGGATAAAAAGCAGAAAATACAAAAATAGGAGGTAAAGGCAACGCGTAATAAATCGCTTATATAGGCCGATAATTATTACGTATTATACTTTTAGGTAATATAAAAAAGCTTCGCAAACGACACGCTTTGCCGTTTCCCTTAATTGTTTATCCGTTACGGTTAGGAAATATTATTAGAAATATAATTATTAATATATTTTTTAATGCTTATAATATAAATAATTTTTTATCTTATTTATAAATATTAATAATTAATTATAAATATTACGGTATTATTTTTTTTTAAAAATTTCGATTTTTTTTTTAATTATTTATATTTTTATACGAATTTTAAATATACCGCGGCTTATTTATTTAAATATTTTTAAATACCTAATAAATTAATTACCGGGCCGCTACGCTAAATAATATATTATTAATCGGAAGGCTGTAAAGCGCTAAACGCTAATAAAAATATTAGCCTTTTTTATTATTTATACCGACGTAATTATAATAAATTATTAAACGATTATAAAAGACCTTTTATCGCTAGCTATATTTTTTATGCTTTTCTTTTTTTTTTTACTTATTCCTGCTTTTTGCTTCGGGCTAAATATTTGTTTTATATATAATTAAAAGACTTTTTTCGTTTATTTTTTTTTAGTTTTTATAAATAAATATACGATTAATATAATTTAAATAATATAGCGGATAATTTTATTCCCGCTAAGGCTTTAGCTAACGGCGCTCGGGACGGAGGAGCCGTTAATATTAAATATAAATAGGCTTGGCTTTTCGTATATTATAATTATTAATTATAAAATATATATCTCCTTTTAAATTTATTTTAGCACCCCTAAAATAGGTATAATTTATAATATTATTAAATTATTAAACGGCTTATTTATTTAACGCCCCGGCTCCGGCGTTAATATAAAATATTTAACCGATAATAAAAAAAACGGCAATATTACCGCTTGCGTTATTAATAGCTTAACCAATCTTAGCTTTTAATAAATCGGCAAGGTTAAAATCACGCGGGTCAGCAATTTATATTTTTTTAAAGCTACTAAATATATTTATTACGCAATTAGTTATTGCTGGTACGAGCGCGTTCCCAAGGGTAAAATAAAGGGTAAGGATAAAAAGGAGGTTGAGACGGAGGATAATAAGCAGACTGGCCAGGAGGATAATAAGGAGACTGGTTAGGACACCGACTAGGACACCGATAACGAGCTTTAAAGTGGTGAACGCACTGAAAAATACTATGGCATCGCTTTATTCCCCTTTTTATGCCATTACGGGATAAAAACCTTCGATTCGTATATTTATTTTATTATATTTATATTGCCTTTAATTATTATATAATACTAAAAGCTTCGTTTTTTAATATAAAGTATATTTATTTATTTAACTCTTAGCTCCCTTTATAAATACTAGGACTTTTAAAAATATTTATAAATATAAATACTATTACGTGCGGTTTTAATATTTATTAAAATTTAATTATAATCGCGCTTATTAATATTTTTATAAATATATAAATTAATACAAGGTATCCATTATTATCGCCTCGAGTAGGGGGTTAGCGATTGCTATATCGTTTGTATTATAATTATTATAATAAATAATAAATATAATAGCGCCAGGATTTCGTTATTTGTATTTGCATCGTCGTCTTATATATTATAATAATTAATAGCTTTTGTCTTTTTTTACCGCCCTTTATCTCTAAGCCGCAGCAACCCCGGCGCCCTTATATAGGATCGGCTTTTATATTTCGTCTAATTTTACCAGATTCTTTTAGGTTTTAGCTTATTATAATAGCAATTATTATTAAAGCTAATCGTGCTTTTTAATATATTAATTATAAATATATTTAAATTAAAACGGTAAGTTTTGTATTATTTTATAATTTTATTAAAGATTTTAAAATAAGGTGCAAAATATTAAAATAAAGGTTTTAAGCGTTTTATAATTAATTTATAATATTAAATATATTTTTATATATATTACGGAAAAGTTTATTTAATATATTAGCTATTTATAAAATAATATTATTTCTTAAAGCGATATTTAATTATTATATTTTTTTATTTTAAAACGAGATTTTTAAAGCGCTAAAAATTTTTTTAAGCATTAATTTATTAATCGGTATAAGATAAATATAATATTACAAAAATACCGTTATAATTGGCGTCGCTTTAACGGGATTATATATAGTATTATTTTTAATAGGAAATAAAACCTTAAAAAATACCGCGTCTAATATAATTAAAATAAAAATCGGTAATAAAGCGCCAGCACTAATATCCTAAATACCGCTTCGTTATCTAAAAATATAGCTCCGGTGCCATTATAAATGGGCTTAAGCATTATAATCCTTCCCAGGGTCGCCTTATTATTGGCTATTATTATTAATATTATAATCCTAAATATACCGCCTATTATATTCGCCGGTTTAATATACGATAACTTCGAGTATCGCGCGTTAGCTTTAGCTTAATTTTTTTTTTTAATATTTCGTTTTTTAAGCTTATTACTAAATAAAGACTTAAAAAGTCCCGATGCGAAACGGTATTAGTTTAAACGTTAACGCTTTAAAAAACTAATTCTTAACTATAAAATTAAGCTATTAAAATCGGCTTATTAGCAAAAAAGGATAAAATGGCTTTCGGACGCTAGAAAACGCTATTTCGAATTATAAATTTATACTTTAATAGCCTTTTAGGGTTTTTTATCCTTTATTAATAGCTGCGGCATATATTTTATTTGCTTAGCAGATTAAATAAGCTTAAAGGCTAACGAAGTCGCTAAGCATTTAAATTAAAACAATATTTTAATAAGTTAATTATATATTTTCGAATTTAATTTTATAATCCTATTTTTTATCCCAGGAAATGTCTTTTCCTTTATTTTATTAAAAAAACCTAAGCTAATAATATTTGCTATAAAAAATAAGCTATAATAAACTAATTAATCTTATACCTTTTTATTTAAACGCAATATTATTTATTTCCCTTAAATATTTAGGTTTTTAAATTACTCGTATACGGCTGCGAAAACAGCTGCGTAATTTGGATAATAGCCGTGTAACGGCGTGGAATTCGATAATTTCCTAAAATACGGTCCGTTTTAGCGTATAAATAGCTTATATTTTTGCTATAACCTATTATATATTTTACCTTTATATATCGCTTATAAGCCGGTCGCCGTTAATAAATCGTAAGCCGAATATTTCGACCGCGCGCGGTTCTTTTATATTTATAATTAGCTTATCCCGGCCGTTTGCGATAAATATAACCCTTTTTATTTAATATAGCACGTAATGCTAATAATATACGAAAAATATTTAATTTAAATATAGCTTTATTATGCGTTTAAAGGCTTCGAAAATTTATTACCGCCTCGGCGGCCACGGCTATACCTATTTTTTTTTTTAAAATATAAGCTTTTTATACGTTCCGTCGGCGTAAAATAAGCGATTAACGTACGCGTATATAATCGCGTTCCGCTTATGCGAAAAAAATAAACTATAAACCGGGCCTCGTATATAGCTTATACCTATCGTCTCATATAAAAGGATTCGCAAAAATCGTCGATTTATAAGCTTATATCGTTTATTATTATAAAAATCGCAATAATTAAAATAAGCTAGCTAAAGTTCGCTAAATTATAACGCTATAAAAGCATTATATTAATATAAAAGTGGTGCTAGGTTATAGTGCTATATAACAAAAACTGGACTAGCTAGACTCGCTAAATTTTAGGTGGGCTTACGTGGAGGGATAGGGTTTACGATTATAATATATGTATTTAGCGTATGCTTGGGCATATAAAAAGATAAATGGATATAGCATACGATACTATAAAGTACCTTTTTATTAATTATATGCATACTAATATAAAGTTATAATTTTATTTTAATATACTCCTTTCTACCTATTACTATTATTCTGTTAAAAGCCGACTTTAATATCCATTCTTTATTATAAAAATAATGCATTATTAAAAACCTTATAAGATAGCTAAAGACACCATAAGACAGAGTAAAATAGCGCGAGACCTGCCTTAAACAGCATAAGACCTGCGTAGAATAGTGTTTTTGGAGTCGATTTTTACCCAAAATAGCAGTCATCCCCATTTTTCTGTCAAAGAGCGTCGCGGCAATCTGGCCCAAGTCACCGCCGGCCGCAAAGACGCGAGAGCAAGCCGCCGCAAGCAAGACGGCCATGATCCCTGCCCGGGCCACCGTGGAAGGCTGCCGAGAGGAAAAGAAGAGGGCGTCGGATGGGTGCGGAGCAGCAAATACAGCGTTCAAGACAAAGGGAACAAACGCCAGGACATGAGGCGCCAGAAGCAGATACAAGAATTTAGAATGGTCAAGCTGGCGCGGGATGATGAGAGCCGAGATCAGATTGACACCGAGCACCGCGAGCCAGGCCGTTGGTAACCACGAATTTCTTGTTGCTTGCGGGTTTGGACTCGGTTGATTCTTCTTCATATCCTTCTTGTCGTGGATCGACGATACCTCGTTGGCTTCGTCATATACCAGAAACGTGACAAAGGACAAATTGGCCGCAAAGGAGATGGCGACAATCTGACCCAGTAACATGAAGAGCCAGAGGTGGGGAATTCTACTCTTCTGGCCTTTTGTGTGAAATGGTCATGTCAGCCTTGTTGTATCGAAGCAATATAACTTGCACAGGGAAGAAGGGGAAAAGGAGGTAATTTTTTGCATGGGAACCCACCTTGAGCAGCCAGCATAACGCTCCATATAGCACAAAAGCCAAAGATTTGCATTGACCACCACGCTCGCAGAGGCGTCTCCAAGGTCGCGACCCAAGCCTGCTGAAAAAGCGTGGTATCACGAAGCCAGGCGCCGAGATGCAACTTGCCGTCTTCGCCGCCGAGGAGACCAAAAAGCGGCGACGAGGCCGACGAGGCCGCCGCCCATTCTTGGTAAGACCATTGAAAGAAGCAAAACATGTGGTACCATGTCGTTGCCAGGCTGAGAGCCGCGAGGGCGCTGAAGACGACAATGGCGTGCCGGCGCCGCCGGTCAACGGGGCGCGAGGATCCTCCCCGCGTCCAGGCAATCCGGATGCAAAAGACGGTGAGCCCAGCGCAGGCCAGGAGGTAACCCGCGAGTATGCCAATCGGGCGGGTATTAGATAGTTCTACCATGGCGGTGCAACGTGAAACGAATTGCGGCGTGATAAAGACAGTATCATTAGGTGCGTGTATAGCATGAAAAACAGTATTATTTACTCCAATGCCCCCACAAGCCCTCTGAAGTTCGCGGTGCGCCGTCGACTAGCACAGCTCCGCAATGACAATGGGCCTCAGTTCCCCATAAGAAAGCGTACGCCAATCAAGTACTAATCGATTACTTACAGGCACCAACTCGACAAGTTTGCCAAAAGATTATAGTCCATTCTTTCTCGAAAAGACCAAAGGTATCATTCTGCATACTACGTGGTTGCATCATGGGCAGCCGTTTATACTTATTCAAACACCATGCAATGTGTTCAATCACAAGTGCTATTATTACTTGGCGGTGGAATTTTAGTGCAAGCATAATCGAATTCCCACATGATACAACCGGTCGTTGCAAGAATCGATCTGCACCAATTCATACCTCTTTCTCATAGCATTTCGATGACTGATTCCAAAATCTAGTGACACATAGACGCTATTGTATTATGATTGACTTCTTATTCTGAAGTGAAGAAACAAAATTCATGCCCTATACAGAGCTCTAATCCTTTGTGCTCGCAGCCAATCCGTGCAAAAGAATAAAACCCAGACCTCTTTACCTCGAGCTTACCAGTGCCTATCCAGGTCTCTGTATATCGTAACTCCAACGCCTAACAATACTTGAAACCACATCATTCATGTAAACAATCTCATGCAATTCTAGTCTGACTCGTCTTCCGAGTCCCATATGATCTGCGGGGGTTCCTGAATGTCACCATTCACCAGGCTGTCCGGGAGCATTTGGCTCTTGGTAGGGAACTGCGACGACCGAAGAGAGTGCTCATGTGCCACCGGACTGCTTGTCGCATGAGTCTGTGCAGGGGCTGTACGCTGCGCGCCAGCCATGGGTGGCAGCGGTACAGACTTGCCTGGCGATACATGCGGGCTCGAGGACATTTGGCTTATGGTTGTAGCCTGTGACGGGCGGGTTTCTCTGCGGTTGCGTTGGCTTTGCGAAGCTGGTAGAGAACGTGCTGAAGAGGCCGTGGCAGTTTTGGGTAAGGCTGGTCTTGCAAAGACGCTGCTACCACGTCGATTACCACGGTTGTGAGCGACCTGCGGAGGCGACTGGCTGGAGGGAATCACTTCTGCCTGGTCGGAGGATTCCAGCTGCGTCGCGTGGTCAATATCGCTCCGTATCTGATGAGCAAGCTCTTGTGACTCGGTCACATTCAAGCTGCTTTGAATCACGTCCTGCTCGGCATCCTCGCCCCACAGTGCACATCGTAGATTTGAAGTAAGCTGGCCAACAACAGCAGGCGGGACATAGGAAAATTTCTGCGGCGCCCTGGGCCATCCATTCTGTTGCATAACCTGATTGGACACTGGGTTATTGAGCTCATACATGCTGAGAACCTCAAAGGCAAACTTTGATCGCTTCATCATGCCTTGGTTGAACTCTGCATTGCCAAGACCGTCTTCGTGAATTTGACCGGCTGTCTTTGCGGGCCCAAGTGTACACATGTACCTGAGCTCGCTGATCGGTCTTGGAACGTAAATCCAAACACGATGAACTGTTTCGGGTATCTTCCAATCCCGGAACTCGTGAGTTTTTCTGCGCTTAGTCATGTTCTCAACATGCTCGCAGTATATGGATATGATGATGTCAGACCGGTCGGTTATAGGTCCTGTCGCTTTGATAGTCTCGAGGGGAACTCGCTGACTTTCCATTCCTTGCGTGTATCCTTGCGTATATCCCTGCGTGAACTCTTCTTCATGCTCGGTGCGTTCCGTTTCTCCTAGCCTGGCCCGTGGTGTTCGGCTTGGTGTTTGCTCGATTATGTCGTCTACAAAGTCTTGAGCGGACGGCGTCGTATTCCTTGGTCTTGAATTCTCACTATCCTCTTCCTGGTCGACACTACCCTCGTCCTCGGCAACGATAGGCGTACTATTCAAGGTCTCGTGATCCACTGGATGGTCAGAAGAAATGAGGAGTGCTTGTGTTTCTGCCCCAGCTGCAAAATCATCCTCGATTCCATCTGCAGTTATCACAACTTCATTTACATCCTCTCGTATTTCAAAGGTACTTTCTGACACGACGGTAGACGTTGCGTCAATAACACCATCTTCATCTGTTTCGGTCTCCTCTTCAAGTTCGTCGTCTGAGTCGGGGACCTCGGAAAGGGGTTGTCGTTGTGATGTCCTCACCTCCACCGGCTTTGGCGACTTTGGCTTAGTCCTTCCTGGGGTGACATTCTCTTTGTCTTCAGGCAACTCGAACCTGATCCTTTTGGCCGGCGTTACCGTGCCCGAAGGGAGTAGAATTCCTTTTGCCTTTGCTTTTGGTGTCGGTGTTATTGGTGAGCTGTGGCTTGTGCTGTACGAATCTTGAATTACCAGCGTTCTAGGTGTTTTCGTCACGGGCTTTTGTATAGAAACCGAGGGTGACGTCTTGTCACTTTTTTGCTTCAGTGGTGAGGGTTCTGTCTCCGGGTTGTATCTAAGGCAATCAGGAGTGTCCGGGTGCTTTAACGGCGAGGGTGCCTTCTGAGGGCTGTCTCTTAGCAAGAGAGGAGTGGCCGGAGATTGAGAAGAAGGTATTTCGGCCTTCTTTTGCCGGTTTGCGGGGGTGGTTGCGACAGGCTTAGCTGCCGATATCACCTCGACTTCATCGCTAACCTCTTCGCTCTTCCGCTTCCTGGGCGTCTCCTTGACCAGATCCAGGTTCACAGCGTCTTCATCTTCCGAGTCCGGGATCTTCCAGACGTCCTCATCCTTGCTGGTGCTCGACAAAAACTGCGTTAGGGTCTGTGTATGAAAGCTGCTGGATGCACTGGGTGGGTCTCCCATTGTCTTGCGTCTCTTGTTACTTCGCGGCTTCTCGTGTTTTTCGTCATCCTGTGCCACATTGCCCGTTGTCCGCCTTCGATTACTGCGGGCACTGGTCTTCCGCGTCGCCTTCTTCTTGACAGCAGGCTGCTTTGGCACATTTGCAGCCCCTGCGGTCTCCTCGTTCTCCTTCTCGTCATCGTCATCACTACTGATCAAGAGCTGGAGATCTTCCTGGGCGGCTGCTGACACAAACTCCATTTGTGTTAAAGTCTGATCCGGGCGCTTGGGAGCAGCGCGGCGACCATAGGTCTTTGTAACCTGGCGGCGGCGAGTTGGGAAATGTAGTTGTTTGAGCTCAGGTGCCGCGGACTTCTGCACTGCTTTCGCAGGCTGCGGCTGGGCAGCAGCTCTGGTCTGGACAGGCATCTTGTCCCTATGCTCTTCCCAAGGGCGCGATGCCAACTTCTCTTGTTTTCTGTTTACCTCAATGTCCCAGCCAAGCATACAAAGTCTTGTGTACCAGAATAATTAGTATTTGATTCTCGGACTGGTCGCTGGACCCTCACATTTGTCATGACCTTGCATCGGACTGGATTGAAAGTGATGCAGGGATGCGATGCGGGTCAGCTCCAGACGCGTCTTGGTGTTTCAAGCTAGCAGCACGCGTCAAGTGCATAAAGTCCATTAGAGCAGCTTCAATAGATGAATGATTTTGATCATAAAATTAGTGGGCCTCAGTCACGTCCATGGTCGGCACGGGGGTTCTAGAATCCACACACTCAATTAAGCGCTAACATACATGTAGTAGTATATCGTAACTAGGGTCGAGTATTAGGAATACCTTCGTATTCACATTGCAAGCTCTCAAGCCCCTCTGCGTCCCCTTGAAAAACAATGCGTATCCTCCCCATGAATACGTTTTCAGTTTCTCATTTCTCGGAGCTCAAAACGCATCCTTCTAAGTTATCATGTTCATTTTTAGTACAATGCGATTTAGCACAAACAGGTCCCTATGAAAACCATTGCGTGCCTCTCTGCGTATCGTTTCAAAGGGTATGTCCTCCGATACAAAGCCCTCACTCCCAAACTGGCAAAACTTTTTGTAGTCCACGAATCGCCAGTCTAAACGATCGAGGTCGCTTTTGTTGTTGCGAGAACCAAAACATTACTTGCAAAAGGCAAACGGGTATGATGTGAGAAGATGTAACCATTAGGCGCTCCGCCGACTGAGAATCTGCAGTGGCCTCTAAGAGTCTGCAGGAGCAGCAGATCCGGGAGCAGGGGAAGCACCCTCACCACCCTTTACACCTCCGCGGCCACCTCTTCCACGACCACCGCGATCTCCTCTTCCGCCTCTAGACCCTCCACGACCTCCGCGGCGGCCAGACTCGGGTCCGCTTTCGCCGCCGCTAGCAGTGCCGCGGTCCGTGGCGCTGCGATAGCCACTCTGACCGCTCGAGGTGCCCCTTGTGCTGCCCCAAGTGCCTGCACCGCCTCGGGCAAAAGGCTTGTTGCTCTCTCTAGGTTGAAACAGCTTGACCAAGGGCTTTGATCTATCCTCGCCTTGGCGGGACTTGTACTCCTCTGGCAAGCTAGCCAAAGCTGCATCCCGGTCCTCCGTGCTGCTGAAATGAACAACCTTGTTGTTGCTGTTAGTACCCCACTTGTCCACCTTCGTAATCTTAGACTTGTGCTCCTCGGGGAAGAGATCACGAGTCTGCTCATCAGACTGCACGTTCATAATGAAAAGACCAATGATGTCAGTGGCAGCGCCTCGGGGAGCCGGCGAGGGTGCTGTGTCAGGTCCACTGGTAGCGCCATTGGCGCCAGGCCTGTCGTTCTCCTTGGCAGCTGAAGAGCCGGGAGCGGGAGATGATGAAATTGGCTTCGGGGTTGCAGGCTTGGGCTGGAGAGGCGTGGCAGCAGCAGGCTTGCCCTGGGTTGCCGAAGGGTTACGCTGAGGACCTGTAGGAGCAGCAGGAACGGCAGACGTAGGGGCTGCGGGGAGACCGCTGGCAGTTGGGGCAGGCGAGGGCGTGCTAGTATTCGGCATAGCGGACTGCTGCTTGGCGCCACGGTGCGAAAAGTTGAAACCCTGGGCTCTCATCTCGGTACCAATACGACCATCCTGAATCTCCAGAACCAGCCATCCGAAGGCGGCATCAGCCAGGTTAAAGTTCCACATGTTCTTGAAGGCACTCTCATCAACTTGTCCCAGAGCTGCAGAGCCGCCAACAGGGCCGCCAAAAGGGTTACCGCCGGCGGCTGTTGTAGGCATCTTCTCAACAAGTCCAAGTGCATTCTTGAGTAGATTCTGCTGAGCTTCGTTCTGTTGGATAGCAGGCTCAACCTCGTTCTTCACAGTCTCCCAAACGTCGTTGAAAGATGCCTTCGAGGCAGCCAGCTTACCACGGTAATGATCGAGGGTGGGGTTCACGCTGAACTCGTTGTAGGAGCTGCCGTATCGGAAGTGGAGACCGGCTGAAATAGAGAAATCGGCCTTGAGGCTAACGGATAGCTGGTTCAAAATACCCTCTCGGGCAGGCGAGGCGTGTGTGATGAAGACACGAGTTTCGGTCGGATCGTAAACGCGGTTTGCCGTATCGACGAGCTCGCCCATCTGTAATAGGGTAGTCCACATAGTGCCCTGGCCACCAGCAATCGTAGTGCGGCCCTCGCCATTGTCGAACAGCTTGTGCATGACTACAGCACCACCCAAGCCAAGAAGTCGCAGCTTCACGCCACCAATCTCTAGGAGCATGGAGCGAGCCTCGTCAATAATGTGTAGATTGGGGACCTTGTACTCGCCCGATCGGAACTTTTCGAGGACGCGGACATCCTCGCAAGCACCCCAGACAGTGTAAACGGGAACATCTAGCTTGAGCTGGCCGCTGATGAGCATAGACAGCTCAGAAAGAGGCAGCTGCTCGGGCGCATAGCGAGACTTGACGCCGCCAGGGCCCGAGGCAATCGACTTCTTGACATGTTCCGGAATGAGAGGAGAGTATTGTGCGACGTGCTTAAGAGTCCTGTTGATCCTTGGTTAGTTCCTCTTTCCAGGTGGCAAGTGTCTTCAGAAACTCCAGGCTTACTTCTCCGCAATCCGCTCTAACGAGGTGTCATCGTAGAAACCGAAATCACCAGTGTGGATGATGTGGTCGGCGCGTGCTTGCTTTGCGAGTTCGTTGAGGGAACGGAGATTACCTAATGGTATTAGTACAACCAAAACCCACCAATATAAGGTATGTTTGCCTCTTACCTCGAACGTCAGCTATGCAAAGAACTCGAATAGGGCCAGTCTGGAGGACGCGGCCTTGGTTCGGCAGCAGAGGAGTAGCGCCGGGGGCTGGCTGAATGTTGGTAGCACCGTTGGGCATATAGCCTTGGCTGTTGTAGGGCTGGCGCGGTTGCTGGATGTAGGGGTCAGTCAAGGGGTCTGCAAGTTGGAGTCTAGCATCGCTGCTTCCATGGTGGTATCGCTGCTGGCTGTCTGGGCGCATGCGATTCGAAGGGAAGTCAGGCGGAAGACTGATGTTTCTGTGACCATAGGAACCAGGCGCAGGGCCCATCATGGGAGGAGGCATGTGCGGGCCCATTGGGCCAGTATCAAAGGGAGAGCCCATGATAATGGAGGTGTCTGACAATTGTGCAATTGGCGTAACGTTGACAACTGTGTCAAGGATGAATGGGAGGGTTGGATGGGGAAATGGGCAGTTGCCAGCAAGCTTTGCTGACGATGGCGGATGAGTGGTTTGAATTTCGCGTCTGTTGCCTGGCGAGGTGAAGCTTTCCACAAAGAAACAGACGCCTGGCTCAGGTGTCTAATATAGGATCGAGTCCAAGGGAGAGAGGTGGTGACATACAGCCATGGATCAAGTATGCGCTGCGAAATGAAAGGTGAAGGGAACAATCGAACGAGCGAGTCTTTCGATTCGACTTGGTCTGTTTGTTGTGCTTGGAGGGCGATTGTCGTCGATCGAATCAAACTCGTTCGCAAAATTTCGGAGAACCGCAGGCGCGCGTGGACTTCTTCGACGTGGATATCGTTGTGATTGTCTTGAGCACCGGTCGATAACGTCCGAGGTTCGACAATGTTGGAAGGAGGTAGATTGGGGGGGAGTACTGATGAACTCTTGGGTATCAATTATATGGGAGAAAGAAGGGTTGGATTAAAGATGAAGTCGAGCGGCACGAAAAAATACAGTGCTGGACTTTTTTTTTTTTCTCTACCCTGTAGATGCGGTTATGGACCGAGTTGCAGGAGGAGTGATGGAAGCTGGAGGCGTCTGAAGCTTGTTGGTGCTTGAACCGCTAAGGCTGGGAAGGCAGGCAGCCTGATGAGAGCTGCAAAGCCGCCAGGTGGCGATTGGACAAACGAGAGCAAATCTTCAAGTCCTGCAGCCGACAACACTTGGTTGGCTCCAAACTCGACCAGCTCAAGTCCAGGGGGTAAAAGACCCCAGTTTGGGCAAGCACCTCCAGTCTAGTCCCTAGGCCTCAACTGCCAGGCCTCCTGCCTGTTTTCAATATTCTAATTGCACTAACCATTGATATCCGAATTATGCCGGCACAATGCTCTGCATAAAAGTCGCGACAATTGTAAACCGACCGTGGTGACCAGTCGATTGCCTAATTTTTATACATCAATGCTCATCTATTTCTCTAAATAACTTGACAATGTTTCTAGTGGAAAATGAAATACGTCTTGTGTACAAACTTGACCAGCAGATCCCCAGAATCTGCAGGTTCTTGAGCTATATCTTATAGGCACGTGCCTGTCGAGCAGCATGGGCATACACAACAATGGCAGGTTCCAATTCTCTGGCAGAATGACTGAAATTATTGCAGAAAAATGACCTCTTGAGGACATTCCACAATATGCTTTCTTTTCTTATCGATGCAATCCGGTCATCAATTTGTCTAGAGTGGGGCCGGTTTTTGCCAATGGCTTTCCCTCGTATCATCTATATATGCAACCCATCACTCCCCTATTGTACAATGCTCGGTCATGTTTCCTGTCTATAATTACATGCCAATACGAATACAGATTCCATCCACAGAGTACAGATATTTTACAATTACAGAACTTCGGGCGTGGGATGTCTTATTTGGCATCGAGAGGCTTCATGCCCTTGTGAATAGCGGCAACACCTCCAGTCAGGTTCTCATAGCCGTCACCGCCGACCACGAAACCAGCATCGACAATCATATCCCTAAACTCCTCCTGGGTTGGGAATCGCTCGATACTCTCTACCAGATATTGGTAGCTGTCGCGATCGCCGGTGACCAACTGACCGACAAGAGGAATGCCAGAGAAACTCCAGCGCTTGTAGACGGCATTCAGCAACGGGTTGCCCACCTTGCTGAACTCCAGGCACGCAAACACACCACCGGGTTTCAAGACGCGGTATGCTTCCCTTAGTGCCTGTGGGATGTTGCTGAAGTTTCGGATACCAAAGGCAACCGTGTATAGATCGAAAGAATTCGGCTTGAAAGACTCGGGTAGCACCGTGGCGTCGGCGGGCTGGAAGGAGAGAACAGCCTGCTGAGAGGCAGGTAGCGAAAGAGATCGCTGCTTGCCGACCGCCAACATTGATGTATTTATATCAGAAATAGTGACGCTCACGTCCGGGTTTGCATTGACTTGGTGGGCATGGTGGAGCATGCGGAAGGCGATATCACCAGTACCTCCGGCGACGTCGAGTATGTTCTGCGGTGTAGGCGGGTTGTGAGGGGACAAGCCTGGGTTGAGCGAGCTGACAAAGTGATCCCTGAAACAAGCGCACATTAGATAAGACTTCCAAGAGTCAAGTCATCGAGGTGATACACTTACTTCCATATACGATGCCATCCGAAAGACATTAGATCATTCATCTTGTCGTATGACTCGGCGACGCTGTGGAAAACACCAGCCACGCGCTCCGTCTTTTCTGCCTCTGACAGACCATCTTCAAATCCAAAATGTGTTGTTCTCTCAGACGAGGACGAGGTATTACTATTATTCGTGGCGGGCTTTTGCGCGGCAATCGATGTGCTGAAGGGTTTGGCAGAGCGAACGAAAGAACAGGAACATGAGAGAGAAGGTCGCAAAGTCCGCGTTGCGGCGCGGAAGACAGGTCGAGCCGACATTTTTGCTAGACAGCACACAAGGAATGTCAGTCAGATTCCGTGCCACCGTTCTATTCGTGTACGAGGTCGGTTCGGCTGGTGCAAGCAAAGATCGAGGTCGTGGGTCAGCTGGTACGAAGCCCGATTCTGCAATCGGCTTCCGGAGCTCCCAGAGAAATTTGAGATCGGCCGTTGCAGGGGTAGCCGTTCGGCAGGATTTAGGCCGGGCTGGTGGCGCCAGCAACCCACTAAAGCCCGGGCGAACTTAGCGCATCCCTGGCATCAATGATCATACTCGAGAATGAAGCCGAAGACAAACGTCGAGAGAAATTTCTCGGAATTCAAAAACGCCAATAGATGACAACTTTGCCCTCCCATTCATGACATCATCGGAGCAGATGCATATAGAGTAAAAAAATGGGATTGCCAAAGGATCATTCGCCGGTTTACTAACCTTAGATTGCTGAATCTGACTGCGTCTGCTCCGTTCGCGATCCGAACATCTTCAGCGCAAAACTCTTGGCTGTGGCGCGTGCTCTCCAGACGAGGAAAACAATGAGGGCGAAGAGGAAAATGAGAACGAGGGCAATGGCCACGTTGGGAGCAGTCGACATTGTTGTGAACGATCCAGTTACTAAAGATTGTAGATCTGGTATTTTGTGACGTGGAAGGTCAAAAAATCTGATGCTTTTTTGTGGTGCCTCGATGAGATTTGATCTGGACGATAAAATGTGGTGGACAAGGGACAGGCAACGAGCTGGCGGATGGAAACTTGACTCGAGTTTTCCCTCGATGGGTTGAGTGTTTTGGTGGTACGAATTGCGCTTTTCGTTTCGTACAGCTTTGGGACGTAAACGGACTGCTGCATTGAGCAAATTTTCTCTGATACACAAAGCAAACACAACGATTGAGAAGAATTCTCAGTTGGACTTGCTACATGGACCTCGTTGCTGGTTGCTGGGCGATCGCAATGCCCTAAGCACACATCGTTTCATCACTTTACATTCAACGCGCTGGTCCGCAGTGGTTGGTCAGTAAGCTGTTTTGGAAGATGTACAATTTCCACAATCCAATTAACAGTCAGTAGCACCTGTTGCAAACTTTTCTTGAATTAGATACTTTCCAATATACCATCTTGAACACGGTACAACAAAAGCCGTAGCGTTGGGTACGCGTTGATTCTGGCGGACCACCTAGGACTATAAGGGTCTCTATGAGTCGAGGACTTGTGGAATGCACTTCCACCCGAGAGTATCACGATATGTTTAGAATTGAATGCTACCTAGGTAGACGTCAAGTTTCGGCTGTAGTTCTGCAGCTACTTCTACTTATAAATACGCCTCGCGAACCATTTGAATTCTCGCATCTATCGGATTACAATACACCGATTAATTTGAAATATGCACCGAGGTATTCTATTGCCTAACGTATGAGCCGCATTTGATAATAACTTTCGAAGTTGCAAAAGCCACGGGATTATGTCTCGTGATGGAGTTGACTGATTACGTATGCCAGAGTAAATGCTTTTGTGCTTGTACGGGGAAGAGGAAAGAAACTCGACATGTGGTCTGGCAGGCTGATTCTTTGAGAGCAGACGTATGCAATTTCATAATCTCATCGTGACCTATGGTTTGTACGCAAATACAACTGTTGTCTATTCTACCGTATCACAAGAAACATTTAAATCGTGAAGACGGGTCGTTGTATGAGTCCGGGAGCGGGAGTCGTCTGAAGTTCTATATCTGCTATTCATTTGGTACTGTCAAGGCTCTCGTATAATGATCACTTCCCATATCTAGAATGGTCGCATTGGTCTATTTCATTTCACATGATATTGTCAATAAGCGCCCCGTCAGTGTCACAGATATCAGTAATCTTTCAGTTGGTAGCTAGTATCGTCTGTATTCGTCTATCTACATGCCTCATTACAATCTATCTACATCGTGTATCACATGTGCTTAACCAAATACTTTCGCACTCCATACATCGTCGCGCCCATGTATCCAATTAAACAACCCAATTTTGCGCAGGGGCAAATACGCAAGCAAAATTCCTAGTTCCCAAATAACGCCGATTTCCCATGTGATAATGCCCAAAGATGCTGGATCCCGTAGAGTCCAGATGCCGTAACGCAGAGGAAAAAGAGGAAAAACAGGCCAAGAGTTCCCAAATTCACCGTTTTCTACTCCCGCAAACTGCAAGGAAGTCTCTCATGGCTGTAACAACCCGATCATTCGTATGCAGCGTTCTGTGTCGGATATCGGAGATCCCTCCGTCACCTTTGAGAACGCGCGCTCTGTTTCTGAGGACCCCTGCAAACCGGATAAAAACCACGGCCCAGAATCGACAGCATGCTGAAAGCAAATGCCAAGCAGCGATGCCATCAGTTTGCGAATGCGTCAAACAGTCGGGAGTACAATCATCGCGTGCCGGAGGAGAGGGGAAAAAAATAAAGGGATAAGAATAAGCGTTATACCAGCTCACTTCCGGAGCTGCCAGTACCCGAACTGCTTGACGTGGTGATGCTGCCTTGGGTCCGCACCATGTGTACGAGGCGGTAGATGCCAAATGCAATAAGTGCCAGGACAATGAACAAGACAATGATGATGATGGCAATGACATCGTTTTCCTTCATGATTTCTGAACTTTGACCGCTGCGTCAAACGCGCGGACCTTTTTTCCAACGGCGACTTATGTGCGCACTCGAAATGCTCGAGTTGGTTCTATGGGCAGGGCGAGCAAGATCGACTATGGATCGACTGATCGGCAGGAATGCGGAACCACGACTGGCGGGTGGAGTCTGGGGTAATTGTAATACGTAGATAGCTGGATTGGTGTTCCTTTTTCTACTGTCGTGCTTCAAGTCGGAGCTCGAGTAACTGTGAGGGGATCAATTAGTGACCATAGCCAGGAGAATTATAGCTATTGATTTGGGAAAGAAACGTACATTCTGAGAGACGTTGCGAAGTAAGTGCGAGTATAAGTCGTCGTTTGGCACGATGAATGGAGTGATCTCCACAGGCTAGTCGTGTAGAATGGCGAACCGTGAGAGAGCTGTTAATAATTTTTTAACAAACGATTCTTAAATGTCGCTAACTTCAAGAAAGAGCGGATAGTTGAGATCGAGTCAGAAAATAGATCAATCGTCGTCAAAGATGCGCATGTATGCATTTGCAGCAGTAGGACAGAGGAAGAGAAACACGCCCAAGTGCGACTCACTCAGTACAAATACGAACCGTTGCCCCGCCATTCACCGGCAGTAAATAGCGAGGCTGGATTGAATTTTTTTGGCTGCAAAATGCAAGGCTGGAGAGCTAAAGAGCTTGTGCTGCAGGGGACCTTTGGGACCAGCAGGGGTTGAGCTTCCAGTAGCCATTGCCAATGACGGAGCTCGCGACAGGGGCCCCGTTTTAAGCTAGGCACCTTGTTAGCAGGCTCATCTTTCAGACAGGTGCCACTGGAGCTTCCCAACCTCGTCATATTTCGAAGGTAAGGTAGCCAACACATCACCCACGACTCGCATTTCCGCCTACGGATGAGGATCCACCCTGCTCGTACTTTACGCGTTTGCAAACGGTCACCCACGATGCTGTCGTCTTCTCTGCGTCGCATCATCGTTGCTACGTAGGATTCAATATAAAAGAGCACTATAGGTGAAAGGAAATAAATATTATTCCTTGGTGAGGTTTGAAACACCATTTAAAGCAGAAGCCCATCAAATGCACTAGGTACTCTAGGTATTTTGATGCAGCCTGTCAAGTATGTACCCTCGGTATACGCCTCGTAAACCGCATTTGGCATGACTCCGGAATTTCATTTACACATATCGCAACCTGATTTACTCCTTGGAATTCAAAAAGGAAGAACCTGCGTTTTATAAACGAGGCATTCGTCCTCCTCCAAATGGTGGAAATGTCTCTTCTCAATGCAGCATCACGTAGACTTCTTCTCACCGGGCTGCATGACACGCCTGAACTCCAATGTCAAGGATCGCTGAGGCGTGCTGGGCAACTTCTGCATTGCTCCGAGTCAGCCCTCAATTCAGGGCAACAACGTTTGGTCGATTTCAGTTCATTTCTCCTGTGGACTTGATAATCTTGACGTGTTGTTCGTAGAATTGCAACATCTGTGCAATGGTAAGCCGTAAGTAAGCGTCTTGAGAAATCGCCAAAGAATTTCAGGGAGCCATACCTTCTGGGGACACCGAGAGTATACAATCTTTGTATCGTGCTGAGTCTTCTGTCCGTTTCGCCATGACAGATACACGACCAACTTTCCAGTGTGTTCATCGTGGCAGGCATCAATAGATGCCACATGGTCCTCCCAAGATCCTGCAGGAGGAGTCCATGCCTTTGTGTGGCTTGCCGGTGGACTGCCAGATGCAGGATGTGTGTCGCGCTTGGAGCGCTTGGAGCCATTCGTAGGAGTGCTGGTGGCAGCAGGACGGCCTCGCTTCTTCTTCGTGCCAGCCTGCGAGTCACTGATAATCTTCTCTCGTCCTCCATGTTCTTCGAAATATGCTTCAAGAATGGCAGAAGCATTCTCGCTGGTATCAATTGTTAGCCCCGGCCAGTTGCGCCCGTGATTGTAGCAAAGAAAACACACTTGAGATTGTCTTCGTCCTCCCACGTCTGGTCCTCGGCCTTAGTGTATCCCTCCCACTTGACCTTGAATTTTAATTCGCCCTATTCAATATCAGCACCCGGCAAAAATTCACAGGCAACAATCAAGGCACCATGGTGTTCCTTACCTTGGCGTACACGTGACCGACAATCTTCTCAACGATGAACCTGAGTGTGCTCGCATCAGTCTCGTAGTCCCCACGGCGTGCGGAATGCACGCTCAAGGTGATACCCACTCGTCCTCGTCCAGTTCCTCGTCTTCATCTCCCCCGTCCTTCTCATCGTTTTCGTCTTCATCCATTTTGATATCGCCCGTTACTGGGGCAGGATCCGCATCTTCAAAGTCGTCTTCAATGTCGGTATCCTGTTTCTTGACAATGGGAACCACAACGTCGGTGCCGCCAGCATCGGATGCTTCGTCGTCGCTGATGGCTGGTCGAGTGGTCAGTCGTCGGAAGAAGGACTGCAACATCGTTCTGGATGTGGAAGTAGTAGTAGGAGGAGGAGTAGGAGGAGGAAGAAAAGAGATGTTGGGTATGATATTCAGATAGTAGTGCGCATAAATGAAGGCCGTGCAAAGCCGCAAACAAGTCCAGAAACTGATGCGTGTGGTTGCGCGGGGGAATAACTTCAGGGCAAGGTGTACTTACCCGGAGGCATTGTAAATTGTAGAAGAGGCACAAAGGAGAATCAATCAATCAGTTGAGGTTGACGATGTGCAGGCTGCGCATACGCTGTCGGAATTGCCCAAATGCCCGTTTGGTTGAATCGCGCCGAGGTGTGCGGGCAGCTGCTAGAGTCGCGCGTCGCAAGTCTTCGTAACTTCCTCGTCGCGATTACCTGTGAGTAGGTAGACTGCGGAGTCGTTTTGACGCGACCTGATTGGTGACTGGCCGCAGCCACAACTGCTTGCTCAATCTGCACCGCCACTATCTACTAACCTTAGGTATTTACTTGCACGATTGTATTCATTTTGTGGCTCGTGAGTTCTACATACACAATAGTTCTTTTTCACCCAACACTGAACACTTTGCATCTCTACACTCTGACCTGGATTTATCCAAATCATGCCTCTTGGTGCATTATGATGGCATAATCGACCATTGCCTCACTAGGCTTGGAATGATGATGTCGTTTTCTATCCCATTCTTGTAACAAATCCAGGGCTCCTAATAGTGATGATGCTCAACGCTCCTTAATGGGATAGGCGAGTACCACAGCAGTTCATTATATTGTCTAGAGGTCTTCTCTTTGCTTCTTTGGTGCAACCACCCCCATATGTTTGATATTCTACACAGTACAACTCTTGGTTTTGGCACTTTTGCATTGATCATACGTTGTGATGATCTCAAAACTTGCTTCTCAAAAGTCCTAGATGTGACTTGGTCTCTTCAAACACCTGCGTCAAAATCACATAGTATGCTACTCTTCGGCTCGAAAATCAACTGCCGGTATTCGCCAATTGATAGTGGACAGTTCATCTGGCCCTTGATACAGTAAAGCAAGCCATTGTGCGGCTCGGCCGAGACACATGCCATTGCCGGGCAATCATACATATCTCAAAACTTTTGGGGAGCGCCAAGCTCAGGGCCGAAAGTCTACAAATGCTAAAAAAAAAAAAAAAAAAAATTTTTTTTATTTGGCAATGTCGGCACGCGGAGAGCATGGGGGGACTTTTTAGCTTGCCAAAGCTTGCGCGTGGTAAGAGTTGCCTGCATCGACCGTTTCATTAAAAGTCCCTGCTTAAATGACACGAACATAGCTGAAATGTGCATCCGCTCGTACTGCTGCAGCAGTGCAATTTATCGCACCGTTCGTTCTGCAGGTTGAAAGGGGGAAGACACATTTCGGATGTCGCGAATTTGCTGACAGATTCTGGACATGTACGTACATTCAGTTCTACCGAAAGCCACTCGGCAGAAGTAGGTACGGGCTCGAGGGCCGGTGAGCTTTCCCCTGAGTCCTAATCAGACAGAATGCCTCCACAGCCATTGCACAATAAACCAAATGATACCAGAGAGATATTTGTCACAGACAAGCGAGAGCGAGAAAAAAAAAATTGAAAATGCCGAGAACACATGGCTTGTGGGGTTTGAGACAATGTTGACCCCCCCAATTAAGCAGAACTGGGAATGTCTTTTTGAGACACGGTGGTGATGATGATTATCCGGGACACATGGGCATTGATTGTAAACTTTGTATGTGCATACACCTCATTCACTTGCAGCGAATGCAGATGGAAAGCATGTTTCAAATTGTGTGGCCCTACAAGGCGACATTGGGATAAGTGGTCATTTGTTTTGTATCTCACATACTTGACGCCGATATATCGATTGGATGACGGGCGCCGACTGCCTCTTCACCAGCCCTGGTGGCCGGCGACCGCATCTGCAAGTTACACGCTGTCCAGACTCGAGACCTACGACTGACTGCCTGTCATTCACTCTCACCAATTCATCTAGGCCGAATCATTGATGCATAGGACCCCTTTTGAAAAAAGAAGAGATTGTTTGATACAATCACACACCAAACAATTCAGAAGAGGGAAGGCTGCTTGTCCTCTCCGAAGGTAATAACGTACGTACTTAGTAGTAGTAGTAGTAGTTGTTAATAGCAAAAGCCCCTGAGAGCTGGCTGGGGTCTTGATCCGCCTCACCCGTTCCCTGCGCTGGAGCTTGGCGCCAATCAAGGGCCTGCGGGTAGAGCTGGCTAGGTCCGCGGCCGATCAGTCTGGGCGCTAGCGACGGTGCAGCCAATGACGGAAGCTAGGCCCCCGTCTCAAAGGCAAGGTAAGGCAAAGGCATGGTCCAGGGTAGAGTACGTGCGTGTCCACGGGGAAGCCAGAAGGAAAACCTTTCATCGCAAGCTCGTATGTGTGAATTAATACCAGACCGAAGGGCGGAGGGGAGGGGGAGGGAAAGGAAAGGGAGGAGAGGAGCAGCATCACAAAAGGAACGTGATCGAGGACAGGTCACAAGCAGCACAACGAAAGCATCATTATACACCTGTATTCTTAAAGATTACATACCGTCACAGCTTCTTCCCAAGATCATTTGATGATTGCTGGTCACAGAAGTTACGATCAGGCCGATCGATCGCTTCATCAGAGGTCCCCATTCACGCAGCTACCTACGTAAACGAGCATCTGCTACTGCAGTAATAGGAAAACGATAAATAGGAGGACTGTCTCGGTGTGGTTTGGTGCTCTCGTTTTTTCATTGACACATAACACATACATACATACCTGCCTACTACCTACACAGCTCGGAGCGGTAGGAATTTCGTTGGGCGGCACCAACCTGGTCAAAGTAGTACCTCGCTTGGCATACATCAATACACACCACATACTACATAAAAACCTACGTACATTCAAGTACATTTGTTGATTTCTACGTTCCATATTCAGAAACGAACCTGGCCAGACACATATTTTGATCTGGGATTATTATTTTAGCGTTGAACCCTGATCTCCCTCTCTCTTTTTCTCCCCCCCTCCCCCCTCGTCTTTCCTACATGTTAGTTACCTACCATGGTACGTGACCTTTATTAACTCGTTACGAGGTGAGAAGACAGCGCAGAAATAATTGGCAAGAAAAAAAAAAGACTAGGTCGTCTCGCTGCAACCCTCATACTCTCGCTCGCTTCTTTTTTTTTTATCGTTTTCTTCACCTCTTCTTCCTTTTTTTCTTTCCCCTTCCACTGGGCGCTAGTTAGTATTGGTAGGACGAGTAGGTGGTGAGGAGATACACGACATCCCGGAAGTAGGAATCACCAGACATTCGTTCTCCTTTTTTTTTTTTCCCTCTTCCTCGTCCCCAAAGCAAGACGCGTCACCCCATCGCGGCTACAAACAAGTCCTCTGCAGCAGCTTGTTGGCCGCAACCTGTCCCCCCCTTTGCCCTCTCTCGGTCAATAATTTGCCGGTAGTCGACATAAGCTCAGAATTCTAGGCGCAGCTTTTCTGAGAGCTTAAGACGACACCTGCGCTGTTCCACGTCGCTGTTGGAACAACTGGTACCTACCTGTTGCCTTACATATCTACCTGTTGTACCGACTGTACAGAGTACAGCACTACCTACATACATACCTACATTACCTTTTATTGAGACCTGACGGCGCTCGAGCTGCGGGCACGGAGCTTGAGCTTGTAGTTCAACTTTCCTCGCCCAAACTGTGATCCTGGCACTAGCTCCGCCGTTAGTGCTAAATGTAAGCTGCAAGCCCCTGGATCTTCTTTCCCAGTCCCCGACCAAAGAAAAAAAAGTGTCCAGCTCTTGTCGAGACACTTTAACGAGGCACAAGACACACACCCTTCGAATCACTTTGCCGACCAGAAACAGCTCTGCAGGAAGTGGTCGTGGACCTCCGCGTCTGCGCCTGCCATCCTTCGAGGCTTGATCAATGTCTTGTCGTTATACTCGACCTTGCCAATAATCAAACAACTGCTTGCTGTCGACCACTGAAGCAGCGTGCCTGTTGTCTACTACCTAGTGTACTCTACCAAACCACGTCCTCGATCGAGCCACCGACCCGAGGCCTTGAGAAGCGTGCATACAAGCACCCAATCGTACGAGAGCGTATATTCTAACGGGGGACTTATACGGTCATCAGTCTACAACACCACTATTATATACCTTTCGTCCTGCCGAATACTTTTTTCTTGGCTTCAGCAGCCATGTCTGACGCCGGTGGCAATGCGGCCAGTGCCGAGTCTCCTGGTGCAGCCAAGGCGCACGCTCCCAAGGACCGCAACTGCCCATACTGCGGCCAGGCTTTCACTTCTTCCTCTCTAGGAAGACACTTGGATCTATATATCAAGGAGAAGAACCCAAAGCCCGCGGATGGCGTTCACGATGTTGATGCTATTCGCAAGATGCGCTCTGGAATCACTAGAAGACAGCCCAGAGGGTCTCTGGCTGCTCGCCGCGATGCATCTACTCCTGGCACCCCGACAGGCTCGACCACTGCCAGAAGAAGCCCTGACGCACGGAACCAATCCTCTGTGCCCAAGGATGGACAGTTCATGGTAGACCAATCACCCGTCTATCCCTGGCAACAGCCTAGCTGGGAGGCTACTGGTGTTATCAATGATATTCCGAGTAAAAATGGGGACTCATCCGCCGGCTGGGACGAGAGCACAGAGTCGACTAGACAGTCTGGGGCACAGCAGCAGCGGAATGCCAGCAGAATGCTCCAGAAACAACAACTCGACGCGAGACAGAAGTTGACGGACGCCATGGACACGGCAAGGGCTGCTGAGCTCGCACTCAGAGAGATACTAGGCTCCTGGAGAGCAGCCAAGTGAGTAGAGTGCCCGACCTGGTTTACTAGACTAGAACTGACTCTATTTCCAAAGGCAACAAATCGATATAAACTCTCTTCCGTTCGACTTTGACCCACTGTCTCTCGACTTTCCTGCACTCACACTTCAGTGTCTGCAACCTCCTCCTACATTGTTCTCGTCAACACCATTCCCCACGTCTTCTTCATGGTCCATACAACCTCCTGCCAAGAAACAGCATGATGCATTGGTTGCTTACTTTCAAGAGGAGTTCAAGAAATGGAGACATACCTGTGCTGCTGCTACAACAGCCGCACACGAAGACCTGAGCTATCCTCCATTGAAGAATCACTCGCCAACTGTCGACTTGCGGGAAAGTGTTCAGAAAGCAGAACAGGTCGCTGGCAACCTCGAGAAGCAGGTGAACGAGCACCTGCAGTCCACGTATGCTGTATGGGAATCGCTCCCCGCATCCCGCCAACAGGAGTTGTGGATTTTGGAACTGGCCAGAAGTGTTGGTCGGAGACAAAAAGACAACGAGAAGTTGAAGCAAAGTCAACACTCGCTCAAACAGGAAAGCATCAACCTGCAGTCCCAAATCGATCAGCTCAACCGTCTGCAACAGCCAAGGGAGTTCAGAATTATGCCGCCAGCCACAATACCTTTCGACCAAGCTTTTGTTGCCCATGTCCTGCATCAGGGGCTCGAGGCGGGTCACAGTGGAGGTATTGGTTTCAACTTCAACGATCGTCACGTTGATACTATAGAGGTTGTCCAACGAGCCATCGAGCGATGGAAAAACGTGATTATTTCGTCAAGGTCAACAGGCATGAGCTCTCAACGCGCTCTGGATCAGACAACAGCCACTCCTCAGGCTGCTGCCACATCAGGATCTTCGGCTTCCTCCGGCCCTAACACGACCACATTGGCTCCAGCTCCGAATGCTGCAACGCAGGCTCGATCCGCGTCGGCCCAGCAGTCGCAGCAGCCCGTACGCCAACCGTCTACGTCCACTAATAATGGTTCATCGAGTGATGCGCGACCAGGAACGACTGCCCCTGCTTCGACTACAACCGCCAACGACGAAGGTAGCGATGAAGATGCAGATGCCGAGATGGAAGATGATGAAAGCTTCGCGCCTGTTAACGCAACAGCTGTTGCTGCCGCTAAACCCGTTGCCCAACAGTCATTACAGAAGCTACAGATCCCACGTACGCGGGAAAATGCCCAGCGTAACAACGCACAATTCGCCATGAATGGCGCAGGGTCTATGAATCCGAATCAGAGGGTCAATATGGGTCGGCCTATGGCAAACATGAACGCAGGTGGGATACAACAAGCTCAGAATCAGCAGAGGGCCCAGCAGGCGGCTATCAAGAACGACTACGGAACTGCTGTACAAGGTATGGGCAACGGAGATCCCATGTACATGGGAGAAGGTTAGCTAGGTACTTGGTCTCCTGGATGTATGCGAATGGTTTCAATGGCGTAGGCTTTCAGGGGAAAAAATTTAGGGGGTTTCGGGAATCAAAAACCCAGTATTTTGTCGCATAGCGTCGTCTTATGTACTCGCCTTTGCATTTCGTGTTATAGGATGCATGCAAGCTTGCTTGCTCGCGGTGCTCTAGTAAATAGACACCTTTGTAGGTATGATTAGACCTTGTGGGCATGTCAGTCAGCCAAATGGCACATTTTCAACGTAGTTGGTTGGACGGCCCCCTTGGTGTATATCAACTCGAATGTGGACTATCCACTGCCATGTACTTTCCTTGCCCTCGAGTAGAGTAAATGTGCCCTTGATCAGATTTTTGGCTCCCAAGGGCAAAAGAACATGTAAACATGATGAACGCAATCCTAATAGAACGCACCAAGACTTCCGTGGGATGCTGCCTTGTCTTATCATCAACGTGTCGTCTCTATAAAGCTTTCATGACCGTATCGGCAAGCACACCTGGCTTATCACGATACATACTTGGTACTAGTAAAAAAACAAATATATTCTTCCATGCACTGCCATAGACCAAGATTCTCTGCTCCTTGACAGGATACACGTGTAAAGAGCAGGAACGTGAGGCAGTAGTGGATATCTGTACTCATTCGTTGTTTAACTGCTTTCTTCTTTCTGCTTTCGATTTATATACATCTCTGATCACGAGAGTCTATTGCCTCCTCGTCAGAAATATTAACATGCGCTGCGCATGGCGTTGCCGTCCCTGATAAGTGTGCCTAGGTATTCAGCCATTGGCTAAACTCGTGCAACCGATCCAAAACTCCATGCGATGCGTGTACTTTTGGCATGGGCCGAGCATTTGGAAAATGAATAAAAAGAGAAAATGAATCTCTACCCCAAACTTGCCAGGCACAAACGTCGTGTGCGCGCGTGCCCCTTCCAGAACGCCAGTTTCCGTGTATTTTAGTATACCCTCCCATACAATGTGATGCGTGCCTCGCACACCACGAAGCATAAAAGAAATTCGTTCAAATTGGAATTCGTCGACAATCAATAACTCCTCAACTGACTTGGCGGTGGCTCAACTTTGTGCCCTTTGGGCCACCCCAAGGCATCATCCTGGAGACAAGTGTCACGAACCATTATTGGACTCTCCCTACGTTGTTGCGCTTGGTTCGTCGGACGAAGATCGACTTCCAAACCAACCACCGCGTTCCCATTGTCCAGGAACATAAAGGCAACCATCTCGCGTATCATCTTTTGTGATGCCGTCAAGCAGAATATGGAGTCTTTTAAAATCGATGGGTTTTAGGATCCAGCCATCAAACCCAGCTTCGACGTAGACTCTCTTGTCCTTCTCAACGAGAGAAGCGGATACAGCGAAAATGGGCACTCTTCCTTGATGCTGTGCTAAAGGAGACAGTTCTGTGCACGCATCGGACTTTTCGAATGCTCTGATCAACTTGGTACTTCCGAGACCATCCACGATTGGCATCTGACAATCTGCTTAGCAATAGTCTTGAAGGACAGGCCGAAAAGGGAGAAGTCCTGCAAACAGCTTATGAAGGAAAAGTTGCGTGACGTACCTGCATGTCCATGAGAACGACATCAAATTCCTGGGGTCGTTCAGTGAACACAGCTGCGCAATCTTCGCCGTTCATGGCGTGAACTACGGTATGACCAGTTTTCTCCAAGCGCTTTCTGAGAATCTTCATATTGACTGGGTCATCCTCAGCGATGAGAACCCTAAGCTTTCTAAAATCGTCAGGCACAGATGGGTTTGATGGATTTGACGAAGCTTGGGAAGCAATTGGTACAGAGGATGCTGGGTTTTCTCGGTTGGGTATCTCGAACAAAACTCCGGAAGCCTGTCCTGTTTGGCCTGTCGGTGGTGCGTCTTTAAAGTCATCAGGCACCTTGACGGGCCGGACTGGAGTTTTCGAATCCTTGACAAAAGCCATGCCTGATGCATACTTGGCAGTTTCCCCAACGGGTGAAGTGGTCGATCGATGTGGAGAAGGACGCTCTGGATGCTTCTCATCCTTTGTAAACGGGAGTGGTCTGCCGCTATTCACGGAGTTGCGGTGGCTATGACCGTGGCCTCCCCGTTGAATGCCTGGATTCTCGCCTTCCGATCCCTCTCCATATGGTAGCGGAGTTGAAAGAGCGTCGATGAGTCGATCCGCGTCGCTCATGTTGCTGTTCCCACTACCCTTGCTGGTCGCACTTTTGAGGCTCGGGATGCTCTGAATGCTTCCGGCATCATCAAAGCTCCGACGTTCCCTAAGGGACGCGTTGGATAAAGAATGTGTGGGATGGCTCGTGAGGGTGAGTTCGCCGTCCTCGGCTGGCGGCAGAGTCTTTGTGACAGATGCCATACTTGATTGATTGGTTGACGGCTTGGGGGTACTGTCGCTGGTGGTCGCTGGTTGAGGTGGCTCGGCCGGGCTTGGGAGCTCAAATGGCAACTGGATCACAAACCGTGTACCAACGCCTTCTTCCGATTTGAGCCGCAGCTGGCCATCCATATTGCGAACAATTCTTGCAACAACGGCCAGGCCGAGGCCCAGGGCGCGATCGCTTGCAGTTGGGTCAACATCATCGAGAGAGTCGTCCGTACTGACCTGCTCAAGCTCTTGGAACAGGGCGTCCAGCTTCGCGTTATTCATGCCTTTCCCAGTATCCTGAACCACGATCTCAATTTTCACCCTGGAACCAACTACTTCTGTCACAAAACATTCAATCCTGACCGAACCCTCTTTCGTATGTTCGACAGCGTTTGCCGTCAAGTTGGCAATAGCTTGTCGTACTCGCCGGTTGTCACCATGGACGTGTAGAGGCAAACCGGGATGTTCGATAACTTCGTATTCGATGCCCTTTCTCTTGGCATCTATCTTGAATGGGTCGGTAGCTTCCTTCAAGCAAGCCCGGAAATCAATGATTTCGTCTTTGATGAGATCTTGACCCTCCTCCGTCATGGTCAAGTCCAACAAATCGTTGATGACGTAAATCAAAGATTTGGAAGCAGAATGCGACTTTGCAAGGTTGTCGCGTGTCTCTTGGTCGAGGCTGCCTTCGAGAGCAATCTCCAGATAATTGATGATTGCGTTGAGCGGTGTGCGTACTTCGTGTGCCGAATTTGCGAGGAGCAGTTTCGTGAGACGGCTGTTCTGCAGCGCCGCCTCCTTTTGCCTCCAGACCTCGATGAATTTACCTTTGAAGTCATTAGTAGCTGCAGTAGAAGAACGATTTTACCGTGTGTTACGCCAAGAAGATATTTACCGTAAACCAAGCAAAGCACAGCTGCCGTCTCCACTTGTTCTTCAGACCACTCCCTGCATTTGCCAATGACTGTTTCGTGCCATACTTGGAAACTCGTGCGTGGCTCCAAGTACTCGGATGTGCCATCCTTAATTACCTTTTCGTACGGGTTGCCTGCCCATTTGACCTCCTTGATCTGGCCTTTTCGGAAAAAGACGATGAAGTCATGGCCGCGAACGCTGAGAGGCACATACAACATGCCGGCAATGACGGAAAAGCCAGGGGGGTAGCGAAGATCGTGGAAATCTGCACAGATATCCTGCGTGGTCACGACCGACGTGAACTTTTTGACCCGTAGATATTCGAGCATGGCAAGAGCCTCTTGTGAACGCTCTAGCTTTCCCAGTATCTTGGTCTCGCCACGTATGGAGAGCATGCCGAAATCAGCATCGAATAGTTTGAGGAGGTCGTCTGACGAGGCAATGATGTATCCAGAAGGGTTCTTGTCGGTGGGAACAGTATTGATCAGCTTTCTTGCCTGCAAGCGAGAGGCGTACGAGAGCCGTTCAATATTCCTCGAAGCAGTGTCACCAATTAATCTGCACATTTTTCGGATTGGGAAAGCAACCCGCATACCTCTGGGTCCATATGAGTGACAAGCAATCAAACCCCAGAGCTCGTTGAAGGCATTGATCGAGATGGACATGGAAGCCCGCACGGCCATGTTGCCAAGGTACTTTAGATGTATTGGTGACATGGCGCGGAGATACGAGTGGGTGAGGTTCAATGGATTCTCCATGTCTGCCTGCGACCGACACACCAGCCGTGCGGATTCTAGATCTCTATCGTACAGTAGCCGCACTTTGTTGATCTTGTAGAGCTCGCGGGCTTGTCGGGGAATGTCGGAAGCTGGAAAATGGAGTCCTTTGTAGAGGTCTCGCGTCTGTGTAGGGTCAACCAGCTCAGTGACGACCTTTCCGTTGTAAGAAGAGTCGAATTGGTAAATCATAACTCTGTGAAAGCCAGTCAACTCCTTCACTATACCCACTAGAATTTTCAAGAACTTGTCCAAGGTTGGCGCTGATGCGAGTTGCTCTTGGACTTGGGACATGATGTCGAAGACTTGCATGGCACCAGCTTCTCCGCGCTTCTTTCTGGCGCTACGAAGGACCCTGAGAGGCTTGCTACTAATCTCTGTGCTCTCATTGAACTCTTCCAAAGTGGGCGTCTGATACAGGGTATCCTCGGGAGCTGGCGGCGTCATTTCGTCCATTGGGCGCAATGGGTGTTCATGGTCATCCTCCAACTCAAACTCGCAGATGATTAAATCAGGCTGTGCGGAGTTGATGTGCATCGCGCACCATAACTTGACGCTCTTCTCCTTGGGAGGGCGTAGAGACACGCTAAAGACCTCGGGGCCGTTGGTAGCAACATCGGCGTCTTCATCTCGGATGAAGTCAATATGGTCTAGAATATTGTCGGCCTGTTCTTCGGAAAATATGTCCAGGAAACTACCGAGTTTGAAAAGCTGCTGTGGAGAATAGCCGATGACTTGCGCTGAGTTTTCGCTGGCAACGTGGACAGCGAAGTGGCCATCGCTGTCTTCCTTGATGGCAATCAATAAACCAAAGGCCTGCACTGCTCCGGGCGTGTGAATAGGTTCGTCCTCACACCTCTGCAGTGTACCATCCCTGCCCGTGATGACATAATGACCTTCCTCAGTTTGAACGTGTCTGAAACGAGGGGCATAGAGCTGCTCGTTGACATCGCGATCACCCGAATCCTGGCTGGCACCTTCCACGCTTGAAGGAGCAGCCTCGTTGGCATTATCGGAACCGCCATCGGAGGAACTATCAGTGAATATTGGCAGAGGTTGTGCGTCACTGATAGGGCTTCCAATAGACCCTGACAGCGTGCCCTTCCGTTTCGCCGTCGAGGGGACTGAGCCGTTGCGATCTTGCGCAGGGAAAGTCTCGGACCGCTTTATACTCTCCAACTCAGCACGTGCGTTGCTAGAACGTTGCCGAACGTTGCTGCTCATAGACTCGAAGCGAGGAAAGTATTCATGCTCGCCCGAGCTGCGAGACCAGGGGGTCGACTGCGACTGGTCGACATTGACCATGGAGCGTATGGGGAAAACACGGTCAGCTGGATCGGCCATGCTGCTAGCGCTTCCATGACCGAGTTGGCGGTCTGAGGACGCACTCCATGATGATGCGGTGTCGTCGGCTGGTTGCAGGGCGGCCGGCGCTGTACCGTCAATGTCCATGCCGATATTAGGATCGATCGCAGCGGGCGGAAGTGATATAGGTTTCTTAAATGCAGGCGGTGTAACGTCATCCTCGTCATCGAACTCTGTGGACGCCGGGGCAACGGGACCTGTATATGTCCGGCCGCTTCCACTACCACTGTTGTCACTGTTGCCACTTCCGGCGCCGCTTCTTGGGGATAATGGTGAGGAAGGCTGCCGCGTTATTTCTTGATGTTGGTCATCCTGCTGCTCGCCAGATGCTTGCTGAGGGCCCGAAGCATCGGTATGTAGCTGATGCTCGTCCATGTCGAGGTGGGCAGAGAGGCGAGACCTAGAAGTCTCTGATCAGGTCGGCAGCAGTGTATAGAGCGAGAGCTTAACCAAGCCAGATGGGGTTCAAGATGGACAAGTTCGCCAGCCGAGTATGCTCTGATCTGCTCTGCTCTGCTCAACTCTGCGACACAGACCCCCGGGTTGGGGAATTTGAGGGCGCAGTGGATCGCTTATGGGGTGCGAGGTTGAGCACTTATGGGTATGGGTTGAATTAAAGTTGCAGGTAGCAGCAGGTCGCAGATTTGTTGTATGTACTGGATGGAGGGAGGAGGCCCGCTGGGGGGGCAGAATGCACTTTCGGCACTCGATTGGGTAGGCGGGAACGTTGTCCACCAAAAGGCCAGAAGCAGCCGGGAGGATCGAATCGAGACTCAGACTGGACTGACTGGGTCGCCCGAAGTTGGAGGGGAGTGGTTTTCCCAAGGCTCGCACCAAAGAGCCGGGGTCAGTCAGTGAATCGGTCAGTCTGTCAGTCTGTCACCTGGAAGTATCCGTACAGAACCACCTTACAAGGACAGGATGATAGGATAGGTGGGGGTAAAAGAAAACGAGGGTATGTGCAGGGCAGGGCAAGGCAGAGAGAGGATAGTCGATGTCATCGAGCATTTGGTGGTTCTCTGGTCTCAAGCCAGTGCACGCTCTCCGTGCTTGGCTGCTGGAGATGTGTAGGTTGGTAGTAGGTACTGGTAGTGTATTCTAGTACCTGGCCTGCCTGGTTGCTGCTGGGTATTGAAGGGTGAGTAATAAAACGCCAGTTCAGAATCGTGGTTCAGCCGCTTCATGGAGTGTTCGGTGCGAGTACTGTTTTTTTCTTTTCTTCCCTGCATGCTATTTCCAAGGTTGATCGAAAATTCGATGTACAGTCCACTCCAACCCAATCCTGGCAGATGCGTATGTACGTACAATAGATGCTTGCGGCAGTGATGGTCGTGCTCAGGTGCATCAATATGGGGTCGTGGGACCACCCCCTTGCAACAGGATCGAATCGCAACGAACGGGCAAGAAAACTGGCGGGGAAGAGATACAAATGGGCTGGGCCATGGGTGGGCAGGCAGACAGGCAAAAGATGAACAGACAAATGTGCGATTTGTAGGTGAATAGACGCTACTACATGCTAAGATTAGGGGGTCAACAGCCGCTGCTCACGGGTACAACCAAGCAAAGCGCAGAATCTGGGAACGGAATACTCTCCGATGAGGAGGTAGGTTGTGCTAGCAAACTTGGAGACTACCGGGGTGTTTTATTTTTTTTTGTGGTTCTTGTTTTTTTTTTTCTTATGGGTGACAGGCGAGGCAGGGTCGAATTGGTTCTAGGTGGTGGTAGCTGCTGAATCTAGTCCTGTACCGACCCAAGCTGCCATGACTATGTAGCAAGCTAGGTTAGCTGCTTGTGGCGATCCCCCAAGACTCAAAAGTGGCACCGGCCAACTGCCACCCTAGTAAGAGCTGGGCTTAGGCTGGGCCTCGAGTGGGAGGCGGGTAATAAGGGCAAGGGCGGCCCATGACACGGGGATCGTAGCTCTCGTTTGCTTGTTGGTTTGCCCGTTCTTTGCATATCCATGGGCATCTTTTTCAGTGGAGTCATAAAGTCCATGCTTCCCTTTTCTTGCGTGGCTCTGAATTATTATTATGTAGCGGCCTGTCTCCAAGCTTTCTGGCCCTGCGCGCCTTGAAGTCCCGACTCAACTCCCCCAAAAAGCCCCCAAGCAAGTCCCCTGGAACCCCTCCATCGTGGTAGCGGCCCAGACGTGGCCACTGCCCGAACACGAATCCCCGTCACGTCGTCCCAGGACCCTTCTGCAAAGGAAAAATTACTCGAGGAGAAAAAAAAAAAGGAAAAATGAGAAGAAAAAGAAAAGAAAGGTCGTGCTGACCTGCTCTGCACTGTGATTACCATCTGTACGTATTGCGCCGCCTTGGACTGACTGGCAAGTTTACGACTGTAAATTGTACGAAGTATGTACATGCCCACTCCACTTCTTGTCTCATGCAGATGGGCTTTCGAGTAGTGCTGTACTTTTCCTTCTGGCTGTTGGGAGAGCCCCGTAGAAGGGATCAGGCTTGTCATCTTTGCATTCTGGTACTGCACTGCAACTACACATCAAGGTAGGTGGTATGCACTGCCGCACGAAACTAAATACGACTATAGTATGAGATGTGTTTCTATCTTCTCTGTAATACATTCCTGGCTTCCATGTAAGCAACTCGTCATATGGTCATACGTGGTTGTGCTGTCCAGAATACCGAGTTCAACGTCTGTAGTTTTGTACCCAAAGAAATGCCCGCCCATGTACAGAAATTGCGAGTCTTGATCTGCGCAAGCACAAGAGTCTACCTTGTATACTACAAACCACATGCAGCCCGACAAAATCCCCAAAGCGCTTGCTGGCCCGTATATTCAATTTAACGTGCCTTTCCGGCCTGTCTGTTGCCCATATGGCCATTGTACAAAAGCGTGGCTTGCATGTATTGATTGTGTGCCCCAGATGAAGCTGGATCTGCTTACCAGGCGTGTGGTAGACGGGTTTTGCGGCTATAGTCTTGAACAATCCTTTCATTGGAAGCCCACCGGTGCTGTACCCGTTTCATGCTACCTCCATATAACTGACTCGAGCAGATTAACTACACAGAACTCACCTTGGTTGGGTATGTGAGTACTTGATTGACTCCCGCCTGCGTACCTATATTACATGTACCGTTTCTGCCATGACTGCCTTGCGCCGAGCATGGACGTGTGTCTGTACAGAGTAATTTCCGAAGACTCGCATATGGTGCTTGTGCGTGTTTTGCTTCTCGTCGTGGCATATTATGTCATTGTTGTACTTCTGATGATGCATGTAGAGGTCTTCCGGGGAGGATAGCGGATGTACGCGGAAGCATGTTGAACATACGGATACAGCATCAGTGACCGCTCAGAGCTCTTTGCAGCGATAGCATGCGGCTTGGTGTTTTTCTGGATAAATGTTCAGTCCCCATAGAAAACAAGACAATCCATGGTTCTTGCCAATTATCGAAAATAAAAAAGGCGGTCATTGTGAGAGAACTGTGGATTGTGAAATATGATATCTTTAAAGGACAGGTCTGATTCGTGTGATAGTATGCCTGTATACTTCTTGTTCTGGATCCATCTGAAAACCTGAAGAAGGTACCTGCCATGAGCCACGAGCAGGACCCAAAGGCTTGGGAGTATCCATTTGTTGAGCTAGTAAAGACGTATATGATTAGCACGGCAAAGTTTGAAGCCACGAGCGTGACCGCTCGTCCTTGAGATTGATATGTTGGGACGATGATCTTTTGTCTCTCTCTCTGTTTCGTGACAGTACTCTGTAGAGACCCAATCTAGGAGCTACCTCTTAGGTTTGTTGGCCAGGTACATTGGTTGCATCCGCCGCCTAGCCGCGCCGTTAACATATCCGAGCAACTTGCATATTCCGTGCAGTAAGTCGGTCTGTTTTCTCGGTGCGCCACTTGGCGTCCTCATTTTTCTTATTCTTCTTTTTCTCTTTCATTCGGCAGCTGCACACCCAACTCGATTCGTACATATTTTCACCTTCAGGGAAAAAAGAAAAGAAAACCTGAAGACAACAAAGGTGAAGAAGGAAAAAGAAATCAAGAAAGCACGTGTCATTTCTTTCTTCAGGTACACGGCCGAAAACGGCTGTCTTCGGCACCGAGCCTACCAATCTCACTCATACTCTTAGGTGGACGTGATTTGGTTGAGGGGGACAGCATTCTGGTCATACGATTTCCTAGCGTGTGAGCTGGTTGGCAAGACAAGCAGTGCAGGTACCTACTGAGGTGGTGGTTGTCACAACACCTGCCCTGCGACGTGCTTGTTGTATGTTTTCTAGTAAGGAGGAAAGAGGGAAATAGTCTATGGTACGATGAACCCATTCCCATCAACTCACGGTGAAAGGGCATTTTAATGAGGTGGCCGGGAATAGCAGAGAAAATCGGGGGAGGGAAAAAAAAAAAAAAAAAAAGAACAAAAAGACGCTGGCACTTGCTAGTAGCAAGTGGTAGGAAACATCCCAGCAATTTGCGCGACAGAAGCCAACGCTTGACACTACATTGCTACCGAGACTACTATGTAGTACTTGGGTACATGAGTAGGTGGTAGGCGAGGTGAGGCGAGGGATCTGGATTGGTTTATCTCCTCAGTCCCCTGTCCCATGTGCCCCTCGGTGGTGTGTGTGGATGTTTGCATCGAGATTTCTGCATGGCCAAAATAATGGGAAAATCTCTATGGTCCTATGCGAAATCCGATGCATTCTCCCATATCCTGCTTTTTTTTGCGGTATGGAAGTCATGCCTGTTCAGGGCAAAGATCGACGTTGCGAAAGAGGGGCAAGGGAGATACAGTAGTCTGGAGCTTGCGAGAAAGGCCCAAGGATTTCCTGCGGATTTTCAAACAAAAAGCCCCACAATGCATGGAGAGACACCAAAGAGAATTTGCTTCGACTGGCTGTTATGTGCCCATACCAAGCGTACTGCTGGCACTGCTGACACTGCACTTTTGGGCCGCGCAACCCGACACATTTCACTGAAGAGCGATTCTGGCATCTACGTATCCTCCTAGTATCTATCTGCTTTTCACCGTCACGGTTGCGTCAATTTGGTAGAGAATCAACCGCTAGCAATCTCGGGTCAGAAAACGTGATACGGCGGTGGTCATTGGTCACAAAACATGAGTCGAAAATAGAGTGTTATCTGCAGATGGGCTTAATGGCACATGTTCGAATTTCTTATACTGCGGCTGCGGCCTGCACATGAAAATCAAAACTCATGAATTGCAACATTCGATAATGGCGAAGAACTCCTGTACATGGCTAGACGGCTGTCTAGGATGCCCTACGTCTAATCCCTTTATGAGGCATGATTTGCATTACAGGATTGCTATCTTGAATACTAGAGACAAAACATCAGGACCCTTCCAAGCAGCCAACTGCCAAGTTCCTATGAGGCTCGTTCCGAGCCTGGCCTCCACTAAAGCCAGTGGTTGACAAGTACCAGTCCTTCAAGCGACAACGGTGAAAACCCGACCCAGACAACCAGACAGGAGCGGAAGCTCCTTTTTAATCAACTAAGATCAACAAGTGCTCAAAACTAAAAATCTGGACTGGATTTAGGCCTCGAATAGCAACGTTCAATCGTTTATTTAGGTAATTGTCTGTTGTGTACTGTTCCACGTACAGACTCGCTAGGGAATACATTGTACCACAGGGGTCACGCCCGGCTGTCCCATCCGTCGCCGATCTTTGTCAACCCGGAGAGGATCGGCACCGCAACGGTACAAAGTTATTGCACATGAAGCTAGAAGCAAACATGGCGTCGTCCTTCTGCCCGGGAAGATTGCCAAATGTCGAAATTTAGGCCATGGTACGATATACTGTTGTGGCAATAAGAAATATGTATGTAGGGCTTTTCTGCAATTTCTGATCATGCACCCTTTTTTTTTTTCTTCTCCCCTCCTCCCCATGTTTGTTTGATTCAAAAAAAATTTTTCTTTTTCTTCACCTGCTATCCACGTTTGCGTGGCGTGATTCTCCAGCCTATGAATACACGCTGCATTCAACATACATGCTTGCGTATGACGTAGTTTTGCCAATTCCTGAGGAGACTTGTCTTGGATCTGGTGCCTCACATGGCCTGTGTGGATTACACTATTTTGTCTATCCTGCCTATCAAGCCATGGACCGGAGATATCACGGGCTATGTTATGGCCCGTGCCCCAAAAAAAAAAACCACCAACCTTGAGTGAGCTGGAGGCTTGTGAGCCGCTCACACCCTGGCAACACTCTCGGCCCACAGCGATGACTTGTAATATGCTTTTTCTGAGTTTTGGCTGATTTCAATGGGAAGAATTAGGTATTTCTAAGCGCCCGCCTTGGAATGAGTCTCGATTCTCAACCTGACTTGTAGATAAATGACGTAGGCATCGCATATAGAACAATATAGATGCATTTTGACAAATCCCACTTGATGATACTGGGGAGTCAGTTCAGCAGCCGATGGTAAAAGTATCGACCTCCCATTTAGCCTTAGTCGTCAGGCTGTATACTCCCGCCGACGACCATTATTGGCTGAATATAGTATATGATCTCGCATCAGCTTGCAAAAATTCCGATTGAATTCACAAGTGCATAATACAAAAATAGTCATTTCAGCCTTATAGTCTACTAATAATACAGCCCCAGTAATAATAGCTGCCTCTACACAGACATTACTATCAAACGCTTTTTAATGCATCTGAGTGTCTTGTTCTTCGCTCCAGCATACTACAATTGATCAACAATGTGGAATCTTGCCAAGCACATGTGCCGCCAGTATCGGCCATTCCACCAACGTCTACGTCGACATGCTGTGGTGCAGATATCGAAGGCACTATGATGCAAAAGCCACCTCCCTCTTCGTCTTTTCCGCTTGTTTGCGCCAGATCTTGGTGCAGACGGTGAGATGCACGATGCAGGATATCGCCCTACTCATTCTAGATGGGCCAATCATGCCACGCCATGAAACAAGCAGCTTGCATGAACAATACATATACGTCCGGTCCCCTAGTGGAGGTTGGACCCCCAATATTCTGACCCCCAGATAAAAGCAATGCGAGCACAATGTCACCAGGGACCTGTTGCCCTTGCTGACTGCAGGACCCTTTACAATTCTATCATTTTTTCTACGTCACTGGAGCCCGTGTTCCTGTCGACGACATGATAACAAACAACGAAAACGGCAACGATCGTAAGGGCAATGACGTCGGATTTCAGGGTCCTTATGTCACCTGATGCTTTGACATCATACCGGCCGTTGTTCACCTGCGGCTCCGGTCCAAATTCGGGTCCAGAACATGGCCCGGGGCATTGTCTCTTTGCCGTCGATCTTTCGTCTTTGACGGTCAGTCATGTCGACAAGATGCCTGGCATTGTTCGCATCAGTCCTATAAGCACAATATAGGAATATTGGCAGACTGAAGCACGGTTTTTTCACTATCATAATCAACATTACGTCTAACCCATACGCAATCCTTGCTGCCTGGTGAGTCTGGTACTTACCAATTATACTGTCTACTTCTATCAAGTGCCCACTCAAATCTCTGTGAACACCTGCCAATGGACGTCAAGAGACCCAATTGCTCAAACTTTGGTTTTGGCTCTGGAATGGAAGTTGATAGCGGCGCTTTCCCTCGGCTGCTGCTCACTCAATCCCCACGTAGACACTCGCTGGTTTCACTCTGCCACGAGGACGGCAGCATCATTACAGATTTAATGGAGCTCGACGATGTCTCATTTGAAGAAGAATGTTCGAGTCCCATGGAAATTGACGCGGTCAATGGAAACGAGTTGATAACCTTTTCCTACACTTAATACACAGCCGGTTCTGAGTTCTCCAAAGTTTTCTGCAAACGATTGTGTCCCAGGCATTTGATCTATGCTATTCGTGAAGAAACGAAAATCATCCAGTAAATTTTCAATACATGTTTGAGACATTCCCGTAATATGAACTTGCCATAGAAGCAGGGAGAGAAAATCTTCCATTCGAGGCTGTCAAGGATCATTCCGGATGACTGTTAGCTTTATGGATGAGAAAGAAACATGAATCATTACAGTTCACAAAGAACATTTCGCAGAAGAGTCTACAAATATGTGGCAAAGAAGCTATAAATGTTGAAATTTACTCCAGATGTGAGAGTATTCAATTAAACTTGCTGCCAATTTAATCCTCATCAAATCAGATTTCCAAATGAGAAAAAGAACGGAAGACTTCGTAGAGAATTATCTCTCAAACGATGGCCCTGCTGATATTCCATTCCATTTGGCTGGTATCCCAGAGGTAGACGACGCGTGTATGTAACTACTAGTGTATTGTGAGCATATATATCCCCAGTATGAGCCTATTTGATACTGCCACCGTATTTGGAAATTCTCAAAATAACGACTCATTCATATAAGTGTTCTACTGCAACTAGATGCACTGAAAATGATTAGAACCCGACTCAAATCCTTAGCCGTGTGCATGTCACACGGTGCGTCTCTGGAAATTTATGCTATGTTTCGTCGTTTAAGTTTTCGTTCGTCGCCCGTAGCCAAAATGATGAACAGTTTTCCACATTGCATGGAGCAAGAGTCAATCATATCATGTCATTACTTATACTATCGTCCAACAACGGTAAATACAGAACATTAAGTCGTCTCAAGGGAGAAAAAAAAAGATATCAAAATTATTGTGAGCCGCGCGCATATCATCAGATGAGAACAGCCCTGTTGGAAGAAATGCCTTTACCACAGTCAGGGGACAGGCCACAGAGAGCTTTTTGATGGTAATCGAGATGGAACAGTGATCCACGTAGGACAGCACACCATCTTGACTCGAGAGAGTTGTGGCCAAAGCCCCAAACTTGTGGAAGCAATCATCGGTTACTCTTCCTCCTCAGCCGCCGCCTTCTCCACCAAAGTGTACCGATCAACGCCCAGCTTGGAGTCAATCTCGTGCTCAATGGCCAGCTTATTGAGGTGGACCAGGATGTTCTCGAGGTGGGTATCCTGCTTGTGGCGGTCTTTGCGGCCGAGGTCATTGATCCAGTCGACGCGCTGCAAAACATAATAGATGATTGCGATAAAGACAATGACACCCAAAGAGTAGAGCCAAATAACAACCACGGTGACAATGTCGGTCCAGCCGTTGGACGAATTGTTAAAGGCCGTGGGCGGCGTCGTTTCCATGACGCCACCACCGCTGCCCGAGAGCCAACCAAACAGACAAAAGATGGTGGCGATGACATCGACGCCAAAAATGGCAAAGACGAGCTGCCAGGATGGCCATGTCTTGCCGCCGCGTGTTACGAAAATGAGCCAGTTTTCAGTCAGTGCCACTTGTAGGAAAAGCACCTCCTGGATCGAGCCGAACCGTTGGATAATGCCACCACTGCGCAAGAACATGGTGCCACGAGCAATCCAGGTTCCAGCTGCGAGTAAGAGTCCCAGTATGATACTAACAACCCAAATCTTCTTGAGCTGCCATTCCACTGGGCGCTCTTCAACGTGCGCATTATCGTAAGCAACAGCCACGGTAGCCAGGTCGGCGAACAGGGCGATGAAGACGATCAGGTCGGGACGAATGGTCTCGTTGATAATCACCATTGATGTAGTCAAGTAAATTTCCAAGTGTAGACAAAGGGCGATTCGATACTGGACATACGCTTTCTGCAAGGCGACTCAGTACGTGTAAATAAATATGACCAAGAGGGCATTGTACTTACCATGCGCTGGAAGATTTGGCGAGAAGTCTTGATGGACAAGATAATAGTACTGAGACCAGGAGCCAAGAAGACAATATCAGCGGCAGCCTGGGCGGCTTCGGAAGCACCTTCGACTGCGATACCGCAATCTGCTTTCTTGAGCGACGGAGCATCGTTGACACCTTTGAAGCAAGGACTAGTTAGCAATACAGACGCTTTGTCCCTCACTCGGAAGGATCAAGTAAACTCACCATCACCAGTCATGGCCGTCAGCGAACCACGCTGCTGGAGCATCTCCACGACTGCATACTTGTGCTCGGGAAACACCTCGGCGAACCCATCAGCCCGCTCCACCAGATCATGCTGCACTGTGCCGGTAAGGCCGCTGTGCATCAGCTTGGTGGAGTTGTAGACCTTTGTTCCCAGACCCAGCATCTTGCACGTCTCCTTGGCAATGGCAATGGCATCGCCCGTGAGCATCTTGACCGGGACGCCCAGCGCCTGGGCCTCGACAATGGTCTGCGCCGTATCCTCGCGGGGCGGGTCAAACATGGACAGGAGGCCCAGGAGCACCCAGTCCTCATTGTTCTTCTTGTAGGCCACGCCCAGAGACCGGAAGCCGCGGCGTGCAAAGTCTCGGGTACGGGCATTGTACTCTTGGCGGACCTCGTCGCTTACGGTGGTGAGGTTGAGAACGGCCTTGGGAGCACCCTTTGCGCATATGTAGCGATCGTTTCCGAGCCGACATTCTGAAGTGATGCGCTTTGACACGGGATCGAATGGCGTAAATTTGTCCGTCTTCCAGCCTTGGCGCAATATCTCGCGAGCCTTTGGGAACTTCTTGAGGGTCAAGATTGTGACTTTATCAATAGGATCCAGTGATGCAATGTTGTGAGAACTGGCAAGCGCAGCCACTGCCATCATCCAGTTGACATCTTGACCTTCGACGACTGTAGGGTGAGAATCCGTGTTAGCAATTTATATTTACCCCATTCGAAGAATTAAAAAAAGAAAAAAAAGGGGAGGAAAAAACCAACGCCGAATATCGAAAGGAACAATGGGTGTAAGTCAATGGACTCTTGTACATACGGTATGGATCACGCAGACTCAACTTGTTTGCAGTCAAAGTGCCAGTCTTGTCTGAACATAAGACGTTTACACCCTATTTAGAAAGTCAGCGTTGAGAAAAAAAAAAAAAAGGCATACTAGTGAGGAACAGTAGTTACCGCAAGTGATTCAATAGCAGTCAATTTTTGGACAATGGCCTTTTGCTTAGCCAAGTAGGCAGCGCCAACAGCCAATGTAGTAGTCGTGACAACAGGCAGACCGACCGGCACTCCAATAATGAGCAAGATCAAGGCGTAGTGAAGCAAGGTTTGTACCCCAGGGTAAGCAATGGGAATGTGGTGGAAGAACCCGCCAATCCAAGCCACGAGAATCCAAAACATGACCAGGACGAGCAGTGTTGTTCCGATGCTGTCCATGACGGCCTTGAAGTGTCCACGATCCTTGGTGCCCTGAACAAGATTTGCAGTTTTGCCGACGAAGGAATACCTTGCAGAGGTCGTGATGATGGCGTATGCCTTGTCGCGCTTACAGCCCGTGGTGTAGTACACGACGTCGCCCATATACTTGTCCACGGCGAGAGACTCACCCGTGATGGCGGACTGGTCGCAGGCAATTAGAGGCTGGCCGTAGTGAACCGATTCATCATCGACGTCGTCGTCGGCAGCCTTTGTTTGTTCGCCCTCGCCTTCACCACCTTTCTCCTCAGTGCCAGCCGCTGCCTTGGTCTTTTCCTCTTTTTCGTCAACCTCGGCAGTAGGATCATTCTCAAACTTGTCCTCATTCCTGAGAGCAATGAACTCATCATAGTCTTGTGGCCGGTTATAGCTGCAGATAAGTTGCGCGTCTCCTGGAATAGTTTGACCTTCTTGCAAAACCACCTGATGCATGAGTTAGCACTACTCTGCAATTCTGCCCAGTTGAGATGAGTCGGGCTGAAGGTATATCATACAATATCGCCAGGCACGAGTTCTCTTGCCAATATCTGTTGCTCGTGGCCATCTCTCACGACAGTCGCTTTCATGGCAATATCGCCTTTCAAGCTCGCGACGACGTCGGCGGCTTGCTTTTCTTGGTAGAAACCCACAAAGGCATTTAGAGCCAAGATACCGCAGATGACTCCGAAATCGATCCAGTCATTGAGACCGACGGCTAATAGAGCAGCAATTTCCATGACTAGACAGATTGAGTTTAGCAACCATGATCCGGCTGTGACTGTATCATCTCATGATTCAGGAATAGGAGCGTGCATACCATATAGAATTGGTCCTTGGAAATATCCGAAAATCTTTTGAAGCATGTCTTCTTTTTCGGCAGTGAGCTCATTCCAGCCAAAACGTTTACGGCGCTCTTCGACGACGCTGCTGGGGATACCCTCTTTGATATGGGCGTTGAGCCAGCTGTCGGGAGCCTTGCCCTCATCCTGGACGGGGTGCGGGCCAGTGGCCTCGGCTGGGTCCGACTTCCAGAACTGCCACCACTTCTTCTTCTTCCTGCTCTTGCCGGCGGTGCTGACCATTGAGGCCCGGCGCTCGGCGTCAAAGTTGGTAATGTACCGGTCCAGGGCCTCATACTCGGGCAGGTCCCCGCTGGCTCGGCTCTGGCTCGGCCGCGGAGTCGGCAGGTGACCCGGGAACTTGATATGTTCCTCTCCTGGGGGAGCCAGTCCACCCGCCGGGGCTTCGCCTTGCTGGACATGCTCGTGTCCCTGGTCATTACTGCCACCGCTGTTGCTCGCGCTGGCAGCATTGGCCTCGACGTCGTCAGTGGGTGCGCCGTGGCCGTTGCGCTTGCGGATGAACGACATGTTGCCCCAAGCTCACACGACGACCAAAAAGAAGCACCTGTCTCACGCGATACTGAAATCGGTTTCACAGAGTCGCCTACGATAGCAGATTATGCGTTGTCACTTAAAATCACATGAGGAGATCAGGCCAGTCCAAAGAATATTTCCTGCTCCTTGGGTTCTCAATTGACTTTAAATTCCATACTCAATTCGGTTCCGGCACATCCATCATAAGCTTCTGTCCGTCGATGAGGGGTTTTTTGGAGCTCATGGTCTCTAGGTCCATGACGAGGTGACGTAGAAATGATTTCCTCTCCAATGGGGGTTGCTTGAGCTACCTCCTCCAAAGTATATGATTTAGGAAGTCAGTAAGCACACCCGGGACCGGTGCACCGGGTATAACGGGCGGTGGCCATTTAGAGTTCGATTTCCCCAACTCCATAGGGAGGCCAATAGCAGAGCACTGCTGGAGGTTACCCGAGTCTCCAAAAAAGCTTCATTCCGAGTTAACCGGGGTTTCCGGGTCGCGCCCTTGTTCGCGCTCGCTGGGCAAACAAGAGTAGGACTTTTGAATAGTGTGATCTGCTACGGTCGCTAGTAACTCGTGCTCCGAGATAGCTCGGTGAATAAGCGTGCGCTGACTTGCAGGAGGCTGCCGTGGGCCCAGACTAGCCTGCAATGCCCCCTCTGTGAAGTAGAATCATATGCCATTTTGATAGCCTGATCAAAGTGATGAGGGAAATATAAGCATAAATCAAGATTCTTCCATTATGTGCTTGGCATGTGGAAAATAATCACGCATAGTCCAACTGCGTGTCAGATGCCCCTAGTATGGAGGCTTGCATCCCGTGTCCAGCAAAGGCAACTCATTTTTTGATAAGTAGCAACTTGTATTCATATCTCGCTCGAAGTGAGAGAACGGTACCAGAAACTACAGCTTTGCTTTCTTTGCACCGTCTCTGACCTGCTGCATGCTCTTCAGGAGGGCGTAGAGACTCTGGAGCCTAGGCATTTCCACGCCTGCCTTCCTCGCGATACGTACCGGATTGCCCAAAATGACCTCGAGCTCCATGGGCCGACCAGCCTCCCAGTCGAGGAGCATGCTTGGCTTTGCACCCGTATTCCGCTCAGTGCTTCGAATAATCTTCTCGGGCGTGGCCAGGTCGTCCGAAAATGGCTTCCCGAGGACTTTGGGAGCAGCATCCCTGATTTCGTTCATGACGCCGAGAATATGCTGTCTCAACTCGGGATCCTTGAGTTGGTCTGCATTACCCCGGCCTCCTGATACCACGGCGGTAGGATTGAAGGCGGCATTGATACACAGTTTATGCCAGCGAATCGTCTGAAGCTCGATTTCTGTGTGCGTCTCAACGTCCTTGATGCCGCCCAGTTCCGTCCACCACTTGGAAAGCTGGGTCATGCGAGCGTGACCCAGCTCAACCAGCTGCCTCGACTCGGGGCTCGTGCTAGTTTCTCCTTGAAGGCCGTTTCCATATGGGCCCAGGCTGATCCTAGTCCATCTGTTCTGCCTAATGGTCCCCTGCTTAATCTGCTCGGCACTGACAATGGTCACAGCGGTGATGATGGGATTCCGCGGGAAGCGTTTGCGGTAGGGTTCTTCGACGCCGACACCATTCTGAATGAGCACTATGCATGAGTTCGGCGACACAATTGGTGCAATGAGCTCAGAGTCATCGGAATGATCTGGCAATGCCTTTGTTGTTACAATGATGTAGTCCCACCCGTCCTGAGGTGCCTTGGATGTGCCTTGCGTATTCGGCACCGCGGCTTGTACGGACCGAAAGACGGCATGAGGCTTAAATGTGTAGTCGCCAAAGGTATGCGTCTGAAGAGTCACCCCCGAGGATTCTATGACAGAGTAATTTGACCTCGCTGTGAGTGAAGTATAAACATTATGAGACGGCTGTGGAAATAGTCAGTATAGTCGAGCATGCAGTGGTCCAGAGCAATCAGGATTCTGACATGATGAAGACGGGAAGCGTAGAAACACCCGACCGCGCCTGCGCCGACGAAGAGGATATGGCTCGGTCTGTGATGGAGGTCACTCAGTCAGCAGTGATCAAGCTAGCGGACATGATGACATACTTTTGCGAAGTGCTTGAACTCATGATGAAAACCGTTATGTGAGTAATGGCAGACGATGATGATCAATGCTTGGTTTCAGCTCGAGTTGCCAGTTGTCCAAGCCCTGGCTGGCAACTGTGGGGCGCTACTAGGCATTGCAACCGAGGTATCAAACACCTAATTTCCATTATGGGTGCCCCGATGAGTGGTAAACTACGGGCATGATTTCAGCTTTAGCATTCTGGAAACGAAGTCTTTTCTACTTTGATTGAACAATTGGAGAGTTTTGGATTAAATTTGAGGTGAAATTCCAATTATTGATGGCTGTCGGTTTTATTACAGAATACAAAACCATCCATCCAGATTTGTTTCTGCTTTGCATCGTTGTACTTGCCGCGCTTATAAGATGCAGTACGACAACATTGAAATCTTGTAACCAAGATGTAGTAGTAGTAGTCAATTGGTCGAACCATCAGTCGCCGTCATCAGGGACATAGACTATGGCCGTGCAGCACACCTCTGATCACGCCTTCGGAGCTTTGCAATGATCATCAGTTGCAAGAATTCAGGGTATGTGCACCTACACAGATACCAATGTAGGTGCTCCACCAGGACAACAGTATAGAATCCCTCTTTGGGCTTTTCATACTTGTTCCGAGTCTTGGCAACAAGTCTCGTTATTGAAATATTGGTGAAAATTCAAGCCCAGTCAACATAATACGGTACTAGATTGGCCAATGAAATGGCCGGGCCATATCAATGTCCCCGAAAGCGCGAATATGCATGATTTGAACCGCTCCGCGGCGTGTTCCGTACCCCACAGCAGCACCGCCGCTAGGTTATCTTGTAAGACGGAAGCGGAGGGGAACGTTATCAAGTCCCGTAAGATCAAATAAGACAGCTTATATCGTGTGTAGGCTCATCGGGTTTCCGGGAAGGTTGCAAATTGTTAAATATTGTGCAAGTCTCAGCAAGTCATTTTTGTCAGACCGACCCAAGCTATAGTTGCAAGGCAAAACCAAAACCACAATGGCCGCGGAAACACCAGTGTCGTTCCACATCCCCACTGTCGATCTAGGTCCGTACCTGGCCGACCCGTCTTCAGAGGAGTCGGCCAAGATTGTCGAGCAAGTTCGACAGGCTTGCATAACCAGTGGTTTCTTTCAACTCGTTGGCCATGGAATCTCCAAGGAATTGCAGAACCGCGTGCAAAAGGCTGCCGAAGCGGTCTTTGCCTTGCCGCTGGAGACAAAGAAGAAGTTGATGCATCCCAAGCTCAAGAACAGAGGCTACGAGATTATTGGATCCCAGGCCCTACAAGAAGGTGCACTTCCAGACCTGAAGGAGGTACGTGAGCTCGCGATGCTGGTGAAATTATGAGGCGTCGAGAGCTGAACAGTAAACAGGGATATTACGTTGGACAGCATATACCTGCCGATGACAAGCGGGCAACGCTTCACCCTCATATGATCGGAGAGAACATATTTCCAGTAGAGATCCCGGAAGAGGTTCTTAAAGCGCCGACAGAGCAATACTACTCGGAATGCCTGAATTTGGCCCATAGTATCATGGAAATTCTGGCCAAGGGCCTTCCGTACGGCGAAGATATTTTTGTGCCGTTCATGTCGAATGACCCAGTCTGCTCGATCCGACTGCTGCATTACCCACCTCAAAAGTCTACCGATGCCAGACAGCTGGGTGCTGGAGCCCACACAGATTTTGGTAAGTCAGACGGGGTTGTTATTTTTTCAAACATGGAAGCCAAACTTATATCTTCACAGGCGCCATCACACTGCTATGGCAAGACATGTCTGGTGGCCTTGAGGTATTGAACGATGCAGCCAACGAGTGGGTTCCGGTCCCACCCAACCCCGACGCCTATGTTGTGAATATTGGCGACATGTTGTCGATATGGACCAAGAACGCGTACAAGAGCGCTATGCATCGGGTGATCAACAAGAGCCAAGGAGACAGGTACTCGGTACCGTTCTTCGTAGATGGCAACACTGATGTCAAGCTCATACCGTTTGACGGAAGCGCGCCACTCACGGGCAAGGTCATCACGGCAGAGGAACACATGCTGGAGAGGTTCGGAACGACATATGGCCGGGCGAAGCAGACGGCCCAGGTAGCCTAGGGCACACTGATCTCTGGGGTAATATGAATGAGTTAAAATCGTACGCATCTGGTGCAAAGAGGCGTGTTATTGAAAAGTTCTCGGAAAGATGAGCTGGGGGTGTATCATCAATCTCCTTTTCGCTTATTCACCATCGCAATCATACGCCCATTGATATGCAAACAGCCGGAGGGAGCGAGCTCGGGCTGATGCATACCGAGCTTATTTCCTTCTCGTATAATCAGCAGGAATGCCACGATTGTGCATGTTGAAAAAGGAACTTTTATGGTCAAACCACCAGATTCGAGATAGCGAAAAGAAACAAGCTCAACTTATTTGGTGGTGCGGAGCATAGTCCACCTCAGCAGTGTCCATCTGCAGGGCAATTACTCTGTTATCTCGGCGTAAGACCTAAAATAGTTCGAGGGACCACAGCTGGGGAGCATCCAATTCTGAAGACTAATATCGTCAGTCACACGTAACTCAATGAATGCATTTTGCTTTTCGCGTGTATTGGATTGTGTATACAGGTACCCGTAGAAGTAATTCTGTTCCCAAGAGGTATCTTTCCCTCCAGTGATACTAGCTCTTGCTCTGTAAATACAGATTACAAAGGTCGCACCAATCAATTTCAATATAGTCATCATGCACGTGTGCTTGAGCTATCGGCGTTTTTTTCTCTCTAGGCCCGGCGCCTACACAGCAGCGCAGGAAATGGAAAACCCTAATGGAACTGAACAATGACGTCGAGAGAGTCTCGCGTCGTGTGCCGGTGGCATCTTTAGCCTTAATAGCTAAAAATGGTTGGCTACATCTGAGCAAAAATGGAGGATTAAACCGCCAGGTTTTTTTTTTTCGAATCTCTCTCAATTGAAGCTGCTCGTCGTCCCGTTTTGATGAGCTCATTTCAAGGATAGCAAGCACCCCGGTCGGCAATCGGCAGCTCGCTCCTCCTCCTGTACAACACTGCAAGTTGCCAACAACATACGCCTCCACCCCGCGAGCTCCATTGAACCACGACCCTTAGCACTGAGATAGGCTCCACTTGCTTGCTGCGTCCCTGATCCAAGCTCCCGAGTCCAAGGTCTCACCCTCGTCGCTTTTTTTTTTCTTTCTTTCTCTCTCAGAGCCACGCCACGATCTCTTCTCCCGTCTGCAACGCGTTTTGTGCTCTCGTGCTTCCAGACGCGGGGCAGTCGTGAGAAGTTGGACGGCCCGTTAGTGGAGGAGCAACAGCAGCAACCATTGCATCCCTCATTCGAGTTCGACATCGTTCCCCTCGAGCTTCAACACTCTGACCCTCTAGAGAGTGGATCAATCCTCCTCGGCTGAGAGACTTTTATTGTATTTTCACGGGACGGAGCCCATTACATTACCCACAGACTCTAGACAACGGATAGATCGACGGCCAGACTCGTACGATAGGCATTTCTCGACACCCATTATCCATCGGCATCTACACTAGTAGCTTATTACCACCAACCGCAGTCAATTGAGTCCTTCTCGAAACACCAAGACAACATCGACAATTGGTGACCTACTGGTTGCGCGCGTCCTTCACCATGCCGCAACCACGACAGAGGTCGTCAGACATCTTCCGCACGGTACGTCCGGCGGTGCTCGGCATCGGACGAATTCTCACGCTCGGCTACTCGACTGTCTCGGCCGCACCGCTTTCGATTCGAACTCACAATGAAGAGCCTCCTCAGGCCGAGGGCAGTGCTCTTTGGGTGCTCTACATAGTGTCCATGGTGCTTGTCCTCGCTGGTGGTGCCTTTGCCGGCTTGACTATTGCGTTGATGGGCCAGGACAGCATTTACCTCCAGGTTATCTCGCAGGATCGCGAAGAGCCCCAGCGCAAGAATGCCAAGCGCGTGTACGACCTGCTCAAGAAGGGAAAGCACTGGGTTCTGGTGACACTCCTGCTGTCCAATGTTATCGTCAACGAAACGCTGCCCGTTGTGCTGGACAGGTGTTTTGGTGGCGGTGTTGCAGCCGTCGTTGGTAGTACCGTCTTGATCGGTATGATTCTGCCCACCCTATCCTTGTTTTGTCTAGATTTTCCCAGACTGGTATTCGGGGATGCATGCTGATTATATGAATTTAGTCATCTTCGGTGAAGTCCTGCCCCAGTCCATTTGTGTCCGCTACGGCCTTCAGATCGGTGGCTACATGTCGAAACCCGTACTTATGCTGATGTGGGCAAGTAAGTAACAATCTCGCCTTTCTTTCCTTCCATCAACCCTATATCAGCGTTTGTTACTTGGGACAGACCCCGTGGCGCAACACACGGGCTCTTACCCACGCGTACATGCAACGTTTATGATTCAGCATCTGACATTGGCATTTGCAGTGTTCCCTATCGCTTGGCCCACTGCCAAACTTCTGGACTGGCTCTTGGGCGAGGATCATGGCACAGTTTACAAGAAGAGCGGTCTCAAGACTTTGGTTACCCTGCATCAATCACTAGGCGAAGCCAGTGAGAGACTAAACGAAGATGAGGTCACCATCATCAGCGCCGTCCTTGATCTCAAGAGGAAGCCAGTTGAAGAAGTTATGACGCCTATGGACGATGTTTTGATTCTCTCAGAGGACACTATCCTGGATGAGAGGATTACCACGCAAGTTTCAGAGGCAGGATTCTCCCGCATCCCCATCCACAAGGCTGGCAACACGAATGACTTTGTCGGGATGCTACTCGTCAAGATGCTCATTACATATGATCCTGAAGACGCCAAAAGAGTTAGAGACTTTGCTTTGGCTGCCCTGCCCGAAACTCGCCCGGAGACGAGCTGCTTGGATATCCTCAATTTCTTCCAAGAGGGAAAGTCGCACATGGTTATGATCTCTGAGTACCCCGGCGAAGCTCATGGTGCGCTGGGAGTTGTGACGCTTGAGGATGTTATCGAGGAACTCATTGGAGAGTAAGTAGAAGTCTTGATGCGTCCCTGCATACGTGTGCTAACTGTGCTTCAAGGGAAATTATCGATGAGTCGGATGTCTATGTTGATGTTCACAAGGCGATCCGTCGAAGCCATCCTGCACCCAAGGCTCGAGTCCAGCGTAAAGATGTCATGGTTAAAGATGCCGCTGTTAAGGATGGAAAGTTGATTGACCTAGAAGAGGACGCGGATGAAGAAAGGGAACTGCAAAAGAGTCGCACTGCTTCTATCAGCGGCCGCAATGCGTCGCCATCCATCCTCTCTAGCAGCCCCAGGACTACTCTCCTTATGCGACGCAGCTCCACTGGTCAAGATGGCAAGCTAGTGCGCACCACTGTTCCAGTGAAGGCCAACTTTGACGATCTGAAGGGTCATTTGAAGCACCTCGGCCCGTCCAATCCGGCCTCCAATCCCAAGAGTACAAAGGTTACATCGGTCAAGATTAAGCCAGGTGGTGGCAACACACGTTCTGGGTCGGTAGCGACTGAAGCGCCTGAAAACGGTGACCTTAACGGCGTCAACGAGCGAACAAGTCTGCTTAGACCTGAGCAGAACGGCCAGTCAGGCGGAGACAAGAGCCCTTTTCCCAGCTACACGACGCCATCCGAATCACCCGCACCTGAAACCCAAGACCCGCCAAAGCTCCTGATTACCCCCGACCCAGAGGATCCCGGTAAAGAGCCCGCAGCTGAAATCAAGACTGTTGCTAGTAATGCGTCGTTGGCTGGCTCATCCAAGAGCATAGTCTCTACGAACGATGCTAGCATGTCGACAATTGAACGGCAGCGCGCCAAGAGAGGTTATGTGCGCAGTGGCAGTATAACTGAAATCGAGGTCAACACTGGCGGCGTCCGAAAATTCGTTCTCGAGGCAACTAGCTCTGGTGAAGATGAAGCGGCCGAGAGTAGCAAGACTAGTCCTACATCGCCATCAAAGCCTCTCCCAGCGGTAGAAGAAGACAAGCAAGCCGAGAACAATGATGCTGCAGAAGACGAAGCAGAGTCACCAAAGATCGGCGGCCCAAGCCAGGGCCAGGGGCAGTCGTCTGGCAAGAAGAAGAACAAGAAAAAGAAGAAGAAGGGTGGCAAATAATAAATGCTAGAGCGTTTCAACGGCAGAAAATTATCTCGCTCGAGCCCGGCTAGGCATGGTGTACGACTACTTTGATGTACAGATAAACTTATTTCAGCGTAACATTTTAGGCCAGCTTATTAAAATCAAGGCGTTATTGGAACATGCAGACGGATCCACGACTTGTACTATATTGTGCTTTTGTTCATTTATTTCCCAAAGATTGTAGGTTATGTCTTGATTGTTATCGGCATTGATCTGCAGTGGCCTTTTTCGCAAACCATTTATTCATGCCGTCCTCTTGTGCAAACAACCATGTCTGCCGCATCGCGTCTGCCCCAGCGTATGAAGTCAAGAATTAGCAATAACTGCATGGCTAGTGGGCAAAGCGTATGCGGGGTGCGGGTTAGTACATAGGTAATTTGGAATATCTGGGGAAAACGTGATATGAAATTGATGGCTGCAAGGTGGGAAGCACCGACGATGATGAATTCATACGTGGGCGCCCGATTTCTTGTTCTTCTATTCATTCTCTTCCTCTCCTCCTCTCTGTTGACTATTCATGAGTTGGATAATGTATAGATAGATATCCATAATCTGATTTGAAACAATTCAAAGAGGCAATACTCTCAATATTGTATTGGTACAGAGTATGAGGTGTGGGTGCTGTCTCCATGATAACAAATGAGAGTAATACACGTGCTTAACAATCGCCGAGAGAACCAAATACGTATATGGCCTTGGACCTCGTCTTTTTCTCGACACTCTGGACCATTTTCATGAAACTACTTACAATTGTGGCTTGCTCAAATCAGATGAATAGGCCCGTGTTTTTAGTGCTTCAGCTGGTCGATGGTATAGAACTGAACTGCCTTGTGTGTGTACAGAGTAATGTAGTGTAGGGGCGGAGAAGCAATTGGCCGCCTACCAAAACTCAGTACTAAATTGCCCATCCAGTACCGCGAAGCCCAGCCGAGCGCACTGGGGCCCGCTGATGAACATTCATCCCCTTGTCCAGTTCCGGCCTGGAGGTGGGAGGGGGAGGGGCAAGAAATCCCCACATGAGCACTGAAAGCTCGCTTCATGACTGGTCAATTGCACCGACGGCACTACTGGCACTACTGGCGAGCGGGTGCAAATGGAGACGAGACAGAGGCATTGTGGGGGGTGGTTATTGGAGTGTAGAAACTGCCCAAATAAATCGAGGTCGTCAAGGGAAAAAAGGTTCAAACGAGATATTATCTCTTATTTCTGTAAAGTTGAATATCTGTACTCATTCGAAGGGGCGAGGAAGTCATCGTGACATTTCCCAACTCACTGGAAGAGACTATAACACAGGGAGATCCAGCAGTCAAGCACAAGTGGTGGTCATTTTCACGAGCCAATCCGTATCTGAATGCAGAGGACCGCCTCTCCGCTCAAATCACTGCGATCTTTAAGCCGTCGTCATTTTCGTCACCAGACCGTCGCAAAGATGCCCATCCACCATCTCATGTGCGGAACATGGACCCCGCCGGGAGCCATTTTCACAGTCGCCTTTGACGACGAGAAGTTGACGTGCGAGGTCGTGAAGCGGACCGAGATTCCAAAGGATGAGCCCATTTCATGGATGACCTTTAGTGTAAGTGCTGCGGTTCAATGTCGAGAAACCATCCATGAGACGGGTGCATTGCTGACTTGCGCGAATCCTGTAGCATGACAAGAAGAACCTCTATGGTGCTGCCATGAAGAAGTGGGCTAGCTTTTCAGTCAAGAGCCCGACTGAGATTGTCCACGAGGCATCCCATCCCATGCTCCACGACCGTGAGTCTTCCAGGCCCTTGGCGCGACTATAATTGCTATAGTCCGGCCCCGTGGTGATCTCGTGCTGTATATCGTTTGCTTACTGAGTTTCCATCTGGCAGCCATGGCATCGTCGGCTGATACAAATACACGAGCCATTTTCCTTCTTGCTGCCAAGAAGGAGCCATATGCCGTTTACTGTAACCCATTTTACAAGCACGCGGGTCAAGGCTCCGTCTTCAAGGTCTCATCCACGGGAAAGCTGGAGGAGAATGTGCAGAACTACGACTACCAGCCCAACACGGGTATCCACGGCATGGTCTTTGACCCGACCGAGACGTACCTGTACTCCGCGGATCTCAAGGCCAACAAGCTGTGGGTGCACAAGAAGGACGCCGATTCGGGAGAGGTGACGCTCGTGGGCTCCGTCGACTGCCCGGACCCGCGCGACCACCCGCGCTGGGTCGCCATGCACCCGACCGGCAACTACCTGTACGCGCTGATGGAGGCCGGCAACCGGCTGTGCGAGTACGTCATTGACCCGGCGACGCACATGCCCGTGTACACGCACCACTCGTTCCCGCTGATCCCTCCCGGGATCCCAGACGAGTGGACCATGTACCGGTCCGACGTGTGCACGCTGACCCAGTCGGGCAAGTACCTGTTTGCCACGGCGCGCGCCAACAGCTTTGACCTGCAGGGCTACATTGCCGCCTTTCGCCTGCGCGACTGCGGCTCCATTGAAGAGCAGATTTGCCTCAACCCGACCCCGACCAGCGGCGGCCACAGCAACGCCGTCAGCCCTTGCGACTTTAGCGACGAGTGGGTGGCCATAACTGATGACCAGGAGGGCTGGCTCGAGATTTACCGCTGGAAGGACGAGTTCCTCGGCCGCGTTGCCCGCGTGAGGATACCCGAGCCGGGCTTTGGTATGAATGCCATCTGGTACGACTAGGCAAAAACCTGCGTTTCTTCAGATCACGTTTGACAAAATGAAGCTGCTGCGCGAGGTGAGCGAGCGGGTTTCATTAGCAGAGTAGGTACCAAAACCATTCATTCAGTTGTGCTGGATTTGGCTATTGGATGGCCGCAGCAGCTCTTGCTCGTGTTGAAAGCCTTGTTGGCTATTCATGAGAGCTTGGATGTCGAACTGCTCTGTTGGATTATTTTATCCTGAGTTTGATCGAGCTCAAATGTAGCTTGATGAGACTTTGAAATACATAGGTAGAACCAGAAGTATCACCGAGCCAGAGTTGAACATGAGTTGATGAGATTTGCGATATGACGGGTAAAAGTGCAATGAACAAAATTCATGGATCGGCGTCGTATAACGTGATACTTTGATGCTTGAACGGACTCGAATAGGGTTCAAGATATTGCATGCTACCCTCCTTTACTTCTAGAACCATCTAATCAAGGTCGTCAACCTCTCACAAAATCAGATATAATCAGTTGACATGTGTTTCTCACAGCAAAGGAGAAATCCAATACCACCTTCCGGGATATCAACACACCCACAGTGCATCCCCTTGCAATACTGCATCATTCTGGAATAATACACACAAAGGTACGGCAATGCGGCTCCGCCCTGCATTGCCGAGGGCCCTCCTTTCCACCGTTAAGAGCGAATCGGGGATTTTGACGGTGACAGCCCTTTCACCTTGTCCACCCACCACCCTCGATCTAATCAGACCACTCGAGCCACTTGTTAGTTTCCTTCGAGAACATACAGGCACTTTTCCCTCCCGGGGGAGGAGGGGGGGGGGGGGGGGGGGGGGGCATGGTGTAAACAACTTCCATGACGCGGCAGTCACCTTCTCCGAAAGGGACGAAACAGGCGCCAAGCAGATTCATACCCCAGCACAATGTTTCGCAAGGAGGGGGGTTGGGTTGAATGGCAACAAAAGGCCCATTGCGCTTAAAAAAACACATACTGTCAAACCCCTGCTCTCGGGACGATCATACCGGTCCGCACTGCATGATCTCCGCCCGGAGGATAAAAAAGTCAACGTCAATCATCATGCAAGGCTGCAGGATTTGGGCAATGGAAACAAAGTGGGATCTGGCAACCCGCATGATTGACTGTTGGGCACAGTATAGAAAGAGCGGATAATCGGATTTGGTGCTACGTAATAGAGCTAAACGGGATGAAGGCATTCTTCCAAATACCATGTGGCTGATTGAACCAGGTAGGCTTCGGCATATCAGATGTCCTGATGATCATTACATGCTTGACGTGTCGATGTCTTGGCGTCTTTTGAGCAAGTGTTCGACAATGACATAACCTGCTGGCAAATATTGCATGTATCTCCCAAGTTGACGAAGAATAATCGTTTGTCGGCTCCGTCGAACTCATGGAACCTGAAAGACCAACCGGTACAATCTTGACCTTTAATTTTATGCTAGTCTGCTTCACAAGGCTTGTTTCAATGTTGTCACTTCCTTTTCTGGTATGATCAAGTGCGCAGAGACCACCCGCACGTCTCTGTGCTCGACGTTCTAGACTTTGAGCTTTGTCCTTCACACGTTGCTTTACCCCAGGTCGCTCGAATGATATCACGTAAAGTCACAATGTCATAAAGGAGGGGCGCTTGGCCAACCAATCTTTGTTCATGTTGTAACGGAAACCTTTTTTTTTTTTTTAAACCAGACGCTTGCAAGCGCCAAGCCCGTTTTTTACCGGCAAAAGTTATGGTCATGTCGACCAGGTCTTGGCAGTATCAAATTGTGGGTTTGGAACCGATATAACCAGTGAATATTCTATTCAACTCGTTTCTAATTCAAGTCTCTAGACATACAATTTGTTTAATACGGCATATCCAATGGTAGACCACGGAAAACCGGCACCGTATAGGGGTTTAAGATATAAGTTGATTTGGAATTCATTGCACTTGAAAACCAAGAACCTAGGCGTGAATTGAGAACCCCACGAGTCAAGTTTCATATTTTGATATTGTACTCTAGTCTTTTGTCCTTTCTATATTGAGATGTGATGTAACAAGTGGCGCGACATTAATGTTGGCGTCAAACTGTGGGCGGTCCGTTCCCTCATCCTGAGCCGAGACCCCATCTTCCCAGAGAGAACCGTGTCTATATTCCGAAGCAGCTAATTTGATCCTGCACCCATTCATTTCGGAGGGAAGCTGAGAAAAGACTCATTTCAAAGACGGACCCTATCCAAGTGATCGAGTTATTATTAAATTACTTTTATTCTGTAAAGACTGTAAGGGTATGAGCATAAAATTGCTGACTGTTATGGGTATCCTTGGGGAGGACTGTTTTAAATCATCTTCGATAAAGACAGTCATGGTGTATTGAAGGTATTGTACATTGAACCGTGTGTTGGCGATTCCATTGAATTCCAGGCCTTGCGGTGGCTGCCGCAGTGCATCGGCAGTCATTGATATGATGTCTTGTCGTACGAGCAAGGTTGATATTTTGGGCCCGTATTTGCCACTGCATTATTTGCGCACTGTATCAATCGGCCTTTGGGTTTTCAGCTCTGAGAAAGCCTCCTAGTTGTTGATCTTGACCTAGGCAAAAGCACCAACGATGGACATACCGGCAGCTGTTTCAAATTAGCCTTGTTCATTAATTCTAGTTCCTTTGCAATATTTAGCATACCTCCAGTCAAGACCCAGCAGAAAGCACTGATCTTGTCCTTTTTAGTCAAGCTGTGTTGCGCTTCCTCCGAAAGGAAGTCCTCAGCGAGCAGATCCACCGTGGCGGCGTAGATGAGAAGACCGGAGGAGCTAGACGACGCACTTCGTTAGTAAATGTTTCTGAAGAGGAACCGCGTTGATACTCACATGGCATTAAAGATACCAACAATTATGAGTCCAAATGCGCTGTTGGGGTCATAAGTGTTACGGGCGATGAGTCCAATGGCCTGACCAATTGGTGCAGTCGTGCCAAAGGCAATAACGAGCAGCCACGGCTTCCAACTCCCCTTGGGATAGGGCACCGCAGCGATACGAGAGCCCAGACCGAGACCCTCAAACATCTGGTGGAACAAGATGGCAACCAGGAGAATGACAAAGCCCTCAATGGTGATGGAGACTGTCATTCCTACAAAGACCGAGTGAAACAGGATACCTCCCTCGAGGAGCGTAATGTTCATGGACATGCGTTTGTAAACCATGGGATCAACAGTCTGGCCCTCCACATCGAACATGGGCGCCGTTGCGACAACAACCTCCTGCTGCTTGGGTGCCGGGACTCCCGAGGCCTTGATCAATGACAACATCTCGAGTCGCTGGCGGACATATTGCTCGTAGAAGACGACAAACCACGGCGGCATCTCGGAGGCCGAGTTCATTTGATCCATCTCGCCGCCAAAGGGGTTCTGGACCGGGGCGCCATAGACTTCATTCTCCATTGCCTGGGCCATCTTCTTCTCAAACGCAATGGTGTCGTACGAGTCCTGGCTGGCCCGCGGAGGACGCGGCGGTGCGTTGATACCAGCCATCCTGGCCATTTGCTCCGGCGTCATGCTGGCTTCAAACCCCTTGGCACCACCGTGCGAGTGACCGCCCATCTTTTCGTTCATCCAGAGTTCAATAACAAACAGGGAGAAGAGAGACGCCATCATGATTGCACCGGGCATGGGGGGATAGTCGTCGGTAAACAGATCTGGAAGGCATGGGTCGGACAAACTGCCAAAAGCAGTGGGGAGAAGCTTTGATGAAAATTGTTAGTAAATGCTGAACTCCTTATTATTCTTTCAATCAAGAGACATACATGTACGAAAGCTGTTGCAACCAGTACTCCAGTTCCAAAGTGCTTGCATGCAAAAAAGACCTTTTCGGGCACCTTTAACCAACTAATCTTCTTTGCAGCGACAGGAAAGCCGGCTCCAAAGATTGATGCTCCCATGACAAGGACTGGGTGAAAACTGTTAGTCAAGGTCGAGAGGAGAAGGATATAAGTACGACTCACATAAACCAACAGTATGTAAAGGAAGGTCATATTCACCCTCCTCCTTTCCACCACCGCACTGCGGCTTGCCCATGCTCATTTCGTCGGCCATGGTTTTGATATGTTACAAAATTATTTCGAGATGGAAAAAGAGAAGAGAATATCAAGGACCGACAACGCCAAGAATGGCAAAAACAGGCAAGGGAAGCCTAGCGTCGATACCGAAGCCAGCGGACGATGTTGACGAAGAGAATGAGAGGCTCTGTCGACCTGCGACTTTGCCAGATCTATAAAACAAAAAGAGATAGACTGAAAGGATGAAAAGTGATTTTCAATGTCGATCAGATAAGATCAGGAGAAAGGAAAGAGAGAAGGAAAGGGGAAAAAAACGTAAAGACGGAACCTCCACCACGGATTACGGGCACTGCCAGAAATGTCTGTGGTTCGAACGGCAGGAAATACCAAGACCGAAGAAGGGTTGATGGCTTTAATAGAGCATTGAAAGTCAAGACTTTTCGAGGCGACGATCCCCTTTGGGATCCGATGAGCCTTGACTCGAACTCGTCGGTACATGAACCTGCGTGTCTCCTCATCGAGTAGGGTAGTGAGTGAGCCTTGTCGTTAGCCAATACAAATTTCTGGCCCACCTAGCACTGCAGTGAAATTTGTTTGAGATGCGATGAATTGTACTCCGGATGGGCCATGCACGCGATGTACCTGGAAGCAAAAGGCCATGTTTTGCCATCTGTGGTAAAGATTCCATATGGGAATGGGGCGCTTAAGATTATCAGATGGTTTCGCATAGCAAAACAGCACAGCACGAGGCTGGTACAATGTCGATCAATGCGGTTTTTCTTTGGTTTGTTCCTCCTCCTCCTCTAAAGAAAGAAAAACAACATGAGATAACTCTTTCGAGATCCGCGAAGCCATGGTACGCGTCTCGTTTGAGCAGGTTGATCGCGACTTGGCACAGACAACACAAGCACAGAGCACCCAGCTAGTGGTACCAAAATCAGCACAATAGCAAGTTGTGCCGATGATTGTTCAACGCCGCGACACAAGATTTGTCATTGGTGTAAATTTTTCTAGCTTCATGACAAGTAAATAATCAATCCCGTCTCATTGGCGTTCCAACTCATTCTGTGCGTAGGTGCCGATGCGCTGCTGCTAATAAAGTAGAAGTTTACGAGCCTGTGCAATGGGCGAATATGATCGCGTGACCTATAGCGTCGACTCTCTCCATGAGATCATAAGTTGTGAAAATCAAGTGTGCTGCCATTGGTCAGATTATTATACCAAGCATTTCGGGGAGGAGAAATTGGTTGCATAGACGGGATTATTGGCCCCCCTGCTGTTTGCGCGTAGGCAGTCATACCCTTTGTGAGGGTTAAAGTTGCAGTGAAAGACGGCTATAATCAATGATCTTGCATCACATAGCCGCTGCCAGATCTGCAAGGTGATGGAGTACAGGGAGGCAAGACACAAGCTCCGGAGGCCAGTCGGGGCTTTTTTCGAAACCTGGAGGCGACCGATCATCGAGTCGAGTCCCACCAAGACCCCAGGTTTTGCCAGTTTCTATAATTGTGTAGGACCGAGAGTCGATAGCGTATATTTTAACGTGCGGAATGTACAGAGTATGTACCTACTCTATCTGGGCAGTAACTGTAGTGTTTCTGCTCTACAAGAGGAACCCATGTAAATAATGGTCCAGATCTATCGGCCTCTTTCTGCCGCTCAAGTGCTAACACTTGACTATAAATCGTGGTTCAACGGTCGGGCTGTAACTCAAAACGGTCGGCAATTGCGAGCCGTGGGTCAAATGTGAGGCCTTGTGTGTTACGCCCTATAGATCGTCAGCTAGCGGCCTAGGGGTTAGGTGGTAATACCGTTCACTAGTTCCACTTCGCCCATCTTTGACAACAAGAGTTTGTTTTCTGGCAAGATAGAAATGGGAATAGAATGGGGAGGGAAAGAGGCTGAACCCGCAACAATTGCACTGTTGTTCTGAAACAGACTTTGGACTTGGCGTTCTCTCGAAAATCTGGAGGACACCAAGCGCACAGTGGAATTGTCAGAAGAGGGCCCAGACCAAATATCGACCTTTGTTGGATACGAGAGGCTTGAGCGCTGTCGCACAGCAGAGCAGCGCAAAACACCTGGCACCGTCACATTTGGCCCCAAAACAGACCCAATGGAAAGTGTCGCACTGCCAGTGAAAGAGAAACAATTCACAGATCGACTTTGCCAGAGCTGCCGCCTTGGCATTGTCGGACTCTGCATTACTCTGGTCTTGGCGGGCTCTGCTATTGTGCACGTCGCACTGTCTGAGCGTCATAGTATCCTTCGACAGCAGTGCAACTTTCCAAATCAAATCCCCCAAGCCCTTGACTTTTTGTTCAATGTCGATCTGGTTCGAGACGGTGAGTGCATCCAGACCCGCCCCTCCAAAGGTGATCAGGTCTTGTATGTGCTGTTGCCAAGCCCAACTAGGATGGATCCTATACACAACTCCAACACGACTCTATACGTGTGGCTGACGAATGGGCACAAGTGGATAGGCCCCAGGAAATACAGGGGACAGTCTCCTCCTACCTTGATTGACCATATGTCGAACAAACATGAATCTGCTAGGGTGGTAGCCGTCGCTTAGCCCTATCAACGGGCTGAAAAGCCTGTTATTGTTCTGGACTGGGTGGAGGTTCAGCAATCGAGCAGCGTTGCAGTAGGTGTTATACTTGCTCCTGCGCTGCCTCCACCACTTTCATATAATGCAGAGAAACCTCGACATTGTTCGCCAAAACATACCAGACCCGTTCTTACCGGAACATTGTAGCAAACTCACTGCAAACCCCCCAAAATAATGACGACCTCTGCACCGCCCGATATCACGCGATCTGCCGGTAAGTGGGCTTTCCGTTCTATACTTTCTTTCCTTTGGCCCCACAGTCTGGCAATATCAGTTGGAAGAGATCATCAGGCTATGCACTGTGTCTTTCTCCCATCAGCAGAAAGAACAATCATGAGGAAGAACAAGTGGTCACACATCTTGGAATATGAGCGCCGACATAAATTATGGATATAGCCTGCTGACCTGCATTTCAAGAAACGGCAATAGGTGTCGATTCTGCCAACAAAGTCATCTCATCAGATGGAGGCCCTTCAAAGACGAGGTCAGACGAATCCACGGCTCTCATGAGCACTGAGAAGCTGCCTAGCCCTACCGAAGATGCAGACACTGCCACGGCGGGCGAGAAACCAGCCACTACAGGAGCAGATGCCGACAATGCAGGCAGTGCAGACCCTCTCAACTTTGGGCGGCATCGGCGTGAAAACGTGACGCGGCGACAGATGAAGATTGACCATCCACGGGGCGACAAGAAGAAGCTAAAGGCATTCTACACCAAGCAGAACGAGCTCATTGACCAGTTCCTCGGTGCCGACGACGAGGAACGCCTCGCCGTGGAGGAGGACACGCGCATCGCCCCCAGAATCAAGTTTGCCGTCAACGCCTCCTTTGCCGTCAACTTTTGCCTCTTTGCCATTCAGCTCTACGCTGCCGTCTCGACCGGCTCCCTTTCGGTAAACACCAGGTTGCGGAAAATTTCCCTTTTGCCCCGTCGAGCAGCGGCTGATTAGTGCGGATAGCTCTTTGCGACGGCAGCAGATGCATTTGTGTGTTCAACCCCTCATCTGGTTGCGTCAAGATGAACCCGCGCTTACATGTTATAGATGGACCTCGTATCCTCTTTTGTGATGCTCATTACCTCCAGATTGGCCTCCAGAGCCAGTGTATACAAATACCCAGTGGTAAGTTCATGAGGATAATTTGACCATTGTCAGTTGAAAATGCGTACTAAAGCTTTGATATAGGGACGCACAAGAATTGAGACTATTGGCATCATTCTTTTCTGTGCGCTGATGACCACAGTCGCCATTCAATTAATCGTAAGCATCTCATGTATTGACATGACGTCCAAGCTAACTGTGAGCCTTGTAGGTCGAATCAGGACGAACGTTGGGAGCTGGAGAAAGCACCGACGCTGAAGAACTACACATCATCCCCATCGTATTCGTGGCTGTAGCAATCTTTGCCAAGGGGAGCTTGATGCTCTATTGTCTTGCCTATCGAAAGTATCCGACTGTCCATGTATTCTTCGTGAGTGACATCCTCATCCAAGACCCAGACCTTGGCCATTTTCTTTTTGCTAATATGATACACTGCCTCTAGATCGACCATCGTAATGACATTGTCGTGAACATATTTGGTCTGGTCATGTCGGTGGTGGGATCCCGCTTCGTATGGTATCTCGACCCCATCGGCGCCATTTGCATCGGCCTGCTCATCCTCGTCTCGTGGGTATCCAACGCCTTTGAGCAGGTGTGGCTCCTGGTGGGCAAGTCGGCTCCGCGCGAGTTCCTCTCCAAGCTCGTCTACATGTCCATGACGCACGATACGCACATTAAAAAGGTCGACACGTGCCGGGCCTACCACGCCGGCCAAAAGTACTATGTCGAGGTCGACGTCATCATGGACCCCCAGCTTCCGCTCAAGATTTCTCACGATGTGGGCCAGTCTCTGCAGCGCAAGCTCGAGGGTTTGGGTGATGTTGAGCGCGCTTTTGTCCATGTCGACTATGAAGATGACCATGATATTCACGAGGAGCACAAACCCTTGTACGAAAAGACCAAGCCTAAGAGGACTCTGAGGGAGATTTTGCTGGGAGCTAGAAAGACTGATGTGGCGATGGAATGAGGCTAGGGATTGTAAAACAAAAGGAACTTCTAGTGGCATAAAGAGCGAAGGGAGAGACAAAATGAACGGTTCAGGATAAAGAAAACAAGAAGTTGCAGGATTCCTAGTCACAAGAGATGTTGGCTGATGAGGTCGGCGGCGTGGCTTCACTGCCGAACTGTAATTTATGCCCGAACACAGTCTTAGCGAATTGACAAAAACACCTATAAGCATAAAAAGTAATTGCGAAACGATATACGGAACTGCAAGCATCACCATTCAGGAAATCTTGGCTCGTGCAAAAGGGCCAAGGTATGACCAAGGATGCTTACATGACAGTTTAAACTTGAGCTATATACATACCCAAGGATTCCAGAGCTGATCAGTGTGTCTTTGAGACAACTCTGGACTCTGTTGATAGCAGTAATGCAAGCATTGACCTGAGATAACAGCAGTTCATTGGATTTTTTGTATTGTCCAGTGAACATGCCAGGACGGCCAGTCAACAGAATTATTACATTATTAAGTACATAGCAATGAAATATTAGACTCAGAACTCGGCAATCAATGCAAATTTAGCCCTCAGAGCTGGCATGATCAGTTACGACACGTAGCTGAGATGACATGATACGAGCCCACATGCAGGACACAGAATTTGGAGACAAATTAGTCGTGGTGAATGATAGCCTTGCGAAAACCGTTTGGGCAGTCAATGAAGTTCCGGTGATGCATGAACGCCGGGATAGGTAAGGAGGACTTCAATACAACATTCAGATCTACACATCTAACTTTACCCCATACCGTGCCCTATCACTGGACGTCCGAATATGGACGTTCGCACCTGCGTGTTTCGCGTCTGCGAGTTCGCAGCTGGGAAAAGTTCACTGCAATTTTATCCTTCACCAACCGCACAGCCAGCCACATCACATGGGTCAGGCAACGCCATTACATAGTACATGAATGCATTTAAATGCAGTGTAACGCAATTATACAAGTCAACTCATGTGCCCCAAGCGTGGCTAGTGGTTGCGGCACCTTTCGGATGACATAACAGGAAGCAACAGGAAGATCAAATGTTTGCACATTATTTCGTTGATTGGGACCATCCATCATTAGTTTAAGATACTGGTCAAATGATCAACAAATTGGAAAAGGTGCAGATAAAGCGCCAAGTTGGGTTGTAGAGCTTGAGCATAAAAAGTTGTAAAGCTAGTACCTAGATTGAAATACGTGGGATAGAGGCCATCTCAGAAAATGATGATGCCTTTTTGTGGTAGTTCCGTCAGAAATCATGAGTCTGCGACAGATGTCCATAAAAGACCTCCAAAATTATTTGGTCGGAGCCACCAGAGGGTCGAGGCAAATTCCAATGCAGTCCTTATCTCCATTCTCAGGATCACAGCCATCCAATGGCCAGTCGTAGCACTGGGACAAGAAGTTGGTCGAATAGCACTCGTCCCCTGCTGCGCCAGCACAAGTGATGGGCTCGTTTTTAACGCAGATTCCAGGGAGATCAGTGACATCAGGACGACGAGGGTCGGGCTACAGAATATGTCAGTGGGAAAAACTCAATAATTTCAACAGACTTGACTACAGAAAACAGACGACTTTGAAAGAAGACTGTTTCAGAATGATGAGATATTTTGAACTTACTTGAATGCACTGGTAGCCTTCCTCGCATGTCTGCGGGTCTATGACAAAGCCACCGCAAGGCGCATATTCGATAGGCTCCAACTGACGGGGAGTAGTGAGGGCATAGGAAGAGGCCGCAAAAGCGAGGGTGACGAGGGAGGAGAACTGCATCTTGATGTTGTGATGAATTTGATTTATGGGAATGTAGGTTGTGCTTGTGTGCTGCTGCTGCTGCTTGGAAGATGAGTGAGAACAATAGAAAATTGATATAGGATTCGTGGTCCTTTTATATCCGAGAAAGTTTGATTTCAGCAATATGGTTTGACGTCGGTGACCCAGAGTCGCCGAGGGCCATCTCGCTTGGCAGACGACCATCTGACGACGCCGCAGTCCAGGTGTGAGGTTCTGACGAGATGGAGAATCCTTTGCGTGTTGGTGAATTGACCAATCGGGTGTTGTGCTCATCCCCAACTATTTCCTAATCACAATTGGCAGTTTAGCTTATTGTCGATGATTGCTCTGAATGAACAATGGCGGCTTACCTTGGTAGTTGCCAAGATAAACGGCCAAGCTCTATACGATTTATAATACCTAAAACATGAATGTGGCGCGGAATGTCTGATGTCAGCTGACTTGAATCTTTTGTGGCCTTACGAATATTAGCTATTTGTTTCTTTAGTTTACGCATTGAATGCTGAATTCGGACTGATCCTTCTAATGAGACCAAGTTTCCAAGATCGTGCAAGTGCACCATCACAGAACATACATGCCAATGGAGGGCTGAGATCCAATATGTTGCCTACCGGAAATTATTCCGGAAATATAGAAATGTCTCAGTGATGCCAAGGACAAGGTAAAGTTTGTGATCAACTCCTAACCCCTAAGACATTAACGAAGCGAGTTGGAAATCTTGGACTCTAGTGACAGATTTTGTAAACACGTCTCCTTCAAACTTAGCTCCAAATATCAAAAGCCACAGTGTGAAACGGAACCCATCTAAATTATGTCCTTGCTCACAAATGTTCTCGGTCCGACTGCGTCAGTCGGTAGGGACTGTTGTGTAAAGCCGCAACCTTATGTTATGAAACCTTGATTTGATCGGTTCGCAACGCAACTGTAGATGTTTATAAACATTTGAAACAGCACCAACATGAGAATATAAGAAACCGCAAACCAACCAAATTGATGTGGAAGTTCCTCTGAATTACAAGCATGGCATCTTCAACGAAATCTGTAAAGGTAGTATCTAGTTACACCGAGTAAGGATCTGGCAACTTCCAGGTCTTTACTAATCCTGACTTTTTCAGCATCTCTGCCGACTCTAGACGATAAGCCAAGAGATGGTCCAACAATGTAAGAGCCTAACTAGAGTGACATAATGAAGCAAACTATGGATCCCTGCTGTGGTTCAATGTGGTACATTCGCATTCCGTTACACAAATCTTGTTGGAGTATACCAATGATCGGGCACAACGCGAGGAAAAACCAACATGATTGCATACTAATTGCACTCTCTGATTGTCTACACGAATTCATTTCAACTATTTTAGATCACGGATTTACCTTAGTCTCAGATCCTACTATGCATAATGTATGCAGATGCTAGTAAAAAGCATGTTTAAGAGAGTGCTGTTCCAAAACAGTCCAATCAAGACAAGTAGAGGTACGGGGAGACTGAGATTTCCATTACATATTCAAAGAGGCGTCCCACTTTGATATATGTAGTGTAAGTTATGGCCTAGACTCATTTTACAACTACCAGTGAGTAGGGTCGTGGGTTTTCTCCCTGCGCAGCGCACTATGTGAATGAGTCATGCAAATCGAGTTGGGCTCTATGACCAAGTAACTCATCACACAAGCGGTAACGGAGGGAGGTACTGGATTATGTTTGCAGCTTACCTAGGGTGGCATTTTCATTCGGCCAGAAGTATTTAGTAGGACAAAAGTACGAGTTTAATATACTGGCATTAAAGAGCGTACAGATGCGTGAATTTACGACAGAGTGCACAGATGTTATTAATTGCAAGTTTACAAGTTGGTTACCTCCCTGCCCTGGGGCTGATTGAGTCTGAGTCGTGTGTCATTGAAACCCGATTGCGGGCGACCCCTCCAACACCCCGCCAGCCGCAGAAAAAAATACTTCCAAACCCCACCAAAAACCCCCCCAAAAACACCAGACAAGAAATTCACCCTTAGCACATCCATTCACGATTGACGGTTTGCGCTCAAGGGAATAACTTGTATTTTCCTCAGTCGACTCAATTCACAACATGGCTGACAGCAGCGCACCCCCGACCGAGCAGGTCGCCAACCTGCACCTCGATGAGGTCACCGGCGAGCGCGTGAGCAAGTCGGAGCTCAAGAAGAGAGAAAAGGCCCGCCAGCGAGACGCCAAGAAGGCAGAGAAGGCTGCCGCCGCTCCCCCCAAGCCCGCAGCGGCCAAGAAGAACACTGAAGAGGACGAGAAGGAGTTGACACCGAACCAATACTTTGAGATTCGATCCCGCGCCATCGCCAAGCTCATTGAGACCAAGGACCCGTATCCTTACCCCCACAAGTTCCAGAGCGACTACGACCTGCGCAACTTTGTCAGTGACTTTGGTCACCTCAAGTCTGGCGAGCACCAGAAGGACAAGGTCATCCGGATACAGGCCCGCATGTACAACAAGCGTGCTTCGGGAAACAAGCTTGTCTTTTACGATGTCCGCGATGAGGGTGTCAAGGTCCAGGTCATGTGCCAGTCCCAAGAGGTCGCCGAGGGCGCCCCCGAGTTCGTCAAGCAGCATGAGCACCTGAGAAGAGGAGACATCATTGGTATAATCGGTTACCCCGGCCGTACCGCCCCCAAGAACAAGATTGAGAAGGGCGAGGAGGGAGAGCTGTCCATCTTCGCTACCGAGGTCGTCCTCCTGACGCCCTGTCTGCACCAGCTGCCCGACGAGTACTATGGTCTCAAGGACCAGGAGGTCCGCCACCGCAAGAGATACCTGGATCTCATCATGAACCCCAAGACCAGAGAGACCTTCAGCACCCGCCCCCGAGTTATCAAGTACATTCGCAAGTACCTCGATGACGCCGGTTTCCTCGAGGTCGAGACCCCCATCATCAACATGATTGCTGGTGGTGCCACCGCCAAGCCCTTCGAGACTCACCTCAACGACTACAACATGGACGTTTTCCTGCGGATAGCTCCCGAGCTGCCCCTGAAGATGCTGGTCGTTGGTGGTCTCAAGAGAGTTTACGAGATTGGTCGCCTGTTCCGTAACGAGGGCGCTGATCTGACCCACAACCCCGAGTTCACCACCTGCGAGTTCTACGAGGCTGGTGCCGACTTTTACGACCTGATGCACAGAACCGAGGAGCTCGTCTCTGGACTCGTCAAGGAGCTCACTGGTGGCTACACCACCACCTTCACCACCCAGCACGGCGAAACATACAACGTCAACTGGGAGGCTCCCTGGAAGCGGGTGTCCATGATTCCCGCCCTCGAGGAGGCTACCGGCGAGAAGTTTCCCCCGGCTGATGAGCTCCACACCGATGAGTCGAGAGAGTTCCTCAAGAAGGTCTGCCAGAAGGTCAACGTCGACTGCCCTGCTCCCCAGACCACGGCCCGTATGCTTGACCGCCTGACTGGCGAGTTCATTGAGGAGACTGCCGTCAACCCTACCTTCATCATCGAGCACCCCAAGATCATGTCGCCTCTTGCCAAGGACCACCGCAGCAAGCCTGGTCTGACCGAGCGTTTCGAGGCCTTTGTTTGCAAGAAGGAAATTGCCAACGCCTACACCGAGTTGAACCAGCCCTTTGAGCAGCGCGCTCGTTTCGAGGAGCAGGCCAACCAGAAGGCCCAGGGTGATGACGAGGCTCAGCTCATTGATGAGACCTTCCTCAACGCCCTCGAGTACGGTCTGCCGCCCACCGCCGGTTGGGGTCTGGGTATCGACCGCCTGGTCATGTTCTTGACCAACAACTACAGCATCAGGGAGGTGCTGCTGTTCCCCTTCATGAACCCGGAGCACACCGTCAAGAAGGATGACGACAAGAAGATGCCAGAAGAGATTGCTGCGGCTGGCGCTGAGGCCGCACCCGCCACCGGCACTGAGGGTATTAGTAAGTCATGATAGTCCCCTCGACTTGGCCTCGAGACGAACAAGAGCGACTAACATGGATACAGCCCACAAATAGAGATCGAAAACACGAGTCTGCCTTACTGCGAATCAACAAGAGATAAAATGCAGGAGAAATTCTGGTCTTAATTGCACAACAGATGCCAAGCATCTGAAGAATGTTTGTTCATGATGATGAATCTAGATATGATGAGAGAGGAGTGCGATATGCCAAGCCTCATATAAAAAAAATACAGTAAAAGTACACAAATTTGTACATGTCTTTCTTGGCGTCTATAAAATGTTCATGTCGTCACATACAAGAAGCGATGAATTACCGCTTGACCTGCCCCTGGGCAGCCTGAAGCCGCTTCTGCACCTGAGCCAGCAATGGCTTTGGCACTCGAAGTCGGTGTCCCAATACGAGAGCGCCCGTCAGGAGGGCCAGGGCACCAGCTTGATGAGCGGCTCCGAGCGGGATGGGAACCATGTAGATGAGGGTAGTGATACCGAGAGCAACCTGCAAGCTGACCAAGTGTACCATGCCCAGGACGCCCTTTTTGACATCCTTGGGCATGGCGGCAGAGACCCTGCCAGTGCGCGAGTAGGCAAACAGGGCGAGCACGGCACAAAAAGTCGTAGTGGCCAGGATGCGGTGGTCCAGCTGCACCAGGGACGGGTTCTCGAGCATGTTGCGCCACCAGAGATCCGAGCCGTCCTCCTTGCGGCTGTAGAACTTGTCCCAGAGCTCCGACTTGGGCGGCGTGAGACCGAGGCCCATCTTGGGGAACTCATTGTAGATCAGACCGGCGTCGAGGCCGGCGACGAGGGCGCCCGACAGGACGGTGACGAACACGAGGCCGGTGAGCAGGGCGGTGGAGCGGCGGAGGGTCGTGAGGACGGGCGACTGGAGCGCGGTCAGGTGCTTGAGGGTCTCGACGGGGGCGGCGACGGCGCGGCGGGCGCGGAGGATCGAGAGGGCCGAGAGCAGCATCCAGGAGTAGCAGACAAAGGCGGTGGCCAGGTGGGCGGCGAGACGGTACTGGCTGACGCGGGGGTGGCTACCGGGCGCAAAGAGGTCGTCCTTGAGCCCCGAGGCCACCATCCACCAGCCAATGAAGCCTTGGAAACCAATGAGGGCCGAGATGCCGACGAGCGAAAAGGCCATGCGCTTGGTGACGCGGCGGCGGGCAATGAAGTAAATGGTCGGTAGAACAAAGGACATGCCAATCACGCGTCCCCAGAGCCGGTGCGTCCACTCCATAAAGTAAATGGACTTGAAGTCATCGAGGTCCATGTGCGAGTTGATCATTTTGAATTCGGGCGAGGCCTTGTACTTTGTAAACTCGGACTCCCAGTCCTCGTCGGAGATGGGCGGGCGCGAGCCGGTGACTGGTTTCCATTCTGTAATGCTGAGACTGTTTCGCAGCAATGGCAATTAGTCAATTGATCCTCGATTGTTGTTGGTCATGCCGGCGTAGAGCGTGGATGGGGCATTGGAAACATACCCGGACTCGGTCAACCGTGTAAGTCCACCAAAGACGACGATACCAAAAACACTGACGGCACTGCCCAGAAGCCAGTATGCGACAGACTTTGACGACGTCTCGGGCCACGAGCTACTCTTTGCGGACTTGGAGGAAGCAGCTTCGGGGACGGCCTGCTTGGCAATGTCGCTCAATGGCGCCGCCTGCTGTGAGGCCGTGTGCTGAGATCTCGTCTGTCGTAAGATGCGCAGGATCCGCGATGGGGCCGACGACGGCTGCTGCTGGATCGAAGACGGCCGTAGTGCTGCTGCTGCTGGAGCTTGCTGCCAAAGGCATTGGCGACATATCGACGCCGCAGGGGCCGGTGCCCTCAGGGCTACTCGGCGTAGTCCCGGGAGGAGCAAAGACATTGTGGAATTGTTCTTCTTTGCTATGAGTTGCAGGCCTGCATACTCAATGAGTGTGGAAAGAGGGAATGGATACAAAGGGCTAGGGAAGAAAAAGTCATAGACGTCGTCTCGTTCGATAACCTTTTCTCCATGCAACGTGCGACGGAAAGAATTGGTTGGTGGGGCGAAGCTTTTAGAACAGCTCCCCCCCTGTCGCCGGCTGAGATCGGGGTCTAGTTCCAAGGGTCGTTCCACTATAATAGCCACCTGTGACGGTTACATCCAATCCGTGATCGGGTGTTTGTCACGCCAACACCTTTGTGTAAGACTTTGGATCAGGTCACCACGGAATGTACCATGAGCATGGTCGATATGGTTCAAACATATACTCATTCGTGGCGTACCAATACTTTAGAAGCGTTTAAATAAGCAGCATGATACAACTTTTGTACGTTGACGGTCGATCTAGAATTGCAGCCGACTACAATACTCTCCAATAAAGATTTATTCGTTTCATGTCTCTTCAATGTCGGTCAGCTTCTATGACTTGGATTGCCTGAGCTTTTGCCAGTAGGGAAGCCATATAACGTCATTGTTGACAATCATTGTCTCAGCGGCATTACTAGCGATAGCTCAAGTATGAGCATCCATTGGACCATGTACATTATTCTCGTCGACGAAATACACATAAAGCTTAAACATCCGACTGCGACTCTAGGAATCCCAACAAGTCTTGTGTCATGATCTCATGCGTGTGAGATGCCCTACTTCTGGTTAGTTGTCGGAAGACACCAAAAAAAGAAAAAGAAAAAAAGGAAAAAGAAAGGTACTGCAAGCTGGACTGCACGTACATGTGACCAGAATTATACCAGAAATACTCTTCCAGTGGTAAGCATCCGAATTTTCCAGGATCCGTTAGAACCTCCAATTGCATGTATGCAGAGCAATAGGTCAAGTTTGTGATACCCCAGGGGGCAGGGTCATCCAGTACGCCATTCAGAAAGGTGTTGGCATCGTAGACCATGGCCTTGGCTGCATGGTGACTTTCGGAAAACTCGACCGTCCTGTTGGCCAAGATGCCGTCCCACAGATCAACTTGCGCCTTGCTCGGGACCGGAGTCTCTCGGACCTGATTCGCTGCCGTGCGGTCCAGAGGCGGCAGATTGACAAAGAGAAAGTTGCGGTATCCAGCGTCAAACAGCGGCTGTATAGACTGCTCAAAGACGGCGTCGATCTCGGCCTGCCAAAAGTCCTCAAAAGTCACATTCTCTGGCTTCTTGGTCTGCGAGTCGTTGATGTCGTTGATGCCGATCCACACGGCAACCAATACTTGGGCTCGCTTATCCGCGATGAGAGGCCCCAGAACGGGTTCTCCCCAGGTCAGAAACTGCGCAGTCTGATTGACAAACGGCGTCGTTTCATTGTGGTGTACCGGTAGGAACTCCTCGGAAATATCGGCTCCGGCATAGGCAAAGTCCCACAGTTGAATGTCACAATCTGACGGAAAGTGTTCGCCGGGCTCGATTGCGCATCCTGTCAAATATTCGACCCAATTCGGTCCACCTTCTGCTGTGCCCGTAAAATTCTGCACAATCTTGTCACTGAGTAGCTCTTCGGGAGTGAAGGCCAGGTCGCCTGGTAGATAATCCCCAATGAAGCTGAAGTTTGGGTAGCCATATGTGCCCTGGACAAAGGTATAAGAGTCTCCAAAGGCAATCCTAGATGGTAGTACCCATGAGTATATTGTACTGCAAACTTTTGTTGATAGTCTTTGTCTTTTGCATGATAAACTTACAAATATTCTATATCATCCCAATTGAATTGGGACTGCTCTCGTGGCACACAGCCAGCACTTATTAAACCAAAGCCATTGATAATGGCCAAGCTGAATAGCGTTGCCCTGGATTTTGAGGATGTCATATTATCTCTTTGGGCCGCACACTTACGATAATAATGATACATCACCAGACAATAAACTTTATAAATGCTTGAGAACTGGGCCACCTTATGTATGGAGCTAATAACGCTCTCTCATCATCTCGTCTGGCCCCTTCCCCGCTGCATTCCATTCTTGCAGATGATTTGAACATCCTACGGAAAAGCTTTGTGTCTCCATTGGTGGAAAATGAACCAGGGCTTATTCTGTCTACCCTTGCCTCCAACCCCCCGCACACTTATTACCAGTCTCCAAGCTCCCAGCCAACTCTCCGGCGTCATAGAGGCGAGTGAGTATAGCTCATGCATATGTGTGCCGGCGGGATGGAAGTGCGTATTTAATCCGAGTGCTCCATTTTTTGTCCGCGTCGTCGCTGTCTGGGTCAAGATACTGGATATGGTATACCATTCCTATAGTGGAAACGTCTATACTCTATACTTCTGCGCCACCCCCGAACAGCCTCGCAACATATTTTCGCACCCTTCCCGCCTTGGATGATACGATTTGAAGGTCAAATGTTTTCTTGCCAGTTATATCAACAAGCTTTCTCGTTTCGCATTCTGGTTTGAATTGGGTTATGCTAATGGAGCTTTGACTTCCGGTCTGTTTCATATCATTTCGTGCAATCTCAGACTGTTCAGAACACTAAAACATTAATGTACTTGTACACTTTCATGTGCGCTTCTGTAACACACTCTTATTGAGCAAAAATTATAACAGTTGACCAAGTTGAACTTGACACTTATGGAAGGGGGGGACCCGAAGTCGAAGCAAGGTATAGTAGTTAGATCTTACATCTTAGTGGTCGTGCTCAAGTTGGAAATCGTGACACAGCGGTGCTTCAATTGAATGGGAATCGTAATAAGGCCTTCGACTATATATCCATGATGCGCCACCGTGTGGCTGGTTGTGTGGCACCCTTCGGGTGACACAGCCGGAAGGTTTGATTAAGTCTGTTTGTTCACACATTATTTTCGTAGATTTAGACCATCTTTAATTTTACTCTTTATTTCAGATACTGGTCGTATCAATCCACTTAGCAACAAGAAATAGCACGTAGGCTGAAATCTGGTGATCGGCGTGATACAGGGGTATGGATATCCACTTCACATCTAGTCCTCCCTATTCACGGTATTCAGCTTTTCCCTCATGCTCGTCTCCAGGATTGACTTGCTCATGGACGCATCGACCCAGACCTGCTCCAGCGCGTTTCCGAATGCGGATCAAGCATTAAAATGCGCCTGCTCCATTCAGCGTCACTCGAATTGCACAATTTCAACGACAATGAAATACCACCATACGCCATTTTGTCCCACTGTTGGGGAAGAGATGAGATCAGTTACCAAGATATGCAAATGTACCAGCTGGAGACGTCAAGCCCTTGCGGGGAATCATCCATCAGACGCAAACTCGGGTTCCAAAAGATCGAGAGCTCTGCCAAATTGGCATTCGAGCAAGGGTTTGACTACATTTGGATTGACAATTGCTGCATAGACAAAACTAGCAGCGCCGAGCTGTCTGAATCTATCAACTCCATGTATCGATGGTATCAAGAGTCAATCGTATGCTTCGCTTTCCTGGCGGATGTCCAGGGACTTGAAGACAAAAGCGACCTTGTTCGTAGGAGCTCTGCTTTCCACAACAGTCGATGGTTTCGACGTGGATGGACGCTCCAAGAGCTAGTTGCGCCGAGTCGGGTCGACTTTTATACTGGGGAGTGGACTTTCATTGGAAGCAAGCGTGATGATGACATGCTTCCTCTCCTGAGTGACATTACCGGAATAGAGGAAGGTGTGCTGAAAGGCCGTCTCTTACCGGAAGATGTGAGCATCGCGGGCAGAATGGGATGGGCTGCCAACAGGTGCACAACAAAGACTGAAGATATAGCATATTGCCTTATGGGTATCTTCGATGTTAATATGCCGCTCCTGTACGGCGAAGGCAAAAAGGCGTTCATCAGGCTACAAGAAGAGATCTTGAAAGGTTCCGATGATCAGTCAATCTTTGCTTGGGCAGCTCCACAATCGGAACATGCTACTTCTGAAGATGTATCAGGACTCCTTAGTTCGAGCCCTGCTTGGTTCAAAGAGGTTCCGAGCTACAGACTATTGCCGCCACTGCCAACTGGAGGAAGCATGCCTTGGAATGTCACGAATCTCGGGCTATGCGTGCAGCTTTTTTTGCGACCAAGAAGGAACAACAGTGGAAGAGTTCTCTTAGATGAGTTTGAGGCAATCATGGCTTGCTCAACAGGTATTGAGCACCAGGATTATAGCCCTCGTATCTGGTTGCGGCGATTGTGGGGTGACCAATTCGCTAGGGTATCCCCGGAAAGCTGCGATCTGATCAGGTTCAATTTACAAGACCAAGACCAGACCGAAGGGTCCTACACAACCATATTCGTGAAAGCAAAGCCTACGCTCTTCCTTCCCGAATTTAAAGTAGCCCCTGAGAACACGCAGGCCACAAGTACAGACGCTGAAAGGTTCGTGCTTGTGGACGTTGAGCCCAAGTCAATGTGGGACGACCTGACCGGTATACTCAAGTTGTCCCAGCCAGTCTTGGGTCGCCCTGCTGCGGTTTTCCGATTCCAGAATACTATTTTCCAGGACAAGCTGCTAGACGTAGCTATCGGGGTAAAGCGCTCCCATGCTCATGATCGTTGGCGGCCGTGGGTCAAACAGCTGCCAGCGAAATCCAAGAGACCTTTGGCCGATTTTTTGAGTGATCCGGAATTTATACAGTTGGCCGGGACGCTGTTTCACACCCCAAATATCGAAAGCACTTCCGACGTTGCTCGATTTCCTCAACAAGATGAAGATACAAGCATGCCGTTTACGATTGCCAAAGTCGAAGAGATCTACCAGAGAAGTAGGAAATATTTCTCGCTTCGTGTAATCATCAAGCCCGAGATTTTTGTATACACCAAGTATATGCCAAAGGGCGATGTCATGGAAGTGGGTTGAGTGATGAAATTTCGAAAAACGGAGCAGGTGGCATGGGTTCCGCGGATGTTTGCGTCTTTGGGAGTGGTTGATTTGAGATTGATCGCTATCAGGGGCGGCAATCACCTAAACCACCAGTTGACAGAAGCGTTGAGTCGTCCATCGTCAAAATTGCTTTGAACGCTGTGCCACCATCCCTTTGGAATGAATAGAGCATCTCCAGGCTCGAGCACAGCTTCTAGGATATCACCAGATTGGCCAACACCCCATATAGCATCATAGAGTGCAGCTCGCTCGGGGCCTGACATCATCTCTGCGCCCCTGAATCGAGAATTGCCTCGGAAGCCCAACTGCTGCTGAACGCGTGTATATAGCTGCTGGCCCAAAGAAGGTTTCAAGAGCCGAACGGTCTTGTTACTTAGGAGTTGAACAAATAGGTTGGGATTGGGATCCCTATGCAGAGGAGTGTAGGTCGGTTCTAAACCTAGCCAGATACTCGAGTCATAAACGTCACCCTTTCCAGCCCCTTTGACGATTGCCGGGACAGACAAATCGTCTTGCAGAGCCTGAGGAAGCTCGTTGAGTTGAGATTGAGCTATGTAGAGACGCTTGACCCGATGCTTGTCGTCGACCGTGGTATTATACACAGTGGCTTGCTCTAGTAGACCTAACGGCGCATGGAACTGGTGGAAAGTGGCCTGCAACGTAGATGATGGGCGTGTGTCGCAGAAAACATTATTGAGCAGATGTAACGCAAGGTCAGGATGTTCAGGGCGAAGCCAATCTGCAAAACTCGATATGGGATCTTTTCGATGAGAACCTGTGCTTTGAACAAGCTCGTACGGGAAAAGCATGTCATGAAAATGAGTGAGATGTGTACCGAGTGAAGCTGATGCCCCTTGCTCATGCGTGAACCATTTTGTTGCTGGTGTGAGTGTATGTGATCCTCGGATCAATAGTGGAAGCTCTGGAATGAAGGCAGCGTCCCTAAAGGCGTCCAAGTTTGCATTTTCAGAGTGCGAAACACTGCTGATGGCACGTTTGGCCTGGCAATTGCTTCCACTGTGGAACTGGCTGAGAGCGTTGAGTGACGATGTAGCTTGCCAAACGCTTCTTCGAAGTAAACATCCATGCATGCTGCGAGGTAGAGGTTTCTCGTGAGATATTGCCTTTCGCGATTGGCTACAATATGAATGCCCGAGAAGAGAAATATCAAAGAATTAATTGAACCAAGGAAATTATTTGTACTGAAATCAGTCTGCTATTTTCAAGGCCACTGCTTGAACCTTACACATTGTGTTGAAGCTCGCCTTCTTTTCATTGTGTGATATGGTGACAGCATCCAATATTCATCTACCAAGAATAATGGTATGCAACTAAAAAGGGGTTTGGCTTGATAAGCATCAAAGATAAGCGTTAAGATGAGGGCGTTGGACGCACAGACCCGCTCCCATTGCAATTGAATTGGTCGCCTCAAATCTACCAACCGCCCAGGTCTTGTTAGGCTAGTAGGCTGGGCGCCTAGAGTCGCTGGTGTCCACTAACAGACACCTGCAGCACCAAAATCCCAATTTGCGTGCGTGCGTGGGAGCGAGGCTGTCCCGCCATTCGTGCTCGCAACCTCGCTCAACCTAATAAGGCACTGTAGGGCACATTCCGTCGTTGGTGATCCTGCCGCCAGATCACATTGCGCCGTCATCATCAACAGCATCAACTACATTATTCTTGCACCTCGCCTGCAGGTCCTTGATACTATCGGACCGTTTCCTCGTGGCTCAGCCAAGGTCGGCTGCTGCGAAACCTAATTCAGCCTTCGTCGCCCCTCCTGTCGCAGTCTCTACTACATTTAAGGTAGTGCTACTTGCCGCGGGGTATCGTATAATTCACCTGCTACCCCTCCAAACATTGCACATCTCAACATCGATACTCGACTAAAGGCCCTTTTTACCAAGGTTTTATAGATTTGGCATTTGCCAGAAATCATGTCTACCTCCTCGGGTACTCCCGAGTCGTGGATCTCTTCCTTCTGCTCGCTGCTGGGCCACGAGTATTTTGCCGAGGTGTCGGAAGAGTTCATCGAGGATGATTTCAACCTCACTGGCCTGCAGTCGCAGGTTGCCATGTACAAGGAGGCTCTGGAGGTGAGTTGGTGCTTGCTGAGTTGGAAGAAATTTGTCCGCGACCACTACTGACCTAATCTTTCCCCCCCTTTTAGATGATTCTAGATGTCGAGCCCGAGGACGACGAGGAGGAAGAGGAAGATGAGGAGGAAGAAGAGGACGAGTCCATCGAGGGCGTAGACCGAATGCGCTCGGGCGAGCGACGAAATCACAGTCGGATAGCCAGCGACCTGTCCGTCATCGAGTCTTCAGCCGAGATGCTCTACGGTCTCATACATCAACGGTTCATATGCTCCCGGGCCGGCATTCAACAGATGTCGGAAAAGTACGAGCTGGGCCACTTTGGTCAATGTCCTCGCAGCAATTGCGAATCGGCCAGAACACTGCCAGTTGGCCTCTCTGATATCCCAGGGGAGGACACAGTCAAGCTGTTCTGCCCCGCCTGCCTGGATGTCTACGTACCCCCTAATAGCCGCTTCCAAACCGTTGATGGCGCCTTCTTTGGTCGGACTTTTGGCGCTCTCTTTCTCCTCACGTTCCCGGAGTACGATTTGACCAAGAGAGGAGCAGAAGTTCTTCATGGAGGTCGCATTTCAGATGACGACAAGGAGTTGCTGAATGGCATGTACGTCAGCAATATCGCACCTGGTCTGGGAGGCGCCAAGATCTATCAGCCACGCATCTATGGCTTCCGGGTATCTGAAGTTGCGCGATCGGGTCCTCGCATGCAGTGGCTTCGTGACAAGCCGGAGGATATTTCGGAACTAGACGAGGCTCGAAGATATGTCGAGGAGAACCCTGATAGTGAGGACGAGGATGATGCAACCATGAATCTGAATGGAAGACCTATCCGTCGCCTCCGAGCCCGAAGACGAAATGGCCCCAGTGGGAGCCCCATGGCCATAGAAACCAATGGCGCCGAGTCGGAACTCTAGTTTGCCAACGACACAGCGCCTTGCCTACCACGACGGCCAACTTTTCGAGTCAAACAGCCTTGTGTGCTATGAGCGAGGGGTGACTGAGCCAAGTTGCCCAACTCTGGTCTACAAAATCTAAGCCGATGTGAATGGCTGGAATACGTCGCTTACCCCGTCAGATAGGCGTTCTGATCGCGGCAGAAATGTCAACATGAAAAAGGTGTTGCGACTACACCAACAGCAAAACCTGAGTTCAATTTCCATCCAAAAACACCAGCCAAAACTCTTTGCCCGGTTCCTTTACGAGATGGATATGGGTCGATTGTCTGGAGTTTTTGGCTTTCCACCGTCCTGCATGGTCCGGCGTTCATGCTTGCGAGGGACGACAGTCTTTCAAGGATGATGGTCTTCAGATTAAGGTCTTGATATTGATAGCAATGAAGACTTGAGTGGCGAACTATGGAGGAGCCCTTTACTGATTACGAAGCTCCTATTGAATAGAGCAAAAGGGCACAGATATGCAAAGGAAGCATGGGCGAATAGACGGCAAATGCAAGCTAATTGATTATTGTTGTAAAACACTCTTACTAGAAAGGTGAACACAGGCCATTCCAGTCCATGTCATCCCGATAAGATGGTAGTACGGAGAGCGGAACTATTACCTAAATCCCTGGTCCTGAAGCCATGGGTTTCCGAAACATGAGTGGCAACGATTCCGCACTCATCATGCATTGCATTTGGAATCATGAAGCAGACAAGGCGATCTAGTGAGACTGGCCAACAAAGAACCTTGGTTAAGAGCTAGGTAGTACGCTCGAGTGCCGCGACTATCTGGGGAGAGGATCTGCAGGCCTTTTACCCCACAGACAAGCAGTACCTGCTTACACGAGCAGATCTGATGATATTCCGTGCTAGAAGCAAGAACTTTAGATAGGAAGAGATTTGCTAACGTATGATTATTCTCGTGGAGGCCTTAGCCTGGCTGGGGCGTGGGGAGCCGCTTCACTATAGCTTCAGGCTTAGCAAGATTGCCATGCGGGCGTTGCGGGGTAGCGCAAATTAGATGGTAATCAGTGGAATCACATGATGACCAGTCTGACTGCCTGGCTACTTGACCGCCTTGCCCGCCATACCAACGATATGATAATAGACGTGTAGAATATCCTTGGATATTCGTTGCAAGATCTGCACCATTTAGCCATTCTGCCCTAGATGTGGACTTTCGAGCGCCCGTTCCCCCTGTGGGGGGAAATAGTTCAAAACTGGGGGACGGGGAGACCTTTTACATTACGAATGTGACCTGGGAAAAGTGTCAATTCACCCATCAACCCACGTATCTCTCAGCCTGTCTACCTACGCTAATACCGACTCCATACCAAGCATGCCGCTACTACTAACGTGAAGTACATTACATTTCTTCCCCTGATTACACGTGTATACACTACGCAGTTTCCTCTCCCTTCTAGCGGATCGATGGGTCACCAAGCCATGAATTCATTGGATCGTTTCAGTGTATCAAGCTAGGCTTACATGAGCTACGCCACCTTCTTGCAGAGTAACTTGAGCACTATTGGCCCATGGACTCGGCCAAAAGATCGTCAACGCAGCAACGTTGTCGATAGTGAGAGGACCCTTTTACCGCGGACCCCTTGTCCCTCTTGCTTATGCCGCTCAAAGGCACGTATGGGCTGGGTCTTGTCTGAATATGATCAGATACTACAGAGAATGACTCGGCCGATCCTTCCAAAGACAAGGGCATAGACCCCGTCAGGTGGATAGAGGCAAAACCACTCCATGGTGGCATAAGCCCTGAGCCCTGGCTATATTGCTCTTTACTGCCGCCTCAACCGTGGTTGAACATTACTTTCCGCGGTTGGATCATCTCACTACTCGGCATTCCAGAGATAGATATAGTCCAGGCAGAGCCCGCTCTTGATTTCTTTTCCATTTTCATCTTTATTCATCAATACCCCTTGATTATTCCATACAATACTAGCGACCATGACAGACTACAAGATTCCCTTCACCGTAAGTCTCGCCCCCTCATCTGACATAACGCATGTACCTTTTACTCAACTTGTCCATAGACCTTCCACAATGTCATCAACAATGAGTTGACAAGCACAGCCACCACGCGGCACTCCTTCTGCCCTAGCAACGAGGAGGCCCTGCCAGAAGTCCCCGTGTCCACACAAGAGGACGTAGACCGCGCCGTGGCCGCGGCCAAGGCCGCTTTCCCTGCGTGGAAGAAGCTCTCCCAGGATGAGCGGGCGGCGTACCTGGACAAGTTTGGCGCGGCCCTCGAGGCAAACAAGGAGGAGCTGACAGCCACCCTTGGCCGGGAGGTTGGCAAGCCGCCACAGGCTGCCGGCTTTGAGATGTTCCTCACACAAGGCCTCGTTCAGGGAACGGCGGCGCTGCGTCTCAAGGACGAGAAGGTTATCGATGATGAAGACGTACGTGATCGTCCTGACAACCAACCCGTGCATTTGACGACTTGCTGACAAGTTCCATCTAGCGGACTGCCATCGTGCGTCATGTGCCCCTCGGTGTAGGCGTCGGTATCGTTCCCTGGAACTTTCCTCTTGCCCTCGGAGTGGGCAAGATGGCACCCGCGCTCTTGGCCGGAAATACATTCATCTGGAAGCCGTCGCCATTCACACCCTACACGTCACTAAAGATTGCCGAGATCGGCGCCAAGGTGTTTCCCCCGGGCGTCTTCCAGGCCCTCAGCGGCGACGAGAGCCTGGGCCCGCAGCTCACGGGCCACCCCGACGTGGCCAAGGTGAGCTTTACGGGCTCGGTCGAGACGGGCAAGCGGGTCATGGCGGCGTGCGCGGGCACGCTCAAGCGCGTGACGCTCGAGCTGGGCGGCAACGACGCCGCCATTGTGTGCGACGACGTCGACGTCGACGCCGTCGTGGCCAAGATTGGCTTCCTCAGCTTTGTGCACTGCGGCCAGATCTGCATGAACATTAAGCGCATCTACGTGCACGAGAACATCTACGACAAGTTCCTGGCCGCTCTCGTCGCCATGGTCAAGCAGTTCAAGCAGGGCGACCACGAGGACCCCGAGGCCTTCTTCGGACCCGTCCAGAACAAGATGCAGCACGAGAAGCTGCAGGCCTTTTACTCGCAGATTGGCAAGCGCGGCTGGAAGGTGGCGCTCGGCGGCGAGCCGGGCGCCAAGTCGGGCAAGGGCTTCTACATGCCCCCGACCATCATCGACAACCCCGCCGAGGACGAGACCATTGTGACCGACGAGCCGTTTGGCCCCATTGTCCCCGTGCTCAAGTGGTCCGACGAGGACGACGTGGTCCGCCGGGCGAATGCCTCGAAGCTCGGCCTGGGCGGCTCCGTCTGGAGTAAGGACGTTGCACGCGCGCAGCGCATGGCACAAGAGCTCGAGTCTGGTAGCATCTGGGTCAACACACACTTTGAGCTTGCCCCCAACGTGCCTTTTGGTGGCCACAAGGAGAGTGGCATGGGAATGGATTGGGGAATCGTCGGTCTGCAGGGCTGGTGCAACCCTCAAGCATACTGGACCAAGCACTCGGGCGCTTAAGCAGCACCTGTTCGATGTTGAATGAAATTAATATAAAGTATAATTGCCAAGTCATTTCTCTGTGATTGTTTCATAATTATTCTCATACGTGTGATGGTTATCGTGTACCGTTTGTAGCACGGTTTTTGACCGCCCACGCGAGTTCTCATGTCTTTTCATTGGGTACCTATATATACATGTTATACTACACCAGTAGCGATCATGACAACAGCTGTGAGCTTGTGACATGGTTCTTATATGATCAAAGCTCCAGTATTAGTATCCAAGGTAGGCATGACAAGATAAAAAGAGTTTAATGTTTGGCCTTGACGTCAGCACGACATTACTACTGCTCAAATCGCCAATCTAGATCGAACCAGGTTGACATGACGCCCAATTCATACCAAACAAACTCGGACGAAGCAGGCATGCCCGCGATATCACCATCGCAACCAAATACTGCACTGATCAAGGGGTCATTCGTTTGTGTTTCCTGAGAAACGCCGGGCGCCTCCACCTCCCCTGACTGTGTTGCTGGGGGTCCACGTGCAGCGTTGACTGCCATTTCTTTCGATCGAGTGGCAAGTTTTGTGAACTTATCATTGGCATCTCTAGCTACCGGCCACGTCTTCCCTAGACGGGACAGTACTTCTGAACAATTGCTTACAGCTTGGTCAAAGTCTGCCGACTCGGTGCCTCCAACAAGGTGCTTGGTGGCATCGGGCAATTTGAATATACTGTAAATCATTGTGATGCCACTGACAAACACCAAATGTGCAGCTAGCCAGCTTTCAATGATTTCCCCAAATCGGAGCTGTTCTGCGTGGATGCGAAGTACCTCTCTTGAGGACTCGTAGCACCGCCTGTAAGCCTCTTCCGACGGCTGGGATATCGCGGGCGACGGCCGGAATAGGAGGAGAACGCACTGGTGGTATTTGATCTCTAGACTTGGCAGCAATCGTCGATAATGACTGGGTACCAAGACTTGCGACAGCAGTATCTCACGTGCTGAGGAAAGAAGGTCGTCGCAGCTGGCCAGTGCTTCACTTTGCCATTGTGGATAATTTGATGGCCACGGAAATCTCCAGGGCGCCTGGGCTACTCTGTATAGCATGAGTTTAATCTCTGCGGTGATACGATCGAAACGGAAAAAGAACGCTGAAGCCGTGTAACCAAGTCCGGTCGTTTGATCCAAACGCCGTCTCTTGGAGCTTCGTTCAATCTCTCTAAATCTTGCCAGCTCGGCATCGTATCCCTGCTGACTGGGTTGTGAAGCGGACATCACAGCATTGAAACCAGATGAGCTGCTTCCAATTTCGCCAGGGAAGTCTATATCGATGGCTTCATCACGCAAATTTAGTGGCCGACCGAGGGTTGTGCAAAGCGTCCGATCGATCGAATACGCCGACCAGAATATCCCACAACGAACGTTTTCGAGTGCTTCAGTCTCAGGTTCATTTCCTTCCCGTTGAGCTGGAGGTGTCTTGTCAGGCTTAATGTCGGATGGGAATGGCGGGAATCGGCAGTTGCTTACCAGGAACGGACCTTCTTTGCAGTCCAAGATCCACACAGCTCGCGACGATTGCAGACGAGAGAAACCACGCGTTAAGACTGCCTTCAGGAAAAATAAAGCTGGCCAACACCAAGAGAAGCATGACCTGGACACCTTGCACAGAGTCATGCAGTTGAAGCGCAGAGACATGGGCCATAGCCGATGCTAAATGTTCTGCGCTCTTCAAATCGAGTTGGCGACCCTGCTCCAGTATCCTGGCGCCAAGAGCAGCGACAAGAAACAGCATCGCATCATCCAAAGATGCTTTGTTGAACCCAGCTTGAGGCTCACGTAAAGTGACTTCCACGATTTGTTCAATCTTGCCTTCTTGGAGAAAGGGGTATTGAGAATGGAACGCATCTACATAAGCACCAATGAATCTATGCATTTCGGGTAGTGACGGCAAGGGAGCACATCGTGGTGGTGCTGTATTTTGGCTGAAACCCGCATCCTGACGAGGAAGATCAGCAGCACTTGGTAGTCCTTGGCTTTGTGGTATAGCTGCATAGGTCAAACGAGCCAGAGTGAATCCAGATGATGGGCCCAGATACTTTGGATCGCTGGCCGTATTACCAAGAGAGAGCAAGCCAACTTCGTGTGCCAAAGGCTGTTCTGGGCCGATTTGGCTCCCATGTACTGATGGACTTGGGACTGCATCAGTGCCTGTTGCGGTAGCACCCGAGCGCCCGCTGGTGGTGACTGGAGAAGATTCCTGAGGCGCCTTATTGGCTTCACGTGGCGGCTCGAGAGAAGCCTGAGCATGATTCTCGCCGACTTCTAACGTGGAGTAGTCGTCATGGCCCAAGTCATCATCCAGAGACACATGAGGAGCGTGTATTCTCACAATGCTTTCAAGCACCTTGATGCGTTCTTCTAATTGCTTGGCATGGCTATAGGATGTTCAGTACACTGGATACTACTATACATTATCCTTGGCAACGTTACACAGAATAAGGAGTCGTTGTGACGGGGGTGAAGCGAATAAATGTGTACTCACAGTTTGTCCGAATTGGCGGCTTGGTCACATTCAACGGCGGCCTTTTCACAATTGGAACATGTAGGCAGCCTGTTATCACACTTGACCTTTCGAGCACGACATCTATCATTTCACGGGGTCAGCGGCGTCGTAGCCGTAGTCGATCCCGGTGTCGAGTTCGGCATCGAGCGAGATCCCACACTACTACTAACCTTAGGCATGCCGGGATGCGTCGGCGGCCTTTGCCGGCAGCCGGCAGTTGATCAAGTTCTTGATACATTAATGCCTGAGCGGTGAATTCAGCGAAGCATCGCTCAATCACACAGGTCGGTTTTCTTCAAGGCATGAAAAAAAAAAAAGCGGTATCGTGGCGATTCCCGAGATGAATGATTTGAACTGATGCTGAAGCTCGGCATTAGACCGAGACGTCAAGACTCAAAACACTGTGGGGCCTCTTTAGTAGGTACAAAGTACTAGGTTAGGTAGTTACGGATCGCTCCTTTCCTGCTTCTCTCTCCTCAGAGCGGGTATCTACATTCTAAAACAGCACACCTACATCTAGCGACTCCAAAACGTGGTTACAATGCTTCAGGTCTGTTGTCTGCTTGAAGCAATGATTTATTCTTGACGTGAATCATGGAAACGATTGCCCACTTTTCGCTGCCAGTTTCAGTGGCGCCAGGAGCATTCCGTCTGCAGAAGGAAGACTCCGTCATAGTAGGCCAAACCGGTCCCCACATCGGCCATTCGCCGAGGTCACGGCGGTTTCTAGTTTTGGGTCAAGTAGAAGGTCGAGCTGGACAGCACAATCACGGACAAGATCAACATTGATGAGCACCGATTTGCTTGCAAATCACGGCAATGGCTGCACATACACGTTTGATTTGTGTGATCCCACGATCGAATGCCATCCGGCAACGGGCTTTTGGGCTGGCTGGTTGCTTCACTCGCTTCTACTCCAGCAAGACCAGTATAGGCGACAGCCCACGCGTTGCCGTATTGTATCAAGCTCTGGAGCCTCCCGTCGTCAACGGTGTAAGGAAACCAAAAAAGCCCGGCGGTTACCAGGACTCCGGTGCCGACATTGCTTGGACCCTGCGGCATTCTGGAACCAATGTCATCACCCCGTCGGCAAAGCCAGATCCAGGTACACATGAAGGCTGGTGTTTCCCGGATACTGAAGACGGATTAATGGCAGCCATTGATCAGGGCGCGACGCATTTTTGGGCGAATACTATTCTCTTCAGCGATCACCCACTGCAGACTTCCAGGCATCTGGATTCTCATGAGAAGAATGTTAGAGTGGTTGGGCAGCCGCCAAAATTTGTGCAGATGTACGATGATAAACATCTAGTCAACAGCATACTACGGGGGCCTACTACAAATTTAACGCTTCCCAAGGCCGCAATAGTCGCCGACTTGGATTCACTGCGAAGAGCCGTTGCTCCAAATGGATCTCTGTCCTTTCCCATTGTGGGGAAACCTGTCCGCGGCCGTGGTAGCCATGGTGTGGCCGTTTGTGCCTCAATAAAGGAATTAGAAAAACATGCCGAGAACTTACTCTCTGAGTCGCCATCCATTATCCTGGAGGAGTATCTCGCCGGGCAAGAAGGGACTGTGACGGTGATGCCTCCATCTGCAGACCGCCCAGAATATTGGGCGATGCCGGTAGTGGTCCGATTTAATCACGTCGACGGAATTGCACCATATAATGGCAGCGTGGCTGTCACGGCGAATTCGAGGGTTGTGTCTGAGAGCGAGGCTCTCGCAGACTCAACATTTGGTGCTATTTCGAAGCAATGTGTCGAAGTTGCCCGCCTGCTCCGATGTACCGCCCCTATTCGCATCGATGTCAGAAGGTTCCACGAGGATTCCGAGTTCGCTCTGTTTGACGTTAATATGAAACCAGTAAGTCTTTGAAACGATGCGAGGGGCTTTTTTCTAACAATCATGTAGAATATGACCGGACCAGGAAGACCCGGCCGAGAAGATCAAGCAAGCTTGACTGCCTTGGCGGCAGGTGGCTTGGGCTGGAATTACCCAGAGCTGCTCCGCCAGATCTTGGGTTCCGCTAGCTTCCTATATGATCTCAGACGTGCAGAATTGCCAACGGGATTTCATCCATAGATTCAATGCGTTCTATTAAATCTAGACATGTATAAATTGTAAAACCTAAAATGACATAAAAAGATTCTATAGAGTACATACATTTGATACTTTCTTCTCTGATCTCCTCCTATGAACTTTTAACACCATTGAGACCGTTCGCGTCTTGAACTTTGCTTAAACAGTTTGCAATTTCTGTGAAATTGCACATGTACTCATCGTCTGCACCAACTTCAAAGTCAAATCGGCATAAATCCTCTTTAAAGGGGAACATGTATGTACTTGTCACCCTGGTTTCGTTAGAAGTTCCGTCAGCCTTAAGCAGGAATTGAATACAACTTACCAATGATGCTCCTTACTTGCTTGATATTCTTCTAACGCCTTTATGTTCTCGTGATAACTGACCAAGCAAAATTCGAACCCTTTGCTCCTTTCAATTGGGTCTGTCACGGACGGGCCCCCTACAACCAGTCGTCCTTCCTTCACACAGGACAGATTTTTGAGCTTCTTGAGTTCCGTGACAAACGTTGCCTTGTGCTCCGCTGTTACCTCCGGACGAAATCTGAAAAGGACTGAGATCTGTCAGCCTCTAATTCATGAACAAGGCGGGCAATACGATTCTCACCGACGTGAATCAGCGTCATTTCCGGACCGAGTTGAATTCGAGTATGCCGGTGTGTACTGGTAGTAATCGAGCAATGATAATGACTATCGTTAGCGTCAAGCTATAGTGAAGATGCGACGATGGCTGGCAAGACTCGTCATCTTGCATTATATAAGCCTGATTTGTATGATCAATCATTCTCTTTGTAGCCGATGAGTAAAGCCCTATGACTTCTGGTCGGCTAAAAGCCGAGATATACTCGCTAGGGCCGGCCGCCACCCGCAGTCAACCAACCCAGTGCGGCAAATAGTACATATCCACTCAAGAAATCGTTTCCTCAACTAGTACTGTGTATTGTCCGGATGTAGTGTGCTGCATGGTCCCTTGACGCATAGTCCTACTGTCTCCAACTTCCCCCTCACAGTCTTCATACGCCTATAGTGGGACAGCTACGGAATGTCATTCGTAGTACAGGGATGAGGAACATCTGCCGGCATAATTGGGAGGATGCTTTTTCTTTCCTTTCCTTCTTAATTGCGTTTAGGGATTCTCTACCAGTTGCGATCGGATCACACCAAAGTATTGCTCGTCAACTGGCCCATCAATTACCTGACAGGGAGACGAAACAAGCTATAAAATGAATATTTTAAGTGCGTGTAGAAGCATCGAATCTCGTCCAAAAGTTGCGAATACTGGCGAACATGATCGAATGATGGACGTGATCACTCCAGTTCCACACAGGGTGGAGATACGGATGCATGATGCTTCTGATGGTTGTACTGCACCACAAAAGTCGATGATCATTGCAGAACTTGTAGCTGTCATGGCATAGGAATGTCAAAATACATGCATGAAGACGGGTAACATCCTCCGATGAGGGATAAATTCAAATGTCAGAAGCTCTCGTGCGCGCCTAATAAAATAGTTACTGGGCGTTCTTCTCGTGTTGCTTGAATAACGTTTCGCATGACACAACTACACCTGCCATGAGAGTGTGAACAACAATCATGAGATTGCTTCAGTATATAAGTGTAGGGCACTTGTCATTATCGGCATTTGCCATGACCTCGACATTCCCTCAGTACGCATGGTATGGGCACCCTGAATGAGCCACGAGACTACTAAGAGATTAATGAGGACCACAGGGACTCCCATATTCATATCATTGACCCGGAAAACTATCAATTGGACCCAAATAGAGGTAAGAAGCCATGATAAAGACATTGGGTTCTCTCTACTAATGCTCGTGCGAGACTACACACCAAAGGCGGCTCTCAAGGAAAATGCCACCGAGTTCCAAACATCGCGGGGTATAGCACACTCTGTCATCGTGCTGCCGAGTGTATATGGCACCAACAACTCAATCCTTCTTGACAGTCTCGACTATTTCAACGGCACATGCGTAGGAGTAGCGGTGGTGGATCCCGACAGCATCAGTAACGCAACGCTCGCATCCTTCCATGAAAAGGGAGTGCGCGGCCTGCGAGTCAACTTTGGCGATGGCGGAACCGACGAGGAAATTATTGATGCCGTTAGAAAAAACGCGAAATTGGCAAAGATTCACAACTGGGTCGTTCAAGTCTTTATACCATTGCGCACCTTTGTCGCTCTTCACGATGTGATTCCGACACTGGGCGTACGGATAGTTACTGATCACTTTGGACATACCCTGGTGGGATCACGGACGAATAATGCCTTGGATACCATCGATCCATATCAGAATGCCGGCTTCACCGAGATGGTTGATCTCATCAGGCGCAGGCTGCTGTTTGTCAAGATATCTGGGCCATACCTGGACTCCCTTAAGCAGCCGCTATACGACGATATGCGAGTAGTAGCCCAAACCATCATGTTAAATGGGCCAGAGATGGTCGTGTACGGCTCTGACTGGCCACACACGTCAAACAAGGAAGGGAATACGGCCTCTGGTGGTAGACTTGTACCGCAAGAGTTTCGCGAAATCAACGACGCTGCCATTGTCGAGGAGTTCAAGAACTGGGCTGCTACAGATGAGCAAATCCAACGCCTCTTTGTCGACAACCCCCGTCGACTTTGGGGCTGGACTTCTACGGATTCTTGAACATTGTGTGTGGTGTCTACGGTATACAAGAAGAACTCAGACAGTCATGAACAGATGAGGCGATCTGATTTCTGCGTGACTTCTGGGGAGGGTTCTCTTGGTACGATAGTGACTCTCTCCGATTGAGACGGGCTTTCATGGAAGGACAGTAAAGGTAGTGCGAATATCAATGACAACACATGATTTTATAAAGAGATACGCTAATCGTTCATATGTAACTTGCCCTCCACTAAGATCAATTTGCCCTACACTGTACCTGCACTTATGCTTTGCCAACCCATAAAGTTCCAATTCTCAAGTGATGTAGCGAAAAGCCTTGCGCCTCGCCAGTCGCTCTTCCTCATTGAGACCGACAATCTCTGCCTGAGCCTCGCCCCTCATGACTTCGCCAACGTCGGCGCCGTCATCGAGCTTCTGGTTCGCTTGTCGGAGCACCATGCGCATGAAAAAGGCGGCAGCAATGGCCAGCAGCGCAAACGAACTATTAACGGACATGGCCTTGACGTAGCGGGACGCATCCTCTTCAGGCCACAAGTACGAAGTCCAAACCTGCGAGGTATTGGCGACGGCATTGACAAACGCCACGGCTGCGGCGCGCTTGATTCGGGGTCGGAGAAGAGTCTTTTGCGTCCAGGCCAGCAGTACCGCGTTAGAGCCATGGCCCCCTCCAATCATGAGCATCATGGCAAAGTACCGGGCGCCGGTATTGAGGGAGGCGGCCCCAATGACAAAACCAATGATACTCATAACCATTGGCCACATGATGTGGAATGAAGAGTTCTTGTGGCGATCGGCAGACCAATTGTTGGCGACGCCGACAATGAGCCCCAGGATATAAGGCGGGGCTGTGAGGAGCAGCGTGTCAACCGTATTGAACCCCAAGGTCTGGACAACAGTTGGAAAGAAGTTGGAAACGGCAGAAGTGACTTGGATGCAAATAAAGATGAAGCCAAAGATGTAAAGACGCCAGTCTGTAAAAGCAAGCTTGAATCCATGCATCCAGTTGCCATCGTCTTCATCGACCTGGCCTGCATCCTGGATCAGACGCCACTCGGCCACGGCACGTTCCGTGGGAGTCAACCAGCGAGTGGTAGATGGCCAATCCGGCAGTATAAACATGGAGCAAAAGGCAATGAATATGGTAATGGAGCCCTCGATGAGGAAAAGCCATCGCCACGACTCCAACCCGCGAGCACCATTGAGACTATTGTGTATACCGGCACCAATCAACCCAGAGAAGGCACTGCCAAGCTGTGAAGCCGAGAAAAGAATGGCACTGCGAAATCCCATCTCAGAGCGACGGTACCAGGAGGATATAAGAAAGAGGGCACCGGCTATAGGGTACAACAGTTAGCACTTGAGAGATTCGCAATTGATAGAAGAGTGAAAGGTGTGAACTGACGTAAAAACGCAGCTTCAACAATACCAAGAAAGAATCGTACGGCATAGAGACCGGCAGCATTATGGACAAGCCCAGTCAGGACGGACAGTAGTCCCCACAAAGCCATGCAACCTGGAAGATAGATGGAAGGACGAATGCCGGCCAAGAACATATCGGAAGGAATCTGAGCCAGGATATATCCAATGAATAAGATGGCTACTGCAGTCGCGTATTGAGTCGATGTCAATCCCAAGGTCTTGGCAATGCCAGCAGTCTTGGCCGCCGCAATATTGTTCTGCGTGTTTGATTACAAGTTAAATGCCGTCACTGATGTAAGCCCGATGCTTTATTGCGAGAGATTACTTACTCTATCAAGATAATTCATGACAAAAATGAGCCAGAAACAAGCGAGAAGGCGTACATCGAGCTTGCGCTTGAGGCTCTTTTCGGCGTCCAAAAACTCTTCTTCTGACATGCCTTGAGCAATGGCTAGACGATTGTCCGTCTTGAGCTCATCTTCCTCCACCATAGGTCTCGCTTGAGCCGATGACTCTTTGCTATTAATGCTCGTCATTGGTATCAAGGTTAAAGAGATGACTGAATATGTATAATTATAATGGTCAAGAGGTGGGTATTGGTGAGTACAGAGACAAGAAATCTGGATTCAACTTGGAGTATGATGCCCTTTTGTATTCACAAGGGGCATGGGTCCTGAAAGCAGTCTGTATGACTTAGACCTTGTCTATGGACATCCCACACGAGCTACCTGCATTAGTATGGAACCAAAAGTCTGGGGTAGTTGGGCGAAGCTCTGTGGGTACTAGATCAGCCTTGGCTACAAATCATTTGGCATGTCTTGGACATGATACGGCTTGACACCGACACTTGGTTGCAGTAAGTGGCAAGGACTAGTGTCTCATACCTTGAGAAGGTTGGTGGCAGTTCAACTCGGACAATTATGGCGTCGATCACCTATCATTGAAACAAAATTACCAAACCACGTTGAAGATATCCGCTAATAACTACCTAACTCTTGTAGAGACTATGCTTGCAGAATGGATATTGTACTGACTTCGCCAATGTAGGTACAAAGTGTGGGTATTCATTTGTAGTACCGAAACTTCAAGAGGACCAAACCCTCTAGAATCGTGTTTCCAATGTTTTGTCAATCACTCGAAGCCCGAACATGGCGCCTCTCCAGTATTTTCGAGGGATCATAGCGCTTGGAGTACTCTATAACTGGTCTTCAAGTAGTTGTAGGCAACTGATATCTTTTGAAAACTCAAACGAGGTAGCATGAGAGAAGCAAAACAGGGGCAGAGTAGTCCTATCCAGCTTTCGTTTGTGCTGTCAATCTCTTGATAGATCCCATGCGTGAAACGCAAGCCATCTCGATGACCACCCTTGAAAGTTTCGTCTGTTAAAGTGGTCGTCTTGAATGTGTCTAGCATTTAATTGTTTCACTTGATACTGCAAGACACAATGGTGATTTTAATCTCTGGCAAAATCCGCAAACTCCGGTCAGGTACTTCAGAACAGTGGAACTCTTCGGATACATCAGAAGGTACGCACTCTGCCGAATCAATACGCTGTGCACTAAATCCGGTTATAAGGCAGAATGACTATCCACACGTGCGGACTTCGGTTTCCTGACATCGAACACAGCATGTGGGGAGTCCAATTGCAAAAGGGTTTCCTGCATTTATTGTCAAACGTTTACAGTTTGGGTGTCATGGCGTCTAATGAGTCGCTGATCGTCGGTGTTTGGCCGATCATTTAGAGTCCGTAGAGTGTATGAACGGGATTTCGCCGAACCACTCGCGGATGGGAAGGAGGACGAGCCACGCCGTCTACGGTATGGGAAAGTCTTGCTGAAAGCGAGTGCCTAGCTTTCCATACCCTGGACGACTTCTGTGAAAAACAAAAACACGCGTTTGGTTTGTACTTGCAACATTAGTGCAGAGCACGGCGCAAGAAAATACCTTGCATTGATGAAGATTTCACACCTCAATCGCCGCCAAATGTTGTAAGGGCCGCAGTCGATGAGCGTGTGAATATACTATGTAAGCTGCTTCACTGCACCTCCATCAAGTGTTCCTCATCATATCAGCACAGGAAATCTCGAATTTGTCAAATCCATGATCGAGTTGATGCAAGCGTCTCTCGTTAAAGCTGAGCCCGAAACCAGTCGTCTCAATCTAATAATGGGTACGGCGATTGCCTCAATATATTGATAGCTAGATCCAGCAACCACTCCTAAGCCTTTCCAAGGAATGCTATGGACACTGCGAACCTATTGCGCGGGCGTATGTTGATTGCTGGCATCGTCACACAAAGCATGGATGACATATCACCAAGGTTTGCCAGGAGTGATGAAGGGCGGACTTTCCATGCATCGTCGACACTTTGACCTTCTCACCGCAAACAAGAATAAGGGCTAATTCGCTGCAATGAAATGGTTCATACTTTGCTACCAGAACAGGGCGTATGCGAGAATATACGCACTATGAAGAGTCAGTTTGCTCGAAGCATACGTCGTAGCCGAAAACAGTGAATGTAACACGCGAGGGATTGCATAAACACATGCCTTTTTTCTTTCTTTTCCTTACTGGGATACTTGTACGAAGTCTGTGTCTCAGCGACTAGGATTTTGCGAGCAGGGCTTGCAATATTGTTGCTGCGCCATGAGGGACTACACACTTTTACGTGATTCGATTAGTGCTGGGTAGATCAACACAGAGCAAGGCTGATCAGGCTGGCTGGGCAGGTGATCGGATGTCTGCGACTAGAATAATATTGTAGTCATCCCATGAGATGATTACAATGGAAACAAGGATGAGGGTCAATCATACCTTAAGCACGAGCCATTAAACCTTTTCCTTCTTTTTGGATGAATAAAACGGGCTCGTTGCTCCGAATTTGTTGCGAAGCGACGTGTTAATTCGCACAGACCACCAGAGAGACTTCTTTTAAAGGCACGCGTAATTTTCAATCGACCCTTGTCCTTGATCTAATTCTGCGAGCATCCAATGTATGTTAAGCAATGATAGGGTGGTGCTTTGCTATTGGAATCTACACTGGTCTACTTGTTACTGGGTGCGGGCAGGCAGTGTAGGCTTATAATGCAGGTATCATTTTCAGTAGAGTGATGCCAAGCTGCAGGTAACCGGGCTTAGATTTACGCCCCACGGGTACGGTAATTGGCAGGGCGTAACTGAAAAAGTCGTCAAACAGGGTTAGGCAGATTACCTAGGTAACCTTAGGTTACTAGGTTCGGTACTGTATTGATTTATTGATTCACATTTCCCCGCGGCCTGCGTCTTAGTTTGAGGCGCGGGCCGATTCGAATACCATCTGACGTTGCCAGTAATGGTGAGCCTAGAAGGGCCCTGCCAACCTGCTTGCTCATGCGGGGTTCGTCAATAACGAGGCTCAGTTAGGCCCTATGCGTCGTCAGATCGACATCACGGAAGCAGAGACATTCCCTTCCCTCAACCAGTTGCATCGGAAAAGAAACAGTAATTCAAATATTATTCGCGATATGGACGCGCACTACTCGACGGTAAAGCCGCCAAATTGCTCCTAAATCCTGTTAACGGATCTGTCAAGCTTTCATTTGGCCACGAACCGGACTACCCCATCTGCGACGATGCGGCTTCTCCATTTTTCTGACGACGGCGAGCTAATTCTAACCTCCTACCGAAATGACCCTCCACCGTATGCTATTTTATCGCATATGAGGGGACCCGATAGTGAGGAGGTGACTTTCCAAGATATATCGAACGGAAATTGGAAAACTAAGTCTGGCTATGAAAAGCTTTTTCTCTGCAGGCAGCAGGCAGAGTGCGATGGATTGAGCTATTTCTGGGTGGATTCCTGTTGCATTGACGCAACATATCCGGTAGAGCTGACAGAAGCCATTAACTCTATGTTTCGGTGGTTTCAAAATGCAGCGAAATGTTATGTCTCCCTACAGGATGTTGGCGGAAAATCTCACGAGGACCGCCTACAAATGATGCGCCATAGTAGATGGTTTACTCGTGGATGGATGCTGCAAGAACTTCTCGCTCCAACTGTGGTTGAGTTCTACTCGGCGGATGCCACCATGTTAGGCGACAAACAATCCTTGGAGCATTTAATTCACGACATTACTAGAATCCCCGCAGAAGCTCTTCGCGGTGCACCATTATCCGACTTCACCGTTGCGGAACGCGAGTCATGGGTCCATGGTCGTTATACATTACGCGAGGAGGATATAGTATACTGCCTCCTGGGCATATTCAATGTCACCATGCCAGTGGTTTACGGCGAGGGACGAAAGAGGGCACAGCGGCGGCTGCGAAATGAGGTTGCTCGAATGGATTTGCGATCACTGTCGGCCGGGTCCCGCGATGCAATATACAGCATAGGCCTTGCAAAATCGGAGTTTCGGGTTCTAGTCCTGGAACCAGGCGTCATGGGAGAGGACATCGATTGTTACCTGGAGATTAGCAATCTTGAGCAGCCCCCAGCATACCATGCGTTGAGTTATGTCTGGGGGGAAGAACCCGCAATTCACCTTTGCTATGTCGATAGCAATGCGATTATGATAAGACCAAGTCTTCTACAAGCTTTGCAGCGCCTCCGTCGACAAGAGGGACGGATCAATATCTGGATAGATGATTTATGTATCAACCAAAAGAACACGCTCGAACGGAACGCGCAGGTGAAACAGATGGCCAAAATCTACTACCAGGCCAGCCGTGTGTTCATTTGGTTGGGAGAGCACAACTCGACAAGTTCTCTTGCCATGGACCTCATCAGAAAAGTGGCCGAATCGGACTATGTATGGGAAACAATCCGGTGGAAGGATCACGAGTTTACAGCTTTGCTTAGTCTTCTGAGTAGAGTGTGGTTTCAACGTGGTTGGATTGTTCAAGAAGCAGCATTTGCGCAGGACGCAACACTCTGTTGTGGAGATCGTCAGGTTCATTTGACTGATCTCCTAAAGACTGTGATTCAAATCCAGTCGCAGCTTTTGCTAGGGCAATCACCTGTCGTAGATCTACCGGAGACAGTGGATAATTATTCCATCCACAAGTTTAACGATTCATCCGCAGTCAGATTATTCAGTTTGATTAGCAAGGCAGTCTCAAGGACTTCACATGCATCTACATTGGAACGCCGGCTGTCCTTGGAAAACCTTGTGGACGCTGCTAGATTTACTGAAACAAGCGACAAGCGCGACACCATCTACGCATTACTTAACCTGGCTAACGATCTCAGATCGTCTCCTTTCAAACCTGCAGATAATTCTGGTCTCATCGAACCGAATTACGACAAAAGCGACATGGAAGTCTTTGCCGACTTCATCCTTCATTGCTGCAGAAACGGATCCCTTGATATCATTTGCCGGCCCTGGGCACCAGTCTCTCCAGACGAAGGATATCCGACGTGGATAGTTAGCAGACACTATCTGCCGTTTGGTGACCCTTGCAGACGTTTGACGCATCGGCTAAATGGAAAAGAATTGGTCGGTACCAGCGAAAGCCGCTCGTATAATTGTCATGGTGGAAAGAAACCACAAGTCACGATAGAACTGCATGGCAAAGAAGGCGCTTTCAAAGGCGCCTTGATTGCAAAGGGTTTTATTATTGGTGAAGTGGTACGAAGATCAGCAAGAATGGCAGGTGCAGTTATCACCAGGGATTGCTTAGCCATTCTTGGGGCGACTCCTGATTCGGATGCTAACGAGTTGTCTCGAATCATCTGGCGCATACTTTGCGCAGATCGCGACATGGCAGGAAATCAAGCACCAAAGAAATACCCAAAGTTGATACAACTATTGAAGCAGCTCAGTACCAACGGCCGTCACTCACTTGGTCATCGATCTGCGTTTGATCAATTGCTGGATGTTGACATTCTGGAGTTACTCGACGATGACATTCCCAGCAATCTGCGAGAATTTCTTGAAAACTTGAGAGATACAATCTGGGACCGGCGGGTGTTCCAATTGAGCGCGATTGATTCTGTAGGCACGGCATTAGTAGGCATTGGTCCTCGAGAAACCAAGATTGGCGATATGCTCTGTATCCTCTATGGATGTAGTGTTCCAACTGTATTACGTCAATTCAAGACGGATGATGGAGTGCAAATCTGGAAGTTGATTGGAGGGGCTTACGTCGATGGAGTGATGAATGGAGAACTCTTCCAAGACCGTACTCGTGGGGATAAAGATGAGGCATTGTTTGATATTAGGTAGAAATGCAGACCCGGGCACATTGATGGCTACATTAATTAAAGACAATCTAAAAAACACTATAATACAGTGTTCGTAGTGTAACTAGAAAGTTGATAGAGAGTTCTATTATCTTCATCAGTATTCAACCTCATCAGGGCCGTAGATCAAATGGTACCTAGTGAAGGTATCTCAGAACATGCTCTCATGGTGGTGGTGATGACACAGCCCACCTCACTGTCCACCCCCGAGGCTATCCTTCAACGATGAGTGGTTGACTCCTACATGGCTTGCTGCAGGCTATTCAGGTGTTATGGGATTTTTATAGATGATTGCCCAAATCAGCGTCAAAGTGGTCAGCTGCAAAGTCTCTTGGAGATCCCACGACTGATGAGCCTATAAGAGCGTTCTTGAATTGCAGGACCCCTGATGAAATCTGCAAAAATCGAAATAGCCGCGTTCGTCTCTGGACGTGAGACAGATACTTTCTTGCATAACTTCTCTGTCGCATGCTTGGTAATCTTTGCAACGTATACAGCTCAGTCACGTTCGTATGGACTCAACAGACGTTTGTGATCATATGTTGATGCAAGCATTGTTTTGAAAAAGAACACACGATTCTCTTATCATTGCATGAGAAACGTCAGACCACGCTTCATTTACAATTATGCTTCGTGGAATTTTTGGTTACAAATTGACGCCCATGTCCGCCACACTGGCATGAGAGAGTGCAACATCATAGGTCCAATGCATGAGGACAGCATCAGGCATCCCGTGAATGATAACAAAGCTGCGAGACTACAGGATTCACAGCAAGGCCCGAGTAGCGTTTCAAGGCTACCGAGATGTCGTGACGTTCTTGTTTAAAAAGCTTGATAGTCTTGGCCCCAATTAGCATTGTAACGCCGCCCCACGACTCAATTGAGCCTCAAAGGCACGATCGGAACACCCAGCTATGGCGTAGATTAGAACCTGTAGGCCTAGTCGGGTGGTCATAGTGGAAATTTAGCTAACTGGCGAGGTGATCTGGGCCTACATACAGCAAAATAATTAGTCGCAATACATGATTACATGCATCACTTTAATACAGACAGAGCTAGGCGACGACAGACAGACCCATCCTGCCGGGTCCCGAATCGGGGGTCTCAATTCGGACGACTTTCGCTTGCTTGCTTAGATGTGGGCCTCAGTCACTGGACCCCTGGATGGAAAAATGACCTTGTTGCTGATTGATTAACCACTAGTGGTTGTCGAAAGTTGAAACAGAACTAAGAAAAGGGCCCCCAAAGCTCCACGGACAACCGTTGACTTTTTGGGGGCAAGAGAGCTACTCAACTTTATATTTCACCGCCAGCATCCAGCTGGTTTCTTTGACTGCTGAGAATTATCGTGGAGCAGTTATTACTGACCTACTACCTGTTCCAAACCTCTACTTTTTGCTTTTTGCTCTAAAAGCGATCTATTTTGGGCGCGCGGCGAAAGCTCCCGGAATGAGCATCCAGCAGTAGTGCTCCGAGCGCTGCCACAGGGGGGAAATGCTCCACGTCCGGAAGACAGGGTCTAGGGCCTGTATTCCGTCGTACCCACAAGCGATCGCGTAGAAACATGGATATAAACACCGTACGACTTTCAAAAGGAAACATGTTAACCTGTTTGGAGTGAATGGCGACAGGGGAAACTTTCCTGCAATTAAACGAAGTCAAAGACGTATTTATGTAATCCACGAGCGAAAGTAAGGTCGATGGTTATGACATAAAAAGCGATGGACGTCTTCCATCTCTCTGGTACTCGTTTCTGGTCCTATCCGACAACATCATTTACACCCTACCACATTCATTCTTTTTCTTACTCAGTGGCAGGCCCCACATATCTCTTGTAACTCATACAATTCACACATTCTCTCGTTGATCGATTCCATCTCACACTTCATCGATATGTACTCAAGAGTAGCAATGGGCAGCCTGATGGTGTCGGCCGCAGCCTCGGCCGCGGCCTCTTCCATGTTCGGAAAGCGTGACTCCTGGGGACCGGCCGTCAGTTTGGGACCGGCCAAACAGGAGATCATCAGTACCACCACCACCATCTACCCAGGAAAGATGCCTTCTGGCCAGGAGGGTCTGCTGTACCTTTGGCTGGGAATCTCCAATGGCACCGGTGATCTCATCCAGAGTGTCATTGGATCATACCCCGCCGGCCAGAGCGAGTGCAGCGGCGCCGATGCTGATAGCACCTGGTAAGCATTTTTCATACATGATTTCTGGAGGTATTTGAGGCTGACTCTCAAGCAAAGGTGTATCTCTTCCGAGGTCTACGGAAACACTGATGCCGGTGTTCCCAACCAATGGGTTGGAGAGCTGACAACCGCCGACGTCAACTACGAGAACGGTATCCTCCTCAACTACACTCTCATCGACAAGGAGAGCTACCTCTGGCTGCAGTGAATACCCCGAGAGTCCAAACAAGCTAGAATGCACACTGACAAGCTGAAAGGACCATGACCGATGCAGTCACTGGTGATCTGCTGTCTACCTTCAACAAGACTTCTGGTCCCATGCTGGGCTGGGGCACCGCCATTGAGTGCAACGACGACAATGGCAGCGAGTGCACGGGAACCATCTCCGAGCAGACTTGGGTCAACTCGACCATCATTCTCGAAGCCGCCGATGAGACCTTCATCGACACCCTAGGTGCTTCCAACGGTGCTACCTATAGCGATATGCTCACCACGGACGGCGGAAAGACCTGGACATTCGCGAAGCTCACCATCCCCGCCATGACTTCCCAGGACGATAGCAGCAGCAGCAGCAGCAGCAGCAGCCAATCTGTCTCGTCCGTTATCGCCGCCGCCAAGACATCAACTGCCTCCAAGACCGCGACATTTTCCCAAGCCATCTCTGCCCCGACTGCCAGCTCGGCGGCTGCTCAGGCCAGTGATGCCACTGGTGGATTCGGTGGGTTCGGTGGATTCAGTAGCTCTGGTTTCCCCAGCGTTCCCAGCCAGACTGCGAGCCACCAAAGTGGACGCCCAAGTCAGAGCGCCTCTCCCTCAGGCCACTTTGGCGGTCACCGGGGCGGCGGTCGATGGTTCGGTAACGGAAAGCTGTAAATGCGGATGATTTGCAGCCGCATTGATTCTTTTCGACGAAACCCGGCGATGAGTAGCTATTTTCTTGTACATATACATCACTTTCGTGCGCAACTGCACCTTGAATATATATTTAGCTCCAAGAGGTTTATTAAGCCTCGTGACATAATCAGAATGGCCCCCGTTACTATTTGAATCGTGAAAGTGTCCATAATACTGAGGCAATGTGTATTTAACCACTGAGATGATGGGAAGCGTGGCGTAATTCAAAAGCGAAATATTATAACGGCGTTGCGATACACTCCAGCTCTGAGATTGAATTGGTTGGATAGGATGTTAACTGTTCGTTGAATTGATCCATGCTGCACGCCTCTCGTGGTCGTTATAATGACACAATCCACTCAATTCTTCGCCCCTGAGGTTATCCACTGTTCTGGCAAAGCTTTTATCCATCAAGTATACTTCATGCCCGCCAATTATTTTAGGTTTGACGGGCTTAACCCAATTTCCGGCTTAACCCCGATTAGAATTTCCCAACGTGGTGAAAAAGCGAAAGGTATTCATTTGTATGAACATTTGGTCTGGTATACTCAAACAACCAGGTATACGTACACAATGGTCAAAGTCGCGATCGCAGGAGGAACGGGAGCTGTCGGGCGGGCTCTTGCAGAGACGCTTGCCCAGCAAGAGGTACATGAGGCAATCATCTTGAGCCGTCGAGTAAGTACTTGATTCCGTCTCTTCCAGTGGCTTAGGTAATAATCATATCAGGAGTCAAGTAATGATACTGCTGTCCTCCCAACAGTTCAGGCCAATTATGATGACTTGGACAGCTTGACCAAAGTTCTTGCAGAACATAAAGTCCACACTGTCATATGCGCGTTTGCTATCACGGGGACTTCACTCAAGAAGTCCCAGATGAACCTCATCAAAGCCTCGGCTGCCGCGTCTTCTGTGGCGAGGTTTATTCCTACCAGCTTTAGTATTGACTATCCCAGGGAGTAAGACTGTTCCAACCACGCAATGCACGGAGGTTTACAGCTAACAGTTTCGTTGCAGTGGTGTAGATATACTGCCCCCTCTGCAGGACTACTTTGACTGCCTGGATGAGCTAGCAAAGGCTGAGCTCGAATGGTCCGTGGTACTCAACGGGATATTTCTGGATTACTTTAGTGCTCCGCCCATCAAGTCATATCTGGCGCCGAACGCCTTTGTTATTGCCATAGCAAACAATGCCGCGGCCATTCCGGGTACTGGTGATGAAATGGTAACGTTTACACATACTTTTGACGTTGCCAGATTCCTAGTCGCAGCCCTTGACCTAGACAAGTGGCCCAAAGAGCTTCGGATTTCTGGCGACGAGATGACATTCAAAGATTTTGTCAAGCTGGCGGAAGAATTCAAAGGTAGATAAACCCCCCAAACCCACTTTCAACGATGATTTATTGATTTGATATGAAATAGGAACCAAATTCACCGTATATTACGATTCCATGGACAAACTGAAGAAGTTTGAAATAACAGAGCTTCCTCAACACGAATCTCTGTACCCGAGATTCCCGAAGCAGAGATTCCAGTGGTTCCAGTCCATTTTTGAACAGTGGACAGTTGCTGGGCTGGCACATATTCAGAGGGAGGGATCACTAAATCAGACATTTTCTGATCTGAAGCCTTTGAATATTCGGGATATGCTCGAGCAGTGCTGGAAGAAGTCCCTCGAGTAACCTGATTTGAAGGATCTTTACGTTGCGACAATAGTCAGGCGGTGTGTGGGAGTAGACCAAGGTACATGTTGTAACTGAAGTAGGCTGCTAGATCATTAGAAAAACCATCAAAGTGTGATATTGTGGCGCCACTCATAGCTCATCATGAGCTGTGCCCGTATTGAAATGAACAAGATTGTAAATCTGATTTATCTCCAAAGTACATGTGCATATTAGTCAGCAATCGCCAATTTCTACGAAATGCGATGAGAAAATGGTTTACTGTCTGCTTTCCAGTTCATTGCAGCGTTGAGCTCAAGGCCGTTTCCAGTGACTGTAGCTGCCATGCCCTGATTGAGGACAGTTTAGTAAATATGTACATACCCATATAAATCAACAATCACGTTAGTAGTCTAGTATGTTGAGGACTCTGGTCGTCACAGTTCGTAGTTAATTTTGCTAGTAACATCATCCCTAGGGTACGTGATTAGACATCGGAGTACAGTAGCCACCGTTGAAGCCCGAAGCCTAGTGCCCGACCACTTGCATCTTGAGCGTCTACTATAGCTCTTCTAGGGATACACTAGCCTTGTACCACCCGGATCGATGTTTGATTCGCCAGCCAATAAAGTGAGATAAGTTACAACAAATCTACATATGGTTGGAGGCTGGCATTTTTTGCGTAGAATTCTCGATACGAAGTCCACGACCCGAAAGCATGTCGCGACGATCAATTCAAGCACGCAATAAGGTTTTCCTTGCGATTGTCCTCGCATAGATCCGTTAATGCCTAAGTCCGGCCGAGTCATGACTATATCAACCTGGTAAAACTTTTCAGGAGTGCTCCACAATCAATGTCATTGTTATTTAGCAGCATTGATATTTTAATGTTTTCAAGGAGTCTTCGTCGTGAGCATGGAGTATGGGCCATGTCCATGAGGCAAACTGTGGCCCGCATGCTTTTGATGGTTAGAATTATTCAAGAGCATCCACGGAGATAAAGACAAAAATGCATCCACTCCTGAGATTCTTGGCAATGCTTTGTAACTTAAAGTGGTGTCCATCCAAATGTGGGGCAGCGCAATTCCTCAAGTGAATCTGGAGATCTTTATATACGTTTCCTGGCATTCGTCGATTTTACATCTTCCTCTTGCCAGATCCGTCAAACTCATCTACTGAATTTATCTGGCTTACTGAGAACAGCCTCGCAAAGATGCTGCCATCGACGTATTTGCGTGGCCTTGTTGGCCTTTCAGCCGTTCAAATAGCCTATGGGCGACCTCATTCCATCAGAGGCGATACCGACCAAGCGATGGTAATACAATTAATACCAGAAGTTCCATCCCTTGAAAACCTCGCGATCCGTCGTAATGGAGATATCATCACCACATCTACCCGGTCTTCCTCTCTTTACCTCACTTCTCCACGCAAACAGTACGGGGCTGATGCTATTTTGCTTCACCAATCCTCGAATCTCAATGCTCTTCTCGGCATAGCAGAGTTGGAGGAAGATGTGTTTTACATTACGGGTGGTGCTGCTCTCACTATGCCCAATCCTTTCAATGAGGTGTGGAAAGTGGACCTGCGTGGTCTTCAAATTTCTGCCAATGGTACAATTGTCCAACCACCTGCCATCGTTCTTGCTGGCAACGACAGCACCGGGGGCTTATATAATGGCATGACACATTTGGGCACCAACGACACGAATAATATTCTCTTGGCTGACTCCCTGCTGGGCACTGTCACACGTCTCGATGTTACGACTGGGGAGTTTGCAGTAGTCAGCCAGGACCCGCTCCTCGCCACGCCCAATACAACTAACCTCGCGGTCGCTGTCAATGGAATTCACACTTACGGCAATTTTATATACTTTACCAACCTGAACCAGGGAATATTCGGCCGCATGCCGATATCGCTAGCTACTGGCGAGCAGACAGGCGCCGCAGAGATCCTTGCTACAGGACTCTGGGTGGCTGACGACTTTGCGCTCTCCGTCGATGGTCAAAAGGCTTGGGTTGCTATGAACGGACCAGACGTCATCATCGAGGTTGATATCGTGGAAAAGACGAGCCGTGTTGCCTTCAACTCCAGTCTACTGGGCGCCGCCTCGTCAGTTGCCAAGGGCCGCGTTTGTCAAGATTTGCAATATTTATACGTCACCACATCACAGTCCAATGGCAACTCCACCATTGGCGGTATTGTCAGATTGCCTCTATAATATTTTGTTCGGCAATGGCATGTCTGGCCTGGAGTTACGGAGTAGCAGTCAACGACCATAAAGCCCTACTTTGTACTTGGGGATTCTATTCATCTAGTTTATGGTTATGGTACCAGTCTTCTCAGCATCAAGGATGACCCACGAATCTGCTTGATCCCAATGGAAGTTTTACGTGGCGTGTTCCGGGCGTGTATTGGAATTCCTGAATAGTCGCAGCTTTGATGACAGTTGTTCAGATGAATGAATTGCTTTAGACAACATTTGCCAATTAGCCTGGTCGCCTCCAAGAGGATTGTGCAGTTCTTTTTACCATACAAGCTAGAGTGAAAGGTTTTAAGGGTACAGCACATCTCCCTCAATATTCAGCAGGCGTACATTCGTAGCCAAATCCCGTGCGGTAACCTGATGGACGACACCGGCGTCGTCCCAGTCAAAATCAACGGAACCCCCACCACGAATGCGCAGCCCCTGAACATTTCCACCAGCCCAGGCTGCGGGAATGGCGGGACCAAGAACTACTTCTCGAGTCCCGTCAAAGCTGCTCGATACTGGTAGATCCACAGCCAACATGCTCAGCCCAGCTCCGACAAGGCCAAAATTGGCGTCAATCTGAAAAGCACCATATGGCTGTAAAGATCCTGGCGCACCACTGGAAAAGGACAGACCGTTGGAGGCAAAATTTTCGTCAATCGTATAGCGGTATTCGTAATACGCACGCTCAGTGTTGTTCAACAAGGCCCAGCAAGCTGATCTCCAGGCCTTGGCCCAGCCCGGGTCCGAGTTCTCGAAGCCGGTACCACGGCTAGTAAGAGTGGTGTTGACGGCCGTCTGAATTGTCGAATTACTATAACCGCATTGGAGCGAGTTGATGGACCAGCCAGGGTACCATCCCACAAGCTCGGAAATATGCCGGTGCTGGTCGTTTTTGTAGTCATTGTAGACAGATTCAGGGACCTTCCACTCCTTGATCTGCCCCCAAGTACCGAAATGCAGACCCTTGTCGACAGACGCTAATAATGTCGTAATGTTGGCCAAGAATTCATTGTCATTATCGTTCGCGGCTGGAGCCCCAACAAGAACGATTTCAAACAATTGGTGAAGAAGTTGCTGCCAGTGTGTGCATCCAAAGGTCGCCGGTCCGTGCTCTGGGGATATACAGGGCACCACGACCAGCGAACTATCGTTGGAAAACTGATCGACCTGGAGCTGATTCAACCAAAACTCCGCTGCTCCTTTCAAGAGGGGCCAACCCTGTTCAGACCACCACTGAGAATCCTGCGAGTACTCGTAATTGTCCCAAACATGTTGCATCATCCAGGCCGGTGCAATAGCATAGTCTGCAGACGTCTCATATGATTTCATTCTGCATGGCTGTTAGCGTCTTCGACTATTAGGTAGCAAGCATGCGCGCAAGCAAACCATAATGGCTTCCCCAGTGTGTCCGAAAATGTTCATTTCGTCATGAGTGACCCAACCGCTGGCTCCGTATAGAAGCTGAGCTGTTTCGGTACCGCGGGGAACCCAAGTATTTTCCATGTAATTCCACACGCTGACAAGCAACTCGCCCAGCCCCGTCTGTTGTGCTGGCCACAGATTCATCTGCAAGTTTATATTTGCATGGTAATCGCCGGACCAAGCCGCGCTGTCAAGATTGGACCACACTCCCTGTAGGTTTGGCGGCAAGCTATTGTCACGCGAAGAACCGATCAAAAGATGTCGGCCATAATCAAACATGAGTTTCTCCAAATATGGGTCGCCTGAAGTCAGATTGGAGTTGTAATTGGTGAGGAGCAGATCAAGGCTGACACCAGAGGAGCCCTGCGTGTCGGGCAGACTGAGCAGAAAACGGCTCTCGAAATTGCTATAGTCGGCAACATGGGCGGCGCGCAGCTCTTTTTCGGGAATTTGAATAGCTTTGGAAACCGTCTCGGCAACTAGAGGTGCCGGGTCAGCACCCTGAAAGCTATAATTGTACTCCCTGGTGCCCTTGGTCTGGTCGTAGTTGGTCCCCGCCCCTATAACAATGGTCAACGCTGAAGACGAGTTTCCCGGCACGACAAGTGTCCCGGTCTCATTATTGCAGGTACCCGGGGTGGAATTTTGCGCAATGATGTCCCACTTCATTCCAATCGGATTGCTATTCTGTGTATACCCCGTCAAACTGGCCGATTGGGAGTTGCACCCCAAGGTAAGTCCTCCTTGATTGCTGGAGACAATGTTTCCCAAGGCTATAGCTACCTGCGGCAGAAAGTCTGAAGATTCAAGATTGTAGACGCATACTTGATCTGGCAAAGTGCAATATACCGTCGAGGTGAAGTTGGCAACATCTGTAGAAAAGGAGGTCGTGTGAATGCCAGTTTTCAAATCTAGAGACCGGTTGAAGCTACTGAAATCGTCTCTGATGCCATCAATTGTGACCGACAGGTTTCCGGCAGCCTTGAAACTACCATAGGCCGATGTGTCACCATGGAGCGCAGTATCGTCTGGATATTGTGAGCTTTGAATCGCTTTCGAACCGAGTCACATAAGCTCACTCGTTATTCCAGTTGACCAGGTCTCGGCACGGACTTCTGCAAGCACGTCTATCATACTTGTGTTGGGGTTTCCCCCATTATAAGTCTTCTTTGTTAGATTTTGGCCCATCATTAGAAATTGCGGGAGGCAGAAGCTTACGGAAAGCTGGAATGGTCCACCAGACCAGAGGGTGTCAATATTCAGATTGAGCATCTCTTGGCCAGGTTGACCGAAAGGCATTGCACCAAGCCTTCCATTCCCAACGCAATATGCCTGGCGCATCACATCCGTGGAGACTGCTGGGCTGGTTGACCAGAGCGCCCCAGCTGCCGCCAGACGGGCAAAGAGGAGCAAGAAGACTTTCACCATCCTGGAAAATAAATGACGGCGAGACAGATGGGGTGGTCATGGAGTCACGGTGGGGCCAATTTTGAAAGTTCTCATCAGTCTTTAGTATTTGGCCACAGCCACAATATGTTGGTATCTTGAAAGTGGCTAGCGACCCGCGACAACTGCTGATGATTTATCCGACGGATTCGTTGGCAAGAAAAGGGCATTGCGAATTGTCCCTTGACTTGTTAGTACATAGGCATCGTCTCGGTGATCAATGTTGCTCAATCGCCTATCTGGTGATTATATCAAATTACGACTGCATGCATTATTGAGCAGTGGCTGCTACATGCAGCAAGTCTCAACGAGAAATGTCCTGCCTCCCAGCCCGGAGTATTGCAGCGGTACCTTGGCAATCAGTAGAAATTGAACATTGCCTATCAAGCGCCACGGACCGAAAACTATTCGATATTGCACGTAGGTGTTACCTGCAGCTCCGCAACAAATTATTGGTTTCCTACATGTGTGCAAAGAACTGCAAATACCCGGTGTTATAGAATTGCACTTGGTATTTTTGGTTTGCCACCATTGGCGCGCAAAGGTCCCCGCACAGCACCCCGCCTGGAAGTAAAAGCCACCGCTACCGTAAGCTGGGGTGACCTCGGGATGCTGCACCTTAATAAATTCGCACAAGGTTACCCCAATTCCCCCCAATTTGTGTATGCCTATGAGGTGATACAAAGATTCACAGAGGATTAATTAGAATGGTAGTCTGTTCAAATCGGGCACTCCAATCATCCGTGTGTGGGTGTGGAAAGGCTGCATTCTGGGCGCGGAGGTGGTCGGTGGTCCCCTAAAACTTGCAATCCCCAATGTCCGATATGCACGGGGTACAGACAGAGCCTCCTTTAAGCGACGGGATTTCTGCGCAATAAGCCAGCCGTGACAATCTGGTCCGATTCGTGTGCTTTCATCTTGACCTCTTCCGATTCAAGGAACATAATGTTCTGTGGCAAAAGCAGTCACACAGCAGCATTTGGATCAAACCTATTCGTGCAGCCACTATCCCTTCCTGGCATTGTGGAATTGAGTCGATGTGGGATGGACTTTTCTCAAAACGCCGCACTGCTATGGATGATTGAAAGTGATGTAGAAAAAGATATTCCCGGCAGCGTATTCAAATACCTGAGGGTTCCAGATTGATATAGACGTATTGACAATACCAGCGCGTGCAGTTCATTGTAGCCATAACCGTCTGGGGTACTCTGTCAATGATCATTGACCCTTTATCGACGCAGAATCTACCGAGATAACGAAATGTCCAGAACAGTGATGTTAGGCCTCAGACAGTCGCCTTTGCGGCCCCCTTCTCCTCAGCATGTTCAACAATCTCGGCTTCAGCATCAATCTTCCCAACAGCCTGAATTTCAGCCGCATGACTCGTTTCACTGAACGAGTCGGCTACATTTCTGTAGGCCGGAACAAAGTTCACGGCGATAGGATACGTCAAGGCGGCCACGAAAAAGATGAGAGGGATGAACATGGAGAGACCTGTGCCGTACAAATCGGCAACGTATCCCATGAGCGGTGGACCGACAGCTCCGCCCAATACTGCGCCAACCAGAAACCCAGAACCGACCTTTGTGTGGCGGCCCAGCCCTCTCATGCCGAGTGCTACAATGGTGGGGAAACAGATGGACTCAAAGAGTAAGATACAGTATAGCATCGCAATACCAGCATTGCCGCGAAGACCAATGGACAAGGCAGTAAAGACGATGACTAGGGTAAGGAAGCCCAAGAAGACCCATCGAGGTCGCATGAGATATATCAGCCCGACACCGACAAATCTTCCAACGGCGAAAGCTGCTTGACCACCCGCGAGAAGTTGGGAGCCCATCCAGTTGGGAGTATCGGCGCGCACCTCCGTGACGTAATTGATGAAGAAGCTGATCAGAATGTAAGCCAGAAATAACACAGCTTCCTAGGTCATTGGTAGACACTCACCTAGCCACGGCGACTTGACTTGCAACGTAGCAAAATTGAGCAAAGGCTGCGTGGAACAGCCTGTATTGCTTTTGCAGAGGCAGGTCAGAGGCGCCAACGGTGCTTTGCTCTGCTTGAAGCTGCATATCCGCGTCCGTTATCTCTGGAATGACTGAGAAGAAGAAAATCGCTGCCAGGATGAATACAAACACGGCAATGGATAGATATATCCATTGGACATTTTCGAGGGCCGTTTGGTCGTCAAAAGTGAAGAGGACATAGGAGCCAAGTACTGGAGCAACGACAGTTCCAATGCCGTTGAAAGCTTGGGAAATGTTGATACGGATTTCGGCCAGCCTAGGAGGTCCGCAAACTTGAAAAGTATGATTTGTTAGTAATCAAACTTGAAGTTGTTACGAATAAGACCAAGGGGTTCCTACCAGTGATGTACGGATTGGCTGCAGTCTCCAGAGAGCCAAGCCCGTTGCCTATGATGAAAATGCAGGCACAAAAACCGCCAAAACTCTTGGCCTTGATCGCCGCAATGGCGAGAAGCGCTCCAACTCCTGTTCGTCACATTTTAGCTCCGCTGCCATAGTGTCGCAAGCATCAAGAGACTGGTGGACTGACCGTATAAGACAAGGCCATAAATAAAGACAGTCCGGTAGCCAAAGTGCCGAAGAAGCCAAGCAGCATGGCCCAAAGATGCTAAAGGATATGCACTGCATGGAGTAAGCTCAATTCATATAAACAAAAGCACAAATCGTGTCACGATGTCTGCATCAGGACACAAGTGCGGAGCCTACCCAAAGTACGCGGCTTGGAGCCCCGAAGATCTTGCCTTTGTGATGTTGAGTGTGACTTGAAAGTGCTTATTCAGGGTATCGAGAAGGCCGTATGAAAATCCCCAGAGAAAGAAAAGAGTGGTAACAAGACAGATGGGCCAAATGGAGTTGCGAAGAGTGATTTGTGGATTTTGTCGCCGTTCATCAGGTACGCGCAGAGCCCTCTTCTTCCAGAAACCACCTGAGGCCATGGCTAGGATTTCAAAAACGATTTAGTCGTGATCGTGATGCAGTGGAGGAAAAGGAAAGGTAAAGCCGAGACTGAGACCCGCAGTATCAATATGTTACTTTTTTGTGACTGCGGAGCCGGATTTTACAAACCGAAAATCCAAATTCCTAGATATTTCAGGACAATTAACTCTTGGGTTGCCCATCCAATGATCCAATGAGGCGCTTGTACGAGGGAAATCATATACCTCGCTGGGTAGCCTGAGCTAGGTGTGGAGCGCACTGTTTGGGATATGGCCTGGCAGTACATCGTGATAATACATCACGAGATAAGCGAGCAACCTAAAGACAATCTCCAAATCAGATAATGTTTCCGTCGCGTAAATTCTCTCCAATTGTAAGCAATGTTGCACTTTTGCGCGAATCCTCGTTTGCAGCCCACCAATCGGGCCTAACAGCTTAGCATGGCTTCCGCTACACAGGGCCTCATGAGCCCCACGAAATTAAGCGTCGGGTAATTAAATATGAGGAGGTACCAAGGTACTATGCAGGCTCGGGTATTATACACCACAATCACTTCGGCTCCCCTTGGTCAAATCAGGAGCCCAGACAACAAAATATGTTTAATGCAGTGGAGTTACTGAACAAATGCTACACCTAGTCTCGGGTCCGATGCAGCAAAAAGCACGGCATTTGTCGCTTTCGGGTAATCTCGAGGCGTCTGATAAGAGGTTCTTAGCAACAAGGCACGAATGTTATCTTTCTCGAGTATCATAATGAAAATATTATCTCTGTGGATTTGTCAAGCATGACGCAATGGGGCCAATATAGACCAATGTCATTCCCATCTCAGTCGCCTTCCTTACAACCAAGACAGGTGCAGCCACCCATTGTATATCTCGTCATCAGTCACAGCGTGGCAATGGTCGATCGAATCGCTCGAATTCCAAACCTGGTGATGGGTGGTGCAGGCTTCAGCTACCAGCTTCATCCAGATCCCGAGTCTCTACCAATTCGGGAAATACTTCTTCGCGCCTTCGACTTGGGCCTTCGTGCTATTGATACCTCTCCCTATTATGAGCCATCGGAACAGCTATTAGGGGCAGCACTGTCTCATTCCGATATCAAGTCCAAGTATCCACGGAAGGATATCATACTCATGACAAAGGTCGGCCGGATCAAGGAGAGAGAATTCAACTATTCGCCATCATGGGTTCGCAAATCGGTGATGCGTTCACTAGACAGATTCCAAACAACGTACCTTGACGTTGTCTTCTGCCACGATGTCGAGTTTGTCACCATGAAAGAAGTCATGGGTGCTATAGAAGTGCTTCTGGAGTTTCAGCGCGCGGGCAAGATTATTCGCGTAGGAGTCTCGGGCTACGACATTGAGACTCTAGGTCAAATAGCCACCATGGTGCGAGACCGCTACGGAAGACCGCTAGATATTATTCAGACTTGGGCGCAACTTACCCTACAAAACACCAAGGTCGAGTCATGCGGGCTTGACCTGTTCCAGGCGGCCGGAGTTGCATCTGTCTTGTGCTCTAGCCCGCTGGCAGTGGGACTCTTGCGCAACGGCGGCATTCCCACCGGGCGGACTGGCGACTGGCACCCAGCACCGCATGCATTGAGGGAGGTTGTGCAAATGGCAGCTGAATGGGTCGAGGAGCAGTCTGAATCCATGGCATCTGTTGCTTTGAGATACGCCATTGCCAAATCGGTTTTGAACTGTCGTTCACACGTGGCTGTGTCAACGGTGGTGGGAGTCAGCACCATGGCCGAGCTGGAGGAAAATGTTGCCACAGCTAAATCCATTCTCAAAGCCGTTACCGTGGATTCGTGCGCAGGGGGTCTGGGCGACTACACAGAGGTCGACGAGATTGCCTACCGGCGCGACCAGCCATTGTACAATCATATCCAAGGTGCATTGGGGCATTGGCTTGATTACGATTTTGGTAGCACAAAAGTTGGATCGTCAAAGCAGCTGAAAGACGTCGGCATCACAAATGGCAGCGATTCGATTGAATCAGTGAAGACATCGTCTGTAAGATTGGGTTGATCGAAGGTATAGACATACACTATAGAAGGCCGAACACTTGGCGGAAGCGCAGAGTGACCTTGGTTGCTGTATCGGACATCCAGTCAGCTAAATAAAGTGCGCCACAAGGTCACAGATTAAGAAATCACAGCTAGAATGTAGATATTCCTCGCATCGATTGAATATATCGTTCTTAAATCTATCCATTGGACAAATAAAAGGCCGTATAGTCTTGGTTCGTATGTCGTGCAGTGGTAAATGGTATTCGACTCCAATTGAGACAATGCGTGGCGCTGGCAAAAAGTCCCATCACCAACAACTATTGGTGGCTTAACACACCACCCACCCACGTGGCTAGAATGTGGAGGTGGCCCTTCCCCAACCCTAAGCCGCATTACACTCAACCCGCTTTAGGTAGACCCGACGCACCAAAACGTTAGCTAAGGCCGTACCTGGCAGAAATTGGGGATTTCCCCGCGTTTAGGTCCCTTGCTCCGTCATCGTCGTGGCTCGCCGACGGATAATAATAATAAATAGGCGGCACAATGCCTTCCTCTCCACAGCGCCATCAGCAGCAGCCCTATCTGGTATCCGCTGGCATGTAGCGAGGCCACTTTCTACTCTGGCACGGGTCAAGCAGCAAAGGGAGCGATCGCAAGCAGCCAACCAGATCCATCATAACAAGCGAGGAGCAGGCATGGAGTCTACGGAGACGGGCCCCCAGTCAGCAGCAACTAAGCTACTGGTCGAACAGCCACCAGATCAACGTATGCCGCGGATGCGCAAGAGAACTGCTCGGGCTTGCGATCGCTGTAGCAGCCTTAGGGTGCGCTGCGATGGCAGCAAGCCATGGTAAGTTTTCAGCAATGTACCCTGCTCTTTTCCCTGCCTATTCAAATTTTTCTTCTTTTTTCGTCTCCATTTACTAGCCTTCCCGGCCGCTTGATCCGTACAAATGGAGTGTCTGCTCATTCATTTGGACTGTTTCTTTCAGCCGCCGTTGTCGAGGTAGGCATATACTCCAAACAGCCGTCTCTGTTTTTGCACGGCAGTGATTACCTGGGCGATTAACTTTCGACGGCGCGGTTTAGAATATGAGCAAGCCTGCTTTTACACCCGCACTATCGGGAAGAGAGGGCGCAAACCGCACTCGAGCTTTCAGAACACGCTGCCGTCTCCTACATACCATAGCCCGAGTCAGGATTCTCCAGACAATACCACGAATCTTGACGAGGGAGAAGGGCACATCCCGGCTCAGCCTGCCTACCAAGAAGAATTCCACGTCATCACAGTTGCAGATCGTGGCAATACACAATGTCCCATCCAGTCCGATACTTGCAATCGACCGCAAAACGAATCATCCTTTTCACCTCTGGATTTAACTCCCGGCACCAGTCCCGAAACCTATACCAGTCTGGTGGCATCAAGTGACAGCAGTAATAATCCAGATGTCCCTGAACTATCGGTCTCTGGACTTCCAGGAGAAGTTCTTGTGCACACGAACAATGATGCAGTTCGCAGCATTCCTTTGGCCCAGCAGATGCCGGCTGGACATGCGCGACAACTCACACCGCCGAAGGATTACTCAGGTAACGCACGGCCCAGCGACCTTCTGCTCTCCAGATTCAAATGCCTTCAACCAGTTCTCCCAATGCTACAAGGCATCATCGACGAAAGTCTTGCCTGCAAGCTTCTCGAGTCATATTTCAGGGAACCAGGCCGGTCTTTATTCGAATGTGCATCGCCATATGTGCTGACACATGTACTTCGTAAAGAATCAGTGCTGCGATCGGATAGTCCACGCCGCACAACCTGCGCATTGTTGGTCACGATTCTTTGGGCTGCTTCGCAGACTGCAGATGACGACTTCTTCCTCGCTCCCGGCCGGAAAGCAACAGTATGCGAGGAACTGAGGAAATTGATGATTTCACTCATTCACCAACGCGATCATGACTCCTGGGATAGGGACACTTGTGAGAGCCTCTATGACTTCAATGTATGATAACTAGGTGATCAGGTGTGCTGATATGCATTAGCCGGCATGTACGTGAGGAACCAAGACTCTGATACGGGCACCACTGGTCAGAATTGGCAATCAAACAACACTTTGCGGCGGCCGGCCTCCCAGGAAGCACCTCCCGTCCCATCTGTTGACGACGTACTCACTCTCTTACTTCTAACAATCGTTGTCTCCGGGGGGGACTTCAAGGCTGATTGTTTTCGCTGGTGGCATAAAGCCTTGCGTCTCTCTCGCCTCATGGGCCTAAATCGCGAGGATGGCTTTGCAAATGCCTTGATGTCCTGCTGCACAGGAGGCACCAATTGCGCGTGCCGCTCCTGCGATGCCATTCGGTCGCGTATTAGCGTGCCCGAAGTTCAAGAAGAGAGGCGACGCGTGTTCTGGCTCATGTTTTGTCTGGATCGACACTTGGCGCTGTCACTCAACTCACCAGTGCACATTCTCGATCATGATTGCCTTATATATCGCCCAAGGCCAGATGACGAATGGGAAGCCCTTGACCCAAACTCTTGCGCGGACTATGGCCTGAGAGGCAGGGTGTTAGGACCACCCACGACCATTTCAGGAACGAGCTTTTGTGACTACTTTTTACCTTTGATGGCAATTCTAGGTGATGTGATACATTTGCATCGACGTAAGTCTCATCCACGCTTCTCTGGAGCCCGGCAAAGCAATGGGCTTGATGCAGATACTGCAACTGTCGAAGGTGTGCTTGATGATTGCGAGAGAAGCATTGACAATCTGGCACGACTGTACGGCGTAGATACTCTCGATGGGGTTCCAATTGCAATGTCAAGCGGTCATATGACATCGTCTCCCTTGGGCATATCGCAGCAAGGATTGCCTGGAGCGCCACCGCTCACCCCTCTGCCTCAGCATCCAGTTTCCTCTATAGGTCCACCTTTCGCACCGTCCCATGACCTGCCAACAGATCTTCGTCCTGGTTCTCCGGACCAGCCCACGAATATCTCCGAGGCCAGAAAGCGGTCGAGTGAAGCAGCACACCGTAGCCAGGCGCGGCTCGTCACCGTGTACAGCAAATTCATTCTGCATGTGCTGCATGTTCTCTTGCACGGCAAATGGGATCCCATTTCAATGTTGGAGAATGCCGACGGCTGGATCTCCTCGGTCGGGTTTGTCAAGTGCGCATCGCACTCAATTGCCGCCTCTGAGGCCGTCTCGGAGATATTGGCCTGTGATCCGGAGCTGGCTTTCATGCCGTATCTCTTTGGTATCTATTTACTGCATGGAAGTTTTATTTTATTGCTCTTTGCAGACCGTATGCCACAAATCGGACTAAATGAGTCGGTGGAGCGAGCATGTGAAATAATCATCCGTGCTCACGAGGTTTGTGTCGTAACGCTTAGCACCCAGTTCCAGGTACGTCTGACATGGCAAACATGCCTAGTAAGACGGTGATGCTAACATTCATTTCCCACAGATACGATTCCGAAAGGTGCTTCGATCTACCTTGTATAGTGTTCGCAGTGCGGGAGAACCGTCTACAGCGGAAGAGAGTGCGTCTCGTCTGCGGGTATTGTCCTTGTATAGATGGAGTGGAGGGTTCACAGGACTTGCGGCATAGAAACGGCCCAGTGCAAGGACGAGAACATACGACCGTATATGCTACAGAGTTCGAGGCTCCTCGCAGGAGGATGCAGCCATATCAACTGCGCCTCGATATACGACCCGTATGTTCTTGAGCTATCTGTAGAGATGAACATGATGACCATTAGTAATTAGCATTGTCTTAGCTTGTAATGTTAATAATCGGGATCTTCATACACCGTCGAGTTTCTTTATCGATTCGATTTCTCGAACTTGTCACAAGTCCAGATGGTGGGATGAGAATCACCCCGTTGGACGGAAATAGCACGTTCACACCATGCAAATCCGGCCTGTCCTATTGCGACGGGTTGACGATTCCGGCGGCTCACTTCCCGGTTGAGAGAGTCCGACTTGTTCGGATAGTTGCGATCTCCGCTCAATATGTGGGCTTCTGCAACCACTCACAGCCATACCCGAGGCCGGCCAGCCATGCGCAGCCTCGCACAGTCTGCCTACCTAGGTAGGTAAATATCTACATATCGCAACAGCGACAGAGCGGGGAAAGTGCGGTTCTCTCCGATAAGGCTGGATTGCATTTGTGTGCCAGACTTCCTGCCCGAAATACTCTTCGATTCCTGCTCTATGAGTCCTTATTCATTCACGATTGAGGTTCAACATTTTTCCATCACTGGAACATCGAGTGCTGCTTTCCATTTCGCTAAGTTCTAGAGCGCGTAGTACCAGACCTGTTTCTCATCCGTTTACAGAACGTACCTGTATTTGACTACCATCTCGTCAATGCAACCCAAATCCTGTCGCAATGCAAAAATACAACTACGAGCCTCTGCCTCCGCGGCACATCCGCATCGCAACTTTGCATTCTGTAAGAGATAGCGGTGATACCATGATCCAGATCACTTTGCGTCAAGCCATGTTCGATACTTATAACGATGATGAAATTGAGGATGGAGGGCCAATCAAAGATTTACAGAATGCCGGCAATGGGAAAAAGCCATCGCTTCTGTCGCGAATGCAAGACCTGCACCTCGGCTCTCGCGTGAAGCAGATGGTCAAAGGGCGCGACAATGCCACTGAACTAGGCTACCCTTTGCGGCTAGGCAGCAAGAAGCCCCGGTATGAAGCATTATCGTATTCTTGGGGTCTTAGAGGGGCCGAGCCGCCGGTTGTGATGATTTCGGATACTCGCAGCCAAGACGCGTACCCATTTCAAGTCAGCGACAATCTTCTATCGGCGCTACGGCGGCTTCGCAAGAACAAGAAGCCCAGAGACCTCTGGGTTGATCAGGTTTGCATCAACCAGGAGGACGAAGAGGAAAAAGCGGTACAGGTATATATAAGGTCGATCCATATATGTTGCCACTTCTTTTTAGTTGATATAACACGTCTAGGTTGCTATGATGGGTGCGATTTATGCAAACGCTGATGCTGTTCTCGCCTGGATAGGCGAGGAGACCGACGATAGCCAGCTTGCCTTTTCCACCTTCACCAATATTGGGAAGTTCCTCTCGAACCCCAACAATGAACCTGGTTTATCTTTCGACGAAGAAAGGCCGGGCTTGTGGTTACCTGATGAACCCAGCCCCGATGCGTTGGCTGCCGCGAATGAAATGTTAAAGCGGCCGTGGTGTAGCCGGCTATGGATACGCCAGGAAATCGCTCTAGCTAAGCAAGAAACAGCCGTAATCGTTTGCGGATCTTTGACTATACCCTGGAAATATTTCCGTGCAGGTGGAATCTACATTGCGCATATTAAAAATCAGGCAACCCCCATCCCATTTCCCGTCCTGGCATGGGGAATATACTTATTCGACGAATTCTTGGACCGGGTTCCAACAGGTCAAATCAAAGGTGGCGACGCAAGTCTTTCTGTTCTTCGGGAAATGAGCTGGGGCACCGGATGTGCTGATAGTCGTGATCGAATCTTTGCCAATCGGGCCTTGCTGGCATGGCCGGATGAGCGCCAGCGACTCCGCCCTAGTTACGCCAAAAAAAAAAAAAAAAAAAAAGCGCCTCAGGTTTATCAAGACGCCGTTGTTGCATATTTGAACTCACATAACGACCTGGTAGTACTTAACCAGTGTCGGTGGAAAACGCTCAGTTCTTCGGAATGGGGAGCGCCAACTTGGTGGGTTTTGTCTACCTCACGGCTAGCTACCGCAACCACTCATCAAGTATGCAGGGTTCCAGATTGGTCTGATACGAACGTCCCAACCATGCCGAAGTTCTTTATCACTGATAATGGTCTTAAAGCCTCTGTCAGGCTGGCTACTCCGTTCAAGATTGAGGGCAATGTTTTGCAGGTGGCAGGCGTTCATTTAGGTACAGTCAGCAGCAGGATTTCCCTGTCAGATGCAATGACAATTGAGAACACTCTCGAAGAGGTCCAGGAATTCTTTGCTTCTGATTCAAGTTCTTTGTGCGCTCATTATTGCACAAACCCGGCCGGGGTCTTTACGCTTGGCGATGCTTACATCGTGTCTCTGTCCGCATGCGACCTTGACTGGTCTTTACCAGCACCCACCCACCCCCATGATCTAGACGGAGATCTTTCTCAGAGACTTCAAGCTATTCGTCCCTGGATGTCAGCTTTAGGGCAGGCCAGCGCTGATGCTTCCTCCGTGATGCCAGAATCCTTAATCAACTGCATCCGAAAAGCTAGACAACACCAAACGCAGCTTTTTCGCACTAGCCATGGCAAAGCAGGCCTGTCTTGGGCACCAGCTATGGAGCTAGGCGATTGTGTCTGGATCTTATTCGGTTGTAATGTGCCCATGCTACTGCGTCCTGTGGCTTCTACCAATACCGGAGGCATGACGGCAGACCGTGACCCGCACCAATATCAGGTCGTAGGGCCTGCATATCTTCCTTGGGTGTCCGACGGGGAGCCCATCCTAGGCGAGCTTCATCCAAAATGGTATCGATTTGGTGCCGACGAATTTATCGACATGGGAGAGGGCGATGATGCGATTCAGTTTTTTGCAGCCATGAATGAATATCCGGGGGTCCGAGTCGGTCCCAAAATTCAGGCCCAATTCGATCCCCGATTGAAAGAATTGCCATTCACCTTGGATACTATTCGGACGCGGTGGCCCAAGACGGAGCGGTTGCGGGATACATTCGTCAATGTCCCGTTCAATGAGTTGGAAACTACGCTGGCTGAACGTGGAGTCAAGGTTGAGCGACTGGACTTGGTCTAGTATTTGCTTATCAAGTGTCCTAGCATACAAGTGGCATTGAACCATAATTTCAATGCGGTACAGCATGTTTGTTGGTGAGAATTGGAATTCTTTCAATTGACTCTCGCAAGCAAGGCAGTCTCCCTTCCCCAGAATGAATCTCTGTCCCGGTATCAGACAGCGCACAACCGGACGATTGTCCACTTGAACCAATTAGGAAGAGTAATGCGACTGTGATATTCTGATGGATGTTTTGATCCAAATTGAAAACGCTTACTTGGGTCAAACGTCACATATCCCATTAGGCTCTATTGCCCGGTAATTCGAGGCTGTTTCCACATAAAAATGTTTTTCCAAGTTATGACTGACTTACGATTATAGGAAATGTAGACTTCAGTACCATAATAGTAATCTCTCCGCTGGCCTTTGGCGGAGTTGTTATTTGAGTAGCTGGTAGTCATTGCTTCGCCTTCCCTAGCCACAACAACCGGAAAGAACAACTTGCCGAGCCCTTCACCGCCAGCCACGACTTGAGCACCGGTGAGGCTGAAGGCTGTTGCATTCAAGCGGAGTAACCATTCGTGTCACCATTTTCGAGCCAATAGCTTGTGATGCGGATGAATCCCTGGTTCTTATCTGCTGCAGCTGGATGTCGCTTACCCCGCCCAGCCTTTATGAGGCACTGCTTCGTCCTGGCGGACCGAATAAGGTTCTGAAAACATTTCCCTCAAAATCACTTGCTTACTTCCCACTGAAAATCGAATCGTATTCAGTTGTTGTGTTCATTAGCCATGGCCAACCTGAATGGAACGTCTAGTTCGGAGGAATTTGCGGGCGATGAATTCTCAAACAATCTCTTCAGCGACCTCGCTCCTCTCCTCACGCTGTTTGGTGAACAGGTGACGAAACAATTCTTGAGCATGAGGCAAGTAGAAACCAAACTATGCTGATCATACACTGTGGTCCTGTTGCTAATGCTGCAGAATTTAGTACGTGATCTAACTGCTCTATTACCATTGACTTGTGCTCACCGCTGGCAGGTATGGGCTGGGCAGATAATATTTTACTGGCCATGGGACCCCTAGGAATCATGACTATTGTCGTCAGCGCAATCCGTGTTGGTCGTGTCAAGATGCTTAAAGCCATGGTTGGAAGGTAAAGCGCCACCCCTCTGCTTTAGAGGCTAGGTCAGTTGACTCACATATGTTGGTAGGGCGCGAGGAAGTCAGTCAGATGCAGAGCAAGAACTTCTCTCTTCCACATCCGAGGACGTTTGCGAACTATGGAGTGGCCACGAAATTGTCCGTGTCATGGGTCAACCAGCGGGCATGAAGACGTTGATCATTGTTGACGACACGGTTCATGATATCAAGTCTGGGGTGCGGAGACGTATTATTGAAGATTCTAATCCTGAGGATGATGCTCTCGACTCTCTGACTGACGCTGCCCCCAACCTAGCTCTCAATGTTCGAAACTCCACTGCTCCGTCTTGGGAGCTATGATCTTGGCCGCAGTGGGAATACTCCTCCAAGTCATCGCGGTTGTGATACCTGGGGTAGCGACATACGTCTGGCAATGGCCCAAGGCCGGTGTCAAGGTTCAGAACTATGGGTATCCTTGTTTTGTGATTGGGACCACTCTTGTAGTTCTCGGCACAATGGTTTGTGGGCATGTCATTGAAGGAGTTACTACTGAGCACAAGTTCACAAAGCACCCCGATGCGAGTAAGATGCAAGTGGTACGGCTTCAGCGGGCCTCTACTGTCAGCGGCCAGCATTTCTCGTCATACGCAATATTCAACGATGAAGACAACCAAAGCATTCGAACATCTCGTTTGAACACTGCTGATTTTAGGTATGACCATTGCGCATACCCTCATTACGATACTTTGGCATAATTGGAATTTTTCCTATTCCGGCACGCCTCACATGACACCTATCTAGCTACCAACTGACAAACGCATTAGCACTTTGGCGGCCACTTCTTCACTTCTCTCTGTCGTGGGCTTCATAATACAATTCGTCGGTCTCAGAGCGCTTCACTGGTCGGCTACTATTATTCAACTTGGTATCACAATCATAATGACAGGAATTCGCGCCTGGGTCAGGAGAGGACTCGCCTCTGACCCTAAAACGAACGTCACTCTAGACGGGCACGAAATGGCTTGGCTGACTCTTCACATTCTCCCGAAAGACCGTTATACTCGCCGACATCCACGTCGATCGAGTGAACGAGAGGAGCCTAAACCAACGAGTGATGCACCAGCACCGGACTCTGAGACCGACGTCACGCCATTGCAGAATTCGCGTGGATCATTAGAGGTCGCCGAAGCAACATCCCAAGGCGATCCAGAGCTGGAAAGACAACAGCAATTCTGGGACATACCATTTGATAAGACTTTCCAGAGTGCCGAGCAGATTATCTGGGAGCCAATTATGGGTTATGATTCTTATCGAGAAACAGCATGGAATGTGGTAGAATTCACTGAAAAACAAACACTCAGTGAGATTTCCGTTGGTTTGGGAACGAAAACAGAGCACCTTTATACGTTCCAACAACTGTTTCGCCCACTCCAATTCGATAACTTTCTACATGTAGAACCGTATGATCGCTATGAAGCGGCTGCTGATGGCGCGCTGGAGTTATACCAGCAGATTGCCAATATCATGCCGGCAAGCAATGCAGTGGTTAGTGCAGCCAACTCGTTGGCAACTGTGGTGGAGCGAGTTATGAAAATCGTGTGCGACGTCAAGGCGATAGAGTGGAAGACAAAAGACATCCCAATCGCCGAAACAAATGCCGACAAGGATAGTTCAGACTGGATAGCATCAGGCAACCGACTTTCTGATGACATATATTGGGGAGTTACCATCTCAACCCGTATGCCTTCGGAAGAAACGGCACGGACCAGCAAGCTCTATTTCCGTACGAAAAGGGTAAATGAAGACCCCAATGCTTCGATTGCAAGGATTGGGACTGTCCCCAATGTTTCGACTGCAAAGACTGGCACGTTCCGATGGCAGTTTCAAGACCGAGAATCAATCATTGGCGTGTTGTCACTATGGTTATATTCAATGGCCAGAAGACAGAGCTCGATCGAAAAGTTCAATGAGTTTCTCGTCCGGGTTAGAAAAGAACGTTTCAACTATGTTGAGTCCGGAAGAATTGGGCGTATCGTTGCCACGAATTCGTTAGGAGATTTCTCAGATGTTTGGCATCCCTTGTCGAAGTGGCTAGGCGTCCCGATAACAGAATTGCCATTACCGAATGGTCAGAACCGTGTCCAAAGCTTGATTTCAGAGACCCGTTCAGACATGACTTGGTTTCTGGGAATGTTCCTGTCACCCATGGCTGAGTAAGAATCCCGATATTAGAGTGGTTTTCAACAACTTCTAAGTGGTATATATGTAGCTAATGGGCTATCGCAGACCGAGCACGCAACCGAAAACGTCTGGCCAAAATGAAACTTCCTCTCAGAGGGGCACTTTGGTTGTCCAAACACGTGATGATTCGAGCCTCGAGATTCAGTTTGCACAAGAGCTTTTCTCCTTGTTTATACTTGCCTTGGCAAAAAACATCAGCAAAGTGCTGGGAAACACGGTCTATGACGCGGTCAGACATAATGTGTCCCGCGAACTGGGTCAACCTTCAATATCCATGCAGAATTCTGTCTTCAATGCGATCGCGGAAGAGGTTGTCAACAACGGACTAGCCCACGACACAACGGAAGCTTATTCGTTGATCATACCGGCTTTTCACAAATTGGATCTCCTACCTACCCCAGGAACACAACTTGAAACTGCATCATCTACACAATAGGTGGGACAGAATCCAACAGCCCATGCGGACAGCGAGTGAGCCAAACTAAATAAGGCTTGACATTTTAAGCCTCTGTGGATTCTCGGCGTGATGCCGAGAGTCAGGATTCAGTCTATGGCAGTACAATAGAAACACATACCTAGACATCCCCAAGTGTTCCACAATTCCAGAAGTTGCAGTACCCCTGTTACAACATATTCGTAGCCATGGCATTTCGTGATCCATAGTGCGTGCCTTCTTTAATGGTAGCCTTTTCAGGATGCCTGAATGAGTCGCCTTGGCGAAGTCTTAGCAGACTTGATGCGAATTGATGCGGGGTTTTAGGGAGCTTCACAGTTAACTCGGACCCCTCCAACAGCTCCATATCCACTATGAAATAGGCTTTTACAACAATTGCCCGCTCGGCCAAAGACCGAGCCCCTTCGATGAGGAGCCATGGGATATTGTGAAAAGACGTCACTGTCCTATTCATGACAGTTTGGTTTTTATACATGAGCAGTATTGCAGCATTTCCCTGATTGAGATGAGTCTTCACCTTCACACTCGTAGTGTTTTTCTTGTTTAAAGTGTGTCGCAAACATGACATCCCAAGCCCGCTATTATGTTAAGCCGACGGACGCCCAGACGTTTGCGCAGGCCGTCTTAAGCAAAGCCGGTTTGCCTCGGGATCACGCCAAGCTCATGGCCGATTGCCTTGTCCAGGCTGATGTACGAGGAGTAGTAAGTAGAAATTCTTTACAATTCCTCGAGGACGTCAACGCCTGACATGATTGTAGGATACTCATGGCCTGGCCAGACTGCAGCAGTACATGGACCGTGTCTCGACTTCGCTCGTCAAGGCTCAGCCAGAACTCAAATTTTTAGAGAAGACGCCGGTCGCTGCGCATCTGGATGGCGACAATGGCTTTGGCTTCATTGTAGCGTCCAAGGCCATGGAAGATGCCATCCGGCGTGCTGAGACCTATGGCATTGGCATCGTCACGGCCAAACATTCAAACCACTTTGGTATGGGCGCTACCTATGTGCTTCAAGCTCTGGAAAAGGGCATGATTTCGCTAGTGTTCACAAATTCAGCCAAGCAAATGCCGCCCTTTGGAGGCAAAGACACTCTGCTGGGCATCTCCCCATTCGCCGCAGGTGCACCAAGTAAGAACGAGGTACCGTACGTTCTCGACATGGCTCCTTCGGTAGTAGCCAAGGGCAAGATACGACGAGCAGCACGTCGCGGCGAAAAGATTCCTCTAGGCTGGGCATACGACAAGGATGGAAAGCCCACGGAGGACGCCAATGAAGCCTTGAATGGTTCCATGGCACCCATTGGCGGTCCCAAGGGGTCGGGTATCGCCATCCTGATGGACGTCATGTCTGGAGTCTTGTCTGGCGCCGCCTTTGGGGGCGAGGTTGGCGATCAGTACAAGGAGGCTCGCCCACAGAATGTGGGACACACTTTCATTGCAATCAAGCCAGACATCTTCATGTCCTCGGAGGAATTCCGCTCGCGCATGGATACGCTGGTGCAGCGTGTTCACGGTGTGACGCCAGCTGATGGCTTCAAAGAGGTCCTGTTCCCTGGGGAACCCGAACACCGACTCAGCGTCCAGAGATCTAGGGAAGGCATCCCTTTTGCGGATGCTGAAAAGGACATGTTTGAAGAAATTGCAAAGAAGTATGGCGTTGAACCTCTGCCAATGTCAACCAGTGCCTACGCATTGTGAGTGTACATGATTTAGACGGAACAGTAAGAGTAGAGCTATGAATTCGCGAAGAATTGATGTTGAATATTACATCTTAACAGCTCATACCTAGCTCATAGCCACCAATGATGATTGTGGATTTCCAGTGTTGATTGCGCAGCTCACGCTTATGTTGTCCCAAACCATTGCCAGTCATGGTGCTAAGATGCTAAAAGGCTCATTGCATGTCGCGCATATTGCTATGCATTTCCTCTTGTGTATGATGAGAATGGAATGAAGTCGTAAACCATACTTGGCCACCGCCACAACGCAAGATATGATGCCAGTTCAGGATCTACATTTGAACTCCGAATATTCTCTTCCCGAATCTTATTTGCGCGCAGTCTAGTACCGTACAGGCTGGATGAAATCATCCTCAATCTATTTCTTCCCACGAAACTTGGCAAAAGCTTCCTGCACCGACATTCCCTCTTTGATGGCTTCAGCGCACTTCGCATCTGCATTCGCTATGGCTGGTATCGCATCAAGTACTTGCTCAGCCAAGCCAGCAGGCAGGCACACCACGCCGTCCTGATCAGCAATGATGAAATCACCCGGTTTAATGACGGCCTCATGTATCGAAGATTGCAGGGACACGGGCATATTGAGCTCAGACGGGAAGCATACAGCGCCGCCGGCAGTGGTACCGACACAGCGTGCAAAGACCTCGAGTATACAAGTTAGCATGTATGTAGTTTGAGTCGCTTGTGCGCGTATCCGAGGAGTGTGAGAGAGTCTGGACAACGAACCGGGAATTCAATATCTTGGTGTTCTTGTAGATCCCGTAGTCTGCCGTCAATGATTACGCCTGCCGCATCCAGATACTTCGCCCTCAGAGACATGAGGCCCCCGTAGCAAGCATTAATATGCGGTGCAGGCTGGGAGATGAAGACCACTGCGCCTTTTGGAATCTGGTCAATCTAAACATGTAGACTGAGTGAGTTGGTGTTTCCTATGCATATCTGCTCAGAGTAAAACCTACATAGTTGCCCTGTATTTTGGGCGCATTTTGGTCAGACTTGGGCGCAAATTTGACCGTCATGGCTGGTCCGACAATCCTCGTGGGCCCATTCTGGAATTGAGGCGAATACATGGTCAAGCCTTCAAGAAAGCCGCCGTGTACATGGCCAAGCTTTGAGAGTCCATCTGCAACCTGATTGTTGCATTGGTCAGATTCGATTGCAATGGCAATGCGTTGAAGTGAATCGGGGAACTGCTTAGCTTACTTACATCGCAGCTGGACCACTTTTGTAGTCTTTCAACAATGGATGACGTAGCAGAAGTCATGATGGAATGCCTCAAGATCCCGATTGATTATTGTATACCTCGTCTGTTGCAATGATTGACATACAGCGACAACTATTATGCCGACACTCGCACAGTCTATAGAGGTCTGGTCTGGGCAGCCCAATGACGGATGTGGTCCCACAGCATCTCCAGAGCGTGCCCACGGCGTAAATTAGGCGCTGGCCGGCGGTAGGCCGAGCCAAATTGGAACTCTCGGTATTTGGCCGACCACTAGCGGCAGCACCTTGGTTCAACCACCACAATTGTATTGTGTTGGCACATTAGAACTGCTTGGCAGCGTGCATTCTAGGAAAATGAAGATCGAAAATTGTTTGCGCCTGTGGGGCTGGCTATGTTAATCCGCTTCATATCAAAATTATTCGAGAACAATCCTGACAGACCTGTCAGACAATCAATGTCTTATCCCCAGAAGCCAGTACCGAGAGGAGCTTGGGACACTCATCACCACATATTCGAACCACATCGATTTCCCTTTGCTAAAGGACGACATTTCACCCCGTCCACTGCAAGTCTCCAGCAATTGAAAGAATTTGAAAGATCAATTGGAGTGGATCATGTGTGCATCGCCCATGGACTGTCGTACGGACCTGATTGCACCTCGCTCTTATACTACATAGAGCAGTTTAATGGAACCGCCCGTGGGATATGTGTTCTGGATTGCGCTACAGTGACGGACCAACAATTGGATCAATACCATTCTGCTGGAGTTCGCAGTGTGCGCCTCGATTTCTTTCGGGCACAAGCCATGAATGATGTGGAAAAGCAGGTCTCGTTGATCCACGAAACCGCCAACAGATTGATCAAATGGGGTGCACACAGTAAAGCTTGGGGTATTCAAATCCAGCAACCCAAATTATGTTATTGGAACAGGCTACGTGAAGTAGCTGCCAGTCTTGCCTTCCCACTCGTCCTGGACCACATGGGTCTCTTCAAGGCGGCCAGTATGGCACCAGCCGGCTCGACTCCCGTCACGCAACAAGCAGAGTGGCAAGACTTTATGGGAGCTCTGCGCGACGGAAACCTATGGATCAAGATCTCTGCCCCGTATCGCAATTCCCGGGCGGCTCCTCACTTTGAGGACTTGTACGATATTGTCACCCAACTCGTGAGAGCACGCCCTGATCGAGTCGTGTGGGGGAGCGACTGGCCGCATACTCAACGACATGAGGACAGGAGACCTGAGAATATCGGCAAGCAGGAGCCTTTTTTGGTGGTTGACAATCAGAGCTGGATAGTGTCTCTTAGCACGTGGTTGAGCGAAGATGAATGGCAGGCTCTATGGGTTGAGAACCCTCGCAAGTTATATGACTATTATTCATAGGAGCCACAAACTAGAACCAAGACCAGACGAAAATATCTTGTATTTTATCCGGATTACTCTTTCGTAGATGACCAATTTAAGCGTAGAGAATAATTTAAGTAGCATCACTGAATCAAGGTGTGCGCTTGTGTAGTCTGTCGACCTTGGAGGCTTGTAGACTATCTGGTGGACGCTGAGCCTTCCCAAAAGGGGATTTCAGGGTAGACGTCAATGCTGCTTGTATACTGCGCAGGTAAACAATACTAAAATAAAACCCACGAGACTCAAAAGAACTTTTCATGAAGGAGACTTACAAACTTGGCAACGACAGTCTGACCATCATCTCGCTTCGGCGTTTTGGCCGAACTAGAGCCACCAGGTATTCCTCGGCCTCGGACCGCACAGGTTGCAGCGAATGCCCTCATGGCAGAGTTGTACATGAATGCACAAGCATCACGAACCAGAAATCTCGGACTTGTATTTTGCAGTTTGCAGTAATCATGTCTTTCCCTCAGACCAATCGCACATGGCAGATCCTCGACGCTGCTGCCAAGGCCGGTTATGCAGTTGGGGCCTTCAACTGGTTAGTATCTAACCAGTCCAAGCGACGCGGGATGGTGTTTCGTGTCACATGTTCACAAGGCTGACAATCGGTCCGCAGTTACAATGACGATGGCGTAATCGCCGTCATTCGCGCGGCCGAAGCCTCAAAATCGCCAGCCATCATCCAGCTGTTTCCGTGGACCATGAGATTTCAAGGCCCAGAGTTTGTCAAGTACGTGATCAATGCAGCGCACGCCGCCAGCGTTCCTATTGCCGTCCATCTCGATCATTGCATCGAGCCAGCCGACGTGGAAGCTGCGCTGAATCTCCCATTTGACTCGATCATGGTCGATGCATCAATACATGACCCGGAGGAGAACATTCGGCAGTGCGCAGCCATTGTGCAGCGGGCAAACGCCAAAGGGATCTCCATCGAGGCGGAAATGGGCCGGATCGAGGGCGGCGAGGATGGCTTGCCGCAAGTGGACTTGGACACAATCATGACGCATCCGGACGGTGCTCAAGATTTTGCGCAAAAGACTGGCGTGCAGTTCTTGGCCCCCGCATTTGGTAATATCCACGGTCATTATGGACCAGGCGGTCCCGAGAAATACTGGAATCTTTCCCTGTAAGCAACCATCCCGGGCGTATTGCGCGTTTCGGCGTCGCTAAGTCTGCATGTTTCGTATAGGCTCGAAAAAGTAAGGGATGCGGTTCCTGGTATACCTCTGGTGCTGCATGGTACCCATGGCGTATCCAACGACCTCTTTCATGCTGCCCGGAGGCACGGAATGGTCAAGATTAACCTCAATCGCACAGTCCGCGACGAGTACACCAATTTTGTGGCCGAGAATGCCGGAAAACTGGAGTTGACTGTTCTCAAGATGAAGGCGGTGGAGGTGTACACAAAGTCGATCTCGAGGGCTATGAAGGGTATCCTAGGATCTGCTGGCAAGTCATGATCAATTTTCACTGTTGTAACGAATGATTATACCTGTGGCCATGATGATTGCAAAGTCGTGTGATGAAATACTCCGTAATCACCTAACCTTGGGTGTTCATACGTGGCTGGCAAAGGAAGCTGAGGTTTGTTGCAGGACGTGGTGGGGTTGATGCGCTAAGCCATAGGCCGCTAATGCCGTCACAAAATGTAGGTGGCCGTCGTAGCCAGCGTTAGGAGGACCTTTTCGAAAGATAGAAAGTAAAAGTAAAGGTTCAAAATGAATATCGAACAGCTTTCGCCAGAGTATATATCCAAATACCCAACAAGCAGAGATCTTTATTGTAGCCGATCCTCGTCATATGTGGCTCGGGACAGAATCTCACCTAGCATGCAGGTACTCTGTATCAATCAATTGGTGAGATGCCTCCCAAGGCCAAGTGACATGTCATAACTGCGGGCGGAACGGTCCGTTCTTACCCAAGTCGTAAGATTTATCACGTGAATTGAATGTATAAGAGAGCTGCTTACGTATATCTACCAGTTGGTGACGACAAAATGTGCTTCATTCATTACAATGTCGGCTTTTTGACATGATTCCCAGAGACAGAAATGTTGTCGCGCTTGACGGCCAGGGTTTAATACATGATGGTATTTTCAGCTGGCTTTTATTCCGTCTGATGGGTAAAAGTGGGCTTGTGAGGGGACCTGCCTGCATGCTGCTAATGCCATCGTGGCGCGACGGCAAAAATGGCGGGCGGATAGCAACAGGCAGGTCCTCCAGGCGAATATTTTGGTTCATTACTAATTCGGCGACCATCATTGTTCTGAGCGTGCCAGGTGACAGCTCAAAGTCTTCGTATTTCCATTTTGGGACACATGTCTGATGAAGAGTGTCCCCGAATGGAGAGCGGCTCTTCAAAACACTTTTGGGTCACGTCTCATCCTCCTCTCAAATAGGGTCAAGGAACGCAACTGAGTGAGTGGGGAGCTTGATCAAAAGACTAATAGCCCTGGCTCGCATGGCTGTCACGTACGCAATACTGCCCAGGTGGCGGCCCCTTCCACCAAGATGCAAGGATAATGCGACAGGATGGCAGCCTTATCCTGCGTCTGGACTCTGCCACTTCAAGATGACATTGGAAACTCGCGCGCTCGAGGTAGCTGAAAGCAGTGGGTTAAATTGCGCAAGACATCGATAGTTCTGTTACGGAGCTGCTATTGGCGTTGCTCAACCTAGATGAATCCATAGAGATCTGTAGCCACTTTCCTTGATTCGTCACTGGGTTCACTGAAATTTCAATCCTCACAGAGGATACTGGCTCAGAGCAGCTGTAAGGCAGTGGATGCCCACTGCGCAACCCCACGATAGTTTTGATCAAAGCTCCCCGTTCCTCCGCAATGCACTGCACTGCAATTTTAACCCTCACAAAGGGAACTGTACTGGCTCGGGGTAGCTGAAAGCAGTAGGTTGAGTCGGCGCAAGACATGACGATACTGTGCACCAAACGAAGGTTCCCCTACGCATGGCCCCAATAGCTGAGAGATGCAACCCCCCAGCCAATCACCACACCTACTTCCAGCAATCCCCTGTCCATAGCTCACTCAGCCCGCCGCATATGTACAGTATCAGAAGGTTTAGTTCTTGCTAGGGGGTGGGCGGCACATGCTGCTGCTTGGCCTTCTTGGGAGGCATCACTCAGCCTCAGTGTGACTCTGCGAAAGGTAGGGATAGGCCAAGGCAAGACGAGGCAGACAGTCCAAGAGGTAGGATTGGGGGTCATCTCATAAGGAATCAGGTGGATGGATTGGAAAGAGAGAAAGGTGATAGGCAGGCAATAAAATGAGGAAACCGATCATCACCGAAAAGCACGAGAGGGCTGAAAGTTCCCAGGCAACCTTGGCGACCCACAAACCCAACTCACCCTAGCTCGCTCGCTTGCATCAAGGTATAATAACCTTGCCTGGATCGCTGGCCGCCCTCTAGAAACTAGAGTGTAATTTTGTCTCAAACGTAAACCTTTCACATGCTGCTGAGGATCATATTCTTTGCGGCATAAGTGTGTCTACCAGTAAGTGACTTCATTAATCACGCCAGCTGCTGCTACATCTAGCTTTAATTCTATCTGTGATTCCTTATCTCTATGCACACTCGGCCCATAGAAATATAGACAGACATAAGCAGAACAAAGACCTTTCAACCTAGCGTACATCTGCGTATTCAACCACGATACTAACCAATATGCCTTCAAAAGTGGTCAACGGAGCAAACGGAACTCACGAGCCCCCGAGGCCACCACTGCCATCTGAGCTCGAGAAATGGCGCCAGAAGCTCCGCTCACAGTTTGAAAATGCAACCAATATACTCAAGGCCATCCGTCAGCCCTTGCCAGATCAAACCGATGGCGGCAGACCACTGGACCCCAAGGAGGAAGCTCACTGGGTGAAGAAGCTTGAGAGCGACCTGGGCGACTTGGGTCATTTGGGAATCACCGATGTCAAGACCTTGGTTGAGATGAGTGTCAAGATAAAGGAAGGTGACATGATTGATGACAGAAAGTACCTGAGTAAGTCTGTTTTTTGCTCCATTTTATACCCAATCGGGCCTGTTCGATGGCCTCACAGGGGCGACCGTCGTACACAAGACGTGATTGTGTCCCATGTTATTGGATTAATGGCTGATACTTCTCAATGCTGTAGTGGAAGGACTCGTCAAGGTGAGAACTAACAATCCCACCCGCTATGATATACATGTGTTTAATTCCTTCTAGGCCGCTTCTCAGTTACCTCAAGGATCCATGACGGGGGAAACCATTACTAGTAACTTTTTGACCACGCTTTGGAATGACCTACAACACCCACCTCAATCGTGAGTGTATTTCCGTGGCTTTCATAAGCGGCTTCAGAGAATGCGAGACTGACTTTGCCAGAATGCTCGGTGATGAATGGGCGTATCGCTCAGCTGATGGTTCTAGAAATGTGCGGCTCCTAGCACCCATACACTTCCCCGCAACTGACTGTCCTACAGAGCCTGACAAATCCTCACCTCGGACGAGCTGGAATGCCCTATGCGCGAACTGTGAAGCCCGAGACCGTTCAGCCCGCAGTCCTCCCTGAGCCAGGCCAGATTTTCGACAGCATTTTTGCCAGAAAGGATGAGAATCGGGAGCCTCATCCCAACCGAATCTCTTCAGTGCTTTTCTATCTTGGATCCATCATCATTCATGATCTGTTCAGGACCGACCATGACGACTACCAGGTTTCCCAGACCTCATCCTACCTAGACCTTTCTCCGCTGTACGGCGCCAATGCAGTTGAGCAAAAGACCATGAGAACATACGAGAATGGCAAAATTCACCCTGATTGTTTTGCGGACAAGCGAGTACTTGGTTTTCCTCCAGGAGTCTCTGTGCTATTGATCATGTTCAACCGCTTCCACAACGACGTTGTAAAGAACCTGGCCGAAATCAACGAAGGAGGGAGGTTCACTCCTCCCATCAGGGGTGACCCCAAATACGCGAGATACGCAGATGCCCAATACCAAAAGCCAGAGAACAAGCACAAGATACGTACCTACGAACTCGACCTGCAGAAGCGTGATGAGGATCTTTTCCAGACCGGGCGTTTGGTCACTTGTGGCCTCTACGTCAACTGCATCCTCCTTGACTATGTTCGCACGATTCTCAACCTCAACCGCACCGACAGCAAGTGGCAGTTGAATCCTCGCATGGAAATCAAAGGAACTCCACTGGCTACTGGAAATCAAGTTTCGGCCGAGTTCAACCTCGTCTACAGGTGGCACGCTGCCATCTCGGCCAGGGATGAGAAGTGGACGAATGAAAAGATGCGAGAGCTCTTCCCCAACTGCGATGACTTTAGCAGAATCACTGGCTTGCAGATGGTCAAGAAGCTTCACGAGTGGGAACAAAAGCTGAGCGCCGACCCCTTGAAGTGGCCGATTGCTGATGGCCTTGCTCGCAACCAAGAAACGAACAAGTTTAGCGATGATGACTTGGTCAAGATTATTACGGAAAGCATAGATGACCCGGCCAACTCATTTGGCGCAAACCGCGTACCAGTCGTCATGAGGGCCATTGAGATCCTCGGTATCCAACAAGCCCGAGCTTGGAATCTTGGCACTCTGAACGAATTTCGAAAACACTTCCAGCTAGAACCTCACCGAGAGTTCACCGACATCAACCCCAATCCCGAAGTTGCAGATCAGTTGCGACATCTGTATGGACATCCTGATCTCGTAGAGATGTATCCTGGCCTCATGGCCGAGGACGCCAAGGTGCCAAAGTTGCCCGGATCTGGACTTTGCCCGTCCTATACCGTGTCTCGAGCCGTGCTGTCGGATGCCGTGGCGCTTGTGCGAGGCGATCGTTTCTACACAGTTGACTACCACCCCAAGAAGCTCACCAATTGGGGTTATCAGGCTGCAAGCTCTGATCTGAACATTGACAATGGCTGTGTATTCTACAAGTTGTTCACAAGGGCGTTCCCGGACCATTTCAAGTCGGACTCGGTCTACGCACACTATCCTCTTACTGTCCCCAAGTACATGAAGATTGCCCTCCAGGACCTCGGCAAAGAGGCAAACTACAGCTACGACAAGCCGCACTATCACGCGCCCGCGAAAATGGCATTCTCGTATGCTGCAGCCGATACCATTCTCGAGGAAGGCAATGCTGACTTCAAGTTGAACTGGGGCAACGAAGGGCAGTTCCTCATGAGGACGCCAGAGTCACCCATGAATGGGAATTCGAGCGACTTGCTGAGGAATGGAAACAACACAGCCGACTGGGAGGCCGAGGTTGGTAGATTTTATGAAAAGGCCACCACAGATCTCCTCAAGGAAAAGTCATACAAGATTGCCGGCAAGAACCAGGTCGACATTATCCACGACGTGTGCAACCTGGTCCACGTCCGATTCTGTGCCGAGATGTTCATGATGCCGCTCAAGGGCAGAGATATTCCTGGTATCTTTGACGACTATCAGCTGTACATGGTTCTCACAAGCTTTTATGCCTCAAACTTCATCGACCTGGATCCGACGGCGGCATTCGCACTGAGCCAAAAGTCTCACCAGGCGACACAGCTACTCGGTCAGCTCCTGGGCGCTAGGGTGACGGAAACCAAGCTCGGAGGCTACATCACCAGCCTTACCCAGCTGATATGGCCAAGAGACACGACCCTGCAAAAGTATGGCAACTCCATGATCCAGACGCTCCTGTCCGAGAGCAAAATGACTGTCCATTCCCTTGTGTGGGATCACATCATGGTCGCTGCCAGCAGCATAGTCTCTAGCCAATGCCAGGTATTTGGGGAGACGCTCGAGTACTTTTTGACCGGAGAGGGCAACAAGTATCTACCCGAGCTTCGTCGCCTCTCCAAGTCCGACGCACCAGAAGATTTCGATACGCTGATGCACTACATGCTCGAAGGCTCCCGGCTGCGAGGCGAGACGAGCGTCTCCCGCTACGCCGCGCGAGACCTGACCATTCGCGACAAGAACAGCAGTCTAGAGCTCCGAGCCGGAGGCCGGGTCACGGTCAACCTGCGCGCCGCGTCGCACGACCCGGCGAGATTTTCCAACCCCCAGGAGCTCGACCTCAAGCGCGACGTGGAGGCGTACATTCACCTGGGCTGGGAGACGGACCAGTGTCTGGGCTTACCCATGGTCCGCACCTCGCTCACGTCCATGCTGAAAGCCATTTGCCGTCTCGACGGACTCGAGGCCATCCGCGGCCCGCAGGGCGTGCTGCAAAAGCGTGTTCGGCCGTTTGCTCCGGGCATTAAACCGCCCGGCAACGACAAGGTCTGGAGGGACGAGGACATTTATTATCATCAGTACATGAACGAGATGCTCGACTCGTATCTACCTTTTCCAGTTTGTGAGTTTTTCTCCATCTTCCATTCACTGATTCGTATGCTAACCAATGTTTTTTTTTTTTTTTCCTCTATAGCACTCAAGATTACATGGGTTGACGAGAAGCCAAGACCGATCGCGACAAACAGAAACGGAGGTGGACATGGGAACGGGCATGCAAACGGGCATGCAAATGGGTATGGGAATGGACGTGCTAATTAGATCTCACTGAGAACCTAGATAGATTTCACGTGTTTAATGTATAAACAAATTGTTATTATCTCCGTCACCAACCGACCCCCAAAGTTGTCAATATGAAGGCTCCATCTCTCAAAAGAGATCAGCGCGGAAAATTTACTGCCGGAGCATATATACTTATTGCGACGTCGTTGGGACTTTTTTATCATCATACGTGCCGAAGCATCTCTCGGCTATGTGGCTTGGATGATGATGTCTATATTGATAAACTTTCGATGATGACAAGAGAGTTTGCTAGGTTCCAGAGCCTCGGATCACTCAGCTCACAGTCTTGTGCGAATTCACCTGCCGAGTCTTATGACAGAGTTGGACTGAGGTACACTATTTCCCAAAATCTTGGGCCCCATGATTGAACGCCGTGCTGTCAATTGTAAAAATCCAAAGCAGTTATGGAGTGAACACCTTTTCTACCTCTAGTCTTCTAGGTCTTGGCGGCCCGAGTGGCCCTTCCCACAAGGGGAATCTCTTGATCAGATTCTTTTTGTGCAAAGGGTCTAGAACCCGACCTTTCCGAGCCAAGAATAAAGACTGACTTTACCCCTCCTGATCCGGTCATCGGCCCTGTCACAATGTACTGTTATGTGTTGTGCTTTGAGTCTTGGAGCCTATGAGGGGCAACGAATAAACTGGATAAACTGGATTACCCAAGCGCTGATGGCAGGACTTGTGTGTGTTTTAAGAAAGAAAGAAAAAATTCGTTTCCGGGACGGTGTCTTGGGATTCTGCACCTCGAAAGTCTAAATCCGGATCTTCTCCACCAACCGTGGCCAGTAACAACGTGGAAAAGCACCGCTCCTGGCCTAGCAACTTGGCAGTGGTACGTAGGCGTGTCTTAGCAGGCAGCAGTTGAAAACATGCCGCCCGGCAAACAGCCATTGTACACGTACTGAGCGGTTATTCTGAGAAGATCCCGGACGAGCTGAAGAAATCCGCAGTTGACGACAAATCCTCTGCTCGGCATTCGTTGCTCAAAAGGAATTGTGGGTGATGATACGCAAGCCAAGCTTCTGTAAGGCGCAGATCGTCGGGGTCTCGAAGCGTCTGCGGAGCCCTGGGCAATGGGTTGCCAACGACCGAGAACCGATACCCGCTAATTTGGGTCATGATCCCTCTCGCACATCGCCGCATATAGTCTTTCTAGAATAGAAGACATATTTCTTCTTTTGCTATGAAAGTGGTGCAGAACCTGCATTGATTGAAGTATAGAAGAATGTTGCTCGATTCATGTCCTCGATGTGAATATTCTTCCTCTCTAGCATGGAACATTCTCTCCTAGAACCAAGGTCCAAAAGTGTGGCCGCGGGACGCGACGGTTGAGAAATTTTCAAACTAACCAACGGCGATTTGCCGCGTTCCTGGACTAAAACCGCACCATCCGTTTGGTCCGGCGTGGTGACCCAGGTCTTGGCCCAGCTCAGCAAGCTCCCGCGTGGCCGGCTCACGTCACTACGGCCGGGATAGGGGGCGGCTGAGCTTGGCACTGGGGGAAAACCAGCGACGCTACTGCAGGACCGTGAGTTGCGTGCAGCTTCTGCTGTTCCTGTGTGTGTGTAGGGCGGGACGATTACCGGGCGAGTGGGAGGAAGTGATCCGCAGCCAGGATCTGTTGTGGAGGAACGATTTGGTAACTGGAAACAAAATCTGAGTATCCGATGCCTCCGACCTGCAGCAGACATCGGACCTTCTAACGAGCAGCAAGCCAAGTTACCGAAGCCACGTTTGGCAATGCCTCGAAGCCCTACTGCGTAATCTTTACCACATTGTTACATGGCGCCTGGCATCTGAGGAACAAAAAAGACTAGAGATCCATACTAATGGGACCTGGACTTGTGGTGGCGCGGGGGGCCGCGAATATTCGAGTCAGCACACGGAGGAAACTCGACTGATTGGTGCATACTATTCCCAGGGGTAGCGGATTGCTCCATTGCTACCCATTCTATACTGTTCAAAGTAGACATGAGACTGTTAACGTTGCTAGACTGACGCGGAATTTTGGATGGTGCTATGTAATCATGAGTCGTTCTGAGAGTTCTGGCCAACCAACCCCATCATCTCCCATGTTTGTATGAGATGTATATAGACCAGTGCCTTCCCCCTCCATAATGGAATTGGTTGTTGATCCTCAAGTTGCACTTTGACAGTCCTTCCTTCATCTGTCACCTACATTCATTACTTTGTATTTGCCTCGTGGCAATACACTGCATTCATTACCATCACAGCTACCTTCTTTTATAGCTAGCCTATACCAACATCAGGATGTTGTTCTCAGTTTCTACCGTAGCCATGATGGCGCTGACCGCCTCAGCCATTCCCTTCCAGCCGGCTGGTTCCCTTGTACGCAAAGAGTTTCCCTCCTTGAACGAGACAGGCCCCGGCAACTCAACTGGTATCAACGGAACACACCACAATGGAACACACCACGGCACCCACCAAAGCAACGCAGCAAAGCGCTCCGTCTCTCCTTTCTGGAAGAACCACAGCATGGAGAAGAGGACGGATTGTGTCAGCACCCCTTCATCAAGCACCAGTGACACGGACGATGGAGGAAGGGGCATCACCATTACAAACTCGGACAGCGAGAGCCGGGGATACTATGTGTATGCCAACGGCTGCGACACTGTCCCCTACCGGTACCTGTGGATCGACGCCGGTGACTCGGCCTTTATCACCCTGCCCGAGGCCTTCCAGGGCCGCATCACCCGCGGCACCGACGAGTACAACCTCGCGGGCTGCACCTCGGATGAGTGGCTCGGCACCTGGTTCGAGATTGGCTACGACAGCGACGGCACAGGCTGGGCCGACGTGAGTCTGATCCGGGGCTGCGACGGCGCCATCACCATTGACAGCGGCGACGGCACGGGGGCCTCGACGGGCTTCAGCGAGTGGATCCTCGACGGCGCCCCCGACTCGGCCTACGCCACCAAGCCCAGCGGCGCCTCGGTGCTCGCGGCCAGCGAGGGCCTCGACGGCGTCCTCAACACCGTCGTCCGCGACTGGTACATTTCCGAGCTAGGCACCACCCAGGCCTACGTCGACGACTACCACGGCAACCCCGTCATCACCTCGAGCAACGGCCGCTTCAATACCACTTGGCTCGAGGGACGACCTTAACGAATTTGACCAAAAGAAATGAAATGAGAATCAGCAGGATATAGAATGGGAAAATAAATAAAATTACATGTTGACTGACACTTGTCCAACGAAGCATGTATCTTGTTGCTGTTCTGTTCCCATTGTCATGAATGCGTGAAAACAAGTGTGGTATGATGATAGCTCCTCAAGACATGGAATTCGTCGTGTTGATGAAATGGAAAGAGATTAGCAAAGTATCTGTCTCGACGCATCTTGGTATTTGAGATCGAGCTCAACATAGATGATGTCTAAACTCTGGCAAAGTGATGCTTAGCCCTATAGTAAGCCACCTGGCCTGGCTAATCAAATGCGGTAAGGTGTCGCGAGGCCCCTTTCTGCGCCATACTGCAGAGGCGTGTTTCGACGCTGGGATATTCTCGAAATAAATTGAATATGATGAGGCTTGCGTATGCAGCTCCCAACTCAATTCAATTGAAAACATTGTTGTGAATAATGGAACACCTGGCTTTGAGTGTCATTTGGTGTAAACTTACACCGGTATGCCAGGCGAACAATCTACCGGTCAAGTAGTATAAGCTGCAAATAGGTACGAACTATAGCGGGGAAACGGGCAATCCTCGCAAAGCATGGACGTTGAAAACAACAAGCCGTTGGGTGCAAAAAGGAGACTGAGATATGGGGATTCGCACTCACCTGAAGAACAAAGCGTATTCAGTATAATGACCGCAAAATGTCAAAGTGTAAAATGTGTATGTCTTGTCGAAATGTTGGCTAGCCGCTTTACTCGGGACCCCATATGCGCACTACCGGTAGTGCTGTCCAAGCACTTTTAGCGGTCAATATATCTCCTAATGCCGCCGGCACTAGGATTCCTTACCTCATGTTGATTCTTCAGTTCCAACGTTGAAGCACTGCCGTACTCTGGAAAAGGCTCGGCAGTACTTGGAACTGGCGGACTTCTCTTCGGACGAGCAATCGGATTACCGGCAATCTCGGCTCGGTCCATCAAGTCGTCTCCTTCTGGGGTTTCCCACCGTATGTTGCTTATTCTGTGCAACTGCAACGATGATCGCAGTCACGACTTGGTCCCCTTGCCCGAGATTGACTGATGACAAGTCAAATAGACATCCGTTGTCACCTTTTACCTAATACCCGCATATGTTGACTTTGACAACTAAGTGATCCAATTTATTTGGTTATGCGCGCAAAAAGAGCAGAGGATCCCTTAGTCTCTCCACATGTGCCTTGAGTGAGAATCTCAACACCAAGAAAAAGGTCGCTTTCATGACCAGGGGTAAATGTACGCAATGTCATCCCATCGTTCGAATATACAAAAGGCTGAGCGCAAATGCAAATGTACATCCGAAAGGCATGAAGGCGCAGCCTCTTGTTTAGTCAATACCCCGAACAACTCGTATTGCTTGGTCTCGTCTCGAAACAATGTGTTGTTCAGGTAGAACGCACCGCATAGGCACGCCTATGGGTATTATGGATTCGGTTCACCCCGGGCGGCAGGGAGGCCGGTAGTGCCAGCGCCAAGAGAGCGTGCGTAATAAGCCGCCGTTGCAGGCGTAGTAGTATCGACCCCAGATTTATTTTTGTCAGACCCGGTATCCTCTGGACGTACATCGTAGCAGGTAATTATCACTTGACATGCCGAGGCCAAAATGGACAAACGAAGCGCCTTCTATGGACGGCCTCTTTGGATACTTTTCTCCAAGCGAGCTCACTTCCCTGAACATGTTCTCCAATACGGCCCCTTGCGCTCATTGAAAGACTGTCGATCACTCGAAACTTCAGACGACGGGAACCGCCAGCGCGTTTATCTGCTAACCTTAATCCTGGCGAGTAGCTCTTGGCACAGGGGCACTGCGTGGTTCTGCTAGATTGAAAGTGGAACCAGGAACATGGAGCCGCATCTGTTAGCGCAAGGGATATAGAACTTACGACGTGACGCGTACGTATAATTTAGGATCTGGAGAGTATCAGATATATTGCTCACCTAATTGTCAACTTTGGTCATGAACATGGAATGCGTTTTTTTGGCAATAGTCCTGTGAGCAGCCCCTCTCATCACTTCAGACTTGACTGCCAGAACCTGGTCCGCAGACCACCGAAAAACTAGAACATTGTGGATATTGAGGCACTAAACCATACAATGGAGTCCCTGATTTCCGAATCGGAATAGTCGTGTGTTTTTGATATCCCAAATTGATTAACAACTACGTCAGGGTGTGATTGCTCGTTACCGACAAAAGACATGGAGCCAAACATTCCAGAAGGCTTATAAGTAATGATCAGCCTCGATCATGGTGAAGGAAAATGTTTCTACAGTAGTTGTCTATCATTCTTTCATTACTTCCTAGTCATTCTTTTCAAGGCGCCGCTGCGGGATCCAGCGATTACATTTCAGTCGTACTATTCTCTTTTCTACGAGTAAACCTCTTCCAACAAATCCCGGCGTCAAAATGGTTACTGCCGCTCTTTTCAAGCTGGCGGCCCTTGCTGGCCTTGCCCAAGCAGCCACCGTCAGCGTGTCTGGCACTGCTGAGGGTTTTGCTTCCTCCGTTACTGGTGGTGGATCTGCCACTGCCGTCTACCCCGACACCACTGACGAGCTGATCTCGTACTTGGGAGACGACGAGGCCCGAGTCATTGTCCTGACCAAGACCTTCGACTTTACCGGCACCGAGGGTACCACGACTTCCACTGGTTGCGCTCCCTGGGGTACTGCCTCTGGCTGCCAGACCGCCATCAACCAGGACGATTGGTGCACCAACTACCAGCCCGACGCCCCCTCGGTCTCCGTGACTTATGACAATGCCGGTATTGAGGGTATTACCGTCGGTTCCGACAAGACCCTCATCGGTGAGGGTACTTCGGGTGTCATTGAGGGCAAGGGTCTGAGAATTGCCAACGGTGCCAGCAACGTCATCATCCAGAACATCAAGATCACCAACTTGAACCCTCAATACGGTGAGCAACTCAGCACAACAGTTTCAACTTCATGAGTTTACCATTGCTAACAATTGTTCCTAGTCTGGGGAGGTGATGCTATCACTCTGAATGACTGTGACCTTGTCTGGATTGACCACGTTACCGTGAGTATACTCAATTCTTTTGCATTCCATGGCAGTGCCTAATGTAGCAACAGACTTCTCAAATCGGCCGTGAGCACATTGTCCTCGGTACCGAGGCGAGTGGCCGCGTTTCCATCACCAACTGCGAGATTGACGGCAACGTCGACTACTCTGCCACTTGCGACGGCTACCACTACTGGGCTCTGTACTTTGACGGATCCGCCGACTACGTCACCTTCAAGAACAACTACATCCACCACGTCTCGGGCCGCGCCCCCAAGGTCGCCGGCAGCACCCTCCTGCACGCCGTCAACAACCTCTTCTCCGACTTTGACTCGGCCGGCCACGGCTTCGAGATCGCCTCGGGCGCCTACGTCCTGGCCGAGGGCAACGTCTTCTCCGACGTCGACGTCCCCGAGGAGAGCGGCGACGATGGTGCCCTGTACTCTGCCGATTCGTCCAGCCTGGCCTCGTCTTGCTCGTCCTCCATTGGCCGCGCCTGTATCGCCAACAGCTACAGCAACTCTGGCTCCCTCAGCGGCAGCGACTCCAGCGTCCTGTCCAAGTTCAGCAGCTACACCCTGGCCGATGCCGATGACACTAGCAGCGTCTCCAGCCTGTCCTCCTCGGCTGGTTACGGTACCCTGTAAATGGCTGCCTCTACGTCGCTATTGCTTTGCAGCTCGTAATTCTCTCAGGGAGCTCCTACAGCTCTGCCTACAGGCGAGCTTGGTGTTTGTTAACATTCGAAAGGGCCTGTCATTATTGACTTGGAGAGGTCTGCTTGTATATATTTAGTGCGTCATTTGAAAGAGCGCCGTTCTATTTAGATTCAATTGTATATTTGATCCGGCATTAAACGCATGCGATCCCTGGGCAATTCATACGCGCTGAGTGTAATCCGATTTATTGAACGATAGAGCCAATGCAAATTCACTGTCCTCATAGACCTATCAACGTCTATGGTCCTCATAAGCCATGATTCATTCAGATACCTAGTCCTCGAGACTACCCGATGTGCCATTCCCCCGACAATCTCATGGACCATACTGAACTTCGTGTCCTCCGGGAAGACTTGTCAGCCCTACAAGGTGGCGTTAGCTTGACAATTCCTCAGAATCGATTACAAGGTGGTGAAGAAAGGGAATAACCTACATCCATCGACATCCTCATTCACAACACGCTGCTTGGTGCACTGGTTCATTGCAGCAGAGGACTGGGTAGTAGCCTTGGCCGCGGGGCAGTTGACGACGCAAGCGGTATCCATGAGGCGCTGCAGAGCATCCCCCTTCCACCCAAAGACATAGTCGGCATGGTTGGCGTAGCCAGTGGCATCACCAAAGGACCAGACAAAGGGTTGGCTGCCGTCCTCGGGCCAGTCGGCCTTGTTATTGAACTGCTTCGTATCCCAGACGACCTCGAAGAGGACCTGGGCGGTGCGCACGGGGTGCGTGGCCGGGCAAGGGCCGCCGCTCTCAAAGGTGCCGTTCTCCGGGTACGCCATGTGGGCCATGTGGTCCGGGGAGTCGAGGTTGACGCCGTCCCAGCACGTCGGGAACCGGGCATTGACCATGATGCCGGCCGGGCACGGCGTCGTTGGGAACGCGAGCGTCTCGGGCTCCCGTGTTCCCTCGTTCTGCATGCATGTGTAGGTCAGCTGTCGGAATTTGGATACTTCGGCCTTGGTGCGCGCGTTGACGTCGCCAATGAACATGCGGAAACCCTATAATTGCATGGTTAGAACGTCGATCCCTATCTCATGGTAAGATCATCAGCTTACCGGCTTGAAAGCTGTGACTTTGGACTTTTGCTGAGTATCATACAGGGCATCTTGCATGTAATACACAGTGATACCGCCTTGGCCTCCAGATATCTGCGAGGTCTGTGGGACGCGCTTAAAGGTGCCGTTCCTGGCGCGGAAATACAGAACGGCGGTCCAGTAGTTGGAAAAGTCTTCACTGAATGAGCATGTCGTGCAGGTTGACTCCCCAGGCATATCTTTCTTGGGATCCATGGTGGTGTTGAACGAGTTCTGCCGACAGAGTAAGCATTTCCAAGCGACGTCTGGACAGAGTTCTACGTACGCCGCCAACAATCTGATGAACATGCACCGACGGCGCCATTCCCGGGTTGACCAGGGGGTCAAGTCTTTCCACGACTAGCTGCGAGCATTGAAAGCGGATCAATGCATTACTGAGCGTGGCTAACGCCGTGCCCAAGAGAACTCCCCACTTCATCGTAGTGTGTCTTGATGAGTTGGACCCGTCTTTGAGAGGGTTGGAGGTCAAAATAAGGCTCGACGATCGATAGTCAAAGCGGAGCAATTTGGTCGTTGTGGAAATTAGAAACGCATGTGGGCAAAGGTTGAGCGGTGGATGAAATAATCACTGTACATTTACGTTGGCAAGTAGAGTTGGGCTAGAGAATAGTCTTCATCTCGACTATCGCATGTCAATGATGAGTTACACAAGCAAATGCCGAGCTTACTTATAGTGAACCTGATTTTAACCAATATTCTTAGCCTAATTAGTATATACATCTACACAACCTCTGTTGCGCAGCGCGGGATATGATTGGCCATAATGTGTGAGCCTGAGACCTGCCGAACGGTTTTCTCTGGTCAGTTATTCTAGAACCTCTTGGCGCCATCTGTTGCAGTCCAATGGTGATTCTCCATCGACGTGGAAAGCCGACGCCTAGGGCTCTTATGATCAAGCCTCGTCATGATAAGAAAGTGCCGGCCACCAACTCACTCAAACAGAGAATCATCAACACTGTATCAGTCGTATCTGCTCAATTTAGCCGAAGTCCAGACTTTGTGCTCGCAGGGTTATCACCAGACTTGCATCCAACGAGGCGAATCTGATTATAGTTCTGACCAGGAACCCTTTTTCTTTTTCTTTCCTAATTCAAAAATCATCCGCTTGCCACAAATCTTCTCATCCAGCAACTGCGACAACATCCAAGAGCCATATCAGCTCCGTCGCCACCACAAACTACGATGAAGAGTCCGATATTGTTTGCGATTTTCTTTGTTGGCAGCGCCTTGGCCGCCGATCTACCTTGCGACGTGGAGAGCGACTCGTGCAGGGCAGTCATCAATGGGAGCGCATGCTTCAACAAATTCATGGCCGGCGGCAATGGCAACAAGAACTCCATGTTGAGTTGTTTAACTGGCACAGAAGGATCAGCAACACCGCAGCAAAAGGTAAAGACACACCTGATGCATTGCTACAGATAAAGTATAGGCTGCTAATTGATGCAGATGTGTGCTTGTACTGGCTGTGTAGGCCCGTCTCTGTTGGCATGGATTCAGAAGAATAACCTATGTTGATTCCCACGAGACCGTCGAGACTTGTGGCAATTTTAAGGGTAACCGTGTACTAAAAGATCAATGTAAAGGGTCTTTGAAGACTGAAATGTTCGCATCTTGTCCTGACAGTTGTGTTATGTGTTTCCGTCATGACTGGTTATGGGGCTACATCTGTGAACGCAGAGAAAATATCACATAAGGCGAACTTGTAGGAACAGAAGGCCAGAGGGGAAAATACGAACCTAATTTTACATGCTTCACTTGGCAGACGACGAAAGTCGTATGACAGAAGCAAAACAAGTTTGTTTTCCTTCCCTTATGAATCATGCATAAGGTAAGCGGTGGATTGTGCAAGGTTTATACAGCCATTTATGGAAGGAATGGATATCCTCTGGCTCGCTTACAGGTTGGAATGGCCTATGACGTAGCCAACATGACCTTGCTTTGGCGGGGTCCAACCTTGATCCCTTCAGGCCTCCAGCGAGACAAAGCCAACAAGAGTCTACCCGTGACGATTATAAGACGCATCACTGGTCCCTAAAAGCCATCCATTTTGATTCCTTTAATTTCAGAAACCAAAAACCCATAATAAAACTCCATCAAACGTATAAATTCACCCACACCTCCCACGAAAATGCCTCTCGAGAACAACCAGAACCAAGGCGCAACTGGCGCCGCCAAATTCGTCACTAGCTCGCTCGGCAACGCAGCCGGAGGCATCACACGAACCGTCGGCAACGTGACTGGCGCTGCGGGCCGAGGCATCGGGGACACCATTACCGGAGCCACGGGCTCTGCCGGCAAGCCCGTTGGCGACGCCATCAGCTCGCTCGGCTCTGGCATCGAGGGAGGCGCCGGCAGCGTCGCCAAGGGTGTCGAGAATGCTGGACAGTGGAAGAAATAAAGCTTGGGGGCATTGACTGGGGAAACTATTCGGCCTGGCTTGCTGGAATGCAACCGCGAGACGATGCATTGAGGAAAGAAAAATTGTACGTTGGGGATAATGAGGGCTGTCAGGGTCGGGCTTGAATTGTGTTATTAAGACAAAGATGATACCAAGATTTAACATTCGAAATGCGCACAACGAAACTGCCAATTTATTTTTCGGAATCAAGAGATCGCTATACCTGACCAGTACCGCGTCCATTGCTTCTTCATGGGAAACATACCCCATACTGTTGTCCAGGCGCCATTGTATGCAAGTTGACTCTTGCGCTTGGTTTGTTCAATGCATTTTATCGGGCTATAATAATCCATATACATGAGCTGAATGCTCAAGGTCTCAGCTCTTCAATCCTCGGCTTATCTTGGTATGGTAAGTCACCATGTCAATAGCTCCGTCTGCGGGATCGGCCTATTTCTGCATCCTACGGCGGCTGCCGATGGGGCCGCTGGTCATATTGCCCCGGCGGGCTCCGGGACCGATATCGAAATAACGCTTCAGAATGCATCCCGAGTCAGCGCTTGCTATAGCTATTATAGTACTGTCAAATCCTCGATCCATTTCCATATGCTATGTGACAGGGCATCAATCACTGCGGTAAAGTCAAAGTACTCAAAAGCATCAATTTTTTTAAAAAATGACTTCCCCACCTCAAGATCCCCAGACTTTGCTGAGCGCATTACTGTCCACAATCGAGAAACAAATCGTGCCCTTGACAGCCAAGGGCGTCGCCTCTGGGAGCAAACTCTTTGGCGCCGCCATCCTGTCCAAGGCGAACCTGGCGCCCTTGACCGTGGCCACCAACAATGAGCGGGCGTCGCCGCTGCTGCACGGAGAGATCAATTGTATCCAGCAGTTCTTTAGCAGCCCCACCGTTGCCGACGGCACCTTGCCGCGGCCGGCCACAAAGGACTGCGTCTTTGTCACGACGCACGAGCCTTGCTCGCTCTGTCTGAGCGGCATCACCTGGTCCGGTTTCGATAACTTTTATTATCTCTTCACCTACGAGGACAGTCGGGATCTGTTTGCGATTCCGTACGACATTCAGATTCTCGAGGAGGTATTTCGGGTCAAGGCTGCGGGCGAGAGCGAAGAGGCCCTGACTAAACGGGAGCTGTATAATCGACAGAACAAGTTCTTTACAGCGAAGAGTTTTGCGGATCTCGTTGCCGAGATTGACAACGAGGACGAGAGGACAAAATGGGCAGCTGAGATTGCGAGGGTAAAGGGATTGTACAATGCACTGAGCCAAACATATCAGGAAGGGAAAAAGGAAGGTGTGGAGAGCGCCAGTGTGTGGAAGTGATCTATATTTCTGGTAGTCATTTCATGTTGCAGTACAACTGATGCCGAATTAATATATTATGGACTAGAAGATGAATGCACGGGTGATACATTTGCTGCAATCCTGCAACCTAAGCAAACAGAGCAGCAATGGTCAACCCTCCAACAATGGCAGAGAAGCTGATGCCAAAGTTGGTTCCCATGCTCTTGTCGTCAGTGTTGGTCGTATTGCTGGAGCTGCTGCCAGTGCTGCTGCTTCCACTGCCTGATGAGCCAGATCCAGAAGCGGAGCTGCCAGTGCTTGCGACGTTGGTGAACTCCAAGACACTGACCAGGGCTCCAAGAACACTAGACTGTGCACCGGCGTTGGAGATGTCGAAAGTGCCGTTGCTCCAGGTGAAGCCGCACATTCGTCCATTGTCGCCGCCGGTACAAGTCGAAACAGCGGCAGCGGCACTGGTCTTTAGCACAGGGAGAATGGTGTCTGCAGTGTATGGGGCCATCTTCATAGTCCAGGCGAGGGATCGGTGAAGGATACCCTTGAAGAAGTACATGTCGGTATTGCATGATTCGGAACTCTCGCAGGCCGGCTCAATAGCCACGCCATCCTGGAAAAAGGTCTCGAGAATATTGTCGAGGTAACCATCAATACGATTCTTCCAGGTTTCGTCGCCAGTCTACAATATGTGAGTTATTGCTCCATCAATGTCCATAAAAGGATAACTCACGTAGTTGTATGTGTAGGCGGCACCTTGTAGCAGGGTAGCTGCAGCATAAGAGAATTGAACCTTGTTGACAGAGTCACAGCCGGTAACCTGCACACCGTCATAAACGTCGAAATCATCGGTGACGAGGCCGATATCTGTCAGCAAATCATAGGTTTTGATCGCCTCATCACTTGCGGTCTTGTTGTCGTTGAGCCAAGCGAGCTGTGCTCCGGTGCTAAAGTAGAGCCCGTTTGCGATGCCTGGATATGATATTAATTGAAGTTGAACGGGCCAAGAAGAGAATGAAGATCCACCTACTATTGACATAGTCATATCCGCTATTGAAGGTGAAGATTTGCCACCTCAGAGCTCCGTCGCAAGCAGTATTATCGTCGCTGACACGCCTCTCGGTGAACGACTGTTCAGTAAACACATTTTGAGCAAGAATTGGCCACTGGGCCTCTGCATCAGCTGCTTCAGTAAAGTTCGTCTGCGCAGCTAGGAGTGCAGCCTGGGCCCAAAAGCTCTGGTCATCGTTGCCTTCGGAGGCTGACCAGTTCGCGGGAAGATAGTCGTAACCTGTTCCAGTCTGCCACTGCAGACCCTGGAAGATGACATCGTCGTAGGACATGTTGCCTGTGCGTGCTCTCAAGTCCAGCAAGGAGCCCCAAAGCACCGAGCCACTCCACCAATAATAATCTTCATCATCGAAAATTCCTGGAGTCTCGCCTGTCTCATCTCCGTGGTAGAATGTCAATAGGTCGTCGGCCACCAATGCGGCGGCTGCTTTCACAGATTCTGCGTCATTGATGTCGACCGTGATGGCTCCAAGGACACCAGAAGCAGCGAACAGCAGCTGCTGCAACAGCGCGGCCGAGGATTTCATGGTCGGAGATTAGATTTAGCCGAGAGGAGGCGGCGTTGCTTTGCTGTAAGTCCAGCAAGGAGAAAGGACTCTGATATTAATCAAGATTCAAAGAGACAAAGAAACCATGGAATCTAGGAAATTAAAGCGGTCGCCCTTTACCGTGTAGGCAATCGCAAGGTAAATAGGCAGCTCTCTCTCTGCCTCGAACGGATCCAATTGGCATGAAATATCTTTCGGAAGCTCCTGAGACCTGATCCTTCGGCTTGGTCTCTGTACCCACTACCCGTCTGACACCTCCATCACGTCCTTCAATCCATCCAATCGCAGTCGTGCCCTGACATGAAGCTAGATCCCTTTCAGCCCTGTGCCTCCATCCGTCATGACACCGGAATCCTTTAGCGGGCTCTCTAGCCTTGGCGCAATCTGCTGGTTGCATTGTGCTTGGTGCCTGGTGCCTGGCCAAATAAGCTTAAAAGAATTAATGCCTAGCTCTTATGCATTGTATATACGGAAGGATTGCAGAATTAACAGACCCCCGTCAACTGAGTCACGAACCCAAAATAATTATTGCCAAGTGATGCGCAGTCCTCAGTCCCTGCACAGCACTAAATACCTGGCCAGGCATTTGAGAGAATCGTACTGATTCGGGGGCCCACTAGGGAGCACTGAGGGCCAATCAAAAAAACCCCATAAAATATAAAATAAAGATATAAAGAAGAAGAAACATACAAGCGGACTGTCACGGTATGGATTACCATTGTTGAATATGGCAAAAAGCAGGCTCGCGATCGTTAGGGAACGATCATGAACCAGGACTTGTACGCCCACGAGAGTTGACCGGTGCCATACAATATCTGTGATGACCTTTTAAAGGGACCGAACGAGAACATTCCATATTTTGGTTTGTATACCTAGTAGCTATTCATTTTGACATAAATTCGATGTCGCTTTTTCTCCTACTTCACCTGACTTCTCAAAGTATATATTTTGTAATTTGTGGTCAAATTAACTTTTGTGTTAGTTTAGGTGACTCACAGATATAGCAGTAATAAGTTTATTATAACAGATTTCTACCAAGGCCGACCATCTACTTTTGCATAGCCCTGAAAACCACAATCAAAGTTTCAATAATGCCAACGGGTACTGTATCACTGATATATGGAAAAAGGATTGACAAGTACAATTGATTGATCCGCTCCAGTGCATTTTATGCTTACGCCATCATGGCTACGTACTGTGGTACTTGGAACTCCCTGCGAGATTGCTATACATAGCTTGTACGCAGAATTACGATCACTCAAAGGGCCATCTCCCTTTGAGAAGGCTTGATTATTCAAACATGTAAAGCTATTGCGCCGTATCTGCTATTTCAACGCTATTAGCCTGGCTACCAGTGTGGCGCTTCACATTTTGGTCTGCTGGCGCAGTGGCCAGATACGTCCAAAGATGATGAACCTCAACATATCATTGGAATTCCTCTTCGTGGTACATACAGCGCAGTGTAGGATTATAACCTTAAAAATAGCTAGTTTGGGGATATGGATTGTTGGGGGTCTATCTGTCACTAGTGATGTCGAATCACAAAGTCCCTTCAGGTTTTGATATATGTGTGTTTTCGCTCACGGTGGTAAAGACTCGCCGTTCCAGGGACTACAAAGCCCAATAGGTGTGATAAATCATTTTGTTTCCCATGGGCGTGGCTATCTGTGTACAGTAGCCTCGGGACGCCATTGACCCAACCCCCTCATGTGCTCATATTCTTTTGACTTTTCTTTCTTCTCGACTCACAAGAATGGTCAATCAATGGTCCCTCGGCTCGTCGACATATTTGCATGTAAAGCAAGATGTAGCTTGTATCACTTGAAATCTGCACCACCACAAAGTATTTAGCCGTTCGTTTCCTGTCGGTGGGGTCAGCAAAAATGAAAAAAGAAGGCTTCCGGTCACTGATTGTAGATTTGCGTACAAACGACTTATGACATTTTACCTCACCTGGAGACAATATTCAATGCCGAGTTCCAGAGAATTCTCATTTAGAAAAACTACTACATATGTGACAAGGTGTAACAGAAATGAATCCAGAAGATCTTGGTGTTGGAGTTGCTCTTGTATCAACACCACAGGTCCATTTGGGTCATATGGGCATCTGACCGGGCACGATTCTGCGAATTGAGGGCAATCAAACTCGGCCCAAGTGTGATAACAGGCTGCAGCATATCACAAGCACCAATGACTTGCTGGCAGATCTGGTCTGTTGAAAAGTACAATCGTTCGGCCAGCTGGCAGGGCACTACTGTCGTGCAGGAAACTTGCGTCCAAACGCTTCCGGAGATCGATCTTTTTGCAAGCTGATTCGGAGTCCTTTCGAGTCTAAATCAGATGTACAAACGCCCCCGGAGATCGGTTTCTTGCAGGCTGATAATGAACCTCTTCGAGTTTAAATCAAACCTGTATATATATTGCAAACCCCCGCCAAGTTTTTGGGACTCGCAGTACATTTCTTTGAGCAAACTTGTCACACTTCTTTCTTCAATCATACAGACACCACCCCCCTCTCTGGCCCCATTTTGTCCAAATTTCAACACTTCTGCCTTCGCTCTCTGGACACCCGAGCTCGCATAATATCTGTCTTCACTCCAGATCAATTTCCAATATTCCCCTTTTTGCCCATTCACAAGTCAGACTCTAGACCAAAATGGCCATTTGTCAATCCGCGAATGACCATGAAGGCTATATGCTCCACATTTGGGACAGGAGCATCAGAAATGTCGTTCCCAATTCTAACCGTGACCTCGTGTGTTACGACTATGAGAGGGTGAGACAGGTATTGTGCGATAAGTTCCTGCTCCCATCGAGCCTGGAGAGTCAGGCCACTAGTACTCGCCAAGTCATGGATAAGATGCTGGGCGAGCAGGAGACCGGTAAGTTGAATTTAACCTCAGACTCATCCGGACCACCAATGCAGCAAGACTGACTGTCCCCGTACTAGACGGCGTCTTCGACGACTTTGCGGCCTTGGCAGACCGCATCCACAACCAGGGGCAGCAACGTCTCGGTCAACCCCTTGACGGCAAGTCTAAGCCGTCGACAGCCAGGCTCGAGCATCTGCAAGATGAGCAACGGGGTATGCCTCATCGCATACCTGCGAAGCTGTCATTTTGCGGGTGGCCAACGCTACAAGTCGGGGATAAAAAGTGGTTCCTAAGTGCTGTCATTGTTGACGCTGACGGGCGCCCTTACGGGTATATTCCTTTCAACATGCACCCATGCCACGAATGTGAGAGCACATTCTTCCAACACCATCCGGCCTTCGATCATATGAGAGTTGAGCACAAAATTAATCTGGAACGACCTGGTGCCTATATGTGTCCTTTAACGCAGGATCGGCCGGACAAGGAGAGCTAGTTTTTGTATCATACATTGTTGTCATAGTGCATTGCAGGCGTTTGGATGGGGCCAACTTTCTGGATAACCGAAAATGGGAGGAGTGCAAATTCTTCAGTAAGGCCAGTTGGATTTTGTCGGAAAATGGTGAATTTTAAGGTGAATTGGGGCGGATGAAAACAAACTCTACGAGTTTTCCACCGCTGGCTAGGTAGCAAGTACCACTGATGGAAAAAGTTATTCGCGAGAATCTAATCTAAAGACCGATATCCTGAGTCAGTCCTTTGCTAGTGAGGTCGTCGTGACCGAGTGTAGTGGTGATTCGTGGGCTGTACGCCGCGGTGGCTCTGTTGAAACGATAACCAAAGGTGCAGCTGGATCCAACGATGACATTGGCGCAATGTGCTGCCTTGTCAACGCGGGGGACAAGAGACACCGCCGACGACCATCAGGGTTGCTATGCTCCTGCTATCTGGTGGCGCTGTCAGAGGTGTGTAGGTACATCAATTACGGTCCCGTTGTAGGTGTGTATGTACCCAACTGCCTGTAGCTAGTGTCGCGTCGTGCTTTCCATCGATCCATAGCAGGTCGCCAGGACTGGAGCGTTCGTTACCCAGGTACTCACTCTACCTATGTACTCCCTGGATCTCTATTGGTGCCATTGAAATCCGTCTGTTGGCCTTGTTCAAGCTCTAAAAGCGGTGTCAGTCTTCAACTCTCAAACCACCAGGCAACGCACCTTAACGATGACCCCTCGGTCGAATCAACCAAACGTTGTTGTCCCGTCGACCCGCCTTATGCTCAAAGAGACAGCCAGTATCCTCTTCATACTTTTTATCGGAACACTGAAGGCTCTCATTTCCATTGTCCAAATCCATCTTGTCTCCATCAGTGTCCTCTTCAAGTTATGGATCCCATTCATCACTTTCAAAGTCTGTCTCTGGAGCTTGGAGATTCCCATCCCTATCATCGCGAGCCTACTCCGACGCATACTCCCACGCGCCGCCGTGTGAACACCATGCATCGCGCATCGGCCAACCATCCGCACCCCTTGGGTTCGCATCCCGTGCACCCGTCGAGTTCTACACGACGAATATCCGCAAGCTTCTCAACTGATGGACCGCTTTCAAGTCTCCCAACTGTATCTACATCATCACTGGCTGTCTCAACTACAAACGGAGAGCTTCCTATGGTGTACGAGGCAGCATCTCGCCCCAGTAGCAAGATTATTCCGACCAGCATTCCACTGCGCAAGGCATCCACGGTAACAACTTACGAGACCGCAGAAGGTACCCGCACACAGAACTTTGAGAATTTGCGCCCCATCAACACAAGGATCCCGCTTCACCACAGGGACAGCCTCGATATAGCCGCCGCCAAGCTTCGAGCCAAGTCAGACAAGCCTCGACCTTTGGCAACGATTCCCAAGTCCAACACGCTCAGCGTGATTACCAACTTGACAGCATCCATCTCACGAGTCTCGTTGTCCAAGTTCGGCCGCTCTGCTTCAATCTCCTCCAACGCAGGCTCGGACCAAGACAGGAGCTTCACTTCTGGCAACTCCTTCGCCAGAGCAAGCTATGATGGCGAAGACGAGGATCCTCAAGCAATCCACACAGCACAATCCTCTGCATATTGGACTGGACGCTTCATGGCTCTACAGGATCGTTTTCGGAATGAAAATCTGCTCCCCGAGAACATGACTACCCTCATCAATGCCCATGCTGAGCGTTCCATGATCCCAGAGAACAGGCAGCAGACATCAGCGCGCCTCCCTGCATCATACTCGAATCCGAATTTGGCCCGTTACACCGGCAGAAGCAAGCTACAGCGAAGCTCGTTGAACTCTCAACGCAGACAACAACGAGCCAAAGGGAGTTTAGATGCCACCCGACTTGAGGATGAGGACGACAGAGCCCGCCGGGTTTTCTTACATCTGGAGGCTCTCTGCACCACGAGCGAAGCAAGAAAAAGCCTGCGTGCCTGGCAAAGGATCTTTGCTCGTCGGAGGGGCAAGGAGGGACCCTTGGACAGACTGCTCGGACGTGTTGATCGCGACTTTACCCGGCGTGCCAAAGACTCGGAGAGGTCTGGCTGAGAATAGCACTACAGAAGCAAAGGGGGAGACAAAGGATCATGGGCTATTCTATGACATGGCCAAGAAAGCTACGATCTTACCTCAAGATCAGGGAAGGGGAGGACTAGACAGCATGAATACCAGGTGTGGGTGAAGCCGGCCACATTATAGAGCAGCAGCATGTATAATAAGGGGGACGACGATATGATATACAAAACTGCAGGTATCAAGTGTCGCTGGACACACAGACACCAGCAAAGAAAGGAAACTGATAAAGGTCTACATTACACCGAGGTTGTTACTTTTGGCGGATGAGGAGTTATCTTTATAAAAGAGCACTTTCTCAAGATTTTGACATCTAGCTAAACCACCTCGCTGGCCAGATTGTCTGATGTAGCCTTGCATGTCAACAGAGGAAGGCTGCAATGGTGGGACCTTGCATCCTTCGCTTATAACACCTTGTCCCGGGGATCTTTCCTTGCAAGCGTGGGGCATCTGAGCCTAACCGCATATAGATTAGTCCGACTCTCTCTAGCCAGCAACCTTATTTCCGAGGTGACAGCATTGGCAACGCTCTGGGAAAAGAACAGCTGCCTGCCGAGCCTGCTCTTCGAGGTCATCATCACTCACCAGCCCAAGCAGCTAACACAGCAGTGTTTCCTGCTCCAAACCCACTACAAATCCAAATGACGATATAGAATCTACACACGGTCGAGTTGCCACACCTTCGCCATGTCGGCCAACTCTCTTCAGCTCTCCGAGTACCTCGAGAAGGTGCAGGGGACGACATTCAGACGTCTCTACCAGCAGCCCTCGGCCGCATTCGCAGTGTTCCGGCGCATGCTGCCACATCTGGCAAAGACCATCGTCATGGCCCTCCTGTACATGCCGACGCCCCTCTCCGCCAGCGACCTCGACATCTGGGTGAAGCCGACATCGAAGAGGCAAAAAGACCAAGCCATATCGGTGCTTCAGTCACTTCACATTATCCCGAAAGAAGCATCGACCATATCCCTCACCAAGAATTTCAAGAGCAGTCTGCGCTTGGCTCTCGAGGGTGGCGGAGATCACAACTCCTTTGGCGTCCCCTCCTCCCTGCCTGTCGCCCCCGAGATCGATGTACCGTACCTCGACAATTGGGCTCGACAGAGATGGGATTCGATATTGCACTATGTCGTCAACTCCGTGGGTATCAGTGACGGATCCCGCATGACTGGCGACAAGACAAACGGACCCAACGCGGCAGTAAAGGAGCTATTGATTGGGGGACGTCTAGTCGAGCGAAGGAGCACGAGCGTACACATAACACAAGCTGGCTTCACATTCCTTTTACAAGAGGCAAATGCACAAGTCTGGACCCTTCTTTTGTTGTGGCTCGAAGCCGCCGAAACAAATCCCAGGGCAGGTCTGGATCATGTCGACATGCTGTCCTTCCTCTTCCTGTTGGCCTCTCTGGAGCTCGGTCGCGCGTACAGCACCGATGCGCTGACGGAGTCGCGGCGAAACATGTTGCCCTTCTTGGTGGATTTCGGTTTAGTGTTTATTCCCCGAAACGACAACAAGTCATTCTTTCCAACACGCCTGGCTACTACACTCACGAGTAGCGAGAGCAGTCTCCGCAGCGTCAGTGCGGGATTCACAGCTGCCAGCGAAGGGATGGCCGATTCACAGGACAAGAATGCCGTCATCCTGGAGACCAACTTTAGAATATACGCATACACCTCATCGCCGCTCCAAATCGCCGTCTTGGCCCTTTTCTGCGAGCTGAAAATGCGCTTCAGAGAGCTCGTCTCTGGTCGCCTCACCCGCAACTCGATCCGCCGGGCCGTAGATATGGGTATCACTTCGGACCAAATTATTTCGTACCTAGCCACGCACGCACACGAGCAGATGCATCGTGTCGCAGCATCGTCCAAGAAGCCCCTTTTGCCTCCCGTTATTGTAGATCAAATTCGCCTATGGCAACTGGACACGGAGCGTATGACAGCGACTCCGGGCTTTCTCTTTATGGATTTTGACTCGGTCAAGGAGTACGAGCAAGTCAGACAATTTGCAGAGACTGTTGGCGTTTTAAAGTGGGCAGATGATAAGAAGGGCATGTTCTTTGCCAACAAGGTTGAGCAAATTAGAGATTTCATGAAAAACCGACGAAAGGACGATCAGTGAGTTACGTTTTGAGATACCCCCGGGTCCTGAATAAGTCAGAAAAGAATAAAAGGACGAGGCATTAATCATATGGAGCATGGACGGCGTTTTATGGGGCTTTGGAAAAATAGCTTCACTTGCACAATTGATTCCTTGAGGCTGGTAATATCTGTACCTGTATACCTGTGAGAAGAGAGAGAACTTGCCATCAATAACACCCCTTTATGGCGCTCCGTGCCGGGCTCTTTAACAATGTTGCAAATACATTACCCGGGTAGTATGACGATCATGGTCAATTCTACTCCACTGGCGACCCTATAAAGTGTCAATCTCAGGGGCTTCGAAAATCTCAGCCTGAAATCCTAAGTTGAACCATGTGTTTAGAGGCCCGAGAATCAATAGTGTGCTTGATGATGCCCATATGCAGCTCGAAGGCGATAAAAACAAGTATATGGCCTCTAGCTCAGTTATTGTGCTATCAATTGCTCCAAAAACCCATCACAGCCTATTTAAATGAAGCAAGCGTTCAAGGCATCGAGGTATATTTATTTTCTTCCATGGTATGGAGAGACGGAGAACTCGTGGTAAACCATGATTAGTGGGGAAGCAGTCGATTCGCGCTCATGTGAAATACCGTGCATGGAAAGAAATGTACATTTACTCCAATGCAGTCACAGGTTGGAACATGATTGGACATGCAAGACATGCTCCTGCGGCAATAGACCAATGACAGGCAACTCGGGGGTTGTGTTGGAGAAGAGCCTCCAACTACCTCCAAAACATTGCCGTACTATACAATTGTATGATCGCGGCAGTAGGGCTGATCCATCAATGATCAGACTAATACATGATGGACCATGAACTGAGTCACAAAGAGGGACATTGGATCTGGCCAGGCCTGGAAAGATCCATCGCAATGGGTCCAGGTTTGGACGTAAAGTAATAATACCAAGCTGGGTGTAAATCTGCATGACGACCAGTGTTGCGAATGTCATCTTTGAGGCTTCAAATCTTCCCGCAATAAGTTTGATCGTCCTTTCAGACTCTACGCCTGTTGCTCCTGTTGCTCGAAGGATGCAGCAAGGTCTCATCCATGGTCGCCAATTAACAAGCCCTGAAAATCAGCAAGCCAAGCATTTCAGTTCCACCTCCTGTCAGATAGGGAACCCTCCCCCCAGTCCAGTTCCTTGTGTCAAAACTCTTATCGCGGATCGGATACCCGACATACTCGGACCGAGCCCTAAACGCAATTAGAAAACTGCCTACGGAAGAGTGCTGGCGATGGGCTCGGACGCTTGATCCTGTTCAGGAATTCCTGATGTGTCGAGCGCGAGGGAAGAAGAGAAAAATTGCTGAAAGCCACGGAGGCCCAACGATGCCGACTTCGGTCTAGGCCTGATGGCGAGATCGACTTAGGTGATGGTTTTTGCGTTGCCCTTTTTCTGACCATGTTCACCGGTGACTTGCAGCTTGTGCCGAATGCCGGTTGAATAGCTTAATAAAGGGTGAAGCAGATCCTTCTTTTTTTGCCGCGATCCCGGCTGACACATTTTGTTCATCTCCTACCTAATAGCATTTCCCGACGGGAATATTGAATTTTTCAGACAATTGTCGCTTCAAAAGCCATAAGATACAATCGCGGTAATTAACTTTTAAAACGAGTCGACTTGGACCGAACGGTACCTTTATTTTAGGTGACTACTTGGCCTACTAGCCGCCTGTCAGAAAAAGTCAAAAGGATAGCGCAAGCTTGCAGCTAAAGCAAAAAGGCCTGGCCCAGCGCACTTATTGCAGTCCCCAAACCCATGGCACCAGAACCGATTCTGCCAACGTCCAACGAGACGTCGGCCACCGCCTCTGTCGACTCGGGGTCGCCAACACGGACAACAGCAAAGCCGTCCTTGATAGAGCGTTTCCGCCTCCACGATGATGTGAACATTCACTATGCCGACATCCCTGTCTGCCTGTGCAGTCTGACGTCCGGCCTTTGCGATAGCGTCGCCTTCAATGCCTCGTCAGTCTTTGTGTCGATGCAAACGGGCAACACGGTCTTCCTGGCCCTTGGCACCGCAGGATTGCCAGCCAATGTACCGCTGCTCTGGTTGAAGTCACTATGCTCCATTGCCGCGTTCATGGCCGGCGTCTTTGTCTTTGGGCAAACGCGCCACGTGCGCCCCACGTCCAAGCTCACCCTCGCGGCCAACTTTCTGGCGCAGAGCATCTTCATCTTTGCCGCGGCGGCGCTGGCGCAGGGCGGTGTCGCGCCGGCCTTTGGCCTGCTGAGCGTGGCCGAGGCCCTGTCGCGCGAGGAGCACGCCGACCTGCGGGTGCTGGGCCCCATTGTGCTGCTCGCCTTCCAGTTTGGCGGGCAGATCTGCTCGAGCCGCATCCTGGGCTTCAACGAGGTGCCGACCAACGTGCTCACCAGCGTCTACTGCGACCTGTTCAACGACCCGAACCTGCTCGCCCCCTGGAAGGCCAACAAGAAGCGCAACCGCCGCGCCTCGGCCGTCGTGCTCATGCTCGTCGGCGCCATCATTGGCGGCTGGCTGGCCAAGAGCGATGCCGGTATGAGCACTGCCCTCTGGATCGCTGGCGCCATCAAGTTTGGTATCGCGACTGCGTGGCTGCTGTGGAAGCCCAAGCAGACGGCCCAGCCGGCGGAGAAGAAGTAGCGAGCCATCCGCGGTCCTTGCATCTTCTGGCCAGCCATACTGGCTGTACCCCCGAGCAATAAACAAAAGACTCTCCTGGCGTTGAGCAAATGACGATCATTTGCATACAAAGCATTTTAGAAATAGACCCCAAAGAGATAGAAGGCGGCACTTGGAAACAGATAGACTTAGATGCATGGCTTACGGGATGAGCGGCACGGGTTGGGTTCCTCGTTGTTTTCAGTGTTTGGAGATGACCTTGGTATTACGATAATAATCATTCAAGCGCTATTTTGACCTCTTTCCATTACCATCTCTTCCAACTTTTCCATCTATTGTCCGCTGAATGCTTAGTAGACGTAGCGGAAATTGGGATTCTCGCGATCTGTCAGATCCTCAAAGGCGTGAACATTCTGAGCATCGGCGGCCTCGTGCACGCCAGCTCTGGCGAGTTCGTCCTTCTTCCTGTTCTGGCGCTTGAGGTGCCACCTGAAGAACAGGATGATGAAGACGAGCAGGGTGTAGCAGCCAATGTGGGTGGCAAAGGCGATAAAGTACCGGGGCTGGTCCCGGTCGAGGAAGACCTGGGGTCCGATGGCGTTGCCTGTAGCCCAGAAGATAAAGTTGGTGGCGACGACGACGGACTTTTTGGTAACGCCAGCGACGTTGCGCGACAGCATTGAGAGGCCCAGTGTCTGCGCAGACCAGAAGGAGAGGGTAATGTAGTAGGAAATGAGCAGTCCAACGTGCTGAGACAGGGTCTCGCTCGGGAGCGCCATGAGGAGCGCGGTGCCGACAAACGACGGCACGACAAAGCCCAACATGACGAGCAGGTTCTGCTGGAACTTCTTCACCAGCCAAACGGAGCTGAGCAGAATGATGATGATGTAAGCACCCAAGACCATGGACAGCAGCTGAGTTTCCCAAGTCGAGAAACCAAAACTCTTGATGACGATACCGCTAAAAGAGCCCAGACCGCTGGTTGGGAGGGTTGTGCAGAACTGGATACCAGCATAGCACCAAGTCTGCGGGTCCTTGAAGGCCTCGTATACCTGGTATTTCTTGAACTCGCGGTTCTGGATACCGGTCTGGTTGCTTCGCACTCTCTCCACCATGAGGCGCTTGTCCTCCTCGGAAAAGCACTTGGCCCGCATAGGCGAGTCGGGCATCCACCAGCCAATAAAGAAACCAAAGATGACCGAGACCACGCCGTAGACCAGGAACAGCCACTGCCAGCTCTGAAGAGGACCCGTGGTGATGAGAGAAAAGGCCCATGCAAACAGACCGCCAATGATCTGCTGGAGGCCGTTCATCATGTACCAGTAGGTGACTCTGGCGGCTTGTTCCTCTCTCTTGTACCACACAGAAGACAAGACGACAAAGGCCGGCTGACAGGCTGACTCGAACAGACCGAGCAGAATTCGAACCGTGACGAGGCCAGCAAAGTTATGGCAAGCTGCGTGGCAAGCCAGAATTGTTCCCCAAGCTATGACTGACACACTGAGATACTTGGCGACCGGAACTCGTGAAATAAGGTAGTTCTGTCGGATCATGAGAGGTCAGTGGACGGGTTGTTCTTCTTCAAGACCCAATACCTGAAAATACTCGAGCAACTTACCTGGGGGTATTCAACAACCAAAATGGTGATGTAAATACAAGTGGTTAGCCACGAATACTCCTGACCCTGCAGATTGGCGTAATCCCTGATGCCCATGATCGAGGCAAATGTCATGGTGCCCTTGTCCAAGGCTTGGAGCAAGTAGACTGAAACCATGACGATTAGAACGCGCTTGTCAATCATCTTGCGTAGGCGGTTGTTCTCCTCTGGTGTGATCTCGATAGCGCCGTCACCGGCATACTGGGCCAACTCCTTGTCAATCTTGTCATAGTTGGCATGGCCGGGCTTTTCGAGCTCGTCGACGTGAGGCTCGGCGTCGTCGTGAGACTTTCTGGTCGACTGGAACGATTTCTTGACCTCGCCGGCGGTGGGCAAGGCGACGGGTTGGACCACGTCTGGGTCTGGGGCCTCTAGGTTGGACATTGTGACTCCGTTCTGACTGAGCTCATGGAAATAAATTATCTACGGGCAATCAAAGGGCAGTCCTCGTCGCCAGGAGTGACACGAGGGAACAGACAGAAAAGGAAGGGGGATCACCACCCGAGATGGGGACTGGCCTGATATTTTATGTATCCAGAATGTTTCCCCAACTGGTCGGTTTCCCCCCCGGTTTCCATTACCCCATGGGCCAATGGTCAAGTGAAGCCAAGGTAACCCTTCGTTGCAATGCATGCGAGCCACGAGCAGGGCCGCCTTGGCTGCTTCCCGGGCCATCGGTACCACGGAGCCGTGTAGAGATCAAGCATTGGGGCTTTTTCACGGGCCAATTATGCACGAGTTGGAGAAAAGGACCTGGCAATGGCAATATGGGGGTCAAGCCTTGGATGTTTACGGGTTAGTTGACCGCGCGTATAATGGACTGATTCAATTGCTTTAGGCTGGTGATGATCAACACACCAGGGGGTTTGGCTCGAGTCCTACACCATCTTTTACCTGGCGGAATAAAGGGCGATCAGTGATCACCCAATAAGACCACCAAAAACTCGTTTACAAACGACCCGACTGCTGCACTCCAGTTGACCCAAATCCCCAAAACAAACAAATTAGCGAACAAGGCCAGGGCTAATTGGCACCCCTAGGATCCATGGGCGGGGAACCAATAAGCCGAATCTGGGGTCTGGGGAATAAGACAGACGGTGAGAAGGACAAAACATGGCTAGCACCCCGCATCTCCAGAAAAACCCCAATATCGACTACTCTACATTTGTGACTAGAAATTGTTCACCGGCGGATCCTCAAACCGGGGAAACACGAACACAATAAATGGTTGGTGACAGAGTATGGGGCATATGGGGACTCGTATGTATACATGTTCATGCGTATGCGCGGTGCATCGTCCCAATGTAGATAGTCACCATAGATTCCTGCCAGTGCTAACCACAGACAAGAATCATCGTCCTCACCGCGCCCGAGACGGTGTTCACAACTTGTTCGTCGGAAGCGACCCGAAGTGCGAAGGATAGTATGATCCAAATGTTGGACCTTGATCCCCACCTGCCAAGGCCATGCAAGGAAACATGGTCCGAAGGCCAATAAGCACGAGTCACGACTCTTTTCGGCCGGTTGATAGCCCGAATCCATGTTCGCGCAGAGCCAGAGAGTTTCTCCACCAAACAAATGTCGACATTGTAGGTGGAGTGTCGAAACCATGGCTTTACCTTTTATGTCGGCTTGCCAGCGCATTTCCGTCGTACCATATGAGGGCAATGTCGTTGTGAGTAATAATAAGAGTGAGAGTAATGCGCTGATGCGATCCTCCCTGGCCACGTGAGAAAACATCGCTTGCAACCAAACACAATCTATACGTACCCCTGCCTCGGTGTTCCCAAACTGCTTGTTTGCCAGACATCCATCCCAATCAATCGGGCATTATTGACCTATCATAAACAACCTTTATACTGCCCAAAGCACTGGCCCAAAGTATTATACAAAGATGCCGGCCGAACTTCATGGCATCAAGGCCAGCGATGTCCACGCCAAGATCCAGCTGCTGATCGATGGCATGGTCAACATCAAGGACAAGTCTGGAGAATTTTTAATGACATTGGCCGACGGCCGCGTCATTGACACCAAGGGATGGAACGACTGGGAATGGACGCACGGCATTGGCCTGAATGGCCTCTGGGCCTACTACAACCTGACGGGTGACGACAAGTACCTCAAGATCATTGAAGACTGGTTTGCCAACCGCTTCGCTGCCGGCGGCACCACCAAGAACATCAACACCATGGCCGTCTTCTTGACGCTGGCCTATGTTTACGAAAAGACGGGAAACCAGACATATCTGCCCTGGCTGGACAGCTGGGCCGAGTGGGCCATGCACGATCTCGAAAGGACAAAGTACGGCGGCATGCAACATATTACCTACCTCGAGGTGAACGATCAGCAATTATGGGACGACACCCTGATGATGACCGTGGTACCGCTGGCCAAGATTGGACAGCTCCTCAACCGGCCACACTACATTGAGGAGGCCAAACGGCAATTTCTGCTGCACATCAAGTACCTGTTTGACAACAAGACGGGCCTCTTCTTCCACGGGTGGACGTTTCACGAGGGCGGGCACAACTTTGCCAATGCGCGGTGGGCCCGGGGCAACTCGTGGATCACGATTGTGATCCCCGAGTTTCTCGAGCTCCTCAACCTCGACCCCAACGACGCCTTCCACCGCACCCTGGTGGACACGCTGGACGCGCAGGTCGAGGCGCTCGCGCCGCTGCAGGCCGACTCGGGGCTCTGGCGGACCGTGCTGGACCGGCCCGAGAGCGAAGGGTCGTACCAGGAGGCCAGCGCCGCGGCGGGATTCGCCTTTGGCATCCTCAAGGGCCAGCGCAAGCGCTATATTGGCAAGCAGTACCAGGACGTGGCCATCAAGGCCATCAAGGCCGTGCTCGACAATGTGGACCAGGACGGCGAGCTGCTGCAGACGAGTTTTGGTACCGGCATGGGCCATGACTTGCAGCATTACTATAATATCCCCATTACGAGTATGCCGTACGGTCAAGCCATGGCGATTATTTCTCTAGTGGAATTCCTGAGAGTCTTTTACTAGCTTGAGCCCATAGAGATGAAATTATGAGTTGGTGAATTGATACCAAAATATTATGCAGCGCGGATTTCTTGGTTTCGCGTGAGAAACCAATTCTTTACTGAAGAAGAAAGAATAGCAAAGGTCGGAAGGAACTTGACCCAAGCTGATGTAAACAGAAGATGATGAATGTCACTCTAGGTAAAGATAGACCTGAATTTGCACAATTAAACTTCATCTTGTCCGTTTCTTCGGTCCTGCACCGTTATTCTCAAGGTCTGCAGCATACTCTACGTACTCCCGCATGGGATGCCAACCGAAATGTCCGGTTCTCTCAGGGGCCGCCCCTAGTCCTGGTTGATCACGCAAGCGGGGATCAAGCTTGCGGAGAATTTTCACATGCTGCCCCTCACGCAGCAGATACGTGATCTATTTTGTGATAGAGCAGTCCTTTGCACAAGCAAATCTGGGTTGGTGTCCACACCAATTCTCAGGCCGGTTGGTGTAGTTGGTTATCACGTCAGTCTAACACACTGAAGGTCGCCGGATCGAGCCCGGCACTGGTCATAGGTGCAACTTTTTGCCGTTGTAGTGTATTTGCATGCCTCGCATATAGCTCTGCCTGTGAATGTCTACTCGTTATTTTTTTTCTCTCTCTTTTTAGTTCGTGTCTCTCTTTCGTCTGCTGGAGTATTGATCAACTGCTCTGATGTGTGATTAATAAAAAGAAGTCATGTATTAGATGCGGAATAATGTTTTGTAGATTGATGATTGCATGTGAGCAAGCCACAATCTAGTAGTACAATGCCCATCTTTTATAACATTGCCAGATGAATTCCCAATAGAAATAAATATCAAGGGCATTCCGATGATTTCTTATCTTTTGTGATCTTAAAGTTTGAATCTAATTTGACCCTAGGAAACATGTTTTGGGCGTTTCTCCTAGGAGAGAAGCAGACTGGGAGCTAAATGTCATTATATTTGTGAATTGTCAAGTAAATAGATTCTCAGCATGTGCCCAGCTTGAAATAAACCAATAATATGCTTGAATTACTCCTAGACCTCTGCTAAATATCTTTCTTTCTGCTGAATCAAATGTTCAATTGAGCCCCCCGCGAACCCCGGCCATCTGGAGCTTCTCTGATCGTGAGATAGCGGCTGCCAATGGTCGATTTTGGGGCCCCAATCTTTTTTTTTCCCTGCATGCGAGCTTATCACGACAGGTCTGGCAGCGGCGTGTTTTGATTGGTCAATGTGAACTGATAACTTCTATCCTTGACAACAATCAATCGAGCGAGAGAAAACGATCAACGCAATACTACAGTACAGACGATGACGGCAGCTTTCTAATCATTCTTGTTTCCGCCGGGGCAGCCTTATCGTTTGTCCTTCCTTCCCGCCGGCATTGGGCTACAGGGCAGAAGAGACATGCTCTACTACGAGCTAGGTTAGGTGCCTTGTACGTCCCCAAAGTCTCAAACTACCTGAGCGCGACCTGGGGTTCTCTACCTGTCCCGATAAGCACCACCCGAGGTTTGTTAGTCTGACTACCATGTTCCATGATTGGCTCATTCCATCTGCTAAATCATAAGAATTTCAGACGAGCTGTGCTGCTTATCAGTCGAGTGTACACTTGAACTTTCCTGACGCTCTCGCTTGCCTGGTCTAGCCTCAACGTCACTAGCCACGACGTTATACCCGTCGTCGGACAAGATCTGGGGAGCCCACCAAGGTCTTGGAAAATTGAATATCCCTAACAAATCTGCCGTGCGGAATAATAGAGTCAGTCTACTACTTCTTGTATGATCCACAAAACAAATGCTATACCAAGCCATGCATGTGCTCCGGGGCTCGCATTTGTGTGGGGGGCGGACCTCTCGTTTGGCATCCCGCATGCGCATGCAGAGAGCCGACCTCGAAACTCTCTGATGAAATGCCGGGGGTATGCCCAAGAGGCAAAGGCCCCGGGTCATATCGGACCAATAGACATCCCAGACAACAACAGGATGAAGCTCTGGTCGACATCGGACCCTTTAGTGCTATTCCTCTGCGATCTGCAAGACGAAAAGAAGACGTGCATGAAAGTGGTGGTACAGGTATATATGGTCGGCTGCTCTTCCCCGTGACTTGACAAACCTCCTTTGCTTCCACGGCCCTCTCACATCTGGCATGCACGCGGCGCAATCTTTGTGATATATCCAAGACATCAGATTGTAGCAAAGGGAATTGCAGACGGAGTCTTCCATCATGGTCAATCCGCCGCTGGAGCCCGGCGTGGGCTATGGCATTGTCCTCGGCCTGGGCTTTGCCTTTGCCTTGGGCATGGTAAGTTGCACCCACATACTCGTGCATGACCAAGATATCACCGTCGCAAATTCGTGTCGGGTCGGTATTGGGAATAGCTGTGCACAATTACTGACGCCCAGAATAGATCCTCGTCACATTTGTCCTCAGGCGATACAACTCGGAACTCGTAACGTCGGAAATGTTCAACACGGCAGGAAGAACAGTCAAGAGTGGCTTGGTCGGATCCGCAGTCGTCAGTTCATGGACATGGGCCGCCACTCTGTTGCAATCAACCGGTGTGTGCTACAGATATGGAGTTTCTGGTCCCTTTTGGTATGCGTCTGGTGCTACCGTCCAGATCCTCTTGTTTGCGACGCTGGCCATCGAGCTGAAGAGACGCGCCCCGAACGCTCACACCTACCTTGAGGTTGTCAAGGCTCGATATGGAACCTGGGTACACGCTGTGTTCATGGTGTAAGTATAACTGTCGGACTATATGACCCTGGTCTGGTCTTCTCCTGTGTTTCACGCACGACTCTGGCAATTGGAGTAGAATGCGATGATTGCCGGCATGCATAGATCTAAACTTACTGACACAATGCACATAGGTTCGCTCTTGCTACCAATATTCTCGTCAGTCTGATGTTGATTGTTGGAGGATCTGCGACAGTATCAGCACTGACCGGAATGAACCAAATCGCGGCCATCTTCTTGCTCCCTGTCGGTGTGGTAGCATATACTCTGGTCGGAGGTCTAAAGGCAACGATTTTGACGGACTGGATTCACACATTTATCCTGTTGATTATCATCATCATCTTTTCTCTCACAGCTTATGCAAGCTCCGAACAGCTTGGATCACCATCGGCAGTCTATGACTTGCTCGTCGAGGCTGCCCTCAGTCACCCAGTTGAGGGCAATGCCGAGGGAAGCTACCTGACTATGCGATCGCAGGAGGGTGTCATCTTTTTCGTCATCAACATTGTCGGCAACTTTGGTACCGTGTTCCTGGACAACGGATACTACAACAAGGCCATTGCTGCCTCGCCCGTCCACGCTCTGCCTGGCTACATCATTGGCGGACTGAGCTGGTTCGCCATCCCCTGGCTGACTGCAACGACCATGGGTCTCTCAGCACTGGCCCTAGAGTCATCACCGAGTTTCCCGACCTACCCGGATCGCATGAGTGACGCCGACGTCTCGGCCGGTCTGGTACTGCCATATGCGGCTGTTGCGCTTCTTGGGCGCGGGGGTGCCATTGCGACGCTGCTCATTGTTTTCATGGCCGTTACCAGTGCAACCTCGTCGGAACTGATCGCCGTCTCTTCGATTTGCACCTATGATCTGTACAGAACATACTTTAAGCCAAATGCAAGCGGCAAGACCTTGATTTGGATGTCTCACTGCATTGTCATTGCCTACGCCCTTTTCATCTCGGCCTTTTCAGTCGGTCTGTACTACGCTGGAGTTTCCATGGGATACCTGTATCTGATGATGGGAGTTGTCATTGGGTCTGCAGTTCTGCCGGCCACCCTGACGCTGGTCTGGAATGGACAGAACAAATGGGCCGCGGGATTGTCACCGATTCTTGGTCTTGCTTTTGCGCTCATTGCCTGGCTCGTGACTGCTCGCAAGGAGTGTAACGCACTTGATGTTACCTGCACTGGCGGAAACAACCCCATGCTTGCCGGAAATGGTACGTCACATCTTGTTTCTTGCTCACTATGATGAATTTTCTAACCCCGTGCTTAGTTGTCGCTCTCCTATCGCCCGCTGTCATTATCCCGATCTTGTCGCTGGCTTTTGGCCTACAGAAATACGACTGGGTGTCCATGATGGAGATTCGCAGGGGCGACGACCACGATCTCGCCGACACGGCCGGCGTGGACCTGGAGAACACGGTGGGAGGACACACGGAGACGGCGGCCGAGTTCGAGGCCGAGCAGGCCAAGCTCAGCCGCGCCAGCAAGATATCCAAATGGACCACCGTGTTCCTGACGCTGGCGTTCCTGGTCGTCTGGCCATTCCCCATGTACGGGTCCTCGTACATTTTCTCCAAGCCCTTCTTCACCGGCTGGGTCACGGTCGGCATCATCTGGATCTTTTGCTCGCTGGGCGCCGTCGGCCTGTTCCCCGTCTTTGAGGGCCGGCGCACGCTTGTGCGCACGACCAAGGCCATTTTCAACGACATTACCGGCAAGAAATCGGCCAAGACCATCCGCGCCGAGCAGACGGAGGAGATTGAAAGTGAGATCCGCGCGGAAAAGGAGAAGGAGGCCAAAGGTACCGAGACTCCTCCCAGCAAAGAAGTCCGTTCAGACCCGGGCGTTGTTGCGCAGTAGTAGATTGCTGCTCGTGCATTGGGGGCGGTTTTCTGGCCTATTTTTTTTTTAAAATCTGCGCTGCGAGTACCTTGTCCTCAGATTGATATTCGGAGTTTTTTTTTTTTGGCAGATACCCTTTTTGATACGTGAGATTAGTAGTGGTATAGGGACGCAGATCAACATTGGGGATGTAATTGGCCCAATGAGTGAAGCGACATGAAATAATGCAAAAGTTCAGATCAAATTATGTGGACCACATGAAGATCAGTGAAGCGGCGAGGAGAAAAGGAACGAAAAGAAAAAAACACATAGTGCTACTAGTTAAAGTGGTGAAACATCTGTACCTATGTCATCCTTCGTGGTCAAAGCTGCGATGTACCGCGTCTATGCCGGTTATCCGGGAACAGGCGTAAGGCTGCCGCAGCCAAGTGGGCCGCTTACATCCCCCCAAAGTCCAACGGGAGGCGACAGCACAACTTAAAAGAATCAGACTCCATTTAAAAGATTTGACCCCCTGGCCTACTCTGTTTTTTTCCTTCCTGAAAGAGGAGCTTGGCGATACTCTTTTTGTTAGGTATCCCATTCACTCTGTTCCGAGCCAAGCCATGGACGAACAGATCTCCTTCTCGGTATCCCGTGTCGATACCTTTCCGGACCACGTCCCACGCACTGATGAGAGGAGCGGCTTCACGTACAATGACAAGTATGTCATCAACTATGACTTTAGCGAGATAGGTATGGGTTCTACAAAACTTCACCATCCAGAGCTCAAGAGCTGACATTTGGGAGACCGTGATACTGCCATTGATGAGGTATCGTTTCTGTGTAGCGACATTAGCCAAGCTGGTCTACAGTGCGAAGTCCGTGCCGGTGAGGACAAGAGCCTTCTCATCTTTGTGAGGGCCCCAAAAGAGCTTTTGAGCGCAGAAATCCACAAATCCAGGTGAGTTGAACCATACAAGCTCGACATTCTGGAAAATGAACGATCTAACCCCAAGACCTGTAGAGTAAAGGATTGGTTGTACGGCATCACCAAGACCCAGCCCAAAGTAGACAAGAGGACCAAGTCAGAGTCATTCAAAGATGCCTTTGAGGCTGAGAGCATATTATCCGTGTACCATCTCGTCAATTGGTCCAAAGAGATTGGTGGTGCGGGCATCACTCCCGAGTTTGGGAAATGGGAAAATGTGAAATCCATTTTCCCCATACACAACGAACAGGCCAACCGAAAACTTCTCAAGAGGCTGAGCAAAAAGCTGGTTCTAAACAAAGATGATCTGGACGAAATCAGGAACCTATTTGGCTCTCAGGTCAGTTAGTTCCCTCCTTGTGTATATTCAGCTGATCTTACCGTCGTTAGGTGGCCTTCTACTTTGCCTATATGCAGACATATCTAGTCTTCTTGGCATTTCCCGCTATTACTGGAGTCTTGGCATGGGCCTTTCTTCCTAAGTACTCGTTGATATACGCCATTCTCACACTTCTCGGGTGCACAGTATTCCTCGAGTACTGGAAGATTTTGCAAGATGACCTGAGTATTCGGTGGAATGTCCGTGGTGTTGGGTCCCTAAAAACGAACAGACCAAACTATCTCTACGAAAAGGTCATTGTGGACAGCTCGGGACGGACCAAGCATTATTATCCCAAGTGGAAGTCCTTTGCACGGCAGTCCCTGCAGATTCCTTTCTTTGTCTTTTGTCTTGTGACTCTTGGCGTAATCATCACCATGGTTTTTGCAATTGAAGTTCTCGTATCCGAAGCCTACGAGGGCCCGTGGAAAACTTGGCTGGTAAGTTTGCATTTGATTATTGTGGGGAAATATGCTGACGGATCGTAGGAGTACGTTCCGACCTTGTTCCTTGCCGCTGGTCTGCCATACATGAACTCTTTCCTGGAAGATGTTGCCAGCCGCCTCGCCGAGTTTGAGAATCATCGCACAAAAGACAACTTTGAAATGTCTCTTACTCAGAAGCTCTTCGTTCTCAGCTTCATTGTCAACTACCTCCCAATTCTTCTCACGGCATTCGTATACATCCCACTGGGTAACAAGATTGTGCCTTGGCTCGGATCGCACCTCTTCAGTGCAATCGGTGTGAAGCTCGACAACAACTTTTTCCAGCGAGATCCAGATCGCCTGCGGAACGAGGTGATTGCTCTGACATTGACAGGCCAGGTTTCAGACATGTTTGAAGAGATGGTTGTGCCATATGTGATGCACAGGCTCAAGTCTTGGTGGCATACATACAAGCTGTCGCGCTCACACTTTGCCATCAACAAGACCGACGACCCTACGGAAAAGGACTTTTTGCGCAGTGTTCGACGTCAGGCCAGCCTACCGCCTTACAATGTTCAGGATGACATCTCGGAAATGGTGATCCAATTCGGCTACCTCGCGCTCTTCTCCCCCGTCTGGCCGTTGGTGTCGGTCGGTTTTTGGATCAACAACTGGATCGAGTTGCGATCCGACTTTCTCAAGATTTGCATCGAGCACCAGCGACCGCATCCTGTGCGGACTGATGGCATCGGGCCATGGATCCACTCGCTGGACGCGCTCACGTGGATGGGCAGCATCTGCACCGCCGCCGTGGTGCACATGTTTGGCACCGAGAGCGGGTCGAGCAGCACGGTGCTCGGCAAGGCCCTCGGCGGCGTGCAATGGTGGAGTCTGCCCATCACCATCTTTGTGAGCGAGCACATCTTTCTCGTCCTGCGCGCCCTCGTCCGCCTGGTGCTGCAGCGCGTCGGGTCCGAAGAGGTCCGCCGGGAGCGCAACGAGCGCTACGTCCGGCGCAAGAAGTACATGGACGAGCTCGAGGCTGCGAACCGCGCCACCGAGATGCTCGACGTCGGCGCCATCCAACGCCGCAAGTCTGTGCGTCTGGCCGATGCCGATGTCTTTTGGACCAAGCAGGTCGAGAAGGGCTCCAGCATCGAGGCCGCCATTGAGCTCATCAAGGGTGTGGGTGGTAGTGACTTGAACGATGGGGCTCACTCCAAGTTGGCATGAGTTGCAATACTTTCCCTAAGGTCCCTGTAGAGGCACCTTGTGTATTCTGGCTTTGACTGGTGCAATGGCTGGCATAAAGAACATACAAACTTGTAATAAAATGGGCGATATCGTCTGAAATATGATAGATTTTTGAATTAAGGCACGTTCCCATACGCAAAGAATCCCTACCAATTGCAGGTGCCCAAGAAATCTAGATAGTCATGGGCAGAGAATGCCTTGGGAGTGCCATCTGGCAGGTCCTCAAATTTGAAATCTTTCGAGCCTCGTCGCAATGCGGCGCACGCAGAAAAGGAGTGGTTAGCTGCCTAAGATAAATGTATGATGAGTTGGAGCTGCAGGCACGCTTCAGCCCATTGACCGTCAATTGGTGGTTGTGGTGCGACAGCTGTTGCGCTGGCTCATACCGACTCGAGCTACGCCATTTTTAGCCGTCACCAAGACACAACAGCAATGTAGAAGAGGTGCAGTATGAGCCCTGTCCGCAATTCCAGAGCCTGTGTACAGCCCTGTACCATATGTCTGTCTTCACTCCTTGCTGGGCTGAATCTTGACTGCGCACAGTCACAATCGAATCAAGGTCCAATTAGCATCGTCGCAGTTTTTGGTCCTTTACCTATTTCTCCGCTATGTTTTCTGACACCTGCACTGAAATCTGCTCGCACACGCCCTTGATTCTTCTCATGTCCCTTCCCCTCATTTCCAATTCTTATAGATCCACAAGTGTCCACAGCGCTCTCATCGATTCCCCATTTGCATCAACCAGGTATCCGATTTCCACCGGATGATAGCCGTTCAGGAACTGGACTGGGAAGAAGAGAAAAAAGCACAACTGACACGTTCTGTGCCACTGCCCGCCAAGTTTGCATCTTTGCCCTATAATTACTTGTTCATGGGACTGGGTTTCCTCGAAGCCGGGCCCACTGACACGTCTCTCCCATCGCATTGCCAAGCAGGTCAAGTTCAACAACAACCAGGGCGAGGCTGGACAGAAACATGGTCATTTAGCAGGTGGTAAAACTGCGATCAAGGCCATGTCTTCTCCCACTCAACCGACCTTGTCGCCGTCATCGTGGAAGGTCGCACAGGACCAAACCAAGACCACACCGGAGACCTCCTCTGCCCCGCGCGGTAGCAATGAGCATCGTATCACCCAGGCCAATGACGTCGCTACACACGACGCACAGCAGATGGCGGACCCAACAAACAAGTCCAAGGGTAAGGACAAAGCTCATCTAGAGAAGCTAGTGCAGGAGGAGAACGAAAGTCGGGGCGAATTGCCAAGATATCCCGGACTCGAGCAGTGGGAGCTTGTCGAGAAGATTGGCGAAGACGGGTTGAGCATTGTCTACCGGGCACGCCATGCTACTGGAGTTGGCACCGAGGTCGCTATCAAGGTCGTTCGGAAGTTCGACATGAATAGCCCGCAGGTGAGTTACACAAATGGTTCACTTTCATTGCCGATCATGCTTTTTCCCCCTTTGGTCGAACTCTTCCCTCAAAGTTTCTCTCCTTGCCCTAGGGCTATTTTCGTCTATCTTCCCATGGAAGTCTTTGATACGAGGTGGGTATGGATAATTCAAGAAAATAAAACATCTACATAAGGTTACTAAAGCAAGGGCTGTTTTCTTTCCTCATTATTAAATATCCTATCCCAATATGTGCATATATAACTTCTTCTTGTGTTTATTTATGTCAACGTTACAACAGAGTGATCTCTATCAAACTTTAAAGTCATCGCATGCAATTAGATAGACTTTAGAAACATTGAATTTGGTATTAACCTAGAACACAGCGTGCAAGAATTCTCAAAGAGGTGCAGATCATGCGAGAGCTCGACCATCCAAATATTATTGCATTACTTGCCTTCTCAGAGTCGCGGCAATACTACTATATTATTATGGAACTGGCAACCGACGGCGAATTATTTGATCAAATTGCACGTTTGGAGTATTTCAGCGAAGAACTTGCACGCCATATTGTAATTCAAGTTGCAATAGCCTTGCATTATCTCCACAAGAGAGGTATCGTTCATCGGTATGTATAACCTTCAACTGTTTCCGGATTCCAGCGAAATTATCGAATATTGTGTAAAAACTCCTGGATAACCTTGGTATCTAGCAATATCAAGCCAGAAAACATCTTATTGAATCCTATACCAATAGAGCCATCCAGAACTCGGAAACGCAAGCTTCCGCGCGACGAGGACAAAGTCGATGAAGGCGAGCATTTACCTGGACAGGACGCGCGTGGTATCGGACTAATCAAGATTGCCGGTTTTTCCATGTCTGAACTCGTTCGGACAACGGCACCGCGTGGCACGATTAGAGATGCCGCCCCTGGTATTGTTGAAGATGAGAGCTACTCCAAAACGACAGATATATGGGCCCTGGGGTGTATATTGTATACGATACTGTGTGGCTTTCCACCATTCTACGACGAGAACATCGAGGTACTCACAGACAAACTTACCAAAGAGCAACCGACCTTTCTTTCACCATGGTGGGACAATATCTCAAAATCAGCTCAGAGTCTTGTCAGTCATATGTTGGCAAATGAACCAAAAAACCGATGTACACTTGCGGAATTTTTTGCCCATCCTTGGGTATGCCGGCAGCTGGAGCCGATGCCGCCCGATGAGAAGTCCGTCAGTGAGAATATGCTCTCCACCGCTACCGTGTTTCGACCCGGAGATCACGACAAAAGAGTGCATTTTCAAACCTTTGATGCTACATTCTTACGTCAAAATTTGTCTTTTATTTACTCAGTAAAACTCGAGGACGAAGAAGTCAAGCGAGAAAAGCAGATCACAAGGCAGGGTAACACCGCGTCTCATTCTCGCATCAGCAAGGAATTGTTCGAAGACGACGAGGAGGAATCAGACCTTAGCCGAGGCCAGGACTTGAGACAGCGAGTCCGGGATCGTAACAGACAGAATGACATTCCCGAGATAAGCCTCGATAGGGCGACTTTGATTAGTCGCAGGGCGCAGATGAATGCCGATGCCAGTCCACTTACCTCTATGAAAGCTGCACTGGGAACAGGAAATGCAAAAGTGATAGAGCGGCTACTGGAAAAAGACTTTGTCAAGCTTGCAACCGGGGATTACGCATGGCTACAAGAACTCAAAGACATTGGTTATTCGTTCTTCGATATGGCGTGCCTCCTTGTTGAGCAGGAGACTGATTCGCCGTGGATTTATTTCGCTCCACACAGCATTGAGACAGTTGGTATTCGATGTGATGCACACATCCCAGGCTGTGTGCATCAAATCCTCCATCCGAGTCATAATGATAAAACCATCTTCGCTCAAGGCGCAACGCAATCAGGTGGTGATTATCACCAGACCCTGCTCGTGGTACAACGTTTGTGTGGTTTGGCTGGGATTACTCCTGTGTCCCGGGATCAGAAAACCTGGAATGGTCTCGCAGAATTTTCAGAGGAGAACAAAACAGTAACCATAACGTATCCACTGGCGAACGAGGACTTTTCGTCAACCGCAAAGTTACTCATCCTCATCTTGGACGGTCTCCGCTCAGCTATTGGCATTTACCAATCTCGTGGTTACTGCTGTAATTCATTCACCATCCTTCAGTCGACAAATGTTGTTCCTGTTCAGAACTACCGTGGGGCTCCTGTTGAAGTGTGCCGGATTGATCTCACGAGCTTGGACAAGTTCCGAGAATCTTTGGCGCATGCCTCCCATGCAAGTGACGTTCAGACAATTACCCTTCAAATCCTGTCTGCAATCTTCAGGCCTGAGGGTGAGCTAACGAGAAGATTGGAAAGATCGGGAATGGATGTTCTCTTGCCATTGACAGTCCAGATCCTCTGCATTGGCTTCATTTCATATTGTCAGGCGCATATTGGTGCCCTCCAGCTGTCCTTCCTGGATACGCCAATCTCTAAAGTTTGTCTTTTGGGAAAGGCTGCAGGCAGTGGCAATCCAATTATCGAAGGACATTTGGTGCGGTTGACTTGTATGGGAGATATGATTCTTCAACCTGTCTTCGCATTCTCCGTGGTTGATTCGCAGAGCATACCAGATGGCATATTGTGCGGCCATGATTTGTTTGCCAGTTTGGAGGATACTGTTGATACATGGGGCCCAGCGCAATTCGTCATGCCTCAAGAAGGGCATTGGCCACCCTTGGCTCTGATCATTGGAGGAGGTGTTATTCACGCCATCGATTCAGATTGCACCCAACTTCACTGGAGCCATGACTTTGGCAAAGCCAGGGTGCCCAAGAACGGAATAGACCCCTTTCTCAAGATGATCATCGGTTCATTGGTTTCAGTTAACACAAAGTGTCAAATTGACGAGGAGGAGCGCTGGTACGATTCTTCGTGGATCCTGCAATCACTTGGTCCTTATTTCCCACGTTGGGAATACTTTGAAAGGCAGGTTGGTATGCAAGCCGGGGAGTACTTTTTGCTACAGGCAAATGCAGCGCAGCAAAAAGTTGCAGGCCGAACTTTGAAGCAACATAGATTGTTGCAGGAGGATGATGCCCTTATATCATTTCTTGACAACCTTTGGGGACTTCAAGTGAGCTTCTGCACAGGCATCTCACGGAGGGTACCTTTGCAGACCATGGTGGCCGACATGCTTCCCATTTTTGCAGATGCGTTCATATCCAACGGTGAAGACCACGCTGCTTGGATAGAACTCCAAGAGCAGCATGGTATCACTGAGAAATTCCGTTCCGGTATGGCTCGCAATTGTCTTCTCGGTTTACCTGGTAGATTGCATCGACTTGCTCTCAAAATGACCCGACGCATATTCATGGCGCTGGCCGAAACAGGTGTAGATCGCTCGGGCAAGTACATGATAGTAGCATGGCCTCGATCGCAAGACATATATCGTTGTTTTCAAATACCGTGCGAGCACGAAAGCGCCTGGACCAAAGTTCTTGCCGACTCGACAGACTGTGCAACATTCGCTTATATAACGACACTTTGCCTGGAGACGGATACGATTCGGTGTCAGGGCCCCAACGCAATTTGGAAAGGAACCATGCCATTGATGGAGACTGCAGTCATTGGTCACCATTCCACCTTGCCCACCAGTCGCTCACAGGCGACTCTCAATACAAGTCAAGTACAGACAGCACCTTCATCCTCGAACCCGATTCCATTGTTGCTAGATTCTACGATATCGTCAACACCGAAGCTTGGTCTCAGTTTGCAACACAATGCTACACATTTCTTTCAAAAGGCCGACCACTGTTTCTTCGTAACTGTACAGCGGCCCGATGCATCGTCGACGCCAATGCTAGTGGCGCGCTCCAGTACATTACCACCTCGGATTCAGTGGCGCGTCTTACAGCATCTACGAGGAGAGGAACGGAAAAGAAAGTCAAGGTTGCGTGAGCGTGTCATTGAAGGGGATGCGGCAGAGTTGGTATCATTATCGGCGATTACCTGATTTGGGTTTTGGGCAAAGGGCCTCCTCAGCTAGTATACCACAACCAATGGAAGTGAACAAATTCTGGATCCTCAACTGCAATACAAGACACCGCAGAGATATGTGTGTATCAGTTTAGACTCCAAATATACCGCTATTGAAGGCTGCTCATTGGTGCCAATAATGAGACCCAATCACTGGCCCCTAGACAAAAGTAGACTCAGCGGTCTTCAAATTGTGACAAAGACTCTCGCTGGATCGCTTGCGTTGGACTTATCGCCTCGGGCTGCACTTGCAATGTTAAAAGACAAAATAACAACATAATGGACTAGGCTAAGAGTTCTATGAACGTATACCACTGATTGCTCTCTACGCTTTGCGGAGGTGATAGCTTCAGGGTTCTCATGCCGACTGCGAAAACGGTCATTACGACAATTGTTTCCGGGTTGCCGGGTTGAAGTTGGAGAGAAGAGCCAAGCTTGCGCCATTGATATGACCAGGGTTTAGTGGACATCTCCCACTAGAATCTCGCTAGCTTGGGCAGCTACTAAATTCTTCCCCACGCTTCCATTAGTGAGTAGCCACTAAAAATCAATTGTGTCGCGTTCTGACGTCGCGTGTGCAAACCCCCCAGCTTTTTTGTGCTAGAGCTACCAGAGCTGAGCTACGAGGTATCTCCGTCAAGCCTCTCTAGTTTGCTCCTACCTCCTACCTCACACCTCTCCGACAGGACATTGACGCTGGAGGAAAATGGACTCACGGTCGCCTTCGCGCGAGCGCTACGCTCGTTCAGTCACCCCTCGATCGCGATACACTCGTTCGCCCTCACCCGCCCCCCGTCGTCGACGTTCGCCTAGTTATTCGGACGCCAGCCCGGGTCGTCGCAATGGCAGATATCGCAGCGAGAGCCGCAGCAGAAGCAGAACAAGGACTCGTAGTCCGAGTCGTGATCGAGACAGTCGCGCCAGAAGCGGAAGCCCTCTGAGAGGCAGCACCAAGGTGAATAAAAGTCCACCATCAATCATCGCCTGGGACAAGATGAACACATGTTAATTCTACTGACTACTCTGTTCAGATCGTCGTAGAGAAGTTGACCAAGAATATCAACGAGGAACATCTCCGAGAGATCTTTGGCCAGTATGGCAGCATCAGAGACCTTGACCTACCCATGAACCGCCAATGTATGTTGTTACTTGCCACAATGGCACATTCCCGAGACGTAAGCTGACCACGGGCACAATCAGTCAACACGAATCGCGGCACAGCATACATTCTCTACGTCAACGAGGCCGATGCCGAAGAGGCTATTGCCCACATGCATGAGGCCCAGCTCGACGGCGCAATTATAAACGTATCAATTGTGCTTCCCCGACGCAAATTCTCCCAATCCCCGCCGACGGCCAGCCGTGGTGCCAACATTGACCCCCGAGTACCAGCACCCGGCCCGCGAGGCGCATTTGGAGGAGGCCCACGAGGACCCCGAGGAGGCGTTGGTAGTGGTGGTGGCGGCGGTGGAGGTGGAGGAGGTTTTGGCGGTCCAGGCTTTGGTGGAGGCCCTGCCGGTGGCCGCCCACGCTCCCCTCCCCGCTATGGAGGTGGACGTCAAGGCCGAGGACGTGGCCGCGAGGGAAACACTTACCGCCCTGGATCGCGGTCGCCTTCTTACTCGAGATCTAGATTCCCACAGCCTCGTCGTGCACGCTCACCGTCGTACGGCTCGAGATCAAGATCTCCTCAAAGACGCGGAGGTGGAAGAAGGGACAGTCTCGACAATGCCCGCGACAGTCGCAGACGCAGCCCTAGCTACGACGACTATCGAAGTCGCTCCAGAAGTCGAGGAGGACGTGACTATCGCTGAACCAAATCAAAGGACAATGACTGCATGGCATGGGGCGTTTTGGGGGAAAATTTGATACCTACATCATTGAAGCAAGAAATAAAATGGTAAGAAAATCTCTTGCCATAGGATATAATTGACAAGAATTTGTCAGTCATGTGTTTGAACTTTTGAGGTGCAAAGTTCAAATACTTTTGAGCTTGCCGAGGAAACATGATTCTGCAATTCATGCCAAGATTGATGGCTCCTGGTCCATGGGCATCTTTCCAATTTGACCACCGAATCGAACACCTAATTTAATTCCAGGCAGTCATTTTTCTGGCTAGGGATGGGATTTTTGCGAAAAATGCATCAGGGCCTTGGATCATGGGTGCTTCAACCTTCCAAGTCATCGCCGCTCGCGCTGGTCTGACGCCACAGACGAAATCCGCCCCCAAACGCACATGGCCTATTTACGAAACCCCAGCTAAGGAAGAAACGAAGAAGGCTTAGGAGCGCCAGACACGGCAGGAGTCGAGAACCTGATAAGCTTATGCCTTTGAAGTACACTCCATCAAACGGAAAAAAAGTTGCAGCCTGATTTTTGATGTCTATACACGCCGATGACAGCAATTACTTTGCACGCACATGATAGCCAGCAATCTTTTCTTAGTAATCAATCGTCCTACCAGCTGGATTTCTGTTGGTGACAGACAAGCGTATAGCCGCCGCAGCACGCTAAATTCAACTCCCCACGGTACCTAGCCACTACCGTCACGGCCCTAACAGAAATCATGGCAGTGCGACTCGTATCGTGGCCCCCCTTGTCACGAATACATAGGTAGAGCCAATCGATTGGTGATGAATAGTGAGGCTCTTCCCGATGAAGCTTCTCGGGTATTCCTGTCAATTGGTAGTCACATCCATGGATCCCGTGGCCTACTACGATTATCTGCATAGTTCAAGAGGGCCAGATGATATGAGCGGCAGATCGCAGGTTCTCGGTCCGGTGATCCTTGACAGCCACCACGAACCAGGGTGGCCGGAATGCTGCTGTCAGCCAGAGTCTCGGTATATTTCTAAGCCTTGCACTTATACCGAGCTACCCTACCACGGTCCCGGGTCTGCATGTGATAAGCAATTCCCGCCATTTCCATAGGACTACCCAGTGCATCCAACTCGTGAAAACTTCACCTTTTTCATAATGACTTTATGATTGGTTCTAAATTCACAACCTAGATACTTGCTTGATCAATAAGGCGCAGCGGCGCCTCGTAGGGCTGAGGAACTTGGTAGATCAGGAATCTCGCTTGCAGTGGCGCGGACGTGGCAGGCTTTTCTTTTCTCAATGGCGATTCTTGCCTTTGGATATCTGTCTTTGAGCTGGAAAGCTCCAAGCATATAGATCTTGACGGGCTCAGGGATCACTGTCCTAACACCCCAGTCGGACTCGGGCCCGCATCCTCCCCCATTGATCTACTCTCCCCATGCCCTTAGAAGGTGATATGATTCGTTTTCCAACATCACCATTGATTCATCGTCAGCTGGTATCTCATATCGGATCCGGCTGCTCAAGTGCCCCGTCAAAAGTCCGGTTGCGTCTTACCAAAGCAGAATTATAGACGAGAAGGGAAGAAGTGGAGATCAAAGTCGATCCTTCTAGGACACTTACTATTTCTGGCCAACCTAGGTATACAGGAATCACACTTACTGTCACTGCCCGGAATGGGGCTCCCAGTATTAGCCATCCGGACAGTAGTCACCTTCTAGACCTTGAAATTCGGGTGCCTAGAATCCATGTGTTTCTTGCATAGCCGTTCACTGACATGATGTCAGCACTCAAATTTTGCCAATTAGAGTTATGTTATGTGCTCAATGCCAAGCATCAGAGTAAACATCACAGCTTGTAATCTAGCCCGCGCCATTGGAAATCAATAGCCTGGCACCTGTAACTCACCTCTACTTACGGCGCAACCAATGAAAAGACCGCATCCAGTACCTAGAAACTATACGTCTTTAGCACAGATTCCTCGCATGTTCCTCTTTGTTTTTTTCCCCACCATAGGACAATGGCAATCCATCGGGACATTAATGGCAAGGCATTTTCCATGATTACTTCATGGTTCCGGATCAGATTAAGCCCTACATCCCGCGCTTTGCAAATGTGATTGGCTACCGAGAGACAAATATGGACAATTGGCTGGTCTCAGTTCCCGGCGGCCCCCAGCGAATGACGGTGGCTCAACACACTCTGGACGAAATGTCATCCATCTATACACACTACTTTCCATCTACAATACTCATTGCAATCAGAGGTTCTGGTATCTAGGCAGAAGAATTACATGGCGGCTTTGCTGATTCTCTTGGGGGCGGGTTGGCTTGATGTGTTGATCAAAGGATACTGGACCACTCGGTGTTGTTGGCAACATGCTGGAATGAATGATATAAAGACTTTGTTATTTCCAGTTGTGACAATTATCCCGGCACATTCAGACAACAAAACAAAAATAAAAAGCAAATAGAGTGCATTTCTCATATTCAAGAAAAAGTCATATCCAGCACCTGTCATATTTTCTCTTGATACATTATCAACCATGAGACCTGTTCTTCAACTTGAACGACCAAATTTTGGCTTTGACCATCACCGAGATATCATGTCTGCGAGAATACAAGATATGGAAGATATCGAAAGCGACCACATTCCGACAAGAGATCTCGCTCGCATCTCGCAACGCCGTCATGGTGTCCCAGCTGTGCAGAATGCTCCCGGTGATATTGGACAGACTATATTGGAACACTATGGCCAAATGCCATTGGGCAATTCGCTTCCAATTCCACCGCGTCCTCCAACGCCATCGCCCGGGCCGAGACCTGGACCTCTGCCTCCGCGCCCAGGACCGACACCGCCGCCAAGTCCTTAAAGGGCATGATCATGTCATGCACGTGGAGGAGCTCGAAATTGACACATTCTCAACAAGCTTTGTCTGGGTCTTTCCCAATGTTCTGGTGGCTCAAACTTTGCATTTTGCTACTTGGTTCGAGCAGTTGCAAAAACAATGATTCCCGCTTCTTCAGCTGCCAAGATCTCAACATCCCACCAACTCAACATACTCTGGAGAAAGGATCTAGGAAATTCCCTTGGCTGTCTGAAAGGGACCCCAGGATCGACTAGCACCTGTGTAACAATACCAACTCTCAATTATGCAGCTCTGCCCCCGAGTCGCATCAAATACCTCCCACGTGGCATGGCCCCCCCTCTATCTGGGGCTAATTCCATCAATGTCGGACTATGGGGAAACGGGGATGGAAATCAGCCTTTCCCGCATGTCAATTGCTTCTATTTCCGGCTTATCTACAATGCCATGGACTTTTCACTACTCTATCAAGCCTCTTGTTCAATTTATTCCTACATTGCCTAATTGGGATACAAGCATACGATTGATCAACCATTTCCCTTACATATCCACTTCCCAACAAACTCATTGGTGGTTGGCGCAAAAGTCATTGGGTAGCATTATTTTTCTTCTTTCCTTGTTTTCTTACTCTTATCTTGTTTTCTTTTTAGAATTTTCTTTTTTCGTACTTTTGTTTCCCGATTATCATTTCTTTCACATTCCTTCGGTCATTTTCTTGGTGATATCTTCGGTACCGGAAAACGCATGGCCCCACGAAAGGATGCGGGCAATCCTTCCGGCTGGGCGAGGCGCATTTTCTCTCTCTCTCTCTCTCTTTTACAGCATTCCTCAGGCAGACGAATTACCTAGATTAGAATCGCATTCAGCTTCTCCACAGGAGCAGGGGGGACAAAAAAAAGGAAAGGGCGAAAAAAGCATTGGCGATAGATTATACACAACAGCCTCCACGGGCCTGGCTTTCATGGGTATTTCTTTTCTTGGTGGGCCTATTCATTGAGCTGGAGTTGCCAAAAACAGCATGTCAAGGAATCAATTCGGTAGGGTCTCCAAGACGGTGGTGGTGTACTCTTACTGTTTAGTCTTTTCTTTTTCTTTTCTTCATGTTTCCGAGGTTGCAGGTTTACTTTTCTGTAAATTTCTTTTGGGGTTTCTTGGGATAGCTACTAGATATATACATTCCTTCTTGCATCTTCCACCTGCTCTTTCTAATCTTATCTCCATCTCTTACTTGATGTTGTGGTCGAAATAAAGGTATATGTTTATCGTCGTCACCAGCTCTCGCGTGGCCTTGATCAATACCGCCTGTCTATATGACGCTTTAAACTCTTTGACAATGGCGGAGGCTCAATCTCGCTAGATAGATACTCAACTATGTAAAAAGGCGTCAGTTCACAAAAAGATACACGACTTGGTCAATGATATGAGCACCGCTGCAATCCTGGTTGAAGTGAGGTCTAACGTGCAATAAAATATTAACAATCTACCAAGTAATTTGTCTAACCTCTAAACGCTATGTAAATATACGACAGTCAAGCAACAGCATCAACATTAAGATCATGACCGCCTTAAAGCTCTAATACCAGTCCTACGGCACCTAATCCCATTGCGCCCAATACGCCCAAGCCTTTACACCGAGGCAATACCGCCGCTCCGGCTTTGCTGCTGCTGGTCGCGAGATCTGTGGCCGTGCTACTTTTCGTCCCGTTGGCGCTGGTAGCCGCGCTCATCACGAAACTGCTGCTGCTGTTGCCTGCACTCGCACTCACGGTCGTCGCCATTGTCAGGACGGAGCAGCTGGCGGTACACGGCAGCGCCGTGGTAAAGGGCAAGTCTGTCACGACCATGGTGCTCGCGTTGACGGCGCCGGAAAAGACGGGCATCTGCGCGGCGGTTCCGTTGGAGTTGGGCGCCGCGTCCGGGACGTCGGGGTTGAGCACATTGTCCAGAATGTGCAGAATGCCGTTTTCCAGCAATATGTCTGACTGGATGACCTGCGCCGAGTTGACGTAGAGGTTGTTGCCCGACCGGTGAACATGCAAGGCGGGGCCCGAGGCGCCCAGCAGAGTTGTGTAATGTGTTCCATTCTCTAGTGATGTCGATGGGAGCACCGCCGAGGGCACAATGTGGTACTGCATGACGCGGCGTAGTTGCGCCGTGGTCAGGTTGCTCAGCGTGCCATTGACGACCTGGAGCCCCGGGACCGAGGGTGCGAAAAACGTGTAATTCCCGCCGCCGGCCCCTCCCGCCATTGTACCGTTGGTCCCATTGTTGTTGGCGACTTGATCGTACAGCCCGGCCGCGTACAGCGCGCCGAGAAACGAGAGGTCCTGAAAGTCCTCGAGCGTCGCGTTGAGCGGTCCCGGCGGGACCAGCAGGTTGTCAATCACCTGAATCAGCCCGCCCTTGAAAGGTATATCGACGGCCTTGAGCAGGCTGCGCGCCCCGCCGCCCGACACAAAGACGACGAGGTTCCCGGGTTGCCGGTTGATGAGCACGCCCTGGCCTCCTGCCAGCGTTGTCCACGCCGGATCGGTAAGAAGTGTTGTCGCGTGCACCTGGTCACTGGGCAGCGTCGCCATTGACAGTTGCGTCGATAGCACGTGGTACAGCATCAGTGGTACAGTGACTTTGGTGTCGTTTGCGTTCCATACACTGCTCATGACCGTGTTGGGAATGTTCTCAAAGGCCGCGTTGGATGGTGCCAAGATTGTGAAGCCTCCATCCATTGGAAGTTGAAGGAGGATTTGGGGATATTGCTATCGTCTACGTATCAGCTTGGTGTCTCCCATAGATAGCAAGCAGTATTCAACTTGTCATTACCTGTACCAGAGCATAGTAAATGCTCAGTTCCTCTTGGTTGGCTAACACGGTACCGAGATCTGGAAGATCATCCGCCGCTGCTCCAATTATGTGACTGGGGGAAAATAACATGAAAATTGAAAGAAAGACGGTGAAGATCGAGTGATTCCGGCGATGGATTGCCATTATATTGTTGGAAATTGTTGAGATTTCAAACTCAAAGTGATCAAAGTGTGTGTCTAGGTAGTTTTAGATAATGCAATCACAAAGGCAGACCGAGAGATATACGGTCTGTAAATTGAAGATATAATATGAAAAGCTTTTACTGTAAAACAAGTGTAATGAAGATATCGTGAAGTCGAACCTTGAAGGTCGGGGTACTGGATTATGAACACCTGGTTATTTTTGCCTCATGCTGATTTGGATTGCCATCTTCTGGCAATGGGAAATGGCTAGATCGATTGACTGATCGTCCTTTCGGCCATCTCCCGCCTGTATCGATAGAAATGCACACAGCCTGCGATAGTAGGTAAAGACATCCCGCCACACTATGAACGCCCTCTCTGGGCTGGAAGACAGGACCCTGATGTCTCAATTGAGATCTACACTGCGGTGTAATCCGCATTTTGTCTGGGTCGGAGCATCCGCTTCTCATAATCATACCATTTTCTTGAAACACATGTCTTGCACACAAGCTGGTAAAATCCAGTATGTATTTCTTGAGGTCATTGGGTTGTCACTATTCAGTTTTCATATTCTGCAAGCCACAAACACTTGTCAAGTGAAAATATCATCTCCCATTTGACGACAATTAGGTAGAGAAGTGATAGTATCAAGCTTATTGCGACAATATAGGGTTACTGCTCTCGACCATGCCACTGAGATTATACGATGGCAGCCTTTCAAGCGTACCAAATCACGAGGACTTTTTTTCGTTTTTCTCCCTCCCTCTTTTTTTTTTTTCTTTTTTTTTTTTTTTTACATGATTGATTTCTGATTCAGAAAAAAGCTCTCAATTAGTATCGCTGCTTGATTGCATGCCGAACCTTACTCATTCCAAGCAATGCTATTTCGACTTGAGCGAGCGTAGCCTTGGCATACTGATTTCCGTCAGATAAACATTTATTTTCTTGTCCATTGCAGGTTCATACAACTGGTTGAATTTCTCTCCAGTGTTCAATTCATTGACAATATTAACTCGCATATCAGGATACTCACGTCGCAACCAACCTCTCAATATGATCATACTACTTGCAGGCAGCAGAGTGCTCCGAATAGTCTTGATGTACTTTCAAAAGACTACAAACACTCGCGATTCGTTGTTCAATCGAAACCATTTCTCTCAATATTCTGTATATCAATGTTCGGCATCGCACCAATGAACGCAGTAGTATTGATATGTGACTATCTTGTCCCACATCATTCCAATCACAAGTAATTGCCAATAGGCTATGCAACGTTGTTTTCCTCGTGTACAACAGCTGATTATGTATAGACAAGGATGGAGATGCTGTTTTTAAGTACCAAGTCGATATAGAGTTGAGTCGGTATGGTGGGTGGGCAAAGCAAAGGCAAGAAGCACACCACCATTTTCTCCTAGTGCGGGCGGCACAATATGCAGATAAACCCTCCGCATAGGGATGCAGTGCAGATCTAGTAAGCATGTGCATTCGGGCAAAAAAGTTGGATGATTGGCACAGAGCCTCTGTACATAGGTAGTATCCAAGCTGCAAAACTGACGTGTTTTCAGAAGACGTCAGGGCAACAACCCTGCCGTCTGTCCTCAAGCCCTTCTAGATGACTATGGAAGTCAAGGATGTTCCTCCTCTCCGGGCAGTGCGGCGAGCAACGGGCGTGCTTGCGGTTGGAGCCACAAAGTCTAGATACGAGACCCTGTGGCTTACACAAGAATATGAGAGCCAGCGAATCATGACCGCGTATGGTACCAAGTGCTTGAATGCAAAAAATGTCTCGGTTTTCATGGAGGGGCCTTTTGGCAGCGAGTATGCTCCTCAATGAGCCATGATGGAAGGTGTTATGCGAATGTCTCAGACATCACAAATCGACATCGGCCATTGCGAGTAAAAGGGCAAGCGAGGCAGCCTCTGCGATGAGTCAGGTGAATTGAGCAGATATTTAGCAATATTCCACGAGTAGATTGCACGCATTCAAGACGGTTAGATTTCCAAAGGCATACATGGCAAATTGCCACCACGGATCAGGTGAATAACGTGTTTTACGCATGGGCGACGCCATGTCTCGGATAGTCGCCTGAAAGCTTTAGACAACGTGAGTGATAGATATGCTTCTGACATATGACATGTGCAAATTGACTGGTGAGATTTAAATCGCAATCTACAAACTTGGAGATATGAGATGCTATAGTGACTTGAAATATTGGTCCTAAATTGTCGACCAAGCTGATATAAGCAGGATTGCCTGATGACGGTCGGTCAAGTACCTACCTACCTGTATTGATGACTTGGTTTTGACAGAGTGTCTTTGAACCAAGAATGTATGCCTTGCTCTTGATAGCGCAAGAGGGAAAAGGGAGGGTGAGTGTTATCGCATACCACATTACCTGGTCGCAGGCTGCTACAGTACCTAGCCAACCCTTTCCCTGTTGCCTGCAGATGGTCGTGGCTGCTGATCTTTTCGTGTCGCCCGAAGCGAGCACTGTGCATTGCAAGCGAGATGCAGTGAGCGTCGTCGATGACTTGATAATTTTCTCGTATGGCGAATGGCGCCAAACACTGGCCGCAGCGACCGTCTCCTTCAGGATCTCGACAAACTCAGCCAAAGAACACGGGAAACATTACCGTACTTTGCTTATCGACGTTTGATTTCCTGAAAAGCTGATCACGGATCAGCACAATCCAGAAGGCGGCCAGATCCATCTAGGGCGCGGAAAAAGTTTGTATTCAGCTCAGTTGTTGAATTGATGCTAATACGTTTTCATTTCTCCCAGTGGTTTCTTATCGTTCCAGCTGGCAAGGGTAAAAAAAAAAGGGTAGGCCGAGATTTTGATCGACCTGAATATTCGCTGTTTTGCCTGCTGTTATCTCTAAGCTACATAGTACTGTAGCAAAGCAGCACACGTTAAAATGCCTAGAAGAAAACCGGTAAAGTCTCTGTCTCTGTTAAAGCCAACCCACCGCAGCGACCGACGGCGTGTTGGGTGTGTGGGGCGGCAACAACGACATGGTAAAAGACAGCAAAATCTTAGACACGGTCTAAACAAGTTGGGAAAGGAGAGCTGTTTGTGTCACATCTCACCTGTAGAGGGCTATTGTATGTACTGTACTTCGGGCGATTTTAGAGTTAATTTTAGGGCATCTGCAGGTACAAGGGGGCTAGTCGCAAGCCCATCCACGGACGGGATCTCATGCCGCTTTTTCCATCTCTATTCCGTTCGCGTAGGTGTGTGACGGCGGACGGGATGACAGTGGTGAGTGGGGGTTCACGTTCACCAGAGCAACAGCTACAGCAGCACACCTAAAAAAAAAAATTGGGAGAAGCTCGAGCTTTTTCATACTACATCAAGTAGATGGGCAATATCATGATTCACTGACCCGAGACCATTGATTTACTCCTAGCATATCATGGAGCTTCCCGAGTCCTTTGTAACGAATATGTCATTGCTCTGTCGTGCATTCAATTGACCTGGGGTGCATAGGCGAACTTGTCATTGTTGCTTCTGAGGTCGTACGATCACGGAGCCCTACACGCGTTGGTGGAGACATATTCGCAATAATTTGGACGTGCTTGACAAAGCTGAAGAGGTCAAAATACTGCACAGGAAACGGATATTCGGAATATATAATGAATGCAATAGTGGTCACATATCGTCGGGACCGACCACCAGCGCGTAAGGTTCTGGGTATTTATTCCAAATATATCGACGGGGCTTATGCACAGCGATCAATATCATGTACATACTGTTAAATTTCCAAGACGCACATGGCCCAGAGCAGAAGAGAGGGCTAGCCACGTTTTTCCTCTTCTCCTCTCTGAGCGGTGGCTGCCATGTTCCGAGAAATGCGATGTATGGGACTTCCAGCTTTCCATACCGGGTATGCAATACTATGTACGATGACTGCTGCTGCTGCTGCTGCTACTGCTATGGGACGCAGCACGTCTGAATGTACGAATACGTTCATATGCGAGTGGGAAAAACACCCCCTGCTGCAAACCTGGTTGCTGCATGATAAGCGATGTTGGCCAGACCGTTAGGCGGACAGTTTCCAGATGCTCCCAGGTTCTCTCGGCGACCAGGGCTCTTGCTACGGGACCCAGTTTACAGCCTCTATTGCTGCAGTGTCGACGAAAACTATCTGCCCTGTGCATCGGAGCTGGGTGCGCAGGGCATTTCCCAATTCGAGACTCTATCAGCTCAGCTTGGCTCTACCAGACGACGTTTTTGGCATTTCAGCTCACTAAATCCAGACAAATCGTAAGATGTTTCGCGTGCCTGAAGTGTTTGGAAATCCGATAAACGATATTCGGGAACATGGAACCCTGCATGGAAGCTTTCAGAGCATATTTACCAGAGCGCCACCGCATCAAATCAATTACCTATCTGCGGCAGCGGGACATGCAAAAAGCCGCCCTTTGGTGATTCCGGTCAGCTGGGTTAGCTTGCGCTTTACTGGGCCGCCGCACTGCTCAAAGCGTTGGCGGTAGTTGCTGGTGATGCTAAAACGCTACCACTACTACTAACACCTACCTCCTACTACTAGTAGGTATGTATGCTATGTTAGCGCCCCGGGGAATTGAGGGGTCGGTCATTTGTGCGTCAAAGTGTCTTTTCAACAGAGTATACTCATCGACGGCTCAAGAACTGCTGGTGCTAGGCGTCTCTCTGTTTCTAGTCACTGTGTGACAAGCCGAGCACTAGATGATTAATGATAAATCCGTCAGAACTTTGTCACTTTCTGTGGCTAACCCGGCCGAGCCGGAGTATCGGACTCAGCGCGGCTATCCTATTTCCTCGTAGACTACTAATTAGTAGACGCCTAGACTTAGACACTGGCTCACTTTTGAGAGATCTGATCGAATAGGTAGAGAGCCGCTTGCTAGCTCCATTTTTTTTCTCAAAGCATCGTGACATTAGTGTTTTCAACATCAGCATGGTATGGTGCGTGTGAGTGCTTGATGTCCAGCGCTTCACACCATAGGCCAGCCCGAACGGGTCTATCAAGCAAGGGGGGGGGGGGGGTCCCTTCGAATAGTGCCCAATACCTACGCTCGCACCCAGAGTCGCGCAGAATCTAGCCCAGAGTCTTTTGCTGGCCGCCGAGGTTCGAGCAAGTGCCTACAGCCACTGCTGAGCTGGTCGCGATCGTTCCCACCCCTGGCAGGATGCTAAGTATCCTGTACAATGAGAAGTACCGGCGACAGAGAGCTGTGGTCGCGCTGCTGCGTCTAGTACTAAAACGGTCTTCGCCGTGACAGGGATGTGATTATCTATGAGCTAGATCTCTCTCTCATGCCTTTGCCTCAATATTGTAAAGAAAGTCGGTGCTATATCACACCTTCATGTGCTGGTTGAATCTTTCTTTCATATACATTGACCCACGACCAACTCAAAGACTCGAGTTCGACACTGCTCGCTACAAAGCTCATCATCTTGAGACAACTTGCATTCATTTGAACAACACAACATTATTATTACAATCGTTGCACCAGAGCCATCTTTATACTCTATCGGCTTTGCCCCCCACCCTTGCAGCAGCTTTCCCGTTGCAATGGAGAAAGACAGCCACGCGTTTCGCACAGAAACGCCAACCACTGAGAGAGGTCCCTTTGACGATGACAGAATCACTTCAGCAGCACCGTCCATGAGGACTGGACCAACCAACCCTTTTGCATCACCGTCGATTTCGAGACCGGCATCGAGCTACAACTCTAGCGGACTCGGCCAAGCAGCCGTAGATCGCGGGCAGAGATATTTTCACTCCCGAAGAGTCAAGAAGGGCGAGGTGGAGAAGCCGTGGCTTGAGAAGAAAGATCCCAAGGAGAAATGGGTCACCATTCTCCCAGTGGTGGGCATTTTCATTGGACTCTGCGTATCTGGCATCCTGATTTGGGATGGTCTGCGCAGTGTTGTCAAGCACAACTACTGCCTTGTCCTGCAAGAGGATTGGTCCGGTGGCTTCGATACCAAGGTGTGGACAAAGGAGGTTCAAGTAGGCGGATTTGGGTAAGTCAAAATTCCCGATATGCTACAAGATCTAGTAATTAATTGCCCCCATAGCAATGGCGAGTTTGAACAAACCACGGGCGACGAGGAGAACGTCTACATCGAGAATGGCAATCTTGTCATCAAGCCTACACTTCAGGACTCTGCCCTGATCGACAAGGATTCCGTCATCGATCTGCTCAAAGACGGCACTTGCACTTCAACTACCGTTTCCGACTGTTATGCCGTTACGAACACCACCACCGGAAATGCTACCATTGTGCCACCAACCAAGTCGGGTCGCATCAACACCAAGGCTGGCGCTACTATCAAGTACGGCCGAGTCGAGGTCACTGCCAAGCTGCCCCAGGGTGACTGGCTTTGGCCCGCCATCTGGATGATGCCTGTCGACGATACCTATGGCGTTTGGCCCCGATCCGGAGAGATTGACATCATGGAGTCCCGCGGCAACAACCACACGTACGCGCAGGGCGGAAACAACATCATCTCCTCGGCGCTGCACTGGGGTCCCAACCAGGCCAACGACGGCTGGTGGCGGACAAACGTGAAGCGGCCCGCTCTGCACACGACCTACTCGTCGGGCTTCAACACGTTTGGCCTCGAGTGGTCGGAAAAATACCTCTTCACCTATGTCAACTCGCGCCTGCTCCAGGTTCTCTACACCAACTTTGACGAGAGCCTCTGGGACCGCGGCAACTTCCCCACGTCGGACAGCAACGGCACCCGCATAGACAACCCCTGGGCCAGCAGCGCCGACGAGAGCGCCCCCTTTGACCAAAAGTTCTACCTCATCCTCAACGTTGCCGTGGGCGGCACCAACGGCTGGTTTGAGGACGGCGCCAGCGGCAAGCCCTGGCTCGACGCCAGCGTCAATGCCAAGAAGGACTTTTGGAATGCCCAGGACACCTGGTTCCCCACCTGGACGTCTCCCTCGATGGAGGTGAGCAAGGTCATGATGTGGCAGCAGTGCGATGGTGGTGAATTGTAATCATGTTAATTCTTTCAAATTACCTAATGATGTATGCCTTTTTCGGGAGTTGTGGTTTTTATTAAAGTTAAATCTATATTGGGTTGGCGCATGAGGATTTCTAGAGACGATCACTTGGGACTTATTACTTGTTAGACAAAGCTTACGCGCAAAATGAAAATCTATAATCTATTAGACTTTTAAGCCATATGCCACGAGTTTGTTGAGTTCATGGATCTTTCTCCACACGTGAGAGTGAGTATACAGCACAAGTGTCACACAACTGGCGTGCGTGATGATGATGCACCTGCCTTATCCCCCGTTTGTTCGTACGAAAGCCAGTGACAGGCGTGCACATCCCGCGTTGCCACAAGAGAATCCACGGCCGAGGCGCAAAAGTCGTGAAACGTGGAGCCAAAACGAAGTCGGGTCCCATTTGCTGGAGAATGGAGCATTACACATGGCGCACAACCTCAGCTGAAAAGTATATTCGGTATCACAGCCTTATCTGGAGAAGACGTTAAAGTTTTCCGCGAGCTGGAGGCCATATTCGCTTCTCAATTTTTCATTTCTATTTTTTCTATTTCTTTGTCTAAATTATGGAAACGCCTCGGCGCCTAGTAGAGATATTGACTAGACTGGGTGCAGATCCGTACGGAATGCCCATGTTCCGTTGAAGTATTCGGGGGTTCGTCCGCTCAGCTGGTGGAGCTGCCCGTGGCCCCCGTCGACTATTCCCGATTGCTTTATCTTGCAGCTAGGCTATTCTCTATTCTACCTTGTATCTACAAATGGATCTCGCGTTGTCGAGGCCTAGGCTTTTTTGAGTTTCCAATTCGAACCTCGGAAAGGGGACTATTGTCTGCGGTCAGAGAGTAAGGCCGAGAACAAACAGTGACGCGACACTTGAATCCGTGCTGGATATGCCATCAAGGAGACATTTTCCTCTCTCTCCCTCTCGCAAGGATGAAAGGTAATGTGGGGGACTGGTTACGTCCGCCAAATCAACAACGCAACATTGGCAACGGGAGCGGTGCGCCACTTTAGCTTATGCCAGTTGAAAGATCCCGGAGTGCCAGTCATCCATCTGCGATGTAAGAGACGGATGCTGGGATACGAGTATCTCGCGAACATTTCAAGCTGAGTGGTTGGATCGGATTCCGGTGCTACGGTAGCGGCGCAACGCAAAAGACCGTGAGCCCGCTGGTTTGCTGCTTCAACTCAGTGCAGAGCTTCACAACCAGAAATTCCGTTGGACAGGCTAGGATAACCGGAGTGGCTTGGCAATCTGTCACTGACCCAAGAAAGGAAGAACAAGAAAAAGGCCCTCTCAGGCGTCTCTTCCCACCAAAAGATTTGTGTGTGTTGGGAATGGCAAAGTCTAGATACCTGCGTTATCTCAAGGGTTATCTGTAAGGACCCCCTGCTAGATCTGTACAGGCCTGCACAAAGTCGATAGTCTGTACAATCAGAGTTCAGCAATCTGCCAGGGATGTCGACAGGGGGCCAGGAGGCCCCCGAGTGTCAGGTAGGTATATTTTTTTTCGCAATAGAATAATCGATCGCGAGGTATCACCTTCATCGCAAACATTGCAGTAGATATTTCCAGTTTTTTCTTGATTACAATCTTACGACGTCGTTTAAAGAGAGTTAAAGATTCGTAAGTCCACTTTCTATCCGGCGCCGTTCTTTGCTAAGTGGGAAAACCCGTGCGCCTCGCCTGAGTAGCCGGTTCTAACTACGGTATTACGATCCGAATCTACACTAGAGATAAGGGCCGAGGGCAACGCTACGGCATAGTCACGATAGTATATAGTAGTGTACTATGTAGAGGTAAAATATTAGTCACCATTGTTGCGTCATTACAGCTTCGATTCAAGTGCAACAGAATAAAGGACCAAAGCAACAACTGATGACTTGCAAATAATCTCGCGGCCTGGTATGGAATTAATACGGTGGGATATAGGGCACTTTGTACCGGTTCAATACGTTGCGCATCCTACAAAAAAGACTCGGAGAATTGCTGACGCCCTCTTCCGCACCCCCATCCATCTTTTCTAGGTTAGGTGCTGACCACGGCGGGCGGTATGGATTTTGAGTAGTGACATCAAACCCGCAACCGCCCCAAGATCCTGCCAGCCATTTGATTATGGTTTGCATCTGAACACACTCTTTTTTTCAAGACAAATTTGGGCATCTGGCCAACTGCACTGACTCAATGACACACCAAACACATCATGCATAACGACCTGCGACAGAGGTATAGCCAGCGTAGGAGTGCATCAGAATCCAGTCCCATGATACTTGCTTCCCTTCTTTTTTTAGTGCTGTATCGGCCACCGCCGACACTGCTGGGGCGCCAGTCCTGTACAGCACTGTACTTTGAGACAACCATGTCAATAGTCAATACAACTTGCGCATCATTTGTCATTGCTTCAATCTAAGACGAATAATCCTGCGCTTTGCATCGTGGCTATTGCCCAGGTAGAACTTTTCTGATTCATCGTGGTAGCAATCTCCTTCAATGCATCTTGGCGTCCGGAGCTGAGAGCATTTCCAGTTCTTTTTTTTTTTTCCAAGCAAGCCATTTCCCTCTTGCGACTCTGCCAAATCAATAATTAACCTATTGCATGACAATACATGTCCCAGGTTAGGCGACTACATTATCGCTTGCTTTGAGCTGTCAGAAGGCGTTCTTTGCCTGGACATGATGCGCGCCGCCGCCGCCAGTCCAAGCCTGCCTTATGCTTCAATCTGGGCTCCATGTACCGTAGCTCCCTGCCTGCGAACCAGGATCTTCGGACCGATCGTAATGGGAAATACTTGTTCTTGTGCTGGGATTGTTGGATTGCTGATGGATCTCACGGCAAGATTCCAAATCATCACTATGGTCTCAGATGTTATAGAATTTTTAGTCCTTCTTCCTAAAATCCCGCCGTCGCACTGCTTCCTTCAAGCGCGGCCTTTTTTGAGAGACACACCAACTTAAGCACCAGCGATTTGGCGCCGTTGCAAGCCACTGTGATCTCTGGCCGCTTTTATCACTCCACCTTCGGCAGTGCTCTGAGCCGGCGTTCTTTTTACGACTGAACCATAGTCCAAAAGAGTCCACCGTTCTAAACAAGTCGGTAGTTGTCCGGGTCGTAACCGAGCAGTCATACGTCGTTCTAGACGATTTCTTTCAAATCTGACTGTTCAACTCACAACTTTTCCCTGTGATAATGGTGAGCCCGCTAGTGGCGGTGGGCTAAGATCCGTTGTTCCCTCTCTTACAGGTACCGCTCTGACTGTGCTATGCATGAATACGAGAGTCCAACCACAAGCAGACGCAACTGAGGAACTCTAAGCTTTGCCCTACCTGCAGTCCCCCTCCGTCTATTTCGCGACCAGGGTCCTGCGTATCTCTCTTTTGGCAGGAGTACTGGGTACATACTCTCAAGATCCTAGTCGCAGCCGCGAATCAGACCGATGCAGTAAAACCCCTGTCGACAAAACAGGAAACAACCCCCCCATGGGATATGACCCACAGGCTCATGGCTCGAAGCGTAGGCGGTACCGATACTGATGATCTGCAGTAAGGAATATTTTTTTCTTTGCACTGCTGGCAACTATTGACATGATCTTCACCCAGTTCTGGCTGATGGGGACGTGGGCTCACTCGCCTTGCCGCCCCGGGGTTGTGCGCTGGCAGGCGCCCATCATCTCTTTTGGGGAAAAAAGAAAAATGGAAAACATAAGCCCGCGACTCTACCCTGAAATGGACACACCTGCTGGGCGGCGCCCGTGTGATAATAATAAGTGACAGGGACAACGACCCCTTTGCGCGCCATTGATACGCCCTGGGTAGCATCGTCCAGGAAGCTGCTTCTGATCCACCAGCCATCTCGACAATGACTTGGGTGCAAACACCTCATTCTGTGCCAATCTGACTGGTGCAGAAGTCTGATTCCCAATACGAGCCGCACCTTGTTGACTGACCCGGTTGACTGGCCCAGTTGTCTGATAGGAAAAGATGCTGGACTTGGGGGGGTACATCGACAGTCGTTGCCGCCGCCCAAGCTAACCAGGTGGTTTGCCAAAACACTCTTTTGTGAGCTCGGCCAGTGCGCTGGACTCGGGTCTCGACGACGAGGTCACCGCAATACAATCCGAGACCTCGCTATGTTAGCACGCACGACTAAGTTGCAAGTGCTGGCCCATGGGTAAGTAAGTACTGTGTATTGCTTACAAGCTGGCGGTCGTGAGAACCAATCCGAATCAATCCCTGCAAGCACGTTGAACTCTCCTTTGTACCGGGACCAACTCGTGGGTCTGGATCGTGCGGTACCAGGGCCGTCTCCGATGTGCATGGCTATCGCGAGACCTCCCAGAATTCTTCCCTCCCAAATCCAAGACGCCACTAAGAAGATATCGGTTTAGTGATCGTATCATCTTTGCCATACACACAGCTGGGCCTTTTCTCTACTATCGGGCCCATCCAGGTACACTTTCAGCTTACCTTAGGGCGTAGTGATAGTTCAGTTTATCGCCATCTCCAGATCTTTCCCCAGCACTTCTACCAGTGGCTTTCTGGCGCCGGCCCCGTTCCCCCCAGAGCGTAGACTCCGAGCCTGAGCCCAGGCCTAGTCGCAGGTGATAAGTGAGAGAGTCTTCGTCAAGCCCTTTAGGCATTGCCATCTGCATATCAACAACCCAGCTGGCTCCCGGCATACCCTCAGCTAGGAGTCCAGACCACTACCTTTTCTCTCTCTTCTTCAGCTCATCAGTTGTTCGGGTCTCTTTCCTTTGCCCTCTACCAGGGTCCTGGTCTCGGTCATTACATATCCGCTTGTCCAGCTATTATTGATTGCCATAATCGTTTTTCGATATTTTCCCTTCTTGACATATCCATACCCCTGGCACATCAAATTCTAGGCGCCACCTGGTGATTCTTTTGAGAATATTCCTTTCATCAAGCCAGGGTTTGCTCTGACCCATCCATTCGTTGTGTATGTTGCTTTCCGTCTCTTATAATACTACATCTGCCGTTTTACCCTTGCCTCTGTCGATGTCGGATCGACCCGTTGGACATTTTCTTGTCTCTCCCGTTTCTTCTTTGGCAGATCGCTATCCTTGCATGGCGCAGTCCCAGAGTCTGCCACCACATAACTGACTTCCCGCAATAGTTGCTTCCAAGGTCTCTCATATTTCATCGTCCATTCGCTACTTTGAAACATCTTTGCTCTCAGACTGGAGTGCATTTGCTGAATCCCGTCTATATCAACGGGGGTTGCGGACACTGTCCGGTATAAGACGGCAGGATGGGATTGTCCAGTTATTTCAAGGCGAAGAGGCCCGAGGAGAAGAAGGGATCCTCCGAGGCCACCGTCCAGGCAACGCAGATCGAAAAGGCCAATGTCAATGCCAATGCAGCACTGAACCCTCTCGATGGACTCGACTTGCAAGTTCCGACGCCGCAATTTGGCTCGTCGAGGAATTCCATCTCGGGACGCTCGCAAACCAGCTCCGTGTTCATGGACGACATCAAGCACGAGGTCATGGTCAACTACCTCTACCAGCAACAGTGCTCCCACCTCTGGGTCAGTGATGGCAGTGGCGAGGTCGAAGGTGTGCTCTTGCGAAAGGTGAAAGGCCAATACATGGCCTGTCCGCCACAGCTCGCCGATTCGCCCTTTGCCATGGCAGCTACTGCCCTCAACCTTCCGGTATGTTGTAATTCTCCTTCTAAAGACGTGTTCGAAGCTAAAGTGGGCGACAGTGCACCATGACGGTCAATTCTAGAGTCATCAAGACGTTCTTGTCCTGGTCACCAGATGCCGTAGATGTGCCATTGATGAATGGCCTCAGAATCCAGATTCTGCCTACCATGGAGGATCTTCCCAGAGCAAGGAAGCACCAGTTTGCTGCCTTTGTCGCCTCCGAGGCGCTGCTTGTTGTTTGGGATGACGATGCGCTTCACTTGGTACAGCGTGCCAAGGCCATTGAGTCGGAGCTAATGGAGCTCGTCTGGGCAGCTGGTGACGAGGGAGAGGATGACGAGAAGAGGGCCCACCCTGGTGTCAGCGAGTATGAGATCGACGAGGAGAGCGGCGAGATCAAGCCTGAATCACGGCCAGTTCACATGCAAAACACTTATCTGGTATCCATCACCATGGTCATCGTCGTCGTATCCATTGGTGCTGCTTGGCGCCAGCTGGCTGTCGAGGTGTCAGTCGATGGAAGTTATGTGCGACTTGCTCTGTGTGCCCTGTTCCCCATTCAGATCTTCTTCACGCTATTCTTCGCTCAGGTCATTGTCGGTTGTCTGGCACAGATCTTCGGACCCATTCGTCAACTTACCATCAACTCCAAGTTTTACTCTGCCCGGCCTCCACCAAGAATACAATCCGGCGTTTTGCCCCATCTCACGGTCCAGTGTCCCGTCTATAAGGAGGGTCTCGGAGGTGTCATTGCCCCAACAGTCAAATCCATCAAGCAAGCCATTAGCACCTATGAGTTGCAGGGTGGCTCTGCCAACATTTTCATGAACGATGACGGTTTGCAGCTCATCTCTGAGGAGGAGCGCCAGGCCCGTATCGAGTTCTATGCCGACCACAGCATCGGTTGGGTCGCCCGGCCCAAGCATGGCGAGAACGGCTTCTTGCGTCGTGGAAAGTTCAAGAAGGCCTCTAACATGAACTTTGCCCTCATGATCTCCTGCAAGGTTGAAGAAAAGCTCGCCCAGTACAACCGCGGCCCCGAGTGGTCCCAAGTCGACGAGGCTCACGCCTACGAGAAGGCCCTCAAGGAGGTTCTTGAGGAGGACGGTCGCGCTTGGGCTGACGGTAACATTCGTGTCGGTGACTACATCTTGATCAGTAAGAATCCCTTGGGTAAATACCTGTCGCACTTGATTCTAACCACGTATAGTCGATTCGGATACACGTGTGCCAGCTGATTGTCTCCTCGATGCGGTTTCCGAGATGGAGCAGTCTCCAGATGTCGGTATCATGCAGTTCTCCTCTGGTGTCATGCAAGTCGTCAACACGTACTTTGAGAACGGTATCACCTTCTTCACCAACCTCATCTACAGTGCTATTCGTTACACTGTCTCGAACGGTGACGTTGCTCCTTTTGTCGGTCACAACGCCATCCTGCGCTGGAGTGCCATTCAGCAGGTCAGCTATGAGGATGAGGATGGTTACGAGAAGTTCTGGTCCGAGAGCCACGTATCCGAGGACTTTGACATGTCTCTCCGTCTTCAGTGTTCCGGTTACATCATTCGTCTTGCCGCCTGGGCCGGTGAAGGTTTCAAGGAGGGTGTCTCGCTGACCGTGTACGATGAACTCGCCCGCTGGGAGAAGTATGCCTATGGTTGCAATGAGCTGCTCTTCCACCCGATCCGCACCTGGCTCTGGAGGGGTCCCTTCACGCCGCTGTTCCGTCGCTTCCTCTTCTCCAACATTCGCTTCACGTCCAAGATCACCGTCATCTCGTACATCGGTACCTATTACGCCATCGGTGCGGCCTGGATCCTGACGTCGGTCAATTACTTTGTCATGGGTTGGTACAACGGCTACCTCGACAAGTACTATGTCGACTCGTGGCAGGTCTGGTTCTCCATCATCATCGTATTCAACGGGCTCGGTAACATTGCTCTGGCCGTCATGCGCTACCGTGTCGGCGAGCGCAGCCTGCTCGGTTCGCTGTGGGAGAACTTCAAGTGGACGTTCATGTTGGCCATCTTCCTGGGCGGTCTCAGTCTGCACGTATCTCAGGCTCTGCTGGCGCACATGTTTGAGATTGACATGACCTGGGGCGCAACGTCCAAGGAGGCCGAGTTTTCCAACTTCTTCATCGAGGTTCCAAAGGTTTTGAAAAAGGTAAGCCCAACAAGAATTCCTCACACTCCACTCCTCCTCCCTCTTTGATATTATGTCCTCTTTTTACCCCATCACACCATCCCACAAGGCGTGGCACGGTTCTTGATTTTCAGCTCAGTCGAGCAACCAACGGCGCCGCGCCACCTTATCCCCTCTATCCCCAATCCAGCCGACGGGCTGAAAATATCGGCCACATGCGGCTGGTGTGTGTAAGCGAACTTTTATAAAAGAGACCAATTGGCTAACATTTCTGTCTTCTCTTTGCGCAGTTCAAATTCTCCATGCTCTTCTCGCTCATCTTCATCGCGGGTATGATCATCCTTGCCGTCGCACCATTTGTGCCATATGATTGGCGCATCACCGACTTTGTCGCCATTCTGCCCATGGCCACGGTCGCGACGTCGCACTTTTTGCTGCCGCTTGCGCTGAACCCGGCGCTCATGACATTCTCTTGGTAAATAAAAGACAAGGACATGAAAATTTATGTGGAATAAAGGGCTTGATGTTTTTTTAATGATGGAAAGCAAGGTTAATGACAAGACTGGGTTTGCTCGCAGCTTTTCTTTTTTAGAATGGACTTGCTGGAATACATGGTACTTTATAGATTGGCAACGGCGTTGTTCAACATCTCCCATAGTCTTGGAGATCAACTAGTCATTTTCTCATATCATTTCATGAAGGGTTTTTACGAGCAAGATACCCCAAAGGGCACGGGAATTACTTGCTTAGGAGTCCCTATCACGACGGCTCATCAGCTAGTTTGGAAGTTTGATATAGCATATTATGTTTTAGCTATATGAAACAGTAATAGAAGTTGTACAACACTCAGAATCTTGTTACGTTGTTAGCCTTTTACCAGACGATACTCGGGCGGGCCATGACTTGACCAGGCAGTTTGACTCGGGGCACTTGTTCAGCGGGGTTCGTCCCCTAGAGTACATTGCCAAAGTCGCTAGAATTTAGCGTACGTCTACCTGAATGCACTCCCTGAGTTGCTATCGAGATCTCTACGAGGAATAATACAACCCCTCCAAGAATACCTCTGATTAAATAACCACCATCTACTTTCGCGTGCCTGCCATTCATGGTGTAGTATGAACTCACGGTCTGACGCTGTAAAGCTGCAGATATGCCTAGAAAGGTAAGATGGACGCCGCAGCGACAAGGTGCAAACTCGGACAAAAGCTGATACTGACCAACGCAGGTGCGCATCCCCACCTCCAAGGAAGAGAGCCGTCAGGCCCAGCAGCGGTCGCGTGCCCGCCATAGGGACTATGTCGCCAGCCTCGAGAAACGCGTCGCCGAGTTTGAGAGGCAGGGCGTCGAGGCGACGCTCGAGATGCAGAGGGCGGCGCAACGGGTAGCGGCCACAAATGAGCGGTTGCTGGCTCTGTTGACCCTTCGCGGGGTTCCGCGGCACGAGGTCGAGGCTTTCCTGGCGGCAGAGCCAACTGCGCCCGACTCTGCTTCTGCATCGGTCAATGTGCATAGTACCGCTCTACCAGCCTCGGGGATGACACATGTGCAAGCTCCTTTGGAGAACCTGACCTCCCCCTCGACATGTCGGCAGTCAGGTCAAGTGAAGACTTGCGGCGAGGCATCGGACGGCCGGCAACAGAGTTGTCATGATCGTCGTCAGGTGCAGCAACTCTGTACTCCCGCCTCCAAGGCAATTTCGCCGATGGAAAATGATCGAGAAACGACTAGCAGCGCATTCCCAAAGGAGGTTACTTCCTGCGAAGCTGCAGCCACCATCATTGTGAATCTGCGCGGCAACGGAGAAGGCTTGGTGGAGGCACGTCAGGCCCTTGGCTGCTCCGGGGATCTGCCTTGCTCTGTCAAGAACACACATTTATTTCAATTGATGAGTGAGATTCCTTGAAGGAGTGTTTATAGACCGCGACACAATGTCCAAGGACTTTCGATTTCATATTTATTGGTCTCTTGCTACGTCTACTCTATTCCCATCTATATCTCTTGGCTACGACTTTGACCAAGTACACGAGGCCAAGCAAAACCGGCACCTCAATCAAGGGACCGACCGTGGACGCCAGAGCTTGATCACTATCTGGACCAAAAGTGGCCACGGCGACGGCGATGGCCAGTTCAAAATTGTTACTTGCCGCGGTGAAGCTCTGCGTGGCAGCCAACGAGTACGTGAATCCAAGTCGACGGGTGATCCACAATGTGCAGAAGAATATGATTAGGAAATACACAATCAGCGGGGCGGCCACCCGAATAACTGACACAATCTGGTGGACGACCTGGCGCCCCTGGGACGCAAAGAGGACGAGAATGGTGTACAGCAGCCCAATCAGAGACCATGGAGATGCAAAGCGCAAAAAGACACGCTGATACCATTCGGCGCCACACAAGCCGCGGAGTACAAACCTTGTGAAGATAGCCGCACCAAGCGGGATGCCCAGGAATACGGCAACGCTAGTAGCCACGACCGAGTAGGATACCGTTACCGCGTTTTGATCATGGCTGATAATGTGGATGAAGAAGACGGCCAAAGGAGCAAAGAGAACCATCTGTAGCATCGAGTTGATGGCCACGAGAATGGCGCAGTATTCGCTGTCGCCACCAGCAAGTCCAGTCCAGATGAGAACCTGCAGTCAAGAGAATCAGAGGCCGTAGTGGTTGGCATCGGACATGTCATATACTTACCATGGCAATACATCTTCCGAGGCCGACCAAGATAAGACCTGCTCGTAGACCAGGCTCATCGGGCAAGAATGCCCATGATAGACCAAGCTATTACATCGAGTTCAGTACCGTATTCTAAGACGAGGGAAAAATTGATTTGCCCACCATCAAGAATGGAGCCACAATCCAGTTCATAATCACACTAAACAGTATTTGTTTCCAAACATCTCGACTGGCCAGAATCTCGTGGAGCGATTCGTATCGTACTTTACACAGAATCGGATACATCATGACGAGTAAGCCGACGGCTTAAAAAAAAAATGTCAGCAGGCAACAATCATGTACAATGGAATATATTCGTGCTTGCCTATGGGAACTGAGACGCCCACGAATTTCCCCTTCTCCAGCGCTGGACCCGTCTCTGGCACAAAGTTTCCGAGCAGTATCCCGATCAGCATGGCGAGAAATATCCAGACGGCGAGAAAACGGTCCAGTATCCCGAGAGACTTGAAGGCTGATGTCTTGGTAGTAGCGGAATCATGATCGGTGGATTCTTGTTGGCCCTCGGGATCTGCCTGCACAGGATCTGGCGTCTTTTCAGCATTGTGGAATGAATCGTTGGCCATGTTTTATGTCAGCAACGATTGATTTTGTAGAATTCTGTTGGGTTGTTGAAGAATAAAAGCTCCAATCAGCCAGAAGATTCCGAGGCGTTCAAAGCATGAAAGAATTAGTCTCTGTTAGCAGTGCATCTCGAAATGTTTGTAGACAATTCCAGTTTATTGTTTGAGACGTGTTAGTCCAGATGGCAAGGGACCAGTGGGTATTGGCCAATCATCTTGGGGGCATGACAGATGTCAGATCGGTGAGATCCGCTAAATTGGGTCCGATACTAGTTTCTTTCTTCCATGGTTTCTCTAGATTCGACAAATGCCAGTCCACATTTCTTGCAATTTTCCCCTTATTCGTATATCGTGTATCGTGTGCAACTCGCGAATTTTGATTAAAGCTATGTCTCAATCTAATAGAAAAGTGTATATGCAAAAGACAACCTGGAGTATTTAGCCGTGCTGCCACAAGGAGCTCGTCGTGCCGACAATCGAGTGCTCTTCCAGCTCGCTCATTTCCTGCTCCGTGAGCAACCACTCGTCCGTGGCGGCGCGCGCATTCTCTTCGGCCTGCGTCGCGTTCTTGACGCCTCCGAGGGGGATGGCGCCCTTTTGCACCACCCACTTGAGGGCGACGGCGCTGGGCTTGACGTCGTGGGCCTTGGCGACCTTGTGCAGAGCGTCGAGCAGTGGGCTCAGCTGCGTCATGGGATAGTTGCTGAATCTGCGCCCCGAAGGCGGCGGGTTTTCTGCCGTGTATTTGCCAGTCAGACGGCCCATGCCACTATAAGCACACGGAATCTCATTAGCAACAAAGTAGGGGCGTGTATTGGTCCCCTGACCAGCGTTTGATGTTGACTTACAGGGGACTGTAGGCCATGAGCACGATTCCTCTCTTCTTGCACTCGTCTAGTAGCCCGCTCTTCTCGGGCAGCGTCCGCAGCAGGGAGAACTCGACTTGATTGCTAGCAAGTCGGAGGCCTCTCTTCTTGAGGGCCTCGTCCATCTTGATCATCTCGTCCTTGCTATAGTTACTCACACCCACGGCCCGGGTGAGGCCGAGCTCGACGCACTGGGCCAGCGCCCCGGCCATGGAATCAATCGAGTTGAGAAAGTGCACGGGTCCGTGGATCTGATAGAGGTCCATGGACTCGCTGCCGAGGCGCTCGAGGCTCTGGCGGCAGCTGTTGACCAGGCCCGAGGGCATCATGATCTTGGTCGGCGGCCACGGCAGCGGCAGGTACTTGCTCGCAATGACGAGCTGGGCCTTGAACGCCGCGTCCGAGTTGCCGTCGCGCAGCTGCCGAATGATGCGCTCCGACTCGCCGCGGCCGTAGGCCTCGGCCGTGTCGACAAAGTAGAGACCGCGCTTCTGCATCGCCTCCCAGGCTCCGTCGAGCAGAGCCCGCGCCTCTGGGCCCGCGTTGGACCACGTCATGTTATCTCCCCAAGCCCACGTGCCTATGCAGATGTTGGGCAGTGGGATCGTGCCCGCCGACTCTTTGGCGCATTTTAGCGCGAACCGGGTTGACATGATGTCTTCGTTTTGTAAGAAACTCCCGAATTGTTATTGGGAAGGTTGAAAGCACGCTTGAAGCACTGCGACCTTCACGCCAGCTTGTTTATATTTTGTCTCGTTTTCGTTTTCGTTCGTTATCAACGCTAGTGGCTAGACCTCGGTTCTCTTTTCAGACCATTGAAGTTGATCTTCGAGATGTAGCCAAATTTGATATTTAAGGTTTGTTATCACAATGGATCTGCGGGTAAGAAGTGTGTTATTGAGAAGCTGCCTTGTACCGCTTCTGAATGTAGAGATATCCATGAGGTGAAAAAGGACGGCCGACTTGCATGTCACTATACGCAATTCAAGACTGTCTGCTCTCGAGCATGCATGTGCGTCATGATTAATCCTTGAAACGCTACCTGGGACAGCGGGAGCTAATGCTTCCCCGCCCACCCGGAATGAATGAGTTCGGACTTAAAACCCGGTCACAAGTTTGAATTCTATTTTACTGCAGACCTACGTATCAATACGTCTGCCTGCTGAATCATTACATACTTGAGGTGGTGTTTAAAGGTATGCTGCGGACAACTGAACCTTCATGACAAAAAGTCCACAGGGTGACTTTTGAGGCTGCAATCAGTCATCCATCTCCCATCAGCGCATGCTTGGGCCTATAACCTCCAGGTCCTCTGTAGCAATGTTGAGAAATTTGAGTTTCTGGCCAATGTTGAAAATATGCTGCTTGAAGTGGGTGTAGTTGGTGCTTGGTCGAGATGAATTAGCGATTCAGGGCTCGTACTTCTTAAGCCATGCAACTTGCGTTCCGTCGGGTGCAATGTGTAGAGGTTGTGTTAAGGCCCGCTTCCAGAAGGTACGGCTTGTTGAGCCGACCTTTCCGTATTTGTTACAGATGGCATCGAGCGCATCATGGTAGGCTTTCGCCTCATCGTCAAGACCGAGGATGCGAAGGCTTCTTATAATGCGGGTGATGCGAAGATGGTTGTGGTCCATGGGCACAACCCAATTGCTGAGGTTACCCTTGGCGCCTTCCTTTTCTATGATTTTTCCTGTCGGTCCATTGTCTCCTTGCTCCCACTCGAGGCCATAGAAGACCAACATGCGATCAAAGGCACGTCGTAGATTGCGCTTCAGGTCTTCATGCTCTCGCCAGTAGAGGTACGTCTCCTCGTCGATGATTGGGGCGTGGGCGAATAGAGAACCTTCAGGCAGCGGAAAGAGCGTCTGGACGTAGTCGTGGCAACTCTCAAGCTCCCTGTCGCTCCATTTCAAGATGTGTTCCAAGTCCCGCCCTCGATGGTCAGCGGACTTGAGATGGTAAAAGTCCACCAAGCGTTGCATCGCTGGTCTGGACGGTACCTGTGCCAAAATGCTCATCCTGATGACTGGTTTGGAGAAAGTTGTGGGGCGTGCAATCAAGATCCGACTATGTTGTACCTGGCCGATAGTGCGGGGAGGAATCCGTTGGTGGAATCGTCGTAACATGAGTTAGTAGAGAGACTGATGATTGATGCTTCGCTGCACGGACAATATTTACTGTATCCCGGTTGGTGATTTGAAGAAGTGAGGCCGAGATAGTGATGGTGATGTTATTGTTGTTCAAGGTGGAGCTACGCCTCGGATTGTACCTGCAGCACGGTCTTGTTCCTGGCTCAAGTGCTTACCTACTCTTTTACAGCGCTGTTTGCTAGAAGCCAAGCCAGCAAGCAAGAGCATTGTAGCTCTCATCTCGTAGCTCGTACCCGCATAATGTAGAGCTGGCATGCTTACAACAGTGCTGAACTGAACTGCCCAAGCTTGAAAGAAGGGTGTCTGGTCCTTGCCTGGTAGTAGTTGTGCACTTCTCTTGCTTTTCAATAATTTGGAGAATCTAGTATGCTGAATCTACTTTCTTCTACCCTGCAACGTGCGCGCGTATGATTGATTGTATGAAGTAATCAATACTAAAAACCCATCGATTTTCCGGACAGTAACAGTACTGTATGTGCACTGTAGGTGGACTGTGCGCGTGACGGGGCTGAGTTCGCGCTTCCCAATACCAAATCGCCGTGTTCCGTCCAGTCCAAAAAAGATTGGGCAGGAATTGTCAGGTTATTTCAGATCTATGATCGACGATCCGTCAGCAGAGGGCGAGCAGCAATTGTCATAGGTATGTATCGGCAACACCCAGGCAACCGAGTCCACATGGCACATGGCAGATAAATCATTATCGTGTGGTGTTCCCGCCGACTATGACGCACTACCGAAATGTCCACGCGCCGTTGAAGCTATCTAGGGTCGTCCGTCAGGGACTTCCATGCCGCAAAAATTGCTTCGACCAGCGCTTTCGTCCTCTCATGATAGGGCATTTCTAGGGATGCCCCATGCACGTGAACCGAGCTCAGAAGCATTCTCTTCAATGGCATCCACTCATCTCGTCTGCTCGCCCTGGTCTGCAAAAGCCTCAAATTCGAGAGTCAATCCGGCCGAAACTTTCAAGAAACATGTTTCTTCTCAAAACTTGCCGGAACACACGTCTCTTGAAGCCGACAAGGACAAAGGGAAAAGGGGGGCGCTTTGCCTATATCTAGGCCAAGAGTTGCATGCAGACAACCCTTATCAACTCAATCGTCGTCTGATGTTGTCGTTGTGCTAGAAGGCCAAATTCACTCTTTAGAACCAACTAGCTTCACTCTTTTTCTCTTGCCTTCTCCACAAACGCGCGACGCAGAGACCATCATCAGCTCCCTTCGCTTCCCGGCCGTGCCCAGCAATGCATGCCGACCATGCAATCCACCGTGCCTCTCACCATGCGGCTTCAGTAGTCGTCGAGCGCGAGTGTATGCGCTGCAGGTACGGTCGATGCCATGAGCACCATGTCCAACATGATGAGTTCGAGTCGTTTTCAGCGAGCCATCCAACCTATGTGGCGGGAAGCTACCCCCATTGGTATGGGCGTCCAGTTCGCAGGACGCCAGAAATGACGGACCAGACGAAATCGAAACAGCAGCTGATGGAGCACATCCGGCTACTTCACGCCAGAAACAAAGAAATGGAGGACAAGAACTTGTTCCTCCAAATGAGAATGAAGCTCGTGATACGGGAACGGCAAAAGTTGCACCAGAGGTATCACAGGATGAGCGAGCAGTGGGAAGATGCCAGGCTTCTGACCGAGACTATGCGCGCCGATTTCGAGAAGAACATATCGGCAGTCGAAGTGCTCCTCGACGAGATGCCGCCGCGTCCTCCTCCGAAAGATGAGCCGCAGACGTTGTGGCATTATCCCGAAGGACATCCACGAGGTGAGCATCTCCTTGTGCCGTACAATTGCTTAGAAAAATGAGAACATGGACTGGCTAACACTTTTCCTCTTAGCAACACGTGTAAAATCATAGCATTGATTCCACCAGGCCTCCCATGGTGTTCCTCTTGTGTTGAGAAGAGGCAAAATCGGAAGGACTATAAACTGGTGTGTATGCAGTGCTTAATCCTGCGATACCAGCATGGCACAGTCCATGGAAGGCTGCAGTGTATCATATCGGTCAAAAAAAAAAAGCAATCAAGAAAGACAGAAGAAAAAAATTAGGTATCATAATACATTACGCTAATAAGAGACACCCGGCCAAGATGCCGCAAGTCTCTATATTTATCATATTCACGAGCATCCCGCACTGCAGAAAGGATCAACCCAATCATGAGGACGTGTTCAGAACAGCAAATTCCCAGTCCGTGGTTGCATTGTGCGAGGCAGTCAGGTTCGTCTTCAAGTAGCACATCGCTCCCGTGCCGTCAATCCATCCCCATCCAGCGCCCTCGCACTCGTCGTTCTTGGCGCAAGCATCCATACAGGCTGTCATGGTTGATGACTTTTGCGAGGTGAGATCGTCAGCACCACCATCGCCACTATAGTCGATGCCACAGTGGACTGTGAACTCCTTGCTGTCAGTGCTGGACGTGTACACGGTGTTGTTGGCACCCGGGCAAGACGAGAAAGCGTCCGTCGTGGCACTGGCTGTTGCCGAGGTGGATGTCTTGGTGGCGGTTGTAGTCGACGATGAAGAAGTTGTTGCGGATGGAGAGACCGAGGCCCTAAATTTCATGTCAACAAATCATTTGCGATGGACCGCGACGGTCGACAAAGCTCTTGTTCACTTACATTAACGCCGACAAGTCAGATTGTGTGGAGTGGAGGTTGTTTTGGCTAACGCCAAGGCCGGCCGCGAGACCGATGACTGCTGCAGTCAAGACGGCTACGGCGATGAGCAGCCCTATCAAAAGGCCCTTTTTGGTTCCAGTTGCAGCTGCTGCAGGAGCCGGAGCCGCAGAGTCGGTATAACCGTTGTGATACTGCGCATGCTGTGCTGCGGCGTAGTTGGGGTCATGATACTGCTGAGGGTATTGATGGCCCTGGGCGTCAACGTACCCGGCAGGCTTCTCCGCCGCTGGCTGGTAGTGTTGCAGACCGTCCATTGCAGATTTCGCGGTGTAGCACAGGAAAATAAAACGAGATATGCGATCAACGCCTGGCTTGCTACCACAAAGTTGCCTACGGAGCAATTTCTTACTATACAACGACGAGATGAAGAAAACTCAAAAGCAAAGAAGGACGGATTCCTTGGCGCGGGCCTGAGAGGAGGATCGCGACCTTTTGTTCGCTTGCTGGTGGCACTATGCTTTGCTTTTCCTGACCCTGACCTGTGCGCTTTCGCCAAAGCTGGAAGAATATCCCAGCGATCTTCGAAACAATCCAATCACGATAGCGTGGTCTATAGCGTCCTAGGTGCAGCAATAAGGCTCGGTACGGCGCTGAGCTAATGCCAATCGCTTCCAATACCCCCTGAAGCGGACCTCTGTCCAGGCCAAGACTTGAAAAGAAGCTCACGTCAGATGCTTCTCTAAATACCTTATTGTACTGGCGACATCTTTATAGACATGGAGTGACGACATGGAGATATTCAGACAAGCTGTTGTCTGCTGAGAAGACGACAAGCTGTTTGAACAGGAATCTCTGCAACCATCGCGATTGCCACTGATACAGCAAGATCATCAAGGACGACCAAAAGATCCCAGTGCAAAAAAACAGCCTTTTGGCTAGAGCTGCGAGCCTATGACTAGTTCGGTTCAGCGGCCGCTGGGGGACCACGCCAAAGGGGCCTTATTGCAGAATTATATTTAGAATATCCTGGGTCGCCCCTCATTCGACAATAGATTAAGAGCGAACCCGTGCGCATGGCGACGAATAGCAGCTGGGGATCTCACCAAAGACCTGGTCGACTTCCTCCCGTTTAGTGGATGCCATCAGCCAAAGAAAACCACAAATTTGCCGGGTCGCTGGACTCCCGAGTGCCTCCCCTTTCCACTACTGTTGCTCCATACTGTGCTGTGTGCAGATCCAGACCTGCCAGGCTGCCACCAATGCACTACTCGTGTGTAAAATCCTCACGGATAAAAGTTGCGTTTGTCAACATTCCAGGATGGACCTGGATGCTTGGCTGGCAGGGTCTTGGAGTCTGGCCAGCGACATGGGGAGAGATCTAATCGCAACGCGGGATTCCGCATGCAGGGCTAATTTCCAGGTGATGAGGTCATTGAGTCTATCACTTGGTCACCACGCCATTGATATCGGCAAAGCGAATGGCGATGAAAAACATCATTGCAATTTAGCAATCTTTGTTTTCTGGCAAGCGACAACTTTCGCGATTCACACAAAACAGCGGGGCGGACTCAGGTTCCCCATACGACTCGAGTCTCTCCCTCCCCACTGGGACCTTTTGGCTAGCTGTTGCCGCTTCTGGTAACATCGCTGAATAGGGCTTAGGTGGGGTTAACCAAGTGTCTAATAGCTGCCGTTTAGCAGCACGTTCCAGGTAAATAGCTGCGAAATTCCGTCAAAACCACTGACAAAACTGTGGCCGGTCACCAGTGATGCCCAAAACTCCACAGTCATGGGCCTTATTTTCCTCCGTGCCAGCGCATTCTTTGCTGGATACCTGGTCCCTGGAATGCGGAATGCGGAATATCGGCTCCGTGATACCGAGTCCAGCTGGGAACAAAAGAGTACAGCTTCATGACAATGTGAGCACGGATTCATTATGCGACATCCAGGTCGGAATGGCAGAATGTGCTGCGAAACTGGCATGTCACTGTCACAATCACGTGTCGAAAGGTCGTGTGGTTCAGATTTGGCTTTCTGGTTATCCAATAACCCGGTAGCTGGGTCGTGCTAAAAAAGATTTTGATATGCAGTGCGAGGATAAACCTGGCAGCAGACGATGATACAGTACGTGTACCATTGTAGCCATCATATGTGGCGGAGACAAACGATAGTATGTTAGGTAAGCAGTAGTCTCTACTTTTACTGCGTCCTGCTTGTAGTTTGAGTCAATTCAACACGTTGACAATATACAAGATGAATAACTCTATATAACGTGCCGCTATCGATCTAGCTCTTTCTGATGTCTACATGAATCAGTCATTGCAATACTTGAATTCACTAGGCTCACTTCGAATCTGTATCTTCAGTGATATCAACTAGTACTCATCCTTTCTGAACGAGTCTGTCGCCTTGGTTCTTTCTCGGTTTGGTATCAAGTATCACTGGTGGTGGCCTTGTAATACGACCATGTCTCACGCGGAGAACGTACAAGTCCGCTGATACACAATTGCCTCATTTTGAACAATTCGAGTGGACACGATTGGGAACCAGAATTGAACGTCTTGATTTGAGCTCAATCGGTTTATCTGCCCATAGAGTGTTGATGTACTGTTGACTACACCTATGAAAGAGACGGGGACAACTATGTAAAATGTCACAATCGGGCGGCTTGGCATTGGGTCGCTATAAGCGGAATTGACAGGCAGCGGGCTGCAGACGGACTTTTGAATCATCTCATCGTTTTTGAATAACAGCAAATATATAACCGTCCAAGTGTAATAGTCCTTGGCACCATGCCTTATGCGTATTGCTGTTTTTTCTCAATATCAATTCGACCGATCAGGAGCTTGCTTTCATATGTCAAGGGGTTAGAGGTTCACCGATAGTCTAGCCACTAGCGATCGGATATGGTACATGGTACTGTCATTCCGTCTATGTTTTATTCTTCTTCTTCTTAGGAATTAGTGGCAACATGGAAACAAGGCCCGGTCTGAAATGTTATACAACGGGATTGCTAAAGAGACGGCAGCCTACTTCGTATTGAACGCCGTAGTCGTTTTAGCTAGGTACTAACTAAGAGGGAGAGCTAGAGATTCAGTAATAATAGAGAGAGACTTAGATACGGTGACATAGCCGTTAAGGCGCAAACGAGTTGCTTGATATAGAGCAGAGTCACCAAAGGAATCTTCACTGACAGGTTGCGAAATCATTGTAGCTAAGGTGAGCGTCCCGGTGTGGGTTGCTTTCAAAGGTTTAGATGAAACGATTGTTTCCTTTGTATATTTTCAAATGTATACTTTGGTGGGGAAAGTTGAAAAGAACCTCGGAAACGAAATCGGGGAAATTTCATGACAACATTGAGTCACCAGATTGAATCAAGCAATGTTTGGCCCGTGCAAGTCGAATATATTATATTATCTTTGAAAATGTACCGAGAAAAAAGACCATGACGGCAAGATTGTAGTCCTATGCCCTCATGATCTGGAATTGACATAAAAACACCATAGCAAGTCTGGTATGTTCAACTAAAGGAACGGCATCCCGCCGAAACTTCCATAAGAATTAGGCCTGGATATTGCGTCAAAAAGGCTGGACAATATCATCACACTGATAAGAGATCGAGAAAACCCCCAACTTCGCTTGTAAAGTTCAAGGCAGCCGTGAGATGCTCGTAGTCCTTGATGGCATCTTGGCCTATCTTCTGTCTTCCAGCTCCTTGCGCTTCACTGGGTGGTAATATGTTGACATTAGCCCTACCCTCAGTGGTGTGTATCTCGCCCACACAAGATATCTTTAGTTTCCAGACCAGTTGATACGACAGGACAATGTTGTATGTAGCAAAGGATGGCCACAAGCGTTTCTCAAACGTTGTTGGTCTCCCTCCCAGGGACGAGGATTTGGTCTCTGTGAGTCTCACGTCGAGATTATTTCCCAAGTCGAGTGGCGTGCCTAGAAAGTATTGCCCCTTCTCGTGCGGTTGGAAACTGCTGTGCTTGATCAAGCCTTCTGGTACGACAGCGCCCTCTACGGCAACATGCAAAGAGTTTGGCTCCAAGAATGGTGAGCCCCCGGGTGCAGTTTGCTCGTTCGCCCTCTCAGAAAGGTCTCTAGGCTCATCTCCTGGGCCTTTCAAATCTCCCTGGACTACTACTGGAATGTTGTAGTTGGCCAGGGCTATTGGCTCGTCAATGGGGATACGGTATGTCGTCTCCTTGTCGCGGCTGTGATCACCGAGCGTGCCAGGACAGCGCACCCGTGTTAGCGCCACCAATTCCATGTCCACAGAGACAAGCTCTATCGGTGGTAAGCGCCGAATATCGCCGTCTGGACAGATCATTTTGTTCTGTTCCATGATTGGGGCAACATGGACCTTGAACGGCACCGGGGCAGGATGGTCCAGTTGAATGACGGGAGGAGTGGCAACACTGACACGATAAGAGTAACTCGGCACCTTGGATGGCGTGAAAAGTCTCTTTGATTTGTCTCGAAACGTCATCTTCTTGTCCCTATTCTGTGGCAGTAGTCGCTCCGATCTCGTAATTTGCTGGAAGCTCTTGACATTGAAGCTGTAGTCATTGTAATCCACAGGCTTCTCTGTGGAATGCGACCTGATAAACAGTGGCAGGGTCGCTTTCGCATCACTCACTCCAGGACAAGCCAGTGTGGCCTCGAGAAAGTATTCAACGAAAGCCTCGCAGACAGAACCGGTCAATGCTCTACTATCACCAAAATAAAACACTATGAGATATTGAATTAGCGGCCAAGACTGACACAGTGAGTCATTCCATAGATTACTTACCGGCCGGGAGGGAATGTTTCGTTATGTCTTCTTGCGTGTTGCTCAGAAAGTTTCTGTCCTTATCTATACCGCGAAGGCCACGCTCATCCTTATCCCAGCTGTCACCAGTCTTGGCCACGCCGGGCTGCGGCGTCTTTGGTATGGTCATGGCAAAAGAATGCTTGGAATTTGCCGAGACTGTACCGCGAAAGATGCACTGCTCCTCATCGACCAATACGGCTTGGCCACGGTACGTCTTCTCCTGCGACCCGCTCACGATCTTGCTCTTGGTGCGGCCAAACAATCTAAGCTTCACCACAGTCTGGTCCGTTCTGGGACCGTGCCCGAACGCCTTCTTGGCTACTACATGGCCAATAATCACATCGCCGGGCAGATATGTTGACTGGAAATCAGCGATCTGAATGCTAACCTCGTGGGATTGCCGAATCCCACGTCGTGGCATGATCACGAGGACAGTCGGCTCTTTGCTGTGATAAGATGACAAGTGAGATAAGTTTTCTTATCGCGATACTTCTCTTCAGCGACTCTACAACGTGATATCGTTAATGATATCGTGTGGCGGTTTGTCAAAAATGAAGCCACGTGACTATTGTGCCTCACTTCTAGGTGAGGAGTTTTTGCGGCACAGTAGGCCAACTGCAAATCACAGCGCCCGATACGCGATCTGCCGGAGAATAACAGCATCGTCATATAATCGGAAATGCTAGCAGAGCCCCTGTCGGCCAGCAACGACAGGCTCATGATGCGTACTTATCAGATCTTTCTACAAAATCGAATCTTTTCGATAATTCGTCTTCATATTCAGCTTCATTTGTACTGCTTCCCTTGCACGCTTCCCTTCAATTCAAATGCAGGCGAGTGAATGCAAGCCAAGGAAATGGAGTAGGAAAATAACCACTGCTAATCCTACATTAAACCAACCCTCGTGCATGAAGTAATGTACGATTGCTACTCCTACGTTACTACCTACTATTAATGCTCCGAGGTGGTGTATGGGGTACTACAGGTATTACCGCTGCGGGCGCCTAAATACTACCTGAAGGTGGGAGCCTGGGGGCGGCTTGGGAGGCGTCAAGGCCCCGTCCGTAAATTTTAACTCAACACACGCGCCACCACCGTTAAATCCTGGACTCCCTCGCAATCTTCCTTATTCCCAGAGCCTTTAGGATTGGGATACACAACGACGGTTTAGTTTTCCGCTTCTCATCCCTTTAATCCAGAGCTGCTTTTAGTCAACGATGACTTGGCAAACGAATTGGACATGAAGCTGAACTGACATGGCACCACTGAGTTTTTCAATCCGCGTTCTCCCTCCAATGACGCCTACTAAAAATCAATATCTTATTTCTTAAAAGACGCAATATTCCCCTCGATTAGGATCTCACATCAGAGAAACTGCGGGTCCTGCTTCTTTATCACCAAGCTCCCATGTTACACGACCAAGGAGGAGAAAAACTGATGACATTGGGGAAATCATAAGAATAATGAAAAAAAGACAACAGACTAGTCATAAGCGAGGGTCGAGCATTTACGTACTTCTCTTTGTTCCAATGAAAGTCGGTGGGGTTGAGCACCAACGCCCAGCCACAGACCCCATGCAGTTGCTATTGCAATACGAGAACGCCAATGCAGCCACGGTTTGACGGTCGCCTATAGCAAGAAAACATGGCCATCTTACCTGCAGGTCGTCTAAAATGTCTCTACATAGTAAGAGGGCCATGTTGGTTTTTGAACCCACTGGGGCCAACCAACTGGTAGGTAGGGCAAAGGGCTACTACTGTACGGACCGGGTCTCTTTTTCAACGGTCATCGTGGGGTTACATAGGTATTTCTTGGGCGCCGTTTCGGCTAACATGGCAAGGGCTTTCGATATTCATGGGCCAAGGCTCCGATGATGGGTCCCCTTCTTGGAAAGTTCTGAGAGGGTGTTGTGGTTGTTGGTCTGTATGCAACCAGCCCTATTCGAAGCATCCCTGCTCTCGGTCCCTTGTACCGATACATTTGATGATGTGCCCAGGGATCCTATGCATATATCCCGGCTATTAAGACGTCTTGGAGTTGTATCTACTACAAAGGATGACCGGCTTGAGTCGCAACAGAGAGCATTTGCTTATTCTACATGGCAACAACGAGTATGTGTTCCGTGGTGACAATGTCCGTCCTATCCTCTAGAGGCTAGATCACGTATTCCCTTCATTTGGCTATTGATAAAAGTGGTGATAATAGGCGGTTTTGTGGGTTGTCAGACGACCATGACCCCATTATAGCCCGTGTTCAGCTTATGCATGCCTCTTTCTCTCTCTTCACGATGACTTAGGTTGAACTTGTTCAGGACCAAGAGTTGTTTCTTATACTTGGGTCGTTCTCCTCTTGGAGAAATCGAGTTGATCTTTTTCTTCAAGCATCTCATTTCCCCGGAGAGCACTGCCAAGATGACAATCATCAGTCGGGCTGTCGTTGTAGCATTTCTATGCAAGGTAACTGGCCCCCTTCCCTCCCCTCCCCTACCTCGCTCTGTCCTACATTGAATGCCAAGCATCGTCTCATACATTTCATACATGTCTAGTCTGCAGCAGCGAGACTCATACCCCGGGCGCTGTCCATACCGACCGATGTCCCAAACAACTGGACATATGTCGGCTGCTATGTGTAAGTCTCGATGAAGTTTTTCCGTGCATTCGGCTATTTTTCTGAAATATCGATAGTGACAACCTCGATGGCCGCGCCTTGCCTTCCGACGGTTTCAATAATGCTACCTCAATGACAAACCAGGGCTGTGCCCTGTACTGCATGGACAAAGGCTTCCCCTTTGCTGGGACCGAATATGGCGATGAATGCTGTACGTCGGTTCCCCCAGTCTGCATATTGTGGCGTTTTCTGGACTTTTCAAAATTGACTGTTTTCTCTCTCTCCCGCATACAGACTGTGGTGAAAAGGTCGACGAGGCCGCGACAAAGGCCGATAACTCGGAATGTTCCATGGCATGTGCTGGCGATGCCACTCAACCATGTGGTGCTGGAAATAGATTGAGCGTCTTCACCGGTGCAGTCTCAGAGCCTGCTCCTCCCGCACCCATCGATGGATGGGCCTACGAAGGTTGCTACATGTGAGCCAACCCCCCTGGTCTAACAAAAATTCAAAGAGCTGACCAAAATTAGCGATGAAGCTGGGAGAACACTCACTTACGGTGCCCAAGTCGCTGGAGGTGCGGCAGCGAGTATGTGAAAATTTCCGTCTTCATTACCCTTTTGGGGCAATGAACTAGACTTGCGCTTCAGAGACCTCATATCTGACATTCTGTACAGTGACAAATGAGCTATGTACTGCTGCATGCGCTGCCGCTGGCTATCCCCTTGCTGGAACAGAATACTCTGGAGAATGCTACTGTGGTCAAGTATACTCAAATGGCGGAGCTCAAACCTCTACCGGATGCAACATGGTTTGTAATGGTGATAACTCCGAGATCTGCGGAGGATCTAATCGTCTGAGTGTCTGGTCGCGCATCGGCTCGGGGACGGACCCAACGGCCACGGCATCACCCCCGGCAGTGCCCGCACCGACCGGCTCCGGCACGGCAGCCGAACTCCCAGCAGACTGGTCCTACCAGGGCTGCTATAGTGAGGGCACGAGCGGCCGCGCCTTTCTCAATCAGCAGCCAGACAGTCAGACTCTTACCATTGAGTCGTGTGTGACTGCTTGCATTGGCCTTGGCTACAGCGTGGCTGGTATGGAGTATGCGTCTCAATGTTTCTGTGACAACTTTTTGCGCAACGGAGCGGCTCTGGTGGCCGATACCGACTGCGAAATGGCTTGCAGTGGCAATACCGCCGAGGACTGTGGCGCCGGCAATCGGTTATCGGTTTACTCAAACGATACGCTGGTCATTTACCAGCCTCCAACAGCTCAGACAACGGGCCTCCCTGGCGCGTGGGAGTATGTTGGATGTATCTTGTAAGTTGCTGCTGGCCTTGTGTCACTTATTATCGTTGGCTCACAATAGCTCAGGGATGATATTGCTGATCGTACGCTCCCATGGATGTCCATTGATATGCAGAATACCACAGCTGCTAGCTGCATTGAAGGCTGCAGCAGATTCGGTTACGAGGCCGGTGGTATTGAATACGGCTATCAATGCTGTATGGATCTCTCTATCCGCTTGTCAAAAAATAGAAACTGACACTTCTTTACAGTCTGTGGCGATATTGCCGACGTTGTCAACAAGGGTCGCGATGTTTTGCAGCCAGAAACGGATTGCAATGTTGCATGTCCTGGAGATCCAACTCATCTCTGCGGTATGTACTGTACCCTGATTATATATGGGTAGACTTCTAATTCTACACAAGGCGGCGGTAACAGATTGACATACTACAAATGGACTGGCGATACCTTGACCAGCTGGTCTTACGCTCAAGGCACGGCTGCTGGAAGTTACGACTTCATCATGTCGAGTCCAATCATCCCGCTGATCAGCACGGTCGGTGTCAACGATAAGGTCGTCTTTGTTGAAAAGCACGGTACCTCTACAGAGAACAACAGCACAGGATCTTTTGAGTTTGACCCAAGTCTGGCCCCTGACTATGGTACTGCCTTCCGTGAGCTTCAGCTAAAGACTGACGTCTTTTGCTCTGCATCTCTGGTCATGCCCGACAAAGTCGGACGTCAGATCAACATTGGAGGTTGGGCGGGAGAAGACCTCCACGGCGTGCGCCTGTTTACCCCCGACGGGTCACTCGGAACACCCGGCACAAATCAATGGGAAGAGAATGTCGACATCTTGAGCCTGCTTGACCCTCGCTGGTACCCAACCGCCATGACTCTGGCCAACGGCAGTATTTTCATCATCGGTGGCGAGGACGGTTCCGATGGCCCAATGGTTCCCAGTGCTGAGGTACTTCCAAGACCTGCGGGCGTCACGGCCGCCACACATCTCGATTACCTTGACCCTGCGGTGAACACTGCCCTCAAGGTCAATTCGTATCCCTTTGCTGCCGTGCTTCCGTCTGGCGATATATTCTTTTCTCAGTACAATGAAGCAAGAATTATATCTCATGTGGACTTTAGCACCATCAGGAGTCTACCTCAGATGCCAGGAGCTGTCAACAACCCCGATTCTGGTAGAAACTATCCTTTGCAAGGAACTCTGTCTCTACTGCCACAACACGCTCCTTTCACTGACCCATTAGAGTTGCTGATCTGTGGTGGAACTACTGACGGAGCGAACTTCGCACTCGACAACTGTATTCGAACTCAACCTGATGTGGCTGGAGCAGAATGGACTATTGAGAGAATGGTATGTGCTGCAATCTTCATTCACGATTTCACAAAGGGCGTACTGACATGACTAGCCGTCGACTCGTGTTGTTTCTTGCATGGTCGGCTTGCCAGATGGCCGTTATCTCATCATGAATGGTGCCTATAATGGTCGTGCTGGATTCGGTCTGGCCCAGAATGGCAACAGGGGTGCCGTGCTTTACGATCCCACAAAGCCATTGGGAACTCGCATGACACAGCTGGCAAACAGTACCATTTCGCGATTGTATCATTCCGAAGCCGTGCTGATGAACGACGGAAGAATTCTCGTATCTGGTTCGGACCCAGAAGACGGTATCAACCCCCAGGAACATCGTCTCGAGTACTTTTCGCCCGATTACATCTTGTCCGGGGCAGCCAAGCCAACCTTTACCATTACCAACAAGGACTGGGCGTATGGCCAGACTGTCACCTTTACGCTGACGTCTGCCGTGACTGGCGCCGTCCGCGTGTCCCTGATCGGTGCAGTCGGGTCGACACACGGAAACAACATGGGCCAGCGCACGCTGTTCCCTGCCGTGAGCTGCTCTGGCACCACTTGTACTGTCCAGGCACCACCGAATGCCAATGTGAGCCCGCCCGCTTGGTATCAGATGTTTGTCCTGGACGGACCGACGCCGAGTGAGTCCACTTGGGTGAGAGTTGGCGGAGATCCTGCCGGCCTTGGAAACTGGCCAAACCTCCCCGGCTTCACGACGCCTGGTATCTAAGGACGCTGTGGGAGAAGCGATCCAAAGAGTCCTATGGCTTGCCTCTCCCCATAGACATGAACTTTATGACCTCTTGAATTCATGTAATCTCATAGATTTCTTTCTTTTGTCGACCAGAGAGGGATTCAGGCTGTCTCTGCCTGTCAAAGTCTCACGACTGTGCAGGCAAGATTACTGAACCATAATAACTGGGTATCTTACCTAATGTTGGGAGCTGTAATAAAGTATTAGGCATCAAGTCTTAAACATAAAGCATTAAACCCGGTAAACAAGTGAAACTGTGGGCGTCTTTGTCGCATGGCTGTTACGTGTTTCCAGAAGAGTATAAGAGTTTTATGTAGAGAATAAATCGACGCGGTCCAAGGCAGATTTATTAGCACATGCGCCTAAAAACATTGAATGCGACTGCCCCGCCCCCGCGTTCCGCTTGGACAACGTCAGATCCACTCGAGGTTCCAGCGATCGCCGAGCAATCAGATCACCAGCAAAGCTCAGCTCAAGCGACCCCAGGCACCACCAACCAACTACCTTAACTACTGTATAATTTACTCAGGCTGTTACCTATTCTGCGCCGCACCATTTTCCCCAGCCCACAGTAGCAGCACAGAGAACCAAGTTACCCAATTGTGTATAAATTTTCTTGAGGCCTCTCTATCTGCTTGATTTATTCATCCTAGCAGCGTCCCACTTCTGCCTTGAGCATTTTTTGCAGCAAAAAGTCTGCGCCGAATACCGAAACCATAGGTCGCAAACACAAGAACCGTCACCACAAGGGGTCGCGACCCCGTCCCCGATCTCTGAAAATGGGCAACGAAAACAGCACCGTCATCGCCGACGATGAGCCTACGCAGACCCTCGAGAGGCGCGACCTCAGCTCCGTGGCCAAGCTCATCAAGGATGGCCGGGCAAAGCGCATCGTTGTCATGACTGGTGCTGGTATCTCGACCGCAGCTGGCAGTAGGTCATTTGCCCACCCTTCACATGTCTTATATACTACTGCTACTACACCTCTATCGTCGCCACCTCGTTATACAGTCACTGATTACTGCAATTTTGCTCTCTAGTACCCGACTTTCGGTCTCCAGAGACTGGCTTGTACCACAATCTCGCGCGACTCAATCTTCCCTACGCCGAAGCCGTGTTCGACATTGATTACTTTGAAGAGAATCCATATCCCTTCTACGTACTTGCCAAAGAGCTGTACCCCGGACGATTCCACCCCACTATCGCCCACGTCTTTATCGCTCTGTTGGCTAAAAAGAAACTCTTGCGCATGCTCTTTACCCAAAACATTGACTGTCTCGAGCGCGCCGCCGGCGTCCCGGGTGATCTCATCGTCGAAGCCCACGGCAGCTTCGCCACACAGCGATGCATCAAGTGCAAGACCGAGTACCCTGACAAGGAGATGCACGAACATGTGTTGGAGGGCAAGCCGCCAAAGTGTATAGACGGCTGTGGTGGCCTGGTCAAGCCAGACATTGTCTTCTTTGGCGAGCAACTTCCCGCAACGTTTTATAACAATCGTGGCCAGGCTGCCACGGCCGATCTGATGCTGGTGCTGGGCACGAGCTTGACCGTGCACCCATTTGCCAGTCTGCCCATGATGGCTATGGAAGGCGTGCCCAGAGTCTTGTTCAACAAGGAGCGGGTGGGCGATATGGGCACACGAGCAGATGATGTCATTTGCCTTAGTGATTGTGATTCAGGTATCAGACAGCTTGCCGAGGAGCTCGGCTGGGCCGAAGAGCTCTCGAGCATGTGGAGAAATCTTGTCGGCAATACGGAAGCCGACCGACAGATTCTTCACCTAGCAGAGTCTCGGAACAGGGATGAAGTCAGACGGCTTGCTGATGAAGTGGCGGATAGGTTGGAGCTGTCTGATCGAGATGAGGATGGCGAGGGTGCTAACCACTCTGCGCAGGTTGATGAGAAAGAAGCAGCGACAGGCGCGACGAAGGGCAAAGAGGAAGGCAAGAAAGGCCAAGAAGCGAAGGCTGGTCAAGCAGAAGATTCGCAACGCCCTACGTTTGGCTCTGCGGTTGAAGGTGATGAGGATCTTTATCCGGACGCTGAAAAAGCAACGCCTGCGCAGCAAAAACTCCAAGAATCAGCTGAGCCTGGCAGTGGTGTAAAGACAGAAAAGGGGGAAACGGAACTTGATCAAGAGACAGCCTCGTACAGTCGTGCAGTAGCAGACATGGCTGATGAAGGGCGAACCAATGGAGAGAGCAAGAATCCCGATTCTGTTCTATGAAGGATGGACTCATCACCATTCAAGGGCAGTATTACGTAGACCAAAGAATAGCTTCTGTATACCCAGCATGGCATTGATTTACATTCACGTCCTCCATCATTCGTTTCCATCATCTTGGGCATGATAAATTATCTGATACAACATCATCCATTAAAGTTACCCACTACAGCTGAGGTACACGTCCGGGGTTTATAAGGTTGATAAAAGCCAAGAAAAATCCACCAATGTTGTACTTGACACTTTCAGTACATCGTTGCTCCTCACCACAATTCATTGCCCACATAGTGCTTAGCTTATTGGTTTATGCCGAAAGCTATATTCAGGACTGGGTTTTCGCCCTGGTGACTAATCCAAGTCGAGTTCCAAGCCCAGAAAAGTCTTACAATCCAGAGTCCTCCTTCTCGTACTCAGCGGTGGCATAGTAACTACGCCATTGTGAGCACGTCTCCTCAAACGCAGCCTGGTCGTCATCGCTGATCAAGGCGGCCTGCTCACCGCGTCGCTCAACAAAGTCGACGCTGAGGCCGCCGCTGACGTGCCACGCAATATGGCAGTGGAAGAGCCAGTTGCCGGGATTGTCGGCCTTGAAGGCCACGACGAGATAGCCCAGCGCGGGAAGCATGGTGACGTCGCGACGGGTCGGGTTGTCAAAGTTGAGTGAGGCCAGGTCCGATAGGTCAAAGAGGTCCGTAAGCCCGCCCAGCTGTCCTGCCGCCAGCAGAGCCAACAGCTGGGTGAGGGACAGGGGCACATTGAGCGGCGAGGACCGGCCCAGGACCAAAAAGTCGTGGCCGTGGAGGTGCATTGGGTGTGGGATGGGGGACAAGTTTTGAATGATCCAATAGGTCCAGACGTCGGCGTCGTCGACAAGGACAATGTTCTCGTTGCGCGGGTAGGCCGTGTCGCCGTCGAGCACGTACTCGAGCACGGGCTTGTCCCACTGCACGTCAATGGCGCTGCCATTGACGAACCACGTCACCGTCGACGTCAGCGGCGGCAGGCTGAGCGTCACGGGTAGGTTGTCATTGACCAGCACGCCGGGCGTGATGTCCGTGGCCGACGTGGTCCGCTGCACGATGGGCACAAAGTCGTTGCGGTCGTCGCACAGCGAGTCGGCGGGCGCCGTGCCCGGGTCCGTGGGCAGCGCGTCGGGCGCGCCCTCGTACCGGAAGATGGCGGCCGGCGCGGCGTTGTTGGAGGCGCCGCAGAGACCCGTGCCCGAGAGGGTCACGTTGAACCAGTAGTTGTCGACGGCCTCGGAAGCGTCAATGATGATGTCGTAGCGCTGGCCGACGCCGAGGAATACGTCCGAGGCGACAATGGGCTCAATGGGGACAAAGTCGGTCGAGACAATGGTGAACTCGTGGCCTACGAGCGATACCTGGAAGTTGTGCTCAATGGATGGGTTGATCAGGCGGAGGCGGTGCTTGGATCCGGGAGTCAGGGTAACCACCGAGTACTCTCCCAACGATGGGTCTGCCGGGTTGATGTTGGTACCGTTGAAGAGGACATTGTCACTATTGGGTGGAACGGCTTGGGTCATGGTCTCCCGCACGCCTTCATCGGCAGTGATATAATAGTAATCAGTAATGGGGTAGACGCCGAGATCAATGTCATAGTCGGCCGACGTCGGGCCGTTGATGTGGATTGATCCGACAACTCCATTACCATATTGTGCCGAGTGGTGTGAGTGATACCACGAAGAGCCTGAGGTGGCATTAGTAAGTTTCTCGATAAACATGAATAACATCGGTAGCTTACCATACTGTGTAGCTCTCCAAGTATACGTCTTGGTCTGACCAGGAGCTAACGGACATTCAGTGATACCATTGGCACCATCCTGAATATTGGTGTGGTATTGTCGGATACCATGCCAGTGGATAGAGGTACTTGTTCGAGTTAGCATATGCCCGTCATTCATTAACATGCAGGTACTTTACCCATTAGTTTCCATGTTGTTAATGACATTGATTACCAGGGTATCACCCCAGTCGGCATAGAGTACAGGACCGGGAAACTGATTGTTGATGAGCATCACCTTTTCCTTGACCACGCCGTCGGGACCGGTCCAGTTGTTCACCTCGGTGAGCGTGAGGTCAAAGGTTCGGGTGATACCATCAGGGATATCGACCTCATAATCAGTATTGATATCGAAGCCATCGGTCCAGCAGGCCCTGTTATCGGCAGTATTACAACTGGCCGACTGGCGAGGCTGGACTTGCTCAGTTGCTGGTGCTGCGACAGCAGTGGTCAAAAGATGCGCAAAGGGAAGAACCCCTGCAAGAAGAGATGTAGAAAGCATGGCAGGATAAATCACAGTGGAGACGGCCCAAGAGTATTCAATGGTAAGTCAGTCCTGATAGACGACGATCCGTCGAGTTGCAATCGAACCTGGTAACGATCTCCAGTTGATCATAGCCAGTTCGGGAGGAACTCCATCTTTATATACAAGACACATACATCCCTTGACCGTGTTCACAGACTCTGATGCCTATCGCGATGTCGCAACTGTTGTTCAATAATCATTTCGTCACCATGCGTTGCCATAGTTCCATATTGCGTGTCTGACATGCTCCTCAGCTTGCCTCTCCACGAGTTAGACGACAGAGCCGCAACAGAATTCTCATTCATGTGGACTTTGGGATCCGCGAATGCAAAGTTCCAAGGTTCGGAATTCAATAGTCTCGTGCGAAATGCAGTGTGCGTTTGTGCGTGCGCATGGGTCAATTTGCGATATTTTCCATCTCTATTCCTTTTGCTCGGCCGACGGAGATGTGATGAATATGACCGCGCTCACGACTTCACAATCCACAACGCTATAACGCGTGGGTCGTCCTATAATCGCACGAGCCCGCTTCCAGGGGATTGGGATATGGACTCTGTGAATGGTCCGATTGCCCACGACTGAGATGTGATTTATTGGCCATACGCAGCAAGGTGTCAAGGCCGAGTCATTCTCTGTGGATAGTCAAGAAAATGTTATCGGGATCCACGATGTGGACAAGGTGGGATCAATATGCCGGATTGGGGGCGGCCGTTGACTCCACACAAAACAGCCTCCTCCGTCATTGGTATCCTCCGAACGAACCCGTCTTGGAAAAGGCGACTACCAGCCAAGGAGATGACCCCTGGACAATCAATGGCACGACCACTTTAACATTGTGAAGCTTACCCACATCCCGGGATGACTTTACTCGAAATAGAACACTAGGTTCATTATACTATTCAGCTCTGCATGTGGGCGACAGCAATCAGGAAGGCATTCCCCACCAATTATGCTCTACAGACCGCGTCCAGCCCCTTGAGCCGCCGAGTCGCATGGAGCATTTCCAGGTTGGGCGGCTGCATATTGTAACGGCACATTGTGAATGGCGGCTCAGAACAGGGTGCCGCAGTTGCAGCATTGGCGGGCGTTCGCTAGCGACGGGACCGTTGGAATTTTGGGGGTTACCATGATCTATTTATCCAGGACTGTAGCAAAAAGTCATGGCGCAGGGGGTGCGCTTGCGTGGCCGTTTAAGAACATTGCATCCACGCGATCGAATTCGTGCAGCTCAGGTGGCCGGATTAGGAAGGGGAGTCAGCCTCCGCGACCCGGCCGAGTCCAAAGCAGTATAGAGTGCAACTCCATTAAGCGCCTCTTTTTCGCAGTCCCTCGAGGATCATAATCCATGGCTATGGCCTCGGACTTATGAAATGTCACACTGGATAAGCAGCTCAAATTTGTATGTGAGAAATATGATGTGACTGTTATGTTTGCAATAGCGATCTCAGGAAGATAAGCATTTCTGACCTTTATTGAGCCAAGTTTCGAAGACACTGACTCTGTGAGAATCAAAGCCAGAATCTGGCCACTTTTACGGAAACGCCTCATTCCATACTTTGTCATAATTTTGCTCTGTGACATGTAATTGAATCAAGTTCTTGAACCATCTGGTTACTACGTCCTGGATGAGAAAAGAACGACCCATGTCACTATTGCATACATGGAGTCATCCAGGCATACCACCGAACACTCGGGTGTCGATTGATGTATCATGGGTGTCAGGTTGGGACTTTAGCTTGAACAGATTTATCTTAACTATCTAACTTCGCACTGTTATTAGAATACTCTCTGTCTGTTCACGGAGCTGCCGAGGGTAGATTTACGAAGATTGTAAAGAGTGGTTATCTGGAAGATTGTTCAATGTCCTGCAAGAGGTCCAGGACTTGTATAGATGAGACAGCATGCCAAGGCGTAGGGTCTGCGACGCTGACCAAAGAGATGCACTTCTCCAGAACCAACGAAGGTCTACTTGCTCTGAATTGCAATCTATAACCAATTAAGATAGCATTAGCAGCCTTATTGTTATTTCATCTTCGATGGAAACCTCACCCTTTATATGCGTACATATCCGGAAGTCTTTTCGACGTGTGGCCGACAAGGTGCTACACTAGGGTCAACGTCTGAGACAACAATCCGATCGAAGCTAAGGAAGGCTATAGCTCGGAACAGGCCTCCTACGTTATATATCAGGATGTCGTACTAACGTAGTCAGTACCCACCGCAGATCACCTGCGCGGGTATATAGTTGGCTCTTCGGCGGCTTTTTTTTTTTTTTTATTTTATTAGACTAGAGATCAACTAAGACATCTTTCAATGCTTCCTCGATCATCTCGTCTTTAGTTTCTCCTTCACACATCGGCTCAGGTGAGACAGGAAATATTTGCCAATCTGGAAAGGCTGACTTAGTTCTTTGTTTACCCAAATGAGAACGAGCTAAGCCTTGTAACTCGACAGGTCAGTCTTTTATACCGCGTCTCGGCTTCTGCGTAGGGTAGGGATCGTGTGAAAAAAATAGAACGAACTGAATTTGTATCTAGTGGAGTACCTCGTTTTCCAATGTACTAAGAATAAAGAAGCGTAAATAATATTTTTGGTTCTAAGTTTTATAAGAAAATATTTTATTTCAGAGTCACTTGCTTTAATCTAATGCGCCACGGTGTGACTGAATGATGTGTCATCCGACCAGAAAAAGATTCGAGTCAGCTACATCACCTCAGGGGCGCCAACTGCACTGTTTGTACAATTATCTTATTCATGAATCTTCCAACCGCCGGGCATTTGGTTGGTGAAAGTCATGTTCGGGTCGTACTTGTTACGGATACTCTGCAATTTCAGGACGTTATCTTGTGGGTAGCCTTTGAAAACATCTTGGGTAGAATCGGCGTAGTTGAGGTACAGGTAAGGAGACAACACATTGTCCATTACGCTCAGTTGGGCCGTGACATTGGCGTTGTATGTCTCTAGGAATGAATCAATCTTGGCACTGTCGCTGGCATTCGACCACAGAAACGTTTGCTCGACGAAGAGATACGGGGCTGACGCAGTGTCAACGTCCATCGGGTCTCCTCCGTTAATGGTCGAGGCAGTGAGAAACTTTTCTGTAATTGGCACAAAGACAAGGGCAGCGACCAGATTCTCCACATTGGCCAGCGTGCTCTCTAGCATTTCGAGAAATGTGTCGTGGAGTACCTGTACCGCCGCTCTGTCTGCCGTGATGGTGATGACCTGGAAACGGGCGCGTAGGCCTCTAAGGGCCTCTCGGCCGGGGTCAGCCGCCTGCGTCCAGTTGTACATGGATGGTCGGACCTCGAAAGTGGAGTTTACGGGCTGCATAACATCCGTGAAGTTGAGCAGTGCAGCGGGGGAGGTGTTGGCGCCGTCATAGAACATGATCGCGTTGTAGGTGAGCTGGCCGTTAATTGACTGGACCATGGGCTCGAGGGCTGCTTTGGAATCCCCAGAACCATTGTGGGCGAAGCCGATGACATAGTCGAGAAATTCTTCGCTCACACTTTCGTTGTATGTATTCTGGCCAATGGTGACCTCTGGGAGGCTGACGGTCTTGAGATGCAAAAAGGTTACAATAGCAAACGAGTTACCGCCACCCCGGAGAGCCCAGTACAGGTCAGAATATTCATTCGTGGGAGTGGCAGAGACAAAATCGCCGTTTGCAAGGATGCACTATAGTTTAGTCAGCGAAGACATTCCGCCAAGTGCTAAGCCAGAATCTGGGCAAGATGCTGAGATGAGGCATAGAGTATCGAGTTGGGAAGACACACGTCAAATTGAGCCACATTTGCTGATGCCCAGCCATACTGGTTGCCGAAGAACGAGATGCCACCACCAAGAATAAACCCAGCCACGCCCACGAGACCTGCTCAAGTTAGAAATGACTGACCAAGCGTGGGCGGAGTTCAGATGAAATACCCACCTGAGCGACCACCAATCACTGCAAGCTTGAATGGTTCGAGGTATTCATAAACTTGGCCCCATTTGTTACCAGCGCCAATTTCGATGGTCGACTGATCCTTGGAAAGCTGTAGCTGGGTCATGCCAGAGCTCGAAAGCAGGACGCCGGATGAGTTAATATTGGCGGCATTGGCAATGGGCATGTGCCCTCCTCCTCTCATGGCGAAAGAGACTCCTGTCCGTGCCAAGATCTGCACCGCCCCGGACATCTGCTCGGCGGTTGTCGGCGCAAAGATGCAGGCCGGGCTGAGCCATGAATCCGCGCTAAAGTAGTCTAGGCGTTTTTCTTTAGTATTGAGACGCGTATTAATGGCTTCCTTTTCAAGGCAGGCGAAAAATACTGACCTTCATTTAGCTCTGTATAATTACTATTACCCGGGTAGTAGGTGACATTTGCCCAGGACTGCTCCAAGGAGCTGCATGCAGCCGAAACGTCGCGGGGTTGATAATGGGTTGCAGAAGTCGCAGTCGCGGCTGCAATACACAGAGACAGAGCGGATAGAGGACTGGTAGCGATCATGGTCGAAATTGAACGCTGATGTGTTGGATCAAGGCCGTCTCAGTTACTGAAAGTATGCCACCGTCGGTATATATAGATGGAGATTGATGATTGTTTGATTGGTGGTGATGAGGGGATCAATGTCTATCAGCTCTGTGCTGAAAGACGGCCATTCTTATACTGCGCAATGAGGCCTAAATGAGGCTGTCCTCTGTTGAATCGGGGCATAAGTACCACCTCCTGTGGCTATGCTCTGTGATCGTTCTGCTGGGGTGCCACAATTGGTTACCGTTGTAACACTACCGTATAGATCGTGAAGAAACATTGGCAATCCGACTAAACTGGCGAGAGGTAGACAAAATAGAGTTTGACCATTGTGCCCCACGGCATGGCATGACTTATCTAGCATGAACCAGCTACAGCCACTCAACCTTGCATATTAGCAACTACAATATATACACATGTAGGCTGTGTTTGGTCGTAAACCGGCACTCGCGATGGCTTCGGAAATTGTTATGTAGTTACTGTATATGCGGCAGGTTTGTGAATGCCACCGACAACCCGATCTGATCATGCTGCGCCATCACTGGAGCTGGGGATTGCAACCGTGACCGACCAATAATAAGAGGAATAGGCAATATAAACGACTCCACTCCTTCGTATTTTATAGGGCAAAGTAGTGTTTACGGTGCGGCATTACAACAGCGGATTTACTGCATTAATATCAACTCGTGTAGCGTATCATGAGAATGAGTTAGAGCAGAGGGACAGTAGCGGATCTCCTCCAAGTCTTTGGTGGCCTTGCTTAACGTAAACGACTGTGGCATTTTGGTTACACACATATATCTTATATTTTCGCTGTTGAGACTCTCAAAAACATATTAGCCCATTCTTTTGAAGCCCCCCAAAACATTTCCGAGGAGCTAGGGCCACTTGTAAAAGAACAGCGGTTTGGGTAAGGTCAAAGTTGATAAACAGTCCAAACGACAAGAGACGTGAGCACGTCGAGTATGAACCTCGTAGCATGATCTTGTTCCAGGACCAGAAAAGCAAAGAGCATGGGATCTAAGACCCCTTGATAGATATCTTTCGGGTCCTCTGGATCGCAGTCAGATTTGAAAAATATATATATAATACACCGCCTCCACGTTATGCGAAAGTGGACGAGCATCGTTCTTGTAGGCTATTTTGAGAAGCTCCAGTGCAGTGGTCTCCTCAATTCCTTTTCAATAGAGACCACGTAGGTGTTTCCTTGAGCCATATTCAAAGGTGCGAGTCGTGCGCGCAGGGTGTCTGGACCGAAATTTGATATTATGTTACAAGATTCCTTGGACATATTTTCAATTGACAAAAGTATTCCACGACTTCATCGACTCTTTTGTAGACTTCTTCGGGCATTTCGCAAATCAGCCAGTTAGCCTAGTTCACAAACAGGCTGCAGTCGTCGAGGGGGCTGTGTTGTGTCTCGGTGATAGGACAGTGCGGAGGACAATATCGCCGAATAACCGACCTAAATCGGGGTTCGTATAGGATTAGACATCCCGTCATAGACACATAATTATATTCGTCTTAGACAGGCTACAAATCCATAACCACAATCGTATCAGCTCCCAGCCTCTGTCTCCAAACCTGCTGCTTTCGGATGTTATGTGGAGACCGCCCCCTTCCAACAACAAAAAGTCAATCAGACATTGCTATCAAGCTCCTTCTGCCAGCGGATAAATAAGGAAGTGTTTATTCTTGCACGACTTGACAGAGACTTGATTACAAGCGACTCGACTCGGCATATCTCAATTTTTGTACTTGCGCAACGACAGATACAATATAATGTCAACGCAAGTGATGTTTTAGTGATAATAAAAGGCCAAGCGCAGTGCCAGCACTTTACAGCAAGGCTCTAGGGGTAGTCTTCTATATTTAAGTAGTTAGGCAACGAAATTAACAAAAACATTCTTGACAAGTTAAATACGGCAAAATACGGCAAATGTAAGGTGGTGCAAAATATAAACAAATAGGTAACCGAAACATAGATTGCCATTGTGAGGGAAAAATATAAGGGCAAGATTTATTATTATTATGCGTTGCGGAGTTAAAATAGGCAAAAGTTGAATCTGCACTAGCCGCGAATCGAACGCGGGGCCCATCGATGGCAACGATGGATTTTACCACTAAACCACTAGTGCTTGATGGAACTAAATGTGGCTTATTAGCTAATATATTCAAACAAGACGGCGCTTTAGCGACATCCAATATTCGCTTTCTGGAAATACTTCGTGCGACCGAGCGCAGTCACTGTTGATGGAAATATTTTGTGCAGCAGATGCTGCCACGGTTCGTCTATAGCTATCGCTAGTACGAGGTACGCGCTGACTTGTACCGATGCGGCCATTAATACACCAATCACAAGGTGCAAATCCGCCTCCCGCTCTTCTAGGGTGTGACAAAATCACACATGAACACGGACAAATGGAAAAGAATCAACAACCCTATATGCAAGTCATTCTGGATAGTGAAAATGGACTTTCAGGGCCATTGACCATCTTCCCTCGTCGGTGCAACGTCTTCGGCTGTCGGGCGATGCATCCAGTGGCGCCTCGCGACAAAGACTTGACAATGAGCACTGCGCTTCATTCCACTCCCCGCGTCGCCGAAAAGTATAGCATGAATAATAGCCCTGCGACGTTGACACGCTGTCTATAGATGACCGTTCTGACGCGGTATTGCCATTTCTCCATGCATTTTAGCAACTTACAGTATATTATCAGACATTTGCCAAAACAAACGGCGCGTAACTGATTGCATTTATAAAATGGTTCTCAGCATTTTGAAAGCATTATCCTTCGTCGCCCTGCCGGCGCATGCTGAGTTTGTCAATTCCGAACACGCACCTCGCGATGTGGAAGTGAAGAATGACTTCGAGCATCTCGTCAGCTTTGGAGATAGCTACACTGCACAGCCGTCGACAAATTCTACTTCCACATCCACTGGCGGCAGAATCTGGCCTCGGATGGTGGCAGACGCTGCAGGAGCGGCTCTGCACAACTATGCCCGCAGCGGTGCGACATGCACAAACGAGTACCGGAGTCCTGGTAACTCGGCATCCTCTACGTCGATTCTTGATGATGAGCTTCCCAAATTCAAAAGCACATGGGCAGATGCGAATGATACAGTGTCGGCGAGCCTTGATCCATCCACCACGGTATACAGCATCTGGATCGGCACAAATGACTTGGGCTACAATGCATTCATCAATGCTGGGAATCCACCCAGCTACAACATCACTAGCGTCGTGGATTGCATATGGACAGCCATGGATGAGCTGTACTCTTTGGGAGCAAACTATTTCGTTCTCATGAATACGGCCCCACTGCAATTGTCCCCTGAATACGGTCTTCCTGATGCAGGTGGTGTCGGCGACAACGAATATTGGGCATTAAAAGTACAGCCCCGTCTTCTTTCACCTTCTGTCATCTTCTTTTCCCCCACATACTCCCACAAGTCTACTAATTCGTGCGAATAGACTCAGCAGAATGTGACATTGACGTCCTACATAATGCTTGAATTCACAGTCTCTGTTAACTTTATGCTAGCATACGGTACACCCTTTGAGCTCCTCGTGCAGGATCGTTGGCCAAATGCGACAATCGCGCTGTTCGACGTGCATCGCTTAATGATGGACATTTATGCCGACGGGGCGGCCTATCTGGACTTTCAATCCCAAACTATCTTTTCATTGCTCCTTTGATCCTGCCCTCGCTGGACCGCAAGTGACTTCTACCTAGTCCGAAGTAAGAAGCCACGATGTAATCTCTTGTCGTGATGCATCAAAACGGACACGACGAGGCTGACCCGTCGCAAAGTGATTGCAGGCCAATATGGAGTGTATTGTCTCATAATGAAATACATCACAGTTGGTCGGAACGGTCCTGGCCTGAGACAATGTATCTTAAAGGACCCATTAACGCTGGCTAGAATATCATTGGCTTCGGGTAAAGTCAACATCACAACTGAAAGCCCTATATCCTTGATCCTCGCTTGTAAGTTGCAAGCTTCAATTTCACGATGGAGTTGTTTTTTCTAGGTTCCATCTCAGCGCGCTGGGCTTGACATGGCTCGCGAGAACCTGACGCGTGCAAGTGGGTCAACCTCCCACCACGAGAATGAAGAACATACCAGGTGGTCTTCCCTGCACAATAATGACCAAAATATGTGTGAAGGCCCACAACAAGAGGCGTCACGATGCACCGCCAGGGCATATCTGTAAAAAGAACACTACACGCCCAACTCAGGCTAGTGTAGAGTTACCACGCTACAAGCAGCAAGAAGCATCATCAAAATGATCGAATCGACAACACCACTCTGCAACGTCTGTCAAAGTGTATTGAAATCAACATATAAAGAAAATGAAGGGAGATGCTGGTAAACTCAAACATGCGTCCCTACAGTACATTAGGTCAGACGGTAATAAGCTGATTATGGCATTGTGCATGGGTAATACGGCTCGACCAATAATCTCTTGAAAAGGTGGACAGACTTATCCGGCAACTTACAATGATGCCTCATTACTTACAGTCACGTTGTTATTTAGTTTTGAATACTAAGTGCGAACAAGCTTTGAACATCATCTTCCAGAGATACACCAAGCTCTCTATTAATGTCCGTAAATACGCAATGGCGAAATCTTAAGCGTTACCGTATAGTGGGTACGCCACTGGATGCAAGCATTTGAAGCTATCCTGGACCCCGTCCGCTGCTTTAGACCAGGTTATGCAGTAGCATATTAATCGACGCCACCACGTACAGACAGGTATGAAGGGCTTCATGAATTTTAGCAGGATATACAAATAAGTCTGCACTTCGTAGAAGTAAGAGGCTAGGAAGACAGACCATCACATCATCCAATCAAATGCCATAGCACACCACGCAAAATATTTTAGAGAAGTTTTCGCATCTTTAGCTCTCCCATCCTGCAAACAGTGAAAGTTACCTACGTATCTAGGTATCTAACCTAGTTACTTAGTGACCAGGGAAGGTGGACCAATCCTTTTGTCATGGTTCCATTATTCCACTGGTCAGATTCAATGTTCGTATACTGTATTTAGTCAATACCCCTCTGTATATAGGCTCCACTTCACGGGATGCTACCGTCTCCTGGGGGGCCGTGGTGATGCACATGTGGCTTCTCCAAGACTTGGGCTTACCTAGCCATTGATCCGCTGCCTCGCTGGTCTTCTTCTGCTATCGGCGGGCTATTCAGCGTAGGTGCGGATATTTGTAGCTAATGAAGTATGAATCCGTCTCACCCGAGTCAATACGAAGGCGAAATAAGTGATCGTAAACCCAACGAAAGAAGATTGAGTTGATCCTATAGAGCTACAAAAGAGATGCGCTGAAGAGCTATGTAACATACCCAAGCAGGTGATCTGCGGTTGGTACTACTACGTCACGTCACAATCCGTCTCACAAATGGTATTCGAGGAACATTTCCTGAACTGTCACCTATAGCCTGAACTGGGAATGAATATTGAGGGACGGGTCCTATATTCGGCTTGGGCGACATCAGTTATGATAACTTGTCCTACTAGGTCAGGATAAAGTAGGAAATGCTTAGACGCGCCCCCGGTACAAAACAGAGATCATGATCCGTACGCGATCGCTGGGTCCTACTCAACCTTGCAAGGGAAAGTTGAGATGTATTAGCACATAGACACCATTGCGCATAAAACATAAAGCAGATTTTCGTATTTAAACATGGTATCAGATTGATGGATTATATGGCTGTTCATACACTTCATTATTTTTTCGAGAACTTATAATTTCTGGTTCCAAAAATAGTTATTATCGATTTTCTCATCTGAAAGTCTAGCACTCAGATTTGTGTAGCACACAATGACAACACTCATCGATTACGGAACGTTTCCCAGTGCAACAGATCTGGAATAGATAGATCCAGACAAGTTGCCCGAATTTGTCAACAAGTATATCCACTTCGCTTCTACTTGGTTGTCACAGATGCGCCCATTGATTAATGACTTGAATTTGGAGACCATTTGTCTTCCTCGAGCCCACGATGCCGGCTTGTACGAGCCAGCCCATTACAGACGTCTCGGCTCTCTTTCGACCACAATCACACAAGAGAAGACAATCTTTGATCAGCCTACGCTGGGAGTCCGGCGATTCGATCTGAGGCCCTGTATCGTCAATAGTAACTTCGTCTGCGGTCACTACGAGTACATCAAGCCAGCGTACGTGCCCGGCAATGTCTGGGACTTCACTAAAACCGTGGGCATTGACAAAGATATCTTCGGCGGTTCGATCGGATGGTATTCTGGCGGCGAGGGTGCATCAGTGGATGACATCGTCAACCAGGCCAATCAGTTCACAAGCAAGTTTCCTGGCGAATTCATCATCCTCGAAGTCTCTCATCTGTTCAATCTCGATAGAGAGGTACAAGATCAAGAGTTGGGATACCAAATGAACCAGGATGAATTCGACAGACTCACTGATGCGCTTGCTAAGTTGAATGAACTCTACGTTTATCAAGACGGTTCGAAAGCAGCGATTACGAAGACCAAACTGAACGAGCTTCTCACACCAGGCAAGTCGTGTGTCATGGTTCTGACGGATCCAGCGTCGGGCATCACTTTGGGACCAGCCAGAGAAGGCAAGGGATTTCGATGTTCAAGTCTTAGACCCATTGAAGACACAGGAGTTTTCCATGACAAGGCAGCAAGAACCCATCGAAGCAGTATGCGGTTTTCTGAAAGACCGTTTCCATGTTGGTGTTGCAAAAGTAATTGCAGAGATGTTTGGAGGTTCTAGTTCACTTTTGAAACAAGGCCTCTGGAGCATTACGGACGTCGCTCGTTGGCTGGCTCCACAAAAGCTGTCAGAGGCTTTATCCACGCGACCACCAGGTAGATGCTGGACGTGTCTCAGTGCAGACTGATTATAGACTTCGCATTGGTGACAGCGGCGACAACTATTGTTGTCAGATCTTTCAGAGGAGATAATGCGTCTTTGGAACTATCGGTGGATGGAGGCTGTGTTATTTCGCAAGCCTAAAGGGTGACCTTGCAAGTTTTATGTATGTTTTCAAAGTACCGGAACAAGGGCAGGTGGACCAAACAATTTCCTCTCTAGTGAATCGATAGAGACAAGCATTATTCTCCGAGCCGTGCACATACATTCTAATTATTCTTTTATCTTATACTTTTGTTAATCACGCCTCTGAAAATGTTCAGATGTGCTTTCACTGTAGCATTTTGAGATGCCAAAATTGTTGAAACGTAGGTAAGACCCATAAAATGGCTACACTGTGTATCATAGCGGCCTTTCCCCATCCACTGTAGTTGAAGCCTCGCTGGTGAATGCAATAAATATTAAGCACATCAACTTGAAAATAATAGACCCAGGGGCGATCCGATTGACCAATAAATAATGTTGACACTCGACAGCTGCCTCACTAAGTCAACTTTCGATATATCACACAAAGTCAAAGAGCTCTAGTTCTGGGGGACGACACTGGACAAATAATGATTAACTATCATACTAAGAACCATGCAATCCTAGTAGCGAGTGTGATCTTCAACCAGGACCAATAACGTAATCAAATGTCATGTATCTTGTAATCCCCATCATAATTACCGTCGTCAAAGGTGATACTGAAATCATAATGGATCCACATTTCATATCCATTCTTCAAGTAAAATCTAACCTCGCCGTCCGCAGCGGTGAGATTCATCTCGAGGCCAACGCCATCCTTGAGATTGCCAAAGATATTTCCAACATTGACACCAACAACAGTGACGCTCACGCCAATCTCATAGGTGGATGTATCGAGATATCCAGAGACCTGATATTCACGATTAGCAATTACCACCGTCGTCACTAAGTTCTGTCAGCTCACCTTGATGGGTCCCATAGACCAGTCGATCGACTCCCGAGCATAGACATCCCCCGGGGGAAGATTGCTTATCTGCGTGACCTGCGTGGCCTCCCAAAGGTATCCATCTCCGGAAGGGGGCAGCAGTTTGATGACGGCACCTGTCAGGTGATCAATCTAGTCCTCTCACGGCGGATCATTTTACGAGACTCACCGACACCTTCAGACATATTGATAATCCTAAAAGCGTTGAAATATATTAGATGTGATACTGGAGGGTCTTGGGCCTTTGGTGTTAATCATAATGATCTTGCTTCTTTTCATGTATGCGATGATAAATACTTCTTATAGTCGTAATCCAAATATATTGTAGCCTTTCTCCCCAAATGTGAACCGGTCACCTGCACAGCTTCATCGGCGATCGTGTGTTGGATTATTGCAAGAATCATCAACAAATTTGCTTGTGACATTCGTTGTTACTTCTCCGCATGCCAGCCACTTACGAAGGCGATGTTGAACAGATAAGTTGTGTCTAGGTAAATTATGGGAATCTGATTGCTCCTGGAAAAGGGTACACCGTACTATTAATCGGTAAAAGCATAATTCTCCGGCTGATCCGGTATTATAAACTATGTATATAAGCCGCAGAGGGGGTACCCCCCTTTCTCTTATATCTAATGCTACTTAAGTCCCTTTTTAACGTTCTATATAATAGCACCACCACTATTACGATCTAAGAAAGTCCGTATTTTGTTTAGTTTAAGTCAAATTAAATTAAGCTAGCTAAGTCAGCCACTGCTATCGGGGGGCTTTACCAGACCAAAGGGTGCTCGCTAGCGAGCCCAGCGCCAAAAAAAGCATCGTAAGCGTGGCCAACGCGTTACGTACAAAGCAGTTCGCGTCGGCGACGAGAGGTCAGCCAAAAGACGCAAAAAAGAACTTGAGCTTATTGCCATCCGGTAGCAGCGTTGAACGGCAACGGCAACGGCTGCACATGCCAACAGAGGGCGCTCAACGCCAGCACCATCTGGCAGCGTGGTCTGCCAACAGAGGGCGCAGTGCTCCTAGAGCAGCGCTGGCAGTGTGATCTGCCAAAACAATAAAGGGTGCTTAACGTCAGCACTATCCGGCAGTGTGATTTTGCCGAAGGGCTGCGGCCGGCAGTGTAATCTGCCAACAACTAATGGCACGGTGTTTATGAAGCAGCACCGGCCAGGCAATGCCAAGGGCAGCAATAGGCTGCGCTCATAATATACAGCATCGTGAACCAGGAGTTTAGTGCTAAAAGGCGCACGTTAAGCTGCCATTTTGGGGATTAAGCCTGCACGTAATAACGATACAGATCCAGTCGTACGGTATAAAGGGCGTGTCGGATATAAAAAATAGTGCTTAAAGGGTATACCGTACTACTAATCGGTAAAAGCATAATTCTCCGGCTGATCCGGTACTGTAAACTATGTATATGAGCCGCAGAGGGGGTACCCCCCTCTCTCCTATATCTAATGCTAGCTAAGTCCCCTTTTAACGTTCCACAGATAGGTATAGTGTGAAGCTGAGACTTAGACCCAAAGTCTAAAAATGATTGTTCTCAATAGCTAAGTCTCACCTGAGCCGATATATAAAGGGGGAACTGAAGACGAGATGATCGAGGAAGCATTGAAAGTTGTCTGAGTTGATCTCTAGTCTATAAAAGAGAGGTGCTGAAGAGCGACTATATACACACGCAGGTGATCTGCGGTGGGTATTGACTACGTCAGTACGACACTAAGTCAATAGGCTGGGATCGTCTTGAGCTTCATCTGCTATTACGTTTAACCTTGTGTGTAAGCCACTAAATACGGCCGTAAGTTTAGAAAGTTAATTGGCCAAGGCTTCCAGTTGCCAGCATATCGAATAACTAACTACCGCGCGGATCCTTGTCCTTTTTTTTTTTTTTTTTTTTGGAGTCATATGGGTTGACTTGGGTTATGATGGCTTTTTGTAGTTTGTTAATTCCAAAGCGTTGGGGTAAAAAGTGATAGTTGCGATCTTTAGCTGTACCACGGTATAATCACTTCAATAGAGATAGATCAGCGTTGTGGTTAAGCTCCCACCTACACACTCCATTCCGCAAGCCTATACCAGGATTGTATAATGGTGTGTCGTGAATCATGTGAATACTGTGAACTATATTTTTGCGCGCCTTCGCATTCCAAGGCCTCGACTTGGTTTGCGGTGCTTCACGAGTCTCTCAGTGAGCAAAGCTGTTTCTGATCTCAAGTTTTCATTCGGCCCTGCGGGCAACAGTCTCAGCGAGCAGAGGTACATTAAGTCCTTCCAGATCTTGTCTTTTGTTGATGACCCAAAGGCTACTCACGCTGTTTCTCGGCAACACTGATGCTGATAAAATGTCTATACTTGCCCATCTTGTCAGCTACTTTGGCCTGTGGGCCTTGGGAAACCAACGAGGTATCGCCGACGACAAGGCAAAAACACACGCAAACCTCCCTAGTCTAAAACTACCCTGGGGTACCTATCAAGCAGAAGTGCTTTTAGGGGATACGAATGTCAGTTGTCTTTATAAAGTGTAAGGAGCTCTGCCTGAAGATGCCAGCCTAATTGCTCCAATTCTACATCTTCGAAAACGTTCGCTTCGGGGCCAAGCCGCAGCGATTCAGTGCCCCATCGTTTCCTTCTTGGACAAATGCATCCGCCCAACCCGTTAAAGATGGCAGAAACTGTATCCAAATTGACCCCACTGCTCTGAACAGGCCTCCTGGCGGTGAATCCCCTGTCGACGACCCAGCGGACCAAATTGGCAGGCAAGATGAAGACTGCTTATTCCTGGACCTCTACGTCCCAAAATCTGCCTTTGAGGAACAAACCAAGCCGATGCCGGTTATTGTATGGCTTTATGGAGGCGCTTTTGCTTTCGGAAGTAAGAATCAGTTTGGGCCACTGTACACAGGTCAGTCTATCGTGAGCGCCAGTCGGTACCAGACAATCTTCGTGGCTGGAAATTACCGCCTCGGGGCTTTCGGCTGGCTCGCGGGTAACTACTTGCAGAGGAACGGACAACCTAATGCTGGGCTCTACGACCAGGCTTTACTGTTTGAATGGATACAGAAATATGTTGGAAGCGTTGGCGGTGATAGCACCTCGGTCACTGCCTGGGGAGAGTCGGCCGGTGCTGGCTCTATCTTGCACCATCTCGTCCGTGAGGACGGTAGCAAGGACCCTACCTTCAAGACCTTCGCCGTGCAGAGCCCAGCGTTCGAATGGGCCTGGGACAATGCGCCTGACGGTATGCTGGATCGCGTCTATCAGAACTTCTCCCAGCTAGCGGGCTGTGGCCTCTCCTACAATATCGACTGCCTCAGGACGTCTAAGAATCTCACGGCCGCCAATCAGAAACTGTTTGAGACCGTGAAGCAGACAGGGTTGTTTCCTGTGGGTCCAGCTGTAGACGGTAAATGGGTTACGAGAATTCCCACCCTGTCTTTTGCAAGTGGTATGTTTTGTCAAATGGCTGCCGACCACTAAGACTAGTACTTATGATGAGTTTACTTATGTGGTATGCAGGCAAATATTGGAAAACGAATATCAACGCTGCAATAGTTTCACACTGTCAAAACGAGCCCGAGTCTTTCATCCCGTCATATTTTACATCCGAGAAAACATTTGTCGACTTTTTGACGGTGTTCCTACCAGGAGCCAAGCCAGCAGCCCAGAGAGACAAAATTTTCCAGCGGTATAATTGTGAAAGCAGGTTTCAAGGAAACTACCGAGACTGTGTCGCCACCGTCATTCGCGACGCCTCTTTCACTTGCAACACTCGAGACTTATTTACTGCTTTTCCCAATCAGACACATGCCATGAGCTACGGCTTTCCCTTTTCACGTTATGCCCGTCATGCGAGCGACCTCGTTCCTCTTTTTGTTAATAATCAGAGTGAAGCTGTGGAACTACTGAAGAAGGTTGCGTCTTTGTCGGATTGCCTTGCCGAAGAATACGCCAATTCACTGGTGAATACAAATGTCTCCAAGGCCTATCAGACCTATTTCGCATCCTTCGCGCTGTCTAGTGGCGATCCCAATACTCTACCGCAACCACAGCTCCCCAATTCCCCCGCTCCCAAGTGGACTGTAGCAAATGGATCGCTTGACTCCCTCACAAACGTTCTCAACGTACAGATCCCTTTTACACAGCCCGCTTTCGTGGTAGACCGACCCGACTACCAAAACACGAAGAGCGCCTGTGTATTTTGGACCAACCTGGCCCAGGAGATTGTTGCCAATGCAGAGACTCTGTCTACAGAGCCGAATGTACTTGGTGAATTGTAGAACCAAATGCAAGTTAAATCAACTAGGTGACGATTTCGCATGGAAAGGAAATTTCTTGGAGAAGAAGATAAAGATTGCAGGAATAAGGATCCGTGGCAGAGGCAGCGCAGTGAATCTCTGATATCAAGTCGATTAGCTACCGGGTGTCTGTAATTTGCATGGTTGTTCATGGACACACTTAACACTGTTGCTAAAATATATTGGAAATATTGTTTTTTTTTTCTCTCTTTCATTTGTGTGCATATCGGAATCTCTCCTTTAGTCATCACTCCTTTTTCATCATCGTTTTAGAGACACTTGCATCTCATGTGCATCTGACATGATATATCCAAATAATTACTTTTGAGCTCATCACCGGTAAATTATATGACTATCCTCAGCTGATTCAACGTGAAGATAAGACAGGTCTCAAACTGGGGGAACGAGTGGAGCGCTATCTACCATGTACCCGTATATTTGACTATTCCCACCTGCGTTGGATTTGAGGCCAGGGACTGCAGTATTCCCGGAACAGTCATTGTGACGCAAACACCTGCTGGCACCATCACACAAACAACGACCGGCGACGTTGCAGGCACCTCAACGATTCCTGGGGGCGGAACAACTTCGGGCACAGTCATCGTAACCAGTATACCTCTACCGACCTATAGTTGTGATGACAGCGGTTACATGATTCAAGATCAAACCCTCTTCCGTATCAATTTGACCACTGGATTCCAAACTGTTGTCAATGCGCCCGTCGGAACAGGTCCAGTCAATGCTGTTGGATATAACGTACTCGACAACTACATCTATGGCATTGCTAACAACAGCGGAGTCAACCAGATTATACGTATTGGTTCCAATGGAGATTATGCGATCTTGCCTATAATGCTTCCTGCCGGTACTTGGAATGTTGGAGATATTGACGCACAAGGAGGATTTTTTGTCTCTCAATCTGGAAAGGCTTGGATTGAAATCGACCTAAACCCAAGCTCGGCTGATTTTGGTGCAATAGTAACCGCCGGCGACTCTACAGCTTCATTGCCCGCCAACAATAAAGCTGGGGTTTCGGATTGGGTCTATGTGCCCTCTGCAGGGCCATACCTCTATTCTATAGCAAGTACACAGGTAATTAATGGAATATTGAACATACCTTTTGATAGTCATTTCGTCGTACTAGAGCGACAAGCTCCATGTCTTGCACCATGATCAAAGCACCGCCGAAAGACTCTGATAGGCAAGCCTTCCAATGATCATCTATTGCGACGATCGAGACACTGGCTTTCTGAGCATCTTGGCTCATGGCCTTGGCAAATCCAACAAGCTCTTGTCCTGCTGCGCAAGGAAAGTTACTAGTCAGGGAAATGTAGACGCTTCCAATGTAAGGTGGTCACTATAAACGAACCCCCGGCTTGGCCCTGACTCGCGCAAACCCGAAGATAATATGCGATCAAAAAGGAATCCCTGCTGCAACACCAGGTTTTCCGCATGACAAATAAGGGTTTCGATTGATCAATTCCGCCTCGGGCTCTTACGAGCCCCGACTCCGTGAGAGATGCTTCTTCGGCCGTCCTTCTCCAATAAGTGACGGACACGGAATCTGATATGTTTGCGGCAGGATTAAAAAACAGCCCGATACAAATACCAGGTTTGAGTTGGCGGCTCGCTGGACAACTGCTAAGTCTTGCAGAAAGCACGCACAAATGGCTCTAAAACCTAGCGAGGAACGTTTGACTGACCCGTCATAAGTCGTATATTACTGTTCACGCGCAAGCCTGCGCCAAACTCTGCCATAATTTATCAATACACATCGCCTAGTGCCAAGGAGCCTGCGTTATGACTCTACAAATTGCTTGCGGATACGTCCTTGAGGTAATACGAGAACTCAGTACTTCCATAACTTCTGTAGGGTATTCGCGTGTCGGGTTGCCTCCTCTCCGAACCAGTCCTAAGTGCCGATGCTGGCCCCTACTATATTCGGCTGCAGAGAAAGACGGACTTTTTCAAGTCCGCCCCGCTGGGATTGGATTGCTAAGCAAATTGAGCCATTCAACAGGAGTCGATAACCATCGCGAACTGCCACAAAAGCACACAAAACTTGTCTTTCCTATTTAACATCCGTCTTATTTTCCTCACCAAGCTTTTCTGCTAACACAGCCGTTATCATTTGACTTCAACGTGGAAGCTTTCGACCATGGCCTCTTCGACTTCAGCACTTCGCCAGGTTGGCATCTATAGAAACCTTCCCATCATCGATGATACTTTGGAAGGACTCGCGGCTATCGTTACCGGAGCCAATGGAATCTCTGGCTTCAATATGATGCGCGCCCTTCTCGAGAGTCCTAAGCGGTGGAAGAAGGTCTTCTGTCTGTCCCGCAGGCCCCCGCCGGAGGAAATGATGGCCCTTTTACCTCGTGAGGCTCGGTCCAGGATTCACTTCGTCAGTTGTGACTTCCTCAGTGAACCTGCTTCAATCGCAGAGGCATTGACAACAGCCGGCGTACACGCCAACTACATCTTCTTTTACTCCTACGTTCACAAGCAATGGTCCGAGGCAGATGCTCTTGTCGAAAGCAACGTGCTATTGTTGCAAAACTTCCTACAAGCACTTGAACTGGCCAAAATCAAGCCGGACCGATTCATCTTGCAAACCGGTGGCAAAAATTATGGTGTTCATATCGGCCGCACGACCGTGCCTCTCCTCGAGTCTGACCCGCAGCCTAAACACCTCGAGCCGAGCTTCTACTACATCCAGGAAGACCTTGTAAAGGCTTTCTGTCAGAAGCAAAACTCGTCTTGGAGTGTCATCATGCCCTGTGCTGTGATCGGCGCGTCTTCGCAGGCGGCTATGAACGGGTTCTATCTGTTTGGGGTCTATGCTGCGGTCCAAACACACAAAGGTGAACCACTCGAGTTCGGCGGCGACTGGGAATCTTGGCAGTTCGAAAACTACCATTGCTCTGCCCGGATGACTGGTTTCTTAACCGAGTGGGTGGCTCTAACACCTCACGGCTGTAATGAAAAGTTCAACACGCAGGATGGCGGTCCTCTGACTTTGGAACGCTTTTTTAATGAACTGGCTCGCTGGTATGGCGCGAGCGGCGTGGTTCCTCCTCCAGATGACGAGTCCGACATGGCAAATCAGACATTTGGAACGTCTGGCAAGTTAGCTCCATTGGGCTATGGGCCCCCACTCTCGTACAAGGCGCGATTCACCCTCGAGGACTGGGCCAAAGACGAGAAGAACGTGGCAGCATGGCGGGAGATGATGGAGATATCTCGAGGCAAATTAATCCATGATCCATTCGCCATTCCAGACGGTTTCTACATGGCCAGGTTCGCTTACTGCCGAACCGCAAGCCCTTGCCTTAACAAAGCCCGGCGGCTGGGTTGGACAGGGTTCGTCGACACAATGGAGAGCATATTTGAAGCATTCGTGGAAATGGCAAAGCTGGGAATGCTGCCGGAGATGCGAGTCCAGTTTGCCCGCCCATTGTGCTAAGCCTTTAACGCGTTAACGCTTGGGTGGCATTCTCCTTCTACCCAATATGACGGGACTCTGTCAAAGGTTAATTGAAAACTGTAATTTCGGATGAGTTTTTAATAATTCACATTATTAAGCCCACTGGCTTGTTGTTGCTTCTCAATCAGCATTTGAAAGAGGTCAGGGCACATCTACAGCCGTCATTCAAACACAAAAGAGACATGGCGAGCATAAAACGCAGACTAGTCACCACGACACGCAACGCTAATATAACTTTTCGGCGCGTGCCTGCTTTTACTCCTTTCTCTTACCGTTAGCCGCGACTATCAAAACCACTCATGTGCACATTCCAATGCCGGCGACCAAATCCCTATTAAGAGTACTAGAGTGAGACGTTGTTCCACCAAGAAAATGACTTGCAGGATTCTTAGCGGTGACTGTTGCTTGAGTCCAGAATTCTAGCCGTCTATAAGGTCGTCTATCTATGATGTCGAGGTCAAGAGAGCAGTTATTGAAATCAGTCAGGGAACTTGGGTCTCGCCTACGTTGTCCTTGAACCCAAACGACCATGCCCAGATCGGGTAGCCAGGAATCCAGCACTCTGAGAATGCAATCATCTTGGCGCCATTTTGGGCAGCCTCTTCGATAATTTCGATGGTTTTCGGACCCTGGCCTGCAAATCGAGCCGCTCAGGCTCAGCCTGGGCCACATCAACCTTGACGATACCTGTGGGATTGCGCATCCTGATTTTGGAGGAACAGCAGCTTGAGATCGGATGGCTTGATCAAAGTACTTCAACGATATATGACATGATCAGAAAATAAGGCGCCTTGGGAAAAGGGCATTGCTTTCGTCCTTTATAAATCCACCAGTATAATGAGTGTCTAATCAGAAAAGAGATGCTTAATTCTACCATCATCCCTGATTGAATGCCTCAGCTTTTCTTGTGTTTCACAGATCTCCACTCCATTAACAGGCTTCCTATCAACGTTGCACAGGTTAGACCAACAACCAGGTACCAAGTCTCGTCAAGACTCCTGCTGATGCCTTCCAGAACCTCCATGTGCTGAGCTGCTGGGACGTCATTGATAATTTCCGTCAACCCGCTGTTTTGGATAGTAGCCGGGTCAAGAGTTGAAATTGTTCCAATTAAATTCGTCGAGAGCCGGTTGATGAAAATGACTTGAGCTACAGCCATTGTGATAGCAGGTCCGATTTGCTGCGCGAAGAGTATGATGGATATTCCTAGAGAGACATCCTCAATGGGCAGTACTACTTGTACAGCACTGATTGGTGCATTAAAGCCTATCCCACTAGCAAACCCAAAAGCGCCCGAATATAAAATAAGTCGTACAAAGCTCGTAGTCGCATCGAATGTTGTGACAAGACCTGAGAAAATGGGCATCGTTATGGAAGCGAGAAGCATAAAAGGTGTATAATAGCCGATTGTACTGGTTCCAAATCCACAAAGAAACATGCCAATAGGGCTGCCAACTATTATTGGAATAATCATATAACCGCTCGAACCAGGAGAATATTCGCGTACAGTTTGGTAATATGTTGGTAAGTAATACTCGAGGATATTAATAGAGCTATTAGTACCTATAGCAAAAACAGCTCCGGCGATAATGCTGCGTTTTCCTATGATTCGAGGCGGTAACGCGGCGGCTTCGCCTCGCACATGTTGATAGTAAACAAAAAGGGCCATAAGAACGACAAAAGTGACAATAGGCCCAATAACTTTGCCGTCGGTCCAGGAATACTCAATGCCAGCCCAGGACAGCGCAATGAAAAGGCTAGTCAGAGCTGGAATAAGAAGCAAATTGCTTATTGGGTCGAGCTGAGCAAGCCTTTGTTTGGTGGTCATACTCGGATCGCCGGGTCTTGGGTCCGAAACTAAGAATATCGTCATCAGAAGCGTGACACCTCCAATCGGTAAATTGATCCAGAAACACCAGCGCCAACCAAGCGATTGCGTCAAAGCTCCCCCCACAATTGGCGCGGCGATGACAGCCGCGCTTTCAACACCGCTGAGCATGCCACAGTAGAGAGGCCGCTTCCTCAGAGGCATGATATGGGAGATGATGTTCAAAACTCCGCCGATAATGCCTGCAAAACCTATACCAGACACGGCCCTCCCGATAATGAACATTGTCGACGTTACGGCCGTAGAACAAAGTATTGATCCAACCAAGAGGATAGTATTGGCGAGCATGAATGTGAGTTTGACTGAGAAGACCTTATATAGCCTGCCGAATACAAATTGAAATGCACAAGAGCAGAGTCTGAATGCTGAATTATACCAGCCAATGTCTGCAACAGTGTGAAAATGATCTGTAATGCTACAAGGCAGAGAGTGTCAACATATTATCCCTTGGGCAACGCATGTGTATTTCAAGCATGTGACGCGTTCAAATCGTACCTGGGCACCGTGGTTGCAACAATGTTGTTGTCTAGTCCGCCGAGAACAAGCAAGGCACCCAGATCTAGGATGATGAGCCAGAACTTCAATCCAGTGGGATAATCTTCGTCATCTCCAACTGAGTGAGTTTCGGGGGACACATCAGTCTCAATTGATTTAGAAAAGTCTTTTGCAGCTGGCTCGTTCTTCTCCATACTTTTGGCGTACGGCTCTGATTGGGATAGCTCGATAGCATCTTGTTGGATATTTGCCGTCATTGTGGTTCCAGTATTTGCAATAGGAAAGGGGAGAAAGTTTAAAATTTGTCGGCTATAATTCTGCCCTCGACAAGATTTGTCGAAGACGATAAGCAGGCAGTGGTATTTGCACCGTTTCAAGTAAGAGGTTTCCAAAGTAATTGTCGGACATCGGACATCGGACATCGGACTTGCTTTTTAGGTAGCAGTACTTATGCCGGTTGGGACAAGGGTTGGCGTCAACGCAAAGGGTAATTGCATTATAATGGTGCTCAACAGTTCCAAGTCTTTCCATGCATCAAACCAATGGTCGAGTCCATGAGTGAGTCAGCCCAGGTCGTGATACTATATAGTAATCATATGCATCTAGCTTACTGTATTCCATACAGGGTTTATCAGATATGTTCACTGGCATAATTTACGGCTTGATGGTGTGATAATCATCTGAAACCACCACATGTTCGTTTTGTGTGTTAATTTCCTTTCCCGCGCCGAAATTGTGCGCGCAACGATAGAATCTGCTAAATCCAACCCTCCTGACTCCGCAGCGATTCTTCGCCTCTTATTCCAATGTACTGATGCAATTCTTCGGAAGTTCAGTGAACGCGGCTCGCGCCGTGATTCGTGCAGATTGTACATACGATGGAACTCTATAAATAGGCCAAGATTGACTCGTATCTGACTTTGGAACCATGCCGGCACATGAAGTATGATACATTGGAAAATATAGGAAAATAACAAGCCCGGAGCAGTTGGCCTAATGACCAGTGGTCTCTCGTGATTGCATGAGTTATGCCACCATATTAGACTCACGAAACAGAGGGTTGTCAAAATGTAGCAATAAGTGGAGCGCTTCTCCACACATGTATATATCTTTGACCATCCAGCCTCTGTTGGATGTGAACAACTCAACTAATACAACAACTATTGCCCATACCTATCATATCTTTTCACACAACAGAGTATAAATGGTCAAAGACACATATATGTGTGGAGAAGCGCTACACCTATTCCTACATTTTGACAATGAACCCGCGACTGCACGTCCATACCATACTAATCATGGATACCGGCACCCTACCTCTGGGTAATGGTTAATTTACCTGCCGCTGCCAATGCCGAAAACCTTACTTGTAGTATTCCTTGAACACTAACGCAGTCAGGAACCTTAACTCATTTGTTTGGGCTCACCTCTCCTCAATGGATCAACTCATGGTCAGTAATAATTGTACATTTGGTGCTAACTACCTAGATGGGGATGTATATGTGCTTCAAAATATCAACACAAAGGCGTCTTCACAGCACGGTATAAAATTCTGCCTCGATAATGTTAAGGGCTCCACTGGTACTAGAGAGTGTAATGGACTGCCCTGTGGTCGCATTAAAGGCCAAAGTGACATATCCTAGGTTTAAAGAGGTGGTATTGGACCAGACGGTTGTATTATCCACCGCCACTGCCACATGATATGCCTTGGTGCGGAAGCCGGACAACTTCAGGACAACCTCTGATACCTCGGACTCTTCCTCGAGTTCATACTGGATCCAGGCCGTATCAGTAGTGCTGTCGCTGGACCAGGCAGTCTCCTCGTCGTCGTCAATTGACAGCTCAGCATCGTCTTCGTTTGACCCTGCCGTAACGGACTTGGCCTGCAGGGCTATTCGGCCCCGCACAAAGGACGCTCCCGAGGGCGTCGGACCTCTGCTCAGAGGACTCGTCATTTTCGCCCCTGGCAACTCGAGCCCCAAGCCGTTGGTGTTGGGATAATCTATGGTGTTGAGCTCGACTGAAGCGGATTCGAGACCGTCGGCCGTCGCCGTCAGGGAAACCTTGCCGGCAGTCGTGGTGGATCGCAGCAAAACTCGATTGACGCCATTCTCCACAGGCAAAGAGGTGGCAAGGATGTAGTTATCGTCTTGTCCCACGGCAATCCCTCCACGCCATTCCGCCTCGCCAGAAAGTTTGAAATCAATCAAGTCGAGTGCAGTTGGAACACGCGTGCCGTTGGCATCAATGACTTCCACCTCGACGAGAGCAATGTCGGCACCTGAAGCTTGAAACCCGGAAGCCGAAGTATGCGAGGTGAGACGAATCGAAGCAGCTTCACCAGTAGTTACACGCTTGTCAGTGACGTCGGCCTCACTGGAGGATGCGGCATATCCAAAGGCTTCGAGATCACCCGACTCCCACTGGATATTGGTAAAAGTGTAGAGGAACCTGTGGCTCTGTTGGCCCTTACCCAAAGACTTTCCGTTGAGTTTGAGCTCGACTTCGTCAGAGGTTGAAACTACATAAACATCCTTGACCGTGGTGTCATTGTAGTTCCAGTGTCCGATGATGCGAATAGCAGCCCGCTCAACGTCGACCCAGTTGTCCCACATGACCTGATGTGCGTACCACCCATCCTTGGGCAGACGGAGAGAGTCGACCTCGCCGGACGTCCTATAGTTCTGCGAGCCCCGATGGTGGGTATTGCTGTCAGAGAAGATGATGTTGACTCCTCCAGCATTGACACGTGTTCCCTGTCCTGGGCGCTGCTCGTAATAGTCGAACCAACGAACAACATCCTCAACGGCGTGAGTGTCTTGGTTGTGGTCATACCCATCACCCTCCACAGTGTATTGATTGTCGGGATGGTAGGGCACGGTCCAGTTGTCCCAATACTTCCTGATGCCTTCGTCACGAGAATACTCCATTTGCCAGAAAGGGATCCTGGAACCCTTGTTAATGTAAAGCATCTCACCACCGTACTCCGCCACCGTCGAATTGAGCATCTCTCGTGCACCAATTGCCCGTCCGCCGTGTGGGTCATACAAATCTCGAATGTCTTTCATCTCCTGCATGTGCTCTTCGCTGATGCCGTGATTGCCACTCTCGTAGAAAATGATGCTGGGATTGTTCTTGTTGTAGATTATCGCGTCACGCATGAGTTCGGTGCGTTGCGTCCATCGGTCTCCAGTCACATCACCCTCGGAATCACCAGCCGGCATAGCTTGAATGACACCTAGTCGATCAAGCGATTCAATGTCCTGCTTCCACGGCGTGACATGCATCCATCTCACCAGACTTCCATGGCTAGCAAGGACGAGCTCGTTGGAAAAGTCAGAGAGCCAAGCCGGGACGGAACAGCCAAGTGCGGGCCACTCATTGGTAGAGCGTTGCGCATAACCCTTGAGGTGGAGAGCTCGGTCATTCAATTTGAAGTATCCATCGTCAAAGTTGGTCTTTCGGAAGCCGGTAGTTGTTTGTACTTGGTCCACTGATGTTCCATTGACCAAGAGGCTTGTCTGGACTGTGTATAGGTAACCGTAGCCCCAACTCCAGAAGTTGAGGCCTTCAACAGAAGAAGAGACATTGGCGACTGTTGTTGCATTGCTTTCCAAGGTGTACGCATCGCTATGCATTTGACCAACGACCTTGCCGTCGAGATCTTTAATGATAGCCTCAAAGACAAATTCAATTGTTTCATCGGACTCGTTCTTGATCTCAGACTCTGCCATCACAGTGGCTGATCCTGCCTCAATATCATGGTCCTGAGCATAGACGTACACACCGGTTGTGTTCAGGTTGGAATACAGTGGGAGAGTCTGATACAGATTGTTGGTGGTGTGCAGGTATGCATTCTTGTTGATGCCACCGTAGTTGGCGTAAAAGTTTTGATCGTTCCACTGATAACGCGAGTTTGTCGAAACCTCTCGGTAATCCCAGCTGTTGTCAATCCGGGCGGCGACGACGTTGGTTCCATCAGCCACAATCAGATTGCTGACATCAAAGCCAAATGCCATGACGCCGTTCTCGCTTCTCCCGATCCACTCTCCATTCAAGTAGAATTCGCCACCATGACGGATACCTTCAAACTCGAGAAAGACTTTCTCGGTCGGGCCCGGGACGCTAAAGGTTTTGCGGTACCAGGCAATGCCGGTAGAAAGATTGGCGATGGAAACTTTAAAGGCATCGTCCTCATTCCAAGCGTGAGGAAGAGTAATGTTGCTCCACGAAGCATCATCAAAGTCGATGGAGGAAGCATCATCGTCGTCACCAACAAAGAGCTTCCAGTTGGAGTTGAAGTTGTACTTGGTTCGCTGGCCGGTCAAGTCTGCTGCAGAGGCGCCTGAGGCTAACAGTGCCGCCACCTGGAGCACGAGGGCGAGAGGGCAATGCATGGTGTTGGTTTGCAGGCCTCGAAAGCTGTCCGACTTGCTTCCTACATATTCTAAAAATTGCGATATGGTGGTCTTTGAAATGAATTTATATACATGCTTGGCGTTCTATATCTAGCTCTACGCTGTAGTATGATCTCTACTACAATGTGACGGGAGCTCGCTACAATGATCCGAAGACCGTTGCCAATACCCCGACGTGATCGTTACATAAAAGAGCGACACTCCAAATATTGGTCACATTTAGCCATGCTGCTGCAATCAACACTTTTGGCTAAACCTCACTCGGCACACATAGCTACGACACGACCAGAGTACCGCTCCGTATCAGCTCCGTTGTCTAGGCGCGGGTTTTCTCCATTGGCCCCAACACCGACGCCGGGGGATGAGCGACGCGGCCGATTGGAGTTTCCGCCAATCAGCATTAGCTTGAACACAACAACGTCGCTACGATGAGGTAATGAGAGTTTAGGCGTAGAAGAAAGGCTTCAACTACCACCGATTTTATTCGTCGTGTTACATTCTGCGGAAAGTGGTGATCGGATTGATTGAGAACTCCGTTCATGACGAAAATGTGTGAGCCACGCTTTCTATTATGCCTTGGCGTATCCGATGAAGAGTCAATCATGAGTATACACACCACAGCTTGTTAATTATAATTATCACCAACGGAGGTCAGTCCCCGAGATTCCAAGCTATATACAATTCATACAGAAAGACCCATAGCAGATGGCAGACTCGCTGTACGTGTTTCCCTTAGTTCACTTCCAGTAGTATTTGGGTGACAATCAACGATTTGCATGTCAGTATATACCTTTGAATTCTATATCCGAGTCTACAGTGTAGCTCCAGTAAATACATCCAACATCTTTACGGCAACGTGTAGCCTCCATCTATAACCATATTAGATCCTGTCATATAGCAGCATGCATCGCTGGCGAGGAAAACATATGCCTATTCTCAAGTCAGTCATTCATCTCTGTTTATGAGCTCTCTTTACTACATACGCTCTTCAGCTCGGCAGGGTGGCATATCCGGCGGCCAGGAATCATGGACATCCATTGATCAAACAGTTCTTTCGGCTGTCGCGTAAGCACTGGTGATGCAATGTTAGTGACTGTATTACACAATATAGAGTGCAAGATACACCACCTACTTTCAGTCAAGATGAATCCAGGAGATATACAATTCACCCTGGCAAAGTCGACCCATTCAACTGCCAGGCTCTTGGCCAGATGCACCACGGCGGCCTTGGACGCGTTGTAGGCAGCCTGTGTCTGGGGAATATTGACCAATATGGCGCTGACAGATGCGGTGATAATCAAGTTGCCTTTGCCTTGCTTCTTGAAGATTTTGCCCGCGGCCTGGGCCGTCCACATGACGCCGTCGAGATTGACGCTATTATTCTTCTGCCATGTCTCTTCCGTGTACTCGAGGTTGGGGATATTGGCGCAAACGCCAGCGTTGGCGACCATGATGTCGAGTCGACCGTTGCCGAATTCCGTCGCAATCTGGTTGATGGTGACGGCCGCATTGTCCCGCTTGGACACGTCGCATTGAAAGGCCTGGACGCGGACGCCCGTCGCCGAGGCGATCTGGACGGCAATGTCGGGCGCATCGGTGCTGGTGGAATAAATGAGGGCCACGTCGGCGCCTGCTTCGGCCAGGCCACGAACGATCTCGACGCCTATGCCACGGGCACCGCCCGTAACGGCTGCGATCTTGCCCTTCAAGAAGAATTGAGATAGGACTGGAGTGTTGACGTCTTCTGGCGCAAAGAGAGGCATTTTGGTCGGTGGTTCAGCAGTCAAGCTGTGGCGTATTCAAGGAGTAGAATATATCGAGGTGCTTCGCAGGACGATGCAGGAGGGGACGCACATCTTTAGCAAATAAACAACGGCCATTGCTACTGACTCGTCGCGGGTGAAGAAAGACCCAGAATAGTGGTTCTCTGCCTCCAAATTGACGCGTATGATCACACTGACCTCGGGACTTGCTATAGAAAGCTTGGTAGGCTTGGTATGATACGGGCAGTTGCCCGCGGGGAAGGGGAGATCAGCACGCGCCGCCCGGCGACTCTCCGGGGCGGCGATTTCCCCGTTCACTACTGCATCTTTCCCCGCATCGCGTAAATTCCCCCATTCGGTAATTTAGGCTTTCTTTCTGAGAACGTCCATCGATTCTTACCGGTACCAGAAAATAGGCTGCCAATATACCAGCGGCGAGGTCCCGAGGGAGCGGCCGCTCGACTATTATCACTCTGCATGACATCTAGTATAGTACATGATTGTGGAGTGTGGAGCTCGAGTGTCGGATCGTCAGCCTTCTGGGTCTCAATGTCTAGATCTGGGGCGATCCTCCATGACTCGGAACCTTAATTCATCTATAGCCCTGCTTTGCTTGCGAGTACCGCTTCTTGGATGGTTGAAACAGGGCAAGTGTTGGACTTGATGCTATGAGTACGACTTGACCCACTGTACTTATGTCTGTTTCGTTCATCTTGGAAAGTCTGCGAGTCGCATCAGACTATGATGTAGGTTTCAGCGCTAGATTTTCCTGTTCGGGCGTTTGTGCTCATGGACTACGGTTGCAAGGAATTTGTTGCACAACGCTGCTTCTGGTCAGCTTCCACGAATGTGATGGTGATGATCATACACATTAGCTGAGCAGCCCCGTCAGATAGCTCGTAATACAGGAAGACGAGTTCAGAGCAGCCCCTATTCCTGGGATGTCAGACTGGCTTCAGGCTCAGGGTCTTTTATTCAGTTGCAAAACATTTTTTTATGGTCTTCTTTATTCATGGCGAAGCACCATACTGAGCTTGCGGTAATATGGCTTTTGAATGTGATTTTCTCAAGACTGTGTATTTATCCTCCTTCTTCTTGTAACATCCCCTATACGCCTCGAAATAGTTATGTGGCAAACCACATCGTTATTAGACCTTTTCGGGCGTTGCATCCATGGTCGAACGCACACTCTGACGACGATTTTGAACCACCTCTTCTTCCTCGCGAGTAATGTATTTCTGTGGACGTTTTGCGCTTACGGCATCGCGGTCGGCTGTAACAATGAGGGTCGGGTTTGATCGGTAGTAGTCGTCTAGGTCTTCGAGGCTGCGGTTTGCTATAGAGGAATTAGTGCCTGACTGGTAGATTTGTTTATGGGCAGCTTACATGTCTCTGGGTAGAAGAAGTAGATGATGGGCAAGAATACAGCATTGAAGACGGTCCAGACAATCCAGAATTGCCAGCCGATATTTTGGATCCCAATAGGAGTAATTTCCACAATGACAAAATTGGTGATCCTGCATTTCACATTAATACTTTCATTCTGCCACAAGCTAGGAGCTGCTCTTTCACCTACCAGTTTGTGCAAGTAGCAACGGCCGCGCCTTTGGTTCTCATTGGTAGGGAGTTGATCTCAGTAGGGTAGAGCCATGGCACTCCCAACATACCCAAACCAAAAGCAATGTAGTAGAGGAAGAAGAAAGCAATGGCTGCCTTTCCGAGCTCTTCACTATTTGTAGACACCGAAGCAAAGCGTAGGAGGATGGTGATGACCAAGAATGCGACAAACTGCCCAGCGGTCGACAGTAGCATCAAGGCTCGCCTGCCGAGTCGTTCCACGAGCGTAACGGCAACGAACGAAAATATGAGATAGGTGACGGAGTTGATAGCGACTAGAAGGCGCGACATTTCGTTTGAAAGGCCGATCACTTCAATGAACACTACAATCAAGCGTCAGTAACTCAATTGGAAGGGCCACAGGTCGAAACTGTGTTGACGAACCAGTTGGTAGATACTATTCATTTCGCATGATTAGCTTTACCCAAACTTCCTGATGGTGTTCACCGGTAACGGGCAGATACACTTACATAAGACATGATGTTAATACCACCAAATTGCTGCATCAATTGTGTCCCTGCACCGAGGATGAGGCGACGGAGAGTCTTTGTACTGTGATCATCTCCGTTCCGACCTGAAATCAAGTCTCGCCATTTGATGGCATGTTCCTTTTCATAATTGACGCTGTACTCAATCTCTTGAAGCTGCGTAAGGACATACGGGTCCTCGACGTGTTTAGCCTCCAGACAGGCCAGAATAGGCACGGCCTCGTCGCTGCGGCCGTGGGCAATAAGCCATCGCGGAGACTCGGGCAGCCATGGAACAGTGCCCCACAGAATGAAGATGAAGAAGAACTGAAAGGCGAGCGGGAAACGCCAAGCAACGGAGCCGCCAGCGTAGGATAAACCATAGTTGATCCAGTTGACGAGCGAGAAGCCGGCAATATTCATCCACATTTCTAAAAGCACGAGCTTTCCGCGCCATTCCGCTTTGGCTGTTTCAGTCTGCCAAACAGGAGCTGTGGCGGTATTGATCCCGTTGCCAATGCTTAAAGCCGAGGTTAGTTTAGCTCAATTTGTAGGCGAAGGCAGACAGAAAATAAACTCTGCAAGACGTACCCGGCGATAACACGACCAACAAACATCTGAGGTACACTGTAGGAAGAGGCTTGAAGAATAGCGCCAACAGCCATGATGGTGGTTCCGAGGAGAACAGCTTTTTTCCGACCCAGACGTTCGCCCACAGTGAAAGCAATAACTGCACCAAAGAAGCAGCCAACTGCGTAAATAGCACTCATGGTTGAAATAATTTCGGTACTGCCATCACCAGTAAGGCCATGGAGCACTAGGAAATCATCCGTGACAATGACGCCACCTAAAAAAGAATTAATACGCGTCCATAATACAAAAGAAAAGGTTCCGCAACGCACTGAATACAGCTTGATCATAGCCAAAAAGTGTCATGTCCGTTGCACATGCAACCTAGTACTGTCAGTACTGCAAAGGCGTGATTTAGAAGGCAGGGGAGCAGTGGGGAGCATACGGTTATCCAGAAGGTGAGCCATCCCCCCGTCAAGCCAAAGAATGGCTCTTTGGATTGCAGGCCCTTTGTCTTGGCCATATTGAATGTATTTGTTTTTGTTGTAGAGGCGATAACTGTGCTCAAGCAAAGGTGACAGAAACCTCTATCATGAATCAGTAAAGCTCTCTAGGACCAAAAACGGGCGGTAGATGTATCGATGATATAAACAACTTCAAATCAACGGGGTACATAATTGTACTTATAGAGATGCTCTAGCCATTCCCTGCCTCGATCTGCGCGTCCTGAGTAGCGACATGACAGAATGATAGCAGGAGATAGAGACGCTGAAATGTCGTAGGCTTACCCCGGCTTTTCCCATCTAGACGCTGGCGTGGGTGGCATCCTTAGGATGGGCCGGCGTCTGACTTTGGTGCGGGGATAGACTTTCACAGAACCTGGGGTGTTTGGAGAAGGGGCTGGCCACTTCCCACAGCGCCTTAACTTACCTGTCACTTGGTCTTGGCTGTACTGAAGAACCAGCAGATCATACGTGATATGCTGCTCGCGAGGCCAGATCCCACTGTTTCATGCGCGGCCGGCCTTGGAACGCTACCACGTCAATACCCACTATCTTTACAAACGGCATCACAAGCCACTTACCTGAGTTACTTCTTTCATGCCCTCTTTCTAAAGAATCAGTTCAAGGACACCATGATCTTGATCAGCAAAATGACATCATGAGTATCTCGATTTTGACAATGTGAAGAGGGTCTTGGTCGCGTTCCACCCCCACAGAGTGGGCGAAAATAGGTTCATGTGCCTTTGGTTCAGGGAATCCCGTTCTGGCTTGACTACGGTGCCGAGACCTGCTACCGGGGAAAGACCTCTATCAGACTATCATCGCACGATAAAAAAGGTAGGCGATCCCAAGTCTGGTAGGTACGCCGCGCAAGCTGCTTCAGTTAGCTGCTCAGAGAGTTCTTAGTAAGCTACCCGGATATGCCAGTCGGAAATATGCTTAGCATGTTTCTGAGGCACAGGCCAAGTGCAAAAATTTTTGGCAAAATTATTGTTGAGGATATCAAGTCATCAGAGCGCGTTCGGTCGCGGCTATGGTATTTTAGTAACATCATCAAAAACAACTTCAATTTTGAACGATCCAGGCAGTAAACTTGCGTGCGTAATTTAGGTTGCTATGCTACTCTACTGGCACTTGAGACAGCCTTTACATACAACGAGTTCAGTGTCTGCGACCGCGAGCAAAATTTGCTTTAGGCACTGATGACCCCTACCCGGGGACACTGACGGAAGAAGCACTGGTCTCTATGCTACATGTTCAGGGTACTTGAAACTAATGCTGAGTAGAAAGCACTCCACTGGCTTATTCATGACGTAACGATCACTTTGACGCATCGTGGATATCAATGTTCTCATCCGTGACTCAAGTTGTCAGGAACATATCGCAGCTTCACTAGCGATGGGCTGATCGACTCGAGGCGGGACCGCCGAGGCCTCCAAGGATACTTGCCCAAAATGAAGTTATAGGGAAGAAAGCCAGCCTAAGTGTGCTTCGGTGCGCTTGGTGGGTGGCCACACTAAAAAACCTGAGCCTAAGCCCTGTTGTATCAAAAGTACACGTGTACGCGAAAACATGAAATTGGATCAAGGAGCGGGTCGCGAAAAAAACGCCTAGGTCAATTCACCAAAACAAATGATATGGTTTCGGACTGCTGACTGATGAAAATGTGTTGAGTCGTGCGGTGAGAAGATGGGGACGCCTTCGCCGCCAAGTCGAGCCAATCGGATGCCGTCGTGAAAATTGCCAAATTGGGTCGTCTATATTACCATATACGGTATATTAGGCTGTCTTGTCTTTTCTCTAAATCCCCACAGCTGGCAATGTTCTAGCGGGAGGGGGAGACAACGCCGTTGTCTCTAGCTCAACTCTATTTACGATACGTTGCATATTGGACTGGTAAAAGTGCAAGATACCTACACGGAGACATGTGAATGTTCGGATGGACATGGCCTGGACGAGGGGGTTGCCACGATGGAGTATGGAGCACTTATGTGCAAGTAAATCTGATATTGCTTAAATACCGCCCCAAGTGCGCAGCAAGGCAGATTCGCCAAGCTACTGTACCGTTGTCCGTATCTTTTCTTTAAATAAAAACTTCAAATCTATAGACTTGTCCAAAATGGCTGTGGGTAACAAACAACAAAATCCTTCCTTTGTCCTGAAGGCAGTCAAAGAGGTTGTGTTTGAAGATAGACCAAAGCCTCAACTGCGAGACCAAAACGATGTCATCGTACACGTCGCGCAAACAGGCATCTGTGGAAGCGATGTAAGTAAAGCGCTCTTTGTCATAACAGTAATTTTTCGTATCTAACAGTTTCCAGGTACACTAGTAAGTCGTTCACTCAATATGAGACACCATTTTCCTTTATTCTAACATCAATTTCCCCCCTCAGCTGGCAGCGTGGCCGCATTGGATCCTATGTCCTGACCGGTCCGATGGTCCTGGGCCACGAGTCCTCGGGCGTCATTGCGGAAGTTGGCTCCGAGGTCAAGCACCTGAAGCCGGGTGATCGCGTAGCCATGGAGCCTGGTGTCCCCTGTCGTCGTTGTGACTACTGCCGGGGCGGATCCTACCATCTCTGCGGAGACATTATCTTTGCTGCTACGCCACCATGGGACGGCACTCTGGCAAAGTACTATGTCAATGCTGCAGACTTCTGCTACAAGATCCCTGATCATATGAACCTAGAAGAAGGTGCAATGGTCGAGCCCGTGTCCGTTGCAGTCGCCATCGCGAAGACTGCTGACTTGCGAGCCCATCAAAAGGTGGTTGTGCTTGGCTGCGGCCCCATTGGCATCTTGTGCCAGGCCGTTGCAAAGGCCGCTGGTGCTGCCAAGGTTATTGGTATAGATGTCGTGCAATCTCGTCTGGACATCGCCAATTCCTATGGCGTCGATGGAACGTATATGCCACAGCGTGCCGAGCCCGGCGCTGATGCCATGGAGCACGCAGAGCGGACTGCAAATGATATCAAGGAGAAGATGGGACTTGGTGAGGGCGCTGATGTCGTCCTGGAGTGCTCGGGGGCCGAAGCTTGCATACAGATGGGAATCTATGTAGCGCGCCGAGGCGGAACATTTGTCCAGGCCGGTATGGGTAAAGAGGTCGTAAATTTCCCCATCACTGCAGTTTGTACCCAGGGCCTGGTCATCAAGGGTTCAATCAGATACTTGACTGGCTGTTACCCGGCAGCCATTGACCTGATCTCGAGCGGGAAGATTGACGTCAAGAAGCTCATCACGAATAGATTCAAGTTCGAGCAGGCAGAGGAGGCGTTTGAGCTCGTTCGACAAGGTCGACAGGATGTCTTCAAAGTCATGATTGAAGGAGTACAGGCATGATATACCTATAAATGACTTGAAAATAGTATTTGAATAAAACCATTTTGATTCACTGCCAGATGTTGTCCCCCACCACCAGGACAGTCGCATCCAAATCTCGTGGCGGGTCAATGAAACCCTGGCTGCAGCACGGACCACAGAGGAGTTGACTATGGGGATCGATTTGGGTTTGGTAACCTTGTTTCCAAGCCAAGGGTGTCGCAAGATGTCCTCCATTCTGAAAGCAGTGACTTTACTCTGTAATCCGTCGCAATCCCAAGATTGTCTTCTATGTTCCGAAGCATCTTGATCAGTAATCGCTGGTCGTTTGCTGTAGTACAACATCTGCCAGCCACGTATAGCGGCTGGATGGCTCGAAGCTTGACAGCATCACACGGCGTTGCATTGATAATGGCAATTACTTCGGAGGCATGATACCGAAGCTTTTGTTCAATGTCCCGAAAAGTAAGCAGCAGATCGAATGATGCGCTTGCGGGAGCCGAAGAAGTGGTTCCTGGCAGTAGATCGGACGGGCGATGAATGAGTAAAAGCATGCGTGCCATGTGATAATACATCATAGTGGTGGAGCAGAGGTCATTGCTGAACCAGAGCTCTCGGTTGAACAAATCTGAATCCTGATCATCTGATCGTCGCGTCAAGAAAGTCCCATCAGCATGAAATGACGGAGACAAGATTTGAAGCCAGGAATCAAATCGGCTCTCCAAATACCCAAACGCAGTCGTATCGTGACTAAGAAGGAGATTCAGGTTGGATGATAAAGGCGCCACGTAATCTACGAGCATACATAACAGTCTGACGAGGGCGAATGATAGCACCTTGTCTCTTGCATGCTCCGGTGTGCTGAGGAGCCCATTCGGAGTAACATCATTAGCCACTGTCCCATCATCATCGATGAGGAGACCCATATTGCGCCAAAGAGAAAGGTTGTTGGTGTCAACGCGCGTTTTCCTTCTCGAGACAACTGTTCATGTCAATCAGCGAATGAACAATTTCGGCATACAAGGCAAGACAAATGGACTGACAGGATTCTTCTAGGTCGTTGACTACAAAATTCCAGAATCCGGCTTTCATGTACATGACATCCTTGGTGAAGGGATAAACTGCCTCAAAGACAGGGTTCGGTATGAGGAGGCCCCCATCGTCGATCAAGGAAAGCAGTTTTGAAAATCCCGTCAAGTGGCCAGACCAAGCGTTCCGGCTAGCGCTGAGCTGCTCGTACTGAATGAGTATACAAGTTCCAAGAAGCCTCACGATTGGATCTTCCTTGTCAGCATGCACCATGAGATTGCCCTGAGACAAGGACATTGGTGTTGAGACCAGGTTAGCTGCAGCATCGGTTCGAGAGATTGATTTGGCCAGGGTTTGTATTGCCATTTCATAATATTTCGCGCCAAACCAGCCAAATCCAAGTCTACCCTGAGCAAGTCTCGCGAGGTGTTCTTGGGTTTTGCCACGGACCATGGTAGATAACGAGGTTCTCATCTGCCCCAGTTGTTTGGCAGCAACGGCGCAGGCAGCGTAACGCAGTAGAGGGTGTTCACGTGCAAGACTGAGAACTTCGCGACTGAAAACCTCATAGCGATACAAGTGATCCATCCTGACATATTTGTTAGAGCCTAGGATTCCATAATTAATTTGGATAGATTGAGACTATACCACGGGGCAACGCAATCAGAGTAGTGCCTCAAAAGAAAAAGCTCCTCTTGCGTATCTTTGAGGGGATTGATGATTGAGTTTGCCGAGGCATTATATGTAGATGAACATGAACTCTCCGGAGTCCTAGAGCCTGCATTTCTTGTGAGTATCGGCTCTTATTCGTAGTTATCTTGCCATTTATCATATGGAACGTGGGGTGGTGGTCCTACTTCTTATGCTTTCCACATCTTTGACGAGCTCAAGGGGTCCACCGGTATGAATGCTGGGCTGTATATCCAGCGTCGAGCCGTGGCTTGCCTGTTTTGACGTAGCTGCGGGTGACTGCGTGGTGTCATGTAAGCTGCTTTCACTGGCTCCAGCCTCACCCACAGGCAGCACCACAGTGGTTGTTGTGATGTCTCTCCGAATTTTGGAGATTCTTTTAGAGCCAGATTTACTAGCATCTGATTCTCTATTTTCTTGGGTGGCTTGCTCAGGAAGAGGCTGAGCCTGTTCGGAAACCCCGGGCGACGTTCTTGTCCTTGCATTGGAAACGGTGGTTCCTTGATTCGCTGGTGCTCTTTTTGGGGTCGCAGCGCTACTACTACTACCACCGTCTGACGCGGCCTGTTGTTGGACTGGTTGAAAAAGCTTGAACTTTGAGTCCTGCAGCGTACAATCGTGCCCACGTTGCCGACACTGCCCACACTGGGGCTCCTGCTCGTCGCATTTGATCCTCCGTCTTCGGCATTCTGGGCTTTAGATTAGAGAATAATATTAGCAAAACAGCCATGGACTGTTGGTTTATGACAGATTTCAATGGGATATGATGCACAACATACCAACCAGTCCTGGATCGCTTACTAGATTTGCGGGCACGAGCCAGCTGCCCTGAACTTTGGCTGGTTTCCTCCATGCGATCGATTTCTAACCTGGGCTTTCGGTCACTACAGACCTGCAACTGCAAAGACTTGAAAGTCTGGATGTTTGAGTGGCTTTGCGTATTACATAACCTGCTTTGTCAGGAGCCGGCAGTTACGAATGATCCATGCCGAAACGGGTAGTTGATCTTCAATGTGAAAATGTTGCCTTAGTAATATTCCATGACTACTGTTTCGGGCGTTGAGGCTCGGAGTAAGGGTTGAGGTTCGGAAGGCCGAGTAGTACTAACCCGCGGCTGATGCACTTGAAGAGTTTGTAGGTAAGGTCAAATAAGGTCGAGCCCTTGTCGGCGCTTTTAGTATACCTGGGTATAGATGCCTCGATGTCTAGGGTACTCGTATACAGGCTTTTGCTTGGGTGCACACATAAGATCCGGTATATGAAGTGGAAGAAGGATGAATTTCCATCAATACAGCGGCGGGGCAGTCAAAGTGCAAATCTTGAAGTGTTGGGGGCCCATCCACAGCGGGCGTAAGCGTGGCCAAAGCGCTACAAGCCTACAAAACATTTTATTAGAGCCAAGGCTGGTGGCGTTTTAAAACCAACTAGGTAGCTTTATTCTACACTAAAGATTTCTATTAGGTTTCAGTGCCATATTTGAGGGGATGGAAAAGGATTTTTCCAAGGTACCTATGAAATAACTTAACCTTTCATTTCAAACTCAACGAGATCTCCTGTTCTTGATAGTCGGGGATTTTGAGTCCTATATACATAGTACTAGGTCTTGTTTGAAAATAAAACAAAACCGTTGTAGAAGAGCTACTGGTCTCATTTGTGTCTCTTTCACAATCTCCCAATGCAGGTAGCACAGACCATGCGACTGCTTTGGGAGATTGTTGCAGACAGTTCAGAGAGTTATTGTGCTCGGCTTCAGTGGCTGCCTTTGCATTGTTGGACATCTTCACCAATGGATTTGCATGATTCGTGACCGCCTGAACCTGGTCGGCGGAAGGACAGTGATACAGATCAGCATCCGCAACTTGATCCTTAGATTTGTGGCCTCCGCCAAAATTGATGTCACGTAATGAGTCATGCTAGATTACGGTGGATGGCACTAGGGATAATGAACCTCCAAGCATACCTAGGTAGTTTATGAATAAAATCAATGATTGAAACTTCGAAAGATGATCTAGGAGGCGTAATGGGTTATATACTTCGATATTTATCCATGACAAAATACTGGCTCAGCCGAGGGGCTCTCCACTGTCCCCTGCAGTCTATATAGTATTAGCTGTCGGCCCCGTGGTCGGGTGCGCCCTTGAAGATTCAGGCCAATTACCCAGATTTAAGTATATAGCGTGTAATAAGCTCATGAGATGCGGTCTATATTTCTGCATTGGGAACCGACTGCGCCGTCGCGATTATAGTCTTTACCAGGAAATGTCCCTTGTATGATATGGTGCTAGTCTCACATCCAAGTTGGGATGCGAGCGGAGCCGATTTCATCTTGGCATCATGACTCGATTAAGCTAGCAACCAATGGAAAATAACTAATTATCAATTATATAAGGGCCACCACGACTAATCTCTACAGCTTGTGGATGACTGAGAGAAGAAGTAATCTCCGCAGATATGTTTGTTGGCTACTATAGCACTACTTCTGTCGAAATCATCATTGGGCCTCAGCGCTTGATTGCCGAAAATTCCGTGTAGAAAATAGACAGGCGCGTCATCTGGAAATTGGTCGCACTCACCTTGAAGACGGTGGGGTAAAGTAATACACGTGTCTCTTTGAAATCTGACCCGATCTGATGAACCATGTCCTATTAGGTCGTACATAGTGGCAGGGAGGACAAGAGTGATTCAATCCTGTATTACTGTAGCGAGACTACATTTGTTGCAGCTGAGGAAATAACCCGTGAAATTTGAGACCACGTGCTTTCACAGTCGGTCATCGTTTTGTTAGGAGATGTGGCATTGTTGAGTTCTACTGCTTTCCTGTTAGGAGATGATGCATATAGCAATGATTACACTGCCCATTACCAAAGCTGACAGGAGGCGGAACGCATGAGTAATACTGAACGCTCCCATCAGATCCAGGTACGAAGTCGACATCTAGCCATTGAAAATCTGGGTAATCAAAACCGCTCTGCTTCTTCCCCCAGTGCCCAGATCGGGCCCGTCAGATTATGACGACTGAACATCTCCACGGCGTCGCGCACCGACCATTTCGTCCAATCTGCATCGGCGTGCCGTCCGTACCATTCGCCAGCAAAGTTCCAAATTTGTTCAATGGGCCGTACGTCTCCCTTTTGGATGCCTCTGGTAGCACACCATTCGTCCACCTCGGCCTCGTTGCGAAACAAGAGCATGACCGAGCAGGTGTAAATGACGTTATCCCAGGCATTGCGCATCGGAATGGGAAAGTGTATGACACAGTCCTTGTCCAAAAGCTCCCCGTCTTGGGCCGTGATGGAAACCTCGTCGCCAATGGCGCCAACCTTTGTCGACAGAGTAGATGTTTGCCCTGCAAGTTTCATGACGCCTAGTGAACACCAGGCGCAGTTCCCCCACCATTTGCGCTCGCCCGAGGATACGACGCAGGTCGTGGGAGCCGCTGAGAAAGGGTGGGCTACCCAGACCTCGTCGGAGTTTGGATGAAGCACAACGCCATGATACTTTGCCAAGTCTCGCAGGCATTTTCGTGCCTCATCTGTGTTGCATTGGAAGCGCGTAGCTATTTCACCGATGGTTGGGGGGCGTTGATTGACAAGGAATGATGAAATGATGGCTTCGTGCAAGCTTGAATGATTCAAGGGATTCATGAAGACTGCAGGAACTTGGTAGGATAAATCTTGAGGATATCAATCACGAACAAAATAAGGATACCAAATCATGTCTCACGTATAAATGCTCTTTGAAAAGTGCCTCGTCCTTCATTCACTTGAGGGCAGTCAGTTTGCAAAAGTTGATGGTTAGTCCATCTTCACCGTGGGCTGTGGGGAACATGATTTTCTACTTGACATGAAGGGCGCGATGGGGCGACTACTGCAGACCGAATACGGCACTAAATTTCAAGAATGTCCCACGTAATAGGAAGCAGTTCAATGGGGGCTATTCATCTAAGATGTATTCGTAAAACACTATTATGAGTGGCTTCATCACTGAAGCAGCTCTTTGGAGCTCCGTCACTATCTGGCACAGTGCCCACTATGTTACATACATGCGCGGCTGTACCTTGTACTTAATAGGCAGTTGATGGAGTCCTTGGTTTCCATCCTAGCATCCGATAATAATCATTCATTCATCTTTTCACACACCAGCGAGACTGTTGAAAATGCAGACCTCACCAGATCCGAAACGCCCGATGCCCTCGCCTTGAGTGGTGCTGATTACACTGCCACCTTTCTTAGAGAAGTGCTTGCTCAATCAGTCAACGTCGACCTAGTTATACATGTCATACTTCAGGAGCCTTTCAATAAAGAGTCATGATAGCCAGACACACTTGAAGCTGCGTCCGATTTGGTTCATGACACCCATAATCACTATTTTTGCTGCAGGATCGACAACTTCCGCCAATCTGGGTATCCATCTCTAATCCGATGCCAAAGGACTCAGCGAGCGGTGGAATATACCAAGTTGTTTTCGGTCAATGGTCTATTCAAACCGTGAAAAATAATACACTGGTGACTTAGGAGTCTAATCTCAATAATAGATTGCACGTTTGGTCCCAGCACATTAGGGGAAGCGTGCCTCGGGTGTATGAAATTGTCCTAGCCGCAGAGTGACATCAGTCTGACTATTGAAATTATGAATACCTGATCGATCAAGGGTTTATCCGCCCCAGGTCACCTCATGGTTTTATTTGGCGGTTCGGGGTATTGTGTATAGAGTTTTCCAATAATGATTTTGATTACATATGACATGCTTCGTGTCTCGAATTACTTCTTCGTGAGGAACTACAGAAGCTATTCTATGACGCATATCGTTCTTCCCTTACGTGATGACCACTCATAAATTATATTCCTCGCTTGGGGTGTCAGTTCCCGTTCCATCATCCCAATCCGTTCCAATGTCTCATTGGCCGTCCTTCGCAATATTATGCAATAGGGCCAGCTGAGCAGGATCGCCTTGTATCTCGTCACGACTGTAAGTTTGTATTCTACAGCGTCCAGAAAAAAGTTCCCGATTCGTTGACCTAGTCTAACATCATCAGAGCCGATGTCTTGAGCGCCGATAATAGACTCCATAGCTTCTGCTTCAGATCCCATTTCAAAGACGCAACCTTCCGGATGCAGGATCACGTCGACCACAATACATTCCAAAGTTAATCGGCCTCCGGTGACGCGCCCGAATGGAAGCTCAGGCGTTACCAGGTCTATCTCGCAATCCAATACTCGTGGTCGGAATTCGGTTATATTTCCTCCCTGCAAGCGCCCCAAATACATGGCTTTGTCTGTAGTGGCCCAGGACCACGATGGAGCCCGCTTCGCGGGAAGGCTGATCCCGGGTATGGCATGGCCACGCTTCCAGGTAGTCGACCAGTGCAAATGTATATCGATGCAGTTGTACCAGAGTCCAGCGCAGTACCTGCCCAAAATATGTCCGAACTCGTCCGAGAAGTACTGAGCCAGCGCCGAGATGGCGGTGAGCTTGTCATTGGGGTCTGTTAAGTCCCGCATCGAATAGTCATCCACCACACTCACCCATGCATGGAAGACGTGTTCCGGTGTAAGATCTGACTTTGGAACAAAGCCTTGATTTAAGCTCCATCCAGAAAATATACAATGTCGGCCCTCATGCAGCGTATAGCCGTAGTGTAGCCTTCCATGCCTAGATTCAAATTCTTCGCACTGCCAAACCATGCCGCCAGTGCTGGGGAATATTAGAATGCGTGGGCACAATAATCTCTCTTGAAGTACCCAGCCTCGGGTATTGATTGGTTCGTTGCGGGCATCATACCAATCGGGATCTGGGTCAAGAAGAATGGGGTAATTCTGATCATCGGTATTGGGAACAGAGAGTTCCAGAAAGCGGGGTCTTTCCGCGTCCGTGGGCTTAGAATCATGACCATCTTCACGAAGGAAATGCTGATTTACGGAATGTAGTCCTGACGGCTGAATGACTATTTCAGCCTGTTGCACATAACCCGCCATTCGAGATATTTCTGTAGTGACATCCTTGTGAGAGTTTTGAATGATGCAAAGAGCATCGATCCAGATGTATGAGATACCCAAACTTCTGACAACCTGAACTGCGTCCTGCAATGTCGCGGGAAGACTTTCAATTGGTATGCCATCTTGAAAGGTGGGTACAGTATCGGTCTCCAAGAGAAGAGGCTGCGGTCCACCCCATCTATAAGATAGAAACGCGTAATCGGCATCCGCGGAGTATTCAGTTATCATGTGAATGTCTTTCAAATCTTGTGAGACTTCAAGAATCCTCGTTGGGCGGGGAAGATTGTCCTTTACTTTGCATCCCACGTGATTCTGGCGGCACTCTCGAATCCACTGTGAAGCAACTTCAGGATCGAATCCTTCAAATCCTGTCTGCTCATATGGTATAAAATATTGTGATCCAAGGTCTAGATACGTTAACACTTCATTGAACCGCTAGAAAGATGTGGCTCACCTGAACGAGTGCAAATGCCGAAATGAAGGCGTTCATCCTTGTTATGTTCTTGGCTTCTAAAAAAGACCAACACGGACAATCTGTCTATTCTTGGAGGCGTGACTCTTCGTGGAATATGCAAACCCATGAATAAGCCCAAAGAGTGATCGTCTGAGAACGAATCCAAAAAGCCAGTCCCCAATTTATCGTAAATATTGCTGCACCACCAGCACTTCATTGTGACGGAATCTTTGATTGCTGCAACGGTCACTTCGTATGAGTACTCCGGCACGTCGTGGTACCTACCGCCCTGGGCGGCCTCGACGACTCCCTTCGGATTGAGTTGCTTCCATGCTTCGGGGCTGAACGGTCCGCGCCGGCAACTATGGCACAAGAAGCCACCGTGAGGTGTTTCTGACATTGCGAAAGTTCATATAGTAATGTTCCACAGTGTCGTAATAACAAAGCTAACATTTCTGGGCGGGTCACGCGGTGACGGGCGTTTGCCAATTCTCGTGAGTAAAGTGCGAGTCTGACTGCGGTCATGCCCGCTTTGGCCAAAGGTGCAAGTCACTATACTTAAATCTCGAGTTCGAATGCTGTTTTCAGGTTCGTTTTAAACGCAAGGCTGGGACACCACGTCTGCCTGCAAGACGTGCGTTGGAGAGAGGGGAAACATTGGGATGAGGTGGGCTGTGCGAAGTTGATCTTTGATAAGGCTGATGATGGTCCCCGCTTCTCGGCGAAAAGCTACTGGATACCTATGCCACACCTCCACTTTAGTGAAGGGGTCGGGAGCTCTCAATTTTGGTCTCTACGTTCCCTGATATCTTTGCGTCTTGATGCTTTTGTCTCCAAGCGCCTGTTATAGACATGAGAGTTCATCATCTCTAGCGCCAGCAACGGCGCTCCGTCTTGGCCAGCGACTATGTCTAGTGGCTTAGAGTGCTAGCCACAATAAACTAAATGCACTAAAAGAAGCTTGAATGGCGCGCTGCAGATGCATGCATTGTTCACTGGCAACAGTCTTGACGTGTCGCCAATTCGAGGTCTTGGACGGGGTTAGTGCCAGAATAAAATCGTTCATCTCAGACCATATATTGCATGTTGATGATCAACAGGTGCACGTCACTGCATGCGCGGGACTTTTGGCACAACCTTGCATGGTCTTCAAAGAAAGCAGAGCCAATATGACGCAGTTGTGTCACCTATATGCTCTAGAGAAGGGGCTCCCGAGGATTATCCTGACGTTGCATATCCCCCGAAAGTTACCAATCTGCATATCTCGTTTTCAAAATTGAGCCTCATGGCGACGGACTGGAAACAATCTGATCGCAGCACCGCTCTTGTCGGAAATAAAACTTGGATACTTTCGCAAAACAGTCGCCATTAGACTGGTGATGAAGAGAACCGCTTGGCTTTTGCTCGTCTATTCCTCCATCGCCAGAACGCCAAGGTGAGTGCCGTGACCGGAATGGCGGCAGCAAAATAAACCCATAATTGCGGGCTTATCACCCACTTGCCACCGTCATCGCTGTCAATAGTAAAGAAGCCCATGCCAAAGAAACCCTTGTTTTCAAATCAGATCACATCGCAAGACATGAGATGCTCAGGGGAAAAAAGAAGCATAGAGTTTTGCAATCTGTCACTTACAGAGACGAAAGTTCCAGGAAGGAAAACTAGTGTCACCAGCGTGATGATGCGCATAGCAAGACTGTCCTTCAACATGTTGTTGGACATGTCCTCGGTATTATTTTGGCTTTTCAAAGTAATGGTGTCCGATGCCTATTGTATCATGAATCAGCGATCAAGAGTGCCAGTAATGGCAACCTCGACGTCGGCCTTGCTCACCATTTGAATAGTATGCGCCACTCTCGAGAGCAGGAACTGCGCATTGACCTCGAAAGATTGGACCTTGGATGTGATGTCTTCCAGCGACGAGGTAAAGCTGTGAGAGTCATCCTTGACCACATAGCCACTAGCCAGGAGTTGCTCATTGAAGATGCGCAATCTCTGTAGAATCTGATGATAGCCTGCAAATATCGGAATCAAGGGAGCTATGCGGCTTTGTACATATCGAAGTCCAGAGAGTTGGTCGTACATGGCCACAAAGTCTAATGTTTCTTCAATCTCTACATTCATGACCGACTCTGCCTACCACATTGTTAATAGTCTATATGAACTGTGAAGTTGTTTCGCAACCTACAAGGTCTTGAAATCTTTGCTCATGGTCGGCCATGTACCATCTCCAATTGTCTAGATGGTTAAATAGGTTGTCAATGTGCGGGCAGAGTGGATGCTTGACCAAACCGAATATATTGCACATGGTATCAGGACAGTATGACTCCTGGTTGGGCAATATCACCATCCAGACAGTGGAACGTGTCTTGCTGTTAAAGTGCTGGTACATGCCAATTTGTCTTATGACCCAATCGGTCTTTTCTGCATCGCATACTTTCGTCTCGGCATATTTGATGATATATGATAGCTCTGTTGGAACAATAGTCAATACTTGATTATGAATTAGCCTTGAATTATCTTACCACGTATCGGGGATTGGTCCCTCCAGGTACAGATTGGAAGCGCCTGTTCGAGATCGGTCGTCCTGCTCCTAAAAGATATGGCAGTATCCCTAAGGCCGTCAAACGCTTCCACATGGTCCATGAAGGATTCAAACATCTCTTCTGAAATTTGCAGCGGCGACCACGAGTATTTTTGACTAATTGCACTAGACCGGGTTATGAGCGACTGCTATCTCTTGTTCCTTGTTGCTGCGTAATGGACTACTCACGCTACACGGACTGCTGGGTTTGAGGCCGAGAGTTGATCTTTCAGGTCTTCGACGTCGACAACACGTCTGGTCCGCGACAGGTTGGTTGCTTTTTCGGGGTCGATGCTCGCGCCGTCATTCAGCTCAATCATGTCAATGTATGACCGACCATTGTCAACGAAGACGTCGGACACCAGGTGTCTGGGCACTCGGCGCTGTTTTTGAAGTTGCATTATGTAATTTAATTGATTTGATGCTTGAAAAGTAGGGACATCGTCGACCAGGTTTGTTTAATACACGGTTGAACCAAGTGTAAGTTGGAAAAAAAAAAAAAGCCCTCATCCCTCGTGGAATCAAGAGAGATCACCAGTGTCACCCCGCACAGCCTCCAATAGAACAGCCTTTGTTGCCTATGCCGCCCGCCCATGGGACCCTCATTCTGCATGCATCTTGTCCTTTTTGGGAGGCTTGCGGCTGGGAAAGCTTACAATCGCGCTAGGATCCCTGACTCTCCACCCACTGCGCCTGAGCTGCTCTTAAGGTTGCTAGTCAGCAAAGGAAAAGGAAACTCAAATCTATGGGGGCTGCATGTGCGGTTATCTTCCGATCGGAATGTACTTACTTGGCGTCCTCGAGGCTGATTTTCTCTGGGGCGGAGTATTTCAGCACATCATTCCTGAGCTACTGGCAGGGTAAGTCGAGGGGCCTTGTCGCAATGGAATCCTTTTAGGCGCACCTTGATGTTAAACAGTTTCTTGTCAATCTTTGGCCACTTGCTATGTAGCAGAGCCACGAGAGCGTTTTCGCCAATATATCGATATTTGATTGCGCAACGCTGCATTGGCTGGGGCATTTTGATGCGATAGATAGCGGTATGGATCTTTGGTTTGTCACAAATGCACAGAGTATATACGGAGATTGGAATGATTGCTCTTTATGTGGCCGTGGATCTTTTGAGGCCTCGTAATGTAATCATAGGCCAAGACAGGCGACCTGGCCGATGACCCATGCGCAGCTTAGGGGGTGAGTCAGTACGGTTCGCCAGGCGTTTTCTCAGTCTGCTGTCAGGAGGTAAACTTGAGGCCCAAGAACGAAAGGGTCCGGACCATCCCTGCCTGCGCCCAGTCAGTATGTGATTGACCCTGCACACCCTGCAGCTGAACACGCTGTAACGTACCCTAGCATACAGCCAGCCAATTGTATAGGTCTGATAAGTCAACACCAATCTCCAGAAGGACTAGCTAGTGCAAGGCAGAAGACGACAATCTGGCAAGGCGAGGAAGGGCCGCGTCTGGTGCTTACCTAAACAATTGAGACACACGGGAGGTCGGGAGCCTTGCGGCTGGTTTTGTGTGTCTTTTTGTCAGCATGCAGAAATTTGCACAAGATTGGTCCAAATGAATTGACCTATTCAAACTTGGAGTATCGCATCTTAAAGCGCAAGGACTGAGAAGTTTGTATAATGTCAGGCGACAACTCCCTCCGGGTGGGTGGTGGTGGTGGTGACTTTGACGAGACGGAGCTGGATTTAGGTCCTGGCCATCGCCTCTCCTACATCACTCGCCCATTCGACTTTCCCGACGCGGGCCCAAGCGACCAACGGCATTTCTTGACTTCATCTTCTAATCGGACCCCCAGCAGACGGACTTCGACTCCATCACGTCATGAGAGCCCGCCGTCAAGTGTACGACCCAGCACAAACTCTTCGCAGCACGGAGGGGCGTCTGGGACACCTGGAGCCGGTATGGTTGTGCCAAGGGTGTCAGAGCCAGATGGACTACGGTATGTTTCACTGAAAAAAAGAAAAAGAAAAACAAAGTTATGTTCTCTCTGACGTCGATGCTATTGTTAGTCGTGAGTTGTATCCCATACACATTTTCGCAATCGCGATTAGTGCCACCATTGGGATGGGGTTCTACGTCCGAGTCGGAATAATCGAGGGGCTAGGGGGTCAAGCTGCTGTCGTCTATGCGTATGGCTTCTTGGGTGCATTGTGTCTGTTGATCATGACCTGCTTGACCATTCTGCTGCGCATCTGGCCTATAGCCGGCGCACTAATCGTATTTGTGGAGCGCTTTGTCGACAAGGAAATTGGACAGAGCGTCGGAGTTCTATACTGGTGCGTAAAGATGCAAAATGACGCTTCTGGCATGAAGTTTCTTTGGCATATACTAATCATGTCATGATAGGCTCACGTACTGTTTTTCTTTTGCTGGATTGACTACAACGATCGGTCAACTGGTCAGCGACCTTGACGTGCCCAACGGCGCATCGGTCGTCATCACTATTTTCTCTCTCCTGTTGCCTATCTTGTTCAACTTGACAGACATTCAGGTAGCCCTCCCACTGGGATCTTGGCATTCGTCAAAGAAACTGACTCTCGTACAGATATTTCGGAATATTGAGCTCACTCTGGTATCCGTCAAGCTCTCTATAGTTGTTGCCATTATCATAATCATGAGCGTCATTAACCCGAAAGGTGGGTTGCATTCTCCCAAAATACTGACACGCTTCAAGGGTTGATTATTTATACGTTACTTTATTTGATGACCATGGACTGACTGAACCTGTTTCCAGTTGGTGACCACAGCTCGACGCAGGCTTCTGAAGGTATGACTGACTAGCAAGACTATGATCAATTGTCCATCGTTGACAACCTATCAGTACAATCAAGAGATGTGATTTTTCAACATCCGGAGGGCGAAAGCTGGTTCGGTGTCCTCATGTCATCAATGTTTCTGGCGTCTTTTTCGTATGTCGGGATCGAAATTGTGGCCGCGACAGCGCAAGAAGCCAAGAATGGCAGGAATGACCAATCGAATGTGAATACAAGAGAAGAAGAAGGGACAGCGAATAATGCAACATTCTATCCGACGCATGGATCGACACATCAAGGGGTTAACGGAAATGGCTTGATGCAAAGCATCAGTTCACACTCTGCGAGCGAAGAAAATGAAGCGTCTGGCCGGTTTGATTACCCCCGCAAAAGTCCGTTCCAGGGCTTGGTACAGTATGTCCCAATCGTATCTGCCGTGTTCTACCTTTGGAGCGCTTGGGTCGTTATGCAAAATGTCGCGTGGGACGACCCGAGTCAGCCCACGTTGGCCGGCGACAAGAAAGAGGACTGGAGTAGCTCTATCTTCATTAACAGTGCGAAGATGAGTCATGTGCAAGGCCTGGACACGGCCTTGTCAATTGTTCTTATCATCAACATTGCGTCCACCTCGAGCACTGCCCTCTACGTGGCGTCACGAACTCTATTCGGTCTCACATTTACCATCTCCAAGGAAATGAACCCCGATGCCCAGGGCTGGCGCAAGTGGTGGCTTTACCTGATGAAGTTTCTGTCCAGAAAAAGCAAGTTTGACGTACCTTACGTGGCTGTCCTGGTGTCTGCGTGGGGTCTCATCCTGCCCTTTCTCAAATATATTCCAGGAAGCAAATATTCAACAGTAAGCTTGTCTCAGGTCCTTTAGCAACCTGCTTGGCATCTAACCTACAAACAGGCCATTGACGTTGTCATTGAGATGGGTTCTGTGTCCTGCATCTTAGTGTGGGGTTGGGAGTCCTTTGCTGCGTATCGGTTCTTCAAATGGTGAGCATCATTGTCCAATACTTCGTAGTATTATGGTCTAATTCCTGATTTCAGTTGCCGACGACATCGCATTGCTCCCACGACCGATAAAGATGTCATGGACATTGGGGATAATGGATGGTACTATTTCCATTTGACCATTTCCTTGTTCGCTGCCATCATGTGCCCGATCATCGTCTTCGTTGGCGGAGCCTTTACCCTCCACTACAATACCAACCCCACCCAAGGCGTCGCGACTTTTCTAATTGTAAGCACCCTCGTAACCAGGACTTTTTGCGGGTAATGGACTTATCAATGACTAGGTTGGGATCTTTCTTGGACTCACTCTACTACTGAAAATCGTTCGCTTTATTCGCGATGGCGAGGCCTGGTGGAGCAGCCTACGGGTGGCGGCGGATGTTAATCGCATTTTTGCGGATCTCACTGACCTGAAAACGAAGCACATCGATAAGGCTCATAACCGAGCCAATAGATCGTGGTATGATTTGGGGGGAGTCATTGACTCGAAGTGGGTGTCAAGGAAACTCAGAGGAAATTAATGCCTTTAGTTCTGGCTACTGCTCTCCTGTTTTCAATTTCAAGGACAATTTTGTTTTGGTGAAATAACCTCTTCACCCTTATGGCCAGCGTGAATGATAACAAGCCCCTCTCATCTAAACAATTACTTTGAAACGATACGTGAAAACGCAGCTCTTCTGCTTGCTAGCCACTTGAAGCTCCAGCCATTTGTCTGCAGTTTCAGAGAGATACGCCGAGTCCTTCCGGGGATCGTAACGTATTTCGTCTTTGGTAACTAGCCGCTGGGCCTCGAATTTCTTCCTAAGGGCGCTCACATAAATTTCAAGGGTATGTCCGTTAGGAGTCGCCAGCATCACTAATCGCGAGTTGTCTCTCGTGACGAGAATTGTCTTTAACCCTCGCATCGCCTCAAACGTCGCCTCAGTCCAACTTTGCCGATTGGTACTCCATATCCGCTGAATGATATACTTCTCATGGGTGACTGCCAGAAATCCTCTCAGGCCATACAAAGGCACAATGCCGGTAATAAAGATATGGTTGTAGTTAATATCCTGAGAGCAACCGGTCAGCTGAATGAGTCAAGCTTAGAAACCCAAGTTAAAACCACTCACTTCATCCTTGATGACAGATTGTGCGATAAATGAGCCACTTCGACGACGTCTCATTGAGGATGATGCTTTGTCAGCATCCTCGCTGCCATCAGCGCTGTCAGTGTTCTCGGCGACCTCGTTAGTCTCAACACCCCACATGGTTATGACAGCTTGGTGTTTTCTCCGGTGTGCATGATAAAGCGTTTTACCGTCGCTGGAGAAAAGGAGGTCTACGTGGCCTTGTGCTTGAACATCTTTGATTTCCCCATCGGCTAGTTGGTCGTCCTGCGTTTCGATAATGGGAGCACTACTGGTCGAAACAAAAGTTCGCAAGGTCGACATTGTTGCAGTGTTCACGAGTCGGTTCGGACTTTTCCTCCAATAAGCATTGGTCAAGGATGCAAGACTGCGAGGGTAACTTACACAATGAAGTCTGACACACGATACATGCGGACACGGGCGTTTAACCTTCCTGGCCGACTAGACTCGCAAGCAACGGCAAGGAACTTTTGGTCGTGAGATAGTGAAACACCATTTACAGAGGTGACCTCTGCCAGCCGTACTGGAGTAGATTTGTCCGTTTGGCCGAAATATTGTATGCTCAGCTATACTTCATCAGCGTGACCTCTTATTCGCGGCGATGTGGAAACCAACCTGAGCCGAGTCTTTGGTCGCGGTCTTGTGTACTATGCAGATAGCACTAGTCCCACAAGCTCTCGAATTTGGCAGAACCTCATCTGACCATTTCAGTCTCTTGTCCATGAGACCTTTTTCAACCTGGGTATAAATCCGCCCATTGGGGTAATAGAACACAATCTGTTCGGCCGAGTAACAAAACACGTGGCCATCTGGTGAGTGTCTGCAGTAGGAGTCCCGCAAGGAAGTAGAATTTTCGAATGGATATTTTGCAAAGCTGACATTATGGTCCTCGTGCGTTTCAGCAGGCTTCTCATCCATGATGTTTCCCAGGTCTCTGCACACTTTGGTAATCTCTGCACGTCGTTCCTCCCGCACGAGGACGTTTGAATCGAGATACTCAAGGATTTTTGTTGCAGTTTGATCGTATCCATTCGTGCTCTTCTTGTTATTTGAAATCATGCTCTCGATACAGTCGCCGACGGCCCTATTGCAGATGGATTGTCCCAACGGGAATCTCGGGCGCTTGGTGCGGTAAAAGACGTCCTTGTTGCCGTCTCCTAGCGCTTCGGCACGGCGTGTGGCAAATTTTGTGATACCTTCGGGACCGCCGCCCTTTTGATGATTGTACAACAACACCAAGAGCAGAATACAGCCATATGACCACACATCGCTTTTGGTACCAATTTTCCCTTCTTGAGTTTCAGGAGCCCAATATGTACCGATGCGGGGAACTTGAGGGTTTGGCCGACGAACGCCCATCTGATCTTTAGACCGTGTCAAGAGACAAGCTTCCCCAAAATCACCAATCTTAAACACAACACTATGCGGGCCCTTAGGGTCCGGATAAATAAAGATGTTGTCTGGTTTCAGGTCACCATGGACGTAGGTAACCTCCTCATAATTCCCAGTGACCAAGCTCTTCTTTTCATGGCAATTGAGCCACTTGAGGCCGTGTCCTATATGTAACATCTGTTGCAAATTGCGTATACGTTCGTTGGGGCCGAGCTTTCGCTCTTGCATTAAGTATTGCCACAAGTCGAGATCGGCAGGCTCGGAGAAGATACTGGCGGTCGGGAACTGGTAATCGTCGATTTTCATGGTGATGCTGCACAAAGCTCTCATGATGCTTGACGGGGGATTCGTATCGTGAAGGCTCTTGAAGATATCATTCTCGGTTTGAAAGGACGCAAACGAATCCTCATCGGGTTCAAAATCTTTCCTCGCCAATAACATGACCTACTCATTTGTAAGCTTGTTATCGTCATGGTTCCTGCGCTCAAACCAGTATACGAACCTCTGTATTCAAGAATGTGCCGACCCGCCCAAGGTTGTAATAACCGCGCTCAATCCGGACCATATACACTGTTCCGTATGACCCGTTTCCACGGCGATCTTGGTCCAGGTAGGGTAAACAGTCTTCAGGATTGTGTGTCTGTTCAAAGCTGCCTTCGATAAGTGTGGTGGCGTCGCTTCTGGATTGAATCTCATAGAATCTGGAGCCATCTTGGCCAAATATCTCCTCGGCCCGTGCTTTACTGAAAGGTAGATCGAGATCTGAATGCGTACAAGGAGGAGTCTGCCGTAAAAACCTGCGCTCGAACGTCTGCACCATAGAAGGTGTCCCGTTGGCGAGAATAGTTAGCAGAATGGTGGCAAGTCCGGGTGGGCGCAGAATCTTGTCTGCAAAGTCCCGTCTCTCCTCGTCGCTGGGGAACAAAAGGGAGCCAAAGATGGTTGATTCCAACTTGGTGGCCAGCAGTCGCGATGCTCTCCCCGGACGCATGAAGTATGCTTCATCATACTCAATTTGTCCGTTGCGGACAGAGATCTTCTGTCCCCGGGAAAGAATCTGTTCTTTCGCTTGCCGGAAAGCCTCCGGCAAACGGTCGGCCATGGGCAGTCTGGTTGCTACTCGGCGATCGAGGGAGTGCGAGAACTCAAGGTGTTTGTGCTGCTCTGCAGGTAGCCATGAGGATGTGCGGATAAGCGAGTGAGGGCGATGATGACAGTGAACCAGACTGCTTGCGCTGGCACACGGGTCATCACCCGGTAAGGCTATCTACCTACCTACCTCCATAGGTGGTACAAATGGAAGAGGTACCTATTTTCCCAAATCACAGCTGTCTTCCGTTCCCGTGTCGCCATGGACATGCTGCCCTGGTCTTATCAACTGGCTTGTGGGGCGGGTATGACGAGGGGTCATGGGCGGACGCCAGCTGAGGTCCCTGCGGCTGCCCCGCTTTGCTGGGGAGGGAAGCACTGCTGTTCCCAGATACTGGGACACGAGTAGTACATTTCAGACAGTGGCAGCGAGCCAGCGGCCGAGATGTAGGTAAGTATTCTCGTCCACTGCGCCCCTGCAGCAGCTCAAGAGCTTGGCCGGCCAGCTGGTTCAGAGACCTGGCGATGATGCGCATGTCATGCCACCCATCGCTGCAGGCTTGCCGGAGCGGACCAAGCAGTGTTGGGATGTATGAAGAATATGGTAGCTGGCATATCGCTTTTTAAGCCCAAACGATGCGTTATATTGCATCTGTGCCTTCATCCTGCTGACGCGATACCTAGCAATACCAGTCTCGAGATGTGGCGTGCGTGGCTGAAAGCTACTACACTGATGCTGCTCAGCGGTCGCAGCATTTGATAGGATCGGCATTGCATCCGGATTTGGTGCTGAAGAATGGCAAGCAAGGTCTGGCCATCGACATTGGTACCAGTACGGGTGTAGGCCGTCGCAACTAAGCACCAAGAAGATGCGCTTTTCTCAGGACAAACAAAGATTTTTGAGCGATGGTATCGCAAGTGTTAGAAGAGAAGTCGTGAAAGTGATGCGGGACAAGACAGTCTTTTAAGCAAAAGGTACAAGTCTAAAATGGTGACCGTTCATCAGGCGATTGTAACATTGAATTGATAATTTGGGCACGGTCTCTACGCATATTGTAGTGATTGACCACACGCTAGTTACATGTAGATTAGTGCCTAGCTTGCCTAGCTCGCAGTGGGCAGCTAGGTGGTACGTACTATCAATGGTTCGGGTGATTATACTGTACATATGCTAGGCACCTGTGGCCCTCATTATGGCAAGAAGGTACCATCGTGGGGACAGCTCGAATGGCTCTACTTCGTACAATCAACCTATTTCCTGTGCCCCTATGGTACACAAATGCAAAGTTGGAACCCTGAAGTCCCTCGGTGCCTTGGCGGCCCGGGCTTATGGCACCTTAGATGCCACTGCTTATCAGCGTTTCATGGCAGCTCATCTTTGAGCGTGTGCCATGTCGTGATTAGTGCTATAATACTCGTTTCCGCAGGATATAAACTGTGAATTACTTCGTTATATATGGCGACTTTGACTGGTATGGATCCTAAAGGAAGGTCCGGTATAGCATATATGGACGGTAGGCGGGGATATTGGGGGCAGGGATGCCAGCAAAGGAGCGCTTGGGATTATCTAGCGCTATGCATATAGGATGGCTGAGTGGTTAATAGGTACTTGGGCAATATTAAAGAAGGTATAATAGTATCGATTAATATAGTCTCCTAGTTGAACGGCTTGTTCCTGGGTTGATCGTAACGAGCTACGAAAGAGAGGTGCAGAAGGGCTATGTGGTGTATCCAGGCAAGTGACCCATTGGGGAGGGGGTGATGAATACGTCAGTACGACATTTCTCCAGATCAGTCGCCCTGATATCATATGCACTCTTGGACGATCGTTTCAATGCCCAGCATGCTCCTTCCTCGCAAACGTCGCAGTTTATGTATAGAATATAATGAATGTCATGTCTTATCCGTATCTGAAGAGCAGATTGTGCGAGCCAACTCCATTGATATAGTAGAATATACTCCGCACGGCGTTTTATGTGTCTCTATTGCCGACAAAGTCACCAAGATCCCGGCAGAAAGCATCCAAAGGATTGCATATGCCTTGAACCACGGTCGAGAGACACATGGCAGTATAGTCGATGTCGCTTGGTCTTGTATAGAATACCATAGATAGGTAATCGCCGTGACTGTAAATGTTGTAAAGTAAAATATGGTCTGGATAAATGTCGTTGCCGTATATGTCAATGACCGTCCGAAAACCTTGTCCGCGATTACTGTCCAGCACAAAGCCAGCGTCCAGACTGCGAGGAGTACCACCAGGAACAAAAGGCGAAAGATCCGACTTGGCCAGTATGATCTTGGTCGATATCGGCTTTCCGTGACCAAAGACGATTTGCGGTCCTGTAATAAGCTGTCCCAGGACATCCTGCATTGTTTCGAGTCTCTAATCTCCGGTACTGGTTCCTCAGTACCTGTTGAAGTGATTGAAGAATAGATGAAATCATCACACAGCCATGCTGACGCGAGTAGGCGTAACAATCCTAGCACAGATAGTGGCCCGAATGTAAAGTCCACACCTGGTTGATCACTGATTGCAAGGAAGGTGTTTGTCATTGCGCCAACTAATCCAACCGCGGCTTGTATGCCTTGTAAAGTGGTGATAATTGTCTTCAACATCGAGACTGAGAGGAATCTCATGGTCGTGCTGTCAGGCAACAGGGCACAGTATGGCAAGCTACTTGTCACCATATGCTGTGAGCCATCCCAGCCGTGTGCAGTCCAAAATAGCGCATTAGCTGCAGCAACATCAATCGGTTCCCACTTATAAGCTCTAATTCGTCTATCAAAAATAGCACCGTAGCGGTAAATTATGGCCGTAGGATTAAAAAGTCCTATGTAATCGTGCCAACGTGGCTTGGTCGGAATAAGAATCGATGGTGATGGAGCACCGGCGAAAATGTGTGCAATCAAGGGAGCAAAACATGATGTCAGCAGTGTTATCCAATTTGAAAATGATATGTCCTGGCTCTGGTGACGGGGCGGATCGACGGCGACGGTCATGGTAGCAGTTTTTGGTCAGGCGAAGGGCGTTCATGGGGATATCGTGGATGATTAGGGGTGGATGTTGAATAGAAGAGAGAGCGTAGCTTCCATAAAAGGGGGATTCGCGGATAGTAAGGACTTCAGAAAAAAAAAACTCGATACTAAAACTGCGGCGCCGTAAAGTCCAAGGCGCCGAATAGCCCCCAAGAGTCTAATACCCCCCCAAAACTTTGGCCCCTAGCGACTGTTACACGAATGCGCCCGTGATATCATCGAACTTCGCAACGTGTACCTAGTCTGGACCGATTATCAATCTGTCCTGTGGACAGCACATAGCCTCGTAAAAAATGAAGACGTCCTCATTTTAGCAGCATATTCACGACCATCAGTCCTTCCCCTTCCCCCTACAGTCCTCCGCCACAACCAATGGATTGATGGGAAGTCTTGGGCTCAGCCTTGTCCTTTACCACATCCTCTTCCCCCGTAGTTTTCGGTTCAACGCCAATGCCAACATGATCAAATATCCTTCCGATATTTTTTATACGTTACGATTGGTACCGCGACAACATGTAACCTCGGCAAATGTTCGTCAATCGGACTTTCGCCTTGTACTCCAATGCGCCGTATCAGTCGAAGCGGATCTTCCATGTCGCTGGGAAGGGCACGAATTTGTCCTAGGTACCTAGGGGTGAGGCAGGCATTAGTTTCGTGCGACCGTCTCGGCCTCTTCATTGTTGAGTTCATTGACTGCTCCTGGATTCAATTCACTTTCATAAGCGCCGTATATTTTGTGTAGGCTCAGTTGTTTCTTCCAGGCCGATCATTTTCGGCCATCCGTGCGCATCGTGCCAAGCGAGGGAGTTTCAATTAAAGCGAAAAGTTTGATCATCGATTGTAAGAAACAGCTGCAAAGCCTCGCGGTGAAAATACACCGTGCTTGTTGGTAGCGCTGATCAGGGAGGTCAAGAGGTGGACCTTGGCCCCATTATCCATTGCATACCTATGAGTGGGAAATATGATGCGGTAGCCATCTAATCAGTTGCTGCATGTCACCACTTCTACCTCAAATTAGACGGGTTGTTTGCAGACCGCCAGCTCGCAGAAAACGCTAGATCTCTGATAAAACTCAGTGTGCAGATAAGACTCAGGATGATGTTTTAAAAAGTCGCTGGTGGGCTTACTCTGCAGGCTTCCTCAGAGGCTCTAGAGGAGCATTTCAAGAGAATAAGGACGACTATAACAGACGGGAGACATCATGTTTTGTATTCGAAATCAATAGATTTGAGCAGAAGCGGCAATACAGTACACAGAGAGAGATTACTTTTCTTTCAGTAGCACAAATGGCATGAGCCACTACCGTCATAAGAAATCCTGTCTTTGTTCTAAACACCATCAACGCTATACGGCTGCCTGACGTTGTGCCTTTTGATCCATCTTCTCCCTCTCCGTCGAATTCATAAAAAGAAAACCTTTATGGACAAGTGCTTCCTCCGACCCGAGCCGCGCCGAACCGCCGTCAGAGTGAGTCGTCGCAGAAAAAAAAACTTGAAATACGAGAAATACGAATGCGATCTTTGGGGGAACAGGGTTAGAGTCGCTTAGAGTTCCCAATGTCGCCATTCGAGACTGCTTAGCAAGTGCAGTGCATGGCTTTCATCGCATGACGTGAGCTGTTCTCCGCAGGGATCGCGCAACCGGGTTCCGAAGAAGCCAACATGGTGTTGGAATATGCAAAGCGGCTGAAGACGTGAACAAAATTCCGTCTTGGTATGCAGCTGTGCCGCTCATGTTGCATATGCCACTTACAAACAAGGCAATATCGGCAGCCGTGCCGTTGGCTTTGGCGGATTCACCCCAGGTTGAGGAGTTAGCGATGCCAAATGGGGAGGTCTTCGGATGTAGATTCAAGTTTTAACTGCCCGTGCGTACAGCATTCACACATGTGGGGTAGGGCAGTTTTGCGGGGAGATGCAGACGCCACGCGCTCGGATGTCTTCCGTAAAGCAACCTCTCTTACCATACAACCGACCCAATCAGCCACAGTCCAAACCTTGAGTATGCAATGCCTTCTGAGTGGTACCTGGCATGGGTGTAGAAATCTACGCCCGTAACTGCAGCATACAGGTCCGTGTTCTGCTTGCCCGACATGTCGTTGGGATATGTCACACCGGTGGCGTCAACAATTGGAGGATATGTTTATGGCTTATGAGCGCCGTTGGATACCATGAAGTCCTTTAACCTGGGCTGCCAAGGGCCGAGGCTATGCAGAAGCTTGACAGTCACTTGGAGTAGTGTCAGTCGCCTACCATTGATAAGCATGGCATGTCCACTATATAATATTTCCTGGCCAAGGACGCTATAGCTTTTATTCGAAATCTGTTATTCCCGCTACTAGTACGACCTATACTCCAATGTTAGTGAGCCCCGGTATTTTTATCTCACAACCAAGTCTACTATTTTATTCCATTACAGTTTAAAAGCAAGATTCAATGGATCTCTCAGACCCCGCAGTATTTGCAGCTCTACCCCATGATAATCGTGGCAGTGTCGTAATTGCAACTGTATGCTTTGTCCTGCTAATCGCGTCGCTGGCGACCGGTATGAGACTATACACCAGGCTTGCCATTGTCCGCCAGATGGGCGCTGATGATTATCTAACTGTGGTCGCTCTGGTATGTGTTCAAACCCTGACCAAATGCACATGCTCAACTCGCTGACCAAACGCTACAAGCTCCTTGCATATTGTACAGGCATTTCACAATGCATTAGTAAGTTGCCAGCGACTAAAGTTGACAGATTGCCGCTAACTTGTCTCCATATACCCGCTCTGGTCTAGGCGCCCATATCTGGGATGTCATTTATAAGGCCGGCCCGACAGGCATCAGCAATTACTTAAAGGCAAGCTACCAACCGTTCCGCCACTATTCGGCTCGCGCTTACACAAACACAATTTTAGAACTTTTACGTATCCATCACTTTTTACAATGCTGGTCTCTTTTTTACCAAGATGACATTCTTGGCCCAGTATTACCGAGTTCTGGCCATTAAAAAAACACGACTCGTGCTTCGGGTCCTAATTCTTGTCATTGGGGGCTGGTCCTTGTCTCAGGTCTTTGTAGGAATTTTCATATGCCAGCCTATTGCCAAGTTCTGGAATGATAGTCTGGACGGCCACTGCATACCAAATCTGCCGCAGTGGTACATCAATGCAGCCGGGAACATTGCGACTGATGTTGCCGTTTTCATTTTGCCTCTACCTGTCCTGGGCCATCTCCATCTACCGAAACAGCAAAAGCTGGTGCTTCTGGGAATTTTTAGCCTTGGTTTTTTGTAAGTCGTCTCCCCTTGACCCAAGGCCGCCTGTGGCTTACAGGATCGAACAGTACTGTCGCTATCTCCATCATCCGCATCAAATATCTTCAATTATTTTCGGATCTCACCTATGAGAACACCGACTCATCCTGCTGGTCCATTACGGAGCTTTGCTCGGGCATTACATGTGCGTGTCTGCCGACACTCCGACCGCTGGTCTCAAAGTGGCTGCCTGTATTTGCCAGCACGCTACGTAGATCGGCCAAGGACTCCAGGGAGAAGTCGCAGCAGTTGCGCCAGGACTTGGCCCAGAACAGCGGTCCGTCCTCGGACACGAGCCGACGCACAGGCGACTGGTACACAGGGCTGGATAGCCAAGACGAGCTTCACCGTCCCAAAGACATGGAGCTCGGTCGTGTTGACAGCGGCGATCTGTCGGAGAACATCATTGGACTTGAAACATCTAGAAAAGAATTGAGATAAGCAAAAAAGAGCGATGTATTGCCTAAGTAAAAGTCACAGAAAGAATGGGTTCACGGTTTTGTTGTTCTCAAGATTTGAAATGTCATTGCTGTAATTCATCGACTTGTAATGTTTTTTATGCTCGCCTTTCGATCGATGCCTACCTAGGTACGCATCCATGACCTGTCGTATAGCCACAGCCAATAGTACTCTGTGGACCCTGTACTCTGTGAAAACTGATAGCGGACAACTTTACTTACAAACCGAATTTGCTTGGGGCCGACAATCATCTGACATAGAAATTACACGGTGCTGAAATGGACCCTGTTTGCTATAATCGAATTGGAACTTTATGACTTACCCGCTAGGCGTACCCAAAGAAACGTAGCCAGGGGTTATCAATCTCAAACCCCCACAAGATGGAGCTGAAGTTTATAGGCGAGCTTCCAGAAACACGAAATTACCATACCATGTAGTTGATCCCCATACCATGCGATAGATCAGTGGGGAGTGCAGGGGAAGTAGACACTAGCACGCGTGGATGATATTGTTCAATGGGGTCTTTTCCTCTTAGTGTTAGGTGACCCCAGCTCTAGGCGTTTCAGGCTGTGAACCTTAATCTTTAAGCGAGCTATCACAGCTCTGCGCGGCGACCTTTTTGGCAACTATCTGCCTGCAAATGATATTTATCATCGCAGCGCCCGGCCTTGGCACTGGCGCCAATTTGTCTGTTTCTCCAATGATGCCACTCCTTTCACCTTCAACATGTCCGTTCTTTTTATACTTCTCACGTTTGTCTCGTTGAGTTTACAATCTTTCATTCACCCTGGACTTCTAGTAACCGAAGCCGACATTACTAGAGCGTCCAACAACTTGAATCGTGCCCCATGGAATACCTCCTACGCACAACTGACGGCTTGCAGCTGTGCAAGTACAGACTATGAGCCCAGTCCGGTCAGTGCCGTGTACCGGGCGACAACCACCGAACGGGCCGCCAACACGAACTATCTGTGGAATGACGCTGCTGCTGCTTTCGCGCTGGCATTGAGATGGAAGCTGACGAATAACGACTCATACGCCGAGACCGCCTCGGGCATTCTTACAGCCTGGGCTGCAAAGCTGGTAACAATCGATGACACAGATGATGGCTACCTGACATCTGGATTCCAGGGCCACGAGCTCGCTAATGCAGCAGAGCTGCTCAGAGACTATGCCCCCTTTGCAGAGGATGGCCTTGATGCAGTCAAGACATTCATGACTTCCGTGTTTCTCCCCATGAACCTCGACTTCCTGAACCACAAACTTGGTTCCGAGCATAATGTCAAACATTTCTTTGCCAATTGGGAGCTGGGAAACTTGGCTTCGGCCATGGCCATTGCTGTGCTGACTGAGAACTCAACGGTCTGGGACTTTGCAATCGAATACTTCAAGTCGGGCTCCGGCAATGGCAACATCAATAACGCCGTCACTGATTTGCATATTGATCCCGATACGGGGTTGACCTTGGGTCAAGGTCAGGAGTCTGGCCGAGACCAAGGCCACTCGGCTCTAGACTGGCAGATGCTTGGTGTCATTGGCCAGCAAGCATGGAACCAGGGCGTCGACCTGTTCAGTTATAACAACAGCCGCATTCTTCAAGGGTATGTATCCATCCAGAGAGAGAAGCTATTGGCCACGACTAATTGTATATATACACAGCGCTGAGTACTTTGCTCGTTATAACCTGGGCCATGACGTTCCTTTCAACAACTACACGAATGGCATCGTGTCGTTTGACTGCATCAGCAATGCTTCGCGTGGTAGCACGCGGCCGACCTGGGAGCTCTTCTATAGCCATTATGTTCAGATCAAGGGCATGGATGCACCATGGACCACGGCGTACCTGAACTATAGCTTGCACCAGTATGGTGGAGTAGAACCAGGTGCTGGCCTTTCCGGGAGCACATCCGGTGCCTTTGACGGCCTTGGATGGGGATCTCTCCTCTACCACCGCGACGACAATGACACAACTGTGCCTAGCTACAGTGCTTCGCTCACCGCATCGAGAACAAGCCGACAAAGTGCCCCGGCTACTACAATATCGACTACACAGTACTCAAACTCTTCAGTCGTCACGTTTTCCACATCGGCTACAAGTCAAGATGGTATCACAACTGCTGCAATATCCACTGCGACGCACTTGTCGGCTCTAAGCCTGTCTCAGAGTGTGGTAATTTCCACAAGCGTTTCATCTTCTTCTGTGCTTGGGACGGCAATAGCCTCAAGCACATCGTCACAATACAGCCATGCGCATGGCTGTCATGGCCATCGCCATAGCCACTCCTGAATAGATCGGTAGAGGTGTCGCGAGTCACACACTCGACTGCCTTTTTACTACATCCAGGAGTAGAACTCGATTTTCAAACGGAATACGGAGACCCAGGAGAGTCCTCGAATGCTAAGTGCATGGCTGCGTGTGGGCCTGGGGAGCACCTTAGACTGAGCTATGAACCTAGAGAACATAGATCCTCTTCATTTTCACTTCACTCGGACGCCTAGCTATGCAGCTCCTTTTTTTTTTCTCTTCTTCTTCTCTCTAAAGTTGGGCAGGCTTTTGAGTCAATAGAAGCCGCACTATCCCGCATTACAATAATACTTTAATTTTCTTTGCTTTTTATGTTCTGACTGTTCTTGCTTCTCATTTTACTCCAGGCCTGAATGACATGAAGCTTCACTCGGGCCATTACTGTGTATCGCGTCCCTAGGCGATGAACTATGCTTTGGGCTCTTGTCTGCTCAGCTACCAGCCATAAGACATGCCACACCCAACATGTGCCCCTGCCCTGGGAACCGAATCATACCAACAGCTTGATGCTCATAGTTTAGATCGACTTCGAAAACTTAACGACGATACTACCATAAACAGACCCCAGTTTTGCAATCGGAGGTACCACTTTCTGTATCCATTGCCCAACAAATTACGATTCACACACGCCTTAAATGTTTCTATTGCTAAATGGCAACTACGAAGAGAACGTAAGATTGTTTACGAAACTGCCAACTGTTGCAGGTATATAATCTGTCGTGACATACCAAGCCGGCTTCGTCATGTTGTCCCAAATGTGCAATCCATTAATGACCAGACCTTGAAAGTCAATGAAGTCGATAGATCTATCCTCGGCGTAACCATAGATGGAAGCTGTGTTGACGACGTGATTCAAATCTGGGGTCGACGAGAAGACTAAATCGCGTATCGTCACATTCTTGATCCCGCGGCCAGGCGCAGTGTTATATTTCGCGTTGTACATGACTCGGAGTGAAAAGAGCATCCCCCACCGAAAGTTCTCTACGCGAATGTCGTCCAACAGCACATTCTGTATCGTGTTCTCGTCGCCCACGCTGAAAGCAATGGCGCCCTCGTAATCAATCTGCGGCTCTCTGTGGTCAAGAATGTCAATGTTTTGGAACGTGATGCCGTCCATTGTCTCGGGATCGTCGGGGTTTCCATGCGTGCCAATGTTGATGGGATGGGCGACATCCGCCCATAGCGAAGAGTCGCGCATTGTGATATTGGAGGAGTTGCCCCACCAATTGTTGCGGTGCTGGTAGAGTGCGATTGAGTCGTCTGAACTTCTGATGAAAGCCTTCTCCACGAGCACGTTCTGGCTGCAGTAGATATCCATCCCATCACCCCACTGGTGGCTAGTGATACTACGCCAGCCTCGACTATGCACATCGTGGGACTGCGCAATAAGGAAGCCCCCTGTAGACACAAAGGCGCCGTCAATTGAGATATTACTTGACATTTGTATGTTGATGCCGGCCGACAGAAATCCGCGTCCTTGGATGATTACATTGCTGGCGTTTGTAATATTCACAGAGGTGCCACTCGGGCTTGGAAACTGTAGATAAGCTCCCGAGGCCAAGTACAATGTCTCTCCGGAACTCAAGTTAAGGACTTCGGATAGAGTGTGATATCCTGGACCATAGTATATGATATCTTCCCGGCCCGCGGCTTGTTGTTCAGTGATGACATTTCGTTCAATTTCGCTGGTGAACAAATGAACGACATCGAAGACGTCCTCGTTGATCTCAATGACAATGTTGTTATATGGTTGAGAGACGTTGAACGTGATTGTCCCATTGACAGTCTCTGGAATGATGCCATAACTGAGAGGCCGTACCCTGACTGAGGAGATCTCTGGAAACACTGTGATGTTTGGAGTAACTGCTATCTGCACCGTTCCGTCAAAGTCGAATAGACCGAATTGAGTTGCGTGCTTCTTGGAGCTTCCAGTTGTGGCATTTATTTCTGCTACCGTTGTGGTATACAGGGGCACTGTATTCCAAGCCAAGCTTCCAATGGGCCGGGCTTGGACTTGATAGTGAGTCGATGTGCTGGCAGCACTTGGCTGATCTGGGATAACGATGGAAGTGTTGCCAGCTGCGGCCGTGACGGTATGTAAAAGTAACACGACCAACCAAGAAATATTGTGTGGGAAATATAATGAACACATTTTAACTTATCTGGAACTATATTGCCCTGAATAAGAAAGATCTCATTAAGGGATTCGATTCGCAATCCTGCATATCTGTAATTATATCGTAAATATGGCGGACGTGAATCCATTCCAAAATCCAGATCCCGCAACTTCCCCCGGAGGCGAAAATGATACCCGAGGAGCTGCGCGGGCATATGCCGAGAGTTGCTCCGTTGTGGCGGGGAACTTTGTTCCTCGTCAAATCAGTTGGTTTGACAACCCACCTCGATTTTGGCAGGTGACTTTGTTTATTCCTGCAGACAAGGAACAAAAGGACTTTAGCACAAATTCAGCAACTATCATGAGAACCCTACTCAAAGTTATATTATAAGGAGCAAGATACTGCGTGCCGTGTCAGATTTCAATAATGGCAAACAATAATTCAACTTGGCCAATCAAGCGAATTGAGCCACCAAGCCACACAACTCTGGCACCAGGCACTTTTTAGTGGCCAACTTCAGTTTCCCCACCATTCTCAACAATAATAGCTAATGCTTCCCTCAAATAGCCGGCGTACCGTCCGAAACACGGTACAATATTCCAACTTGCAATTGTTATACACGGGTTGGCCTCTTCTCTTCATCTTCACCTCAACAGGCATGACCCCTTTCCCGTGCTCGATGTGTATTGCCAATGGTTCGCAGTCCAATATATCGGACGCTTCCGCTTCATTTTCATATCTTGGCTTATCCGAGCCCGGTTCAAAAGACCCTAGCGGGCTAGGAGTTCTCTCTGGCGTAGGAAGAGCTGCCGACTGCATTTTTGATCTTTCTTTTGACGATTGAGGACTCAATCTGTGCGGGATTGTGCCCGGTATGCAAATGGCAGCCCCGAGCGTGACGGCACCCGTGAGTTGTAAACTGGAGTGTGGAGATCCCATGCTAAACGACAGGACGCGTATGTCGGCCATGCTAGCAGCCGGCTCCGGTCTCGAGACAATTGCAATCTTTGGTGTTCCCTGCGTGGCGGCCGCCGTCATGGTATCTGGTGCAAGTCCCATCATGACGGCGCCTATGCGGCGAATCTCCTCGATGACGTCCTTGTACTCTTGGGACTCTGGTGGGCGGTTCTGCACAATACCTGCGAGCTGCGTAGAGTCGACAAAAACAAACGGATTGGCTGCATCAATCAAGGTCGCCTCAATAGTAAAGGCTGGGAATATTGACGTTGACTGCACACAGAGTGTGTCGACTTTCCGACCCGTAGGGAAAAGAGCTCCCGTCAAACTTCCCTCTGGGTTTTTAAATGCCACCTGAACCTTGCTGCCATATTCGCGCACTCCAGGCAGCTGAAAATCACCTTCTTCTTGAAATTGGCCCATCTCATCCAGCTCCAGCGTTTCCACTAGGTGCTGAGATGTATTGGTGTTGAAGACTCGGACATCAAGCTATATTGAAGGGGGAATTAGATATTGGAGATCATCGATTAAGTCTGCAAGTTCCAAACATTGCATGAAAATTGGTAAATAGGCATACCGTCTTCTGACCTGGCGTCGTCTTTACTAATCCCTCCTGCACCGCAAATGGTCCCACGCCCGAGGCGATATTTCCACAGTTGCCACTAAGATCAATCTTGTTCTTGCCAACCGCGACCTGTACAAAAGTGTACTCGACATCGACGCCGGGGATCTTTGAAGGCGAAACCACGGCCACCTTGGACGTTGTCGAAGATCCGCCGCCAACGCCATCAATCTGTCGCGGGTCCCCACAACTTGAGCCCATGGCTGCCAGGAGCGGAGCGGACCAGTCCTCTGGGTGCGGCGGTAGCTGATGCCGGTGGAAGAATATCCCCTTGGACGTTCCCGAACGCATCATGACGGCCGGCGTTACATGTCGGCTTCTTTTGTTCTGCATTGGCTGTAATATGATGGGCGGGAACACGGGTAAGTGTCTTGCTGATACACTTAGTAGGCGCTGGGTACCTCCACGGAGTAGTGATGTAGAAACGGCAAACTTCCCCATTCGACTTGTAAGAACTCAAGAAAACTAAACAGAAGTGCGGAAATATTCTCGATTTTTTTATGTAATATCCGCTATAGCAAACGGATCATACCGCGTTTTTCAAGTGAGAAAATATCAAAGGCTGAAATAGATTTCAAACAACCCAGAAAAAGAATTCTTGCAACGCGCATTTCCGTTCCCATTTGAAACAATCCGTATTGTCATCGTTATAGAGGCGAATTGGTTATATGTCATGTCACCAATACCCAAAACGGTCCGCGGGATCTATCCACCAGCCTTAGGCGAATTTTGCTCCCGCGGCAAGGAGGTGGGTCTACATAGATCCCGCGTACGCATTACGCTTAGTCTCTTTCAAGCTTGAAATCACTTGGGTGCTCAGCAAGACCTAGCAATGAATTTTTCGCATGAGAGGTTTTTACTTAATTTCTCTATTTCTTTATATCCAACGGCAAGCATCGATACTATCTAAACCAGATCCATTGAACCCAAACAGGGGATCATCCAGACTCGCCATGGGAATACTATTTGCCTCTCCAATCTGCGCCGGGGCCTGAAGTCTGGTACCGTCCATTTCCGACGCGATTCTTAGTGTATTTTGAGGCGTCGGGAGTGGTACCAAGCTACCATGACCTGTCACCACATGTTCTTGGCCTTCGTTGAAAGAGTATTGTGTCGGTTGAAAGGCTGTATCCAATACATTCATTTGATCATTGGGCTGGCCTTGGCCTGACAGGAAGCTTTGTATAATACTGTCAATATCCAACCAGTCAGCATGGGGGGTGGCTGATGGATCCTCCTCCATATCTGGCGGCATCGGCACCTACCCGTTTTCATCTAGGCCCAAAGGCGATTGCAACAGCGCTGCTGAATCATCATCTCGGTCGTGCGATGGGTTTGTAGCCCGTCTGGCGCCGATATGAATGTGTGGGCCGTCATCACCCTCATCTACAACAACGTCCATCCGCTTCATGAGGCTTCTGATGACCGTGTTTGCCCTCTTTACTGCCCAGTTGGTAGATTCATTTTCATTAAAAACTGCCAGACAAGTCTCCAGGTTGCTGAAAATGGTCGAATCGTGGCGTCTCTTGGCAGCAATTCGCACATGTATAGTAGCTGCGACATATGTTGCATAGGAAATTAGATATGGTGCCCTGCTGACTGAAAACGCTGTATCGTATGCGCGTAGGAGCCCGACAATGCTCGAGGCAGCTTTCGCACAGGCAAGAAATGAGTTGACAGAGACGGCTCGAAGTGCCGAGTACAGGTGCCCATCAGCGACGAAAGGTCGATGGAGCAATATCACAAGCACATGATACATGGCGCTGAAGATAGTTGTGAGCGACGTTAGTTTTCCATAACTGGAGTGATGGACTTACTGCAGACTCAAAACATGGGGCGGCGGAAACGTGCTACCTGGTTTCAATGGGTCTAAATCTAGATGATGTGGTAGAGACTGACGCCACTTTGTAAGCCTTGACTGAATCTTCTCGAGCATGCTGGATAGGTCCAGAGGTGATTGCTCAAAGCTCCTCTCAGCGTAGATGGTGCTGAGGACATCGCTCATCACGAGAGAGAGCTTGCAGAGTGATTTGAAGGTTGATACACTGTATGCCGGTGACCCTGGATATGTGCGGGACTGCGTAGAATATGCAAACGGTGACCAGTTTTACAGCTCCTCATATGTATCGAGGAACTTGATCGGCACTAGAGTGTCTGATTCTTTGATTGTGAATGGTCGGCCTTGATAAAGACTTTGGATCTTATCAACGACTGCATAATAACTGTTAGGATGCACAGAAAAAGAGAGGGATAGAGGGACGGGAAAATATTTATTTTCGCATGAAACGTACCAAAAGCTCCCCAAAACACCCGCCTTCGAATCTCCAAGTCTTCGTCTGTGAATTGCCGTGTTCCTACAACATTGACAAGATCAATATGCATTCCCAGATCCACAATCATCCTCAATGCGAGTCCGGCATATAGCCAAGCCGCACTGCGCTCGTCGCCAAGAGCAAAAAGGGAATTTGTCATGATAAGAAGGGCTTGGATGGTGGTGATGTTGCTCTGGTCTAGCGCGCTACCTAGTAGCTGACGAACGCGCTCCCGAAACTTCCAACCAGCTGTACGCACATCCGTGGGATCCTTGCGAACTTCATGGCGGGGACTAAACTTTGATGCACCATAATAAATGGCATTGAGCAAAAGCTTTGAGAAATAAGGACCGCCACAAGCCATGTCCCGCATAAATGCTGGCCGATAGGTGACCAAGAAGGAATGGTGCTGTCGGTTCCAGTGAAGAGACAAAAGATGGAGCCCGAGCTCCGGGTCTAGTCCGTCAAAGTCAAGCTTTCCTGCTCGTAAGTTCAAATTTTCAAGTTGGCCTGGTATACTTATTGTTAATGAGACTTCTCAAAGAATCGAGATGGAAGTGTAACAAATGCTTGCAGGTGAACAGAAGGTGGAAAAAGCTCACGTTGCCGTAATGCATTTGCAACCAATCCCGACTCAATCACATCATCGGAAATTCGCGATCCAGCGTCCTTTGAGGGGTTCAGCTGTAAGTTTTCTTCAAACAGAGTGCTCGTACGACCATGGTAACGAGATTCGCCAGCCGCTGATACAAACATGCGTGGCTCAGCATTTTGATGATTACGGATCGTGTTTGAAACGGAACTAGATCCGGATCTGGGTGCATTCTGGTTCGAGGACGATGGTGGCGAAGCAGGCCTTTCCGATACGGCGTCTCTGCGAGTGTCGTTCGTTTTAGCCCTGGGCGATACAGTAGACCGTCTAGTCGAGGGACGCAGCCTTTGGACTGAAGCCGAGGCCGAGGCTGGGCCATGATCGATAGGCGTATAGATACACTCTTTTCCATATGTCTTGCAATTATTACATGTTGGCTGATCGTTACTGCATTTGATCTGTGGATCATTTGTGCGAAGTCAGCGCCAGTAGCATATGTGGTTGATGCAGCCGCGGCAATGACTGATTGGGTATTTGGTGTATGGTACGCAATCATAGACAGAGTACCTAGATTTCTACATACCTTTCGCCGTCGACAAAAGGTGCACGCTGCCGCGGCCCTCCGTCCAACGCGGGAAGACGGGCCGTCCGTCATGATGGTAGCGTTCCGGTTGCTGCACCACGAGCAGTGCTGATATGGTTCCGGGGGCACTTCTGTCGGTGCCAAGCGTTGTACGGCATTCAAAATACCGTCCGCGGAACACGGAATGTTATTTTTACCAAAAGGCGTTGCTCAAAAAATGAGAAATAGAATGAGGGAAAGCTCGCTTGGCTGCCGTGGGTATCCCCGCAGAAAGCTGTAGTGATCACGGGACGGAGGGGAATCCTCTCTGCTTCCAAGGCACTTGCCGCGGGTTGTGGGGCTCAACTTAGCATTCCGTGGAGGCAAATAGGAAATGGAATAGGTGTAAGGCAGTACGTACCATACCCGACTCGTTAAAGCACCAATCCGCCAATGCAATGCAAGCAAAACTGGTTATATTCGAAACAAAATTATCAAATATCACGCCAGACAAATTACGCGTCAGAATGAGCATAGGTATATAGTATCACGTGCAGTAGCGTGGTGGTCTGGTGCGATTGACTCGTGGCCATCATTCAGAATGCAGTCAAGCGAGCTCTGATTTGGGCTACACAGGTCCACCGAGGGGATCTATGCTTTGGAGAATCATTTGGCATGCTAGACAATGCCAGTTATGATCCGTGGATCGAGACGCTCAATTCAAGTACCCAGCAGATTGCGTTTGTTCAGTCTATGGTTGGTCTTGGGTTTGGATGGCTCATAGGTCTTTTATTCCGGTTCATCGCTAGCGATATCGAGACGCACGCAAATTCGACAAAAGTCAAAATTGATCGCCGGAGGCTCATCACGACAGACCGGTCAGATCTAATTGAACCACTGCTCAAGCTCCATGAGTCCGACGTAAGTGACTGGGCCTCTTGTTGTCTGATACTTTCTAATCTCATCAAATGAATAGAAATTGCCAATGCCAAAAGTCATCTCCAATGCTGGTACTCTCTTGGCAGCCGGCTCCGAGACAACAGCAACTCTACTGACGGGTGTGACTTATCTTTTATGCAAAACCCCAGAGGCACTGAAAAAGGTGACACAAGAAGTCCGTGCAGCATATAAATCAGAGGATGAGATCACGCTCATTTCTGTGAGCAAACTTGACTATATGCTTGCATCTCTTGACGAGGCCATGCGGCTATATCCACCTGTGGCCATGGGTTTACCGCGCACGATACGCCAAGGCGGAGATCAAGTTGCCGGTCACTTTCTCCCCGAAGGGGTGAGTCGTTGCAATCATCAAAATCCATCTTAATCTATGCTCAGACTGACCTATTCCCCCAGACTGTTGCTGCTGTTTACCAGTGGGCCGCGAACCGGTCAACGATGAATTTTCACAACCCACTCGCTTACCGCCCAGAACGCTTCTTGTCAGACAGACCTGCAGGATTTGACCGAGACCGCCGCGAAGCTATGCAGCCATTCTCGGTTGGTCCTCGCAATTGCGTGGGGAAGAATTTGGCAATTGCCGAAATGCGCCAGATTCTTGCCCGTATCTTATTCAGCTTTGACATCGAGCTCGTTGATCCGAATCTTGACTGGTTGCATGTGGATTACCAAAAGTCGTTCTTTTTGTGGGATAAACCTCCAATGGAGGTTTATCTCACGCCAGTGTAGAATTTACTTGGGTGGCATTCACATCTCATACCTTGCCTCTCCTGGCTACCATTTTCAAATTTGTACGAGGACTTCTCGACCACGCGATAATTGTGCTTAATAGGGTATGGAAACAAATTTTGCTACGCAAATCCGTTATCACAAAGCAAGCATGAAGGGCTTTTTTGTCCAAATATCAGTACCGAGGCTCAAGAATATATCACTTTAACCAAAATGCTTACAAAAGTCCAAGACATGAAGAGATTGAAACAATGGTGACACTTCATCTGTCAGTATTTTTGTTATTTTAGACCATGAAAGCGACGCAAATAGACCCTTGACTTCAGCGCATAAAATCCCCTTTGAGTTCTGTTAATTTGTGACACTGAGGGTCTTTGTTTTGCTCGGGTCCGTTTGAATAAGCCTTCTGAATGACTATAAACTATCCGTCCCTCATCATCGGAAAGGATGCTGTATTTGGAAATGGACGCTCAGTCTTTCCGTTTCGCGATTCTTACAATTTTGGATACTCCCGGCTAAAGCCCGGGTGCCCTAGTGCATTTATGAGAACATTGTGGCGGTCGGTGTGACACAGTACCCAGGTTTTCGGGATCCCCCATTCACTATCTGAGAGAACCTAGGGGTCAAATGACTGTCGACGTATGGTGGGATGCGGACGACTCGTCAATGACTACTTTGTACCAGGAAAGACAGAAATATGGGCCGAGACTAGGCTAGGAGGATTCCTCGCTCCAGGTTTCCCCATCTTTCTAGCCCGGGGTTCTGGGGAAGCCTAGTATAGCCCCCGCGGGTTCGTAATTTGATCCCGCGGAACAGAATCAGCACTAAGCGCAAACAAATGCCTACTACCACGACACAGGTGCAATCCTCTGTGTTTGAGTGGATAAATAACCAGTTCAAAAGCTCAACGATATATAACATGGCGACTAATCGCCATTGGAAAATTTATATGGCCTGTCTACAGGCCTCGACCGCAAAGACCGTTTGATATTCGTATTTATTTCTTGTTTTATTCATCATGAGAGCTTCAAGGCTAAACCAGAGTCTGAGCACTCCGGCTCCAAAGGAGGTTCATAACTTCCGTATATATATCTTGGCACTAATCAGTAGCATGGGTGCCGTGTTGTTCGGGTACGATCTCGGCTTTATCGGCACCGCGCTCGAGCTCGAGTCTTTCAAAAAGTGAGCACTTTCAAAACACGTTAGAAAGCATGAGAAGAAGAACGGGAAAAATTCGAATATTAATCCTGGACCAGAGATTTTGGAATTCTCAATTTATCAAAATCTGAGAAATCAGCTTTTGCGGCCAATGTTGTCTCTCTGCTGCAGGCGGGTTGCATCATCGGATCGCTTGGCGCAGGTCCCCTGAGCGATAGATTCGGGCGCCGGGTGACCTTGGGCATCACGGCTCTGTTTTACAACGTCGGCTCGGCCATTCAAACCGGTTCTCATGGGTCAGAGGCTATGCTTCTTGCCGGTAGAGCTATTGGTGGTGTCGGCGTAGGCGCCGCAAGCATGATTGTTCCGCTATATGTGGCAGAGGCTTCCCCTCCGCACATTCGCGGTGCACTTGTCGGCATATACGAGATTGGCGTGTCTGGCGGTACACTGGTTGGCTTCTGGATCAACTACGGACTATCCACAAATCTGCCTGCAACTTCAGCACAGTGGATTATTAGCTTTGCTGTGCAACTGATTCCTGGGGTATTTCTGATGCTTGGACTTCCATTCATTCCCGAGTCACCAAGGTAACTTGCATCGAGCCTCTTTTCTGTGAATGATTCAGCTTTATTGACTTTATTCATAGATGGTTAGCCAGGAACAGCGGCCAAGAAGCTTGCGTTCGTGTACTGCAGCGATTGCGAAACTTGCCTCCTGATCATCCATTTCTGAGGGAAGAGGTAGACGGCATTCTCCGCCAACTAGAAGTTGAACGACAGGTTGAGTGCAATACTGGACGTTTTGGTGTTATCAAAGAGGTGCTCAGGCCTGGGAATCGACAACGTCTGGCCATTGGCTCCCTCATGTTTATTTTTATGCAAATGGCAGGGTCAAACGCCATCAATTACTATTCGCCGGCCATCTTCAACAGCATTGGACTGACTGGCAGTAATACGGCTCTATTCGCGACTGGAATCTACGGACTTGTCAGGTTTATCGCCGTGATTATTGCAATGATCTTTGTCGTTGACCGTTTTGGAAGGACGACAACTTTAATGGTTGGTAGTGGCATTATGGTGAGTCTCGGTATATAGCGTCATGATTCAAAGGACGACACTAACGAAACCCAATTGCAGGCATGCGCCATGTGGTTCATTGGGGCATATATCAAAGTTGCATCACCGTCAGCCACGGCCAACACCGCAAAACATATTGATGGCGGCGGATACGCGGCTGTCGTGATGATCTACATATATGCCATTGGATGGTGCTTTTCTTGGGCAGGAATTCCTTGGATTTACGCTTCAGAGATCTTTCCTCTCCGCATCAGATCGCCCTGCGTTGCTATTTGTGTGACAATCCACTGGGTCATGAACTTTGTCATTGCACGGAGTGTGCCATATATGATAAGTAACATCAAGTTTGGTACATACTTCTTGTTTGCGGCATGCATGACAATTGCAATCCCCTGGGTCTTCTTTTTTGTACCAGAAACCAAGGGGTTGACTTTGGAAGAAATGGACTGTTTGTTTGCGATTGCATCTGATACAGTCTTGACTGAGGGAAAGGCGGATAAAGACAAGGCAACTTCCAACGAGATAGAAGACGCAGGAAGAGCTTCGACGCAAGTATAAAGGGAACAGCGAGTATACGATTAAAAAAGGAAAATGTCTTTCCTCTTCTTCTCGTCCCTCGAGATCATAAAATCCCATACGTACTGCACTGGTGCTGGACTGTTTCAAGGTAGTGGGTCCAGTTGATGCAGTCGTCCAGTTGGTGTAGTCCAGTTGGTGTAATACATCCGGGCTATGGCTGCAGTGGCTGTTATCTGCTTATCCGTAGTTGGGCACTGGGGTGAGCGAACCCCAACTTGCCTTTTTTTTAATCCATTTTGCAACAAGCGCCGCTATGGAGCTTCGTAAGCGAAGATCTTTAAACCTCTAGATATCACGTTAGTTGTAACGGCCGAGCTGCATCCTGGCCAAACAGCGCGTCTCTGCCGAAAAGATAACGACCGAGGAATGGAACGAGTACGGCGAGCTTAAGCAACACGTCAAGATTTACTACGACGAATTTTTCATTCCGTTAGCTGGGTCGCTTATGGCTTTTGCGCGCGACCTCCATATCTTCCCACACACGTGGGGATAGGGCTGACAGTCTGACAGTGAGAGAGAGACCAGTACCAGCGTAGCGTTATGGTACGCCGCATCTCTGCATTTAACAATCCATGGCCCTGCCATGTGGGCATGATGATCCTTCCCTTCCAGCCTGCCAGACATGCCTGCTTCACGGCAACAATACACGCGTTGCATAGATTCCTTCTGCTTTGCTTCTTGTTCGCAAAAAGTAGCTCACCCTCGTACTGGAGCCCCCGATTCCATTTGAGTGCCATTGTGACAAATACTATCTCCCGAAGAGGGAGAGCAGTCAGTGATCGTATTGCCTGCGCTCAGCAATGGGCACGAAAGACGAGAACGGGACAACGTCAACGCCGACGACGAAATTACCAGCTCCAGCCCAAGACGAGGGGAAGGAAAGCCATGGGACTGGCTCTAATGGGCTTTTGATGAAACAGCAGTCGTCGGTTTCCCCGCTGCCGTCGCTCCCTGGCGTCGCGCTTCACGTACTGAGACTATGGTCGGTCATTGCAGCACTCTATTTGGGTATATATCTCGTGGCTCTGGAGCTTACCATGCTATCGACCGTATTACCCACCCTGACCAATGAGTTCGGCACTCTCAATGACATTTCATGGTACGAATCCGCCTATGTTTTGGCACTGTAAGTGGCCCTTGGTATGGGAGATCTCAGCCTTGACCTGGCTCTGACGCATGACAGCTGTGTATTCATTCCCTTGGTCGGCAAGACCTACGACCAATTCCCCATCAAACTTGTCTACCTCAGTTTCATGGCTGTCTTTGAAGTCGGCCTCCTGATATGCGCCCTAGCCAAGTCCAGTCCCATGTTCATCGCCGGCCGCGTCGTGAGCGGAATTGCCTCGGCCGGTCTCATCAGCGGCGCACTGCTCATCATCGGGTCCGCATGCAAAGCCAACATCCGTCCGCTCGTGACAGGGGCAGCCATGTCCATGATATCCATTAGCTCGATGACCGGACCCATCATCGCCGGCGTACTGACGACGCGCGCTACCTGGCGCTGGTGTAAGCACCCTTTTCATAGCCATTTTCTTGGGCACTTGCAAAGCCACAGGTCGAATACCTAAGAACCGACAATTGAATTGATAATAGGTTTCTGGATGCTACTTCCCTTGGGCGCCGTCATCATGCTCGTGACCGGTGCTATGAAGCTCCCGGAGATCAGTCCTAGAGCCCCTGTCGTGCAAGCCCTGAGGACACTACACCGGGAGCTCGACCCGCTTGGATTTGCCCTCTTCAGTGCAGCGACAATCATGATATTGATGGCCATCACGTGGGGTGGCAGCCAGCTGCCGTGGTCTTCTCCGACCATTATCGGCTTGCTGTGTGGCGGCTTCGTCGTGCTGGCGCTCTTCGTCTGGTCCGTGTGGGTACAAGGGAATAGATCACTTATTCCGCCGTCTTGCCTCACGCGCCGCTCTGTCTATGTCGGCAGCATCGTCATGTTTCTGCAAGGTGGGGCTTCTCAGATCATCCCCTTCTTTCTGCCGCTTTGGTTCCAGGCCATCTTCGGGGATAGTCCCAACGAGAGCGCCGTACATGTATTGCCTTCGCTGATATCCATGGTGCTTTCACTCATCACTTTCGGAGCGCTAGTCCGGAAGATGCACTATGCACCTCCATGGGCCATCTTTGGGAGCCTTTTGACAGCTATTGGATCTGGTCTTTTGTCCAGGCTGAGGCCAGACGCCACGCTCGGCCAGTGGCTCGGATACCAAGTACTAACGAACATCGGGCGCGGAGTGGCTTTCCAAGTTGTAAGTCTAGCATCTCAACCACCTGTCTACGGATTTGCATGAACTGAGCATAATTTTACCTCTCCAACAGCCAGTCGTCTCGGTGCAGGAAGACCTCCCTGCCGCGGACTCTGCCATCTGTTTGGCGACGATCAATCTGTTCATGCAACTCGGTCTTGCCGTCTCCGTCTCAGCTTCTCAGACCATCTTCCGAAACCAGCTTCCACTGCTCCTCCACAAGTATGCACCTGGCGTGGATGCTCACCTCATCGCCGAAGCCGGCGCCACCAGCGTGCGAGAGCTTGTCTCGGCCACGGGTCTGCCTGGTTTTCTGCAGGCGTATAACCTTGGGATCACCGAGATGTTTGTAAGTAGCCTTTTCTGGTTTCCTTTCGGATGAAAGGTTATTTGATAATGATAATCCCTCTAGCATTTATCTACCGCAGCCGCAGGCCTGGCCTGCCTTGTTAGCATTGACTTGCCCTGGCAAGATATCGCTTCTAAAAAGACAAATGACGGTGTAGATATTTAGAAATGTAATCTTGGGTCTTAGAGGAAGGGAAGATGCGATGTAGGAGTTCAAACGGGGGCGTGCACGGCATCGGCGGATTGTCAGTTGTATAGCCGGCAGTGGAAATGGATATAATGCATATTCTCCTAGACGAGGGGATGCACCGCGCCTTGCGTAGAACGGCGGTACTGTTGAGAGTGCTTTGTTATCCTTGCCAACGTGCGTACATGTAGAGAGGAGTGGCTCTGTTGGCTCTGTACAGAAAGTCGTCGCCGGTGGTATGATCAGTTCTGAATAGCTTCCTCGACAGAAAAGCCCGGAATGCAATATGTCTATCGCTAGCATTGTATGCAAGACTCAACTCTCATGATCTAACCATCACTTCATTTATACATTAACCATAGTCAATGGTGACTCACCATGGCGGATAAGGCCGTTTGCTTCTATCATGGCCATCACAAACTTCCGATACGCGACGACCAGAATACGCCTCTTGTGATTGGATTTCGCATCCCGGCAGCAATCGGGTCGATTATTACGGTCTTGGCACTCATTCGTATAGGCCACACGATCCTGTAAATTTCCCCAGCTCTCACGGCGAGCGTCGTTGATCTTCTGGTGAAGCAAGCAAATTGCAAGCTTGTGGCGAACGGAATGGCAAATATGGACTGCCCGACCGTACGAAAGCCGACGTTTGAACAACTAGAACAGGGTGAGAGGAAAGCTGGCGACGACAACTTCTGTTGCCTTCCATTGGCGGGCGCCTTGGATCCAAATGAGATCGTCATCATGCTTCACTCCTCAGATCATGCTCCACTCCTCAGATCATGCTTCACTCCCGAAACTTGTCCGTAAGACTGACGCCAAGCTCCATGATATCCACTCTTCGCGGCGTACCTCCCATATTCTACCGTAAGAGCTTCTATATGGGCTCGGCTGGAAGCGAGCATAACGTGTAAAATCGAATGCCAAGACAGCTGTAAAACTTTATTTTGTGTGCCACAAGAAGATTCAATGTCGCCCGTACAGCAATAATAATCTTGGCGTTCGTATTGCTAATTAACCGCAGGAGGACTGCTTTGTTTTAATTTGCACCCTGGCGAGGATGTCATGTTTTCCCGTTAATAAGAATAATCTATGGATACCGAAAGCCTTTTTTGAGAGACCTCTGGCGTAGGGACACCCGCCGGCAACCGGGCAGCTGTCTTACAAGGATCGCATAAACGCAGCGCTTCCTGCCAAGCAGCATGCGCTTTGAGTCGGCTGGAGCAATGCCGAGGACACAAGGGCATTTCAGTGGCGATTAAGACTTCTTTCGAATCCAAAACTCCAACATTACCTTCTGACCATTGGCCCCGTCAAGCATAAGCCCGGCAGGCTTGCCCACGCATTTTTTATCAATGTTGTCATCGCCATTAGAGAGTATCTCGCACAGGTTCTTCAGCGCTATATTGCCATAATAACTCAAAGCTATATCCCATATTTATACTTACCCGCTCCCCACTTTTTAGCCTATCAGGCCGTTAAGCTTTTATTGTCATACTTAGAAGGTTTTTTTTAAAGTTGTTGAAATTGCTTGTCACAGCGCTAGACGCTATCGCTAAACAGCGAGTATACACAGTATGAAATCTGGGCAATAGCTGTGACGGCCCAAGGTGGACCCCGGAATTGCAGGACTCCCGAAACCAATGCAGTGTGGCTCCAACTTATTTTGGTCGGACAGCATTTCGTGTGGCACGGCTGGCAATGGCATGGCCTGCGTTATGACACTCCCGTTACTCGGGGGTGTTATTCTTCCTGTCCGGCAGGCTTGGAAGCCCAGGAAACGCACGCTTATGACCGTGGCTGCCTGACTTCTTTGACTCGTTTCGATTCAAGGACATACAGATCTTTATGTCTTCGTCTTGATTGTGTCCACCCTCTCTCGAGCCCTCGCAACTGGGTCCTGTCATGTTACTCCCCAAGCAATCATCAAAATTTCAGCCATGGTTCCAGTCCTACTCCTTAATCACCATCATTGGCTGTAACCTGGTGCTCGGCGCCATCGTTTTCTACTACCTATTTCGCGCCCCATCACTGGATTCCCTTGACATCCTCCGTTTCCAACAGCGTGAGCCGACCGCATTGGAGTCATATCTCGACCTTCTTGGCCGGAGTGGCGAATATCACCCTATAGATGAGCTGATTCTTGACTCTGACCGGACCTTGGACCGTCTACTCTTGGAACGGGCTACCGATATCAAGTCCGCCGCAGCTAATTATCGAGACCGTAGGGGCCGTCATCCGCCGCCAGGCTTCGATAAATGGGTGGAATACGCCTTGGCTCACGATGCCATCCTCGTTGAGCAATTTTTCGATCGTATTGATAAAGATCTTCGACCATTCTGGGCTCTGAACGCCACCATAACAGCCTCCCAAGCGAGAGATTGGGAACACGTCATAAGGGTCCGGAACGGCGCTGCGATCGGCGTTGGCGACGTCAAGGGGCGTGTTCCATGGTTGCAGCTTTGGACAGAGCTGATCGGCGAAGCTGCGCAGTGGCTTCCCGACGTTGACATACCAATCAACTATATGGATGAATCGAGAATCATGGCACCCTGGGACAATATCAACACCTTGGTACAGGTCGCAGAAAGCAACAAGTCGATAACCCCACCTGACGATACCCTACAGACCTACACTGGGCCCGGTCACACTGACGAAGTGCCAACTACAGAGTGGGTTCGGAAGGCTCGATTCTGGGACCTGGCCCGGAAAGGGTGTCCACCTGGCTCTCCCGGCCGAGATGCAGCTGCGATCCAGGATTTTTCTGAGCCACCACTCTTCCCGCACAACTGGATTCCTTCTTTCTCGAAAGATATGTTTGTCCAAAACTACTCAGCGTCGATGGATCCCTGCTTTCAGCCTCACCTTCGAAGTCTGCACGGCACGTTTGTCGAGCCTGTTACTCTGTCAACTTCGCAAACGCTTATACCCATGTTTAGTGGGTGCAAACTTCTCACAAACAACGACATCCTACTTCCTGGTGCCATGTATTTGACTAGTGATGCCCGGTACTCTGGGGGCAAAGGTCATGGCCCCCCATGGAGTCAGAAAACTGGAGGTGTTATCTGGCGTGGGGTAGGGTCAGGCGGCCGTCATACGGAACAAAATTGGGTACATTTTCAGCGCCACAGACTTTTACAAATGCTCAACGGCAGCACGGTGTCCGCCGTTGAACATGGTGCCGTTGCTCCGACATTTGTGATGCCCGACCCAGGCCTTCACAATATTTCAAGTAGTCGAATTGGCCATGTGGGCGAGTGGATTTCGGAAATAGCAGATGTTGGGTTCACAGAACTCCTCTGCTTTCCCCGCGGCGAGTGCAACTACTTGGCGCCCTATTATTCCGAAGTGGACAAGATACCAATGAAAAATCAGTTCACCCAAAAATACATCCCTGATGTCGATGGCAATAGCTTTAGCGCTCGATTTAGAAGCCTTCTGTTATCTACATCACTACCACTAAAAAGCACTATTTATGCCGAATGGCACGACGACCGGCTCTTCCCATGGCTGCATTTTGCACCACTAGACAACTCACTACAAGATCTATATGCTGTCTTAGACTATTTTACAGCTACTGATACTGAGAAGGGTGATGCGGCAGCCAGATATATTGCTGAATCTGGGAAGGCTTGGGCTGAAAAGGTCCTCCGGCGCGAAGACATGTTGCTCTATACTTGGAGGCTTGCGCTTGAATTCGCAAGGGTGTGTGACGAAAATAGACACCGACTGGGCTTCGTGCAAGATATTATATAAAGCAAATAATATTTCACTTTAATCTAGACCTATAATGATTCAATAAGAAAAAAACCTTCCATCAGCTTATTCTTGAAAAATCAGCTCGCACACATAATGTGATAAGTAAGTGCTGGTATCTGCATACGCCGTTCTTGTCATGATCCAGTGCTGCAAGGCAGCAGCACGTCGTCGGCGCAATTAAAAAGTCCTTCTTATTTGAGAGCATCATTCAGGCGTGCCTTGCAACAATTGGATTTGGCAGGCTTCCCATCCACGAGGGCTGTGGTCTTTATTTGTCTGTCCTCCTCTCAGCCTCTGCCATCCCCGATGGATCTATTGTCCCCTTCGTCGCCATCAATCCAGCAGTCACAGGCAGACGCGAGCATTGCTTCAAACACAACACACCAAATTCCGTTCCATCACCACCTTTGATTCCGCCTCAGCCATTAATTTTTCCTTCATCATGGCACCCAAAGAGATGTACGTGTACAATAAGTGTCGAGGGTCTTGTTAAACTATTACCTCCAACGGATACCACAGACTTTCACAGTTGACCCCCAATCCCTGAACGATGGACGGTGGACGGTGGACTTAGTGGCTTCAATTGATAACGTCAAGGTAGCATGGATAATCTCCCCAACAACGTCGAATGTAGTCCAGTTGTACCAAGTTCGCAAATCAAGTGGCTGTCTCTCGAGCACTCCAGTCGTGGGATTGACCCGTGCGCAGCGTTCTCTCATTCTCTTGATCAAAAGATCAATATAGTCGCGCACGAGACCCTCTTGAGCCCTCATAGAGCGATCGCTAAAGCCAAGAGCAAGGTGGCGCCGGATCAATGTATGATTGTCTTTTGTCTCGCTGATAATATCGTCGGGTGTACTGCCTTTCTTTAGATAGAAGTGCTTAGCCTTGGAATGTTCCGTTTGACCCCGTTTGTAAGAATAAATGTCAGTCCATGCTTGTGGATCAATGAAAGCCACTTCATTTGGAGCTAGTCGCACGACGGGTCCGTATTTCTCATGGAGGGCGAGGACTTGGTGGGGTAGACGGCCTCGGATATAATTGATGGACCATGGTAGTCGTGATATGCGCCACCAAAATGGGCCAGGAAACCGAGAGAGGGGATGCAAGAACAGATTATAGATGCTGTTCAAAATAACATAAAGCACAAACTTTACAATTATTAGTTATGCCTTGTCATCGGTGTGGATATTGCCATTCAGGAATCTTGGTGAGTTACTTACAATAGCCACTATAAGGGCTGCTCCAAAGAGAAAGTTGAAAGCCATTGATCACGTAGGCAGTTTACCAAAAGACGGTCAATATGAATATCTACTCCAGCGCTTGACTTGGAGCTTGGTACCCAGGAAACTATATTCACAGCGCTTATGGTTAATATATATTTATGTGTTCGTACTCATGTATACTGTAAGACGTAGAGTCGCAAGCGGTATAATGCGAGCGGGATTCATCTCGGGCCGAAACACCGCCGAGGGTCCGCCAGAAGTTCCCTGGAGTCCGCTAGAGCCGCCGATGCAACTAAACTTGGTCCACTGCTGGTGTTCGACACGTTGAGCACCAACCAGTCTCAACATGTCACCATCGCTAGCTGCGCCATGCCCGAAACAAGTTCCTGGACTGGGACGGATACTAATGTTGTGCATAGATCGCATTCAACTAGTATCGCAACTGGGCCTTTCAAGAATTGATAATTAGAGGACCACCAACGACATGACTAGTCTTGTCGCGTTGCAGCAAAGAAACAAACGTGATGCATCTGAAGCTACAAGCATACGAATCAAATTGCAAATTGTCGCATAAGCCGGATCTGTTCTTTCCAGTCTCATTCTCCAGCCGAATGCCAAAGTCACTCTTGTATCTACAATTGCCGAATTAAAAATGCAATATGGATTTGCCCCATGCATGCACGTTAATCTGAACATGTGCAACTATTCCGCCTGTCTACCTTACGGGTACCCTTCCTCCAATGCCTTCTATACGGCCGCTAAGCATGCGTCTTTCTCATAGCGCTCCAAGATAGGCCAGCCATGGGGTGCATAAATAACCACCAGTATGGGTATTGGGCCTTGTCTCCCATTCTATTGTAGAATTCGATTTCCCAAGACGTCGCGCGGGCTAATCAAGATCCAATTCAGCAAGCGAAACTAGTCCTTACACAGCTCGACGAAAGTAGCAATAGCCCATGCTGGGCAATCGCATCGCGAATCCAATTCTTTTTTTTTAAGGTGCGTACGTCGCATGGATCATACAGGATGCCTTTGCGGGCGGGAAATCCCCAGATAATTGAGGCACTCGCTCCAGTATACAATACCAAGCTCCGTGTCAAGCATGAACACTGGGTTCTCCCGGTCGCCGTACCCGAGGCCAACCACGTGCAGTGGTGTGAGATTCATCAAGTGCTTTTCCGACAAGATTCTCATCGCTTCCGCGTCATGTTCCACGCCTGTAAAATAGAGCTGCAGGTCGGCCAGAATGCATCCAGCCACGTTATGGGCATCGTTCAGGCAGTCGTTTGGGTTGCATAAGTAAGAGATGTGAGCGAGCAGAGGAATCGCATCATTCGTCCCCCCAAATCTCTTGAGTAGCCTAGGGTTCGGTATTGACGATGGACGGCCATTCATTTAAAGGAGGCTCTATAATTTGACACGCCCATGATACGAAAAGGTCGATGCAATATAGAATGTCAAGTCAACGATGAAAACCACGCAACTAGGGTAAAGCAGTTTATGCAGCCTTACCCCTGCACTTGACCTTAACCTTAAGTTAGGGTTAGATCTTGGTAGTATGCCGAACTAATTGAACCTAGCGCCCTGGTCTTGCTTGAGCTCGGCCAATCCCACCCCCATACTGCTGGCAATCGCGCAAAGTGGTTCCAAATGCTCAAGCTATTGCAGCATACACTCGGGGACAAACACTGTTGAAAATATAGAAGGAAAATGGGCCAATCAGAAGTGGAAGATAAATAGTAGGAACGTTAGAAAATCTAATTTTATACTACCGATCTACAGAGTTTTGGTGGAAAGCTATCTAATATATCAGAGCAGATGGTCTAGGTAGGTACTTATTACGTTACTGCCAAAAAAAAAAAGAAGGCAATATCAAACATGGCTTCACGCTTTTAGAAGCGAGAAACAATACCTGCAGCCTCTGGAATGTCTGCTTTGTGTCGTATTTGTCCAAAGGCTTCTGGAATAGCTGGATAATGTATCCTAATCATTTATATCGTGCATGTGCCAGGTAGATTTGTCGCACGTAGGTTTGACGGTTTCGGCTTTTCCTCAATTTCCACAATTTGGAAGCTGACGGGAGTCGTACGGATGAATGTAATTTCCAGGTCCAATTTTTCCCAATCAGGAAATTGCTGCGCTTGCGTTAAATGCGTCAATCATTTCTGGCGGAGATAAAAACTTACTTTCTTGATGATAAGTACGATCAATTTGTGCTTTGCTCGTATAAAACTCGCCACACCGACCACGAACGGAATCAATTGGCCGGTCGATTCAATGGTATGGACCCCCGTGATTTTGTTCCACCGAATGTTGAGTTCTACGCTCACTATAAACCAGATGGTTGCACCCACAATCCATGCGTGCCATAGACTAGTGACAACTACCCATCCTTTGGGGGTGCTAGGTATGATTAGCTAGACTTAGTGGAATGTTCATAATTTGATCTGAATACTTACCTATTCCTTGATGTGTCTTTGGGGACCACCAATTTTTCAGTATTCCCAAATCTAGCGCCGCTTGAAAAGAGGGCATAGAGTGAAACAGCCTGACCGGGCTGATAGATACTGGTTGGATCTTGCATTGACTTGAGCGCCTGAGAAACCATGAAAAAGAACTGTATGATAAAATAAAATGCGGGCGATCCGATCGAAAGGATCAATGGGAGATATTCATTATAGGTGAACGTGATACCCGCCCAGCTGACGGGTTTCTGCAAAGACTCACGCACCCGGTAGATTCCAGTAAGAATTGGGCCGCGTAATTTCGTTGGCACCACTGTCTTGAAAATCCACAAGATGAAATCGCTGACTGCGAGAGCCTCAAGGAACAAGATGAGCTGGTTGGATGTAGTAACAATGATGGACGCGATGAGCCCAAAGACTACAGCGATCGCCACTGCGACGACCTGAAGAAAGACCAGACGGGAGCCGCTCAACTCCCATGTAGTAAACATGAAAACAAAGCCATGCCCCCTGCAAAGACCGTCGGTGGGAAGTGGCGGGTACACTGAATTGAAGACCAGAATCGCATTCGTTATAACAACTATTGTTGCGATCGAAATTCTCCAGAACACACCAAACCAGGAAAGTGTGCCTTCCTTCAGGTTGTTCAGTTCACTGAGACGCAGAGTAACCTGGTGATCCGCGAGCCCACCAAGAATTTTGACCAAGCTAGGAAGCATTCCGATTGATGTAGCGCTTTCCATGTCGATATTCTCAATAGATATTAGCGACTTGGATTGCGACGATTCTTCGTTTCTGCGAGCGAAAAACGACAGCATTGATGACATGATCCTTTGCGCCCTGTAAGGATGCAGAAGCTGAAGACGCAGCCCAAAGATGCTCAGAAGGGTGAGCAGATAGCCAAAGCAAATTTGGAGCATCAAATATGCTTCAACATTGTTGATCGACTGATTGCTCATTGCCTGTAACAGGGCCACCATGATGGCAAATATGAATAGTGCGTTTGCAGTATGCGTCTCTCCAGAGGTTTCGGGATCCACTGTAATGCATAGCCAGGTGGAATACCACTGGAGGTAGACGCCGATTCGAATACCGAGACCATAAAGATCTGAATTGCCTTCAAAGCCAGGACAGGTGGAAGCCGTGTCTAGCTCCGATGTAACTGACATTTTTGCGCGTTTAGATTCCAGAATCAAGATTGAGAATGAAAGGAAAGAGGATAATGAAAGACAAGGCTCTGTGTGTTTCGGGGGTGAGGAGCATCTCTTATGCACTCTGTGGGCTTGCTTAAACACTGTCTTGGTAATCGCATAGCGCGGGGACTTGGTCCCGGAAGTCAAGTCCGGACTCTAACCCCCCTACTCGACTTGCTTGGTACCTGCATTGCCCCCTTCTTATCAACATAGGAAGTCAAGTCCGGCTTAAGAAAGCCACATAATCATAATTCTGGAAAACTTTCAATTCTGACTTGTTTAATCAAGTTTTGTTTTTAAGTAAATCGATTTGACGTAATCCCAACACTACTTGTTGGCCCCACTACGGGATGGCAAACCTAATCAAGTGTATATTACGAGTATCTGTCCAAGAAGCTTACAGCGAGATGTGTGCATCGCCACATTCCTATCTACGGCATCTAATGAACGAGTAAGAAGTTACCGCAGGAGAAAGGCCTTGACGAAAGTGCTGCTAATCCCCCAACACCCTGACAACATCTCGTCGAAGGAATTTTCCATAGCTTCTCCTAGTGGAAGTCACTTGTGATTGGGCGTACCTGCGCTGTGCACATTCTCGACTTGCATCGCATTCTCGACCTGCATCTCGATTCTGCAAAAAGATTCAAGGAAAAAAAAAAAAGGTCCTCAGAACGAATACTGCTAGCGCTTTGGAAAAAATGAATGCAAATACATTCATGTAGTTGAAGTTGGTGAATACCTACCTTAACCTAGCAAGCCTAGCAGGTACCTAGGTGAATTCCTAGCAGGTGATTAGCAGCCTGGCGCCGTGTACACCCATCACCCGTAATAACAACCGGGGCAAGACTTGAAAAAGAACCCGCGATCACAACATGAATTAGTCCCCAAATCTGAGCCCGAGGGCCTCAATCTCCCACAACACATAAGTTAGTCGCAGAGCTTATGCAACTCAGCCATCCGGCACTGCCAATCAGGGAGGGGATAGAGGACTTATTGGCGTGGGCGAACAACTCAGCTCGCAGGGAATAGACAGGTCAAGAAAGGAAGAGTAAGGTTGGAGAATACTGTGTGAACTCTGATTATTAACCAAGCTCACAGCACCTTCTCTTTCGCCAAAAACGATGGCAAATCTCAGCATATCACTCAGGATTCCTGACAAGTTCACGCTGTCAAGTAACATTTAGCTGTTGGGATTTGGCATATCTAGGCCCCTATCCGTCGCCATGTCGAAAAGTTTCGACATCGTACTGCGTCCGAGCTTGATTGTTCACATCGACGGGTTGAGTTGGGTTTTGCCTGCCATGGTTTCCTGGATAGGTAGGTATCCAAAATTGTATGGTCGTTTGTCACTATCCCCAAAATCTCATACCATCATGAGTGGTCGTAGTCATCACTCGGGCTACCTACGTCACACTTCGGGCAGCCACGTCTCGCCCAGCGTCCGACACAACGGGAGCCTGCTGACTTACCGTGAAAACTGTGGGAGGAAAAAAAAACAAAAAAGAACCTCATTATGCATCTCGCGCCCGACAAGCCAATGCGCATGTCTTATGAGGTCCCTTTCAGCCGCAGCGACCACACTACCCCAAGCCCCGCCCCGCCCCAGGTGCAGGCCTACAGGTTCTGGCCATGCCGGCAGCCGGCCTTGGCACCGCCATTATGAAGCCACTTGCAGGCGCCATTCGATTCAATCATCCCAGGGCTCACGTCGCCGCTTGTGAGCACTGCCCTGTCAGGGAGGAGGTTGAAATTTTCGCGCATGCACACAAGCCTCGTTTCCCCCGGAGAAGGACAGGTAAGAAGGGAGGGCAAGAAACGGAAAATGCCATATGCAGTTTATCTTCAGAAGACTGGACTTCGCACGCTTAATTATGAGACTCGCGATTCACGCAATGTGGTTGTGACAGAATAGTAATCATTATTTGAAATAACTGAAAGATTTGCATACCTGTAAAACCCTATCTACAAATTGGACTATATCCGGAAACGTGGTAGAAATTTCTCACCTCATCCAATGTGAGGGCCAACATAAAACCGAGCGAGGGACTAATACGACCTGTATATAAAGTAAAGAGTAGAATTAAAGATCGTCTACATCTACGAAATTATGTTGTGAACAAACAGACTTGATAACTCATCCCGTCGTGTCACACAAAGGGTGCCACACTACACAGCCACGCCGTGGCGCACAAGGGCCCGTATGAAAGATGTTTAAGATGATCCTACGAACTACAAAAGAAAGGTGGTGCTGAAGAGCAATCAAATATGCCCGAGCGAGTGACCTACGGTATGTACTAACTACGTCCGTGCAACAGGTGTATATATAGGTTTGAATGGTTTCGTGTCTATCCGACCAGTTACAAACTCCAGATCTTGGATTCCCGTTGAACTTGATAATAGACGGCCACCAGCTTTTCTGTCCTTAGAAACATAGTCATCAATGTACAAGTACGAGCCCCTTGTCTCATGTTTTAAAGCAGCAACCAAGACGCTGTGTGCTATCCGGTTAAAACCATTTACGCCGGATCTCAAGTCAAATGTTAGAGTATACGGGATCGAAAGAATGATAAGCAGGTTGTGGCCGTACCAGATGAAATCATGGGTGCTCTACAGAGTGCCAAGCATTGCGAGATCGCTTTATCGGTCCTCGGGGTCCGAGTAAACAACTCGCCTTGCTATGTTGATCCGTTTGCTTTCTTTGCATGACTCCCTAGCTCGAAGATTGGGTGCGCAAATCAGTGAGGCTATCTAGGGCACATCTCCAAAATTAGTCAAAGTATGCCCTTTGAGGGGGGCAGGAATTAGTTCTACCCAGACATGAGCGTCGCAAAGACTCGAAAGATCTGCACTGCTCATGTCTAAAAGCTCAACGGCTGCGCTTTCATAAGAAGAGCATTAGTACCATCTAGGTGAATAACTGTTGCTGCTAGAGCTGAGGCACACAATGGCGTGATGCGCCAGCAAGCCGCCAAGATCAATTTAAGAATGCGTCCTGACCATGGTTTATTGAGGCACATTGCTTATATACAAACAATTAAGATTTTTTGCCATCTTTGATGATCCACACTGTTTGTAATATGTCACCAGGTCGTGGCACCTAAACCTTCAACTCTCAACAGACCTCGGCTCAATTACTAAACATCCTCCAGCATTTGGGTTTACTGGCCCGAAATAGATGGGTGAGCCAGACTGTCTTAAAAGCTCTTTGAATCATTCGTAGGCTTTCCCATCTTTACCAAAATTGTGCCGTAGCACAAGTAGTAGCTTCTAGAAGTGACACCAAATGCCTGCCATCACATGCAACGGCTCAACTTCGAACAGCCGAGGTGGAGTAGGTATCCACTGCATTATAACCTGTCCCAACAATTTGGCTCTCGCCCATCACCAAAGGGCCGACGCGATGGGCAGAAGGGAGGCAAATAGACTGCCAAGAAAAAGAAAAAGAAAAAGCAGAGGCAAAAAATGACCGAACTGATGAATATAATTGTCATGCCTATACTACTACCTTCGCCTTTGAAGAAGTTCAGTCATGTCGATAACAACAACACCACTCATCGAGCACCACTCCTTAACGCTGAAAGATGGATGCAATCATTCAACAAAGCCTTTGGTCCATCTTGGCCTTGCCGATTCTATTGGGATACTTGGTACTCGTACGATTATTTCGGTATCGACGCGCAGACGACATTTCGTCCGAGTATGGCCCAGGAAAGCGACCATTATCTAGCATGACATTGCATGAAGCGTTTTCTATTATGCGGTAGCTACAGCAACTAGAATTTCCACACGCGATGAATAAAGCAAGGACGTTGGCTTTGCTCAAAGTAATGTTTTCCGCCCAACTTGCACATTCCAAGCGCTGATTTGTTTCCAAGGCTGGTGGAATTCCCACCATGTCAAAGTTGTTTGCAGTGACCGGGCAGAATACAAGGAAGAATGCAGGAAAACGTGCGGTAGATACAGAAATCCTTATTCGAGAGGCCCAATCGAACCCCCATGATTCGCAGCGTTATGTAAATTCGGTCGCGCGTATGAACTATATCCACGCCCGTTATCGAAAGGCAGGAAAGATCCTGGATGACGATCTATTACATACCTTGGGGACTAATGTTGTTGAGATTTTCAACACCGTTGATATCTCTGAGTGGCGTCAGCTCAGCGCTGTGGAGAAATGTGCCGTTGGTATTTCCCACAAAGTGCTTGGCGAGGACACGCTGATTCCGTACTCGGCGCTTCCGTCCAGCTCGCATGGTTGGACGGATGGTCTTCACTTTGCTAATGAGCTCTACGAATGGACCATCGGGTACGAACAGCAGGTGGCCAAGCCTGTCGCGACAGGATATCAGTATGTACGGATTTACGTGGACGGTGCAACGGCCGCTTTACCAAGACCGTTCACCACCCTTGTGCGCAAGGTCATTGCCTTCGATTTGGACAAAACTATAAGGATCAGCCTAAGGTAAGTTATATACGAATCGTATCACAACAGCATGACTGATATCATGATAGCATGGGGCGCCCCGGTGTGTTACTGTCGCTGTTCTTGAGATCTATTCGAGGACTACGAAAGATACTGTTACGGCACGTATGCCTACCACGGCCCAAATTTCTCGCGGTACACAACATATCGCAACAAGCGAATCCAGAGACGACTTTATATAACTTTGATCAGCTGACTCTTCAGCCCTGGCACGTGGAGCCAAATGCTTGGAATACATGGGGTCCGAAGGCACTCCTATTCAAGGCATTCGGTGGGAGGAGGCCCGGCTCGCGTGGTGATAGGTATCATCCGAGAGTTTATGATCTTCAGACAATTGGTCCAAAATCTCAAGAATGCAAAGGTATCGAGGACATGAATGCGACTATTGAGTTCCTGAAAGCGCGAAATATGAATCGCTGTCCATTCTCAACCACATGCGCTTAGTTTGTTCCAGCGCAATGCCCCTGGGGATTCATGAAACTTCTTCGTGGTTTTGGAAGGTTCATTAACAGCAGATAGAAATGTTACGATTGCAGAGTAATATTGATGGTCATAATATGGTCATAGATCAATTGAGCAACAACCATATGCTTCGGATGACTCTTGGCCACCCCCAGAAAAGTGCAAGATAGATATCAAAGGCACTTAGATAGGAGCCGATCGCATGTTTTCCCCACTAGGATCCGATATGTTCCATAGAAAATCCAATGAGTCCAATTCCAATCCCAATGACAAGAAAGGATTGTCAGAGTCGAACGGTGCTATTGTGGGGTCGAACGAAGCTGACCACCATTCTATATCGCCATTTCCATACCCAGAATGATCACCATCGTTGTGGTCCATTGTTCCGGGTGCTAGGCCGCCCATTCGACTTGACGGATCATGATCGAGAGATTGATGTGTGCATCGCGTAGAATTTGCGGAGGAATCTACGTCGACGTTGACTGCATCGGCTGAAGTAAGAGACGGCCGAAGCCTTGCGACGCGACTCTCAATCAGCATTGCGTATCGTGGTGAGAAATCCATCTCATCAATGGGGGACATTCTCAATGCTCTGATAAAACGATCGATCACGCCCAGTTGAACTTCAAACTCGAAATAACCTAGACCGTGACCAATTGCCTTTGACAAGAATAATGCTTTCAGGAGAAGCACGGAGGCTGAAGTTGCAGATACTAGTGTTCGCGATGGGCAATATCTTAACATATTGAGTCCGGCCAAGTCAATAGCAATCTGTAAAATCTTCGTAGTAGATGTGATCACGTCCAGGATGAAGATTTTATCTTTTGATGTGGTGCATAATTCCAATGATCCACCACGGCAATCTTTGAGATCCCGAATCCCTCGAGCCAGTGCTCTCTCCACAATCGCCTGTAAAGATAGCCCGCGGGTTGAGGCTTTGAGATGGTAGTACTCTATCGCGAGGAGAGATGAAGAGAGATTTGCAAGTTCTGAACAGCATTAACCAACGTAGAATACCCTGAACTAGAGTGATCGAGGCACTTACTTGGTGAATCCTTATAGAATCGTTCCTGCCACTTTGTAAAAAAGGGATCAAGGTGCTCAAGGATGATGGTATGTCTGTCTTTGAGCACTAGATCTTTTATCGTATCCGTTGATTGAAAGAGAATAGTTGTAGCCAGTCTAGCAAGACGCGTGAGCTCAGTCCAAAGCTCTAGGTACAGCTGACGTGGAGGAACAGTTGTTGCTGTTATTATTCGATCTGGATTATTGAACTCGTAGTTTTCCGGAATCAAGCTGGGACGGCCTAATTGTGTGGCAAGCTGAGTCATACGATTGTAGAGAAGCCTCTCTATATAACCGAGACGAGATATTTCACTGCTTCCTGCTCCAACACTCTTGGCTGATGACTGACAGTATAAGCCAAGCTCATAGGCTAGACTGGTCGCCAAGCCAAGAAGCATCCAAGACATCCTTTCGGACCGTTTGGCAGGTTCGAACACGTCTTCTCGCCAGCGAATCAATGGAACCCTACCTTGGTGGTGTATGCGATTGCGACGATCGTAATCGGGTGAAATTAGCTCGCTGTCCCAACCTTCCGTCTCTGGGGGAAAATGCAAAGCTCGGGGATGCCAATCTGCAATCAAGAGAAGCGCCTCTATCGTCCCAAGCGTTCTGATTTTGGCAGTAGAATGTTTTTCTTGGCCAAACATGACCCGGCGTATCAAGAGCTCACAATACTGCCAGAGCCTCTGGTGTATGAAGTGACTCCGCGCTAGTCCACCAGGTCCTGGAAGGATGAACCAGCGCGACGAAATCATAAGAATTGTACAACACAATAAAGGCTCCTCACAAACTAGTGCAATGTGACTATTATGACTGCCCAGGTTATCGGTTATAGCCCCAGCTGAGTTCTTAAAGTATTCATGAAATCTAGTGAAAAAGTCAGCCTCGATTCCTGATTAGCAGGATTTTGGTAAGAAATTAAATACAAATCCACATAAGTGATTGCTTCTTGGGCAGTGAACCACCCCTGTCGTACGAATCGACATTTATCCCAGAGATCATAGGTGGAGACTTCTGCTTGGGTTAGGCGATTGATGAATGCCCCATACTGCGCAGTAGATTCGCATCGGATCTCGATGCTAGGGTTCGTCGAGCCAGACTTTGCATAATCAGGTATATTTGTAGGCTCTGCTTGCAGAGACGTCTCAGAAGACACAGCTACAGCCTCGTTGAAAAGACATTGTAGAGCGTTGTTTGCATCCTTATCTATGCCCATGCCAACTTCATCAGCTAGGAGCGGCCTAGGAGATGCTGCGGACCCTCGACTAGTCTGGACGGAAGATGATTCGCCGACCCTTGTCTCTGACTCTGGTGACATGCAACCCGTAGCGGGCTGATCTGTGGCCTCGGTTGAGACACGATTCACATCGAGTCTTGGAGAATGAGACTCCGAGTCTTGAGGTCGAGCCCATCTCGGTGGATCCCGATGCTTGCGAGTGGTGTGAACGGTATTGAAAATGCATTCACGATGCTCCCTGGCACATTTGGCACACGGAGGCTGCTGTCCAATGACACACCTGACTTTCCGGGCTCGGCAAGCGGTGCAGGCGACATAGCCGCGTCTGAAGCGGGGCTCGGCAGGCGAACTTGGCATCTGCTGAGCAGTGCCGGCTTCAGGCATGGCTATCAACTCATTGGGTGTTCAAACCCTGATGCGGAGAGACGCGATCCGTAAAATTTTTCGATGAACAATTCTGAAAGGGTTCGGAGAAAGGGCAGCCAGGATGCCCAGTGAAATAGCACAGTGGCAAGTTGCGGCCCGAACCCGCTTCGGTCCGTGTTGTGCCGCTCCTGTCCGCAAGTGGGCCCGCTACTTACGGGCCGAGAGTATGCGATCAAGGAATTATGGTGCACCTAAACATGTGAAAAGAGAAAACCACAGATTACGCATGCAGACACTTGTTTCACAAAGGATCACAAGACCTTGGTAGGCTGTAAAATAACCATGAGTGAACACCTTAAGTCGCAGAAAAAATTCAAAGATTGATTTGGCTAGACTTGAGAACTTGGTCGTGGAGATGGTCAAAGCCTAGGGACGAATAAATGTAGTATCTCCCTGTCGTGCAAATAGAGGGTGAGCAGTCGCCCATGTCCAATCTTCGGACAAAAACAAAGGTGTATCCAGGACCATCCATCCATCGTTGTCTTTGCTCAGCTCCCCTTTATCAGTTTCGTCTGTAGACAAACCAAAAATGTCCGGATATTCTGATTTTGCAACGGTTGACCGATCAAAGTGCCCGTGCTCAATAGTAGTTAAACCTAGTGTAGCTTCTCTCGGTGATGTGCCACGAATAAGCTCGTCCACTGGGCTTTTTGTTCCAACCATGCGCTCCTTGTCGAAACTGTACTGGTTGGCGGTATCTTTGGTTGCAATGTCCTCTGCCTCTCGGGATTCAACCTTGTTCACGATAAATCGAGGCGAACTAGGAGAAACATGGCGAATCGCGCTTTCGTTCACACTAGTGCCAGATGCTCCCGATTGATGAATGTTTCGTAACTGTGTGGGACAGTTTCCCAACCCATCGTCCTTGTTTGTGGCATTTTGTCGTCTTCGCTTACGTGAACGACAACTCCGACGCTTTCGCTGCGACACCTTCACCCTCATTTTCAACGCTTAGAAATTCTAGAGCAAATAGTTGCTCCAATCCCGCGGCATACGAGGTAGGTAATAATGGAGAATCAAATTCAGATACTTCCAGTAGTTTTTAAATGAACTGGGGGGGAGAGCCCAATTACAAAACTCGACGTGAATAGTTCCGATAATAAAGTGTTTTATATAATGCTATTTTAAGTATGAATTTTGCAAGATCGGTTTGTGAGTGATTGCCTGTATTTCCTAGGCGAAACGGTTTTATATCCTGTAAAATGGGGCTAATGCCGTATTAACGTATATTAGTAAGTACCTAGTAGTTCATGTTATGTCGGGGCTCATAAAGTGGCCTTCGTGGTTGCTCGGTTAAATCTGCCACGTCGATCCGGATATCAGATTGATCCTTGCATCGAACTTGAGACGCTCGAGGGCGAGCAAAAGTTTTAATTAATTTGCGAATATATTTACGAAAGACTTTCTACGAAATGTCAAAGCTTACATTAATAACAATAAATACGGCCGAGCCCGGTTATTTCTTCGCATTTTTAATTATTCTCCCCTACCCAAGGAACCCTCGCAGATCACTTGCTCGAGTATATCAGATAGCTGTTCAGCACGTCTCTTTCACTAACCGCAAAAATCAACTTCGCCATTTTTCAGGCCCTCCTTCGATCACATCCTCCCCTTCAATTTATCCTAGGTGAGATATTTATGCTGTTGTCTCATTTCTCACGTCATCAGACGAAAGTCCTTATGCCTGTCTCCTTCAGTACTCACGTCCACTATCACCCCGACCTGAACGTGGCCAAAATTGGCATCTTTGCTTTTGTTCTCCGCATGATACATTAACGACAATGCTATGCCAATAGGCACAACCAACCCTGAAAGTCCGCAGCCGATAGCACATCCCCGAACGTAATTTGGTCTAGTTTGTAAGCTATTAGCATTGGATGCATAAACATTGGCCATTCACTCACGAATCTTCGTCAGGAAACACGAGCGACGCGACAAAAGAAGAACATTGTCCGACAATTGCTAGTATCGACATTCCAACACCCTTTTTGGTCTCTCCCGCATTGTTATTTAGCATCCATGTCATATTTACAGCAAGGGCTGGAAAGATTCCACAAGCTGTGAGCCAGACGGCCAAATATCGAACACTTGTCAGTTGTTGAGTAGCAAGAAGGGCATATCCAGCTGAACTGATTGATGCCGTACCAGCGACGAGTAAGCCTCTATGCCCGTATCGATCGGATAGCCAAGCTATTAGCAAGCTGACAAAAAATGCACCTAGGTATACCGGGGCAGTCAGGCCCTGCGCGTTTATCGAATCATAACCCATATTATGAATGATAGTTGGAAGGAAGTTTGACAGTGCTGTAAAGGAGTAGTTGCAGCAAAAATGTAGAATAGCATGGGCGTAGTTCTTGTAATCTGTGAGGCCGGCGATCAGCTGCGGCCTAGATATGACGCTCTTTTTTGTCGTATCACGGGTCTCCATTCGCTCGATTGCCAACGTACGTTGGTCATCGTTCAGGAAAGCTGCGGTATTGGGATGATCCATTAAAAGAAACCAAACAATTGGAACCATCACAAGAGTGGGAGAACCCTCTGTTCTCGTTAGAAACCTGGTGTTCGAGTCTGAGGGAGTCTCACAAACCAATGAGGAATAGCAATCGCCACGGCTCCAAATTTGATTTGATGTGAGTTATCCCATACGCCATTGCGCCCGCAACACAGTTTGCTATCGGGCTTGAGCCAAGAAGAAATGAAAGGCGCAAACCAAGCTCACGTCGTGTGTAGAACAGGGAAAGGTAGTAAGGCACGCCAGCACCGAAGCCAGCTTCAAAACACGCCAACAGAATCCGACAGGCGATAAGCCCTGCAAGGTTGCGTACGAGGCCGGTCATCATCGCTGCAGTACCCCAACTGTCACTTGGTCAGTATTTACTGTGCCGCACTGCCTCCAGTTTGTCTGCACTCACCCAAAACATAAGAATGCCACGTATATATGGGCTGGAAAGACTTTCCAGCAAATGACTAACCACTCTAGACACGTGTACGTGATGTAGAAAGACAGGAGAACCCAGGACCACTTTTGAAATATGATTCGTATCAGACAGTGTTTACCTTAAAAATAACAGAGAGGTCTCTTCTACCTGAGAGCTGCTAAGTTCAAGAGTCACTTGTGCTCCAGCAGTCTTTGCATTGCCGATATTGCCTCGATCAAGATAAGATAGGATGAAGAGAATCCACACAAGTGGTAGAACCCACTTGTCATACTGTGAATCGGAATCATATGTCCCAACGGTGAGCAAAGAGCATAAACCATCGAAATTATGTAGGGACAAACCTTTTTGCGTATTGTGTCCTCATTTTGCTGCCGTATGCTGAACGTCTGAAGATCACGGGTTATTGCACCCTCAATGTCCGGTATCTTGGACTCTTCGCAAGAAGGAGACATATTCACGAAAGGCCAAATTCTTAGCTGAAGTTATCATCAAGATTTGAGAGGTCATGAACGATTCGACTGAAAGTTTAACTGGTCTATTTGTAGTGATATTCATTGCCAAGATCCGGGGGAATTAGTTTGGGGATGCAATCTGGGGTAAAGTAATCCGGGGTAAGCAACCCTGGAAAGGGCAGTTTTGACGTGAGGAAGAACAGGTTCATAACACGACGGGCTTCTGCGGATACACACGGAAACGTTCGTATACGAGAGAAGGGCTTTAACAGAGCCCTTATGTACAAATAATGTGCTGGCATAAGCTATATAGGCGCGCGGGGGCCCGGGGGGGGCCGCGGGTTGGTCTTGATTCCGAGTCATGAATAAGCTATGGTACGAATAGCGGCTTGCAGCTTTAGCATAAGCCTCTGATGGATATCAGTAGCTATTCTATCTTACAGCTGAAAATTACCACACAATCACCACTATATCCACTATACAATAGTTGAGACATGATGGATATGCTCTTTGCGTGAAAGTCCTTTCTTCAAGTCAAGATGAGAAGAAGTCTGCATTCACGGTTTTACGTTGGAAAGTATCGCAGATAGAAATGGATGGTGACTCGTAGCCCAGCTCAAATATTACCTGGTAAATTGATCTTAGGTGTTAGCAATGCAGTGACTTTAGTATAAGAGACCAGCGCCATTGTCCGTGTCCAAGTCTAAACGCGGATCCATATTTGAAAGAATAGGCGGATAGGCACGGGAGGTCTCGGGCTCGGCATATGGGGCTCCGTCAATTCTGTTTCCCGTGTCTCCACAAAGCGCGTTCTAGATTATTAGGTAGGTATACTTGAGTTCCTCCGCCCGATAATTGGAGAAAATTTGACCAACCAGATGGATTTAATTCCGCATCACAAATTACTTGAAAAAATACAATCAATTTCGAAATATCGTCACTGTATTGCAACCCCTGTCCCTCATTCGGTTATCAGAACAATTGCTCAGTTGAGTAGTTCATCCAAGATGATCGAGAAAAAATCATTCGAGATTGCTATTCTCCCAGGCGATGGCAACGGACCAAATCTCGCCCGGCAAGCCCGCCGCATATTTGCAACGATCGAGAAACACAGACGCAACTACAGCTTTCATATTTCGGAACATGCGATCGGCGGTGCAGCGTTGGACAAGGGACTCCCTGCTCTCCCTGCAGAGACTCTTAAGGCTTGTTTGAGGTCTGATGCAGTAATTATATGCTGCTGCGGGGGAGTGACTGAGCACGCTCATGCCCCGGAAGAAGCAATTCTGAAGCTACGAAGAGCACTAGACGTGTATGCCAATATCAGGGTCGTCCAGTTCCCTAGCACGAATCTTGTATCGCGTAGCTCATTCAAGAAGAACATGGTGGAAGACTTGGACATAACATTCGTTCGGGATATGTCTGGAGGTGCATATTACGGATCCAAACAAGAATCCGACGATGAGCACCATGTCGCCTACGACACAACCGAGTATTCCCGAGAAGACATTGAGAGACTTGCGGTGTGGGCTGGGACTTACGCAATGCAGACGACTCCTCCCAGAAACGTACACTCAGTCGACAAAGCAAATGCCATGGCAACATCTCGTCTTTGGCGATCGACGGTCACTGATGTTTTCAAAACCAAATTTCCGGCGGTAACGTTGAACCACTTACTTGTGGACGATGCGGCGGCCTTGCTGTCCAGCACCCCAATGAGTCTCAATGGTGTCTTACTCACGGAAAATCTCTTTGGAGACATACTTTCTGACCAAGCTGGCGGGATCATCAACTCGCCAAATGTACTGTCATCTGCCTCTGTATCTCACCTACCTGGCCACTTTCTTGAGAATTCTTGTGGCATTTTTGAGCCCCTGAACTTGAAAGCGGGTCAAAACGGTCACGACAATCCGATAGCGATCATTCAATCTGTTTCCGATATGCTGCGGCTCGGCATTGGTCTTCACGCCGAATCCGATGCTCTGGGTCATGCTCTGCGACGAACATTGGACCCACCTGAACTCATTGGTGCTAATGTGCTTACCAAAGATCTCGGTGGCACTGCAACAGCTGATGTTTTCATGGAAACTTTGCTTGAGCAATTCGGGTTTTTCCTTGAAGCGGCAAACTCAATTGACATGGCGACGGTGCAGGACGACTCTATTCTTCCTCCCGCCAAGCAATCACAACGTGATCACCACGTTCGACCAATGGGTGTAGTTGAAAAGATCATTACGAATGCTGCAATCGGTCTTGACGTACCTCAGGTGAATGTTGGCGATATGGTAGCCGTCCGTGTGGATTGGACGGTGACTTCCGAGCTCCTTTGGGCCGGAATGGAAAAGACATACAACCAAATGAACCGCCCGAGACCGTATCGCAACGATAGAATCTGGCTGGCCGTCGATCATACGGTTGATCCCAGGACCAACCATCTTCCAAAGCAAAAGGGGCTAATTGAAAAGGCCGAACTCTTTCAGCGAGAAGCAAAGATCATCGATTTTCTTCCAGCAAATACCAGTATCATGCACACCGACTTCACTCGCGAAAGAGCCCAGCCGGGCCACATTGTCGTCGGCAGTGATTCCCATACCTGTTCCGCGGGCAGTATGGGCACCCTGGCTGTAGGGTTTGGTGCAGCCGATGTAGTAATGCCTTTGGTGACGGGCGAGACTTGGTTTCGTGTCCCAGAAGTCTGCCGCATCAACTTTGTGGGCAGTCTCCCGTGGGGCACTTCGGGCAAGGACGTCATTTTGCACATCCTCGGACTATTCAAACGCAATACTATCGCATTCCAGAGAGCCGTTGAATACGGAGGAGCCAGTTTGAAAGAGTTATCCATGGATGCAAGGTTTGCCATTGCAAACATGACTACAGAGTTTGGCGGCATGGGAGCATGCTTTGAGGCTGACGAAATCACTGCAAGCTGGCTGTCGCGTCGTAAACTACTTCAGCACAAGAACCGAGGTCTTTACTTTCGAGCTGATCCTGGTGCCCAGTATTCTGAGGAGAGAACCATCGATCTCTCTAATGTTGCACCTACGATCGCTCTGTATCCGAATCCCGACGATGTGGTGCCCATACATACAAAATCAGGCATGAAGCTAGACGGCTGCTTCATAGGAGCCTGCACCACTACCGAGGAAGACCTCGTCATCGGTGGACTAGTTCTTGAAGCAGGACTGAAAGCAGGTATGGTGCCGGTGAAGAAAGGAAAGAGACGCGTTACACCGGGCAGCCTGAGCATCATCAAGTCACTCACGGAGAATGGAATCATAGAAATCTACAAACAGGCGGGCTTCGAGGTTGGGGCACCAGGTTGCTCCTACTGTGTTGGTATCAATGATGTTGATGTTGCTGACATTGATGAAGTATGGCTTTCATCACAAAATCGCAACTTTCGGAATCGAATGGGAAAAGGAAGTTTCGGCAACATCACAAACGCCGCTGCGGTGGCAGCCTCCAGTTTTGAAATGCTGGTGACAGATCCAACATCATTAGTCAATCAGATCGACAAGGAGAAGTATCGCAAGTACACCCAACAAAACTCAACACAGTCTCGAGAAGCGACAGAAATTCAAGTGGCGCAGCCAGAACCCTTGGGTCTGAAAGAGCCCGTAATATTTGACGGTTCCAATGTTGATTTGGACGTCAACATACCCAAATCAGCCAAGGTGATCAAATCAAGGGTTCAACGTTTCGGAGATAATGTTGATACGTAAGTGATATCAATTTTCGTTCATTGCCAAAGTATTAATCATATATGATCAGAGACGCTATCATTCCGGCAGAATTCATGCCTGGTAAAGACAACAAAGATCTTGGCAGTCACTGTTTTGAATATTTCCGGCCAGACTTCCGCCAGAAGGCACATGATGGTGCTCAAATCATGTGAGTTGCTCGTAGCGAATAATCTGATTGATATTGATTTCCCGCAGTGTTGCGCAAGACGGTTTTGGCAGCGGATCTTCTCGTGAGGATGCAGTCAGAGCACTACAAGGGGCAGGTATCGTAGGTGTAATTGCAAAAGGATTTGCCTTCATCTGTAAGTTGGTAATTTCCCCCTCCGTACCAAGAATTACATAGCTTACAGAAGCAACAGACGACCGCAATCAGCTGAATATGGGACTCTTCAATGCCATCATCACCGATGACGATTTCTACCAGCACGCAACCGAGGGTTCCACGATCACTGTTGACAAGGACCAGAAGATCATCACGATTTGCGGTGTTGATAAAACCTTCCGCTATGAGAGCTCTTGGATTGAGGATACACTTCTCAATGCTGGAGGAATACTTCCTCTCTATCATTTGCACGGTACTTCCCTCTTCCGTCATCTCACAAGCTCCAAAACCAAGAACTCGGCTATTACAATGGGCTCAGGCCTTTCAACCAATGCCTTCAGCAATGAACGTGGTCCACATAGCGAGCTTGCTTGGTAGCACCAATACGGATCAAACAACTTGATATAATCTTGTCGGGTTTTTAATTCGTAATATTGCAAGGCTACTGGGCAGCGGTCACATTTCATGCGGTCAATGTGAATTCACAGACTACCTTTAAACCACAGCCAACAGACAGCACACAAATCTGCGATAGTTTTACGGTAGAGATTGTAAAGTATGACTTCAATTTCTCAATGATATAGACAACAACAACAAGTGTCTTTTTCCATCATCCTAGCTGTCATTACAAACAATTATCCCACATCAATCTTTCCTTCTGTCCTCCGCCACACGATCACAGTTCGGCTTCTTCGTGCATGGACCATTACATGGTGAGCTGCGGAATGTGGTTGGTGATCCATTCATACGAGTCGGACCGGAAGTCATCATTAATGAACTGCCCAAAAGTCGAGTAGAGGTTTAGCAACTTCTTGGAGTCAAAGTACTCGGGCCAGTTTGGAGACAAGAGGTTGTTGGAGTTGGGGTCAAGGTCATGAATAAAGGAAAGGTAGTACGAGTGCATAGTGTGGGTGGCGTAGTCGTAGGGTGTGCTCCAGACAATGTGCAGAATGTCGCTGCCGTGAATGGTGCCAATGATGGGCGTGCCGTAGCCGTACGACGACAGGTACGACCAGGCCTTGAGCTGGCCGTCAAAGGCGTGGCGGATGTCGAGGAAGTACCGGCGGCTGAGGGTAAAGGCCAGGTCGCCCAGAATGGCCGAGATGCGCTTGACTTGTGGGTACCAGTTGTTCAGCTCTCCCGTGCGGAACGGGGAACCGTCTTCACTGATGGTCTGGTATGTACCGACAAAGTCTTCCATGTCGTCTTGCGTAGAGTGGTGGAAGAAGTACTGGCCCAGATACTCGGCGACTTCTTCCGTAGTGGTGATGTTGCCCTGGGTGAATGACCAGAGCGTGCCTTCGTCCTCTTCGTCGCCAATGATGATGGGAACCTTGGTGAACTTGCCCTCCTGGACCAGCTGATCTGGGGACTTGGTCATTGTCTTTCCGTCGGGTCTGGGCATGAAGTCAAGAGCAATAGACCTATAGCTGGTGAAGGTTGGTATGGTGGCAACAGCGTCGTACAAGATCTGGTAGTCCACATCGCGAATGCACTGAAGTGTGTCGTCTGAGTCCGAGCAGCCCGCCTCGTTCACGATCTGGTCGTATACCTTTTGGGCCTTGTCGCAGTCAACGGTATCCGCGGGGACAACGCTGCCCGAGTTCATGATGCCGGCGCGGAAGAGAGGCTTGCCATTGTAGGTGTTGTCTCCGTCGTAAAGTACCAAGTGGTCAAAGACCGAGATGGATCCAGCTGATTCACCCCAGATTGTGACCTTGTCAGGGTCGCCGCCAAAGGCCTCAATGTTGTCAGCCACCCATCTCATGGCTTGTCGCTGGTCAAGTAGACCAAGATTGGCAACACCAGCGTCCATGACTTCTTTACCACCGAGGAATCCGAAGGCATTAGTTCGGTAGGTTGCAGCAACAAAGATGATTGGCTTGCCCTGCCCAATGGAGTCGGTCACCATGGGGACACCTTCGCCCGTCATGGTGAAGCCCATCTCGAAACCTCCTCCATGCATCCAGAAGAGGACGGGGAGCTTGGCCTTGGAGTCAATGCCTGCAGGTCTGAAGACATTGAGGTAGAGGCAGTCTTCGCTGTAGATTGCGGGAGCCGGGAGCTGTGCCGTGAGATTTTGCAATGCCTCAAGGGCAGCAAGGACCTCTGGCGGCAGGTCCGCAGCCGGCAGTTGGGGCGACAGGTTCTGAGGGCAGGCGGCTCCCACAGTCAAGGCAGGGACCACTCCCAGAGATTGGTTCAGGTCCAGAGGCTGCGCGGGGTTGAACCTCAGAGACTGAACAGGTGGCTTGGCAAAGGGAATTCCGTGAAAGGACTCGACAAGGCCAAGGGGAGCTCCAAGAAAGGTGGCATCTGGAGAAGGAATGACCACGGTTGGGCTCCCAAGCTGTCTGACTGTTGGGTCAGCCAGCACTCCCAGGCCGAGGGAGACGAGGCCGTTGCAAATCAGCGAAGTGGTCTTCATGATGAGTGTTGATCCTTATGAGACTTGTTTGCTGGTAGAGGACGCGTTTGAAATCATGATTCATGGGACATGTTTCCTTCCTTTTATCTTTCAAGTGCAAGAGTGTAGAGCTGCCGGTATCGAGATCAACTCGAGGTTGATTCCATACCCATGCACCACCATCGGACTCGAATTCATCCATCATGTGGCGATGTCATCGACACATGGGAAAAGTAAAGCAATGAGCGTTGTTAGCAGCCGAGGCGCTGTTTGGCATTTGAACGCCATTTGTTGGCTTCTCTATGCTCATTTTGCTCCGGTGAGGCTATGATATCGAGACTCAGGTTTTTGTCGTTACATTCGCCCTGCAGACGCAGAGCCGATTGCAAAGGCACACATATGCAGTGATCCCAACCTTACATTTTCGAGGTGAGTAATCTTGCTTTCCGTTTAGGAAATAAAGAAAGGTCTTCTCAAAAACGCCTCCAACATACCCCGTGGGGTAATGGGGTCATATTCCACATTTTATTATTCTTCATCGGGAGAATGCCTTGTCCGCATCGTCCGCACATGCAATGTTGCATCACACTTACCCTTATTACTTCTACATACCTATTTTAGACATATTCTCGGGCACAAATATAGGCTTTATTGTTAAAACAGAAATGCGAAAAACAGGGGCAAAACGCGAAAATTTGAAAATATTTCGTTGTACTAATAGCCTTGGATATATGAAAAATTCCATTTACGAAAACCAAAAAGTTTAGAGATCATATGGTAAGTATTTCACATAATTAAGGTCAGAAGAGGAGTTATTTTAGCCATGCAATGAACTGATATAATAGACCGATCTGGTCACGTAGCTGAGATTCAAGTTCGAAACTAAACTGATTTATGCAAGGTTATGTTAAAAATGACAGGTTTTCACCCCACACAGACCATGTCAATATACGAGTAAGGAGATCTCACAATGATGGGTCGCGTATATGCGCGTCACGTTAGGCGCCCGTGTCAAATGCGAGATCATGTCAACGGCGGCGCGTCCGAGCGTGATCCCCCAATCGCATGGTGCATATGATCTACATTGACTATCCTATTTCAAGAATGCTGTTCGGAGGGAAAAGCAATGGTCGCCTGACGGCTGAAAAGTCACATGTACTTTGCACAGCCGCTTGGAAATTTGTTCTTCCAAAGACTCATGCGAACTCATACGTTGATGCGGTTGCACGGCAAAAGCTCGGTCGTAATGGTGCCTTGGTCATTACGGTCAACTAGACAGATGGATGCCTCGCCCGAAGTGGAGGGGGGAGCACGTTGGTAGTATAAACCTGCGGAACATGCCGTCTCCCTATAGCCAAGCTGTTAAGCTGACAATTGGGGCGCCAAGACGTTGCACTCCGTATACTCCGACATGGAGATCGGTTCATTACCCCACATTCAAGACTTTCAGAGAAGCCGAGGATCGTCCCAACTCTTTCTACCCGCCTGTCAGGGGCAGAAAGAGGGGCTGAGGAGGAGGTGATGCACCTGCGGCGACGTATCCGCACCCACACACTGTGTATATGATATGGCATATACCAAAATTACCCTCAGGGACAAGAAATTGTGACGTGTGTGACATTCTGTTTTCGCAATGAATTTCAGGGTTTTGTGGGCGGCTTCTTCCGTTCGCTTCAATGGCAGCCACCTACATGTGATGAGTTTGCTCGCTTTTGAGCTAACATCCAAATTGATATTGCTTCTCTTGTGGTGGCTTCAAACTGGCTGCCGAGGCAGCAAAGAATCGGAAGACGTGCCCAGCTCAACACAAATGTGCAACAGGTCTACGGTTTAAAGTTGGTGTAATAAAATCAACCACTCAAAAGCTGATCCGAGCCAACAAGACGTCGCGTAAAGACAATTGCAACTATCATTCCTACGCTCAAACTTCCCAATCCAGGGCATAGTGACAAGTCGTACAGTTGGCGGTCATCTCGAGGCACAATGACCCCAACCAGATTCCTTGAATCTGACTCAAGGTAAATCAGCAAGGAGATGATACTTGCCGTGTCTTATTTGACCTCAGCGTGACTCTTCGTATGCCTGTCGTATCCCACCCATTCAGAGCACCACATAGGTAGGTAGATATGCAACGTAGACCTTGGAATCGGGGTAAAGTCTTCAGCCTTCCTCCGACTCATTATGCGGACTCAATGCCGCACATACATCATGTTCGGGGTAAACAAAGCTTCGGATCCGATAATCAGGCTTTGGAGCTGTTTGGGGTTCAGATATTTTCGGAGCCGATGGTCAAGCCTTGAAGTTAGCTGCCCTTCACAGCTCACTAGGTTCGCTTGTATGGCAACTGCACCTATTAGGAGCGGGATTATTATTTTCGGGCCTATGCCTACATCATTAAACGTCCTTGCTGCACCATCAGTTCCCTCGTGTTAGAACTGATCATCAACACCTCTCAATGATCGCTTTGTACAGAGGATCAAACAAGTTTTCACGATTGCAAACTTTGACTTGATACCTGTGACACGGCAAGATACGGAAATTTGCGGCAAAGACGGAGAGTTTAATCAGCTATAAAGAGGAGACATCATAAAAGTCATGGACCATGCAGTTTTGTTCTGACGTCCGGAGAAGTTGTCCCACCGCGGGACTCGGCCGGCACAGCAGGCCCGCTGTCCGAGAGACATCGTCGATCTGCACTCGGATATAAGTATTTCCCCTTTTGGCTACTCGTCAAATCCGCATGCCAAGATCACCCCCGCATTCAGTGCAGGATTATGCCAAGGATTAGTTCCCGCATTTTGATTGAGAGGAAAAGCGACGCCGTTCACGAATTCGTCCCATGCCCGAGCTTAATTCATCCGATGGCCATCCAAGTGATTCCTAGTCCTTTAAACCAGCCAAGCGAATATGCAGCAACAGCCATGGAACTCTAGCTATGAGTACAGACCATTTGCTCCCGTGCGTCTCTTGCATGTCTTCCGGCATTCGGACGATTCCATACGTGGGACGTTGCAAAATTTCTCGCTTGATTCCTTAGACTGTCCGCAGTTCACCTCTATATCATACGTTTGGGGGCCACAAGTATACAGCCACGCTATTTTAGTGGATGGCCACTATTTTCCCGTGCTTGACAGCGTCTATTCGATACTAGAAGCGCTATGCGACTCATCAGCTTTTCAAGATGAATATTGGGTATGGATTGATTCAATATGCATCAATCTACGAGATCCTCAGGAGCGAGCATCACGTAAGTACACCCTGCGGCATACCAATTTTGCTTTAAAGAGTTGACCACTAGTTTCTGGGTGTCTTGAAAAATGTATGCACTCGGTCCAAGTTCATGTTCAACCGCAGCTCGTGCAAATTGTATCACATGGGAATGGGTTGGCTGACATTCTGCTAGAGGTCTTGTTGATGAAGCAAATCTATTCGCGATCGAAGCATACCATTGCATGGTTGGGCGAAAAGAGTGCGGAGCTCGAGGAAGGCATTGCTTTCATGGCTCATCTTGCCAATAGCTACTCAGACATACTGGAATTCAATCAAACCAGGAATTCACGGGAAGTCCCTGAACGTCTATGGCTCCCTGACAAATGGAGGGCGTTGGGGGTATTTCTCGACCTACCATGGTGGAAGAGGATATGGACATTACAAGAATACGTCAGCTCCAGAACCATCGACCTGTACTGCGGAAGTGATCATGTCTCTGAGGACATTCTAATGACCGCTCTGACGGCCATATGGCATTGCGAACCGAGCAGCTTGCTCCTCCGACCTGACGTGTGGACCCCCGCTTGGACCCGGGATCGACTTCGTTCTTGGTACCAGGCGAAAGTCTATTCTGAAAACATGAGTATCGTGGCCCTAATGGCCTACTCTGGCGCTTGTGAATTGACTGATCCGAGAGATCGCATCTATGGGCTTCTCGGTTTGGCCAAAGAGTCGGACCGCGCCATGATCGGCAGACCAGCCTATGCCGATGATGTCGGGGACATTTATCTTCGGCTTGTGGAATCCTTCATCAGCACATATCAGAGTATAGACATTATATGTTTCGCTCAGATATTCCGTGCCGTGCAATCTGCCGAAGCCAATGAAGAATGTCTAGATCACCAGTGGCCATCTTGGCTTCCTGATTGGCGCGTACGTGTCGTACCCTTTGTCACTCCTCTGATGGTCAGTCAAACCTCGGGCCGACATATTGGCAATTTTCGACCTCCCATGTCGTCTTTTGACTGGGAAGTGGATTCAGCAGCAATACCGTACCGTGCACATGCCGACATGGCTGGTTTAGTAGACATTGATTATCAAACAAGGCATCTCAAGTGCCAAGGCTTTTTCGTTGACCTTGTTGATGGCCTCGGCGGCGCGTTGGAGTCTCCTGACCATTCGTCTACGCAATCTGCATCTCCTCTTGTCCAGTCCACGTCAGTCTGGAATACACAGAGCCAAAAGCAGGACATTAATCCTCTGGAATTCATCACCGACCTGGTCCGCACTTTGACCTTGGACCGCGAAGACCGGTATCTCATGTTCCCCGCAGCTGCAGATGACTTTCGGAACGAGTTTCTCAATCTTGTGCATATCTCGCAGACGGACAGGAGAGAGCTTTTGCCTGCACGATGCAAATCAGCTTGTGCTTGGTATGACGCCAACAAAAGCTTGTTGCTACAGGGTCATACGCTCGAGGAAATTTGTCTCGAGTCGTCGTCGTCTCCGATGTTTGCGGCAAGCTTGGATGCCGTTGGCGCGGACGAAGCGAGCTTTGCCTCCCGGCTCATTGATTGCACCTCCCCCATTACGATGCAACGAAAGCTTCTCGTCACTGCTAGTGGACTCATTGGTATGGCTCCGCCTCACGCGAGGAAAGGCGACATAGTTTGTGTTCTGCTGGGCTGTAGCGTCCCCGTCATGCTGAGAGAACTTCGCGCGGATCAGCAATTCGCGTATTCGTTTGTTGGAGAATGCTACATACATGGCATCATGGACGGAGAGGTTGCAGATTGGGGGAGAGAGCTGCGTGACCTTACCATTATCTAGTCTCGCCTCAATAATAAGGTGTTTCCTTCGAGTCAGGCGTGCCTCAAGCTGGTGAACACCAAGTAAATCTGTTTATTACGGCAGTGTACCAATTTCTCGTGACTTGAGGTTTCGCTCATATATACGCCGATTTCAAAGTCGGTCATCTGCGACTTTCCTCAGTATGACCTAAAAATGAGAAAAGGAACAGAAACTTCCACAAGATAACAAGTGAATTCAAGAGGATTGACGACTTGTAAAAAAAAAAAAAAAAAAAAAGGTCAACTTTTCATTTCTCGATCACCGTTGGGTGCCAGGGGTGCTAGGCACCAGCGCTAGGTACTAGTTGTACCCAACTCTTCCCGCAGCTGCAACAGCTTTCCGCCTTCTTTTCTACACCACGCTTTTAGCTACACTTTGCCAACAATAGATTGAGAGATCAACAGCCTGAAGATCATCACTCTTGTGGCCCAGTAGCTAAACTACACATACTTTTAGTTCCTAATTCGTTTCTCTAGTTGTTTTTCGTAGGCAACAGGTACAACCCAGCAAGCATCTAGCCTTACAATCACCTCCAGAAGTGGTCAAGCCAAAGTAAGCGCCGCCTCATCTAGAACGATCTCAATCCTAGGGCTCAGTGTTGGGAAGTATTGTGTTACAAAGGATCAGTTGATCAGGTGTTCATCTCATCGAATCATGCACGGCCTGATAAAGTCGAGTTGGGGTCGAATTCCTGCAGTTGTTCTGTGGCGGTGCTCGAGGGAGGATTCAGCTACACTGGAACTTCCGGTTCAATTGACTTGATTGGTTGGAAAGCGCTGGGCTCACCAGCACTGCCAGCACATTCCAAAATACCTGACGCAGCCTTGTCGACACGCACATCTCTCATTCCCCCTCATGTCAGCATTGAACCCAAAGTTTTCCTCCGTCAGGTAGTTCCTGGTGGCCTGCTTTCAACTTTCTAGATACAGCAGCAATCATGGATCCGGCAACAATCTTCCAGGTAATAGGCACAGCTCTATCTCTTGGTGACGTTGTTGTCAAGAGCATTATGAAATTGAGTTCCATCAAGGGGCGGTACCAGGGTGCTCCTATGGTTCTATCTACAATGATCGGGCAACTGTACATTGTGAAATCTGCTCTGGATAGACTGGGCGATTTCAGCAGACCAGAGCATAGCCAACATCCGAGACACCAGCAGTTATCTCAACAGGTTGGCAGCGCACTCGACAGCTTTGGATTACTGATACTCGCCCTGGAGGAACGTCTGAGTCAATTTGAAGCAACGGAATTGACAGATATGCGTGTCAAAGACCGACTTGCTTTATTGTGGAATGAAAAAGACATGTTGGACTACTCGATGTTACTTGATCGACAAGTCAATGCCCTAACCTTGCTACTGCAAGCAATGCAATGGTATGTCCGCCTTGCCACAGCAATGATCTGACCATTAAACGGCAATTCTAATTCAAATAAAAGTCCTTCTTGGCCACAGCAATACGACTTGATGTGCAAGGAAGAAAACGTCGAAATACTGAGGCTTGCCACTGACTGCTCAACGTCCATCGTCGGTGTTGACAATTCGTCGGTTAGTTTTGTTTCTGAAAACACTGACCTCATAAGCTTGAGGTTCGATTTCGACAGGATCATTCTCGAGTCCAGAATTTATCAGCAAGCTCACAGATCCCACTTGCGAAAATCCATCAGGTTCGACTACACAGAAGCCCCAAAATCACCTCCGACACAAGAGACTCCTGCTGCAGTCTCTACCTCACAGGAGACACGAGATGGCATCCAAACTCCTGTCAATTCCGCATCCAAAGAAGCATTAATTCCCGCGATAGAGTCTGCTAGACGACCTCTGTCCGAGTCATCTGATGCGGCCTCGGTGTTGCAGGAAACATTACCGATCGCTCAATTTTCCGACATGCTTCATCTTGATAATGATAACGATGAGACTGATCATTCGAGCAATCTTTCAAGTGGCCATGACAAGGCAAAGATGATTGCTCCACGCCAATCCATCCCCTCTTCGCCGCCTTGGCAAAACAAAAGATTTCGACTCGGCGAGTGGTGGAGGAGGCCTTCAATGCACAAGTCTATTGAGGCATACAGAAATCCGTCGCGCGATTCACTCATTCAAACACCCAGCCAAACGCCCAGCATCACAACAACTGCTGAATCAACCCGACCAAGAGCTATGAAATTGCTGTTACTTGGTGATTCGGAGAGCGGCAAGTCTACCATTCTCAGGGCAATTTTAATGCACCTCAATAAGTTCGACGTTTATTCGCGCAGTCTTGAACTTCGCGAAGTGATCTGGTGCAATATTGTTGCTAGCACACGAGCAGTTCTCGAAGCAATGAAGTCGTCAGAGATCTTTTTTGATGATGCTGTTCTTCAGGGTCATGCTGCATCCATCTTCATGCAGTCTGATGGGTACAGGACTCTCCCAGATTCCAGGCTCTCCCAAGCCATCCAGTTCCTTTGGAGCAATGCAGAGTTTCGAAGGGCTTATGAGCGAATCGCCACATGTTACAGATCTCTTGACAACGCAGAGTACTTCGCGAAAAACGCTGAAAGAATTATATCCCCGGACTACCAACCGACTGAGCAAGACGCCATCTACTCGATGACCAAAACAACAGGAATCGAACGACTAGAATTCAAGTTCAGTGGCTTCTCATGGGAATTATTCGATCTTGGAGGAGCGCGGAGTGAAAGAAAGAAATGGATTCACGCCTACGAGCTTACCGACACTATCATCTTCACGATAGATGTAACGTGCTATTCCAAGACAGCTAAGGATGACAAAACCAATTGCATGGAAGAACAATTCTCAATGTTCGAAAACCTCGCTCGTAGTAGCTGGTTCACCCGGACTGGATTCGTCGTCGTTTTCACCAAATGCGATCAACTTGACCAGTGGATGCAGAGAAGTCCTCCAAAGAAGTATCTCCCCTTCTGGAGCCTTATCGCTGGTGGTGGTAGTGATGTGGAACAATTCTTGGAATACCTCGAAAAACGGATCATGTGTCTAGGTCCACTGGGCCACAACAAACGCTACCTATTTCTTCGTGTGCGATTCGACAATATGGACGCGCATAATCCAGCAGGAGATATATTAGAGGCAGTGTTGGAGTCGCAGCGGTCGGGATTCCTTTGAATATATGGACAGCACGACTCAACTGTGTCAAGATTAATCTGATCAACACCAATTCTTGGTTTTGCTAGCTTTGCGGGACGAGAATACTAACTACCCTTGACAAGCTTGGCAATAGATTACCTTGCAAGACAGGATAACCACTACTTTTAGTAGATCATGTATGATAATAAATGAGTCGCTATATTTAGCAATTAAACAAGGTACGGCGAATAAAAGGTTGATTATTCTCAAAGATGAGCTCTACACAACATCCCAGGGCTTTGTAATATATTGTTCACAGCAGAACAGGCATGCTTTCCCAAACAGACTGAACAAAAGGTACATGAATTCACTCAAGAGCAAACATTTGCTCTTCATGTCCGCTTCAATGTATTATGATTATTAAGCCCAGAGCACAGCATAATCTTGAAAGTCATGGAATTTAGAGATATGCAGACGTGTATGTATTGTAATGCTATGTACACAGAATGGAGGCGCTTGCGAAACACAAAACAGCGAGACGCTACAAAATGCTGAAATCATCAAACTGCGCAGACGATTGAACTTACGTCTTTGCACCACTTCAACCCCATGTTCCTTTCATCAAGCCTTTGGCCCAATGTCTAGATATCATATCCACCGCCCGCTTGCCATTAAATATCCCGCCGCACTATCATATGATCGCTTCTTATAGTGTACAAGTTTTAATCGTACCAGCTATTGAAAGTTGCCCTTCCTTACTTTGTTGTGTCTAATTTTTGCCAACGTCTTCTCAAAAATGGTCGCTGTTTTCTCTGCTGTACAATACTAAGCATTTTACACTGTCGTAACACTCTTCATCTCTCGAAAGTTTCCTCCAAAACTAGGTAATTGGCATCAATCGTGGTCGGGCATCTTGAGAGCCGTGCCCAAGGCCAAACACGTAGCGTTTAGTATGGAGGCTTGGTGAGATTTCCAAGGCTGTGCTCTCTAGACTTGCTGTCAATACCTCGGAGCAAAGACTGGAGATCAAAGGCCGGGCCTCCAGCTTCGGACATGGGGTTACTGCCCACACTCTCGCTGCCTCTGCTTGTGATACTTCGCTTGTAAGGCTTGAAGGCATGGTCCTTTGTCGAAATTGAAGATGGTGGTCGGTAGATATTAGCATGATTTCCCGCCATCGATGACGGGATGGGCGGTACTGGTGGTACCTCATCGTCCATTTCGTCTTCCTCGTTTGTAGGATGCGATGTCAGGGGACCACCGTCATCTCCGGATGCCTTGCGTTCTCGCGACTTGGACCTGGTACGTGCTAGGCCTGGCTCTGACTGTGCGTCTGAGACCTCTGATGGGGTGTAATCATAACTGGCCACGCTTTCGCTACTGCTGCTATCATTGCCAACCGTATGCATCGTGGGCGGGCGCGGGGCATCTCCACTGAGTACCGACTTTAGTTGGTCAACTGAAGCAATGTCGACACCGCGACTTGAAGTGCTCCGTGCTGAAAAGCGACTCTGCACGCTAGATTTACGAAGTGCCGAGCCAATGCCACCAGCATGAGATGCGGGTCGCAGATTGTGGTGGCTATTGACCGGAGACCCTGTGCCACTATGGGTGTGGCCATTGGCCAGGTAACTGTGAACCGTCAAGCGGTTGTTCTTGGTGACAGTAGTGTTCGTCTTTGACCCATTGAGGGATGCTGATTTACTACCTTCCTGCAATGCCGCGATTGCTTCGTCCCTAGTCCACTCAGCCAGCATATCTTCCCGGAACTTGGCTGGAATTTGGTGGTCTGTTTCTGCCGGCGGAATGGCGCTCAAGGATGAACTCAATATGGGATGGGCGAAAGTCCGTCCAGGAGAAGTAGAGGGGCTAGTAGGTGGTGAAGCCTCGCTAATATGGTAGTTGTTGCATATGCAGTCCACCATGGTTGCGCGATCATCGAATGGGAGCAGAGCCTCAGACTCTACGTCGCCCACTGGTATCTTTGCTTGTGCCTGTGCGCGATGGGCACCCGGAGTGCCAATAGAATCCAGCACTGGCGGTGGTACCTGTATACCGTCCACCCAGAAATGCTTGCTCCTCCGTCTGGTAATTTCATTCTGGACGGCCTGACCGACAACCATAGTATCGAGATCAAACTTTTCCACAAGGGCCCAGAAATATCCGTGGCACAAAGCGCCCAGACGGACCTTGGCCAGTGGTGTCTCGGCTTCTAAGATGTCTTCTTGGAGGCGGAAAACCATTGGGATACCATACCGAGTGGCGTTCACACCAAGTCTGTCGACCATTTTTGTGAGGAGCACATGACACAAGGCAACATCTGACTCGTAATCGACAAACTGGAGCGCATTGTCGTAGATGGACAGGTGCAACAACTGTAAGAAGTACGACTTGGGCACCTTGACTGGCTTCTCCCGTGATGAAGGATTGGCAGCTCTACGAGCAAAATTAGAGGATGGAGCATCCTTGCCCGCGGCCTTGGGCAGCTTCTGCAATTCGTCACGGGCAATGAGGTCGGCCCTGGTAGTCTCGCGATCAAGCCATGTTATAAGGGCATCGCCGTATGCCTTTCGTACTTCTCCGTCCGGGTCACGTAACAGCCAATGTGTGCCTTCCCAGACCTGGATTGGTACCTTGTTCCTTGTGAGACTGACATTGCCACTAATCTTTGTCTTTGGATTGGCAATCAGAAGAACAGCCTTGATCGCTTTCAGAGCTGCTGCCTTGGCAAGATCGAGTGCGAAGTACGAGTCGAGATGTTGCTGATCGTCTACGAGGCTTCCGGCCGAGGTTCCCGGGGCTGCTGTGTTCTCGGCGGCGTCGGCTGTCTGCGAAGTGCCGAGGGTACTCGGATGGGGTTTGAGGCGTGACAGAATAGCCGAGATCATGTCCGAGATCTGGTCTGCATAATAAACGTGAGTCGCCAGATCACCTATGCACCTCTGTATTCTGTCCAGAAGATCCAAGTGCAATGTGCTGGGTTGCTGTGTAGGCTCAGTATCTGAAGCAGACTTTTCATCTTTACCTTGGCTCGCGCGCCCAGAATACTTCAGTGTCTTCTTCATTTGTTGAATTAGACCGAGGAGAACATCCATGATACTCAGACCAATGAGGTTAACTTCTGACCGCAGAAGTGAACTGATGAGAGCGACCAGCACTATTTGCTCAGCCACGTGGTCATTGTTTGGTTGTGTGCGCACAAACGCGTCGAGTGCAGTAACGAGTATGACATATCGATCTTGTACAGGGGCCCACTGGGCGGCGAGGCAATAGATCTTGACTGCCCAGCCACTGTCGCGCTTCGTCCGGTCATCAGTGTGCACGACGGTTTCGTTCTGTTGGACTTTTTCTCGGAGGAATTGTAGAATGGCCTGGGTTGCGCCGTGCAGCTGAGCACGATTCGGTATAACAAAGATTTGCTTCAAGCACTGCATGGCAAGCAGGCCGGTCTCCTCTTCGGCCAATGCGTCGGCGTCGGCTGCAGAGCCTGACAGTGCAATCGGGTTCGTGTCTCCGGGCTCCTCTGCAGTTTTAACAGTCGAGATGCTAGTGCGACGGCGGAGCAGGACCCCGGCATCACCTTTCTCTTCGGCCTGCATGCGGTGGACCAAGACGTCAAGAAAGCCTTCATTGTCTGACCAGAGATTCTCCAAGATCATGGGCACAATGACATCCAACTGTCGACCAGCTACAGAAGACAGGGCATCGGATTCGGCAACGCTCCTGATGGCCGCCAAGCCTGCATTCCTCCATCTCAAGGCGACAGGCTTGCTTGGCGTGCCCTTGCCGGGGGTCTGCCGGGTCGAGGCAAAGGTCGCATATTGGTGCACGATGTCTTCGTACTGGCGCACGTAGGATTGGTCGGCGAAAAGCGAGGAAGCATCGTGATGTTCGCAGAATGTCTCAAAAGTAGGCAGAGACGCCTCGATCATGGTGATGTCGGCCGAGCGCAGCACAAGACTCAGCACTTTAATGACATTTTGCGCAAATAACGGGAAATCTTTGGGAGACTTCTCAATCAGGGCGGCGATGATCTGTAGGGTCACCTGGACATTACTGGAAGTTGGTTGGCGCAGTCAGCATGTGTGGTTTCTTCCGGATGAGGTGGCAGCAAGGAGAAGACGATGACGCGACCCAGTCAAGTCAAGAATCAAAGTGTCATGCCGTTTGTAACATACCCAATTCGCAGGCGCCAGACATCGCTGGCAGTCTTCTTCTCGAGAAAGCTGCCTACTTTTTGTATCTTTGATCGTCGTGAGGTGGCGTAGAAGAGCAGGTAGCTCAGTTCACTCGAGTTGGGCTTGACGTCAACGGCTCCCTTGGTGGTTCGCGGGTAACATTTCAGTACAAGGACTTGGTGCTTCGGACGGCACTTTTGCTGAATGGCGTTCATCGCGCCGACGCGCAAGTGGCCAGTGGGTGCGGTGCGAGCGTCGGAGGATCGGCCTCGGAGTATCAGGAACGGCGAACGGGTTGGTAATGCCTCATTCGAGAGGATGCTGTAAGTTCGGTTTGTTTATGCTGGCTTGTGAGACGTGAGGGAAGAAAAAAAAAATAGTAGCAGCAATAATCAATCGGGAGTCGTGGCAGCTTTGGCTCAGACCCCAGACCCAGGCTGGGCTGAGAAAATGACGAGGGCTGCCTGCTTTACTTGCTGGGAGCCCAAGAGAGTGCTGCGACGTATGGGACTAGACCCCGACTTGGTGTCAGATTGAGATGATCCCAGAAGGCCCTGTCCTAAGCACTGGACGCTCCACTGGAACCAAGGCCTAGTTTGGACCAGAGAGCCTAGTACAGGAGGTAATCTTGAAATTGCCCGGGCTAGCGCATAATAGTAATCATCAAGGGTGGCTTGTGTATGTGAAATTTGGAGGGAGATAATTAATGAGAAAAGAACCACCGCGTTTCTTGCGGTCGTTGTGCTGTGCTGTGCAATCCAGTTGCAGTCCAGTTCAATCCTGTTCTGCTGCTGCAAATGTCGGGCCAAACCTTTCCACGTTCTATTGTTTTGATGCGAGGCCTAGGTGTTGCTAATTTTGTCTGTCCGGGCAATAGGCTGTGTGTCTCGTAACTTTGGAGTGACTCGGCAGTGTTCGTCCCGCATACACATAGCGCGGGGGACTTTTGGATTGTTACTAATGTTTCTTGGGGGTTTTTTCTTTTCGATGTGTTGGATTACCAATGTCGATCAGGGCTTTTCTTCTCCTTCTCTTTGTCTCTCTCTATCCCAGAGTCGAAACACAGGACCAAGCACCGACACGTTTTTGTTTGCGAAGAAAAAGTCGAGCTCGGTGCGTCATCAGGCTTGGGCATGTCTCAACTTCCGCCGCAACCAAGCAAGTGCTGCTGCTGCTAAGGCGCTCTGGCGCTTGGCTTCGACGTACCGGACGGAGATGTGAGACCAGGGCACCTAGCACTAGGTAGGCAGATAGGAGCCTAATGTAATAATATAAGAACAAGATATGATCTGGCTGTGCTAGAACTAGTGCAGAGTGTCGGGACTCGGTTGCTGGATGACAGGAGTGGGAACCAAGGAAAAGGGGTCCCTCTGATTACTTGCGGTCCCCCCAAAGGTCTTATCAAATGTCGGGGCTGCACTTGGACGTTGCGGTACTGACTTGCGAATCATCAATCTCCGCACAATCTCGCGTTCAGCATTGCTGCTCGCTTGTGAACACGACAAGCCGAATTGTGATCAGTCAGGTTCCAAGACTTGCCAGGTCACGGACAGATGGGAGGAGCAGAAGAAGGGAAATATACATATATCTCTGCCGGGCAGGTCTCCATCAACCGTGTCCTTTCCTCTACTCTAAATATTTCATGCCGGCGGCCTCGGTACATACATGACTTACCTACATATGTACTGCACGTACAATAGCTACATGTACATTATTGCGTGAAGAAAAGAAAGGTCCAAGCTCCTTCTCCAAAGGGAAGGGGGAAAACATCCACATCCACCAGACATCAATCAGTTCCAGGTCCAGGTCAGTTTTATTTTAGTACGTAGTGAGCTGCAGCAACATCGTCATTGTCCATGACTAAAAACTAGTCGCAAACTGCCAAGCTGCCACATTTCTTATCTAATAGATAGACATCCTGACATCTCGAGTTCATATGTTCACATTAAACCAGTCAGTCCTCGTTTGCAATCTGACCTGCACAGAGACCACTGTCCTTTGTAAGACCGCGTCTGTTCTTGTAAAGTGACCTGTTGCATAAAGACGAATCGCACGCGGCTATCTTCTACGACTCATGTGCTACAAGATCTCCTCCCCCAACAAGTTTTGTGCTGCCGACAAATGATCTGTCGACGTTGCATGATACTCCAACCTTGCAGCTTGCTCTGGGTCCTTTGGGAGGCACCGATGATCTGGGTGCATATACACCTGTACGCACGCATTCTGCCAATGATTGACACTTGGATCACCCGACATTACTGCTTCTTGCTGTCTGCCCTGTAGGGCTTTTTGATCCTTTTCTCATGGCTGCCCGAGTCAATGGAACCAAACCAAACGAGTTGTTAATGATTGCGCACCCCCTCAAATGCCGCATGGTCATCGGCCTGCTCCCACCCTTGCGAGGTAAACACCGACCAGCATCAATTTGTTGGCCCTCGGTACCTAGTAGACATGTCGCTTGTTCAAGTGCATACCAACCTCACCTACATACTTGAGCTTCCCCGCTCGAAGTGATCGGTGCCAGGGCCTGGAAGCAAGCGATTATCAGGTTATCAGATCCTGTCCTTTCCCGATCTTGCATTACTCCTCAAGTCAACTGCGGAAGGGGTCTCTTGTCCCAACGTATGTCAATCTTCTCTGGCACCTGTCATTAGTGTTCATGATCCGCTTCGCATATATCCTACATTTCGTGATGAAAGACGGGTATGGACAGTATGAATCTCGTTTATCTTTTTCATACTCGTTACCCATTAGATGATGATACGTTCGACCATCTTTATTAGAGGGTCTTAATTGCTCCCGCTGTATTGCGCGCATCAAAGAACTCATGAGTATCCTTGCCAATATGCGTCGAATCATTCATCTCCTGGCCTTGAGAGTCGAAGAGAGGAGAAGAGTAAATGCGGCTGGTAGTGGAATGCGAGAACCGTGGTACTGCGCAGACAATCCCACAAGATAGATGAATCACGCTTTTCTTTACCATGAGAGCCGCAATCAAAGCTCAAGACTTCTCCCATTTTATACCCAAACTGGCAAGTTCTTCCGTCGAACAATACCATATCAGTTGCTCTTGATAGAGACCCTGATAGATTGCGAGACAAAGTGGGCCCGGTATATCTCTATCTGTTGATCAAGGTGGTGCTTTCCTATTAGAGTTTAAACTGGTCTGATATAGGTGTCAATTGTGTGATATATTGATCTATATTCTGCGCCTCTTAGTTTTAATAAGGTATACGTTTATTTAGGTGGCCCCGGCTAATCCCCGGAAGGTCCCGTATATCTATCTAGACACTATAATATTAATCCGTATACTTAAGCACACGCTAATATATAGGAATTATAATCCACTATTTAACACACCCCCTTAGATTTACGATTTATCGTAAATTTAGCTATATTTAAATCAAAATTGCTAATTAGCAAGATATAGCTTTTTTTAAGGCTATTCGTTTTAATTACGATAAATAACTTTAAATCCCATTTATTACAAAAAATTCTGCTATTTTCCTATTAGCAAGCTTTTTATTAATCTATTTGCTATTATTTTATTTAAAGGTTTATAAATAACTTTAACCCTTTCTTTTTAGGCTTTTTATCGTAATTAATAATTATAAATATTTATATAACGGAGCTTTATTTTTAATAACGCGATTTTAGCGCTAATTAAATTAATAATTTATTTATTATTATATTTAATAATAATAGTGCTATTATCTAGCTATATCGATAGTTTTTTTAATAATCGGCTAACGAATAATATTTTTTTAGCAGCTTGCGCTAAAGCAAATAATTTAGCTTTTATAATAAAAGTAATAATTATATTTTATTTATTTAATCGCTAATTAATTAATCCTCTAAATAGCTTTATAGCGAATATTTAGGTATTTTTGCGATTAATATTATTATCGGCAAATAATGCGTTATTAGTAATTATTAAATTAAAGGATTTTCCGATTTTAAGCGAAAGTTTTTTAATATTAATTAAATAGATTAAAGCTCGATTAGCAGCTTTTTAATATATTTAGCTTAAATTATTAAAAAAATCGAGCTAATTTAGCTATTACAAATATAATATTTAATTTTATAAATATAGCCGCGAATAGCAATAATCCGATTTTTTTTTTAATATTTTTGTATTTTATAAGGAAACGCTATAATTAATCGAGGTATAAGTTTTTTATAGCTTATTAGCGTTATATAAATTTTTTTTTTATTTATAAGCTTAGCGATTTTTTTTAAAATAAGCCTTTTAAAAAAGCTAGATTATTTTAAATATACGATTTTTAATCACTTTTATCCTAAAAAACCATTATATTAGCTCGCTATTATTAATTTTATATTTTTTTATAAAATACTATATTAAATAATTAATAGCTTTTTTATTTTTATTCTTATATATAATAATTATATTATTAACGTAAAAAAAAACTAGTATTTTTTTTAATAAATGCGTAAGGCTTATATAATATTTAAATATAACCGATTTCGGCCAGAGTTTTTATAAATTTTTTTTATTATAATAGCGGTAATATCCGTAATTTATAAAATATTTTATTTAATAATAATATAGCGTTTTTTTTCGATATTTATCCGGCATTTTTATAAATATATTTTAATTAATAGGAGCGTATATAAACGCGTTTATTACGTTATATTATATTAATTTAAAATCGAATTTCGCTATAATTGCGATTAGGGTGCGAAATAATTTTTTAGCTAATATAGCCGCGTAAATTTCCTAATTTTAGGATTTCGCCTATTAATTACCGCGAACGACGAATTTTGCTTTATATTTTTAAAATCTCCTATGCTTATCGAATTTATATACATATACCTATATATAATTAAAGATTTATTTGCCTTTTATTTGTAAATTTTTTTTATTAATTTCGGTTTAAAATCGTATATTTTTATAATTTTATAAATAATTAGCTTTTATTTAAAAAAATAATTTGCTAAACGGATAATAATATAATTTATAATATTATTTAAAGGAAGCTAAAATTTCCGTTTTATAAATTTTTACCCTTTAACGAAGGAAGCGTTTTAGCTTTGCTTTATCGTTTTAATTATTGCTTTATTTTGCTTTAAAAACGGCTTTATAACTAGCTAGGAAAGCTATTTATTATAGGATTATTTTAGGTTTTTTTTTTAATAGCGCCGTATCCTTAATTATAATCGCTTTTATGCTATATATTAATAAAGCTAATAAAGGTATTTATAATAAAATTTAAAAGGCAAATTTCGCGGTAATAAAAGGGTATTATTTATCCCTTTTATTTAGCGCTGCTTTTTTATTTTTTTAATTATTATTTTTTTTTCTAATTATTTTAATTATCGCTTAATAGGATGTTTTTTGCGGCGGTTTTTTTACTTTTTGGTTTTTATAAGATTTCGTTTTTAAATATTGCGTAATTAATTACGAAATCGGCGATAAGCTGGGTATTAGCACTTAAAAACTCGTTTTTAAATATATCCTATTTTCCGTCGCATAATTTTTTTTCGTTTATAATTATATTTTTCGTATTAATTAATTTATTCCGATTAAGAATCTAAATTTTATAAATATTAAATAATTTATATCCGATTAAATATTTTATTTATATTTTAGGTGCTAATCGTTATAAACGGCCGAATTTTTATTATGCCGTTAGCGTTATTACGTACGCTTTATATCCGAATACTTTAAAATAAATTTAATTAGGCTTATAACTCGGATTTAAGACTTTTTTTGCTTTCGCAATTGCTTTATAGAATTTTATATATAATATGCGCTATTAAAAATTATAATTTAGCGTGCGATTATATAAATATACCGCGGTTTTGCCGATTTCGGGCTAAAATTAATAAAGGAGTTTTATGCTAATATATATTACCCGTTCCTTTTTTTTAATTATACCCTTTAAGCGTTTAATAGCTTTATTTTAAGCTTATATATATAATACTAAAGGCTCGAATTTAATATATTTATTTTTAAAGTATTTTTTTATTACCTATTTAATTTTTATAATTTCGTTATTATATTCGATAATTTTAATTTTAATATTATATTAAATTTTTATTATACCTAAAAATAATCGGAAAACGTTAATTAATATAATTATAATTTTTTCCGTAAAATAATAATCCTATATATATCCCGTTTACTAATAAATAATTAATATTTAAAATATATAATTTTTAATCCTTTTAATATAATTATAAAAATTTATAACTAATTATTCGCTATAATTTTCGTTAATTAGCTATAGCGCTTATTATAATTAGCGCGTAATTTTTATAAATACGTAGGCTTTATATTTTATTATAATTAGTCCTTTAATTTTTATTTTTTAAAATAAATAAATAAGGTATTCGAAAGCTACCGGGCCTAAATATCTTATTTTATAATGCTATCGTATAGCTTCCCTAATTAATAATAGCCTTTTTATCTATATTATATATTTTTTCCGGTAAATAATAAATAACGCTAAAAATAATTCGTAAAATTTATATTCGAAGACGTATTATCCGTATCGGTTTTAAAATATACTAATTAAAAATTTATTTTTTTTGCGTAATATTATAAAGTCGTTTTTATTATCCTAATAATATTTTTATTTTTATAATTAACGAAATAATATTAATATAATTAGCAGCCTAAAATAATAAGCTATATTATTTAATAATAATATTTTAAATCCGAATTATATAATTATTATATTATACCCGTAAATAGGTAATTTCCGGTCGCCTAACCAAATAAAATCGTAATTAAAAGCTTATTTATAATTAATAAGCCTTGCTTTTATATTTATAATTAAAATCGTTATCGCTAAATTTAAAATAATTAAATAGCGTAAAAAGTAATCTTTTATAAATGCTATAAAACTGCTTTATACGTTTATTATTAGTTATCTATCCTATTAATCCGTATTAATCGGAAATAATTTTTTTTTAGTTATTCGTAATATGCTAATTCGGCTGGTTTTAATCCTTTTTATATTGCGAACCTGCTTTTATAAATTAAAGTCTTTTTTAAAGGCTTTATTTATTCGTGCTTATATTTTATTTTTAAAAACGAAACCTAAATAAACTTTTTTTAGGAATACGTAAAAACACAAATTAAAGGCGTAAAAAAATGGCAAATAAGGCATTTAGTATCCTTTTACCTTTTATTATAAATAATTCGTCTACTTTTTTTTTACGTAAATTAGCCGCATTTAATCGGGGAAGCATCTAATTTTTAATAAGGTAAACGTCTTTATTTTATCCGTTTTAAAGCTATTTATTAGCTTTATTAGCGTAAATTACGAAAGCGCCTTTTTTAATTTTTGGCTTAATCGGCTATTAAATGCTTAAGTTTTTATAAAAATCGTTATTTATTACCCGATATTTTAAATTCTTATTTAAAATATTTTATTTTTTATAAATTTAATAAAAAGCGGCTTATTATAATATAATTAAAATAATAATATTTAAAAAATTTATAGCCTAAATTAAATTATTTTATATTTTAATTATTTATTTTATTTAGGCTTTCGCTATAATTATTTTTTATTTATTAACCTAATTTACAGCTTTTTTTAATATTTTTAAAGGCTTAAAAGCTTCGAAATATTATTTTTTTGCTTTTTTTTTATTATTTAAGGCTAATTTGCCATAGCGAGCCCTAAAATTTTTATATTATTTATATAAAGGCTCATTAATTAAATAATACGTAAAAAAAAAATCTAAAAAAATCGTAATAATTATTTATTTCGTAATCTTTTTAATCGCCGTATATTGCTTAATATATATAGCCTTTTTTATTTTATAATAATTATAATCGAAATTAAACGATTTTTAACCTTTTTCGGTAAAATCCGTTATCGTTTATTCCCCGTTTTCTTTATTTTAAATACTCGAATCGTCGCTTTCGTTTATAGCTTCGAAAATCGCTACCGCGGTCTTTATATATTTAATTTTTCTAATATCCGGTTTAATTAAGGTTTTAATTAAAATCGTTTTATTTTTAAAATAATTAATTAATCCGGTAATTTATGCCTAGATTTAGAACGCATATTCCTAATTATTTTAATCGGAAATTATTTTTAACGATACCGTTAGGCCGATTCCGGTTTTTTTCGTAATTATTATTTTTATAGCTTCGGCGGAAGCATTAAAACTTTTAATTATTAATTAAAATAATGCTTTCCTATTAAAGTTTAAACTAATCTAATATAAATATTAATTATATAATATATTAATTTATATTTTACGCCTTTTAGTTTTAATAAAATATACGCTTATTTAGGTGGCCCCGGCTAATCCCCGGGAGGTCCCGTACATCTATCTGGACACTATGGTATTGATCCGTGTGCTCAAGCACACGCCAGTGTATGGGAACCATAGTCCACCATCTGACACTATCTGGTCTCGCTACCATCATAAAGAGCTTCCCACATCATGACCCCGGATTGTCGCGGCCAAACCCCCCAGCCAGCTAACTGTCAAGGTTCTTTGGTGCACTTTTTGGTCTAAAGAGCTGAAAGAGAGCGCCAGCTATGAGAAACCCTGTCCCTTTTTGTACCCTTGCTGGGGAGAAATGATGCAAAGATACCCGCGCCGTGCATACTGATACGACCCCGGGTACTCAGTTCGCGCGATATGATTGGCAACTTTCCTCCACGCCCAAAGATAAAGGCGTATCTCCGAACCAGCGAATATATCTGCCATGTCTCGCAGCTTGACTCTTGTTCAGACTTGGCTTTTTCTTGTCAAGCTTCTCAGCCTTTTCTTTTCCTTTTGCTTCGTCTTGGTTGAAATCTTTCTTTCTAATTGAGTCTGCATAAATGTTTATACCGCGTTGTGTCGCTGACAAGCCCTCTTATCAGATCGTACACCTTGACACGATCCCCTGTCTTATCTCGAGCTTCTCCGACAATGGCTGAGCCCCATGTCCCTCCAGTCACCAGCGCGCTGCCGCCCGGCGACCAGCCCGATCATCTCTCCGAAATGTCGGAGGATGAGGCGGCGCTGGCGGCATTAGGCTATAAACAGGAATTCAAGGTTCGACATAGTTTCCTTTCACCCACTTGAGGGGGAGACGTGCATGGAACTCGCAATGGCTAACCAGACGATGAAAAACAAAAGCGCGAGTTCTCGGCTTGGACCACATTTGCTGTCAGTTTTGCGGTCATGGGCTTACTGCCGAGCATTGCCACGACAATGTGGTACGGAGTTGGTTACGGTAACACAAGAACCTCGAAACTTGACCAGCTTTGGGGGCTGAGATGCTGACTGAATCATGTAGCCGGACCGGCAGCCAATACATGGGGTTGGATCGTCAGTGTCATCTTCATCATGTGTGTAAGTAATTGCTTTGGACTTGGAAGAAGAGGAAATCGGAAAACGGAAAAAGTCATTCTAACACGACTATTAGGTTGCATCGTCGATGGCGGAGTTGGCAAGCAGCATGCCAACCTCTGGTGGATTGTATTATGCTTCGGCGGTGCTTGCTGGCCCCAAGTTTGGTCCTTTTGCCTCGGTAGGTTTATTTTTATCGTCTTTGGTCCTAGTTTATAATTTAAGATCCTATGGCGCTGACATAATCTATTCAAGTGGATCACTGGATGGTGAGTGAATATGATGAATATGGGTTACGGTTTTGTTTCGTCGTTCTAAATTACAGATGAAGGTCAAATTGGTTTTTGCAAGTCACGGGAGCTCCGAGTGTAGACTATGGATGTGGTCAGTATTGCTTTCTGGCATTTTCGTCACTTTCGCTATACTGACACGTTACTCAAAGCTGCCATGACCCTAGCTGCAGCATCCATAATGAACCCGGAATACGTTCCGACTGAGTGGCAGACGTTTTTGTTGACGGCATTCATCATGTTGATCCATGCTTGCCTCAGCAGTATGCCGACGTTGTGGATCGCGAATCTCAACTCTGTGGGAACAATCATCAACATTCTCTGCTTGGTCATCACCATCATTATCATTCCCGCGGCCGCCATGACGCAACCCAAGTTCCAGCCGAATGAGGTTGCCTGGGGTATTCAGAATTATACCGAGTGGCCGGACGGAGTGGCTGTTCTCATGAGTTTCTTGTCCATCATCTGGACCATGTCAGGTTACGGTAAGATCATGAGACCCAAACGTGCTGTTTTTTTTTAATTAAACATTCGTGTGCAGACGCATCGTTTCATTTGAGCGAGGAATGCTCCAATGCCGCGATCGCTAGTCCTCGATCAATCGTCTTCACCGCGGCTAGTGGAAGCATTCTAGGTTTCTTCCTAAATCTGTAAGAATCCAACGATCAGCTTGCTTCATTGTTACTGCTTTACTTATACTTATCCAGGGTCATTGCATATACGATTCAAGACGTAGATGAAGTCATCAACACGGATCTCGTAAGTTACTCGCGTTTTGTGTATTTGGCGTAAGCTAACAAGACACAGGGCCAACCCTGGGCAGCCTACTTGGTCCAAATCCTTCCGCAGCCCATCGCCATGGCCGTGCTGGCCATGACTATCATCTGCGCCTTCATGATGGGCCAAGGCTGCATGGTGGCAGCCTCTCGTGTCTGCTTCGCATACGCGCGGGATGACTGCTTTGGCATATTCTCCGGACCCCTGAAGAAGGTCAACCGACACACCTTGACCCCGGTCAATGCCGTCTGGTTCAACACAATCATTGGCATCATGCTGAACCTTCTCATCTTTGGAGGCGTGGCCATTGGTGCCATCTTTTCCATCGGTGCAATCGCCGCGTACGTTGCCTTTACGATACCAATTACCATCAAGACCTTTTATGTCGGAAGCAATTTTCGCCGGGGACCATGGCATCTCGGATGGTTCAGTATGCCATCCGGAGTCATGTCGACAATGTTTGTGCTTGTCATGATGCCAATCCTGTGCTTCCCGACGGTGAGAGACGGCGATTTGACACCAGAGTTGATGAACTGGACCGGCTTGGTCTACGGCGCGCCCATGTTTATCGTAATTATCTGGTTTGCCGTCGATGCGAGGAAATGGTTTAAAGGCCCCAAGATCAATATCCAGGTAAGTCGATTCTACCCGTTGTCTTTGTCGCGCAATTCGGTCAGCTAATTACATCTGGTTGCAGCATCATATGCTACACCAAGACCTCAGTGCTCACCCTGGAGTTACTGGCATCGATCCCATAGAATCATCTGCAGTGGTCGAGGGGGCGGATCTGGAGAAAGGTTCAAGCAACAAGAGTGGTAAGACTTGAGCCAAGGTCACTGTCACTCCATAATGTATGCTTTAGTGCAACTAGTTCTATGGATGCAGGAAGAGGGACAGCCACGAACCGCCCAAGACGCTCTCAGGTTCATATAAACACAGATCGCACAGAGACAACAAAGGGGGCAAACTATGGGATTTTTCCGCATGATTTTCTCGCTTGGAGAAATAGTGTGGTCGGCGAGTAATCTCAACATGCTTCAAGCCTGTGCACCAAAAATGAAGATGAATGATCAGAAATTGCATCCAAAGAAAGCTCATTGCTCAAATAATCACATTCGTCGTCGTTATAGTTTCGAATCATGCCTCGTTCCAGGTATAGCAGCCCGGACCCCGTCGCGAACGTTCTTTGCCCACCTCTTGCCCGTCTTTCCAATCCAACCCGCCGTCACCCCGGGGATCTCATTCTCACAGAAAACATTGTCCCCCGACGTGCTGGCCAAGGCATAACCGTAGCCGCCGTCGTGCTTGCCCGGCTCGCCAACGAGGTACTCGGGATCCACACAACCAACCGATATGAAGATCTTGTCGTCGCCCTCTTCCCAAAAGTACAGAAAGCTCCCGCAGTTTGTGCAAAATCCGCGCTTGATTTCTTCCGTAGCATGGAAATCCTTCAAGGTGGTTGTTGGCGTGGTGTAGGTGAGGCTCTTGACGGGAATGGTGTGACAGTGCCAAATGAGTGCTCCTGTGCATCGCCGGCACTGTGTGCATTGGCAGCTCTCGCTCTGGGGGATTTTGTTAGCCCTCAGTACCTCCTCAGTCTTGGATCTTGGCATAATTGATCAGGATAAGCTCTCTAGTCTTACATTTCTCAAGAAATTATGATCCTTGGGAAAATCGACCTTGTACCGAATGGAGCCACACAGACAGCCTCCAGTGATTGAGGTAGGCTTGGCAAAGTTGTGTTGATTTGGAGATGACATGGTCGGCATCTGATGGGTTTACTGTGAGATGGAGAGGAATGAATGAGAATGGGAAATCTAGGACAACTGATCGACAGTCGAGCTTGGGTGTTGCTTTTTTAACCTCTTTCTTATATAAAATCAGTGGCGCAGTTGATTCACTACAAGTTATCGTCTACGGCAACGTCACTTGCCCCGCCACCGCCCTGAGTTTGACATGTACGCCTTTGCGATAAGAGCCAAAATGAAGCTAAAGGCTGCGACACAGTTGTATTGTAACACAACAACACTATGATGGTACAAATTTTGTTTCTTTGATACCTAGATCTCGCATTTGATGGTTTTTCAATCGGATGCATCAACCCGCGTGCCCAGTCATTGATCTTTTCTATGACGAAACGCAGTCAAACCCCTCTAATCCAGAGGTATCGAAACCGCTGCATATCCACTGAGGAGCATCACCGCTAGGCGGAGTGATGGATATGTTCTTTGCAACAATGTTTTGACATTGCTATTCTCGCGGCGTTAGTCGAGATTACAATAAATTCTTGAGAGTCAAATAAACATACCTTTTCCGAAGAACAAACAAGTGTGCCGACCTGAGGATCGTGCTTGGAGCTTGTCGTGCCCCAAAAGTCCAAGAAGTAGACATCCGAGATCGTCATGTTGGACTATGAAGAACATCAGCACGTATTCCATTCAGACTCATGCCTTCATCATCCGTGTATGCGTACTGGGAATAACTCGCAGAGGGTCTTGTTAGACTGGCCATAGCACTGATTCACCTCAATCGCCCAGTCATTATTGTCATTGTAGTACTGCTGGTAAGTAATGTTCTTGACGTATCCGGCTCCGCCACCACCGCTGAGTGTCGGCGCCTGGTACGAGTTGATGCCTGGCCAGACCTTGATGCGCGCACCGTCGCTGGCGTTGGACATGCTGTTGTTGAAGACATAAATGTTCTCGACAATATCGTACTGCTCCACGTACTGGCCCAGAGACCCGACGGAGATGCCGTGGCTGCCGTTGCAGGTCAGGCCCTGCACAACGATATTGGTGCTATTGGGCTTGAATGAGACGCAGTCGTCGCCGTTGTTGATGACCGAGTTCTGGATCACGATGCCGTCTGCTCGATAAGTGTCCCAGCCGTCCGTGTTCTTGGGTGTGGTGCTTGATGTGCTGTAAACGGAAATGGTAATGTCACTGATCAAGACATCGGACGTGTTTGCAATCAGGTTGAACCACTAAATAGCGTGAGTATGCCCCTGTTGTTAATGAGATGTGCCCTTGTACTTACGTTTGGCGAATTGACAAGGTTGAGGCCTGTGATACTTCCGCCTTCGAGCCCATCAGTTACAAACAGAATGGGTCGTAGCAACGAGGCATTGGTGGCAAATGCTTCCCACCAGGCTTGACCAGCACCGTCAATCACACCAACTCCATCGCCGTAGATGTTGACGTCCTTTCCACTAAACGATCAAAGTCAGCCGTGTTCACCAAATTGTCTGGTCGACGATATGCTCACCCGAGCTTGAAGAAAGAGGTCGAGTTCTGAAAGTCGTATTTCCAATAGTTGTTCACCCAATAATCGATATCATCGGTGAAAGTGATTTTTCCGGAAATCGCAATATCCACACTGTCCAAAAAGGTGAGATCAAGGACAGAGCCGATTGTGTAGTTTGAGTCCAGAACCACCTTTCCGCCGCCATTGCATTCTTGGAGGGCAGACAGAAAGACTTCCGAGTCGTCACCTCCGGTTGGCACGACGAAACACTCCGTCTCACGCTCCGGTGACACGACAGCAGCTCGGCCCGTGTTGTGAGGGTATGGCTGCACGTTTGGTCGGCTGATGGACGTCTTGCCCGTGTTGGGGCTTAGAGATCCAATTTTACTGGCTGCTTGGGCTGATGTTGTCAGGGCCGCAAGAGCCAGAGTGGTGAGAGCCGTAGATAGCATCGTGCTCTTTGATCCTTTTTGTTCACCAACAGACCTTTTGGCAGTGCTGGCTTCCGTCTCTAGGTGAGGAAGAGAGAGTATGCCTTGCGTTGTTGCAATTGCTGTTGGACATGGTCGAGATGCTACAAGTGCTCGCCTTTTGACTTCTCCATGCCAATATGAGGCTCAACGTCATGAACAGCCAAGTCCGTCAATATTCTTGAGCAGACCGGTAAATTCAGGCCGTAGAGTGCAGTTGTCAAATCGCCACACAGATTTTCCATCAGTCAGAAGCCGTCCCCGCCTGCCAAGGTCTTCGGTAGCCCGGCCGACTTGCCCTGGCAGGCGATAAGCATCGCTTCAGTGCCCTGAAGGAACTCCTTTCTGCAGGACAGCCACCATGTCTGTCCCTGAATGAGCATATAGTAGTGACTGCTCCACTAAGCAAGGGATCAAAAATCTATGGGAAACAATTAGGGGGGAGATTTGCCCTGCAGCAACCGTTGGGGAAACCCTGCTGGCTCCCCGCAGACATATTTTCTAGACATAATCTCCGCCGGCTAAAATGCGAAAATGAGGAGAAATGGGGGAAGCACGGTGACGATCGCAGCTCCCATGTGGTGTGAGTTACGTCGAGTATAATCGCACCTCTAAACGTCTTGGCCACATCGTATACTGCACAACATCAGCCATTATTGATGTGGCTTACGACAGAGTACAACGCACTCCATACCAGAGACGTGACTTGCATTGGCACTCTACTCACTCCATAAGGTTCAATGAATCTCTCAGGGTGCCAGTACGTACCTTAGCTCATTCCAGATCCCCGGCTTCTGTTTCGTGGAGAAATCCATTACCCCAGCTTTCCCCCAGCTCCACTCAATATACGCGACGGGTCCAAAGACCTTGGGGCCCCAGAAAGCTTGGCAAGATGCTCGTCAGTGTGAAGCTTGGAAAGATATGATTACAGTATAAAGTGTCTTCGCGACGGCTGAATACAATGCTTTTCTCTTGGCATTTGCTCTGTATACTCTTGGTATAGCAAAACCTTTTTTCCCAAAGACTGTCATGCCGTTACCACTCAGGCTGCCGGCCGTCTTGGCCTACACCGGCCTCTTCCTCAGCGCGTTGGCAACCTGCCAGACCAGCCCGGCGCAAACGTACGCAGAATGCCAGAAAAAGACGGCAGATGCGCTGTCTGGCTGTCCCGAGGGGACTCTGTACGTCAGCCAAAACGACACGAGCGCCAACTTCACCAGCATCCAGGCGGCCATTGCGTCCATCCCCAACAACACGGACGCCTACACGATCTTGATTGGCGCCGGCGTCTACACGGAGCAGCTCAACGTGACCCGGCAAGGCCCGCTGACGCTGCTCGGCCAGTCGGACCGCCCGGCGAATGGCGAGGCCTACTCGAACGTTTTTGGATCCAATGCCACGGATCAAGCGGCCGTGAATGATGTCCAGATCTATTGGAACGCGGCCAACTTTAACAAGACGTTTACGGATAATGTATATACAGGCGTTTGTAAGTGACAGAACCCCCGAATCATGCGCTCGCAGGAACTACGTTTCATTTACAAAGCGTCAAACTACTACGAACCGATTGCTAAATCATGTTTCAGTGACAATTGGCCCTACCTTGAACGCAACCTTGACGGGCTCGGGCCCTACAGGTTTTGCCGTGCCAGACGACACGCCCTTTGGCTGCTCAAAGTTTAGCGCGTACAATATTGACTTTAGAAACGAGCAATATCCGTACTCGAATGGTCCCGCTCATGCATTGGGCGTAAGCCGTGCGAATGCAGGGTTCTACTCGTGTGGTTTCTATAGCTGGCAAGATACCGTAAGTAAAAGTATATTCCTGGAAGAGAAATAGGAAAAAGAAGAATCAAAGCGCAACTAGCTAAAACCTTCTCTCATTCTAGATCTACATTGGCAAGCTAGGCAACGCCTACTTTCACGACACCGTCGTGGCCGGACAAACCGATTTCCTCTACGGCTTTGGCACGTTTTACATTGCCAACTCGACGCTCTCGCTGCGGTCCTGCGGCGGCGGCATCACGGCGTGGAAGGGCACCAACACGACCTTTGTCAACAAGTACGGCGTCTACATTGCCGACTCGCAGGTCCTGGCCGCCAACACGAGCATTGCGCCCGCCATCGTGGACAAGTGCTCCCTGGGCCGCCCCTGGAACGCCGAGCACCGCAGCTTGTTTACCAATACTTACTTTGACCCCAGCATCCTTCCCGCTGGTTATACCGAGTGGTCCGGGGCCACGAATGGCAACATGGGCGTGAACACCACCATGGCCGTGTATAATGTGTACGGCCCGGGATACGATGCCGCAGCCGAGGAGGCCAGCAATGTGACCATTGTGTTTGACGAGGAGCAGGCTACGCCCTATCTTTTGCCTGAGGACGTATTCATGACGGAGGACGGGAGTCAACCTAACATTGCTTGGATTGATTTTGATGGTGCATCATAGCTCTGATTATTATAATCTTTTCTCTCTTTTTTGTCGATAGAGGTGGAAAATCCGGAAGGAAATCAGTGAAAAGAATTCTTATTCTATTTTATCTTTCTCTAGAAATAGCCATGAACCGAAGCTATCTACATAAAACGTCTACGCTTCTTGGTAGCGCGCACAAACACAATCTCATCGTCATCGCCATCGTCATCAACTCTATCATCCAATCCTCCGATCTCGGATGGAAAAAAGGCAAGATCTACCTTGCGCAGGTGGGCAAGAAGGTGTTCGTAGAGGTGCTTTACAGGCAAAGGAGGGAAGGCGTTGCCAATCTGTCTCTTTGCCTGCGTCGGAGCATCCAAGAACTGGTGGTGTGCAGGAAACGTCTGAAGTACGGCGAGCTCTCTGATATTGAACCGACGTTTTCCGCTGGGGTGGTAATTGACCGAGGAATCTGCGTTTGTACACATTGTGTGACGCAGAATGCCGTTTCCATTCCAAGGCTCTCGACGCTCTGGAAAAGGAGTTATTGGACCATTAAAGGTAGCATTGGCAGGGATCGAATTCAACAATTGGTTGACTGAAGGGCGGACGTGGGATGCTCCGGGCATCTTTGGATGAACTTCGCCAGGACAGGAAGCAACGATAATGACGCGCTTTCGAGGCTGTGGCACGCCCCATTCGTTCAACTGTACGTACTTCCAAGTGATTGAGTATCCATGTGTTGTGAAGCAGTTGAGCAACAAGTGGAAATGGGCCATGTGCTGGTTACGGAGGATCTAGTAATTTTTGTCAGCTGGGTTGAAAAGTACTTGAGTCCTTTTCCATGAGGTCTTACACCGTATGTCTGCTCGATCGTTGCGATTCTCGGTCGTATCTTGTTGATGCATTCACCAGCAGCCATGAGAATCGCAGTGTTCTGCTCATCGTTCTTGCCGGCTACAGTGTGCGCGGGTGACCAATACTGACATGGCGGGGACAGGTGAAGCATATCGAATCGCATCTCCTTTCGTTCGAGGTTGGCGACGACATCACTGACATTTGCCTCCGCTACATCAGCGCGGGGGAAGTTCATGCGATAGGACTGGCATGATGGTTGGTCAAAGTCGCAGGCGTATGATACGTGAACTCCGGCTTGTTCAGCGCCGCATGATGTTCCGCCTGCTCCCGAAAAGATGTCGCCAAATGTGTACTTCTGGCCGCGTTGGATAATGTGAGGCTTGGGGTTGTCCTCAGTCGAGTCGAGATCTACGGCATCGTGCCGGTGAACACCAGGGTTATGTGATCCGCCACGAGTTTTTGTGCCTCGCCACTTGTTGAGCTTGTGCGAATCAGATATACGGAGACTCTTGTCCTCGACGTCCTCAGCCGACAGGTGGTAGAGCGTTCGAGAGATGGCGCGTTGCTCTTGGCGAGCTTTGGCGTTGCGATACTCGGTGATCATCCGCCAGCGACAGGTCAAGTGGCCTTCGTTATCGGTCAAATAGACATCTTTGTTGAAGTTTCGGTAATCGCAGGCGAATTTGGGCCACTGGGCATTAGTGAGCTTGAAGTCACGCTTCCTCATGATGTTGTGTTCTTCAATCTCAATCTGAGATTGCTCTGCATGGTCCCTTGCATCGTCGTCATCGGTATCCCAGACTTCAACAAGCTCGTTTCGCTTGTAGTCGAGCATGGCTAGGGTATTGCGAGTGCGGGTATATGGAACGCCGCGGAATACAATGCCATGACCAGACATGTAGATGGCCTTCACTCGCAGGAATGAGCTGTTGTATGGGACTTTGATTCCCTCAAACTCGACCATGTCGCCCCTCTCGACGATTGCGCTGATGGCATCGACCCAGTGATGATTTATGTATTCGTTGTTGGCGAGAGGCAGATTGCGCTCGAGAGGGAATGGTCTCTCGGGTTGTTGCCGGCGTTGCGGCTGCTGGGCTGGCACCTCCTTAATGTCATCAGCAATGTCAAAGTTTGCGAGGATTTCATCGTCAATCTCTTGCTTGACTCTGTCCGGGACATTGTCTTCTCCAGCATTGTTGTCACTTTCGTCTTTGATAATGATCGGCGCAGCTCTGAGGTTTCCACGGCGGTACTGTCTCATTATTTCATTGTGTTCGTCCTGAAACCGACCCACCATTGCCTCGTCGGCATTCTCGAGCTTGACTGCCGGCATGACGAATTCTGCCAAGGAAGTGACAAGAACGAATCACGTGTATATGCTTTGCAGCTTTCTCCAGGGAAGTAATCGCCCGGTCTATATGTTGTAAGCTGTGTTTGGACAGAGAAGATATCTGGCACAAAATGCTTGGACTCTCAGATGAAAGAATCGCAAACTGCAAATTGGCAGGAATATTGAATCGATGACTCGGTGATTCCAAAACACTTCTTGCAGATGTGAAGGGTCAGAATGGATGATCTAGCTTTGGAAGTGGAAGTCGCCGATGGTTGGAAAAGAAGGAAAAAACAGCCTTGGGGTCAATCCTTGTGGAATCAATCAAAGCTTTCTGTAGAAGGAATAATTGAATTGAGCTGACCAAGATAGAAACTGAAAATAAATCCAGTCGGCGTTGCGGGAAATCGAGATGAATGAGGGCAAAAAGCCAGCCGAAGACTCTCCTGCTTGTTGCGAGCTGTGTGATCAAATTGGGGAAGGAACGCCGAAATCAGGTCTGGCTCAACAGCCAGCCGAATCTTTGCGGCGGGAGGCTTTCAGTTCTGGTATAATGTGTTGACTTGGCGACTATGTGGAAGTCGCCGACAGGGAGGACCACAAAGACTGGAAGAAGACAAAAAGGACCTGGGTCACTCAGGCGACGAGATTTTCTGGACCTGCTGGCCCAAATTCGCAGAGAGATTGAAGTGACGAGAAGGATCGTGTCCGAATGGTAGTGGCGCCAGAAGAGTTCTTTGAAAGTCGCGTTGGTGGACAATGGGGCAAGGGCTTGTAGAAAGAGCGCCGCAATTGAGATTGTCACAAGACGGTCGATTTTTATCAAGCTTCTAACATTGTTGTTTCGGTTTCGAGCTAAGGTGTGACAATCACAAATGGTCACAGGGAACGGAAAGTGCGAAAATAGTCAAACGGAGTATCAGGTAATCAATGGAGGTTTTTGCACAATCAAGAACAATGTGAACGTGGGGAAGGAGAAAAAGAAGCAAAGGTCACATCCACCTTGGACCTACCCATAATTACCAAGAACGGGCTCACGTGTTACTTGAATGTCATGTAACTCTCAGTCAATAGCATCAGCATGAATAGCTCGTGAATGCTTCACAAAGACCATTTATTGGCTCCTGCCCCACCTTTCTGGGTGCCCCCTCTGATTTGGGGGCTCTCTCACTGAAGCAGTGTGATCTCTTTGACTTTGGATGGTGGCTTTTTACTAAATTCTGTTGGCTGGGGATTCATCTGACCCAAGAGGGAACATCTCCCTCCCTAGTAAGCACCGTCCCTTCTCTTCCATGATGGACTATCTACCAACTTCACAGCTGAGCGGCCCGAGTAGACGGGGAGCCCACGTTCAAGTCTAAAGTCTTCGAGCTGTGTGGTCTGATCCTCCATTGTCCAGATCAAAAGAGCAATCCAATTCTCTCCGTGATAGTTCAATATGCCTTCAGGTACCGGGAAGCGTGTCTGCGGTCCGATGTGGCTGATATACTTGCCGTACTGCCATCCATTCACGTACAGTTGTATGCGAGCCGCACCACCCGTGACCCCGCCGAGAACGAAAGACAGTGGGATTTCATAATCTGATGGGAGGTCCAGATCGAATGAAGACGTGAAAATCCACACGCCGGGTTCAGATATAGGCTCGAGAGGCGATCTCTTCCTGAAAGCCCCAATTGGCGGTTTCGGGAGGTGCCAGCCTTGCCTCTCCGCAAATAGTCCTCCCTCGTTCAACGGTCCTCGTGACCTATCCACCGAGTCCTCACCGTGCAGATTTCCGGTCAGCTTCCAGTCGATGGGAGTGCTCCTGAACCACGATGACTTTAAGTTGTATCGCAGAATCCCTCTTGGAGCCTTCCCAGAATCTACTCCTGCTACGCCGTTCTCATCCAGACCCATGTTGTCAACAATGACTGTGAGGACGTATGGCTTTCCAGGCAGTAAATCAGGTATTCGATATGTAGCACGGGCGTTACTCACGCCGGCTTTGCCGATTTCAGATCCTAAAAAGGTATTATTCAGCCAGACTGTATGTCCGTATGCAGTACCTCCTTGTGTTTGAATCTGAGTATAGAGTTAGCATCTCGTGCATAATTGTCAGAATACTCCAGATTTATGCTTACATCGAATGACTCCTCGGTTCCCTGGGCCACAAAATGCCCGCGAAAAACGAGAACACCAGCATGAAAACCGTAGTCAGATGCGAACAGAGATGTCGGGGTCCACTGGTGCTGGTAGGTGTTATTGCTAGACAAATCTGCTGATGGCCACTGGCTGTCGTCGTAGCTTGAATGTAGTTCAGGAAGCGAATCGGCGGCTCTCCATTTCAAACTTGCCAATACGGGTATTTTCAGTTGCGGTGATTTGTAATGAATGTCGAGGGAAATAGTGATGTTATTGTCTCGGAAGGGCGTATCAACTCCGTTGACTATCACTGACTTGAGATGGGACAACCCGAGAATCTCCACTGTCGTATTTTCCGTAAAGTCTGCTTGAATGGACAAGGTCCTATAATCATGTAATGATGCGTTTCTGACAAGGTAAGGCCCTAGTATAATCGCTGAGGTCTTTCCAATTGATGGTACCCAGTATCGATATGCTGAATCTCGATCTATGTTCAAATTAGAATAAGCCATGCAATAGATACTCGGCCGTCACACATACCTGTTGCAAATATGAAGAGATTCCCAACCCGAATGACTTTGCGTTCGCCAGAAGTATCCCATGTCATGATTGCCAGGTCACCAGCGTGATGGACAGCAACTGCATCGCCGACAAGGATCTTTGGTTTGTGTGTTGTTTTGATGGCCAATTCGTTCGTTTCCCCTGGTCCAGTGTAAACGACTAGGACTACTCGATCAGTATATTTCTGGTGAGTTAAGATTTCAGCTGTCGAGTATATCAGTGTCGAGCCGTGGACATCGTAGTCTGTCACTGCAATCTTGGAATCGCGGCCATTCAAGGTCAGTGACCCGTAAAGCGCAGGGATCGAGACTTTGCCCCTCGATGTGGGAAGTTCCAGCTTGTAGTTTGTAGAAACTGTGCTGGTGTAGTCCGAATGTCTGATGATGAAGAAGGAGCCGCCCCCAATAGTCGAGTCGCCTTTGAGCCTCGTGACTGTAATAGCGGCATCATTGCAGTATGTCAATACTTCGGCGAGTCCTGGCTTCGCTGTCAAGTATCCAGGTGACATCTGGAGCCATTGAGCGAGTAATTTCAGTTCCGAATACTTCTTTCTTCCGACGGTGAAATCTTCTTTGATGGGTGAGCCGTAGTCATACGAGGTGTAGCCGCCTGGGTGGCCAATGTTACCCCAGTTTGTTCCTCCGTATACCATATCTGGAAATCATGAGGGTTTTTAGTAGACTGTATTGAGATATCATGTACATATCGCAATGCCAAGATGGGACGCGCATTTAATGCGCTGTTCTCAAAAATTGAACATTGCTGGCCATGGACAATCAAAGAGGATACCGAATTTTTGTTGACTTACAAATGTTGAATATAGTTACACCGGCTGCCAGATTGTTTTTGTAAAAGACTCTCTCAAATTCTTCATTAAGCAGCAATGCGCAATTTTCGAAGCCTGGGCCTCCCCAAGGGTCGAAGGCACCTCCCTGGAATTCCAAGATGGAGAATGGCGTCGATGGACTTTGGACTTCGTGGATCGAGTGATAGAGTCCATTCAAAGCACCTTTCGGCCAAGAAGTTGGATTAGAACAGTCAAACTTGAGCGGATAGTCATCGTGACCATAGATATCAACTTCCCCTGCTCCGGTACCAGGAGCGTTGTGTCCGAGCGGAGCCGCATCATTACTGATGATAGGGACTACAATACCAGCTTTTCTTGCTTGGTCCTCAACATCTGAGTAATATCGCATCAGTCAATCATCAAGGTCAGACGGAGGAGTCCAGTCGCGCTTCCACTCACATTGCATATACTCGCCATCGGGGAATCGAGGAGGTACACCCCAGGTATATTCATTCTCCGGTTGATAAAGGATAACGGGACCGTCATTGGTTATTTGCGCTTTGGCTATAATGGCACCAATTTGGGCAATGTAGTTGTCCGTTGCTGCCAAGTATTCCGGATTTCTTGTTCTTAGCTGTCCATTGACACGCTGCATCCAGCCCGGGTATCCACCGAAGCTGACCTCGGCATTGATATATGGTCCAGGCCGCTGATCTATGTGAGCTAGCGTTTATTGTTAATGGCAACATGATTTGTTCTTACCGCAATAAGGTATATGCCTGCTCGACTGGCAGCTTCAAGGAAAGGCTCGTATGCAAAGACGCCTGTAGCTGTGAAGTTGCCTGGGGCAGGCTCTACCAAAGCCCACATGACGTAGAATGAGACGCAGTTGAAACCGAGCGCCTTGATCTTCTGGAATACATCATCATAGAGTGATGGCACTAATCTCCAGGGATGAAGCTCTCCACTCATGACCATCACCCGTTGTCCTCGTATAAACAGTGAGCGCTCGTCCCAAGTCACAATATTCTGTGGTTGCTCCTTTGGCTGCTCGGCCTGAGGGACGGTGTAGTAAGCTCCATCGTGATCTTGCCTAGACAGAAGCGCAAATGTTGCCAGGAGAGTCAACGTGCACAGCCAAATGGCTAGTCTCTTTGAGATGATCAGAGAGAGGCCAAGGCATTGTCCACCATTTTTACCCTCTTTGGATGGCGGCAGGCTCTTGCGATGTTGTAACAAAGGCAAAGATTCGGACTGGTCTCTGATGTGGGCGGCTCCGCCTTTCATAACGACAATCGACTGGCATAAATAACAAGAGGGAACACAACGTGATCAATCAATATGATTCCGTGATTCAAAAGAATGACAACTCGATGTAGGGGACAACCACTAATAAACTCAGAGGGAAAGGGTGTTTAAGAGAGTGTGGAGCGCTTGTTATTGAACCAGGCGCAGGTGGTCACCAAGGAGGATTGTTCTCGTGAAGAGAGTGTGTCGATTCAATGCGACTGCCGCAACAACAATGTAATCAGGGACAAGCGGCTCATTGATCCCCGCCACGCGTAAAGAGCATGAGATCGCGCTTATAGTATCGCCACAAGCAAGGGGAAAGTAATGTATTATGTTATCTTGGATGAAGTGGGTTGAGAATACTGTGCCAAGTTGGAGGTGGTGAAGTCCGAGGTTCTTATGGCCCCAGCAACGGCCAATGCCCCGCAGCAGCCAGGGACCCTCGCCTTCTGAGGCGCCGGTCTGGGGCATGCAAGGGCTGCTGATGGTACCTACATTATTACCTAACCTTAGGTAGTACTTGACACTTGTTAGTGAGTTGGCCGCCAGCATTGTCGGGATGCCTTATAGCAGGGGCATTTGCGAAAACCATACAATTATCACATATTTCACCATGGGAAATGATTCTCAACCATGCCCACTGCGACGCCGTCCTTTTTCCAAATCTTCGCGTCCTTCATCACGAAGTCAACCCGCCGCAGTGCACTCTTGTCTACTCTGGGATCTGATTGCAGAGCAATGATATCCGCTCGGTTACCCTTTTCAAACCAACCAAAACGGTAGCCACACTGATCTTTGCCACAGCTCTCCCATCCCCCTACCATGCAACTTTCAAGCACATCTTCAAGCTTGATGCCAGCTTCAATCATCAATTCCATTTCCCTGGCACCTCGTCCGTGGGAAAAGACTCCAGTATCTCCACCGGCTGCCAGACGTATTCCATAGTCGTGGGCCTTTTTGGTTTGCGCCAAGAGACCCTGAATTCCGGCCTTGCTGAATGTCTCTGCAGCGGCCAAGGTGGGCACCCAAATAGTGCCTTTGGACTTCATCAAGGCCAAAAGTTCGTCGGTAGCATCGAATCCATGCTCGATGGATGTTACTCCGGCTTTCACGGCCATCAAGGCCGCCTTGAGTCCGCCTGCGTGTGCAGCCACGGGCAAGTCCGCCAGTTTTGCCTCTTTCACAATCATGTCCATCTCTTCCTGGCTGAATAAAGGCACGTTTGGGTTTGGGTCCGCAGGTGGATACTCAATGCCGAGTTTATATGGGTGCTGCTGGCTCGGCGGAAACCTCATAATCTTCCTTCGATAGTCGGCGTAGAACTTGATGATATCGGCACCCTCTGCAACACGCCGCCGCAGTGCCTTTCTCACGCCATCAGGTCCGTCTCCCGGGTCAGAGGCTGGTGGTGCCCTTGTCCCGCCGTAATAGTTCTCCGTTCTAACCTCAAACCCACCAGTGCTGCCGAGCGGATGAGTAGCGACGAACAATCTTGGGCCCGGTATGATGCCGCGGTTGATACAATCGCGCAAATTTGCATCAAAGCTTTGCATGGCCTCAGACCCAAGATCACGATAGGTTGTGTAGCCTGCCAGCAATGCAGTACGCACATGGTTCGTTGCACGAACTACACGTTCGACGATGCTCTCATCCCGGTGCTGTTCGGCTGCGGGGCGTTCACTATGGAGTGTGAGCTGTCTCCTTCACAACTTGCCGGCCTAGCCTGCTATAAGAATTGGCTGAATACTCACTCGTAGTCGTGGAGAAAGATGTGAGTGTGAGCATCTACGAAGCCCGGCATTGCCACTTTTCCCCGTAGATCTATATCTTCTGGCCCGAGTTCTTGGATCTCGGCGCTGGCCCGCTTCTTGACGGAGACGATGCTGCCCGTCTGGGGGTCTACCGTAATGGATACATTTTCGACAAAAGCCTCGCGCTTCGGATCAAAGAGCGTTGATGTGTGAATTGTAAGATGTGTCCGCGAAATCATTGTCATCTTGAACCCTGCAGCATTGCTGTTGTGGCAAAGACAATTGCTAGACTTCTACGAACTGAGCAGCATCTTTTATAGTTGAGACTGGTGCCCTCCACAACTTACACGGATGCGCCGTCACACAGCCTAAGACATCGGCACAGCTTCCTATCGCGGAGTCCACAGCGCCTCGAGCCCCTGCAGTCCGGGCACAAGTTTACTGGGGGTAGGTATTTGGCAGGAAAGATTAGGATATTCAGAGACTCCAGGGCATCGATGGGTGAATGTGTTCAGTATTGTAACCTGATGGACTCGATACCTTTTTCACAGGCTGTGATTACCTTTGCTCACAGTCAGAAGTCTATTGTAATAGGCTGGTGAAGTTGATTTGTTTTTCCCAATCCACTAAAGTCTGATATATATCCAGCATTCCTGGCATCAATATCCATAATACGGAATGCAAGTTGTAGTTCCATCTGCTTTTGTACTGCCAAAGTGCCCTAAATTTAGCTGTGAGTATAGTGGATAGCTCCCCTGGAAATCTGTACGTCATTGCAGGCTCCTGATCCCATAATCAACCCCTCACTAAGCTTAGCTATACCTATCGCGAACTTTTCGTCTGCGAGTCACCCCTCCATTGCTTGAGAGAAGTACAGGTCAGGACTCTGGACATCTCGAGCAGATATGGCGCCCAGTCGGATAGCCACGAAACCGTTCGTGTACTGCGAGGGAGCGTCCAAGTGGGATCCCCAGTCCTACATTGAGGACAAGGACCTTGCAGCGCAGGCGGCCGAGCACCTAGCCAAGGACGACCTCGCCGCCGCCGTTGCCGCGTCCTTTTCGCTGCCGCCGCGCGACGCCTACACCTACCACGCCATCGTGTCAGTAACGCTCGCCCAGGTCCAGCACGTCGTCGGACTCGGCGCCGCCAACGGCCTGCACGCCTGGTACCGCGACCCGGCCGCGCCGCCGCCCGAAAAGCAAAAGCCGCTCCAGGCGTCCGACTTTCTCCCGCCGCCGCCCCGCCCCGACGTCGACACGTACCTCCAGATCTTCGACCCCAAGACCGCGACGCCCAATATTCTCAAGTCCCTGGCCTCGAATGCCAAAAAGGGCTCGCTGCGCGCCTCGGTGGCTGCCCATCTGCTCGAGAAACGCTTCCTCCACCCCGCCCTTCCGCAACTGCAGATCCCCCGATCCAAGACGGCGCCGCCGAACCCGTACCTCGAGTTCCTAGCATGGGCCTGTCGCAACCTCGAGTTCGCTGGTCCCTGCCCAGAGAGCGAGGCCGTCAAGAGCAGCCACCACGTCCTCCCGATCCTGATGCACCACTTTGGCTGCGTCTGCCCAAGTCATGAGGCGCTCAGCATCCTCAAGGTCCTGGCCGGCGGCCGCGAAATCTGGGACATGGGCAGCGGCAACGGCTACTGGACATTTATGCTCCGGCAGTACGGTCTGACCGTACTGCCCGTCGACAATGCCCAGAGCAGCTGGCGTGTGACCTGGGTAAAGGACACGACCATGTCCGACGGCGTAGAATTCTTGAACAAGCCCGGAAACCAGGGCGGAAGCAACGCCATTCTCCTACTCGTCTACCCCATTGTGGGCGGCGGCATCGCTGGCGGCGAGGAGGGCGGCTTCACGCGGCAGCTCGTTAAGGCGTACAAGGGTGATACTATAGCCGTGGTGGGCACGCAGAATCACAACGGATACACTGGCTTCCGAAGTATGAGTATGGATGAGTACATGGAGCGGGAAGAGCCCGAATGGACCAAGGTCGTACAGATACCTTTACCCAGTTTCCCCGGCAAGGATGAGGCGCTGTTTGTCTTTCAAAGAGGTGACCGGGCGCCAAAACCCGAAGCAAGCAGTGCCACGTGAAATACCAGGCTAATCAAAAGACAAACTACACGATAAATTCCGAGGCCGGTACGAGGCATGGATTTTAGAGGCTCCTGAGGCGAAGGTGTTGCTCGACATCGATGATTGGTGTCCGACTTTGAGGGCATGGTTTTCATATAAGCAAGCAACGTCGATAAAAAATCAGCATCCGCCGAGTGCCGGTAGAGACGACAGTGCCAAAGATACCTGACCGCACAAGACTGCATGTTGAGCAGAAGGATCAAGTTGCAGCTGTGCCAATTACTACTTCTACGTGCCGCAGCCGACTCTACTAGTGTTATCCGTTGAACTCCATACTAGACGAGACCACCATATAGTAGCCTCTTGTACTCAGTATAGAGAATAAGAAAAAGTAAAACGGAATGAGCCCATTCCTGGTATCAGCCTCTCGTGTGACTCCAATAAATATGCATTAATCGTCAAATCTCTTCAATAAATCTATTTCAAAGATATTGCTCATCGCTTCTTGCCCTTGCCGCCTCCTTTTCCACCCTTACCCTTATCTCCTGCACCACCACCTCCTGAAGCACCACCGGTCACCATTACTCGCACCTTACCCACCGGCACGGTGTTTACCGCCTCCTCGGGTTTAAGTGCTTTGAGAAGCTCGACCTCCCGTGGCCACATGCGCTCCTTGTCCTGGCTCTTCTCGTCCAGGACACCCTTCTTGGTGCTGACTGCTTTCCAGCCCTCTAGAATCTCCTTGATTGCTTTTCCCTTCTTCTGTGCGCCTGGCTGCAGTTTCACCTTGTATTTCAGTTTGCCTAGTGCTGAATATGGTCCACAGACAACGACGGCCTCTAGGATCTCATCACCAACCATTGGTGCACCAACAAGGCTATCGAGAGGAGTGGCCTTTTCGGCCTCGTCGGGCTCCAGCACATCAACGCCCTCTTCAAGCATCATCTTCCGGACCTCTTCGTGTTCTGCTGTCTCGCGTTGCTGTTTCTGATGTTGAGCACGGCGGCGCTCTTTGGCGGCAAGCTGGGCGGCTTCGCGCTCGGCTTTGGCCTTAGCTTCGGCTTCGGCCTTCTTTTGCCCAGAAGTTGCACCAATAAGTGCTTCAATTGCGACGCGATCCTCGTCATCTTGATCTTTGTATTTCGCGGCGATCTTCTTGGCTTTACCTCGCTGGCCACGCTTTGGTTGCTGCTTTTTCTGTGCTTGTGGCTGTGGGGTCACCTTGCCAGATGTTGCTGCCGCGGTCGATGTCGCAGGAGGATCCTCCTCCTCGTCTGATTGCTCCTCCGCTTTGTCAAGTTCAGATACCTCTGGCTCATTTGCTGGTGCAGCTTCGTCAGAGCTAGGGTCCTGTACATCAAGCTTACTCATCTCTTCGGCAGGAGGTGAGTCCTCCTCGGTTATATCAGCATCCTCATTGGGTTCTCCGGATGACTGCAAGGGGTTGGCTCTATTCTGGTGGTCCTTGTCTTGCTCTTCACCCATCTCGTCTTCAGGTTCAGTGTGATCCGCAACCTCGCTATGACCATCATGGCTGGCTGTATCATCATCGATCGTTTCTCTTGCAGCCTCAGCAACAGGAGCTTGAGCCCCTCCCTCATGAAGCCGGTGCTTGACATGCTTGCTCTTGCTCTCCTCACTGATTTTGAACATGATGCCGAACCCAAGAATAAGTTGCGCTGGTGGCAAAAAGTTCTTCTTGCCACGAATCATGAAACTGCCCGTCGGGAGAAATTCTCCCGTTGGCGCTGATTTGGAAACTTGATCTGCATTAACCCAGTAGGCTCCCATGCCGGCCTTTGAGTCCCATGCAGACGATGCACATACCGACAGGTGGCCCGCTTGTGAAAGTGTTGAAGGTGGAATGGGAGCATCAGGCGTCTGGGGGTTATTCTTGATGACAACTGTAGGCGCGCCGTGGAGATCTGCGTGGACATAAACATCGCCCTTCTTCAGATAACGGCGATAAATGATTTCGTTTTGCGCAGCATCCTTGCCACCAAGTACAAGGTAGCCATCAGACGAAATGAACCAGATGAACTTCTCGAACCACATCTGCTTCCTGACTGGCTGTAAAAGCGGCTTCTCTTGCTTAAGCCCCTTCTTCAATTCGATGGCGATTTTCTGCTCTGCATTTTTCAACGCAATCTCCGCCTGGGATGCTGTCTTTTGTTCCTTCACAGCGGCCTGTTTCCGCTCTCCGTAGTAGCTTCTTGCGTTTGCCCACGGAGAAAGACCTAGGTCTACATCGATCGATAATTTCTTGCCATTGCTTTGTTTAGCGGATGCTGCGGCATCAATGTCGTCCTCGGAGTCGGATGAAGAGTCCGTTTCGTACGCTTCGTCCTCTTCCTCTTCCTCCTCTTCTGCCTCGCCCAGTAGCAGTGTGATCGTATTTTCTGACAGCTTCAGGGGAGAGGAAATTATGGCAGCTACTGGATTCTTTCGCAGACGCTCTCTGTCAATGAGTTTTCCAATATCCACCCAATCCATGCCTTGAGCGATGAGACCGTTGACTGCATCAATGGCTTCTTGTACTCGCTCCACGTTTGCCTGGATTGCACTGGCCTTTCTCATATTCAGAGTCTGGACTTCTTGTAATCCTTCTATTCTCTTTGCTTGGTCGGCCCTGGCAGCTTCGAGCTTCTTCTTTGCGGCAGCTTCCCTTTCTGACAATTTCGACTCAAGCTTTTGGCCTTCGATGGAGGAAAAGAACTCATCCACCATGAGATTGTAATTCTCAAAATCGAGCACGGTATACTGAGGGTCTTCCTGGAACTGTTTCGGGATGAAGGGGTGAAAGTCCTCGTATAGCATACCATTGGATCGCTCTTGGTCCGTCTTTTCCTCTGTACTTTCCTCGGGCTTCTTCGGTCGAGACTTGGCAAATATGTAGCCCTTGCAGGTATCCGAGCTCGTGACGTCTCCCACAATTTTGCGTGCTTCTTGCAGCGATTGCAAAAGAAGATCTAACAGTCCATCATTTTCAAGTACGGATGCCGGCTGTGCAGTGGTGTCAAAGCCATTCGTCTTCAACGCGTGATCTACCAAGATCGGTGGGAGCTCTGTAATTGTTGTGGCAAGTCCTTTTCGTAGCTCGTCGCCTGGCTTCTTCTTCACCTTCTTGCCAGCGGCGGCGGCAGAAGCGCTCCTGCTCACAATTATTTGCAGCGCATTGCGCACTCGTTCCTTTGTAAGATCTGGAATTCCTCCATAATTCTGCCGATTCTCCAAAGAGTACGTCAGCCCAACTCTTTGAGGTTCCTGACCCTCGCCTTCGGGTACGTTGCGTAGGAGCGTCAAGATTTTCAGATCACTGTCCGTCAATATAACATTGCCACTGGCAAAGAATTCGAGGTAGAGTCGGTACTGGCCGTCACTGAACTGGAATTCAATGATACGATCGGTCCCGATTTGCGAGACTGAAGTCAAGCGCCTGGTCTTGAGATACTTCCGCAGCTTTTGGACAAAGACTGAGGGCGCAGCAGCTGTTGTTCGTGCGAAATCGGTCAAGTGACAGCGGAATCCCGAGTCGATGAGAAGCTGCTTCTTGTTGTCTGGCTTGGCAAACTTGAGAAGGAGGATCTTGGAGGACAGGTCGTATATGTTTGATACTCGAAGCGACACTAAACTCGCTGAGAGCTCATGAGCAATGACCTAGGGCGCAAATAATGTCAGCTCAAGGGTCAAAAGGTTTCGATTGGCAGTGAACTCACCTTGACGTCCAAAGAAGAGAATCTCTGCTTCATTGTGACGGTCCGTCTCTGTCAATTCTGTCGCAGACTTCCTATCGGATTATGTTAAGTAGGTGCCTACTGTAGCTTCGAGTAGAATTTCTTAGAGCAACCGCGGGGCACTTGAATTCTGTATGACGAATGGCGGGGCACATCCGTTTCGGTGATGACACATCCGGTCATGACGTCACGTGCTCTGGTGGATCATAAGGAATACCTACACTCAACGGCCATTGCTGAATGCTGATATTGAACATCACTTGGAACATCCACGAGTACGCATTAATGAATGGCTCAATCTGATTGGGTAAGACTCTGTCAAGAGACGGGTAGTAGAGAAAGGTGCGCCGACACAGCGCAACAACCTGGTCTACCATTTGGTGCTTATTTCACGCCTTTTGATAGTATAATCGCTCATGTAAAATGTAGGTACGTTGTATGATGTTGTGTCCACCACCTACCAGCCAGCGTTCATCAGAAACTCCGCGACGAGGCTTCTCAGGAACTTGACAGAATTTATAAGTACAGTAGAGCGCTGCAGCATACCATTAGGAACATGCTTATCATAGAGCGGAACACTAAAGCTGCCAGGGAGTTGACGGCAAATAGAGCTGGCAGCAAGATAACATAGAAGCAGAGAAGTAGGTAAATAGACTACAATGATTGACATCATGAGATTGTGATGTTGCTTCGTGGCGCCGCTGGGCTGCAGATGTCAAATGTAGAGGCTGATTATGCTCAACCTTATAGCCTGTCCTGGATGAATCACAAGTGATTGGAACGGTGGTGGAGGAGCCCTCCTCTCAAGCTCGCAATGCACTTGTTGGGATACTCATGAAATATGATTTTGCAACATGTAGGGCCGGGTTTCGTACATTGTGTATAAAGCACCCTTTAGACGCCAGTGGTGATGCATAGGTATGCACTTCGTTCCTGAGGCTGTACAGACAGAGTATGTCTCTTGCTCATCTCGCTGGCACCCAATCGTCTTGTCGGCCCTCGTTCTTCAACGTCGATTTTCTCCATGGCGACAACCGATGGCGTTCCGAAGAAAACTTAGGCGCTCATCTCAAGTTTAATCTTATTTTCAGCTGTTATGGGAACAACATGCATGGCTTGGCGCGCCTGGCTTGCTTTGACAGCATTTATACACAGTATTGACAGCTAGCGTTTTTGCACATGCAAGTATAGCTGATTTTAATATTCCGATCCCGACATCAGAGAAAATTCCCGTCCCTCTGGAAACGATAGTCTTTCCGTGATGAACGGAGCTGTACCCTCAATAGGTGCTGAATCACAACATCCCCAAAGAAACAATCAAAGCCGAGCGTTTCGATGCCGAGGCTCCGCCGTTCCGCATAGGCAGAACGGGCTAGGCTGGTAAGCCAGACCCCGGCACATCGTAGCGCGTCTGGTTCCCGGTCGTCATGGCAACAAGGTAGCTCCAGGTTTCAGGGGATATAGTTGGAGGCACTATTGGATCAGCACGGAATATTGAGGTTACTGTTCAGCCATTGCGAGAGCTGCGAAACAGCAAAAGGTACTCTGCCCCATTGCAACCAAGGAAGAACACACTGGAAGATGATCAGAAGAATGAGGGCAGCGATGCATGTTATACATGGGAAGCAAGCACAGATCTAGATCAGACAGTGCATCGTCAGTGGAGCGAGCTACTGTGGCTGTACGCAAGCACATACCTGGGACACGGTGTCGAAACAGTAATAAGGCCACTGATGAAGCATGCTATCTGCACATGGTGACGAGAGCTCAGCTCCTCCGCAAAAACGCGACCTGCAGCAAGCTGTGGACGACTAGATTTCAAGTCAATCCAATAGAAGCAATCCACGCCTACCGCAGTCCAATGCAAGATGCTCTCGCACTACTATCTGCATCATACATAGCCCTGCGGCGTGGTTGGGAATTTTTTCCCACTGGTACCTAGTGCACAAGCTACCAGGAACCGGACGAATCGCCGAGCTTTGCGCTGTGATGCTCCAATTGTGTTGCACGTTCCAAGCGGCGATCCCATCTGCTACGTACTAGGCAAGCTATCTTAGGTACTGTCAGCGCTGCTACCCAGCCATCGCCCCACGTTTCCCAACCTCCATTCATACGTCCACTGCTACTACTGATGATACTCTGTGCAGACAAGTGTTGCCTCAGAGTAATAATCAGCACCCAGCCTCTTTCCATTTCGGCAAATAAATGCATTTGCCCATCTGATTGTGATGAGCCCAGGCCAATTGGCAATATCCCAAACCTCAATTGGTTGTTCCGAAGGACGACATCATGTCACAAATCAAACGACGAATGCAGCATCTCAATGTGACCGACAAGAGAAGAAGCTGCTGGCTGGGATCAAATGGCGCCAGCCCAAGCTTCTCGATCGTCTCCAGTGAACCCCATACCCATCGGGCTCAACACGGTGCATTTGGGCGCCCTGGCGTCCGATCCGGCTTCCGTAGACTTGGTAGCTTGGATTGCTGTTTTTAACTTTTTTTTTTCACACGCGTACGTACGCTCTTAGTTGAGGGACCAGGCTCGACACAGAATTCCCGGATCGAAACTGCACGCGCTGGGCGCTGCTACAGGCCAATTGCAGGCAATGCCTCTTTAATGCCCAAACGTCAATAAAGAGAGTTCAGGGCAACAGGCAGAAGTTATCGTGCTTCAGTAGGACAATCCTAGATGTCGGAGTATGTATGTCCATCATAAGCTGAGCTAGTGCTATTCGTTCATCCTACATTGGAATATTGTCTGGGGAGGAAAGCGGATCAAGAGAGGTTGGGTCAATTGTGATCTAGTGCTTTCCTTGCCTCTTCTTATTCTACTGCATACGTATGAACTGCAATCGGTCCAATCCAGAGGCGTTTGTTGATTTGTTGCCAGTCAAAGGTCCGCCTCATCCATGATCCCCAGGCCCGCCAGCACCCCGAGTGGGATAATCCATACTACATTCATCCCATCAATCCCATCCCCAGCCCAGCCCAGACAAAGGCCAGCTAAAGTCAAGCGAGCAACCAACAGGCTTGGAAATCATGGGAATCACCTCGTCCGTCTCTGCCCTCCCCTTCCCTTCCCCCCCTCCCCCAGCCGCTGGGTATCCACAGCCCAGGGCCTGCCGGTTGGCCCTCGGGCAGCTCCTAGGCGCGGTCCTAGCTGCGTACAGGCTGGGATAAACACAAGCTCCACCTCGTGTAAACAACGTTGGACCACAGAAACCCTGCATTCGGCTGCCACGCAACATCTGAACCATTGAAAAGCCAGCACCGTTGCCTCCTCCCCCCGTCTTCTTTCTTCTCCTCCAGTCCCAAACCCAGTTTCTGCCAGACCGCTACTCAGACCCAATCTGTACCCAAAAGCCTCACTTCTCTCTTCCTCTTCCTCTCAAAACTGAAAGATCAGGTTAAGAAGCGCCGCATCAGCCGCAGCTTCTCTCCCCTCTTTTCTTTCAGCATATAGAAAGAAGAGCAAGAGAAATCTTCTTGTCTTCCTTTCGTAGCATTGCGCGAAAGGTTGTCGAGGAGAGGACTCTCGCGCCCATCAGGTCGGCAATCTGGATTTTGAAGCCAGAGTACCCGTTCCCTTCAGCATCTTCCCTTCGTCTTACAAGGACGATAAGACAGCTGAGGTAGAGACGACCACTCAGACCCATCAGGAGGTCCAGATCAACCTCCCTGACAAGAAAGCCGGACGGGAAGGTCAATACTCTTCCTCGCAGGCCTCTGTTAACCTTCCTCCTCGCCGCGAGCAACGCTACAGCGAAGAAGAGGTCCATATCACACGTGAAGAGGAACGTTACCGCCGTCCCGGTGTCCACCGCGAGTACTACGAAGAACACAGGTTAGTGCCACATCTCTCGTTTGAAATCAACTTCAGTCATGCATTGCACACTTCTCGCCATGGGAATTTCAATTTTCCAATGGCAAATGAGTGAAGTCGTGCACATCACCATGCTCAATGGCCCCTCCCCCACGGGGACACAGGGATATATCTGCCAGCGCATGAACACATCTTTGTTCCCACTTCTGGGGCACGGGCATAGATACGCCAGCAACCAGTGCACCAGCCCGAGCTCTTTAGTCCAATCGATGACCAAAGGGTTATGGGGCATGATGCTTGATTTCGTGTGAAAAGGAACAAACCTTCTGAGCAAACCCACTGACATGTTGTTGTAGACCTGCTAGCAGCTTTGGCGAGACCTACGTCGAAGTTGATCACCAGCACCGTCCCTCGTACACTGCTATTGACCAGATCGAGCGCGAGTACCGCAGCCGATACCAGCCTACCTACCAGGAGGAAGTTCGCGTAACCGGTTCTACCGTTGACGCCCCCAGCCACCACACTCGTCCCGTCTACGACGAGCAGATCCGTGTCGAGACTACCGTCGACGCATCCAAGCCTGGTCCTTCTTACCACAAGGAGACCAAGATCGTTGAGGAGACCGTAGAGTATCCTCGCTCCGTTCACTCAGGCGCACAAAAGTCTAGAATGGGATATTACGACGAACAGGGTAAGTTTTGATCAATCACTGTCTTGGCTTGTCATTTGGCTAATCGATCTCTCCAGGCCACTACCACTCGTTCCGTCACGGTCTTCACAAGATGGCCGACAAAGTTTTCCACCACGACCACGACCGTGTTGAGGTCAGAGAGGTTCGGGAGCGTTCCCGACCCATCTCGCAGCCTGCACCTGTCCCCAACACCGTCACCATCCCTTGCCACCACATCCGCATGGGTGATATCTTGATGCTGCAGGGCCGCCCTTGCCAGGTCATCCGTATCTCGACCTCTGCTGCCACTGGCCAGCACCGCTACCTCGGTGTCGATCTGTTCACCAAGCAGCTGCATGAGGAGTCTTCCTTTGTCTCCAACCCCGCTCCCAGCGTTGTTGTCCAGACCATGCTTGGTCCCATCTTCAAGCAGTACCGTGTCCTGGATATCCAGGACGGTACCGTTGTTGCCATGACCGAGACTGGTGATGTCAAGACTGGTGTCCCCGTGACCGACCAGTCTGGTCTCTGGAGCCGTCTGTCCAAGGCTTTCGAGTCTGGTCGTGGCAGCGTCCGTGTGCTTGTTCTCAACGACGGTGGCCGTGAGCTTGTTGTTGACGTCAAGACCATCCACGCCTCCAACCTGTAAATGGGCACGAAAATTTAATGGCTACTTACGATGTTTGGATTATAAACGGAGTCAATTATCTTTGCATTACTACGGACAGTCTCGTGCACATGATACAACGAGTCAGCTACTCCCGACGGGAATGATGATCAAGGTTGATCTTGTGAGACGGGAAAATTTTATGTTTGGTCATTGAGTAGATAGCATCTTTGTAAATGACTGGTAATTGATTTGTTTTGGATGAGCTATGAATATATTTCAGCTGCTGGAATAGTATTGTATTCTCGTTTCTGGCCCGTGTATGTACGTGCATGGTTTGGAGCAACACGTAAGCAACAACATGATGGATGGCCGAAAGTGACCATCAAGGTACTGTTTTCTCGTTCTACGCCATCAAGGTGTTTGATGAGGAACACGGATCCCGAAGCCGAGTCGCTTCTCCCTTTAGCCAATCATGGTTCAGGCTTATCCCCCGCTTCTCACTCCTCATCACGTTATCAAGCTACCTGCTATACTTGGTTACCACTGAGCGTTACAAATCGGCGCTCGGAATGGTTTTCCAACGACCTTTCCTTTACCTTTATAACTATTGCGGATTCTCTTCGTAAATTCATATTTACAACGTTCGTGTTGCTGTAGTCATATACAAACGCAGGGCAGATTATACTGAGTCGCCCTCGAGAGTTTTCATATACAACCTATACTCTAATCCACCAAGTGTGCTCCACTCTGATCCAGTATACCTACAGCACGCTACGCCACCATGGGTTCCTCTCAGTCTAAGCCCACTGCAGAGCAGGTATTGCACGAGAAAGCTGTCTTGGAGCGGGTTCAGTCCATGGACCGCGACTTTCTTGACGGCAACGATGTCGAGGAAGAGTTTGTTCACGTTGACAATGAGGTGACGGAAGACGCACGCTTGAGTCGCGTCGCCGAGGCTCTGCCGGTGAAGCTTCTCGGTTCATGGCAGTCCAGGGTGCTCCGAGACCCAAAGAACAGGTTAGTATACGTTGTAATCTAGCATGCAATGTTATGACAGGACTTCATTTTTTTTTTTTTTTTTTTTGCTAACGGATTTCACAGGCTTGCACTCTCGGCCCTCAGTTCAGCCAACCCGATGGAGGTATTGGCGTCACGCTCGACCAAGATTGCTGATCAGCACGTTTTTAATATCCAGGTTGGTAGTCTTTCATTGATTGTTCACTTTTCTTACATTCCATATAAAGCCTCAAGCAAAGTGAGAGCTTCTTAGACTCTGAATTTCAAATCTCTCCTCAAGTAATTCCGACCATCAAAAACATGGCTGACTCCTATTGAAAACAGATCCCGCTCGAGGGCGGACCGATCACGAACCAACGGTCTTCAGGACGCTGCTGGCTATTTGCGAGTACCAATGTGTTTCGTGTTGCACTGATGAGAAAGTACAACCTCGACTCTTTTGAGTTGTCACAGGCCTACCTCTTCTTCTGGGACAAGCTGGAAAAGGCCAACTATTTCCTCGAGAATGTCATTGACCTGGCCGATGAGGATCTCGACTCCCGACTTGTGCAGCGCGTTCTCGCGGACCCCGTTAGCGATGGTGGCCAGTGGGATATGGTGTACAACCTCGTTGACAAGTACGGGTTAGTGCCACAGACACTTGTGAGTCTCAAACGAGTTAATTTCCTTTTCCTTTGTATATTTTGATATACTGGGAAGAAGATGCTATTTTGAAGTCAAAATGGGGACTCTTCAAAGTCAATAATGAGGCAACAAATCCTTTCTATTCTAGAAAGGCAAAAGATTTCATCTAATCAGTTACTTGTTGTAGTACCCCGATAGCTGGAACGCAATGAATAGCCGTGGCATCAACTATATCATCGTGGCAAAGCTACGTGAGTATGCCGTCACATTGCGCAAGCTACTCAAGTCGCCCTCGGTGACGGCGACGGCACTCTCGGCGGCCAAGGAAAAGATGATGCGCCAGATCCACCTCATCCTCACCCTCACGCTCGGCCCGCCACCCAGCGCGACCGATGCCTTTGACTGGACCTTCAAGGACAAGAAGGGCCGGGTGCGCACCGTTTCGATATCCCCCATCGAGTTTGCCCGGGACATTGCGAGCCCCGAGCTCCGCGCAGAGCTCCGCATCACGTCGTCGACCATTGCCGGCATGGTGTCGCTGGTTCACGATCCGCGGCACGCGCCCCTGAGTCTCTTGTCCGTCGACCGGCTGGGCAACGTGGTCGGCGGGCGCGGCGTCACCTACATCAACGTGGAGATGGCGGCGCTCAAGGGGGCCGCGGTCGACATGCTGCGGTCCGGCCTGCCCGTCTTTTTCGGCTGCGATGTCGGCAAGTTTAGCGACCGCCAGGGCGGCGTCATGGACCTGGACGTGGTCGACTACGAGCTCGGCTTCAACGTCGGCATCCTCGGAGGGGCGGGCGCCCTCGACAAGGCCGACCGCCTGCGCGTCGGCGAGTCGGCCATGACCCACGCCATGGTCCTCACGGCCGTCCATGTCGATGAGCGCACCGGTCATCCCGTCCGCTGGCGCGTCCAGAACAGTTGGGGAGAGGACGTGGGAGAAAAGGGCTGGTTCGTCATGAGCGACGCCTGGATGGACGAGTTCACATACCAGGCCGTTGTGGACTCGCGGTTCCTGACCCGGGAGATTAGGGATGTGCTCAAAAAGGAGCCTATTGTCTTGCCGCTTTGGGACCCTCTCGGTTCGCTTGCATAAACCAAACGTATGTTTACCGACATTCCAGGAGATGTCAGTCACAGTGTCACGGAGTTTTGGATGTTCATGCTTCTCTTGGTTGGTGACGATATGGATCTGCTTCTAGTTTGTAAGATGGTGTCTTGTTATCCGTCATGTAGGCTACGTTCTCATTGCCATATCACAGGGAGTGCAATCTATCAATTTACCAAATCACTATAGCCAAAAATTTCGCCGCTCCTTAGAGAAATCAGGCAGATCCTTCTCCAGCATTTCATGTAGACTGTGCCTTTGCGGCCGGCGCATTCGGCATGATCAAGCTCTAATAAAAGCTTTTGGACGCCTAGTCCTTGGCAGCTATATTGAATAGTCATTTGAGATCAACTAGCTCTATTCTTGTGTCATAACAATCCGCGAGACGAGGCCTCAACCTCGATTCCGGTCGGCATCGAAGCCTGAAAGTGCCTCGATCTGTACTCGCGACTTGCATAGTGAAGCAGCTTGGACTCGAGCTGAGAAATACTGGGCTGTAGTATGTAAGACATGCTTATATGCAAAATACAAGACTATATTATGCGACCCCTGCAGCGATCATCTTGGTCTCTATCTCGAGCATTCTCCTGCGGCATTTTCGAGTTTCGTCACGGGCAATGGATAAGCGAAATGTCCTATGTATAGCCAAATCAAATATGACAGCACAGACACGTTCGTCTGTCGGTGATATGCCGGCATGGAAGTCTTCCCGGCCAGGTTTGGAAACAGTGGTGAAGACAACCTAGAGTCACGCATAGACACGTTACGGGGCCAGAAATGATCATGATAGTCTGCCACATATTGTATGCGTAGTATGTGACTCCATTCGCCGGGTGTTGTTCCGGCGAAAATAGCCTGTCAAGTCTGTTTCTCTTTCGTAGCGATAGGTTCCTCGGTTGCCGTTCCCCGTTCGCAAGGTGCTGGGATAGGTCCAGGGAAATAAAAATGAGGCTCGATAGGAGGGTCCATCCGCAGCTTGGTTGGGCCAATCAAGGCTCCCCAGAAAGTCATGTATTTCCCAGGAAAGCAAGAATCGACAATAGCCATCATGGCCGTCCCGATAACTGGTGCGTCTCGGCACCGTATCTGAAAAAACTTTGTTTGCAATGCCGAGGAATCGTAGTTTTGTGCCCAACTCGATACCTGCAGCTATATCTACTGGAGGAGGCAAAAGGTTTTGATGTGCCACAAATCTTTCTCGGCAGTACCAAGAGAGTCTGCGCTCATCGGCTTCGGGAAAGCGGCGGATCGAGATTGAATTTTTCTTCATTCCCACTCGTCAAGTTCCATCTTTTCATCTGTGCTCCTTGCTCTTGGTAGACGCTTGGATCTCGGACTGACCTCAGACCAGATCAGGATCGCAGAGTGCCTTGGTGCCATAATAAAGCTTTTTGGCCCTGGTGGAAAAAAAAATGAAAATAAAAGTTTAGCGTATTGGGCGTCTGTCGTGATACCAAGATTTGTGATTCACAGTTTTGATTCGTTTTTGCTTCCTGGTTATTGAGTTACCGGTTGTGCTGGGAAGGGACACAACACGTACATGTCCAGCTGGAAGATAGACATCCGCCACTTCGTATCTAACGGAAAGCTGAACTTTTACACATCCGGATCTACCTGCCAACGTGCGTCTTTTGGGGAGTCATGTTGTGGACTGTGAAATACAAGATAGAAAGCCCCTCCCCGGATGGCAGCCCTTCCCAGGATGGACCCTTCTTCATAGTGGTAGTCATCGGTTGGGCAGGAGAATAGGCGAGCCAACCTAGCCCAATGCAACATGGCCAGAGCGTTCGGTCAGGCGAAAGCATTTTGCTTTGTGGGTTGGGCCTTTTCCACGAAGCGATTCCCAGCGAGGTTCTTGTTTGCGACCACATCGCTGGGATTCGGCTGAGAGGCTGATGTTTTCTTTTCAGCAGGGTACTGTTCTTGTCCGCGGCCCATGGTTGGGTACCGGCTTGGCAGAAATGCACCAGTACATATTCCCCCTCAACACATACACACACACGGCTATACGTGCCACTCTTGCTGTCTTGTTCGTATGCCTACTGTTGAGGCATTTATGGGAGGTTCGTACTAGAACTTGACGGGATCCGAAGCCTGGAAGTGCCTGGGGCCAGAGGGAAGACTTTGTCACTAGTCACTTTTTGCATGATCATGAAAAGAATGGATCCGCAAATGGGGCCGTCGATGTTCAAACTTCCAGAAGCGAAAAAAGAACTTTTGCTGTCTCCATTTGGTGGGGTTCATCTACTCGGGGGATCTGAACGACACGATAGCGTTACGTTGAACGGCTCGGGTAGCCCACGTGTAAGTGGGTTGGACTTTACGTATATGGTAATTCGAGACAAACTGCTTAACTTCTATGCATGGCATGTCGATTTTTCTGGCCTTACAACTTTGCATCTAATGTGGATAACAAGAAAAGCAATGTCCATTTAATGGAGTAAGACATGACTTTCCCGTTGTCCGGGACACTTGCCGTCGAAAAGAGGCCCGAAATTTAATATATGCCTAACCTTTACATGTGAATGGAACTTGCTTGGACAGTCTCACGTTGAGAGTGTCAACGAACGGCTCGATCCGAGAATGGTCCCTGGCTAAAACAGTTATGCTATTGGCTCCTGGACATACTGTGTATGAGGAAGCAAATGAAACGAGCTGCTATTCAAGGTGATTCGCCCACTTGGGCTTTCATGTTGGAGCCCAACATTGCCAATGCTCACCTTGGCTGGATCCTGGCCACGATGGTGATACCTAGTTCAGATGGCCAGCGGACAGATCCGTTCAGTAATGCCAGGTACGCGCACGAGCACCAAACGAACCCACAAGGATCCGTCTATTTTCTTCTCCATCGTGTGTCTTGCTGCGTGAAATGCCGCAGTAAAGAGAAGATCCAGTTTGTTTCAAGCATTCAGTCGCAAGTGGATGCGGACCAGGTGTTGTTATTAATAGTCTGATCATTAGTCTGAGGAGGATCTGACCATCTGCATCGTGGTGAATAATCCCAGCAGTACTCTGTACATATGCCATCTCACAGGCTATATGTAGTTCCATTTACATACTGCTACTCATTTATGCAATGTTCCGTACAAGAGCCGATTGTCCCTTCACTTGGACGTGGAATAGACAAGGCGATCGGGTGAACACGTGTAGCTGCTTTATCTTTGCTGACCGCGGTTGTACATGATCGCCTCATTTGCACGTTGGGAACAACGATGGGCGCGCAAGGCAACAAGCTGCTGCGGATGATGAACTCGCCGGGCGCGCTCCTCCACTCTCCATTGTCAGACCTCCAGCATCCCGCAATGCATATTGGGTAGTGGGGATGGAAGAATCCAGGCAGGCGATCCAGTCCCCAGTGTGTCAATGCTGGCCGCGGCAGATAGATTTTGACCAGCTTGATGGTTGAGCGGATGCAATCAACGCTGATCTTGTCCCAAAGTTCGGAATAGAGGCATGCAAAGCATGCACAACCGCTAAAGGTAATTTCGTGCTCTAAGCTCTAACCCTACCTACCTACCTTAGTGCCTGAAATGTCGCGTGTCGCCAGTCCAACCCAAAAGTCCAACTTTTGAAGGACGAAAAGAATTTGAGCTCCCCTCCTTGCAGGTCCCTTCACTATCCCAATTCGACATGCTGCCAGTCACAAGTAGTTTTCTGGCTAGAATGAGAGGGACCTGTAATCTCTGCTCCTACGACCACCTACACTACCAGTAGTACGCCCAAAAAGGTAGACAGAGAACCGCCGATCCCCCTGGCCCGAAAGTGCAACAAACTGACGTAGTCCACCACATGTTTCTTTGGTGGGATTCCCCCCTCCGTTCAGAGAAACGTCATCGCCCAGCTTCTTAGACGCTTATTAGCTTAGCTCAAGCTACGCTTCGTACCTCTTAGCAACATGCCGCCAGTGCGCCCTAGTGTAGTCCCCCCCCAAAGCACTTGAGCACCCCCAGCGCAACCCCGTCACCCGTCCTAGCATTCCCAAAGGCTTGGTTGGGTTACCCTGTCTCTGTGCCACCGTTGACATCAAATCGTTCGCCCCAAACCCCTGTAAAACCACGAACCTGGACGTTTGCAAAAGACGCTTGCTTTATCAAGGTATTCGTACGTAGAAGCACATTTGCTTGCTTGGCCATATCCATAAACGCGAAATTCGATACTTAGGCTTTTCTCTCTCTCTTGAAGTGTACAAGGACAAGGACAGATTGAGTCTAGTCTTCATTCTCCTCCTCTTTCTTCTTTGTCATCTCCTGCTCCTTCACCCCTCCACTCCAAACCCCCACTCGATACGAAGAAAAGCTTTTTCTGCGCATTCACCCTACATATATGCACACATACATCTGTCCGTCCATACATACGTAGGGACGGAGGGACGAATCGAGCACGAGATAAACTTGCTGGCCCTGCTCAGATCTGCCCGGCTCGATCTGCTTTTGCATTATCCATCCATCCATCCACCCACGCACTTTTGCTGCCAGCACTGAGACCTGGTTATTCTTTTGATACATTCGACCCTACCAAAAGCTTAACTAGCGAGAACCGTTCTTTTTCTTGCTTATTATTTGTCTTGGATTACAATAAGAAAACTTAGGGAAAAAAAAAAAAAAAAAGTCCAGCTGGCTGCCGAGCAATCACAGAAATATCTTGGTTCGCCTGTTTTACCAAGTGTCATCAAGCCCTGACTTTTCCTGCCAGCCCCATCTATATACATATAGTCGGGTACGCTGTTCTCCATTGTCCGCAAACATTTCTCACAGCAGTTCGGGCAACGCAGCAAACCGACCCCGTCGGCAAATCGCCTAATTCGAGAAGAACTCAAAAACCTCTTGGTTCAGGCTCACACTTTGTTGTTCCAATCGGGACTGTTGGCTACTTGCCTTAGGCCGGCACGCTTAGAAGGGGGGGCAAATCACCACCAGCCAGAGACGGACGGACGGACGCAGCACTACACCCCATTGCTAATTCGCCTACCGGTGTCCCGTTTTTTTCTTATATTGAATATCATCATCATCAGGTCATTCGAGCACACAAAGGCCTTTGCCCCTACTCTGAGACCTACATTAGTTTTGCCAGCAGCGCAAACCAACAGGAACAGATCCAAGCGGCGACTCTGGATCCACCCTCAGCATCCTCGAGCTCCAACCTCGAAGCGAGTCTTGGCTACCCTGTCCCGTTAGCAACCAGGTAATCATTGGTGCATTCGACTTATTACCTGCCCACGGGATACAATACCTGCTTCGCATACCTTACAAATCGACCATCCTGCAGCCCAACTGCAGTCTGTTGTCTATGCGTGTGCGCCTACGGGCACTTTTACCCCACGACAGACAAGAATTGGACCCCTACGCCCTTGCTATCGCTTCATTGGGTTCCTAATCGATTCGGCAATCTTCTGGAAACTCGATAGTCAGACCACTAGGGCAGCCATTCGATTCCGCCCGCCTTGAAGGGACCCAACTAAGTCCAACGGGTCACGGCACTCGACCACTACTAAGCTGAGCATCTCATCGCATTACCTGCGACCATCTTGCGCCTGTCATACTATTACAGGAAAGAGAGACAAAACAATACGAGGCTGTAGCTCCCAATGACTTGATCATCGACTCTGCCTGGTTTTCGCCCCCAAACAACTTGTTCTACATCTTACACGCATCAGACATACAACCTATCAGTTCTTGAGCTCAGACTTGGCTGCGGAGCGTGCGGTCCCTTGCCAACACACGGTTTCAAGCCTGTGTCCCGCTCTTGGGCAACCTATCTGGTCATCAGACAGATATAGCTTGTTATTCCTCCCACTGCGAGCCCGAACCCCTCACCAAACTCGTCAAAAATTTCTCTTCTCCTCCCAAGTACTTCCAATGAAAGGAGAAGTCGTGGCGACTCTCAATCAATCGCCGTACATCTTCAACCATTCAATGGCGGATCCACGGTATCGACATGCATCGTCAGGGCGGCGGTCTCCCACCTTTCATCACGCGCGCTCGTCCGTGCCCACGAACCTTGGGTACAATTACAGCGGAGATATTCACGCCGTCCCGACCGGTCGGTACGATACCACTGCGCTCCGGCGCACTGGTGAGCACTCGCACCACCGCCCCGCGACAACGACAATCACTACATACAATGTCACCAAGGAACCAACCGTGCAAAGCACAACGAGCCGCGATCCCAGCCGCAGCCGTCATCGATCATCAACTTTTACCACGGGCTCCGTGAAGCCAATTATTGTAACCACCAACCATAGTCGCCCACACAATCCGTCTTCGCATGCCTCGTCCGTTGTGCCGCGGCGGCCCGAAAGCCCTGGTAGAGACCCTTATCGTTCTAGCGAAGAAACCTATTACTCTCAGCCGGCATCGTCTATACGTTCGCGAAGCCACCAGCGCCACAACAGTACCGGCTATGATCATGAGAGTTTGCACCGCATGAGGGAGCGCATAGGCGCTGTTGATGATCGACTCCGGGCTCCTGTCCGAACTCACAATAGAGCTCCCACATACTCAAATCTGCCCAGAGGCAGCTCTGCCGACTACGCTATGGACGACTACGAATACACGAAACCAAGTGATTTGGCAAGATATGATTTGGACCATGAACGGCCACGGAGCCGTAATGGAAGACGTGACAGCATCGATCGTGGGAACAACTACTATCGGCCATCGGTCAATGTTGTGTCCCACGACTACAGCGCTCGCCCGGCCGAGCGAAGGCCACCACCAACATCTGGAGCACTCGATCGGTACAATCGAAACGCTGCAGCTGGTATTTATGAACGTGGAGCTGCCCCAATTCCCAATTTGCCAGCTGCACCGGCCTCTCCCCTAGTTGATCCTCGAAGATCAGGTCTGCTCGAACGTCCTTCTAGTCCGGCGAATGATAGAAGAACATCACGGCCAAGACCCGTTTCATTATATCAAGATCCTTCCCCTAGGATGGATGACTTGTCTTTCCGAGCACGCGATGATAACCTTCATCATGAGCGTCGGGATCGTGAACGGGAACGGGAACGGGAACGTGATCGAGAACGCGACCGGGACGAGGCATTCCGTGATGAGGCGGTCAGCTCACGTGGCTTTGGCATTCGGTCTGATCTCATCGAGCCTACCGAGTCACGGCGCCCAACTGAAACAGAGCGAGTTGACCGGCGAGATCTGGAGGAATACCGTCCTCACCGAGACTATGATTCTCGAGAGCCCAAGCGCCGATCAGATGAGAGCTTGGACAAGTCTCGCGGGCGGCATGAGCGAAGATCATCTGTCATTGGTGACCGGCAACGTATCGAAGAAAGTCGAGATCGCAAGGATGGCAAGGGAGAAAAGATGCGCGACAAGGTCGCCGCCGGTCTGAGTGTTGCAGCAGCCGCTATTGGTCTGGGCAACGCTGGCAAAGAGAAGGAAAAGGATGACAAGGATGGCAGGGTATCTCCAAGACGGCGCATGGACTCGGAACTTGCCAACACTGAAGCTGTTGACTCTCGCCACACGGATCGATACAAACCTCGAGATGTCGATATCGAGAGGAGAAGTTCGCCCCGTGAGGATGCCCTGTACGCGGATGAAAGGAAGGAACGCCATGAACGTCGGGATGATTCTTCATCTCGTGAGCGTGAGCGCCAGCGCGAGAGAGATCGAAAAGAAAAGGAGCGCGAAAAGGACCGCAGTAGACGTGATCAAGAAGCAAGTACATCTGGCAGCAAAAGAGAGGATTATCCGCACTCGGATGATGCCGCTGCCGCTGCTAAGCGTCGACAGCGTAGTTCTGCTGCATTCGACCCTACAGATACCAAGGGTCTAATGGATCTCAAAGCCGAACTAGCTGCCATTGACCCGGGAAAGTCAAAGGAGAAAGACAAGCCAGTTGCAAAAGAACGAACAGAACCAGACGTCATTGCCGCTGATCTGGGTCGAGATCGCGAGCGGGAACGAGAGCGAGAACCTCGTGATCGCGACCGCGATCGAGCCAATCTTGACCGTGCTCGGGATGAGTCTCGCGGTCGAGAGCTGGCATTGGTAGATGCTGAGCAGAAGTCAGTCCGCGTCGTGTCTCCCCCACGGGACAAGGCGGACTCAAAGCCCATCAAGGGTATTTTGAAGCAACCCACGTCCCAATTCCCCGAGGACGCGAACCCAATCCGCGAGGGCGTCGCACCTCATAAAGACGATAAGACCAAGAAAGATGTACCAGCAGGAGCTCGGTGGACCAAGATCAACCGTCGAATGGTCAACCCCGAGGCTCTCACCATTGGAAAGGAGCGCTTTGAAGTGCGAGACGACTTTGTCATTGTACTTCGTGTGTTGAGCAAGGAGGAAATCCAGGCATATGCCACTGCCACTGCTCAGTTGCGAGGTGAGTCAACAATTCCGGGTAGATGTAGCTAAGCTTGTGCTAACCGGGGAGCAGAGATGCGTCGGAAAGAGTACGAGCGCGAACACGGCGACCGCGATTCTGATCGTGATCGGGATCGTGATGCGGACGAGCACAGAAAGCGTCACAGGCACCGTCGTGACAGAGATGATGACGACATTCAAGATAAAGATCGGGATGATGACCGTGAGCACTCTCGTCGTCACAGACGTGATGATGAAGACGACAAACCCCGGGCAATTGAATACGACGATCATAGTCGTCATCATCACCGTTCATCCCACCGAGACCGGGAACGAGACATGGAGACTATTAGTGACGATAGGAGGTGATTCTGAGGAGTTTCTTGGGCAATTGGAGGTTACGGATTTTTGCATATTGGAGCGATATAGAAAATTTGGGTGGATTTGTAACAGAGATACCATGGCATGTATAAGGCGAGGCATTACGGAACTGGACATGTAAAGGGGAGCGAGCGTCGTGACGAGAGATTTGTGTATACTGAAGAGCATGTGGCTCAGAATTACTGTACGATCTCGTCATTTTCTTGAGACAACATTACGTTTATACAACTTTCTTGCGAGGTCTCACCTATGTTTTGCTATAGTACCAGCGTAAAGGAAATGTTGCTTCCGCTTCACTAACGTCAGCAAATTGTTTGTACTTCATAACCAGTCAGACGTTGATCAGGTGAAGGGTACTGCAATCTTCCGAAGGGGAGGCAGGGTCGCGTGTACTTGCCCCCAGTACAAACATTGCGCACATATAGTACACATACGCGGTTACACAAGACTTTTCATTGCCAAAAAGAATGCAACTTCCGACATTGGATGAGACCTGATAACTGAAGCCAAGGTAACTTGGGCACGAATGTTGTTCCTCGTATTCGCAACTGCTGCTTGTAATGCATCTTCCCGCTGCTGTCTCGGGTACTGACCAAGCTCGGAATATCATTTTCTTGATGTGTGGATGAGATACTTACTGAGAACAGCTACTATGTACATACTGAGGAACCTCGCAGCTCGGATTTATGTTCTCCCCCCTTTTGGATGAGCGTCTTTGCCCTTGAGTGCTGGATCGGAATCTCGTTGACAATGAGGGTACAACACTCGTTAGGAATGTTTTTAGAGAATTTCGCGAATTATAAAGCACAAACTTTCAAATGTATTCATGTGTTTGCTCAAAGCAAATAAAAACAAACCAAATCACTGACTACTGACTCATCCACTATGTTTTTCCGACGTGATAGGGATTCCGATGGAAAGTCCCAGGTCCTCTCTCTAAATCCTCGAATCAACAAGATGACAATAATCTCTTTTCTGAATATTATTACCAAGTTGACCAGAAAAAAAGTCCGTCACTTTCTCAACTATAGTCATCGTGACTCTCACATTTCAGCATCCCGTCGTAAATGATGCACAACAGCCATATCTGATAGAATCAGCTTGAATCCCACCGACTTGAGCCAATTTAACTCAGAGCAAGCCAAAAGCGTAATAATGGCACCACGTCAACGTCGCCGCCGGTGCCATCACCATCATCGTGTCCGCGCGGCTCCGCCGCCATGGGCCTATCTCCAATCACCTTACGGCGCCTTTAGCTGGCAGAGATCGGGTCCTGGCCCGGCGCCCGACGGCAGTTTCACCAACATGGCCTGGGAGCACGGCTTTGGATTTCCCCGAGGTTATCAACAGCAGCAGCAGCAGCAGCAGCAGCCACCGCTGCAGCCGGTACAAGCTCATCAGACTGATGGGCATGTCACGGTAGCGACGGCGGCAGTGCCACAACAACCGCAACCTGTAGCGGTGGCTACTGCTGCTGCGGCAGCGACTGCCTCTGCGCCGGTTGCAGCAACGACAACGTGTACGGGCGCAGCGGCACCTATACTAGTCCCGCAACCTCGTGTGGTCCAATACATGGATGTGCCCACCGTACAGGTGACATGTCAGAATACGGCGGCCCAGAGGAATTGTTGTGGTGGTGGGCCTCGAAGTTGTTGTCATCGCTGTTGAGTTTCGCCGTGTGGCAGTAAGGTACAGGATCACTTTAAGATGGAAAATCGCGATTTACCCTCCAAGTCTGAAGCGAAACTAGTTGGTTCTCAAAGCCTTTGCATTATTCATCAAAGCTGGGACGTTTTCGTGTATTAAGAGGCACTCAGAGTTCAGAAACTGTGTGTCTGATGACAGTCATTGATGGGGTTCATCACATTCATGGCTCGTGGTTACCATCAGCATTGAGAACTGATTGCCTCGCCATTCGGACCATGTTCACCAAGCACTGAAGAAGATCTGGTCTCGAGTTTCAAGCTTCTTGCGTGACATGGACACGACTTGCAACGATTCGCGACCGCCTCATCAAAGTTTCGTTTTCGTTGGCCTGAAAGAATGGTCGAGCTGATAGATTTTCCTAGCTTAGCATCATACAGTATTCCGTTGTCCTAATCATGAGAAAGAGGGAAGTTAATAGACAGCGAATTCGAGGTGAACGAGTTTGGTCTGCATTACTTCACAAAGCCAGAGATGACCGCACACGAGTTATCCCCAACAAGCATGTTTAGATGTCCCTTTATCTTATGTGGCTTGAGTGTTGTGCACGCGGATGTGACAACTACAGACATTTCTCTTCCTATAATGAACTCTTTGGTGACCAAGTCAACAGTGGCAATGCTCCCAACGGTGTATCTCTTCAGCAGCCTTTCGATATTTACGTGTGAATACACATGCAAAGTTGATCCAATAAGTTGCACGATACGAATGAAATCGACAGCTTCCCTTGAATAAGCCTGTAAAAGAAGAAGCCACCGGCAGCATGTCACTCACCTGTAGATATAACTCAGACTCCTTCTCATTTCTCACAAGTACTCACATAGCCTGGCTATCTCATGTCTCTAAGATTAATGTAATCCCCTTGATAGGACGTTCAAGTTGGATATCTGCTGTATGCTAAGTTATGCTATCATACATCAAGCATAACTGACAACTAGTACAATTATATGTTAACCATACCTTTCTCAATTCACTTTGACAATTCGAACAATCATATCGTGATTGCTCATTTGCATTCGCTCTGACGTGCTATAGGTATCTTTTACCTTTACTCAGATCTCTCTCAGCCTTCCGTAATCCATCACGATCCTGCCTCTCGGGTTCGGTCTGACCGAGCCGAGTCACCAAAGACGGGCAGCCAAGATTTTCTTTTCACAGGATGCCGCTATCGATTGAATGCCTGCCCAGCTGCCTAGGCAAACTGGACATGGTTCCGGCTTCCCCGGTCATATCAGTTCAGAGCACGGTTGCAAGGCGGCCGATGGCATTCTCGATCACAGCTGACAAGACAAGTCGTAATGCTGCGGCGCTGATCTTTTGACAATTTTCTCCCGATAGCTCGTTTCATCTTTCGATAGAGCACATATGCCGGCTCAACTTTCTGCCCGATTATATCGTTTTCCCGTGAATGAGAAGGATGAAAGCTCGAGCCATACTGCAGCATCATTTGACTGGGTTTCTACCTTGATTTCTATTTCCAAAGAGAGATACGAGTTCACAAAACACTGACAATAAGAGAGAGATCCAGATGGATACCCTCAGAATGAATGACTATCACTTTCCCTTTTCTGTTTCCCCTGCTCCAAACATCAAAATTAAGCCCACTTACCCAGTGATAGACTACAGAGGGCCAGAACACTGAAGACGACGCCCGTGCCTTGAGAAATTGTGGACATCGTCATGGTTCATCTACGCAAAATCATGCTATGAACAAGGAATTCTTGCTTTGTGGTTTTGTTCCCTACGGGCCCTCCCTCTCAACCACCCCCCCTTGAGCTGCACACCCCTGATGAGGTTCTGCACGGCCTTTGCGCCAATCTCCAGTCTTTGCTATGCGGATAAGCCCGGACCCATGGTTCGAAATGATTCAATTCACAAGGGCCTCCCTCAAGGGGAGGGAGCCATCGACAGTACGCTACACTAGCTGTCAGCAGCCCTGATTGCGGATGCTGCGATTGTTTGTTGCTAGCAGCAGCAGCAGCAGCAGCAGCCAGCCAGCCAGCCATCAAGCAAAGTTATTAGTGTGTTTATTTGCACAGACGTTGTTGTGCAAGGCTGTCATATGGGAATTCCAGGACAGGGCCAGCTCTATACTCATGCAATAAGATATGCATCACTGCCGCACTATACATAAGCATCAATAAGCATCAATTAAGAACTCTCCCCCCAAGAACAGGTTTTGCTTAAAAAAGACCCATCCATTACTATTCATGGTAATGGAATGGAAGAAACAACCAAATGTAGCCCTTCAGGGAGAAAGAGTCCTCGGCTGCTACTCTCTGACCTCAGAATGCGAAGAGAGTGCGTGGCCCTCCTATGTGTGGATTATGGGGTGGCTTTCGCTTGATGCAAGGAACGAGTGATACCGAATGTAACGTGATTTGATGTCTATCCCAAACGTATTGGCTCTCGGGGATGGGAAGAAACGCAGCGCGTCATGCGACGACGGGTGAAAAGGACACACAGTACTATGTAGTAGGGGGGGATAGATAGAATACACAGTGAATCCATTATCTCACGTCTACTTTTGGCCCGCCGGTGGTAACTCGTACATACTCACGCCATAACGCGTCGCGTATCTGGGGTGTGCCAACCCCCCATTACCCTCGACGACGAGCCAACCACTCAACGCTGAATCGGGTATGCAAAGGGAGAGCGCCAGAAAGGACCCGGTGATAGTACTCTGTACTTTGGTCTCTACACAATAACGTTTTCCCTACTTGTGTCAACGAAGGACATTAGAAGTCCCCAAAGTTCCTCTGATGGGAAAACAATGGGGAGTCTAGACAGAACTAGGTAATGGCCTCCGTATATTCAGACCGGTGTGTGTATGCGTGAGGGTGTAGCTCGTACGTATAATTGTACTCCATGTGTAAGTGTGTGTGTGTATATGTGTGTATGTAGCTGTTTAAGTCTTGCTAGGCGGCCGCGCGAGGTCGCATCGAAGAGTAAATGGAACGCCACTGGAAACAAAGGCCGTCTTGGACCAGACCGGTTAAGGGGTGGGAAAGACGCAAGAACGCCATACGTCTTGCTGTATGTACGACTACGTCTACACTACCACCTCTGCCTTCCTGCCCTCTCTCTCTCTCTCGCCCTCCCTCCCACGCGTGCTGCATCTCGCGCCGCCGGATGTGAACAGGGTCGGCTCTGAAGGTAAGCGAGAGCAGGGGGGGGATGAGGATTGGGACAGAGGTGGGAGGACTAATGAGAGCAGAAAACAAGAAAGAATAGGGGTGGGTGACTATGGGCTACCGCCGCGCCTTGCATTGAGTAGCTGCTGCTGCTGCTGCTACGGTACTATTCATTCTGTTCTGTACTCACATACACCAACAAGTACTTACTACCCGCATTATCGGTCACGGAGAGACCCGTCAGTTTGGGCATAGCAGAGGATCGCAAGTCCTCTGAAAGCAGCAGAGAGATGACCATGCAAGGTTCAGGAGGATTCACCTCATGGGTCGCTGGGATTGTTCCCCGCGCTTACGTGGTGCCAGGTTCCCTTGCCCAAGCGAAGGAAAGAAAGAAAAAAGTGCAGCAAAAGACTGGTCAAGGATTTTTTTCTTCCCAAGTGTCCTTCTCCTTCATGGGGGTGTCGTGATCCCATTCCGGGACCTCCTCCACCCACTCCGACTTGGGGGGGTCCCTGACCCTTGGCGAATGAGCAGGGGCATCGGCTGAGAGGTGTGGGTAATGCATTCTTCTGCTGCTCGCGCGCGCGCGCGCCGGGAGTCCCGGTCCTTGTCCTGCTTCTTGGTTTCCTCCCAATTCCTCCCAACTCTCGATTCCCACGATGGGACCTAGTTCGTACTATGTACTCTGTAGACTGGGACGCCGCAAAAGACCCTGTCCTTTCTCACGTCAAAAAGGGTCCCCCCTCTCTATCAGAGCAGCAGCACCCCCCAGCCCCCCCAGGAAAAAGAGGATCTTGTTCAACGGCTTTGACGAGGTAGGATTGCTACGATAGGCAAGTTTCAAACATGACGCATCTGCAAGGTATTCGCGAGTTGATATTGTGCATTGAGATTCTTTCGGAGGACTCTTTGTTGTATCTAGTCATGTAGTTTCGTGGATCTGTTGTTTTTTCGTTTCGTGACTCAATCTATCCGGCGCGCATATTGTATGATGGGCAACTGCGGTTCCGTGGCCCGGAGAATTTCTTGTGTTTCACTCCCTCCCATGTGCTTCGGGCAGCGAGAGACCCATGCAACTGTATTGCAAAAGTCTAATTTTATTACTGGTGTCCACCATGGCGGTCATGTTCATGATGTTGATGACGACTACGCTGCCTGCAAGTCTTCGGAGGTCACGAAGAATGAGTTTGTGTGCTTGGCGCGGAAGCCGTCCATGTTTCGATCAAGTTCATGTTCAGAATGGGTTGGTCGTTGCAGCAGCATACTAGACGTTCTGATAGCAAATGGTTACCAAAGGAAGTAAGCAAGGTGACCAGGGGGCTGCACCCTGGTTGGACTATGCAATGTCAAGGCAACTTTTACAGACATGATACTCTCTTATGACTGTCTAAAGGTATTGAAGGTATGCATTGAATCCTTCTGATTCTCTGCTACCAACTTACTGTATCATAGTGTTCACTAAAAGCAGACACACTCAATTGGTCCGTTATACATGTACAGACCTGTGGGCAAATAACTTTTTACTTTAGCGACAAGGGAGAGACTGCCTTTCCTCCTTACACAGAGACCTGCTCAGCTTCATCCGCGTGGCAAGTGTTCAGCAGAATGGAGCAACTTTTACCGTTATTAAGCAGCTGAATCTCACTTTCCTTTAGTCGGCATATTGTGGCAATCCTTTCATGCAGTAATTCTCTGCAGCCGGTGTGCCTTGACTCGCATTCTTGTCAACAGAAATAAAACCGATACGAGCGACAGCCGAGATTCCTGCACTTTTTTTTTTTCCCTCTCACGGAGTGGGATACATGATTCGACAGCGGCATATTCTCCATAGTGTGTTGAAGATCAGCGGG